AAATTCCAATTAGGTCCCATCCAGAGTGGGGGGTCACTTGGGCGCGCTTGGGCCACTCTGGAAAAAGGAAATTTGGGCAAGGCATGCAGGGTCATTAGGGCAGCCTGGGCAAGACAGGGCAGCCATGACTGTCCCACTCCTCAATCAAGCTCGGTTCGCTCTGCTAGGCATGACGTGGGGACTCCTTCCTAGGGAATGTCCCCCCCAATGTCACCCTGCTATCGAGTGCCCTATATGTGGCATACTCTCTTCTAACTATGCTCAGCACTACAATCGTCGCCATGGCCAGCGGAGTGGGGGCATCAGGCAGCGCTTGCCTCCAGGGTGGGCCACAGAGCATGGCTTTCTGAACTGTGCGTGTGGTGACCTTGTCCGAAGGGGTCCAAACCGCCAGGCAGCGTTGGAACGTCATTGGTACGGCCCACGACAGGTGCGCCTCAACGGCCAGGTTGTCACGCCGGATACGTGCCCAAAGCCTGGACGGATGGGACAGGACAGGGAGCCATGGACACTGCCTGGCGCTGGCTTCGAGAGCAGGTCACGCCTGCCTCGAGCGGTGGCATCACCGAGGCCCTTGCTTAGGCCAGTGTGTGGTCCCCCGTCGCTGCGGTGTCCAAATGAGGGCCGGCCCCAGCCTGGGGCCGAGCTGGCCCAGCTGGGAACCCAGGCACGGGAAGGGTCTGCCATGCAAGGGGCTGGGCAAATTCCAATGGTGCAGCAAGTGCAGCTACAGGAACAACTGCAGCCAGTAGAGCCGCAGCAAGAGGAGGCCGGACAAGTGGAGCCGCAGCAAGAAGAGGAGCAAGAGGAGCTACAGCAAGAGGAGCTACAGCAAGTGGAACCACAGCTGGAACCACAGCTGGAACCACAGCTGGAACCACAGCCGGAATCACAGCAAGTGGACCTTGCTCTCGCTCCTCAGTCGTCCACACAAGGCAGTCGACGCTACTTCCTTCGGCCTCGTCGTAGAGCGGGGAACGGCAGCCTTGCAGGCCTCAGACTCGAGGGTGATTCCCCCTCTGAAGGCAGCTCTGAAGGCCCGACTGAGAGCCGTTCAGATGACAATGCCGAGGGCTCCTTCGAGAACCGCCTCCAATCCAGTGACCTCTCTTCACTCACCTCTCTTTCCTCGTCCCCCGAGCCGCCCCCCCAACAGGCTAGCTCTCAACAGGCTAGCTCTCAACAGGAGGGGGCACAAGCTCCTATCACCGGCCAAGCTAGCCGCGACTCGACTCCAGAGGAACGCGCATGCTTCCCACGAGGCATCCCCCCTTCCCTGGTCGATCGCGTCCATACATTCGGCGCCCTCACCACCCACCGCGAGATTGCCCACGAGCACATCGAAAGCGTCCTCATCGACCTCCAGCACCATGGTCTCGACACGCCAGACGGCCTCTTGGCCATCTACCTCCAGGTCGTCACATCCCGCAGCGTATATACACCACTGCCTGGCAAGTGGCAGCGGTCGATGCGCAAGGCACTGGACGGCCTGTGTGCGTACCAAGTGCAGCATGGCTCACCTATCGTGGAGCTCATGATCCTGCTTCTGCCCAAGCTGGGCGTATTTCCCTGGCTGGATGGACGCCTGTCGAACGAAGAGCGTGACGACAAGCTTGCGAGTCTCGAGGCGTATCCAGTGCCTCAATGGAAGGCGCTTGTCAGGCAGACGGTGGACCGAGGGGTGCAAACGATCCTGGCCGACTATTCCAATGGGTGGGACGTGCAAGATGAGACCGAGGCTGAAGCCTTTGTTGACAGGCAAGATACCGAGTCAACGCAGCTGGATGCCTCGTCAGACCTGTCAGACCTGCCAGACCTGCCAGACCCCCCTGAGCTTGGATGGGACGAGGCGTCGGGCAGGGAAGACTCAACAGAGGGAGAGACTGACAGGGCAAGCACGCCCGACTTTGAACATGCCGCCCACGGGACACCCAACGAGGCCACGTTGTCCGAGGGACTACTAGCCCTGGACCTGAGTATCTCACAGGCAAGCGTGCGCTCTGAGAGCCCGCTCGCAGAGAGCCCGCGCGCACAGTCGCCGGAAGCACGCTTAGCTGCTCTGGATCTGTGTTCAGTGAGTCCTCTACCAAGGGCGTCGAGTCCAGTGGGTGGGCCCAACGACGAAATGTTGATCGTGGACGTCTCGGCTGAGGCCTCCTTGGGTCCACAGTCGGAGGTCAGCCTTGGTGAGTCCTACGTTGACGGCCCCGTTGACGGGCCCGTTGACGGGCCCATTGACGAGTCCTTTGACGGGTCCCAAAGTCAGGCCCCCATTGAACGGTCCCTCCTTGGCCAGCCAACGCTCGCCCCCCCGAACGAGGCGGCTTGGACACCAGCAGGCCTCTCGTCTCACCGCCTCGTCCCGTACAACATGTCCCACGTCCTCCAGCGCACCGGCCGCCAGGGACGCATCCGCGAAGCCACTCGCATCCTCGAGGGCCTGGTCCACAACGAGCGAGGCGAGGTCGCCCCTGCCACGGCGCAGACCCAAGCTGAACTACTCTCTCTCCACCCTGCTGGCGAGCCCAGGCCATTCGCAGGCACGGCACGCCACGCAGGTTATCGCCGCATTCGCATCACCATGGACCAGATCATCGACACGGCCAAGCACATGAGCACAGAGAGTGCTGCGGGCCCGTCTGGCTGGACGGTTCTCCTGTGGCGCGACATGCTCACGATGAAGCAGCTGGGTCCTGATGCGGTCCACGAATATGTGCAGCAAAAGGCCCGCGAAATCACACAGGACACGGGGCCTGACCAACGTTTCCTATGCGGCGCGCGCATCACCCCTCTCCTCAAGGCGAACGGGCGTATCCGGCCAATTGCTGTCGGCGAGGTCCTGTACCGCTTGCTGATGCGGACCATTGTCCAACACCTCAAGGCCGACATCCAGTCGAGTCTCGGGCCTGGCCAGTTTGGCGTGGGCCAGGCGGGCGACGTCGAGCCCATTGTGCGCCTCGTCGAGCACGCCGTGGCACGGCCAGAGCTCGGGTACACGCACCTGACCAAGCTCGACTTTTCGAACGCGAACAACTGCGTGTCGAGGCGAGTCATGGCCGAGGCATGCCGGGCTCACTGCTCGGTACTGTACCGTACGGCGCGGTGGGCATACAAGCAAGCGACGCCGCTTGTGGCCATGGCGCAAAAGAGGCGAGTAGGCGCTGCAAGTGGGCAAGTGCCTGCTCTGGCTTTCCAATCTAGCGAGGGCGTGCGTCAAGGCGACCCTCTTGCTCCTATCCTCTTCTCCCTCGGCATGCGTGGCTTTCTCGAGGCGCTTCAAGACCACCTTGGGCCGGAGCACCTAGTCATGGCGTACTTGGATGACGTTGTGATCCTGTCCAAGATGGGCAGGGACATCGACACCATTGGCACCGCGGCCGAGGTCGCAAGACACGCGGCACCAGGGCTCCTCCTTAACGTCAACAAGAGCTCATGCACGCCGCTGGCCGACATCCGCACATCCGGCACGGAACTGCTCGGCACTGCGCTTGGCAGCGCCGCGTTCCGATGGGAGTTTGGCATGGCCAAGGTCGAGCGCATCGAGCGCGTCCTGCCTGCACTGTGTGAGCTACCCAAGCACTTGGCTTGGCTCATCCTGTCCCGGTGCCTTGCTGGACGAAACGCACATCTCCTCCGCCAACTCGAAACAGCCGACCTCGTCACATACGGCATCCATCCCATANGGGGAAACACTGCGGCACGATGGCATTCGAGATGTGTTGTACGAGCATGTGCGGCGGAATGCGCATGTCGAGGTGGAGAGAGAGGCACGGATCGTGGCGGACCGGCAAGAGCGGAGTGATCTGCTAGTGCGAGGTCTGCACGCAGGCCCTGGGCCCTGGGCCCGAGATGCACTACGACCTGTTCATCCGAGAGGTGACAGGGTCCAAGGAGGAGCGGAACGGACGGCAAGAAGTAACACTGGTGCCGACGGGCCGACCGCACGAGTATGCATGGGAGTGGCAAGCGTCCGAGAAACGCGCACAGCAGAACCAACAAGTGGCTGCGATGATCCAGTCGACAGGCATGGCTGGTGCAGTAGATGCACGAAGGACAATGCTTTGGCGACAGATGTCGCAGACGCTGGGGGAGCGGCGGCGTGAGAAGGAACGCAAGTACCAATTCTGCATAAACATGCGGGCGATTGGGCTGTCTGCATCAGGGGTCCAGACGAAGGGCTTCCGGGACGCGCTCCATACGTTTGGGAGAAGCCTGACGGAGCTGGACAGGATGCGCGTGCGAGAGCAGCTGTCGGTGGAACTGCTGCGCTGGCGAGCCAGGCTGTACGGGCACTGAGTGCCTAATCGATCTGACCAAAGCGCTGGGGAAACAGCGAGCTGATTAGGCACACAGGAGCTCAGCCCTGGGAGGGGACCTAAGGGATCAACATGGGGGAATGATGCGATGGGCCCTTTGGCCTGGGTATTTACCGGGTACCTGGGTTGACTGCACGCGGCTGGCTCAGCCGAGGACCCTGACAGGAGCCAATTGTCGCCCCATTGTTGATTGAGGCCTCCACTTGAGTGGCCCAAGCGCGGATTTCCCCCATCTACATTCACCACTGGTACTATAGCTGCTATATCATCTCGTAGCCAAGGAATCGGATCCCCCCCCCTTCGTCTCTTGTGGGGGACACAAAGTCGTCACAGCACCAAGAAAATAACGCTGGTCATTATCCAATTTTGAGCACAGAGCCCCGCTCTGGTCAAGACGTGGGGACACCCAATGAAGTCACGCTTTGGGATCACTTTGGCGCCTCAGTTGCAAGTGATGACATCTCCACTCCTCTTCCTGGATATCTTTGGGACACTTTTCAAGAGGATTGTGATCCTATGGGGCAGTTGCACCTGAACGACTATGACTGGGACAAATTCATCAGTAGCTTATTGCCCTCCTTCGATCCTTTAGGATAGGATGGTCTACAATCCGCCGCTTCGAAACAAGGCCACAAGTTGGCCAATCCTTATGATGATATGAAAGTACTGGTGCAAAATGATGCATTAATGTTGCTTTTCCACATCCCTCTGTTCAGCACCCACCTCCTCCGGCGGTTCGGGCGGGCCTGGAGTGCGCTTACCCTCGTTGATAGCTTGGGAGAATTTGGAGCGACCCCTAATGGCCTCACCATAATAGTAGAATACGAAAATAGGAACAATCACAAGGATCGAAATGAAGCCCAATAGCGTACTAGCCCATTCGTACGAGTTTGTCTTACCCATACCCTCGTACATGGGCACAGCGAACATCGCTGAAATACCGGCGAGCAGATCACGCGCCAGCGCATTACCGCCTGTCGCAGAAGCCGAGTACATGCCATATGCCTCCACCATATAATCAATGGTAGCCATGTAAATGGCGTAGTTAGCAATAGCGATGAGAAAGGCAAAAATAATAGGTGCAATCCAATGGACTTCGGGGGGACCAAGCGATGTCCACGCAAAACCGAACAAACCAATAGTCTCCAACGGTGCCAGAAACAGCAGCCACCACAATCGAGATTCAGGCGTAACCTTCTCAGGTGCTGCACGCCGCATATGGCGCTGATGCATGATTGTAGGGAAAAAGGAGAAGTATGAGACAATGTACCCAATGCTGATCGATAAAAACGTAAGTCCGATCTTAAGGTGATTGGTGCCGAACCATTGTCCAAATACAAGATCAAATGACATTTGGAAGATGAAAATCAGGGCATCTGAGAATCCACTGAGCATTGACAGAAACAGTACAATTGGCTCAGTCACAAACATATAGAAGGGGCGCAACCAGTAAATACCGATTTGTTTCATGCTGAAACCATTCGGACGCAGCTCGTTGGGACCGTAGTACTGCGTTTGACCTGCCTTGCGAAGCCGCCTAGCCTCCCGATCCAGCAAGACTGTATTCAATGTCTCCGGAACGAGCAGTGCATGAACCAGCTGTGTCGCACCACCAAAAATGAGCATCAACCAGAACATCCAATACAGGGGGTTGTATGGCATCACTTGTTGCACGATGCCACCAATGAACGGACCAACCGATGTACCCATGACCGAAGACAACACCACAAAGGCAATGGCAAATTGTTGGTCGTCTGAGTCGTACATGTCAGCCACCACACCCAACGTCACACTACCACCGGCGGTGCTCAGACCGCCGAAAAACCGTGCAGCAAGTAAGTTTTCGTAATTCGGGGCAAAGACGGCCCACAGCTGGAATATGTTAACCAGAAACATGGAGGCCTGAAGAATCGGCCACCGGCCAAGTTCCTCACTCCAAGGGGCCCATAGCTCGGAACCAAACGCATAGGCGACAAGGTAAATCATCTGACTTGCACGCGCTGCTTGTTCACTCACACCTTCGAAGCGAGGATCGTCGGGAATCATAGACGTGGCGTTCGGATAGATGGAGGTATTAAAGTTCATGCTAATCTGCACCATAGCAATAACTGAGAGAATCGTCCACTTTTTCCAGGCCGGAAAGCTAAACGCTGTTTTGTCGAAGGCCAGCTCCCGCGTAAGCTCAACCTGCCCTTCCTTCACCACCGACTTGGTACGCAATTCCAGCATGTTGGGTTTGCCGTACTTTTTATAGGCCATTTTGCGTTGCAAACCAGACGTCACTTTCTGGTGCTCGTTTTGCTCGCCCGAAAAGAAAACCATTTCCGGCGTTCCGGGTCGATTGATGTCACGCTCCGGTACCACTGTTTCATACTTATTCGATGGCTCCGAAGCGTAAAGCTTGGGGTCCGGAATTCCATAATCAGGATTCGAGGTGGCCTCTTGCGCACCACTCTCAGCCATTATAGAGAAACGCACTAAGACAACAACACGGGCCGCTATGTATTTTCTGACATAATAAATACGGAAAATAAAGTGCGTCATCTCACAGCCGAATTAAGTTTCTGCCTTCCTAAGTTGCTGTTTACTGCCGACCACGTGCCTCTTCATACCTCCGCCAAGAAAATTCCTTGTACGTGCCCCCCTCAGGCCTGAGATAGGGGGACGAACTCGACGATGATGGTTCAAGCGCGTCCCACCTCTTCATCTCCACTGCTTCCATGGCTACTAATAGTACAGCAAAGAGTCTTGTTTCGGGTATGAAATCCCTTTGGTGAAATTGTCAGTATTTAGACGTTGTCCACCCAAGGAAGGACTGTTCTTTACTAGTCTGTCCATTTTGATAAAAGGAGGGGGGGGGGGGGGCTCCATCTAGATCAACCCCGACACACGTGCATAAAACTAGCTAACACCATACACACTATGCAGTTCCATTCTTCGAAGTACTTGGCATGTCCGTCTTTGTACAGTTAATACGAATATCGTTGTCAAAAGAATATTCGCACTTTGGATCTTCATTTTTTCCGCACGACATGGACACTCCCAAGTCGCACCACGTCTTGTTCAACGGGCGCGCGCCATCATAGAAATGACCATAGTGCTTCGGATACTTGGCGTCTGGTTGCTTGGGTACATCCCAACACCCATCTGTCTTGACATCGAACGGTGGACGATCGAACACCGTTCCCCAGCCGCGCTCCTGCGGCCAGTCTACGTAGCCACAAGATGTGACGTTCGGTCCAGCCTTGTCGAACTTGCCCTCGACTTTGATCGCGCCAAGGAACGAGCATGCGGTGGGCACACCGTGCGGCTGGTACCACAGACCGTTTCCCTCGCCACCTTGCTCAATAGGAACTCGACCAACACAGGTGGTAGCCGAGAAGGGGAAGCAATGGATACCGCACATCGATGCATTCCAGTCAGTGGCCCCACAGTCAAAGCGCGAAATTAGATAATTGTCATTCCCATAGAGTGAACCAATACAAGGCAACCCCTCCTGTATCTTGTTCTCGTTTTGAAATGTGATCCAACCGGCCAAGGCCTCTTGCGTGAAAGCCACTACAACCAGCGAAGAGAGTACAGGGAACTTCATTTTGGAGGACAATTTTTCCTACCACGAGTTTTTATACTTTACGGTAGATTCCTCCAATTTGGTCATGATCCCATCTCGCCCGGTATCTGATATCCCAGCACCGCAAGATCGGATGGATAATGCGGTCACTGCTGCCAAGTTGCCCAGGGGATTGTGCTCCACATGGCTGCATTTGGATCCAATCAGCTCGCGTGTTTCTATGTCGCCCTCTATTATCGATGCCCAAGTCAGGCGATGTGAAAATGAACTGATATGGACACCTCGATCTCTCAGACGCCACTAAAACTCGCGAGCCACACTCTCGAGATCATCCGCATTGATCCAGTCACTGCCGAGTTCTAGGAGCATGCGGTTCACGCGGTCGCGGGCGTAGATGGGCCACGCAGGTGTGTCATAAAAGCGTGTCTTAATGCCGCGTTGGTGGGCCTCGTGAATCAAGCCCGTCAGGTTCTGCTTCACCTGCTCCGATGGCTCATGAATACCCATGTAATTGGAAGTTACATCAGCAAAGTCTGTTGATGCAATTGCACAGAGCGTGTTGTTCCACTCGTACTGCCTGCCATGAATCTTGGGCATGGGTTTGCTTAGCTGCATCAACTCGCAGTCTAGGAACACGTCACGTTCGCCCTTTGGAGCCAGCTGGTCGACCGGTGTACCCCCCGTCCCGATCACAATCACTGGACCGGGGATGACCTTGCCATGCTCGTAGCGGGTGAGGAAGCCGCGCTTCCGCAGTGGATCGAGCGCCTTGACGATGAGCGGCCACGAGCGGTTCGCATCGTTCTTCACATCAACCAGCAATTGGAGCGGCTGCGTGTTGCCTACACCGAGCGAAAAGTAGCCGTTCCACCAAGGGCTGCTACTCGTAGACACGGACGCTTGCAGATCACCAAACAGCGAAGACTGCGAGTTGTTCGCGTACTTGGCATTCGCCGTGTTGGCCTGTTCGATCGCCTCCACGAGTGGCTGCACTGTGAGGGCATGGAAGGTGCGCTCCGCCGTCAGCGAGAACGGATCGTGGCCCACGTAGAGCTGCATGTCCTACGATCAGCGGGCGTTACATACCTTTGGGTTGAGCCATACGTCCGACTCGACGCTCAACGCACCATATGCGAGCGCCTCGAACACCGGCACGGGCCGCTCATAGTCGTTGTGCGAGTGCATAAACAAGGGGTACGTGTTCCGGTTCCAGTCCGCTGGGGAGCGCAGGATGCTTGCATTCTTCCCTCCAAACGGCGCATAGGACAAAGTCGCCGTCGGTGCCTTGTGAACAAGCTTGGAGGCATGCACAAGAGCGAAGAACAACACAGGGACAGCAAGCCACAACATGGTGGGAGGGAGCAAGGTTCTCGTGGCAGCGCACGTGTATCATGCCGTCCCGCCTCGACATGAGAAGCTGCCTATGCAATGCTTTGAGCTACGATGTGCCCCTAGCTATCCTTACAGACCTCATAGTCCTGCTATGCTATACTGGTAAATATAGAGACCCCCTAGCGCACGGCGGACGAGTGGAGGACACGCGTCGCAACCGCGCGCGTCCGCGGCTGACCCCTTACCACGTGCACCTTGTCGCATGGGCCGGGTCAAACGAGAGGCGAGTGAGGAGCCCTACGAGGACGCGCCACGGCGTGTGCGAGGAAAAGCGCGGCAGGGCGGCGATACATCCACTCTTCTCCGCCAGCATGGGATCCTCGCTGCGCGCATCCGAGCGACGCCATGGCCCCAGTCAGGGCCTGCCTCGACCGACGCGCCATGTGACGCGGACGACTCTACTGTTCTGCCGACGCTCAAGGCGTACGCAACACAGTCGCAGTTGCCACATCGGACGCAGCTGATTGATGTCGCATGGCGCCCTCCGCCTACCGCGTGGTCTGCCCCGACGGCGGCAGTGGCCGCCACCCCTTGTGAGCCCAGCGCCTCGGTGCCCATAATGTTCCATGCGGCCAGTGCGTCCGTGCAGATCGCGCTGCCGCCCTATACCAGCATGACTCTGCGTATGTGCACCAACCTAACCGCAGCCGACTCGGCCAGTGCAACGCACCCGTGCCACATGTTCGACGCAGGCGGCCACATATACGATCTGGCGTGGGCCCCCCAGACCGAGGCGCAGGACGGTATGTGTCATCGCTAACCACAGGTGAGTACCTCCTTGTGGCATGCTCGCACCACCGCGAGCCGAGCGCGCGCGTTGCCGACCCCTCTTGCGCCGACGACGGACAGCTTCAGTGCTGGGAGTGGGACCCGGCGACGGCGCACGTGCAATGCCTGGGCCGGTGGGTGTGTGACGCGGGTGCGCCGCTCCAAGTGGCGTGGCGACCCGCGCCACCCCCGCCTGGCACCCTCGGAATTGCCGCTGTGGCATGGAGCGACGGCACTGTGCACCTGCTGGAGGTGCCGTTGCGGAGCGAGGGCGTCCAGCGTCTCGTCGCGGAGCGTGTGTTGCGTGTCCCAGGCACGGCATGCTACAGCCTTGCTTGGGGCGGCGATGCGCGTCTCGCTGTCGGTTGCACGAATGGAACCATCGCTGTGTGGGACTTGGACGTCTCTGAGACGCCTGCGTGCGTGGCGCCCGTGCATGATACGACGGTCAGCGCCCTGAGCTGGCAGATGCTGCCGCCCATCTCTATGGACGGCGAGCCACAGCCAGATGCTCGGCCCCATCTCCTCTTCTCAGTCGGCTGGGACGGCTGCGAGTATATCACCGACGTGGCCGACATGGAGGCCCCGCTGCGGCATACGCACTCGCGCGAGCCACGGTATGCAGCGACCTGGCTCCCGTGGAGCGGCAGCTGGGCCGTAGATCTTGGCGATCACCAGTTTGGCACCGTATCGCTGCGCACGCATGACATGGGCCGGCACCATGCGCTGGGCTTCCACCATGCGCGCGTCTTGTGCATGGCTGCCTCGGCATGCCACCCATTCCTCGCGACAGGCTCGGCAGAGGGCAGTGTCAAGCTGACGAGTGTGTTGGCTATGGCGAAGCGGAAAACCGCCGAAGAAGGTTCACGCTTCATGCACAAGCTCTTCCGCCTCGCGCGCACGGACAGTGGATTCGTGTGGCACCAGGGATTTTACCCCGAGGGAGTGCTGCCCCGTGCGGCGACGCGCAAAAATGGGCCGCCCGTGGTAATAGACCGATGGGACCCCCAAGTCGCCGTAACGAGCGTCGCATGGAGCCCCAATGCGGGGCGGGCGCTCCTTCTGGCCAGCGGTACGGCCTTGGGCTTTGTACATATTGCATGGGCAGAAGGCTAGCACTACTTTACATACAGGGGATGGACTATCTGCACACGCACCGCAAACTGTACGGCCCGGAGCACGACGCGCCAGCGGCGCACACGGCGCGGCGCCTCCGGGCCCCCGCCATACGGGCGCAGTACCGGTGCGAGTGCCGCCAGCTCGGTACGCAAGCGCTCAAATAGCCACTCTTGGTGGCGCAAGGTACGCGCGAGGTACAACTTCTGGAACGCCAGAGCGCGGCGGTGTTCCTCGCTGCGAAATGCCTCGTCCTCCAGCGCGCGGAGGCGCGGCGCCAGATCGCGTAGGGCGAGCGCAACCTGCTCGCGGATGCGGTCGCCAGTCTGGCTCTCCCTCTCGCGCCACTGTGCCGCCTCAGCGAGCATCGCCTGCTTTTCCTGCTGCAGTTTGCGCAGATCCGAGCCATACTGGTCAGTTTCACTGCGCACGTCCCGCAGGTGCTGCTCAAACACACCGAGCTGCTCCATGATCTGGCGCCGCTCCATCCAGAGGTGGTCCTTATCGCCGCGCAGCTGGCCGAGCTCCGTCTCCTGGTCGGCCAGCACATGCCGCAGCGATGCAAGTTGCGATAACTGCTCGTCAATGTGCGCCTCACACTCCGACTGCGCGCGCCGCGCTGCGTCTGCGTCCCGAAGGGCGCGATGCGCCCGCTCGTCCGCAAGGCGTAGCTGCTCCTCCAATAGCACCTGCTGCTGTTGCGTCTGCTCGTGCTGCGCCTCTGCGGCCGTCACCTGTTCGCGCGCATGGACCAACTCGCGCTCCAGGCGCTGAAGCTCGGCGCGCGTCGCAGTAGTGTCGCCGCGCTGCTCACGTAGTCCATGCAGCTGGGCGGAGCGGTCAGCCAGATGACTGCGTGCCTGGGCGAGCTCCTCGGCCGTGGCCGCGAGTCGCGCTTCAATACGCAACTTGCTCGCATTCGCGTCAGTCGTCTTGCTCAGCGCCGTGTCGAGTTGCGTGCGCGCCGAGTGCAGCTCGGCCGTGAGGGTGCGCACCGTCTGCTGCAGCGCCTCCATATCAGTGGCGATACGCGAGCCGCCATCCATCGACAGCGAGGCCACTGACTGCCGCAAAGCATCGATGGCCTGACCGTGACTCGGTGTCGAGTGACGCCATGACCTCTCGCTGGACACCGATTCACGGCATCGCGACGGCGGCGATACAGGGTGGTTCGTAGCCAAGTCACGCATCGAGTTGATTACGCCGTGCGCCTGGTTCAGCGCCGCCCGCAGTGGCTCCACGAGGCCAGCCAAGGTCGCCTCGTCGCCCCGAGCGACGGCTTTCTTCACACGGGATAGGAGCTGCTCGTGCTGGGTCTGCAGGGTATCAGTGGTACGGCTCAGCACGCTGGGTTCGATGGGCTCCGTGGTGGATGCCTCCGGGGTTTGCTCTAGCTGGGCACGCTGTTCTGAGACTAACGTTTCCAGGCTGACAATGCGGCTTTGGAGCGCCTGTATCTCTGCGGACTTCTCGAGACCTCTTGATGCCGCAGAGGACGAGGCATCTCGATCGTCGAGAGGCATATTGTGCCGCTCAATGACCTGCATAAGCGCCTCACATTGCGCCTTTAGCATTTCATTCTCCTGCGTCAGTCGCACGTTCACCTTGTGCTGGTATAGAACGAGCCGATGGGGATCAACGTGCGCATGCGTACCGGACGCAGACGCGTCCGACTCGGGCGGCGCAAGAAGCGGGTTCGTAGAAATTTCCGCCTCTTTCATGGAGGCGCGTGATGCGTTCAGCGACGACGGAGGCATGGTTGGGCCGTGGTTGTTATCGGCCTGTGTTGACACACCCGACAGGTCCAAGGAGGGCGTGTCAATTCTCTCAGACGATTTCGAGCGCCTAGAGTCCGACATGGACGAAGAGGGTGCCCGCACGGGAGCTGCAGCGAATGACATGCGACCTGGCGCTGGCGGATGCAGAGGCGTAGTGGCCGGCATACGGGATGAAGGGGGGGAGCGGCGAGGGGGCGACGTTGGCAGGCGCGCACTGCGGTCGTTGGCGGTAGCCGATGCCAGAGAATCAGGTGGGGGTAGGCTTTTTGTGTGCGCCGCAACGGGCGACGAGCTCCGCGCACGCGAAGTCGATGGGGACTCGGTGATCGATACCGACGAATGATCCAGTTCCTGAGGTGAGCGAACAAATACATACAGTGTCAAGGGATGCGCGCGATACAAACGTGCCAGCATCAGAAGCACCTTGCGTTAGAAATTGGCCGTCCTCGCTCTTATCCGTGGAGAGTTCCGGCGTGCCAGACACACTCGAAGCTAAGTCCGACGTGTTGGCGGCGGGCAACGGCAAGGACACGGAGGCCGATGTATCTAGAAGCTGTGCGTTCAATGCTTCCGACATTTCAGGAGGACGGGGTGCCGCAGGCGGCGCTGGGCGTGTGGTTCGCTCGGTTGCATCCGAGGGGCTCGGCAAGCCCGTCGTTTCAGAAATGGACTGTGTCATCGAGGCATGAGGGCTCATCCCCGGCAGAGATAACTGATCAGAGTCGTCATAGAATAGCTCGTGATCAATTCTATGCTCTATTCGGGACGAGAGATCCAGGGGAAAGTCCATGATCCTACGCCGAGCCAGGCACGGACGGACGATGTTCACAACAAACCACACGCGCTCGACGCGCGTGGAGTATTGCACGTGACAGCCGCGTCAGGGCTCTGACCCCGCTTGGCGAGCACCTGCAGCTTGCTTGTCCATGCCTGAGGTTGAATGGCATCCCCCTGTGCGTGTAATACCACAGGAACCGGTAAAGTCTGAGTTGGAAGAGGTGCCGGTGGCGCAGGCGCCGAAGGCATCCGATACTCCAGGCCCGAGTCAAGGTGCCGGCCCTGACACACAAGCCGAGAGACCACAGACAAATCATGAAGACAGCGCGCTAGCTACGTCTAGCGCACCTGGTCCATATTCGTATGCCGAGCAAGATACGGCAAAATGGAATAGCTTGTTACTCTGGGCGCGGGAACAACGGGGGCCCCAGTGGGATGCCAGCACAGGCTTGTACGTGTAAACCGCTGACCAGCTAGATGGCAGGTACCGCATGGAACAGCACTCTACTATGGGTAGGCCAAGCCGCGCTAACCGCAGGTTCCAGGCGCCGAACGAGGGAACGGCTCCGCGATAGGCAAAAAGTATGCCCGCACCCCGAGTCGAACGAGGGATCTTCCCATTACGTAGTGGAGGTACAAGTGGGATGCGTTAACCACTGCGCCATACGGGCAAAACTGCGAAAGCATAGAGGATTTGTTTCTATAGCTCCTATGGCGTGCGAATGGAGCGCGGCGCGGCGCGGCGCGTCCTTCCTCCGCATGGTCACCAGTGACGAGCCGTGGGGGCTCGAGGAGATCTGCGACAAGATTCATGCGCGTGCTTACACGAAGGAGAGAATCTCACTCGAAGGGCTAAGTGAGAAGAAAAAGCAAACGCTTACGCACGTCTTGCGCAGCCTTCTGTCGGAGCGCGAGGAGGAAGTGCTCGTGCGGGAGCAACTGTTGGCGCGGCACCGCACCTTGGAGCACAAGCTCGAGCAGTACGAGCGATCGATGAAACAGGGCGAGAAAGGCTCAGTGCATGCGGAAACCAAGCTGCACACCTTGCAATCGCAGCTACAGTACGTGTCACTCAGCTGATAAACAGACAGGCACAATCATCGCTCGTGAACGAGCAACGACAGCACCGTGCGACACATGAGCAGCTGCAGCGCACGTCGCGGCAGTTGAACCAGGTCAAGGTTGCGGCGGTGCAACACCGTGCGGCAACGGAACGACGCTCAGAGCGACTCAAGGAGCGCCTGGCTACCGTCACACAGTCCCAGCTCAAGGCGCTGGTCCCGGACATTCGCATTGCGAGCCCGGCCTTTGTGGCGCGTGCAAGTGAATCAGAGTCGATGTCTATGGAGGAGTCACAGCGAAAGGAGGCCGAGAAGCGGAATGCAGCCTTGCTAGAGACGACGCTGGCACTCAAGCAATTGGCCCTAGATGCGATGATCACACTTAACGAGGCCGTTGTGCGCTTGCGCAAGATCCTCGACGTGGAACAGGTGCCAGCGCACCGCTCGCTGCGCCGCGTGCGCTCTCGCCCATCGATTGGTGAGCTCGAGGTGCACCAGGTTTTCCCCCCGCTGCGTCCGCTGGTGACAGACGATACGGAAGATACGCATCCCGCGCGCAAGACCTTGGCCGAGCTGTCGGCGACATTGCAGACACATGTGGCTGAGCTGTCGCAATGGGCGGCATGGCGGCATGCCTCCAGCCATTCGACCGGCGACGAGCCAGAGGAGAAGCGGCGACGGATAGGAGAATCGTAGCCTTAGGCCACAGCAGGGTCATTCATGGACAGCAGCACGGCCTTGTACGTCTTTTGGTGGGGCTTGCGTAGTTTGTCGTGGCGCTTCCCGCGGTGGATGCGCTGGAGCCACTTGATGAGTTGCAGCGTGGGCGACGTAAGGTACGACTCAAATAGGAAGCAAGCCGCCGTGTTGAGTACGACCAGCGCTAGCAGCTGCCAGTGGAAAATGGCGGGGAAGTGAACGAGACCCATCAGCTCGAAGAAGAAGCCTGAGCGCACAAACAGGAAAAAGAGCGAGAACAGGCTGAGGACCGTGAGTGAGCCCACGAGCATCGGATTGGTATACATGGGCTGGCGGAACGGCGGCCCCACACTGAAGACGGCAGCCACCGTCAGGTACTGGAACGATGATACGAGGAATAACGCCGAGTTCTCTGCACTGACCACATTCAGCTCATCCGGATTCACCGACGGCGGCTCGTACCATGGCTGACGCCGCGTGAGCCAAAAGGTCAGGGCCTGGAACAGTGAGCAAATAATCACTTGGCCAAGCATGGAGAGCAGCACTTTCTTCGACACGAGGTTCGCTGTTGGCCGCTTGGTGTGCAGCGTCGGGTACGGCCGCGTGCGCGCCATGGCCACGGCCACTGGCAGGATCATGAACAGGTCGATGTAGAGGAACTGGAAGTCGCCCAACGAGCTTGCCAGATTGTACAGGATCGTGATGCTGGTGAACTGGATAAGACTGTACAGCGCCATGTACTTGAAGCAACTGAAGCTCGTGACCAGCGCCGCGCGGCCCTCCTTGATGACCTCAATCACACACGAAATGTCGGGGCGTGTCGAGGTAAATGGCGCGGCAACAGATGCCTCGGCCTCGGACAGGGAAATACCCATATCGGCTGCCTTCAGCGCGCCGCAGTCGTTGGCACCGTCTCCGCACATACCGACCGTGTATCCGAGCTCCTGCAGCCGGTTGACCAGGTCGTGCTTCTCGTCTGGCGACATGCGCGCGAAGATGGTGCCTTTGATAAGCATGCGCCGCACAAGCTCAATCGGTGCATAATCGGTCATCCAGCGGAACACGTCGCCGGTGACCGCCAGCTCGTAGTCAAGCAGGTCGACTTGCATGGGGTCTCGATCCAGGGGCTTGAGCGTATCAGGATGAAGCTTTATACCCTCGTCATCCGTGCTGGTCCAGTCAAGCACCACATCGTTCGGCTGCTCGGGTGAGCCATGGGCAAAAGTGGGTAGAAACACGGTCGTGGACGGGCCAAGGATCCCGCACTCACGCGCCACACTTACGGCCGTGCGCGGATTGTCGCCCGTGACCATCTTGCATCCAATGTGCGCATGGCGCAGCGTGGAAATCGCCGGCGCCGAGCCCGCCTTGAGTTTGTTCTCAAACACAATCAAGCCAAGGAACTGCAGGTCGCTCTCCGCCTCCGCACGAGTCATGCGCTGTGCCTCGACCCAGCCCAGGCCTGTAAGGCTCTTGCCGGCACAGGCAATGACGCGATAGCCGTGCTGGGTGTAATACGATAGGAGGTCATCAAAGTCGGCTGGCAGCGAGGACCTGTCGCAGATGTCGACCAGTGCTTCGGGCGCACCCTTGACAAAGATCTCCATCGACGACGAGTGCAGCTGCTTGACAATGACACTCATGCGCCGAAGTGCCGAGACAAACTCGAATGTGCGGATGACGCCCAACTCGAGGAAGTGGGGCGCCTCGTCGTATGCCTGCGCTGCATCAAAAGCGGGCCCGCCGGGGGGGCGCACGACCGTCTGCACCAGCGCCGGCGGACGCTCCCTGCCATGTAATGCATGCACTGCGTCCAATCCCTCGCCCTCATCGATGTGCCAGTGCGTGTACTCGAACATCTTCACGTCCAGAGGATCGCCAATGACCTCGCCGTCAACGACCTTGAGGTTGTGGCACGTCGTTAGCGCATGTAGTAGTGGCAGTGGACCCTGCTCCGTCGTAGGAATCTCGTCGACCGTCTGGTGCAGCTCGCTAAATTGGCCGGTCGTAGGGTCCACAGTGCGCGCACCTAGCACATCGAGTCCATCCTCGGTGAGGGTCCCTGTCTTGTCGAAGCACACGACATTCACTTTGCCGCCCATATTCACGCGGGTTGGCGAAATGCAAAAGACGCCCCGCTGGCGCAGCCGCGCAATGGCAAAGGCTGTACCAATACTCATTGTGGCAGGGAGTGCTGGCGGCACCACTACCGTCACCAAATCGAGGACGCGGATGATGAGTGTGCTCCAGGCAATGCCGAGCTGGACGAACTTGACCGTGTTGAAACACAGGCCAACCAGTGCAATGCACCCGAGGAACCCAATGAACCGGAACGAATCGCGGTAGAACTTGAAGCCCATCGGCTTGGGGAACAGCATACCACGCACCAGCGAGCCCTTGGTCGTATTAAACCCAGTGCGGACAACCATAGCCTTGGCGACCGCCTCGTCCGTACCATTCCCACCCAGCACAGGACGGATGCGGACCACCTTGGTTCCCGCAAAGAGAAAGTGCTTGGCTAGATGCGTGGCGAGGTCCGAGTGCGTCGTCTTCAGCGTCTGCACGACCCGGTCGTCCAGCGGCTGCTTGCTGATCGGAACGCTCTCGCCCGTAAGCATACTCTCGTTGACAATGGCATCGCCCGATAGCAGCACACTGTCGGCAGGCAGGACCGAAAGGCCAGCGTCTGAGGCATCATACACGTCGCCAGGCACGAGCTCACTGCTGTCGGCCCATACCCAAGCGCCGTCACGCAGCACACGCACCGCGCACACAAAGCGGTTCATTTCGCGCATGCGCGCAATCGTCTTTTTCGTCTCGACAAGGGTCGACAAGATGCTGCCCACGGACATGGCCGCAATGCAAAACGCATAGTAGAAATAGTCGTCCAAGCTCCATAACACAATGGATACAAGCTGAAACATGTAGAAAGGGTGCAGGACTTCGCCCACAAGCAGCTCAGCTGTTGACTTGCCGGCAATTTCAATCACGTTCGGACCGAAGAACACCTGGCGCTCCCGCTCCAGGTCGCTCATGATGCCTTGGCGCATTGTATGTGTCGAAGTCCACGCTGTGTCGCGCCAGTCCTGGATCGTGCGGAAGCGTCCACTCGGAGGGTGTAGCAGGAAACGCTGGTACCTGTACTCGAATAGGATCAAGTCCACCAGCGTTTCAGCCTCCTGCGCTGCGGGCTCATTGCTGACCTCGCCATGCATCATCGCCTGGGCCTGTGCGTGTGTGCACGGCGGATCGCACGAACTAGGCGGAAACACTGAGCTAAGGGGGCGCGCAAAGGGCACGCTAATGAATGACTCTTGCGATAAATCACCATACTGATTCTCGACCATGACGAACTCGGCGTCGGCAAAATCAGAGGCCTCCCATATGTAGCGCATGCGCCACCGCGGGAACCACAACGAGAGCAGGCCGACCAGCCCCAATGTGAGAACGCAGGCCACGATGAATGCGATATAACGGCCCGGGCGCGTTTTGTAGCCCGACACGCGAATGAGCGTGTCCTCATCGATCAGATAGATCTGCTGCTTGCTCCGACACGTCTTGTCAAGCCACACACTGTACCTGGGCGGCTCCTCTGCCGCCCCAAGGAGACCACGGGGAGTGTCTGCGTTGTCTTCGAGCAGGCTCTCCGTCAGACCCGGGTAATCGCGCAGGTGCACAGGTTTGGGCGGCATGGCCGGATCATCAAATGGAGGCGCCGTGCTCTCCTCTTGTCCGTCGACACGCTCTTCAGGGAAAGGATCAACATCGAAAAAGTTGGGGACAAAGTGGTGCGTCGGCGAGCCACGCGGCACACTACTCCGGCTCGAACGGTCACTCGCATCATCCAGCAGAGCATCTTCCATATCGTCGTCCACCGCGCTCTCATCAAGCAGATCTGAGGCATCCTCGGTCCAGCTATGACGATCATCATCGCCGTTCGACAGCCGCAGTGGCTCGTCTGCCTCGTCGCCGGCCTCGCCTCGAAATCCAGAGAAGAGAGAACCGATCAGCGACGACGAAGCGGGATGTCCATCTTGTCCTGCCTGGTCATGTGGGCGTACCATGGCCCGGGGATATGTGCGCTTCCGATAGCTGATTACGCTGGACGGTGGCGATCGGCCAGACTCGTGGGTATGAGCGCTCGACGGCGACGGGTTGCGCGACGAACGACCATAGGAGTGAACGGAGCTCCCAGGAAGACGGCTCCGAGATGTTCGCGATAGCGATTGTCGCCGCTTGCTGCGCGAGTACGACGGGAAGCTGGGCCGCGCCATGTAATGGTGCATGCTACTGACCGAGCTGGGCACAAACTCTGCTGACGGGCCATCAAAAATCGTGTTGGTATCGTCGTAGCTGCCAACCTGACTGTCTCGGCGCCTGCGCGTGCGCACTGGCGCGTTGTCAACATCGCCCTCTTGAGCTGCCTCGTGCAGATACGCCTCGGCATCGCGCCGCTCATGCTCGTCAAAGAACGACGACGATACAGACGATGATGTCACAGAGACTTGGGCATCGCTGTTTGTCCGCGAAAGCCTGTCCGTGAAAGGCGCTTGGTACTGCTCTTCGGCCAGCTCCATGGGTCGTTCGCGCGACCTCCCCACAGGTGCTCCCATCGTGGCAGCGGTAGGACCGGCGCCGGTAGGCAGGCGCATGCATGCCACGTGCAGATCTACTCCAGAAATTCCCCCACTAGCATTACGAGAAAAAAAAACCGTAGACCTATTACTTGTAACCTAACATAGTCACCGACAACGTCCAGCGACTGTCAACATGCAGACTCTATCATATTACCGGGAAATTTTTACAGTTGCTTCTCGAGCGACTCCAGCTTCGAGCTGAAGACCTCGTTCGAAGGTTGTGCGGCAGCGCCCTTCGTCACAAACTTGTTGGCAAACTCACTGCTCAGGAAGTCGCGCTGCTCGACAGTAAGGTCGTGCTCATTGGCACCGACAAGACCCACGCTGCTCTGGTACACCTGACGGAACTCGTCCGTCTTCTGCTGAGCGTCAAGCTGCGGGTTGTAGGGCAGATGACGCTTAAGCACGAACCGCTCGAAAAGCGACAGGTGGCGAGGGTGGACAGCCACACCGTGGTAGTCTTGCGCGCTGCCAGTCATGACATGCTCCCAGTAGCGCTCTTGCTCACGCAGATCGAGACCAGTAGTGTCGGGCAGGAAGATCAAGGTCACAATCAGACCAGCGAGACCGAACCAGGTGACAATGTAGAACTTGGTCTTGTTCGAGTCAACATAGTTGTAGATGATGGTAGGGGCCAGAGCACCGAGCTTACCGCACGCGGCACCAATACCGTGGCAGGTGGCACGAATCGAAGCGGGGAACACCTCGGCAGCAACCAAGAAGGTGGTCGAGTTGTAACCGAACTGGTTCCAGAACGAAGAGAAGAAGAAGATGAACTGGAAGGCCTTGAGGTTGCCCTGGGACGAAACCAGCGTGTCGTAGGAGAACGCAGCACCACAGAAAAGAGCGAAAGTAGCGGCGAATGAAATCATCTGCATCCACTTACGACCGTAGAACTTGTGGTCCACAAGCAGCGCAGCCATGTAGTAACCAGGAATCTGGACACCAACGTTGATCAGGTTGTACAGCCAGCCAGTGCCGAAAGTACTGTTTGCACCCGTGATCAGCTTGATGAAAACACCCGAGAAAATCTTGTTACCGTAGAAGAAGAAGTCGTTGCAGAACCAACCGACGGTAGTAGCAATCAGGCGGTGCCAGTAGTGGCTCATGGCGAGCTTCAGCGACTTCGCATCGTAACCTGACGTGTTCAGACGGTCCTTGGCGTCACGAAGCGCATCATCGCTGTGGTACGACAGCTTGTAGTAACGGTAATAGGCCAGATACAGCGTCACAGCGGCAATGAAGGCGAACGAGAGACGGAACGAGTACTGCGTCGCAGTAGGCTTGATCGGCGTCCTCAGGGTATTGTTGAAGATCAGCACCAGGAGAATCAGGATCACCTGGTTAAAGAACTGACCCCAACCTTGCATCAAGAAGGCGAGAAGTACGTTGCGGCCACGGTGCATACGGTCGTCGGATGAAGTCGTGTAACGGCTGGCCTGAACCTCCATCGCACGGGTCGAGGTCATAGGGTACTCGCCACCAACACCAAGACCGTAAATGAAGAGGGACCAAGCATAGCAAATCACCCAACCGTTCATCGTGTCACCCCACATGGCCGTAAGCATAACCGAGCCAAGCGTCATAATAAGAGCGTCCTGGACCATACCGAATTTACGGCCGACCCAGTCACCCTCAATACCGACAAGAATCTGACCGGCAATAATACCGACAATCTCAAGGTAATCAATAGCACGCATCCAATCCTTGTTGCAGATCTCGTTCGTCTTCCAGCAGAGATAGAAAGCGCTCGTGTGGTTACCCTTGTTGGGAGCCACAGAGTGGTCGGTGTTCTGGAAGAGGGGCTTCAGGTTACCGACCGAGAACAGCGTGTAACCCTCAACGAACATACCAAGACCATTGATGATGTAACGGTTGTAGTATGCCTTGACGACGCTAAGGGGGTCTCTCTTCATCATGCTCCAGATCAGGCCAAGCTCGCGGCGGGCCTCGGCGTTGCTCTGGTTGTTCACAAAGCTCAAGCGCTCACGCAGAGGCATGTCGGCCCAGTAGACGCCGTTCGCATTGTATGAGTCCGAAGGGTAAAGGATCTCGTGGAAGGCATTCTCGGCCTCAGGCGAGAGACCAGCAGAAGCACCACCGTTCATGGGCTTCTCATCCAGGTAGGCGGCCGACTCGGGAGCGTAGCGGGACGCATCTGTCATGGTGTTCTCGGTAGGGAACGCCTCGGGCTGCTCCTGGGCAGTCGCGGCATCCACGGCCTGAGCCTGATGGAGACCCAGAGGCTCCGAGCTGTGGTTGATGTACTGGTCAGCGAATTCTTGATTGGCAGTCGACATCTCAAAACTTGCTGAGGACGACAGCGACCAGGAAACAAAGCAAAGAGAGCGACCGGTAAGAGAATACCGACCGACGGGGAGGCGCTGCTTTAGTAGGTCGCCGCTAACGCATGCATTTGCTTCCCAACGTAGATTTCAGGGACAGTTGCACTCCGCAAGGGGGAGAAGCGCAGCCAAACGCTGGCGAATATCGTGTCACAACATCTATTCAGGACCTAGTTGGAAGTATATCAGTGCGCACGTTGCAGCTGCGTCCTAGACAAAAAGGATGTGCAATTTTAAGTTGGGACTCCAAGTTTGGCAATTTTGGATTTGAGTCGCATGTGATTTGCCATAGGGTAGCACGTGTGCGAACAAGAAACGTTCACTGGATAAATCGGGTGGTCAAAACATTCTGCGAGACCTCCGCATCAAACTACGTGCATACCATGTGCGCCTCTGTAAAATAAAAATATTTCTGTCCGTGTGCCACGACACGAATTGTCGCGTGCGCGCCTTCATAGGCCCACTCTCATTGGCTCAGTAGGCCGGTGTGTGCGCGTGCTAGCAGCCAAGAAAAAAGACCTAACCGGCTTAGTCTCGGCAGTCGTAACGCTATCGAAGATACACTAAGAATCGAACGGGCGACCCCACCCGCGAGACACGGTGGGTGGAGGTGCCACGGCCGGTCCTTTGTCGACATGCACAGACCGGGGGGGCCCCAGACCGCACGGCGCTATCCGACCCCCGGCCATGCCGGGTACAATGTCGCTTGGTCGCCTTTCTTCCCCGATAAGCTGGCCGTAGCCAGTGCGGCTAATGTGCGTACGATGCGCTGACCCGTAGTATGGTCTCGTTGGCAATGGGCGACTGCATGTGTTTGGAAGTGCACCGGCGCCCGTAAAAATGTACGTGGCGCGTGTCATTCATGCCAGGTATGATACCCAGGATGGGATCTTTGATGTGGCGTGGTCCGAGATGCATGAGAACCAGATTGCGTCTGCGGGCGGCGATGGCAGCATTAAGCTGTGGGACATATCGCTTGATGTGAGTGAAGGACGCTGACCGCAGGACCACCCGATTCGTAACTGGCAGGAGCACAGCCGCGAGATATTCTCGCTGGACTGGAACAATATACAAAAGGAGCTGTTTGCGAGCAGTAGTTGGGATGGCAGTGTGAAAATTGTGCGTGGTCGCCACTAACGCATCAGTGGACGCCTGAACGGCCTTCCTCGATCCAGACCCTTCCTGCGCATCAGGGATGCGTGTACAAATGCGCGTGGTCGCCGCACAGTGCCACTCTGCTGGCCACGGCGTCCGCGGATGGCTCCGCTCGTATCTTTGACCTTCGCGAGGGTGCACGGCCAGTAACCAGTGTACCTGTCGGTGGCGAAGTGCTGGCTCTGGATTGGAACAAATACCGACCAATGACGCTCGCGACAGGCAGCACAGACCGTGCTGTCAAGGTGTGGGAGGCCCGTGGCGGTACCGCAGGGCCCCTGGCTGAGAAGTGCGTGCTGGTCGGGCATCAGTACGCCGTGCGCAATGTCGCCTGGTCCACGTACCAGTCGAATGTGCTAGCGAGTGCCAGCTACGATATGACGGCACGCGTGTGGAATGTGGACGATGCTACGGTGACAGCGCAGTTACCTGTGGTATCTACGCCGCGACAGGTCTATACGGGCCACCGCGAGTTCGTCGTTGGCATTGCATGGTCACTGTTCGAGCCAGGTGTCGTGGCCACCACATCATGGGACAGAGAGACACATGTGTGGCCGGCCATGGTATAGATTAGTTGCTCGAATCAGAAGCGGGCGCACGCGCATGCTCGGCTGCCACCTCAGCCTCAGCGGCTTCGTCAGCTGCGATTTCGTCCGCATACACCTCAGGGTGCTGGCGGAAGCAGTCCTGCATAAGCTTGAACTTGTCCACACAGTCGATGCCCTTCGGGTCCGCCTCGGAAAACACAAAGCAGCTGAAAGCTGCCTTGAACTCTTCGCCGCAGGGGCCATCGGCCATGCCGCCCAGGCACGGGCAGTCCCAGTTGATTTCGCCTGTGCGTTCATCGTACGCCGACTGCGCCTCTTCCTCTGTCGAATCAGTGTCGGCAAGTTCAGACTCATCGTCTTCAGGCTCTTCCTTGGGTGCAGAGGGCCTGTTGATCACGAGCGTGGGACGAGGCCGGAGGCGCTCCTCGAACGAAGGTCGCTCATACGCAGGTTGCAAGTGCACGGCAGGCTGTGCTGTTGCCACCGCCACTGCTGCCACGGCCAGACCAACAGGTAGGACCAAGGAGCGCGAGGAGCGGGCGGTCTGGGTGGCACGTCTAGTAGCTGGGCGTGCAGCCAGCAAGAAGGACGATGTGGCGCGGGAGATCATGATGGGGAGGGGTGGGTGGGTGACAAGAAGGCTGGCGTCATCAAAATCCTCCACTTTTTGGCGAATTCGCCTACACTCGGCTCTGACAAGAGAGAGCACCACGCCGCACCGACGACGTGCTTGCCGCTAGTCTATGCCTCTCTCTGCCAGGGACCCAACAGACTGACAGTCCACTACTGGTCCATAGAATACATCCGGATGCATCTAGAATGGTCCATAGGGTAATGTGTCATGATCTCCATCTATGGGCTATGTAAAGGGAAGCGCGACGACAATGCATGCTTCATTGCAGCATACTCGCGTCCGTATTCTACTCGAATGGCGCGATGCCTGCTCACGGGAACGTACCTACCATGCCTTCGTCCCCCCACCGCACGTGTTAGTAGGCGCCGTGGAGGCGGGGGCTGACTCAGCGAGGTGCGCGGCTCGAGCCCGTCACGCTGCCATCGACCACCATGGTCGAGATCGAGGAAGTGCTTGCGTCGAACCGGCGTATTGCCCAAAAGCTGCCTCCGCACATGGTGGCAGTCTTTGCAGGTGCCACTTCTGGTATCGGCCATGCGACGATGCTTGCACTGGCCAGGTATGCGCATTCGCCGCGTATTTACGTGGTGTGCCGCGACGAGGAAAAGGGCGAAGCCATGGTGACTCTGCTGCAGGAGACCAATCCGAATGGCGAGTACATCCCTGTGATTGCCGATCTGAGCCGCATGAAGGAGGTGGATGTGGCATGCAATCAGATCTGCAATGCCGAAAAGGCCGTCCATCTGCTTGTCCTCTCGCAGGGTACACTCGACATGTCTTCCAAGACACCTGAGGGGCTTCGCACGATCTGGGCGCTTTCGTACTACTCGCGCATGCGCATGATCGAGCGTCTTCTTCCACTGCTGCGCCAGGCCGAGTCGCTGCGCCGCGTTGTGTACATTCTTGCCGGCACCAAGGAAGGCCCCATCAACACCGCCGATCTCGCGCTGACGAAGACGTCGCCATGGAAGGCGCACGGGCATGTGAGCTCGTGTATCACTCTCATGCTTGAGGTGTACCAGGAGCAGGCGCCTGAGGTAAGCTTTGTGCACAGTTTCCCGGGCTACGTACCCACGAACCTGGTACGCACACTGCCGAAGGGCATGGGCGCGGTCAGCCGCATGTTTTCGATCAATGGGCGCAAGGTGCCGCTGGAGGAGTCAGGCGAGCGTCACCTCTTCCTCGGTACGTCCTCCCGCTACGCACCCGTGACGCTGGACGGTGTACCGCTGGGCCGTGGCGTGCCTGTTTCGGCAGCGCTGCGTGTGGCGATCAGCTCGCATGGCCGGGTCGGTGGCGGCGTATATACGGTGGACTCGTTCGGCCTTGTTGGTGGCTCGTCCGTGCAGGCTATCCTTGCAGAAGCGCGCGAGCAGGGCCTGCCCGCGATGGTATGGGAGGTGTTGCGAGAGGACCTGGAGCGCACCTGTAAGCTGCCTGATCCGCTGCCAGAGCCGCCGGAGCCTGTGCCGCAGCCGCAGCCCGAAGCGATGCCGGCCGACGCTCAGATCCAGGTGCCGCAGCTGACGGCGCGGGGCGTGTACCCTCTTGTGGCGCCAGTGCAGCCGACGTACCCCACGATCGAGCCGGTGCCGCAACCTGCGCCGGAGGCACTCCCTGCTGATGCCCAGCTGCAAGTGCCGCAACTCACGTCGCGGGGAATTTACCCGCTTGTGGCACCTGTACAGCCGACCTTCCCTACACGCCAGGCGGTGCCGCAACCTGCGCCGGAAGTGCTTCCCGCCGATGCCCAGCTGCAGGTGCCCCAACTCACAGCGCAGGGCGTGTACCCAATTGTGGCGCCCGTGCGGCCGACTCGTGAGCCGATTGAAACGCCCGCACCAGAACCGGAGCCGGAGCCCGAAGAGAACCAAGCTGTGCCTGCGCCGCGTTCATCCAAGTTCTTTAGTCGGATTCCAATGCCATGGCGACATCAATCTACAAACGTGGCGGACGCAAATGTGGATGATCACGCCACCGAGCCTGGTTCGCCCCTAGCGGCAGGCGGCCAGCCCCGTCTGAGCACGGTGCCTGCATCGCCCGCTCCCTCGCTTCATCCGACGCCGTCACGCACGTCGATGACCTCTACTGGGACCGAACGTCGAACATCCCATGTGCCTCGCTGGGGTCTGTTCCGTGCAAAGAAGTCATCCAATCTCGCCAATGAAACGGGAGAGCCAGCCCCCGCCGCTGTGCCGGCGGAGCTTGCGCCGACCTCGAATGCACAGCCGCTGCAGCCAGAGGACCCCGTGGCTCGCGGGTCTGCGAGCGGCGCGCAAGCTGAGACCCAAGCGAGCGTGCAAAGGGAGGCTCAAGCGCAGGCCGAAGCCAACGCTCGTGTCCGGGCGCAGGCGCAGGTCGAGGCCGAAGCTCGAGCCCGTGCCGAAGCGCAAGCTCGTGCACAGGCCGCACAGTACGAAGCCCAAGCTCGTACCCAAGCCCAGGCTGAGGCCGAGTCCCGAGCTCGTGCGCAAGCGCAGGCGCAGGCACAGGCCCAAGCCGAGGCTGAGGCACGAGCGCGTGCGCAAGCACAGGCCCAAGCAGAGGCCGAGGCCCGAGCGCGTGCACAAGCGCAAGCGCAGGCCCAAGCAGAGGCCGAAGCCCGAGCTCGTGCACAAGCGCAAATGCAGGCCCAAGCGGAGGCCGAAGCCCGAGCTCGTGCGCAAGCGCAAGTGCAGGCCCACACACATGCCGAGCCGGCCCAGTGGGCCTCCGCAGACGCCGGCCGTGCGCCCATGTCTGCTACGTCTGACTCGGCTCCGGTCTTGCCGCCCAAAGACGAGGGCGACCTTGATCCGGATGTGGATATGATCCCCTTCTACCTTGCGCCGCCAGCACAGCTTGCCTGAGAGCGATTCCTATGTGCATGGCGCTGTATAGATCGAGAGCTTCTCGACATGCCACATTCTCTAGCTATAGAGCGACCGCTCCCTCCTGGCGATGCGCGTCATCGAACGGGTCGTCTTCGTCCTGGAGCACATGCGTGGTGGGGGGCTCGTACGACTGCAGCGCAATTGACTCGCGCGGCGCCTCTGGAGCTGCGGTGTGCTCTTGTGTCGGTACCGCTGCGTGGCGCACAGGCTCGTATGCCCAGGTAGGTGCTTCCTCCGATACGGGTGCACCCGCTAGGCCGTAGCGCCCGCCGTAGCCGACATATGTGTCAATTAGCACATTCATCCAAAGGAAGAGCAGGAACGCAGCGGACAGGTCAATCATTGCCCACGTCGCAAAGTCGACGCCGCGGCTGTCGGCCCAGCGCATCTCCTCGTCCGTCGCACTCATAAAGAGGATGCCGCCTGCCACAAGCAGGAACGGGGGCAGGTACTGGAAAAGGTGCGTCGGGAACCATGCGCCGCGATCCGTCTCGCCGCTCGAGCCGCTTGGCTGGTCGCGCAGCACGAAGCAGATCTCGACGACACGGCACACGCCACCAGCCATGAGCGCATACCCAAACATAGCGTGGATGTGCGTGGAGATCGCGAGCGCCTGGGTGTGCGCGCTCATCGCCCATCCCGTGAGGAAGATGATCGTGGCAGGCACCACGGAGCGGCGGCCGTGCCGGCTCAGCCATACGCCTAGCGCACCGCCCGTCCACCATAGCACACCCATAAGCGTGTGCTGCAGATCCTTGTGCGTCCACGGCCCACCATGGTGTTCGGTAAACGTGTTCACAATACCCCACAGCAGAATCACCCATGAGTCAAGGTACTCCTGCGCCCAGCCGCGTCGGCGGAGCCACTCGACGGCACACTTCATCATGATCAGTAGAATCACAGAGTAGGCAGCAAAGGCGGAGCCCATAATGTAGTGCGCGAGGCACTGCCCGAGGTGCCCGCCATTGCACCACGACTGCAGCGTCGCGATACCAAATACCATCTGCGTCCACCCGAGCACAGGGAAAGCGCGACCCAGCACGCCGTGCACGCCCAGCACGATCGGACGCACCGTGCGCTCGCGCGACCATGTGAGGTGTAGCTTCAGGTACACACCACACGCGAGCTGCGTCAGCAACGCCACGAACAGCAGCGACGAAAATGTGCCGTGCACCGTGTGGCGGAACTGGCGGCCACCGTGGTGCTGCCCAAACAGGTACGCAAACAGCGAAATACCGACGGCCGCCGCTGACAGCGGCGCATGCAGCTTGTGCCGCACGAGGCCCAGCACCATCGCGAGCGGAAACAGCACGGCCCACGCTGTGGCCTCGAGGCCTATATGCAGCCACAGACGCGCATCCACCGGCGCTTGCGCTACCTCAGGCGACGGGACATGCGCGTGGTCACCATGAGCCCGCACAAGACCCGCGCATACCACTGCGGAGAGGCACGCCGCGAGAGGCGCAGCGAGCGGTCGTTGCAGCATGGCCGATGTTGGTGGAGGTTCACGGGGTGTCCTATGTGGCACGATATGACAAGGTAACGACGGGCGGTCCCATGCTATGGATCCCAGCAGGCACCGCGGGTGACAGCAGCTGCGTTGACGAAGATTGGTACACGCCACCCTTCGCAGCGTGATTCGAGCGCCGCGAGATGAGCCAGCTCGGCATCCACCCCCGCTGGGCGCGCGGCCCCTCTGCAATGCAGTACGACCAAAAATTGTACCGCTTGAATACACGCACTTGCTCATGCGCGGCGATACGAAAAGCATGTTCCTTGGATACAAAGTCCGTCAGCGCAACGGCCGTCGTGCCTTGGCTCACAACTGCGTCGACGGGGATCGGCGCCTCAATCATGTGCGCGAGCCACGCCGGCTCAGGGAGGGTGAGCGGCGCCTCTACCATCTGCGCGAGCGGGCGCTTGATCTCGAGCATGCACCCCGCCGGCACCCAGCCCGTCCAAATCTCGGCCACTGCATGGCTCGAGGCAAGATACACGTCTCCCCGGCCATCCGCCGCCGAATCGCGGCGTAGCGCCCACCAGCCCTTGGCCTTGGAGAGCACAATGAACGTGTCACCCGCCCGCACATCAAACTCGTCCTCACGGTCCGACTCGTAGGGGTATATCGCCACCGCGTACGACAAAGGCTCCGCGGGTAGCGTGGCAGCCGGGCCCTGCATACGCGTTTTGGGCGTCAGCGCGTCAGGACGTAGCCTCTCGAAGGCGTGCATGGTCAACAGGCCCGCCACCTCCTCCTTGACGGTCCGCGCAGCGCGACAGTGGAGGGCGTCATGCTTATGGGGGCTGTTGGGTGGCTCGCCGTGCCATTTGCCGGTGATCTTGCGCTGCGCAATCGTCCAGGGCGACTCGATCTCCGACGCGGGGCGCAGCTGCAGGGTCGTATCTGGCATAGTCTCACGCATGCGATAGAGGACCACGAGGGGGCATTCGTCGTAGGAAATACACCGTTCCGTGGGGCCGTACGTGGCAAACAGCACATAGTCGCGCCAGTCTTCCTGCACATGGTACAGCTGGAATACAGCTGGCAGAAGCACAAAGCATGGGTCTTCCGACGACACAGGTAGATCGGCCAGGCCCCTAGTGCTCCGCGCCGCGATGCCGCGGCGCTGGAGGAGCGCCACCAGAGCATCACACAGGGGCACCAAATGCTCCGCATTCGCCGTGGGCGCGCGCGCGGTGTGCGGCGACTCGGTTGGCACCCATGCTGCTGACCGATCCGGGTGGAACCAGCCCTCCTCCGTGATGGGCGGTGCAGCAGGGCGAATCTGGCTGTTCCCGCCGTGGTCGAACGGCGCGTGCACAGCGTCTGTGTGCCCTGTCGCGCGCGCAAGCGCGACCATGTCCTCGTGCAGGTGCATCATCGTAGCGCTGAGACGCGCCACGCGGGCCTCGAGCCACTGGATGCGCTGGTCCCGCGAATAGAGCCCCTGCGACACCGAGTCAGTGTCCATCGAGTCGTGCCCTGTGGTCAGCGGCATCCACATACCAATGGGCACCCAGTCCTCCTTCTCAATCGGGATCCCATATCTCTGCTTCAGGTGAAACAGCTCGGTGAACAGCGTGAGACGGTGGCCTAGCGGCGCGACGCCCAGGTCCCGCAAACTCGCGTCGTCCATGACCAAGAGCGCCTCGCCATCAATATCGTTCTCGACAAAACTGGGCAAATACTGCTCCAGACCCAGCTTCCGGAGCCACTCACCCACGTCCGCCGTGGTCCACTGGCGAACGTCCCCCATCGGCGCTGCCATTATACGGGGCCGTCGTGGTGCGATAGGAGCACGTGGTCGACCCCCGCTCGACACTGCGCGGCTCCTCGTCAGCGGCCGCACCCTGCGTAAGAGAGGCCCTAATAGGCCAACGTAACATGTCACAAAATATGCGCGCCTGGGCACAGCCGCGAAGGTAGGGCACGTCAAGTGTCGTTGTCTGCTCATGCCCCAGGACGCGGCCGCCGTCGCCGCCGACTCGCCCGGCAGCGGCGGGGACGCCGCAGGTCAAGCGTCAGCACAGCGCAATACAGGTATGGCATCAGCGCGCCTCCATGCGATTGCCAAGCTTCGCCGCGCCGCCTCGCAGCGCGAAGTGCGACACGCCACACCGCGCGCCGTTCCGCCGGCGGAGCCCGCGGCCACCGCCAACGAGGATACGAAGCCGCCGGCGGACGAGTCGCCCGCGACGGATGGGCCCACTGAAGCGCCGCCTGCAGCACTCCTGCCGTCGCCGCTCCCCTCGCTCGAGCAGCTGCGGCAGCGCCTCTTGCGCGAGCGCAAACCCACAGGCCTCTCACGCTCGGCCAGTGCTAGTGCAACGAGCCAGGTCGCACGCGCCTATACTATGCAAAAGCTCCTTGGTTCCGCGACGCCATTGCCATACCACGACATGTTCGCCTTTGTGCGCGGCGTGAACCAGGCGAGTGCCGCCAGCGATACACCGCCCACCCCGCCCCGCAACGAGTCGATGGCAGCCGAGGCGAGTCCGCAGCGGGCGACGCTTCTGCGTAGTCTCTCTGCTCGCGATGGCGCGCGGATCCGCCGGATCCGCCGGATTGGCCGTCAAGATACTGCCTCCGATACCCCGCCCACCGCCTCGCCAAGTGCGACGCCGCCACGCGCGCCCGTCTCTGCGTCTGCCTTTTCCGACGACAGCAGCTCGACCAATGCGCGCGAGTCGACGGGCTCCTCTGGCTGGCGCGTGAGTCTGTACAACTACGACTCCAGCATGTCGAGCCGCCAGGCCTCGGTCGGCACAACTGCGCCCGTCGGCCAGGGCACCGCACCGCGCGCAGTCGACTCGCTCACGGGTGCCGGCACGCCCAGCACGGCCTCGCATCGAGACGCGACGCGCTCGTCGCTGGAGCCGCATGTTTCTCCGCCTGGCGGCCTGGCGCCTGTCTCAGCCGCGCCTGAGGACGTGCGGCGGTCTCCACCACGCGCAGCGCCTGTGCTGCGTGAGGCGCATACGGCCATGGACTGGCGCACGACGGAGCGTGGGTCGCTCAAATCGCCGGCGCTGTACCGGCAGAGCCCCCCGCACACACGCACACGCACTCCTGGCCGATCGCCAGACACGTCGCTGGACGACGCGTCATCTGGATCCCCCCACACGATGCCGCACGAAAAGCCCTTACCGCGCCTGCCACCGGTGCCCACCACGCGTGCGCGTCGCGACTCCGTGTCCGGCGACACGCTCCCTCTTGCCCCTCGCCCGAACGCTACGCCGACGCTCCCTCTCCCCGATGTGCTCGCGCCGATGCTCGCACGCTCGGCGTCCGTGGGCACGGGGCGGCGCACGCCGCGCGAGGACGACGATGAGCGCAAAGAAGCACGGGTGGTACGTCTGTGGGGCTCGCTGCGCCGCAAGACGTCGATGCGCGCGCTTCGGCGGCCCAGCGGCCACGTCCCCCCCGCGGCCAGCTCTGCGTCGAGTGGCGACTCGGCATGGGCGACTGTGGCGCTCCTCGCGGAGGCGGACGTGCCCCTGCATGAGCCGGTCGTGACGCTTCCGGTGACGCCAGCGATGCTGATGCAATGGAATCAGACGCTGGAGCGGCCTGTGCGCCATCTGCTCTCGTACCTGCCCGCCGAGGTGCCATGCGACATTGCGCTCGATCCGCCGCGGCGCCTAGTATGTGTGCTGCCCCTGCTACAGGCGGCGGGCGAAGAGTTTGTCAAGTTGCGGTACGCGTTCGTGTTCCAGGACGTGCTCGTGCTGGCCAAACCTCCCCTGCTCGTGCAAGGCGACGAGTCCATTCCGGACATGATGCTGCGCAAGCTGAGCCAGACACCTGCACTGAACGAGCCCTGTGTGCCGTTTGCCGTACTGGACCTCGCCCAGGTGCAGATGCAGCGGCACGGCGAACTGAGCGACAGTGAGCTAAGTGCGCTCATCGCGCCCCGCCTCGCAGCTCTGCATGCGCGCCTTGATGTGACGCTTGCTGCGCTCGTGCGTGAGACGGGCCTGCTGCGCGACGAGTCAGATGCGGCTGCGTATGCCGCGGCACAGGCGCGCCTGCTCTATGTGTGTGAGCCACTCGACCGCACGGTGTTATGGCGCTATGTGCAGGAGCATCCGCACATGCTCGCCCCCTTTGTGGCGCAGTACCGCGTGCGCGGCGTGCCGCTGGATGTGGCACTGCGGCATGTCCTCCTTGACTTGCCGCACCCTGAGAGCGCTGCATCGATGGAGGCGCTGCTCCTCGCATTTGCTAGCCACTGGCATGCGAGCAATGCGGCGGAGTGGCCCGCGCATACGCTCGAATCGGTAACGGACCTGACGTGGGCGATCGTGGCGCTGAACGATGCGCTGCACCGGCCAGCCGGCCTCTGGGCAGCGTACGATCCTAGTCTCTCGCTCGGTGACTTTACAGTGGGCTTCCGCACGCACGGCGTCTCGCACGCGGTATCGGACCGCGAGCTCGGCGAGATCTATCTCTCCGTGCGCACGTCGCCGATTGTATCGGGCGGCGCTGGCGCGGACATGCGCACGATCTCTATCGACGCCCACGCATGGCACGCGCTGAGCGCGTTGGGCGTGTCCAGCGCGCCGATACGTGTGCGCATCGACGCACCCGACCCCGACTTGCAGGTGCGTCTCGTCGGCCCGGGTCTGCTCGCCGATCCTCCTGTTCTTTCGTTTGCGCACTCGGCGCACGCCCAGTTCACGCTGTGTGCGGCAACACCTGGTCCCCACGACCTCATATTTGTGCGGATGGGGCGCCATGCGCGTTTCTACGGAGGCCACGCACCGGCGCCTGGCATGGCAGCGCTGCCCCGCTCGGTGCAGGTGCGCGCCGGTCGCGACGCGCCTACCACCCGCGCGACGCTCTCGCTCGTGCCGACCGTGCCGGGCACCACGCATACGTTTTACTTGACCGATGCACCGTCTGCGCAGCGCGTTACGGCGCTCCTCCATTCGACCATCGAGGCAGCCCGCGCCCACGCACAGCGCTTTGGTCCAGCCGAGTGGGATGTGCGCGCGCTGTGCCGCCGCGTCCTGGAAGCGTCGCTTCTGCCGCCTGATGACGCGAGCCGCGCGCGCCGCCCACCGCCGCCCGCCACGGGCTATGCGCTCGTGCAGACAACGCGTGACAACAGCCTGCTCATGCATGTGCTCCGGCCGGCGGCATAGGTGCATCCGCACGCTCAAACACGCCGACAGCCGGCGCGGGCAGCTCGCGCAGGACGCGGCGCGCAACCCAAAAGCGCATAGCGGCCGTGGCGCTCTCGCGCTCGAGGCCGAGCGCCGCCGCGACATTGTCAGCGGTGATCTCTGCCTCGCCGAGTCCCGCCACGAGCTCGGCCACGGCGGCCTGGAGCGGCGTCACACGCGCCTCGATGCGCCGCCCATCGTCCATGTCAATAGCCACATCGACTGTGCCGATATGCGGTAGCCAACGCACGCGCTTGGTAGGGTGGATATGCGCATAAAACGCAGCGCACGCCTCGAGCGCTTCGGCGAGGCGTCGCGGTAGGGTATAGGTGCGCGTATCGATCGCGGGCCAAAACTGTCGCGACACAATGAGGGGGTGCACGGCCTGAGCATCTGGCCCCGCCTGTGCATCGCGGTGAAAGCGCTCATCCAGCGCATGGGATGCCGCCACATCCGCCAGCATCACATCGCACGGGTGCAGGCTGCTCGCACCGAGCCGCCGCTTGAAGATGGCATTGTTGCGCTGCACTCGCCGCGTGTCATAGTCGATCGTCTGCACGAGCTGCTGCGCCGTGTGCCGCTCGAGCGCCTGCAGGAACCCGTCGCGGTCGTCAAAGATCGAAACGAGCAGTCCAATCACATCGCGCGAGCGCATCTGGCTGTACGCCGGCCCCGCGTCCACCGGGCGCGGGGCCCACGTCGGGTCCGCCCAGTACTCGGGCCGCGTGTACTGCTCGTCGGTCGCCTCGGCGTCCGCGTCCGGCGCGTGCCCGTCGTCTGCATCGCCCAGCGCGCCCTGCTCCAGCTCAGTGCGCAGCAGCTGGAACGCAGGGTCATCGCCGAGCAGCGCATGTACTACCGCTTCGATCGTGTCCTTGCGTGTGCGCAGGTAGCTCTGCACGGGCGGCAGCACTTGGGAAAGCACGACACCAGTAGAGTCGACGAGCCGAAGCGCGTACACGATGTTCACGTAGTACACCAGAATCGCATGCGTATCGACGCCCGGGTGCAGCAGGCACACATGCAGGGCCTGCGCCAGCGCCCGCACGAGCTCGGCCCGCTCGCCCGTCTGCTCTAGCCACACGACCACATCCTCCATCGCGGCCTGGCTGCGTGGGTATTCGCGCACGAGCTCGTACACCTGCTGGAGACGCTGCGTGCCAATCGCATGGGCGAGCGAGTAGTCGAGGCGCAAATACAGCGACGCATGCTCGGCAGGCGCGAGGCCCTCGTCCGGCGCGTACGACACGCTCACGTCCCACACGTCCGCGGCACCGCTCGCAGCACCCGTGCCCAGCACGGCGTGCGCAGGGCGCGCCTCGAGCACCTCGGTGAGCGCCGGCATGAGCTCATCCCGCAAGAGCGCCTGCAGCGCGGGGTACGCCGCCACCGTATGCGCACCTTGCCTCGTCGCGCGCGCGGCCGCCTCATGCAACACGTCCGTGGCTGCCTGCATCAGGGCGCTCTGTACGAGCGCATCCAGACCAAGTGCCCGCAGCTGCGCAACGACATGGACCGCACTCGCCTCGCGCGGGCCTAGCAGGGGTGCGACACTGGCCGGGGCGGCCCGTGGCGCCGCGCGCCCCTGCAGCACGCCAGCCAGGTACGTGCGCACCGCGTCCATCGCCCCAGGCCGCAGCGCCGCAGCTAGGAGCATGCGGCACTGCCCGAGGAATGCCGTCGCGTCGGTGCCAGGCGTACAAAGCTCCGTCCACAGCGCATGGCGCGTGCATACCCACTCGAAGCACGCGTGAATCGCGGAGGGCAGTCTTTCAGGCGCGCTGGGCCCCGCGAGCGGCGCCATAGCCTCGCAACACAGCGCATAGTATGCGTCTGCACTCGCATCGAGGAACCACGCCGCGACATCTATGCCACAGGCATGCAAAGCATGCAGGGCCTCCTGGGGAGCCGCTGCGTAAGCGTGCGCCACGTACCAGCCAGTCGCGCATCCGCCGCCCATGGCTCGCGCACATTGTACGCGCGCGTCACCACATCCCACGGCGCCTCGTGCGTGGACGCGTGCACCTTGCACGCGTCCAGCGCCGCGTCCCACGCAGCGTCCATCCTGGTCGTCGCGTCGGACGTGCGGTCTGACTAAGCATGGGCGACCGCGCCACGCGCCGCGCCTCGTACCTTACGCGCTGCACCGGCGATGGCGCTCCAGCACCCGATGTACGCCCGCACCATCCTTGCGTGGGTGCTGTGGTGTGCCTTGGGAGCCCTCACATTCATTTCGCTTACGCACGTCGTCCGCTCACGCCCCAAGTTCCTGCATCTGGGCGCGCTGCTTGCGGCAGGCCTCGGCACCGCGTCCATGTGCGTGCCCAATGTAGACAAGGATTGGATGTACCTGGCGCGCACGCTCTTCCATATCAGCTACATTGTGTGCGCAGCACTGCTACAGCGGCTGATCATGCACTGGTTTTTCATCCTCCAGCACCATGCTTCGCAGGAGATTTTGCTCGCGTCGCTGTACTTCAAGTTCATCAAGTGGAACTGGCTCGTTCTGCTGGGCCTCGCCGCTGCTGCCTTGATCGACTCGACGCGCATCAGTGTCCCCGCAATCCTGATGCTCGAGTTTATCGTGAGCACAGCCTGGCTCGACGGCAGTGTCTTTATGCGCCGCGCCGCGCCGAGCCTGCCCACACGCAGCACGCCGTCCGTGCGCTACACGTCCGCTGACTCAAGACAGCTCCACGAACCGAGCTTGTTTCACATGCGCTGGGACTCCCAATCGCTCCGTGTGCCGTACGACGGCTCGCGGATCCTCTTCAGCAAAATGACGCAGTCCCTGGTCGTCGCATCGGTGATGCTATGCGCCTCGTCGGCCGCGCACCTCCTCTTCTACGTGATCTGCTCGCGCTATACCAAACTATGTGACTTGGACTTTGAGTACATCGGATTCTTTTTCTGCTACTCTATCGGCCTGCTCCCCTTCTGCCTGATGCTCGTCGCACCAGGCTTCCTCTCGCGCTTCGACACCTCCAAGCTCCCGGCGTAGCCTGCGTGGCAAGTATTACGTAAGTTTTCAGTCTCGGCCCCGCGCGGCCACCTGGCTCTTGCCATGAAGGTGCTTGTCACCGGGGCCACCGGTCTGCTGGGCCGCGCGGTGATGCGCGCGTGCGTCGAGGCAGGTCACGAGGGTTCGTCGTCCAACTCACACCAGTCACGGGCACCGCCTATTCGCGAGCGAGTCCGCCGCTGCTCCGCGTTGACCTGACCGACGAGGCGGCCGTTCAGTCCCTTGTCGAGAACGTGCACCCTGACGTGGTGCTCCATCTGGCCGCTGAGCGCCACCCTGACCGCGTCGAGCAGAACCCGGACGCGGCACAGGCACTCAACGTCGAGGCGCCAGCGTGGCTCGCGCGCGCCTGCGCTGCGCAGACGCCGCCGGCCTACCTGGTTCATGTGTCCACGGACTATGTGTTTGATGGGCGCGCGCCGCCCTACACAACGTCATCGGAGCCAAACCCACTCAACTCGTATGGACGGAGCAAGCGCATGGCCGAGCTGGCCGTGCAAGAGCATGCGCGCCCAGGGTATGCAACATGTGTGCGGGTCCCTATCTTGTATGGCGAATGCGACTCACCGGCCGAGTCGGCCGTCAACGTGCTCCTCGATGCCATCCAGGACCAGGGGCAGCGTGTCACTATGGATGCGCATGGCGTGCGCTACCCTACCTACGTCGGTGATGTGGCGCGTGTTCTACTGGACTTGGCCTCGATGGCCGTTGTGCGCGGCGAGTCCATGCCACCTACGCTGCACTATGCAGCGCGCGAGGCCATGACCAAGTACGATATGTGCCTGGTCCTCTCGCGCCTTTGGAACCAGGTCTGCGATGCGCCCGTCTCGTCCACCGCACATCTCGATCCGCAATTCGAGGCGGATCCCCATGCGGCCACACTGCGCCCGGGCCACTGCAAGTTGGACGTGTCAGAGACGGAGATGCTGGGGATCGACGTCTCGCATGTTGCTTTTGACGAGTGGTGGCGTGCGTACCTGGCGCTTCTCGGGCCACCTGCTACCACGCTGGCGGAGCGTGCCGCAGATGCGGCTCCGGCTGAGGCCGAGAAAAGTACGGAGACCGAAGCAGGGGCAGCGATGGAAGACCAGACCCAAGGTGAGGCAGTCCACGAGCCCGTACCGGCCCCATCTTCGTTGGAGCCGGCCCAGGAGCCACCTTGCGAGCCCGCGCCGACGGATCCGGCACCGCCGGCGCCGTCCTCCCCAGTCGACGATGAACGCTACGGCACACCGACGCCCCCCGAGTCCGGCGCCGTGCCACCAGCGCCCGCCGTCTCCTTTTCTGTGCGTGTGGACGATCCACAGCGAGTGGGCGACCCAGTTACGGGGCACGTCGTATATGCCGTGCGCGTCTCCACGAATGCGCCCTGGTTCTCGCGACCCGAACTCTCCGTGTTGCGGCGCTACAGTGACTTTCGCTGGCTCCACGCGGCGCTCGTTAGCAACTGCCCAGGCGCCATTGTGCCGCCGATCCCTGAAAAGGTCAAGATTGGGCGCTTTGCACCGGATGTGGTCGCGTTCCGACGCTGTGCGCTGCAGCGTGCGCTGCAGCAGATGCTCGAGCATCCGCGACTCCAAAAGGACGAGGATCTCAAACTCTTTCTCGAAAGTCCTCGACTTGCCGCTGATATCCATGCGCGCGATACTGTCAAGGGCCCTGTCATTACGCCTGACCACAAAGCGCTATTTGGCTGGCGCCAAGCGCTGCAGCAGCCCCGCTTCCACGATCCCGACGACTGGTTCTCCCACCAGTTGGACTACCTGACCCAGTTCGAGACGCGTATGAAAGAGATCGTGGCGGCTGTCTCGACGCTTGCTCAGCAGCGAAAGGCACTTGCGGCTGCACAGGAGCAGCTGTACGAGTCACTGGTCGGTATATCTAGCAGTGGGCTTTCACGCAGTGTGTCGACGTGCTTTGCGGCGCTCGCCGAGACGAAAAAGCGCGCTTCTGAGGGATCGGCGCGTCTCGCGCACCACGAGGCTCACGTCCTGGGACTCGTGCTGTACGAGCACGAGCGCCTGGTGGGTAGTGTGCGCAAGTCCTTTGCGGCACGCGAAGATGTATGGCAGGCCTGGCAGAAAGCCGAGGACGAACTGCACAAGCTGCGCGCGCGGCAGGCCAAGCGGCCGACGCAGCACGTCGACACGCACATGCAGGCCCTCACGCAGGCGGAGCTTGCAAGTGTCGCGCTGCGTACGCGCTTCGAAGAGGTATCGCGGCTTTGCAAGAGCGAGATGCAGCGTTTTGACCAGCACAAAGTCGTTGAGATTCGTGCTGCATTCGAGGCGTATGTGCGTCACTTTCACTCGCTGCAGGCCGAGGCCAACGAAGGATGGTCCCACTGCGAACGCGTAGTCCTGCGCCAAGCCACACGGAAACACGGAGGTACGTATGCGCCACAGGACGTCCAAAGGATTATCGCTCCGGCGAATGCACATATGTTAGACTGCCGATCTGCATGACGGACAATTCTCGTATGATGGACGTCCTGCGCACCCGAACATGCTGACGTCAGGCCCTTCCCCGTCGTAGGTAGCTCCTGTACCATAGCCATGTAACTATACATCTACGGGGCGGATCGCCACGAGCGTGTCGTTGACAAAGCGGCACAAAATATCATTGCGTAGCGACGTCTCGACCAGCACATCTTCCACACTGGCCACCGCCTCCATGATGCGGACGGCGGCATGCGCACTGCGTGCCTCAAAGTCCGGCGACACCTCCGTCTGGGTCTGCGCATCGTCAGCGAGCGCCGCCATCGGAAAGCCGAACTGCTCATCGCGCTCCGCCGGCGTCCGGGCGGCCGGCACAGCACCACCATACGTGTATGCTGGGCACCCGAATCCCTCGCGTTGCAGGATCGCTTGGGACGCGCGCGTCATGTAGCGCAGCACAAGCAGCGACAAAAACGCCACACCACAGGGCGAGGGCGGCTGGCCTGCCACAAGCGTCGGCACTGAGGGCGTGCGCTCCACGTCAAACGCCAGGACGCCCGGGTGGTCCTGCGTGCCGCTCGCTTTCGACGCACTCGGGGCACGTGGCACGCCCGGCTCCTCGGCCATCGGAAGATGCGTTAGGACGTGCTGTAGCAGCTGCGCGCGCTGGATCGCCTCATCGCCAGACAGCGCCACAAAGGTACAGCCCAGGCATCGACACACGCCCTCGTTCGACAGCGACACATGCGTCTCCAGATGCTCGCGCACAGCAGCCCAGCTTGGCGCCTGGGGACTCGGGCACCCCAGCCATGGGCACACCGGGCCGGGCGTGGCACGGATCCGCGGGACAATGCCGCGAATCACAAAGCGCGGCTGTGCACCAGGCGCCCCTGGGATCACCATCGCTGCAGCCCCGGGGAACGCTTGTGAGACATTGCGGATCAGGTTGGCGGCCGGTTGCAGCGGCGCCCCTCCCCGGTTCGCCGTGGGCGTGAATTGGTCGCGGTACGTGATCCAGAACTCCATCTGCGTGACCTCGCCCTGCGGGTCATACTCAAACAGTGTCTTCATCCACTCCATCCCACGCTCGGGCTCACCAAGACGCTCCAGGCGTGCCTGCACGTCGGGTGGGAGCTGCTTGTAGCGCGCGCGCTCAGCCGGCGTCATTTTCTCACGTCGCTCCAGCTCGCGCCGCTGCCGCGTGCGCGTCACACTGGGGACATGGGGCGCCCACCAGGCGCCCTGGTTCACGGTCAAGTCCGTATCGCGCTCCCACACCGACTTGCCCAGCGCAAGGTTCCGCGCGAGGAAGCCAACAATGGCATGCGTGGGAGATGCCTCGTGGCCGCTCGGGTCGTACGCACGCTTGTCTAGGCTCGTAAGCACACCCAGCAGCAACGCATTGTCCCCCACCATGACCAATTGGTATAGCAGATCCAATGCGGCCTCGAGTAGCTCTGGATCCTGGGTCAGTGGCAGCAGGGCGAGGCACCGCGTCATCAGGTGCAGGTGTGTCGGCTGCAGGCTCGAGTCAACCTCTGCCAGCACAGGTGCATTGGCCGTGTTGGATGCAAATGCACGCAGGCACCGCAGCGACCCAAGAAGCAGCGCACGGTCCTGCGAGTGATGCGCCATGTCGTACAGCCGCGCAAAGATTTCGTCCTCCACAAACCGTGCAGCCTCTTGGGTATGGTGCAGCACGAACCGCTGGCGTGCCCAGTCACTGAGGACGAGATGGGGGGCAAGGCACTCGAGCACCTCAAGCATGTTCACGCGCAGGTCATGGCATTCATGCACGTCTTCTAAGGCGAGTCCTTGGTGAATGACATCGAGAACCATCGGCACCTGTGCCAGACTTGCCACATTCGCACTTGAGAGGGACAAATTGCGCAGGATCAGTGTCGCTTCTGCGGCACGCCGCAACAGTGCTGCGTCGCGCGCGTACACGGCGGGTTGGAAGGGCGCGTCGGTCGGGATAGGCGGTGTAGCCTTGCGACGTGCCAAGGCAACGCTGGTCGCCGCAATACCCGCATATTCATCGTCCAGACCATAGCCTTGGTCCACAAGCATGCCATTCACATGGATATCCGCTTGCATCAGGTCCCATCGTCTGCGCGGGAGGCCATGCGCCGCAAAGCACAGGCGCCTCACAAACTCTGCGAGTGCATCGCACAAGCCCGGATACTCGGCCACGAGAAATTTGTCTGCCATCTGAAACGTGTACGAGGCCAAGTTACGAAGAGCCCAGTCTACCTGAGACGCAATCCCAGATCGAAGCGATAGAAAGAGGCGGTTCGTCGAGCCGGGCACCAAGAAGGGGTCTTGTCTCAGCCCACTTGACGTACCTTGTGTCTGCACTGCCGTCACCGTGACGTCTTGCCTCATAGGTGAGACACCAACGACACGCGCACCAAGCGCATGTGCTCGCGCAGCTTCGTACGCTGCAGCCATGCCAGGCGGGCAGTGGTCGCGGACCTGAGCCACGATGGCAGCGCGGCGCGTGCCGTACACGATGCCACGTGGCACTTGCATGAGAAGGGATATGACTACGCGTGGGGCAGGCCGACTCGGTGGACCGGCACGCTATGTGTGCGGCGATGTAGCACGCTTTTCAGTTCACTAACCACAGCCAGTGGTTGTACATCTTCCCCACCTGCTCGGCGAACTTCTCTCTCTTGTTTTTTGCGAGCGATGCGTTCGGCGCGTGAAAGGGTCGAGGGCGTGTGGGGCGTCGAGGCACGCGCCTCACACTCAAACACCTCCTCGGAGCCAGGTGGCGGCAGATTAGTCGGTGAAGAAGAAGCAAGAAGCGCCTCTTTCAGTAATTCTCTGTGAAGTGTGCCACTTTGGAACACTGTCTCTTCCTCTCCGTCATCACTGGGGGTCATGGCATGGGGCGGCGAAAGCGGCGGTACTGGTAGGGGCTCGTAGGGCAGAGGCGTATCTGGGACAGAGGGCGGCGAAGGTGCCTCGAGCAGGCACATGCCTGCCTCCCACTCGGTAGAGAGGGCATTCAGTTCTTCTTTCATACTCTCAAACATAGCGGTAGCTGCCTTCGGTCCCTCGAAGGCAGCTGAAGGAGTCACGTTGCCATGCAACGATGGCACTACCATCGGCCCATCTTCACTGCACACTTTCATCTTGCACTGGAGCGTGCGCAGAAGCTGGCCCATTTTAAGGAGCTGCTTGCTCAGATCCACAATGTCCGGTCCTGGGTGCTTGTCCGTTACACGGATACTCATTTCATCTTGCAAATGTTCTCGGACTTGCTTGGCGCATAGGCGAAAGTGCGTCGTCATGCGCTTCAGCACGCCCTGTATGATCTCATCGTCCCAATATACACGCGCTTCGACGGTGACGCCTGAGCGCTGCTTCGCGCGTCTCGTGTCCATATGGAGGGAGAGCAAATGGTAAAGGATGGTTTGCCGTTCCACATGCATCGCCTCAAAATGCGACCGAAGCGACACCAAAGAGAGCCGATCATGTCGTGCACGCTCGTACGAAGTATAAATCGTCTCATCTCCTGCACTTTTTCGGCTTGGAATAGGGGAAGAGCCAGGCGTCAAAAAGCCATACGAATACCTCGGCATTCGTCCCCTCTCTGGTGTATGCATAGCTCTCGAGGGCGAAGCCCAAGCGGCGAGCGACAAGGGCCGAGGCGACAAAGGCATGGGAGATGACACTGCATCCCAGTCCATGGGCAAAGAATGCTGGCGCAACATCATCAATTCTCGCACACGCTCAGCCTCTTCCTCCTCGGACCATGTCTCCAGGCGCTCATACACAGCGCGGCAATGGAAGCACATTTCTTCGAGCGCATCCGCAATAGTTTTCCGCATAGACGTCATGCGCTGAGGGAACATGCCATGCCGTTGTCCTTGTTCATCGAAGGACCAGGAAGCCTCGATTCGCGAAATCGGCGGTAAGGGCGACGAAAGGGGGAATCGACGGGAGACTAGCTCGACTTCTTGCACGGCCGACAGAGCATCATTGAGCGCCTGATCCATCGATTGTGCTGCGTCAATTAGGTCCTTGGCACCACGCAAGAGTCCAGCTCGGAGATACGCTTGCTCATCCGCCCGCAAAACCGCCTGGGAAGAAGCGAAGCTATTCCCATCCTTTGTTTCTGGAGAAGTGGACACAGAAAAGCTGAGGTGTTGAGGAGGCCACTGCAGCATCTCCGAAACAGGCAGGATCAGGGTACAAACATCGATAAAAATTAGGGTCAGGAGCATCAGGGCCACAGGCACTTTCACGCACACGGCCCATCCAATAAAGAGCAGAGCGGCACTAATATGGCCCACGGGGAGCTGTCCGGCAATGCGCGTCTGAACTCTATACTTGGCATCAGGCAGTCTCAAGTGATATACACGATCAGGAATGCATATGGTTTTCTCGTTCGTCTCTCCATGTTCGTATTTGGAAATAGACAAGCTCGGCGCCAATAGGTACGAAGTAGCGATCGTATATCGAAACTTTTCGGCAAATGCAACACCCTCCTCATCCATATCATCCACTGGCAAGGGCGCTTCGCTTTCAGCTTGGCGCCTCTCTGCCCATGCCGCGATACGCGTTGCTATCGCCTGGAAAAACGAGGATGCTCGTGAGCGAAACCTGGGTGTGGATGGATCTCCATGCTTTAACCCAACAGCTTTGGTAAGTGAACATGCACTCACAAGCAAAATAGCCCGCAAGCGGTCCATCCTGCACCATAGGCTCGGCCATGAGGCCTACCTATGTGGCGGAGTTCAAGATCTATCACGTAAGCGATCTGAATATCGTCGGTTCGCATAGCTCAACTACGGTGACGCATGCGACGCTCGCGCGCCGCCGCCAAGCGCGCCTGCTTTTCAGCGCTCATGGCATCCTGCGTCGCATTGGCAACAGGCTTAGATGCCGAACCAGAATCCGACATGAGGTTATCAAGCGCACGCCCACGCGCGCCACCGAGAGAAGACGGAGTATCAGACGAGCTCTTGCGCAAGGCACTGACAGGCATAGCGCGCGGACGGGCATTGGCGTTGGCACTAGAGCGCACTGAATCCATGAAAGATTTTTGCTTCACATGCGGCTTGACGGGATGCTCAATTTTCTCCGGTAGACGCAGCAGGCGCTTCATGAAGCGCGTGCGCAGAGCTAAGAGCTGGACGAGCGAGAATGTATTGGTGGTAGTCCAGTAGAGAAGCACGGCAGACGGGAAGCTAGAAATAAACCAGGCCGCCAACACAGTCACGGCACGAAGACCATTCTTCACGAAGCGGGCTTGGGGCGTTTGGTTCATACCCGTCGTGCCCGTCTCTGCACCAGTCTCCAGTACCAGCAGTGTCATGGCCGAACTAATAATAGGGAGAGCATAGTAGGGATCCGCGGCCGTCAGATCAGGGAACCAGGCAACACCACCCGAGGCAAGTGCCGGCAGAGGTGCGTTGGCCAAACCTGTAAGGGCGAAATAAAACGACAGGAAAACAGGCATCTGAACGACAGGGAGGAGAAGCGACTTGAAAGGCGAGCAGTTGTTGTCTTTGAGCAGCTTTCGAACCTGCATGGCCGACGCCTGCATGCCCTGCTGATCACCTGCATTCTTGGCATACTGAATATCCTCCAGCAAGTTCTGCATCTGTGGCTGGATATTGGACAAACGAATCGAATTGCCTTGCACACTCACCAGGAGAGGCGCCAGAGCCAGACGAATACCACAAGTCACAATAATAATGGTAGCCCACCATGGAAGGTCCGTAAAGTACTGGACGCTGTCGAGTAAGTGCTGCAAAATGCCAGAGGGCGACCATCCACCCAAACCCAGAGATTGGAGGTCATTAGTCGCAAGCTCTGAAGCTTTGCGAATACTCTCAGACTCATTCGCCAGCATCTGAGACATGGACTCATTTGTATGCGCCAAACGTTCTTGCACGGAAGTGCCAAGGTGGTGCAACTCATCCGATGCCGACTCAGCTGCATTTTGTGTAGACTCTTTCAGGGAGCCAGTCATGTTCTTTGTCTCCTTAGCACGTTCGTACACGAGCTGTCGAGCCGCATCATTGTTGCTCCACAGGGAGAAAGCGCGAGCGGACCCCAGTCCCAGGCTGCTCGGTGCTGAAACGGTACGCAGTACACGAGGCTGTACGCAAATAGTGGACGCCTTTGAGGTCATCCTCGATAGGCTTTGTCTCCATGCCATGCCGCACACCACTGAGCCGACACGATGCGCAGCCATAGCAAATGATGGGGACGGCTTCGAAGCCACGGCGGCAGCTCAAATGCTAATCACGTGATGACACATGGGCGTGTCGGAGCGACGCGTCTCGTATTCAGTCCGCATAGTCCTTCCCGCAAGCACCCTAGAGAAACATTTCATCCATACATTTACATACTCTATATTCTCACAGTTGCTTTCTAGAAGCCTTCTATGACCTTGTTGAAGAAAAAAAAACATCAAGGTTTTCGGAATTCAGACAGCACAGGGAGAATAAGGTTGAAGGCGGTATAAATCTCCTCGCGTACTTTCGCGCCTGTTAAGACGATTTTTCCTGAGACGAATATAAGAAGCACGACCTTTGGTTTGACCATACGGTAAATCAGGCCAGGGAAGAGCTCTGGCTCGTACGATGAATAAACACCGTGACTGTACGCCAGACCCTCCAGGCGGATGGGGAAGCGCACATCGCAAGATCCGACAATATTCTGAATCTTGAATTCACTGAAGCGAGCCTCGAATCCAAGCTTTTGGATAATACGCGCGTACTTTCGACTGGCGAGACGACTGTCGTCTTCGCTCTTAGCACCCGTGATAACCATCTTGCCCGATGCAAATATAAGAGCGGTCGTCTTGGGTTCACGGATACGCATAATCACTGCTGCGAAACGCTGCACAGTATTAATAACAAGCGACTGAGCATACCTTAGGGTTGTACTCCGCATTGCGGGCGTGCAATGCAATAGTCTTAAGGTCCAGCCTTGCTTCCAAGTTAACTGTAGCAACAATATTTCTGCAGCAGGTGATTAGCATACACATCACAGTCAATACTCACTGTAGTGTCGGCACAATTCCATGCATGCTTGATAGAGCTTGCTCCGTAATTGGAGCTGGAACCGACGGGGTATCTTTGACGGCAGACTTCACATCATCGTCACCACTCGTATCGTTAGCCTTGCCCGACTGGGTAGGGAGCGACAGTGGCTTCTGTTGAGGAAGTCCAACTGGAGTGGATTTGGGTTGGGCTTGAGGGAGTTGTAGTGAGCCACTAGTAGACATGGGACCCAATCCGATTTTTTGTCCGCCGATGCGCGCCACGACGGGAAATTCGCCACTCACAAAAAGTGGGTCGATAATAATTCGGCCTCCTTTTATATATGTTTTTCGACCCCACCCGCCGTGGCCCGATGGCGTCTCGCACGTGACCACTCCACTTCCACGCATTTGAGCAGCTGCGGCTTGTCTCATAGGACGTGTATGCTCTAGTGGCAAGCTGGCGGGTGTTGTGTCCCGCCTATCGCTATAGTGAGCAAGTCGTTCTGAAGACAGCAGCATAGCAATATTTTGAACCGGTTTATCAAGTGGTTTCTGGTGTCTTTGTGAAATCAACTTTGCTGTCCTTCCATCGGATTTCATCCGCCATTATGAACCGAAGTAACCCGGCTTTTTTGAACAAGCTAAGGAGGTACGTCTAAGTACAACTAATGTGAAGCATGGTTGATGATCCGAATACAGATGAGCTTATTCGATGGTCACCTGATGGGGATTCATTTTTGGGTACGTGCCTGACACTAACAGCGAAGTACCCAACCATGTTCGCTTTGGCGATGAGGTACTCCCTCGTTTCTTCAAGCACAACAATTTTTCCTCTTTTGTAAGACAACTGAACATGTACGGATTCCACAAGGTCCCTCATCTCCAGCAAGGGGCATTAAAGACGGACCAGCCGTCCCAAAGTGAATTATGGGAGTTCTCGAACCCGTGTTTCCAGCGCGACCATCCAGATTTGCTCTCAAAGGTGCAGCGTAAGAGGAGTGGGAAAGAGCGTGAGCACAACAATGCACAGACTAATGATGATGCTACTCGTGCTCTGCATGCCTTCAATTCTGGTGCACTTACACGCGGAGATTACGATTTGATCAACGGCGATGCTCAAGACCTTACAAAGATGGTAGGTTCTGTACAGTTGGCCAGCCTAGTGAATGCAATTCAAAGCATCAATACAAATCAGCGCACGATCATTGAGGAGATTTCAAAACTACAGCATTCTAGCCAGGCACTTTGGCAGCAAGGCATAGAAAACCGACAGCAAGTTCGGCGGCAACAGGATACAATCAATCGCATTTTGCGCTTCCTTGCTAGTGTCTTTGGCTCTTCCAATGTGGGCGATATGCTGCAGACGGCCAATGGGGCTGATCTAGGAAACTTGTCGGGTCTTCACTCGGACCTGCATGCATCACAGCAGCCCCGCTTTGAAGAGCACGATACCATTCATACGGACTTTAAGGGACAAAGACCTGTAAGGCCACAGAAGCGAGCTCGACTGCTTATTAGCGACCAGGCTTATGCCGATCAAATGCGAGACCATCAGGATACCACGAATGGGGAGAATGGCTCGTCTATGCCTCAAGCCACAGAGCAACGATTTACCGAGGCAGGTAGCGAAACTGAGGAACATTCTCCAGGTCGCTGGTCTCACGTTTCGACGGATCCCTCGTCTCCGACTATCCAGCCGACGGCGGGACAACATGATCTCTCGTCGCCCAACAGTGCGCAGGCGTTGCTGAATGCATCTTCTACCAACCAGGACACCCAGGCATGGCTAACTAATCTACTGAACAGCCATGCTCAAGGTGCCAATACCGGCTCTCTTTCTGAAAACTCGCGTTTGAATCCCCAGCTTTTAGCTTCGCTGCAGCAAATCCTAGGTAACTCGGGTGCGGGTTCTTCGCCCAATGCTTCAGATCCTCAGGCTCTCTTTGGTGCGGATGGTGCAAGTAATGGTATCAACACTCCTTTGAACAACACGATGCTTGCGTCGATGCTAACTCAATGGAGACCAAATTCTCCTGCTCGGCCCAACGCTTCGATGGAACGAGTTGTGCCCGAAGAGCGTCTCGCTCAGGATGTGGAACGCCTTAGTCGTGATGCTAAGATGAGTATGGAGCATACGAATCAACTGCAAAACCAAATCAACACTTTGGTTCAGAACCTTCGTTTGAGTCCCTCGGATGCGCAGCATGTAGCTGCGACGGGAAAGCTTCCGCTCCCCCCAGAGGACTGTACACGCCGTTCTGATTATCCTGCGACTAGTGCCCCATCTACTTACGTGCCGTCGTCCCCGTCGACTCAGGTACCTGGTTTGCCACAAGGCCCGTCTCCTGGAACAAGCAATGGGGGAGAATTTGATCTTGACTCATTCCTAAACCAATTCGTTGACCCTATGAATACACCCAACACCTTCGGCGCTCCGCCGACGCCCATGTCAGAAGATACGGTCGACCCTGCGGGTGAGGGAACAGCCAAGGTACATGATCGCCCACTATAACGGAAGCAGTAGCTCCATAGCTTGGAGGATTGTACAGAAACGAAGTAACGTCAAAGTAAACATCAGCGGAGAGCAGGCGTTGTCATTTGCATGGCCCTAGGGAGGTTATTTCGCTCACGCAGGGATGTGACATTAGGTCGTGGGCGTGTGCTTGGCTCTAGACGTCGAGCGCTGCGGAGCGACCGCACAACCGGTGTGCTAGAGTCGACAAGAGGGGTATTTTCGTTGTTGCTCGAAAGAGGCGAGGGTGTAGGCATTTTGCTGTCTGGCACCTGGTTATGCGAGGAATACAGTGCGATCCGAAGCATCTCCTTGTCGGCTACGCTGTAGTAGTCTGGCTTGATCTCAGTTTTCCGAGACGCCGGGTAGGGCTCAGCCTGGGCACGCGCCTTTGAGAGAGGCTGCGAGGGTGCAGATGAAGGATCCAAAAGGGTGCGCATACGGCGCAGTACTTTACCAATTGGTTTTTTGGCCCGCTTGGCCGCCTCTTGTTCAGCCAGCATTTCCGCATAGATACGGCGAATATCTCCATGCGTTAGTGGAGCCTCTTGCTCCACCGGCGGCAATTGATGACTCAATTCAGGCCACACACGAAGTTGCGCGGGTGATTTTGAAACGGAGGACTTCTGAATTGAATCATCCGGTGCGCATTTGTTGCTGGTAGACATCACTGTAGATTCCATGTCAGGCACCTGTGTCGCTGAGGGGACTGGGTTTGGCGCCGATGGACCCACGAGCTGATCCGTGTTAGTGGGAGCAGTCTCTATTGGCCGTTCTTGCTGATTCAGGGATGTTGGCATATCAGACTGATACTCCTCTTCCAATGCAGTGATAAGCATATCAAGTGCATTATTCTCGTCATCTTCGCCTTCCCTCGATTCCATACTCGAAAGGCCCGGCGAAGACTCATGGCAGGTGGGTTCAACATTCGTGCGCGACACGCTGGCTTTCTCTTCCATTGTAGCGCTTGATTTCTCTGAGTCCCTGTATTGCTCCACCATGGACAGGACTCGTGAGTGGTGCGAGCGCGCGTATGTACGGCGCACAGGTTTCTCAAATGCCACCGGGTGTTGCTCTTCGGAGGAGGTAATGAACCCTAATCCCAATGAACGTTGCGGCTCACATTCGGTCGAGGTTGTCTTGGCATCACACGCGGAAACATGTGATTGGGGCGGCGTGAGTGAATTCTGATAGTGTACAGGTTGGCTTCTCACGGATGGGGTTCGAACAGACGGCTCTGGTGACATAGCCTGGGATTCGCAAATCGAGCTGTACTGGCTCGTTGGACTCAACATCGATGGAGGTGAAAGTGCACCAGCATACGCCTGCACACCTTCAAGACTCTTACGCAGCTGATTAGCCATTTGCGCCGGCTTCATGTAAGCTAGTTGCGCGTACCTTGCCTTTCGGCTTAATGCCATATCGTTTGCACAGACTGACCAACTGGTCTTTGCGCAGACAGTATAGCGCCTCACTCTGTATCAATGCAAGATCGAGCGCGGGTTCCATAGGCTAGAGGTGGTAGCTAGGGCAGAGGTGGCCTGGGTGTGCCTACCTAGAGTGCAGGTAGGATCCATGTTGATGCAGTTTCTACCTATCATTCATTATGTGGAGAAGTGTTGCAAGATGAACACCTCCCGTAGAGCACGCGCCTCCGCCACGGTAATGGCTTCAAGCAGGGACTGAAACGACGCAAGCTCGTTTCGTTCCCAGTCTGTTAGAAGTGCTTCAGACGCCTCACGAACATCTGTGCGTTCTGCTTTTCGAAGTAAGGATGACTTTCGTGCCTGCTCGTAGAGCCGGCGGCGACTGAGCTGTCCAAGTGTTTTGTACAGGTGGTCCAGCAGCCAAGCTTTGCACTTATTCAAATCCACAAACCACAGGAAGAATGTGCGCTGTGGATTCCTTTCGCTGCCTTTTGGTACTTCCTGTAGGCTGAGAATAGACGAGGCGAACAGCCGTGAGCAAACATCTCGCGTTTCGCCCATTGAGATAAGGCCCATTTTCGAAATCTGTGTCAGAACAATCAGCGTACATGCTTCTCCTCGAGTTTTCCCTTTTCCACGAGGATACTGAAAATACGGCCGGCAATAGCCCCAAAACGATCCACGACCATGTTGCGTACCATCTGCAGTTGGAGCTGCTTAAGAATATTCACGTATTCGATGGTAAAGCTCGTCGCCACACGAGCACTACCTCCAGCACTTACCATAGTTGCTGACCCGAAGGGAGCTAGGAAACGAAAATTGTGCACAGAAGAAGATATATTGTCATGACGAGAGAGGATCGCAACGTATTCTGCTAACAATTCGACAGATGTGGGGGATCGACTCTCGTCCCCCACCACAGAGCGCCGGTCCAGTCCTCGTTGAATTTTCGTGCCAGGAGGGATGCGATGGGACAAAGTCGTAAGAGAAATGGGTCGTGATCGCTCGTCCTTTTCACAGCGCGCAAGGCCTGCGTGATCGGCCTGCAGCATCAAGCGCATCACCTCTCCTGTGGCCGCGTTGTACTTGTTTGAGACTGCATTCGCAATCACCTTGTCGTAAGAGGTGCTTTACTTACCTCATTTCGGATTTGAATGTGAAAATAGTCGTAGTGCACGCGGAGCCATACATCAAGCTGCGTTAAATCATAATACATACGTCAATCTCGACATCAGTCCGGGCCGCGCTCACATCTGAGTGTGCATGCCGCTTCGATCGTTTTTCTGTTCCTGATAGAGTGCTTACTTTACGCTTCAAGCCCAACCGCAAATCGTCCATGCCATCCTGAGCACCTTCCCATTCGCGACGGTCTTCTTCGTCAATCATGGCAGCCACCTTGGCCTTAATCTCTCGCAAAGACTTGGCCGTAGGTACACCTTTTTGTGCTTGCTGAAGCATGCTCTCCAATGCCAGGGTACGGTCCTGCAGCGACACATGCTGCACAGGTGTGGATGGTCGCACGAGCGAGTCGAGTAGCATCCGTGCAAGCAACTCACGCAGTGCCGCGGCACGCTGCTCCAACTCCTTGTCGGACGCATCTGATGGTGCGCCACTCATATTGGGATCTCTCTTGAGTGTGTCCACCACGTCTCCAGCGCGCATTTGTCCGTGGTATAGAAGGAGGCGAATGACACTTTGTGCCTGCGCGTCAGAAAGCCGTTGTACGTACATCGTCGCCTCCCCATTCCTGCGCGAGGCTCATGTAGTCTCCAAATCGCAAGCGGCAGAGTATTTCGTCCATATCAACCTCAAAAAACTCTTCGTCCGCACAATGACTGCTGTTCGAGGGACGCGAGTGCTGAACACAGTGGTGCTGGATGAGCACTACAAGCGCCTGCTGGATCAAGCGCACGGGTATTGCATTCGGGTCACTCTTGTCTTTTGGAACCAAGGAAGATTTACGTGAGGACCAAGCATGCTGGCGACCGCCCGCAGGCGAATTGATTCGGCGAACCAGCTCCGGCACAGTCAGTCGGCCATAGCGAAGCAATGCATGCGCGACTCGCTACCTGTCAGCCAAATACACTATTCCATACCTCAACTACTGGACCAAAGTGCTCTCGAATGATATGCAGACAAAGATGTGCGCTGTCGCGCACGCTCACGCTGCTCATACGCACGTCGTCCAGGAGGAACCAAAAACTCGGTAGCACGTCCGCACGTTTTTCTGACTAATCACCTCCATGGTGTGGCCCTTCTCGGCGCAGACAGCTAGGGAACCAGAGGCTGCGGCGAGTGCATGCCCTGTGGATCATACTACACGCGCGAAATGGGAAGAGCAGAGCAAGTGCCCGGTAGACCACAATGCACGGGCTTCTCTGCTGGATGCAGCTAAAAAGCAAGCGAGCACGGGCAGCTCGTCCGGCTTGTCACAGGACCGCGAAGTGTCTTCAATTCCGCGATACTACATGAATGATAAGTCCAAGCCGGCAGTGTCTTCTCACTCTCCAAAGGACACTGCTATTGAAGAGTACGAATCACACTGGGTCTACCCTTCGCCTGAGCAGTTTTACACCGCCGTGCGCCGGAAAAACCATGACGCACGGGCCGAGGACATGAGCGTGGTGGTCCCTATCCATAATGCTGTGAATGAAGAGGCGTGGCGACGGATTCTTGATTGGGAAAAACAGTGGCAAAGCGACCCATCGTCGCCAGGCCCTCAGCTCGTCAATTTCGTCGGTCGTCCCCGCGACGTGACTTGGCGCGCTTGGATGAGAGGTTTGGCTGGCTATCAAATGCCATTTGACCGCCATGACTGGACTATTGTACGCCCTGGGGCTGAGGGGGACACACCGCGTTCTATGCGCTATATCATCGATTTCTATGCTGGACGAAATACTACGTCCTCCGAGGTGATGGGCCGGGCACAGCCAGTGTCGTTCCACTTGGATGTGCGTCCGGCTCCCAGCACGGTCGAAGGCATTGCCATGCGTGTGCACCGTTTTTTCCATGACATGAGCCTATAGACCCTGTGATACCTGTACATCCTCGAGGACGAATTCGTCTGTGTCACCCAATAGCGACTCCTCTGTTGCCAGCATACGAGACGTCTCGCGCCAGATAACAGCACTTGCCAACATAGCGAGACCCATACTGAGTGCGATAAAAAGAACATTAAGCTGCTTGGTTTGTGCGTCCAGCTCGGCCCTTACTCTCTTATCACTTAGGTCATACAATTTTGCGCCCATAAAAAGAGGGAATAATAATCGAGGCGATGTCAACGCTACACTCAGCGCGTAGGTCCTTAGCTGTAGGGAATCCAACGAGGCCAAAAGGAGATTTGTGTAACTGTACGGCAGTGGACAGAAACGCGCCAAAATGGCCATCATCAGGCCACGCTCGCGCACAGCAGTCTGGAGCGCAAGAAAGCGCCGGTCCGACTTGATCCGTGATAGCATGTGCCATTGACCTTGCAAATTAGCCAGAACGCGTCGAACGATCACAAATGATAGACAAGCACTTAGTAAGAGCCCCACTGTTGCTATGGCCCAACCCTGACCAAGTGCGCGTACCTGCTGCTGCCAAGGGGCGTTAGGTTCGGACCTAGCAAAGGCCATACCACAAAGCGTGAGCGTCGAAGAGAATCCAGTGATAGGGGGTATTCCAGTAACTGCCATAGAAAGGTAGAGCAAAGGTATCCCAAGCCACGAGTGTGAAATCCACAAAGATATGCGAGCAATCCCTGGTGTCAGTGTCGGCTGCGCACCATGCATGAGCTCCCCCCCACCTCCGTGGAGAAGGTATCCAAGAACAAGAAGCTGTAATAGAAGAAAGGCCACAATACCCGCCTTTTGCGCAGGCGTTAGTTCTTTGAAACGCTCTCTATAGATGTCCCATTGGTGCCAAAACTGCGCGCCACTCCATGGGACCATTGTCTGTGCTCGCACGATAGACCCGATCGCCCGATGAACGCGATCCACGCGTCCGACATCTTGTCCGTGTGCCTGACTGGGCATGCCTTTGCCAGCGTCGACTCGGCATGGCGTCCTTCCGACTGAGATGGAATACGTGGCAAGCTCCGAAACATTGGTAGATATTCTGCCGCTGGTGTCGCTGGATCGTGTTAGGCTGCTTAGTGGCACGTACGGACCGTTCCATCCGCCAGCCCACGCTGTCGTGCCACTCTGGCTTGCCATATCTCTGAGGAAAAAGCGCAAATGCGTGATAGTACCTCCCGAGTGGCTCACTGTGGGTAAGTGGGTGTTTTCTCATGTGCAGATGCACTCACGGAGTACCTTCGACAGGAGACAACGACATTGCCCTTCTCCCCACTACCACTTCATTTCATGGCCATATCGAAGCTTTTGCTTGAGCAGTACGTATTCCAGTGCAACTTATGTTTTAGTGCTGCCGAAGATATCCCATCTTCTTCCAAAATTCGATCCTTGCTCAAGGATTTGCGCGAGGCACGCCAAAGCAAAATTCTGGCTGGCCTTGCGATGATTAATGGTGCTCATCTCGAGATGACAAACATTTCGTCCATGGAAATCTGCGAGCTGCGTCCTTTTTTCCGCACGGCATTGACACAGCTTCATGCACTGCAGGCACCTTCGGAGCCGAAGGACGAGCATACCACGCAAGAGGACGAAGAAGATATCACGGTCCGGCGCCATTAATATACAACAGATCTACGAAGAGGGCACAGCTTCTAGCTGATGCAGCGCGGCATCCAGTGCAATAAAGATACGCGATAGTTGATCCACCTAATGTGAGTTCATGCACATACGTAGTCGCTGTATTGTGCCAACAGCGCATGCACACGGCCTTCCAGGACTTGGAGATCCTGGCGCTGGGCAGCCTGTTCCGTTTCACAAACACTGAGCTGCGACTCGAGCGACTCGTGTGATGTCATTAACGAAACACGACGTACAAGCAAGTTGGCCCGCTCCAGAAACGCCTTGCAAGTCTAAGGATCGACATGCTTCCATCACCTCTAAGAATGAACGCATATCCTCGTCATTGTCCAGAACAATGGCTAGTTGAGCGTCCACATCCTCTTTTATTACAGCTGGGGTATCTTCCGTGGGTGACGGAGTCAGGAGGCCCGATTCTGTTGTAAGACATGCACCTACCTACCCTGCACGAGTAGCTCGCGTAAAGTCGCATGAGATGCTACTATGTGCGCGAGATTCTGCTCAATCTGTGCAATGCGGCTTTGAATAGGTAATCCATGTTCCTGTGCATCAACGCCCAGATGGGCAGCGAGGGCCTGCAGCCGCAGAGCCCACGCAAGAGCTGGTGCTTGCTCGGCCATCCTGTGCTACCTGAGCAGTGGAGTTGCGCGCGTGTAACCTCGAAGTGTGGAAAAATTGCTCAATATCATTGGGCCCCATGTGGGAAACATCAATTGTCTGAGTGGCCCAGAACTTTACCACGTTCTGACAACAGATCGCCTCGTGAGGTGTCTGCGTGAAGCCCCCTCTAGGGCATGGATGGCGTGGCCCCTGCTTCTGAACGTGCCTGGTTCTTGTCAGATATTGAGAACTATGGCCAAACTAAGCTGCTAATACGGAACCTCCCCCTGGATGCTTCTGAACAAAAAATCAAGCAACTGTTCGAACAGGTGGGTTCTATTACAGATGTCCAGGTATTTCTGCCTAGCATGGTGAATGGCCAGCTGGTACCAGCCTATGGGTTTGTAAAATATGCCAACCCAGTTAGTGCGCAGGCTGCGATGACCTATTTACAGGGATATCCTTTCTCAGGACACCGACTGCTGCTTACCTGGGTGCGGAACGCGCCCTCGTTGAGCTCCAACTCGACTCTTGGTTCCGACACACCCATGTCCGGCTCGGCTGTACCTGCTGTTTTTCGTCCTGATACGTGTCTTTATAGCGTGTTTGTGGGCGACCTGAGTCCGGAGATTGACGACGGAGTCCTCACTCACGCATTTTCTAAATTTCCCTCTCTGTATGATGCGCGAATCATTCGCGATCCAAAAACTCAAATCTCTCGAGGTTTCGGATTTGTGCGCTTCAGGAGCGAATCTGATGCCATGGAAAGTATTGCCACCATGTCGGGACAATGGCTCCATGGGCGCAACATCCGTGTGAATTGGGCGGCAAGGCCAGCGGAGCCGATGCCGCCCCGCATGGACGAGCACTCCGCGACAGACTCTGCTATTCATGAGCAGACGGGAGATACCACCACTCTGTATGTGGGAAATCTCTGTCCAGATTCCACACTCCAGGATTTGATGCCTATCTTTTCACCATATGGCAACGTTATTAACGCCCAAATGTTTCCAGGCCGACACTATGCTTTCATTACGTTCCAATTCCATTCTAGTGCGATGCAAGCCCTTGAATCGCTAAAGCATCAACCACCCAAGCTTTCTGGCCAAGAAATTAAAGTGGGCCCGGCTCGATATGCTTCCAGGAATTCTTCGAACCGACGCTAAGGCCTACATTTTGCACAATTTGATTCTTCAATACACGAGCGAACCATATTGCATTCTATCAGATACCTCATAGAGCATTTTTTTTTCACTAGAATTACATCAACACCATTTCCTCAAAAGCAGCATAGAGCACTGTTGTTAGTCATCCATGCGTACAATGTTCATCTAGGCGTGGGTCCGCTTCATCGGCATCCACTCCGATGCATCGAATACCTAAGTTTTCGAGGGTTTCCACACAGGGGTCGATGCGACCTTGGCGAACATATACCACATGCGTGATATAGTCCCTGACATTAAATGGCTCCGCACCAGGCGTATCTAGCGCATGCACATAGTTCAATGACCGGCTTATGATGCTGTAGTCAGTGACCTTGACGCACTTGATAAAGTCGGTCGCTATGAGGCCGTAAGACTCACGGTCGTGTCGGGTGTTAAGCAGCAAAACTTTGTATTTGAGTTGGGGAGAGCGCGCGATCGCTTTCGGAATACCACACAACACAAGGCAAGGAATAATACTTGACCATAAAGACCCGCAGGAATAAACCAACGTCGTGCAGCGCTGCAGTCCCGTAAGGTATGCCGTATTTGGCGCCGGGAATACTTCGTTACGATACGACTAATGTAAGAAAGGAAGCATACATTTACATAGAACAAGCCTTAGGTGAGTGTACTTTACGTACGTTCAATCGGCGCACTTAGCGGGATCGCCTGGTCCTTGGACCCATACATTAAATTTCCCATAACCTCAGAGACATCGGGAATGTCGAAAGCATCGTCCTCGAAAAGATCATCCACTTCATCACTAAAGTCTGAGCCATCCATGTCATTTAAACTGGACTCTGTTTGGAAGCCTTGCGACATTGAAGTAGAGCGCAATAGCAGCTGGTGAAGTCGTGGGGACTCTCCCAGGCCCAGTACCGAGTCCTGCAGCTCGGTTGAGAACCTGCGACTGCGCTGCGGTGGCTTGGCAGGCTTCGTGGGTGTCATGATCGAATCTAACGATGGGTGCGAGATTTCACACTGACCCACAAGCGTTTTTCCATCCGTCAACTTGGCAGCAATAGTGGTAGTCTTGTTAGTATTAATAGCTGGGACCACATAGCATCCTGGAAGCACAGAGGAAATGTCGGTCAGCGCAGAAAATAGGAAAATAGCGCTCTGAATCGAGCGGAAGAACCGCTGCATGGCCACCAAAAAGAAGTTTCCAATGGATCCACCACGAAAATTGAAGTTCCTGTGAGCTCGGTGCAAGATATCACTGTGAAATTGTACTAAGAAACCACGCACACACTCGCGCCTCTCAGAGTCAATACCGCGCCATAGACGATGTTTCCCTTCGATAATCTCCATCCATTCCTGCTTGATTTCTTTGATAGGACCACCCATAGGAAGCCTGTATGCTAGTAGTTTCTGCAAGGCTTCGCGGGAGCCAGGGGAGCCCAGGTCGTTCTTGTTTTCCCCGCGCTTGGCAGCCAGCAAAGCCAGGCGCACTAGACGCGACCGGATATCACCAATAGAGGGCCCACCTCAAGTTAGAGACACATCGTACCAAGCACGCGGATAATTTCTGTTATGAGTGCTTGGTCACATACCAGATGAGGAGCCTATGCCCCATGCATTAGACCTGTCAATTCGTCGAGTCACATACCGCCATTGTCGGACACTCATCGTAAACACATCAAACATACCTGGTATCACATATATAGCAGAAGGAGTGACTTCAATCAAGTCATTGTACCCACTTCCTCCGCTAATGACGAGCACCTGGCCTAGCTGATCAAGCATGGTGACGGCACAGGGCGTCAAGCGTATGCGTTGAGTGTGTCAGTGTGTGGAGGCAGTCGCCTGCAAAAACCTGCGCAGGCGTTGTATGCACAGGATAACCAGGCTGTGTACGTGGTGGAACATGCCTAGTCGAGAGGCACACAAAATACCGTCTGAGGCAATGCCTGCATCTAAAAAACTTCGTGTGGATACAACTGAGGCACAAGCTGCGAAGCGTGAGCGGAAGCGCATCCACAACCTGCAAAAAGCCTACGAGAAGCATGTAGCCAAACATGGCGACCCCCCACTCCTGTACGACATCAAAGAGATGCTGGGTGAAGAAAAGGTTGCTGAGATTCTTTCAAAAAATGAGGAGTTCAACCGCGTGGCACCCTTTGGTGAAGAAATCGTGGTTAAGATTGAGAGGCTCAGCTCTCATGGCGATGGCCTTGCCCGCACACCTCAGGGCGATCGTTTACTTGCGATTCCTTTTGCCTTGCCTGGAGAGGTTGTCAGTGTTTATCCATACGCAAGTGAGCGCCTTCATTTTAAGGCGCGCCTCGTCAATATCCTTGAGGCAAATACATCGCTGCGCCGCGACGACCTCGTCCAATGCCAGTATTTTGGACGCTGCGGCGGATGCCAGTACCAGATGATTCCCTACGAGAATCAAATGGAAATTAAGAAGGATGTTGTTGCCAATGCATTCCGTCACTACTCGAAGCTAGACTCGAGGCTGGTGCCCGATGTGCTGCCGACAATGGGCTCGCCTCAAACGATGCAGTATCGAACGAAATTAACACCTCACTTTGACATTCCTATGTCGCTGCGCAAGGGTTGTGCAGATCCGGAAGCATTATCCATCCCCATTGGCTTTGATGGCGCAACGACTGGGCGCGTCATGGACATCGAGGAGTGCCCCATTGGCACGCCTGTGTTGAATAAGGCCATGAAAAATGAGCGAGCTAAGGTGCGCGAAAACATTCAGTCGTATAAGAATGGTGCTACAATTTTGCTGCGTGACTCTTTGCCCAACTTAGAGGAGATACATGCACCATCCATCGCTGTGACGGACCACAAGGCCACCGTGTTCGAGCGTGTGGGCGACACATTGTTCTCTACGCCGGCCGGCGCATTTTTCCAGAACAACCGCTCCATTATCCCTCTGGTTATCGATTATATTCAGACTTACGTGGAAACGACAGAGACACCTCGCTACTTGGTGGACACCTATTGCGGCTCTGGTCTTTTCGCACTTACATTGGCTCCGCTCTTTAGTGAAGTGGCTGGTGTGGAAATCAGTGCAAGCTCTATTGAGTGTGCAGAGCACAATGCAAAGCTGAACCATGTGTCTAATGCTAAATTTTTGGCGGGCCAGGCCGAGAATATTTTTGCCGTACGTGGCGCGCTTCTGACCACAGAAAATTGCCTTCACGCCTGCTCAGACAACTGTGGTTATTGACCCCCCACGTCGGGGCTGTGATCAGGCGTTTTTGGACCAGCTCCTGGCACTACGTCCAAAGCACATTGTGTATGTGTCTTGCAATGTACACGTATGTATCAGCGTACTCATGTCTAGACGCAAGCACGCGATGTTGGTATCCTTCTTCGTGCATGCCCAAACTATCAAATCCAGAGTGTGCGCGGATTTGACTTTTTCCCACAGACCCAGTACGTTGAAACGGAGGTTGACACGACAGCCATGTTGAGGGAGTGTGTATATTGAAGTATGAAGAATAGTAGTTACCAAGGTAGCAGGCACAAAAAGCTCACGGTGATTATAAGGTTTCCGGCCATACTGAGCCATGAAAATGGTACACCGAGCAAGACATCAGTTAGTTGGACAATCACCGTCGTCAACAGACACGACATGGACGCCAGTACAGGGCCCCAAAGTGATAGGAGGATTGCGAAGCATCCATTAAAAATGACACCACACAAAACACTAATCGTAATCCAAGTTACAAGGATCCAGTTATCTGGCATCTGAAACGTCTCAAATCCAGTCAAATGTGCCATGAAAAGTGGGAACCAAAAGAGGAGAAATGTCGCGAGACCAATACCTGACATCATGGCCATGGCATGCACGCCAAAAGGTAACGATTGCTCTGCTTCAATTCTTGATTCTTCAGCATAGTCCTCCTCCTCAGGTAGCCTCTGGAAAGAACCATCGCTTCCATAGGGTATCGTAGTAAGCCGTTTGTAGAGTACCTCATATCCGGCCATGGACAGAGCACCAAGGAGAGAAAGTGCATTTCCATACAGGGCCGGGGACAAATGCAAAGTGCTGCTACTTGCTTCAGCACGCACGGCTGGTCGTGTAGTGCTTCCATAGGCGGACATGGCGACACCGAGAATCCCAAGGAGGACGGCCATCGCTTGCAGATAGGTCCAGTTTTCGTGTAGAAAATACACAGATAACACAAGCGCCCAGAGGCTAAACGTATTGTAAATGGCTGTGATGTTCGCCATGCTCGTCAGTGGTACTGCCAAGAACCAGCTGATAGACGGTACTGTAAGCGCTACTGTCAGCACCACCAATAGAGTACCCAGAGTTGCGAGCAAGTATAAATGCGATAAGGGCTCTGCGGTGTGCTTCCCCAAATAATAGCGCAACTGCTTATTTACATCGCGACGAAGCAGATCCATAACGTGCGCAGTCGGGTACTCTGAGAACATGTGCATGAGTCCCAACTGCAATGGCAGCAACACAACAAAGCTGCTGTGCGTCAGATACAACAGGAACAGTGGTTTTGTATATCCCATTTTCTGCTGTATATGCTGCATAGACTCGGTCTGAAGCGTGTATGCGAAGAGGATTAGAACGAAAGCGCCGATAGATTTGACTCCGCCCGGGAGGCGGCTTAGCATCGATCGCAGTCCGTGGGTCATAGGCGGAGTGGTGTCAAGACATGTGGAGACGTGCGGAGAGCCGTCAAAGATCGGTTCCTTCTGGCTGGGTTTCTGCAGCCATGCCAGATCCTTCTCTCCAGTCATCGGAACACCTACGAAGACGGGATTACGGGGATGATTTAGCTGCTATGCTTTCTCAGATTGCAGCCAGACGCCAAGCACTCTGCCCGACTGCCGAACTGCGTGAGTCATGGCAAATGCTGCTTGAAGGACTGTGTAAGCACAGTCCCGCACCTGAGCAAATTTGGTGCTTGGGTATTGGACCCTTTTCTCACCGTGCCTCTGTGTACCAATGGGCTCTCTTGCAGGAATTTCAGCATGCCCTTGAGGTAGGCACAGATTAGGTACTTACAAACAGGCCTACCACAACCGTTCGGTGCCTCTAACCGTGTATGACCCGCAATTTGAGTCGCGCGATATCGCGCTCGTAAAAGCACTTGGCGCACATCTACCACCAAGCAATGAGGTATGTAATCCAGCATTAATTTAGTGCGGCGCCTATGCATTCGAGCATCCTACACTGATTTATATGCCTCATTGCCCCAAGGAGCTTTATGAGGCGGTACTTAGAGCCAATTGGGACCGACAGCGGCTTCAGGCGCTTGTTCTTTGCGGAAATGAACTCGATATGTACTATCCACACGAAACTATCCCTTGCATTTCTCGCATTGCGTCTCATGTGCAGAGCTATCCCCTTCCTCCTATGCCGACGCATGTGCCGGGCGCCTTGAATGGCGCCGTCCAAGTCTTTTTTTCTTCTCTTGCCGACGTTCCATTGACTTCTAGCATCGAAGATTGGTCCTATCAACCTGCTCCTCGTAAGACACGTACGCGTGCGCGCCGTGCGCGGGGCACCGAACAGCATACATCGCAGCCGTTGAGCATCGACAATCCAGCGTTCTGGTGCCTGCCACCGACGGCACCGGTTGGTGAGGAAGTACTTACAACACCCGTGCCAGACGGGCCTATGTAAATATGTACATTATTCGACAAAAAGGACCGGTGCATGGTCAATCAAAACTAGATCAGTCAGTGGAAAAGACATACATTCGACAATGCGCGCATATCGAGGCGTCTCAAGCAGTTCTAGTGTAGGTTCAGGTGCACGCATAAGGGTCGCTGGCGTAAGCATATTGTACGCACGTCCAAAAACTAGGCCTAGATTGCGTGCATTCATGCGCGTCTGTAGTTGGTGCTGGTGAACGACCTTTAAGTGCAGGCACACACGCTTGAGTGTGGCGAGACGCACCGGCGACAGCCCTTCCAAAAGAGCTTGCATGGATGCAACAGCCGCGGGCGATTGGGCCAGGCGTTCCCCAAGTTCCATGAACTGCGAATACATGTCATACGAGATAAGTGGATCGGGCAATTTACGTAGGTATAGCTTGAGGACCCCAGCAATCACTGCGACGTCGTTAAACTCGTGGAGATCACACAAATCGAATGCTTTGCCGCTGTCAAACAGCTGCACGAGCTTGCGCTGAGCGTACGTACTGCCTGACTTGCGATACAGACCCTCATCCTGTAAACCGTTGGTCTCCACGGCCACAATGCACCAATCAACAAGGCGCGGAACAAGTGTATCGCCTTCGAGATGCACTTGCTCGTCCAGTGACCGCCCGATCATAGACGTACCCAGAGGACTCGGGACGCAATTGGGTATCGACGGCATGCGTCGGTGGCGTTGGCCCTCCGCGGCCCCCGCCGGAGCACGCCTCAACGATCCGATCGGTGACGTTCCCTCCAAAGAGGCGCGTCCCATGCTCGTGGCATCCTTCGGAGGCACCGGTGGGGAAATTGTGGGGACATTCCTAGATTTACCAATCTCGTGTGCAGGCAATAGCAACGTTTCTCCAAGCGCTGCCAGTTCAGGGGTGAGCAACTTCGGCTTGATCCACCGGAACTTGCGTGGCGGAGGCAGTGGTGGTAGCGACTGCTCTAGACGCGAAGTAGATGGCGCTAGACTTGGCTGCGGCAGAGACGTAGACGTGACGTTAGCAGGGTGAGACAATTTCGAAGGTGCCTGCCTAGGCTCCGACACAGACGTCTGAATCAGGGCAGGCTCTGCCACAGCATGGTTTAGAGGCACCGCTGCTTCTGATGTAGAGGTCGAACCCTGGTTTAAAGAGAGGCCTGGACTGGGAGAAGGTGATGACGCACTCAAACTCTGGCCTGGTGTGATGAGCGACGTAGCTGACGAGGTAGGAGGCGTCGATGCCAACGGCTGTGCATTGTCCGCGAGCGGCTGCTTCGATATGCTCGCCTTTCGCGCGCGAGTTTCCAGTTCTGCCACCTGGACCGTAAGTTCGTCGACATGTTGCGCCAACAGCTGCGATTCGTTCATCAATGTGCTGCGGACATTTAACAAGGGCCGAAGCTCCTGTCGCAAACTCTGCTGCATAATGGCCAATGACTCGAGCTCCTTGCGATATTCTGCCTTCACAGTGTCGAGGTGTGCACGTAGCGATTCCAGAGCATTGTCAACTCTCGCGTGCACGGAAGACGAATGAGCCGGCATGTGCTCGTTAATGCTTTGTACACCCAACAATTCGGCCAACGCAATATGGCGTTGAATTTCGAGCTGCGTAATTTCGTCAAGGATCTGTTGTCTGGCTCCCTCAAGGCCACCGGTCGTCCAAGTACCAGTGGTTGGCCCAGATTGGGTACTATCGCCATCAATAAGCGGAGACGCTTCGTTGCTGTGGTTGGGAAGGGACGTAGAGAGCGCCGAACTACTGCGGAAGTTCCAACTCTGCTCATGGCGCCTTGTGAATTCTGGTGTAGCGATCAGAGCCTCGAATTCGCTGTCATACAGAGAAAGGTTCTTCAAGATTTCAGACTCAGATACAGAACCAGGTCGGTTCCATAAATCATGCAGCGCACTGGAGGCAGAACGGTTCTTTCTTTGTATAGGCGTTTCGTAGCCTGGTGAATTATTCGAATATGCTTGAAGGATTTCAGAATGAATCACATCAGAAAGTCGTTGCTGAGTTTCAGCACAGAAAGCAGTATCCGAGCTAGCATCTTGGGACCCATTAGTTGCAGCAGAGGGAAGAGATTGTGGCTCAGAGGACGTTATGACATCATTTTCAGAAGCATCCGCATCGGACTCCAAAGAGGCAGCGGGCTTCACTGGTGACGCAGGGGACTCGATCATTGCCTTGGATATGACATCATCTAGCGACCGCAGTGGAGCCTCTTCGGCTTCAAGAGCATATGTGTCCGGTACAGCCCCACTTACAGTATGGGAGCGCTTGTGTCGCGTACGAATCGGTTCGTTGGAATCCAGCAAAGGACTTGAGTGTGCATTGTGCAGATCGTAAGACCCTACATCACGGTGACTAGTCTCTGTAGAGGCCTGTTTGGGTGATGATGGCGCCGAAGCAGCTCGCACAGTGGGTTCACGAGGGGAAAGTGAGTCAACTGGGGGTTGCTGGCAATCTTGACAGTGAATAGCGCCACCATCCACGCGTGCAAAAACATTTGAGGTTATCGGCATGCCGCAAAGATTACAAGCAAAACACTCCAAATGGTAGGGATCCTTGTCACAAAGGATAACTTCCTCAGTAATAGGTTTTTGACAGGCGAAGCATTGAAAGGTACATGCATCGCACATGGGCTGTGAGCCAACAAGCAAGACATTTTCACTCTTGTAGGATACTGGGCGACCACATGTGATACACGTAAAGCATTGGATATGCCAGTAGCTATCAGCCATATGTACGATACCCTGACCAGCCTCCTCCTCACTGATGGTCATGTCGCATGCCTCACAGCAGATAGAGTTTGGCCGGCCCACATCTTCAACAGATATTTCTGGAGGTATCGGAGTTTCCATGTCCCACGTATGTTTATTGCTCCAGCCCGCGCTCCGCACGAACGAGGACGGAGCGGCCGATGGCTAGTGTGCGCCACGTTGGCCGAGGCGAGCTGCGGGGGGCTGTGACCGTGCGCCTCCTGCTGACACAAAGTATGTCAGCATGAAGATCAGAAAGCGGCCCCTCTCGGCCGAACAAACTGGTCGACGCGGCTTGTGGGGCCGCCGCCCGCGTGGCAAAGGGTCGCCGCAATCGCCGCCCGCCGGAGTGCTTCTTCTACAGTTACCGAACGCATTGCTCGCGTGTCGCTGCGCTGCGTCCCCTGCCTGTCTCAACGAGTGAGATAGGCTTATTTCCTTCGGCTTTACACTCACTAGATCTGTCTGCCGCGTGCGCAAGGAACGCTAGACGGTCCGCGCACGAGGCAGCTTCCCAATGGACCCATACCTCGCGGCTTTTAGTACCCCACGCGGCGGTGTCGCTACCCGCGACCCGCCGCGCGATACCTCGCCTGCCGTGGGCAGTGCCCTGCCTCCTGATGCCCGGGTAGTCGGCAGCCGAGCGGGCATTGCTGTTCCGACCAACAAAGCTCGAGCACCGGGGGCTCAGCGTGCCACTATGCTTGAACAAGAGAGCGATAGCGGCGCTGTATCGCTCAGCAGTAGTCCATCTGCAAGACGCACAGGTGGCATCACAGAAACTGTACAAGAGGCATGTGCACATGCCATGGCAAAACATCAGTGCCTTATACACGTTATGCCTAGTGGTGAAGGGGACGTGGGTGTCGCACCCGGGTCATCCCATCATCCACAAGCAAGTGCCACCCCTCTATCGCACTCTCCATCCACTACGCCTACTGCACCACGATCAGATTCCCCTGATGCGCCTGCACAGACAGGTGCCGTGCCAACTCTTTTGCGCAATGTGCCCCGTCTAACGGTGAGTTTGTGTGGAACCCAAGCGCAAGTCAATGAAGCCAAGAGTGAGCTTCTATCGACACTGCCAACTGCTTGGCAACTACAAATGCATGTGCCATGGGCTGATGTAATGGATTCATCAAACGATGCGCACGCCCGGCTCAAGCCCAATGTGCGTGCGCGTTTTGATGATATCATGCAACAATCCGGTACGACCCTTGTGGCGTCTCCGTTGGAGGCCCAAGAAATTGAGACATGTGCTGGAATGGCAAAGCGTCGCAACATCCTTTTAACTATCACCGGCGGTGTGGAAGCTATTGAGTATGCGCGTGTCCAGGTGCTCGTTTTTCTGGACGAACTCAATGAAATCTACATTGACAGCATCGAAATTGATCGCAAGCTTCTGCATGTGGGAGCTGGACGCAAACGTGCTGCCATTCAAGCGATTGAGCGCGAGTCGGGAGCGTGGATTTACCTGCCGATGCCATTTGCGGGTGTGCTACAGAGCAAAGTGCCACCCACCGTATCACAGCGTCGCAATACCGTGTTTATTGCTGGAGCTTCCGGGGCTGTTGAGCGTGCCAAGGATGCTCTCAATGCACTTGCAAGCAAGGGGCGCAATCTTGTGATGCGCCAAGTCTCTCTGATGCCGCGTAAAATCGACTGGCTGCTTCAAGAGCGACTCGAGGCACTCCGTGAACTAATGCTTGACAACAGCACGTACTTGGAGTTCCCGCCTATGGGTAGTCAGCAGAGCCAGGTATCCGTGTATGGTGCATCTCGTGTGGACGTGGAGCGCAGCATCCGAATTCTGATGCAGCTTGTATCTCCCTACTATGTGGCAACTTTGTGGTTGCTTCCTGGTCTATATGACAGCGTGGGTCTATCCAAAGCTGACTCACGCAACATTGCCTCACTGCTCTCGTCAGCCAGTGCAGCCTCTGGTGCGGAGATGTCGTTCCAGGGTCAATGCTTTGAAATGTGTGGTACCGACACCGAGGTACGCGCTGCTTTGCGTCACCTTATGCGCCAAACTGTTCTTAAGCACTATATGGGTGACGTGCGCTTCCAACTTGAGCTTGCCACAGACCATCGCGAGTTTATTAGCGGCAAGAAAAATGGAAAAATTAACAAGATCATGGAGGGCTGCGGTGTTCGTATCCGCTTTGAGCCATTCAACGACTACAATTTCTTGATCGATGTGCTTGGTCGCGAGCCTGAAGCAGCACTGCAGGGTCTTAGTCAATTGCAAGAAGAACTGCCAGCCGAAATGTCGTTCCATGTGCCTGAAGCTTACCACAAGCGGATTATTGGTGTGGGTGGCAAGAATATCCAACGTATCATGAAAAAGTTTGGCGTTTATGTCAAATTTTCGAATGCTGAGGAGTTCGCTGCACTGGGAGGGTACATTGACAATGACGACAATGTAATTGCCCGTACTCCGTCTAAGAATGCCCCTAACCTAGAGAATCTCAAGAACTCTGTCATGGAGCTTGTCAGTCCGAAGGACAAGGATTTCGTTACGGAGACTCTCTCGGTACCGCGCAAGTTCCATCGTGTCCTTTTGAGTGAGAATGTCATTGCCGAAGTTGAACATCGCACGCGCTGCTCCATCCGATTTGCGCGCAAGGAGTCGGGCCAGGATACGGTTCTTATCTTTGGCCCTGAGTCACAAGTTGCTGTGGCTGCTCAACTTCTCCTACAGCACGTTCCCTTGGACGTGGAAATGACAGTGTCTCACTCGTTTGAACTGGGGGCCATGCTCGAGTCGCCTGACTATGTCGCTTTGGTGGAGCGCATGCAGAAGGAGCTGGGCATCACCCTGGAAGCAAAGCCGCGTCACAAGAATACGACGGGCGAATGTGTATTCCAGCTATCGTTGAGTCAATCAAACGCGAACCTGCTTCCTGTCGCGAAGGACATGCTGGAAGAATTGTGCACAAAGCACAATGTATTGCTGCATGCTCCTGTGACACCTGCCAGTGAACCGTACAATGCACCGATGCCTCCATTCTCCATGTCGCGCTTTTCACCGTCCAAGACTGACTCAGGTGAGTCAGTAGCGGACAAGCCACCACCCCCTTCTACGAAGGATCTCAAGGCACTCTTTGACCAACCTAGTGGGACTGTACCGGAGGTCTTTGAGCAAGGGACTAATACCCCATTCATGTCGCCATTTTATACCCCTGGGTATTCTGATGCCGGTGGCTTGTCGGCTCAAGTCTGGGGCGCACCACTTCCTTCGCTGCAAGACATGGGCAGCCTCCCAAGCAAGCCCAGTATGTTCAGCCCCTTCTCCTCCGGGCCGATACCATTCCCTTTCCAACCTACAGACTTGGCATTGGGCAATACTGAGTCAGGACGCGCGCCGGGCACTACGCCTTTCCATCCTTCGAATATGCTCCCTCGTTCAGATGTGATGACCAGTCTACCGGGCAGTATGGATGTGGGTGCTTTCGCGCCACACCCGATTGCTCGCTCCCCTCTGAACATGCGGTCTTCTGCAGAGATGGGCAATGACATGGACAGCTTCCATCCCATTAGTGACCCTACGCCTCGGTCGAATTTGTCTATGATGGGACCTCCGGGTAGCGCACCTGCCCCTCGAAGCTCGACTTTATCTATGCCGCGCAGCTCCATCTCAGCTGGAGCACCTTCAGATACCATGGATGAAGTCACACGCGTCTTGGCACAAATTGCTTTCGACAAGCAATGAAATGCATCGGAGTCATTCGCCGATGCAACAATCATACCAGCTGTGGCAGGATGACTACCTGTTGGGATTAATTCGTTTCTGCTTCTACTTCTTGACCTAGTTGCTAGGTACGCCTGCAACCGATTCCTATAGATCCCCTACTAGCTCTCTAAGTGCCTGTTTTGATTCCACGGGGCTGGCCGCATGATGGAGTAAAGTGCACGTGATTCAACAAAAAGCGACCGTCGGTCGTCAACTTGACCTCGGTCTGAACGAGGATGAATGAAGACCGTGAGGCTGCGCGACTTTGGCGCATCAACCGCACTATCCACGAGCTTGTAGCGGACAGAGTATGTTGAATCATACTCACAAACCTTTAGGGATATGAGGTTTCTGCGGAGGAGATCAATGTGGATCTAGACACATTTAAGGCAGAGATGTGCTCTAACGGCATAGTGGACCGCAACCGCCTGAACTTTTTTACACAGCATCGCGATCGACCTGAAGAACGTCTTTTTATTTTTTACTCTACGGAACGAAATGTGGGCGTAAAGACAATGCGTCAATTTATCAACATCTTGGAGGAAAAGAATATTACGCGTGGCATCATCATCTGGAGCGACAAAATGACAAGCGCTGCTAAAAAGGTCGGTCATATGGTTTCCTTACCATCAGGTTATTGATGCAATGAGGACGCAGCTTGTTCTGGAGGACTTCGAGGAAGCGTTTCTCCTTGTCAACATCACACATCACCAGCTCGTCCCTAAACACGAGGTTCTTACACGAGAGGAGAAAGAAGCTCTTCTTAATCGCTAGTATGTGTGGCGAATTACTTACGAGAAGTCGACTTAAGGATTCGCAGCTTCCTCGCATCCAACAAAGTGACCCTGTGGCTCGATACTTTGGTTTAACTCGTGGCCAAGTGGTAAAAATTACTAGACGTAAGTTTCATGCAGTTGATAACTAACTCATTAGCATCCGAGACAAGTGGTCGCTACTGCTCCTACCGGATTTGCATGTAAACCATAGTATTTTGTCGGCAATAATATCCTAAGAAAAATTGCAGATATTAAGCAATAATAAAAACGGTAGTATTTTTATCTTGTATGCACTTCCAGGGTATCCAAAAAGTTGTGGACAGCGGAGTACTATGCAAATTTAAGCATCAGATATAATGCTGCCAAAAAAGACGACCCATACTGGAATCGAACCAGTGACCTTAGAGTTTTGTAGTCGTTCAACCGACCAGTTTAACAGCTCCACGTGCTAACCACTGTACCAATGGGTCTAGCTGTCGGATATGGTCGAATATTGTATTATATATACCCATTTATAAAGAAATGATATTGTCAACGCTTCACACCAGACTTTACCGAAGAACCTAGAAGACAACCTATTGATAAGCTACGAGTCAATTCTGTCAAGACATAAGATTTTGCATTTAAAACTTGAAAACCTGCTCAGCCTTGAAGCCAAGTTCAGAGAGAACGCCTTGCAGCTCACCCTGCTTGAGGCCGTCCTTAGGACCAGCAAGCGCCTTCACCATAGGCGGAGGACCACACACGAAAATCTTGGCCTTGTTGCCCTTGTCAGCACCAGGGAAGTACTTTTGGATAGCTTCCTTGCCCACGTAGCCCTTCTCAGCCTGAACGCCCTTCGAAACCTCGTCAAGGAAGTAGACAATCTTGAAACGGTCGTCGTTCTTCAGAGCATCAAACTTCTCGCGCAGGAGAATATCCGCTTCCGTCTTGTTACCGTATAGCAAAGTCACCTTCGTCTTGTCTCGAGGGTTCGACGAGATTTCTTGGATCAGTTGCCACATAGGAGTGATGCCCGAGCCGGCGGCAACCAGACCAATCTCCTCAAACTCGTTGGCCTTGTAAGGATGCTTAGGAATAGGACCCTTGAAGCGAATCACATCGCCGACCTTAAGTGACTTGAGGTGCTGAGTCATGTTGCCCTGAGGGTAGTGCTTGACGAGAAGCACAATCTCACCCTTGTCTGTCGGAGGGTTCACGGGGGTGTAAGGGCGGATCACCGGCTTGCCATCCTTGTCCTTGGGCTCCTCATCAGCGCCACGAACGACCAGAGCCGAGGCGGTGAACATACCCGACTGCTTGTTGTTGGGAAGCTCGAACACGTAGAAGGACGAGTCGTGGTTGTAGGGGCGAACCTCCTTCAGCTTCAGAGGACGGAACTCCTCACTGGAAAGGGCAACATCGGAGCCGGAGTCGGCATGAATCTGTTGGAGCTTCGAACGAATGTCACCCTGGAAACCACCCGTAGCGTACCAAGCGCCGATACCGGCCAGGCCGCCTAGGGACAGGTAAAGGCTAACATTCGATGAGGCCTTGGAAGTCGTACGCGACGAAAACGTGCGAAGCTGCGGAGCAGGGCGAACAGCCTGCTTCATCGACGAACGAACAGCATTCAGAGAAGGGGTGCAGCGAGTAGTGCGGAACATGATCGTTGAGAGTAACTTATCTAGCCAGCCTTGTCCCGAAAGGTGAACCGTTCGCAGCTTTAGTAAATACTACTCATAGTGCATATGCACGACGGGCGTTTCCACTTACACCGTGAACATGTCAGGGCGTGGGCGTGGACGTGGACGTGGCGCATATTATCGTGCCAAGTATGGCGGCGGTGGTCGGGGTCGAGCCCACGGAGATTTCATTTCTAGGGATGGAAATACTTCTTCAGAGAAGCGATCGCGAACGATACGAGGTCTGTTGTTTGCGCTGACGAAACAGGCAACCAGGAAGAGTTAGCGGCCTGGCTATATGCACATGACAATGGTCCCTATCCGGTCTACCATGATATGGAGGGAACATGGACATTTGACGGATTTACATTCACGCTGGATCATGCGCAAGCCGATCCCTATGCGTCTCCGAGCAAAGCTCGCGTCAAGGTGGCGCACTCGTACGCGCAATTCCCGGTTGAGCTATGTGATACGGCCTTGCGACGAACTGCGTTGGCTGACTACTTACTTCGTTCGCTTTACGATGTATGCACGTCGAAAAGCTATGACGAAAAGCTGCAAGGAGGTGGCTGGTCGGGTGCAAAGGGCGGACAAATCCAGGTCGACGTGCCTGGACAACAGGTGCTGGAGCGCACGGCCGTGATAATTGATGAAGAAGGCGTCGAGGTGCGTCTTGCCCTTGGACTTCCAGCGCGTGGACGCAGTATCATGGGACGTTTAGCGGCAACAGTGTGTGCGTATTTTAATTCTTACCACAGTGTGTGAAAATATCCCTCACATGGTGCAGCACGCATTGCTGTACTCCAGCCATAACTCCACACACTTGGCGCAGCATGTCCATGCAGTAGAGGACCAAGAAGCTTTACGAGACCTACTTCCTCAGCATGGTCTCGTCGCCTTTGTGCCGAATGGGGCTCTGCTGCCCCGAGCAAGTGGTGCGTCGGACCAGCCACTGCAAGGCTGCGTACCGTTTGCAAGCCCGCCCTCTTTGCAAGTCACGCTGCCTCTGCCACACAAGGGCTCGATCTCTGGAATGGGACTGCGTCAAGGTCAGTTGTGTGTGTGTGTGGGTGGTGGCTTTCATGGCAAGTCGACTTTCCTAGCCGCCCTAGCGCTGGGCGCCTACAATCATGTACCAGGTGATGGACGTGAGTTCGTGTGCACAACAGAGCAAGTGGTCTCGATTCGCTCCGAGGATGGGCGCTCCATTCAGCATGTGGACATTTCGCCCTTCATCAAGAATCTGCCTAATAAAGGCAACACGACGTCATTTTGTACAACCAATGCATCAGGAAGTACCTCGTGTGCTGCATCTCTCATGGAAGCACTTGAGATTGATGCAGAGCTCCTCATCTTGGACGAAGACACTGTGGCCTCCAACTTTTTGGTGCGTGATCGCACTATGCAGGCGCTCGTGCCCAATGAACCAATTACTCCGCTTGTGGCGCAAGTGCGCTCTTTGGTGGACACCACGGGTGTTGCGTTAGTGCTAGTTTGTGGCTCGTCCAGTGCGTTTTTGCCAAATGCGGATACGGTGCTGCAAATGGACTGCTATGAGATGAAGGACGTGACGCAAAAAGCGCAACAATTGTGCAAGACCCTTTCAAAGGAGCAGTGGCCCGTTACTATGACATCGTTCCGTGCTCCCGCTCCACGGGAGCTGCAGCTACCGTTACCAGGCGGCAAGACCGCAACGCGCCATCGGAGTGTGATTCATATCGGCGATGACGCACTGAATCTGTATGCAGTGCCACAGCTGGTGCATGCCAGTCAAACGAGAGCGATTGAGACGCTTCTCCGACGCTGGGCAGGTGCAGTGCCGCACAGTGTCAGATTAAAGGCATTAATTGATTCAGTGTCCGGTGAGTGGGACCGGCAAGGCATGTACTACTTGCAAGATAAGCATCTCGACGGCTTCCTTGCGCGCCCTCGCAAGATCGACTTGGCACAGGCTCTGAACCGAATGAGACACGTCTCATGGCGCACAATATAACACATAGGTCACCGCCTTATTTTTAATGAGAGTCGTACGGGCGTTCCACACGATGTCCTATCGAGCGGTTGCGAGCATGAGACGCATGACCGTCTCCAATTGCAGAGGATGTCGCCGGCAGGCCATCGCCAAGGACTCGGACAGGCGAAGCATCGTTGGGTAGCAGCGTGCCCATGTCAACCGAGGTGCGTGACTGCCCCAAAGGATTGTCATCGTCGTTCAGTGAAACATTTGAGTGATTTGGGACGCTGATAAATGGTCCACGCACGTTGGGGCGCAGATACTTGTCATCCTCGTCATCGTCCCAGCCATCCTGGAGCATGTTCTCCATGTCGCCTTCTTCCACCAGGCGCACTGGCATGAGCGCCGAGACCGGGCGCCCCGCATGTATGAGATTGGGCACAGGTTCGTTCTCGTCATACGCTCCAATTTGGTCTCCCCAGCGATCCTCATCGCCAGAGGCTGAGCGCTCAACGACAGGGGTCTTACCGGGTACTATCGGCTGCAGCCGCTCCGGCACGGAGGAAGTCTCCGTGTCGTTATAGAAGGTCGAGCCAAATTGCTGCGTCATTTCCTCGCGCCGCCGGGCATCGCGTCCTTGCTTGCGAATTCGCGAGCGCTCCCACTCTGACCACAGACGCATCGGCACATGCAGAGAAGCATTATATCCTTCTTCGTCGATACCGTGACTTTCTCCTCGCGTCTCGCCCTCGACTTTGCGGGTGGCACCCCATGTAAAATCGTCAAAGTGCCAGAATGAATACGCAGGGAGAATCAAGTTCCATACAGGTAGGAAGATGAGATAAATAATGAGCCAAATGACCATCTGGGGACGGAATCGAATAACCGTAATGACCACACCGGGTAGGAATAAGACACAGATAAGCATGATCAGCGGTATAGCGGAAGTAAAGTCGTGTGGGGGGTTGACGATCGAGGACACAATCAAATAGTACGTGAGACTGATGGCAACAGGAAGTACAAGTGTGCCGATCAAATCCATGAACACCACAAATTGCATCGAGAAGCAAAAGGTACCGCACAGATCACGTACGAGCATAAGCTCCATAAGGTTATGGACCGTCGAGTTGATCCAGCGTCGCCGCTGCGAGAGAAGCGTCCAGAACTTGGTAGGTACCTCCGTATGGCACACGGCTTGGGAAACAAAGACCATGCGGCGATGGGGAAAGGTACGCAACATAAGCGTACTGAGGAAACGATCTTCACCCAAAAGCAGCAGGTTCTTCTGGTGCAGTGTCGTCACAGTGGATTGACTGTACTCCCGTGTAATCTCCGGTTTAACAAGCACAGGAATCCAGTCTTGAAACCCAGGCTTGCGAGCCTTGATACGATACATACTGAAACAGCCCGGCAAACATGTGACACCACCAAAGACCGCCTCGAACGCTTTGACCTGGTGGTGTGAGATGAAATACTCAAACACCTGGATCGCCGTCACCCAGCTCTCTGCCTTGTTCTCGATTCGAGTCTCGCCGCAGGCGCCCATGATGCGGTGATCGTTCAGCATAGCATTGCATAGACTGCGCATCGACGGAGGGTGCACCTTCGTGTCGGCATCCACCATGAGACACAACTCGAAAAAGTCTGGAGTAACACCCATAAGCGCGTGACACTTGCGGAAGAGATCGTAGTCCAATGGTGTCATCAAATCGTTGTAGGTCACACGCTGCAAAAAGTTGAGCAGGATCATCTGCGAGTCGCGCTTACCCCTGTTGCCCGGCTTTTTATCGTTCACATCTTCCGGTAGGCCACACTTGGCCACCACAATCATAGGTACAGCCTCCCCACCCGATGGGTGCAAGTAGTGGCCCGCATAAACAAGTGCCTTGTTATGCGCTTTGCGTCCCGAAGCCACAGAGCGGTAACTCATCGGCATAGGCGTGCCGAAACGAGGGTCCGGACTAAGAAGACTGACACAAATATCAGGAGTGCTCATCGTCTCTCCAGCTCCTGTAACCATACCATCAGCCACGACAAAGATGAGCTTGCGGCTGGCTGGATATTCTGTAGCACTCAGAGAGGATAGAGTTGCAGAGATGCCACCCATTCCTTCCGAATAACACGTCACCAGACAGATAACGTAGGGCTCATTGCCAATATCTTCGGCTGTCATAGAGGAGGGAAGACCGGACATGGAATCCTCCAACTTTTCGGGTACAATAAGACGAGACGCTCGGACCCTCTTGGCAGCCCAGGGAGCCATCCCATCGGCATTGTTCGGTGCAGCATCGGCTGGCATGATAAGATGTGAGATGGGACGCGGACGCTTAGAGCCAACAGCCGACATCTTACCCGGCACGGGCGGTGTGCTGGCCATGCGATTGGAACCGACCCATGCATACCAAATGGCCATCAGGGTACGCGCCAGCACTAAGCCAAGAATGACAGTTAGCGATACATAAAGAACCAGCTCAGCGACAAAGCAGCCCGCTGTCTTGTAGTTGACACGCCCAGCCATGTACCGTTGTTTTAGGCACGGAATCGCATCTGTGCCTTCTCTCGTATCAGCAAAAGCACGCGTAGCATCCGGGCTTTGGACATGCGCTTGGCTGAAGTGCTGCCGGATTGTAGCATCGACGACATCGCCCTGAATAGGTTGAGGATTGTAGGCCATATACGCGTTCATATTTAGTACGTATCCATCAATCGTGAGCAGCTGGCCCTTACTCCTCACCACATCCTCCCAGTCATACCCAATGTCTTTGTGCTTGGGGGTCAGTGACAGGCGCTGGACTGTTTGATTGTTCAGGGATGCAATACATTCGGCGCGCTTTCCGTTCACGTCAACACACCCTTGCCATTGTGAGTAACGACCAGAAAGTCCCGCACACTGGTCGTACTGACGTCTGCTACTGTCGAGAAGCGGTGTTATGTCCAAGCCTGGCTGCGCCGACAGCGCTGGGTATATATCTGGCTGCTGAAACTTTGCTTGGTCGGCATTGTATGCAATACCTTGGATACCCACCATTGCCTGAGCCCGCTTGACATTTACAAACACTTCGCGAACATCATCAGGGCAGAGTGTGCGCTGTAACCCAACTGTAATGAAGGCAATAACAGCACCCAGTGCCAAAGCAAAAAGCACCAGTGTGACCTTCTCACGCCATGCTTGACGGACTTCGGTATTGTGAAAACCCAAGAGGGAAAGCACGGGGGGAGGGGCCCAAAATGTGCAAACGATTGCCAGATAATGCCACCACAACCGGTACCACGGCGGAGGACGATGCTCGGAAAACGGATCGTCCGGCTCGCCGTCAGGATTTAGCAGAGGTGTGCGCTGATGCCCGCGCTCTGGCCGGCTCATTGTGGGACGACGAATCAGCGTCGGTCGACGCAGCGGCGGAGGCTGGCCAGAGGGTACCGAAATGGCTGTCTCATCCCCAAATGTAACCCCTGGCCGCCGAATAAAGGATTTGGCTGTATCCTTGTTGCGGTTAAGCTGCGAAAGCATCTGAACCGCAGTGCAAAGTACAGCTTAGCAGAACAGGGGGGAAAGAGGCAGTCGCACTTCACGGAGAGGGGACGGTGGAATGACAGCTACGTGAAGAAATTCCCGCGCGACGCGCGCGCCGGAGCCGTGGACTTCGTCTAGCGTACGTAAGTGACTTAGCTAAGATGCAGATTGCTCCTGCGAAAAACAGCCTTGCAGCCACGTGGATTTTTATTGCCCTTGACACTCGTGTGGAGTGTGCGTGTTTCACCCTGAGTGGCGTGTCGTTTGCGACGCCTACGCCCTCGCGCCATGGGCTCAACGACCCATGAACCGCGTCCTTTGCGAAAGTTGGAAAATTTTTGTCAAGGGAAAGGCCCTGATATTGAGGCGTCTATGAAATCCCGGGATCATCTAGCTCACGAAGTGTACCAGTCTATCCTGCGAACGCAGCGTGGGGATTGGATTGACTTGATGCACTGTGCTCCCATCGCAAGTCAGTATCACATGAGCAATTACAGTGTGTTAAAGTTTGGGAGCAATGGAGCCCCCTATGCGTATCTACCTCTCTCTCTGCAACAACCAAGTAGGACAGAGTTGGTACTCGCCAAGCAGCGTCAACTTGAACTGGATGCGTGGCGCCTACAGCTGCACGTTTCTGGAGCCTCTGAGCGCCCCGATGCTATAAGCGCCATGAAAATGACGGTGGAAATGAGCGATAGCCTTCAAGAGCGGATAGAAGAGGATCTCCAATGCGCCAAAGAAGATGTAGCGACGGTCGTCGATCTACCTGCGCCGGCGCCAGTGATCAAGACCAGTGACACCCACCCCATAAAGTGTGTATGCATGACTTACATACAGTGTTAGCTTGATTATTCCTGTACCACTGCTATCTACCGTTTCGCAGCACGTGTTCCGGCACCTTCCACCCGGCTGGAGCATTCGTGAGCAAGGGGGCTTTGTTCCTCGCGAGACGTTAGCATCGCTCAAGGTGCTCATACCACGTGAATCACTTTCTGAGACGCTTGCATACAAATTGCGACATACAGATACCTAAATCATGGGCCAAGTTCGAGGAGAGGAGTTGACTCGGTTACCCAAGTCTTTGTCGCTGGATAGCATGCTCCGCCAGTGCTCTTCATCGGACGAAAAGAATATCTCTCTCGAGGTGAATGAAGGTCTTATTGGGAATTTACTCTTATCCTCATGCCCAGGTAAGAAGGTGAGACTTGATGGGCCGGTGCACGGCCGATGCAGCATACACCGCGACCTTAGAATAGACTTGGAGCGGTTTAAACATATGGGTGTCCGAACTATTGTATGTTGTCTGGACGATGAAGAGCTGAAATTTTTGGGGTCACCCATCGAAGAATATAAAAAAGAAGCTCAAGCCCAAGGCTTTGATCTGCTTTGGTTGCCTATTGCTGAAGGATTTGCACCCGTGGATGTAAGCAAATTCGACATATTTATGTCGATGTTGATTCTTAACTATACGCTCCGGGGTCTCTCTATTTTAGTCCACTGCCGAGGAGGCATCGGTCGAGCTGGTATGGTCGCTTGTGGATGGATGTTTAAAATGAACTTGGTGAAGCCAGACGAACCGTACTCCGTGCCTGTCAGTGAAGAGTCTCGAGCTCTTAGCACCGTGCTTGAACTCGTTGAAGTTGTTCGGAGCCGACGCAGCGTCCGAGCCATTGAAACCGCTGAGCAGGCTCGTTTTCTCATGGACTACGTACGGTTTGTATATCGCCAAGAACATGCACGCGCTTGTGTGGAAGCATGTACCATTCCCCGTTCATAAACTCATCGTCCGTTTGGATATATACCCATGTACAATGTATAATTGCTTCAATGATTTTCTTCCCATGCGATGGCACCAAAGCTAAACTGTTTCGTCAGAACGTTGGACGTACCAGGACTAAAACGCTCCCAATTCCCTTTGAAATCGTTGTGGTCCCAGAATCTCGGAGCAGATCACCAAGAAACGCCATAGGTATCGTAAGAGAGAGACCAATGGTGGTTAAGAGAGGCGAAGATTTAAGCATGGCAAGTAGGTAGGCAAAGTCGCTGGCGTCAAAATGGGTCCACATACGAAATCACTGTCACAACCATATTGACGACCAGGCCAGAAAGCATCAAGGGGTCTTGAGGCAGTCCTAACGGTTCCACGCCTAGTACATGCAGCAACACACCGATTGGCCAAAAGGCCAGAAGATTAAAGGCACCGACAAATCCAAGGAATAGTGGCATGGAGATGCGATCTTCGGAACCAATCCGCACCTTGAGAAGTGTGACGTAACCAGCGTAGCCTAAGTGTGAGTGCAGAAAGCGTACATAAAGCCGATATGAGCGCCAGAGCATCACCCCAGAGTGGGTTGGAAGGACTCTTGGTATCTTGGTCACTCCAAGTGACGAGTGCCACACCGCAGAAGCTGCATGTAAGTCGACGCTTGGACTGACCTTAACAATACAGAGGCGAGCTTGCCAGGTGAAAACGAGTCGGTACCCACAATGCTACCCAGAAGTAGTGTGAAGAAGCCACTCGTGCTCCCAAGGGTGGTCCCGCTAGCCACGCTGGTATAGGCAAGGCCAGCCACAAAGGACCAGTTGGCTGCAAACCAAATCACAGCGAATTCCATGGATAAAAAGGCTGTTTCAGTGACGGACAGAGGGGGTAACTCCGAAGCTGATATAACGTGTGCAGGACTCTGACTACTCCCATGGCCTGAATCTGACATGTAGTTAGAAAGAGAGTCATGCGATGGTGTGCGTAATGCTTGCCTCTCGCTAGAGTGTTGTGATGTGCGTCCACGAATTGTTAGATCCAGAATACGCGGGTGGGACTCCGCAGAGTCCATAGGGAGCTGCAAGTCACTCTTAGGTCTCCGGCCATCGATGGAAGAGGGCCGTTTGGGCCGCGGAATTAAAGGCTCCTCGGATGGCAACGTCTCTTCCAGAGGACTGCGTGAGCCACGGTGACATACATATTGGGCCTCATATGAGGAAGGCGGAAGCCCAAACTCTCCCACCAATGAGATTTACCTGGAATATTTTCTTGTCGTGATGGCTTCGTATAATACAGAACGGCGAAAGGGATCAGGTATACGATAAAGGTCGCAGTACTCAAGTACGTGACAGCAAAAGGCTTTTCGTAGCCGTGAGTTCTGAGTCAGTATGATGTCACGCACAACACAGTGCTAGACAGATAGTTAGAACTTGTCCACAGCACATCTACTAATAGGATCAGGGCGGCGCCCACTGCGTAGTGATGAGGGCCCTGCGCCATGGCAAGCGCGTAAAGCAAGTCTATCGCCAGAAGACGTGCAACGAGAGATCGGGAGCAGATCGGGCCAAACGCGCCTCGCGTCCCCAGCGCCGCTTCTCTGTGGCCAACATGGTCGAGCCAACGGACACGGACAAAGCCTGGCTAGGGCTGTGTGTTGGCAGCGGTGAAGTGACGCAACCATCCCAGATGTTTCAAGAGGCAAATAATACAGATACTACCGACGATGGATGGCTCATCTGCCGCGCCAAAGACACCGAGCAGATGCACGCCATGTTTGCCCATATCCTGCACTTTGTACGGGATGTGGAACTGCGTTCTGTGATGGCCAAGATCGGAGAGGGAGATGATGGTACGCGTGTACTTAGTGATCCCCTCGAAGAGTGCCCTGATCGTGCCGACAATCCAGAGTACTATGAGCAAATCGCTCGACCTACGTCCTTGCAGGCAATTACCCACCGCATTGTCCACTGTGAGTATGCCATGCCCGCTTTATTTGAGCATGACATGCTGCAGCTATTTTCCAATGCATGTCAGTGGTATGGTCTAGGCACCGACGGGTATGGTGAAATGACTATATTGCAGAGGCTCTATAACGAACTGACACCGTCACGCGGCCGTTTGGTGGACGCATCGGGCACTCGTCACGGCAAGGGACGTCTCTCTGACATTGATGTGGTGAACTCGCAGCATACCAAAGCCAAAGCAAGGGCCCTGCAGAGGTTTGCGTCTTCGCCGTATGGACCAGGGCATGAGCCACCAAGGCCGTCAAAGCAACCCAAGATAGTCCCAATGGATGCTGTCGCCTTCAAGGGACGGAACTACCATGTGGGTGACTGGGTTCACATTATGAATCCCCTGGACCCAAGTCGACCCATTGTAGGGCAGATCTTTCGATTGTATAAACGCATGGACAAGTCTGGGACCTTTTTCACAGCATGTTGGTACTACCGGCCTGAGCAGACACATCACACATCGTCTCGTCTGTTTGCAGACAACGAGGTTGTGCAGACCGGCGTGTATGGAGAGCATGCCATCGAAGATCTGCTAGGCGATGTGCTGGTCCTTTTCCACACGACATACCAGCGTGCTCGTCCAGCAGCAGGCTACTGGGACAAGGATACACCTGTCTATATGGTTGAGTTCAAGTACGACGTGGCGACACATGAGTTTTTCCCCATCCACAGCTGGGCAAGTTGTGTGCCTGCGTCGGTCCGCGAGAAAGTGACGTACGTATTTCTTACTGACCCCTGTCCCATGGATGTCTTTGTGCAACTTGCGGAGCTACCAGCTCGACACACGTCGCTTCTGACCCAGGGAGATGAAGTTCCGGGAGGTCGTCTCTTGGATGACGCAATCGAGGAGCCTGTATCGGAGGACATGCCGGACCTCTTCGAGGGCGCACCTCTTCTAGGTGAAGCGACACAACCGCTCAATATCCCGACTAGTGTATCTTCATCTGTGCGCCCAATTATGCCACCGCCTGCAGCTGCACAGACAGAGCGCCTTCGTGCGTATGCTGCTTTCCACGCTATCGCATCGGACCTAGCCCGTCGGATCAGTCCGGTCGCTTACAATAAGTTGCAACACGCACTCGCGGATAACCCCACGGCCTCGCCTGTCGAGCTGGGGGCACTTGCTCTACAGCTGGGGGGCATGTCAGGAGCTCAAGTCGTGCACTTGCGCGATGCAGCCGTGGCGGCAGGGATGTTACCGGGTCAAGGGAACGGTGCATTAAAGTCGTTGCCTACATCGGCTGCCGTGTTTGTCGCCCACCACAAAGGAGCCTCGTTTAAGCAGCTGCCACTCGAAACACGTGCGTATTAACTCACTGACGATGCAGGCCAACTCTTCCACCAGGATGAGCACGGGCAAGTCCTATGGCATGCAGCTCTGCCGCTTTCCGGCTGGCCGTGCACAACCCCTGTCTTGGATGGCGTGACCTCTTTGCCATTGCCGTCGTTGCCCTACTTGGAGCACAAGACAGCGGCTGGATCTCTTGTACCATAGCTATGGGCTAGTTACTCTTCGGGGCAGTTGGTCGAACAGGGGCAAAGAAGGGGTGTTGTTGTGCCTCCTGAGCAGTGAGGCGTTCCTGATGATCATACCGCAGGAGTTTATCCAGGAAATCTAGAGCCTCGTCGGAGACGAAGCGTTCGTTCTCTGGAGTAACGAACCGCGGCCACGGCTTGCGCGGGTAACGCCCAAGTATGACATCGTAGTGCGAGTCCAGCTCGATCTTGTATTTCGCAAGATACGCAAGAAGTTCATCTGTACCCAAGACTTTGCAAATCTTGACAAGCTGGTCATAATTGTCATGCCCATGGAAGAAGGGCTCTTTGCGGAAGATCATCGAAGCAAACATACAGCCTAGGCTCCACATGTCCAGAGAGTAGTCGTATTCCTGGAAGTCGACGAGGAGCTCTGGACCTTTAAAGTATCGGGAGGCAACGCGCACATTATACTCGGTATAGGGATGGTAAAACTCGGCCAGACCCCAGTCAATTAGGCGCAGCTGGCGCTTCTCATGATCGATCATGACATTATGGGGCTTCACGTCACGGTGCATGATGCCGCGGGAGTGACAAAAGTCCAGCGCTTTAAGCAATTCAAACATGTAGTATCGCACATCATAGTCAGTGAATGTGGGATATAGCACTTTAAAGTCCGTATTGTTCACATACTCAGTAATAATGGAAGGTGTCTTGGATTGTGGATCCCGAACCACATCGATCAACTGTACCACATTGGGTCCGCCCATGAGGTTCTGCAGGATCTTGATTTCGCGCTTGATCTTCTTTTTCTTGACGGGTTTCAACACCTTGATAATGCACTTATCATAATTTTCGGAGGCCACATTGACACCCTCGAATACTTCCGAATACTTGCCACGGCCTACTTTCTGCAGAATCTCAAAGTTGTCCTGCGTTCCCCACTGCAATGCCAAATTGTCGTAGTCCCACCACTCGCGACCACGAGACTCGTTGGCATTCGCATACACACGGGCCACGCTCATGCCTGCCATTCTGAACCGGCAGCGACCGTGGAACACGCGTGCAGATACCTCGTTTCCCATGGGGCGACGAGGGACATTTCAGTCACGTGATGTTCAGGTCGCCTCAATATGACTACGAGACTGGAGCCGAAACACCGCGGGGCTCGGGCGGCGTGCAGTCTATCTTCCGAGAGGCATCCATATAATAATGGACAAGATCATCCGTGACCTTGGACTTGCGCTCTTGGAACTCGCTCACAACACGCTGGAGCTCCTGAATGCAGCGCTTCTTGAGTTCACCCGTGAGGAGCTGGCCCGACCGGTAGTTTTCTGCCAGTTGCCGAATCTCCTCATCATCTTCGACAAAGAAAGACAGGTACTGGTAGCTTACATCCACATCTGGGTTACCACCAAGGCGGCGCTGCTCCTCGAGCGTCTCCTGTCCACCAGAAAATGCGTGCTTGTTGATTTTGTTCTTGATTTGGTTGGGCGTGTCGTGCATGAAGATACTCGAGTTTTCGTTCGACGCACTCATCTTGGTCTGGGCACCCTGTAATGCTGGGAAGAATTTGGAGTGGATCAAGCTCGGCTTCGGATACTTGAGACGCACGGCCACATCACGCGTCTGACGGAAGTATGGGTCCTGATCAATTGCGCATGGAATCAAACAAGGGATATCTGAGCGGTTGCCAAAAATGTGTGGGAACGAATTACTGAACGAAGGGGCCGCTTGGATGGACACAAAGTGCAGCTTACCGACGCTGTCACTATCATTAAACCCAAACGTGCCCTTGGATTGGTTGACGGTGATAAAGCGAGAAATGCGCACCACGTTATGGTAAAAGGCACCGCCAAGATAGTTCAGGTTTGAGAAGATGAAAGTCTTTTCAGGATTAAAGCCACAGGCAATAATGTCTTTGGCATTTTCGAAGGCAAACTTTTGCACCTGTTCGATCTTAAGATCGTTCTTAAACAAGAACTTTTCATCGTCAGTCAGCTGGATAACCAGAGGTACATCAAACACATCCTGTAGCCACTGAGTAAACAAGAATGGAATCAAATGGCCCAGGTGCATGGACGCTGAACTAGGACCACGTCCTGTGTAGAGATAAAAGGGCTTACGCTGCTCATAGCGGGTCAGAATCTGATCAAGTTCACGATGACTGAAGAAGCTCCCACGTCGCAGCAGCGGATGAGGGCGACGGCCTGTCACACGTTCAAAACGCTCCAGTAGAGCAGCATCGATGGGCTTCGTCCCAAACTCTTTAATGAGTTTATCGTAGTCGATAGAGACCTGACTTCCATCCACATAGCCACCCTGTACATCCCAGGGTGTTACTTTCTGCTCTTTGGATTGGGTTGTTGCCTGCTGATTCGCAATGGAAGCCTTGTCCAGGCTCGTAGTGAGCGAGTCCATCGTGGTCAGAGTTTTACTCATCGAGTTTTTGCGTGTCAGGGGTCGACCGTCTCCACTCCACTATACTTCATCCACCCACACTATGGTTTGTATCTCTGACTTACCGAATAGTTGATGTTTTCGGCCTTCAAGACACTAACAGGTCAAACAGTGACAGTCGAACTAAAGAATGACCTTGCCATTCAAGGCACGCTGAAGAGTGTGGATCAGTTCTTGAACTTTAAGCTGGACGACATCAAGGTGTTGGACGAGGCCCGTTACCCTCATATGGTAAGTCGCGCCTGTTATTAACATGATTAGATGGCCGTTAAATCCACATTTATTCGTGGTTCTGTCGTGCGCTGTGTGCATATCCCCGCAGAAGCGGTTGATACCCAGCTTTTGGAAGATGCTACACGGCGAGGTAAGTGGTGATGTTCACTGACAGTAAAGAGGCTGAGTCGCAGAATCGCCAGTAGACATTTGTAAAGGGTATATAGTCTACTTATGCTAAGACTTCTGATTACTTGTGGAACGACCCTGTAAAGCATCGTACCAAGTCCGTCGCCTAGTGGACAAAAATGACCCAATTTGGCTGATTGCAGCAGTTCCCTGTGCCCGCGTAACTTCAAGCGCAGATGGACGGATTTTTCCTTCAGGTGAGGAGGACGCACCATCAACAGCCTCCCGAGATTCATCAAAAGTAGCCCGTGGAGAAGACCATACACTAGAAGAGGCGAGGCGCCCTAGATCCTGACGCCAGGAGCTTGTCACTTTAGACAGGCTGCTACTCCCTGCTTGAAGCGCAGCGGTGAGCGCTTCTTTTGTAGGTGCCCAGTTCTCCTCTAAGTGCAGATCATGTAGTCCTGCTTGCAAGCGCAAGGCCATATCGGTTATGGTCGTCGTTTTTCCAGTAAATGGGTGCTGGTGCGATATAAGGTCGCAGAGTGTGTCATCGGTGTAAGAATTCCACTGTTTGAACACGCGACTCTGGCAAAATGCGTCTAGGAATTCACCACCGAATGATTGCACAACGGCAACATCAGACCCATGGGGATTCAAATGCAAATACTTGGCTGCCGAAAGCAAGCCAAAAACATATTCTTCGAATCGCGCACGAATATAGTCGTCACTGCCTTCATACTGCATCTGATCAGGCTGTCCTGGGTCGGCATGATTCCAAGTTTCCTGTACAACCTGAATGATGCCATCCATCCACCTCCGGTCTGCAGGTGTTAGGGCGATAAGGCTGTTTAAGGAAGGGTCTTGTACTTGGATCTGCATTGATTCAAGCTAATGTAAGCCGAGGTTTACTTACTTCTACCACGACATCAGGGCAATTTGTACGCTGGTGCTTGAAAATCCGATTTGTCGTACCTATTAGCCAAGAGGGAGAGCTTAACATTTCCATCTGCTGCAGGGGGCAATACGGTTGAAAGAAGGCATCCTTGCTGAACAATGGCAATGGCAAACCCATATAGCTCAGCAAACTCTGTCGATCAGTCATTTTCAAGGACTCCGCCTTGCTCCTTCCTTCTGAACAGGTGTTCAACTCAGGCACTGCGGCATCCTGAAGACTCGGTAATAGAGCTGGTATAAGCGAGACCAAATTGTACTGCAGGGTGCAAAGATGCTCGACTGGATAGCCAAAAAACATGGTCTTTGTGTTAATGATCATACACGTACGCGTCGCTGGAGTAGAAGAAGCTTCATCAACATAAGAACCTTAAATCTCCATTTATACACCAACTCACGTAGAGAAGTTCCCATATACAATGTGTTATTTGCATCCAGCTTGTGGTTGTCCTTTTGTATCTCCATGGCGCATGCCAATCCTGACTCTAAATTATCATAGAATTCCTCAAGGATCTGCATATTATTCAAATCACGCTGATCAAAGTAGGCCTGGGTTACCATACTTAGTTTAGCACGCATCGGTCCAAATATGGGCTGAGTAGCAAGAATTACCACAGCCTTTTGGACCATGCTGCGGGTCACTTGAGAGCCTTTATTGATTAGCTGGTCTGACATGATTTGCCGATTGTACGATATTCCAAATATAGTATCATGTTGGATAGACTCGCAATGTAAATGGAAGTAGCAGTAATCCTCACCAGACTACGGGTCAGATTTCAAACTTACCATATGACTCCCATCTGGCAAAGCCATAAATGGTAGCTGAGAGCCAAGTGCCTCATTCTCCTGCAAATGTCGAGGATAACTTTGCTCAATTTGAGGGCCAACCAGATGGTTCTTCTGTTAGCTTGCTTCTAAACGTACGAAGTCAACCACCACAACTCCAATGATAATATGCGATGCATTTTTCTTTTGTTCTAGAGGAGATTTCATCCCACAATCTCCCCACTCTGTTGTTTGCATGCTTCGGCCTTGCGTAGTTGGAGGAGGTTCGGCTTCGTCTGTCACGGACATGAGCTTAACGTGCACTGACTGGCACCAGAGTCTAATGTAGCCACCATTAGTAAGCAAAGCGACACTGACCCACTTGTTCATAGAACGCGCCTGGGTACACGACGCTTGAACGAAACTCGTCTCAACGCTGGTTTCTACGGGTCGCGCTATTGAAGATCGACTCATGGAGGATATTGCTAATGATATAGATAACTCCTCTGATTCTTTTCATGACAAAACAACGACATTTATCCCATTGACCCCGCTTCGTACACCCAAGGCTATCAGCATTTCCGACCTAACGTACTCAGATGACACATCTCGACACGATTTAACCAGAGAAGGAAATATGTACGTGGCTATTGCAGCGCTAACTCTACAGAATTGATAGGATCTATAATGGCCGCGAAGACTGTCTTTTTTCTCGCACTGTCCCTAATGTTTTATTACCATACGTACGTGAAATTGTAACTTACAGGTGAGATAAATCATGAAACATTTGCATCACAGATGGACGAACTCAATGCCACACTTAAAAATGCTATGAATCGCAACTACGGCTTCGTTGATAATCTTATGACAAATCTCACTTTTCAGGTATGGCCTCTTTTATTCGGTACACATTATAAAAGGGTACGATCTTCATTTCTGACAATTAGTGCATGAAACGATTCGTTGCTCAACTTGATCGATTTGAGGAAGAATTCCTATATCCGCATGGCTTCCGGCTTATTCCCCCTGAATATACAGCATTCATGTTTATTGAAATAGTCCCTGTACTGAAGTGATTGGCATAACATACACTTCTTTTTCTTCACTGGACAAGCGTGTCTTTCTACGACGGTTCTCTTTCACCACAAACGATTAATACAATGTATACTTCCGTCACTTAGTTGGGAACCAGCCGAAGACCCATTGGTACAGTGGTTAGCACGTGGAGCTGTTAAACTGGTCGGTTGTACGACTACAAAACTCTAAGGTCACTGGTTCGATTCCAGTATGGGTCGTTCTTTTTGCCCCACCGACACTATAACATTCATATTTTTTTTTGTTCGTTCGGCATTCACCTTTAATCTGACTCTACTTGTCTAATTCCGAACATTCAGATTACATGGATACAAATCTCTACTTTTACTTGTGCTACTCAGTTAGTTGCCCTCATTACATACCCGCTGGTATTGAGCGACAAGCATGGCATGGTCACGCTCATACGGTTCTAGAGTGAGTTGCTCTCGAGGGCGGAATGACTGTATGGTTAGTGATTTTCACAGTTTAGTACGTACGCTCTTTTTCAGCTTGTTCACTTCCTCAGCAAACACAGCCTCAGGCTGGGCTGTAGAATCAATGCAGCTAGCCTTGATTGAGATAACGGCATGACCACCATTCTTCAAGAAATACTCCGCGTTGTATGCCACAATACGTGCCTGGTCAGGCTGGGCCACATCGGCAAAGATGACATCAACGGAACCAACAAGCATACGGTACTTAGCGGGGTGGCGCGCATCTTCGATGATGGGGATCACGTTCGTCCGCTTCTTTGCCATGTTGATTAAGTCACGACCTGACCGGTGCGAGAACTCAACAGCATATACAATACCCTCGGGACCAACAACATCTGCCACATGGCTTACACTTGTGCCACTGGCTGCACCGAGATAGAGCACCTTCGCACCCGGCTTAATGTGAATGTTGTCCAGACCACCGAGGATACCGGCAGCCAGCTTCGAGCGGAAGGGGTTCCACACACGGTATTCGGTCTTCACCGTGCTAGCACCCTCCTCGTCCGTGGAAAGACCAGGTGTCTCGACGGAAATACGCTTCTCCCCGTAAACAGATTCGCCAGGCACCAGGTTCTTGGTGACTAGCAGATGCTCCTTACCCTCAGCAACGAAAACACCCTCGTGACGGTGCGGCTTGACGACAACGTTGGAACCACCCTTGGCACCACCGCGGCCACCTTTGGCACCACCACGGCCACCACGAGCGCCACCACGACCACCACGGCCACCGCGGCCACCGCCGCGGCCGCCGCCACGTGCACCACCACGCATACCACCACGACCAGGAGGGCCGCCACGACCAGGAGGGCCACCACGGCCACGACCAGGCATTCCACCACGACCACCGCGACCAGCAAATGCCATTTTAAGGTAACTGTGCAAGAAAGACTTCAATGCACGCTCGTTGGACGTGAGCCGTTCGAGAGCGAAAGTCCTGGCTGGCCCGCTACACGGCTTTTTTTTCGTCCGAGGCTGCACATGGCACATCACGTGATATCAAGCTGGTCGCGTAACGCGTGTTGCGGCGCGACAGGTCGCATAGCGCGCACTTGCCAACGGGGATATGCCGCGCGAGCTGATCACGCTTCAAGCGGGGCAGTGTGGAAACCAAATCGGATCACATTTCTGGGAGCACCTTTGCCGTGAGCATGGAATCTCCAGGGATGGAACTCTAGAAGAGTTTGCGACTGAGGGTCAAGGTGGTGACCGTAAAGATGTGTTTTTTTATCAAGCTGATGACGAGCACTACATTCCAAGGGCCATTCTGGTCGATCTTGAGCCTAGGGTATGTACTGTTTTCCCGCTAAGTTTCAGGTTATCAACAGCATCATGAGTGGTCCGTACAAGGGACTATACAATCCGGAAAATGTGTACCGCAATGAAACAGGTGGGGGTGCCGGTAATAATTGGGCCCAAGGTTATGCGGCGGGCGAGAAGGCTGCCGATGAACTCATAGAAATGGTGGACCGAGAAGCAGATGGGAGTGAGAGCTTAGAGGTACGTCCAAAACACTGACCATAGGGCTTTTTTCTTCTGCATTCCATTGCAGGCGGAACAGGCTCAGGGCTTGGATCGTTTCTGCTCGAGCGGCTAAACGATGCATTTCCTAAGAAACTAATCCAAACTTACAGTGTATTTCCTAATTCAGAAGAGACATCAGATGTCGTTGTGCAACCCTATAATTCGGTGTTGACACTCAAACGGCTGGTCAACAATGCCGACAGCGTCGTCGTCTTGGACAATGCAGCTCTCAGCCGGATTGCAAGTGACAGGCTTCATTTGCAGAATCCGAGCTATAGTCAGACTAACCAACTTGTTAGCACGGTCATGGGTGCTTCTACAACGACACTTCGGTACCCTGGCTATATGAACAACGATCTCTGTGGCATCTTGGCCTCTCTGATTCCGTCTCCGCGCGCCCATTTTCTCATGACCTCATATACCCCCTTTACATCTGACAATGTGGATCGGGGAAAAGCCACAATGAAGACGACTGTCCTGGATGTAATGAGGCGTTTACTGCAACCCAAGAACCGCATGGTCAGTTTTACTGGGGCAAGCAAGACCAGCTGCTACATGTCTATCTTAAATATCATCCAGGGGGATGTCGATCCACGTGATGTGCATAAGAGCTTGCTTCGCATCCGAGAGCGGCATCTTGCGAGCTTTGTTCCCTGGGGTCCAGCAAGCATTCAAGTGGCACTATCAAGGCGCAGTCCTTACGTTGCTAGCTCGCATCGCGTAAGTGGTTTGATGCTTGCCAATCATACAGGTATTGCAAGTATGTTCAAGCGTACCGCAGACCAGTATGATCGTCTTCGAAAGCGCAATGCCTTCTTGGATATGTACAAAAGGGAGGCCATGTTTTCAAGCGACTTGTCTGAGTTCGATGAGGCTCGCGAGACTGTAGCGGAGCTCATGTCCGGTGAGTGATATTGTCTTACATCCAGAGTACCGTGCTGCAGAAAAGGACGACTATATTACCGGGGCCCTAGCTACGGCTGCGTCATAGTAGTTTCAATTGACAATAGTAAATGAGCAGCGCCCCAGTAAATCTCCACATGGTGTACACTGATTGGCCCCTGACACCGCGTCCTGGGCCGCTCGAGACCCATTGTATTTTTAACTCACGTTCCCTGTCTCACAAGCCAGGTCTGGTGCTTTGCCCTAGTGGATTGCTCATCGAACAGGCGATTCACTTGCAGAAGCATGCCTGATACTGGTTCGCCTAGGGAGACCCGTGTGGTCGACCTCGATATACCCGGACGGGAGCGTGATGAACCTATATCGCCCTCGAGGATTACAAGGCCGGTGCCCAACCGGCCGCAAAGCGCTGATTTGACTCAAGGCTTAGAGCAAATGCTTCATGATGAGTCTTCAGACTCAAGTGAACCAAGTGAGCCATCGGGGCTTGTGTCTGTGCCACTTTCCGACATAAACTCCCCGTCTGAGTATGGGAAGCATAGGCCGCCCTTGACCACGGTTGGTGGGTCGCTTCCTGACTGGATAAGTACAAGTTCACTCAACTATGATGATGAAACAAAGTCTCTTGACATTGCGCTGGGTGACGTGTATGATACTTTTCATCTCTCTCCAGACCTGCTAGATGGAAGTGACCGACGATCTAGCCGGCGAAGCACTGAGCAAAACTGGCGATCATACTTGCCTCTAAGCGGACTGGACAACGATATTCAGCCATCAGGTGAGCCTCCGCAAGATGAAGAAAATCGGATCATGGAGAAAACTAGCATTTCCTCATTGCGCGACTTGTTCAGGAACTTGCGCGATAAATCGCACGCAACACTTGAGCGAGCGCGCAAGAAGCGCGAGGACAAACGGCGCTCTCGAATGACATCGAGTGTATGGCTACCTATGCAAGGTTTGGATGGCCAGAGAGACACAAGTGTTCGGGATACGCGACACATTTACCAGAAGCTGCGGGGTAAATCACTTACCTGCTTTAGTCCTCATAACCCCTTGAGGATTACTTTAGCAAAGGTCCTTGAATCGTGGTGGATTGAACCGTTTATTCTCATTTTAATTCTGATCAACTTGATTGTTTTGATTGTCACATCAAGCCGCGATGTGCGAAACTATCCTTTGAATTTTGACAACATTAACAAAGTTGAAGGCGTTATTCTGCTTGTCGTTTTCTGTCTGTATACACTAGACATGTTTGCGCGCATTATCGTTTCAGGTTTGATCATTAACCCTCCTCCAGAATGCGACCAGCATGCTAAGGAACATGATGGTGTACCATTACATGAGCGATCCAATACATGGGAGGTCCTTGCGAACACATGGAACAGCTACGTGGACAGCATATTTCGTTTCCTTCGTCCTTTTAGCAAGGAAGTGCAAGAACATGCAGAGGCCAAACTTGCAACACTGAATCCTGTCGAAGGCTTGGCTTCGAAAGAGAACGATGCACCTTATCCTGACGCAGAACATGCACCCACTGAAGAGAACCATCATTGGTTCATGCGAGTGTTTTATCGGCTTGTTTCTGTATGCCTACATGTTTCGCATACTATTACTGGCGACAGCGAACAGCTCTGCAACCAAGCTTATTTAAGGCACAGCTGGAATCGAGTTGATTGCTTGGCTATTATATGCTACTGGGTGGCATTGGCACTTCAAGTAACTGGTGCTGGCTCGACATCCTCGCATCACATATATGTGTTTCGTGCACTGAGCGTGCTTCGTTGCTCTCGCTTGCTGGGATTATGGGAGGGTACAGAGACCATTTTGCGTTCACTGAAGCGAGTAGCACCACTGCTTTTGAGAGTTGCATCTTTTATGGTATTTGCCATGGTACTGTTTGCTGTCATTGGTATCCAAAGTTTTAAAGGATCCTACTTACGTTCTTGCGTATGGATTGGTGATCTTAACAACGAGCCCAACCAAAATTACACGCTGAACCAGCTTTGTGGCGGCAGCGTCGACCCGAACAATCAGTCGCAGGTTGTGGGCCATTTTCCCTACCAAGGGAATCAACCCACTGGTATGGACCCGAAGGGGTACATATGTCCGTATGGCCAGCTATGTATGGAGCAGGAATCCAATCCATACAACAATGTTCAAAGCTTTGATGATATCTTTCACTCGCTTCTTCAAGTGGCTGTGATTGTATCCCTAAATGGCTGGTCCAACACAATGTACGATATGGTGGATGCCGATTACTACACTGCTGTCATCTTTTTCATTGTGGGCATTGTTTTGCTCAACTTTTGGCTCGCCAATTTGTTTGTCGCTGTTATCTCACATTCGTTTGCCTCCCTCAGTGCCCAAACGGATCGAAGTGCGTTCGCGGCCGAGGCAATGAAGGGACGCCAGCAGGTACAAACTGAGCCCACTCGCCGGCGTCGTCGAAGGTATGTTGTCGAATGGTATCGCAACAAGCGGCGCTACACACAGTACTTCTGGCTTGCCCTCATTGTACTCAGTGTAAGTGTACAGGGCAGCCAAGCCTCGTATGAGTTTCCTTCTCAGCGTGTATGGCGCGAGCAAATTGAGCGATATCTGATGGTGGCATTTGATGTTGAGATCATCATTCGTATTGCGTTTGACACAATGGATGCTGGATTTTGGTCGTTCTTCGACCGAAAGCGCAATGCATTGGATTTGTTGATTGCTGTGATTACGACCATCATCCAAATTCCCGTTGTACACGATTCTAGCTGGTACCCTTGGCTAACATTTTTTCAGCTGCTCAGGTTTTACCGAGTCATTGCTGCCATTCCACGCATGAAAAGTTTGCTATTGCGTGTTGTTGGTTCGATGTCAGCTCTATTTAACATGATTGCTTTCCTTGTGATGGCAATTTTCTTGGCTGCACTTTTGAGCATTCAGCTGCTACGTGGAGATATCCGTGCTCAAGATGACGATGGTGATGAGTTTGAATTTACTTGGAAACAATTGTTCAATGGGTTTTTGGGCGTATATCAAATTTTTTCATCAGAAAATTGGAGCGATACCTTGCTCAATGTTGTTGCTAGTTCAACGAGGTTCGAGCAAGGTGCCATTTCGGCTATTTTCCTCGTCGGCTGGTTCTTCTTTGCTAACTTTATTTTGTTGCAAATGTTTATTGCTGTCATCAATGAAAATTTCCGTGTAGCTGAGGGTGACAAGTATAAACAACAAATGGAGCACTATTTGCGTCGCTCGGAGCCACCACGGGAATCTATTATAAACCGTATCATGCAATGGCTGAGCCCCTTCCGAGTCCCATTGGAGCAAAACACGGTCACACATCGGTTCCAGGGCCCCGTCGTGGAGAATACGGCTGAGTTTGCTGATACGAGTCGAGTAAAACCGAAGGAAGAGGCCCCGTTACGAAGTCTGTTCATGAGCCTTGTCACACCTGATCAGGCTGGTTTTGCATTTGGCACACTTCAGCGCGTGCTGCGCCTCGACAAGCCCAATGAACACGCTAGACTAGAAGCTCTACAAATGCAGGCTGGCAGTGACAAGCCTTCGCGCACCATGGATGACTTTGAGGAGCTAGTACGAGGACGAGACAATTCTGGCACATTGAGTCGGGACTATCTGAGAACGATGCGCAACGATTTAGGCCTATCAAGTCAAGAAGAAGAAAATGAGTTCCTGAATAACTACATGAACAACTCACACCAAAATCCGCGAGTAAGGCTGGCTCGCCTGTTGGCGGAGCATCCATCGTATGACCGGAGCTGGTTCCTTTTTTCTAATCGGAATCCGGTGCGACGCTTTTGCCAGAGTCTCGCGAAAACATCGCATGGTGAGCGAGTTTTCGGTCGTCCGGTTAATAAATGGCGTAACTATGCTTTCCAATCTGTGGTCTTTGCATCCATCGTTACGTCACTCGTTTTGGCAGGAATTGCGACACCTGACTACCGCAAAAAATTCTACATGGAACATCAAACGCAGGTATACTCCTGGTATTCACTGATTGAGATGAGTGTTTCAGCCATTTTTGTCGTGGAATTTTTTGTTAAGACCATTGCAGACGGATTTGCATTCACGCCGAATGCATACCTGCTAAATATGTGGAACCTGCTGGATATGTTTGTGCTCATATCGCTACTGATCAATGTCATTAGTGAGATTGTGGTCCCTGGTGGTGTGTCCCACTTCACACGTGCACTCAAGGCATTTCGGGCATTGCGCTTGATCAACTTGTCCTCATTGATGCGCGATACTTTTCATGCGGTCATGATTGCTGGAGCCGGTCATATTCTAGATGCATCTTTGTTGGCACTTCTTTACATTATCCCTTATGCCGTTTGGGGCCAGAACCTCTTTGCTGGTCTATTGTACAGCTGCAATGACGACGGTGACCATATTCAGACTAAGTTGGACTGTCATGGAGAATATGCCTCTACCCCTTTGAACTGGTCTTTCCTTGCACCTCGGGCTTGGCACAATCCTTCCGACGGCAGCATATATTCGTTTGATGACTTTAAAAGTGCATTGCTGATCCTATTTGAGATTGTTTCGCTCGAGGGGTGGATTGATGTCATGACTCGAGCCATGAGTATCACGGGTCGTGATAGGCAGCCTAGCCCTGATGCATCGCAACACAATGCAATTTTTTTCTTGATTTACAACTTGATCGGCGCGGTCAGTGTTTTGACTCTCTTTGTGTCTGTGATTATCGAAAACTTCCAGCGATACTCGGGCGCAGCCTATCTCACGACGGAGCAGCGGCAATGGCTGGATTTAAAGCGGCAATTGCAGCGACAGAATGCATCTAAGCGACCCAAGGCGGCTCCTTCTCGTCGCTTTGTGCGCTGGTGTTACGAGGTTTCGACGCGCAAACGGGGTTGGTGGATGCGACTTATGACATTGCTCCACTGTGTTGTGCTCGTCATGCTCATGTCTCAGACTAACGATGACAGTATGGCCGTCGACCGTGGACGCTCGATTGCTTATTCGGCTTTGTCGGTCGTGTTTCTTTTTGATATACTTGTGCGATTCATTGGGTTAGGCTTTACCAGTTTCCGCCGCAGCTACTGGAACTTGTATGATGTGATTGTCATGGCAGGTGTATTTTCAACGAGTATATCGCGCTCTGTGTTCCCCAACTCCTCTCAGGTTCATGCCCAATTGCAGAAAATCTTTTTGACTTGTGTCACTCTGAAACTCGTCCAGCGCAGCGATGCTCTCAACTTGCTGTTCAAAACTGGTATTGGTTCTATACCGGCGATTCTAGCCCTGTTTCTTTTATGGTTCACTATGTTCCTTGTTTGGGGCATCATGCTGGTCGAGGTATTTGGTCTGACCAAGTGGGGCGCGAATGAAACACATGCTAAGAACCTCAGCACCTTATGGGGCACGCTCATTTTTCTCTCCATGACCTCGACGGGCGAAGGATGGAATTCATACATGCATGACTATGGTGTTCAATCGCCTCGATGCACGCCGTCGGATAACTATTTATCGACAGACTGCGGCAGCGTTCCGTGGGCCTACTTCCTCTTCATCTCGTGGAACATCATTTCTATGTTCATTTTCCTCAATATGTTTACTGGTACTGTCGTCGAAAATTTCTCGTATGTATACCACCTGCAGGGAAGCACAGCTTTATCGCGCGAACAAATGCGTATTTACAAGGATGTATGGAGTTTGTTTGACCCCATGGGCAAAGGTTACATATCTCGGGACCAAGTCGTTCCTTTTCTTGCACGACTGACTGGTATGTTTGAGGTTGGACTCTATCCGCCACAGATGCGTCTCAAAGCACTACTCGCACAAAGCAAGGTCGGTGATGTAAATGATGAAGCGTCTTCCCCGACTTCGCGCCGCAATATTTTCCGCTTTCGTACACCGCGCTCCCCCATGTCTCGCACACCCAACTCGCGTTCACCGCAGTCGCACTCTCCACATTCATCTCGCTCGACATCGCCCAACCCGGCGTCGCCCTACACTCCCCGCACTAATCCTACACTCCCATCGGAGACGGGCTCGTTCCTTGAGGTGGGCACCCACAGTCCCCAGTCGCAAGGCGCACCGTCGTTCCTGAATGCAGATATCGACATGTCTGGAGAGAAACGGCCGCGCATTGAGAGTGGCATCGACCTGGACAAGCTGGAAGGGGCGCTACAGAATGCAGATCCGGCTGAGCTTGCTATGCGCCGACGGCGCTTTAACCGGATGTACCATGAGGCACTTATGGCAGACAAGGGCAAGGGCATTTCCTTTTCGTCAATGCTCTTTGTTCTAGCGTACCATAAGATGTGCGGGTCCCCGGTCAACCTTGAGGTCTCTGAGTTTATTGAGCGTCGTGCATTGATGGACAAAATCGACGCGCAGATTAACTTGGAGCGTGTGCGTGGCCTGCTCCGTGGAGTATACATGAGACGAAGGTTCCTGGCCATGCTTCGCGAAGGCGCGCACATCCACATGATGACTGATGGCACAAATGTGCCAACCATTCATATTCAGCGTCCTCTGTCCGAGACAGCTGGCCCCTCGCGCCCTAGGATTCGAATTGATACATCCTTGGGCATGCTAGGTGAAGGTGATACCCGAAATATGCTACACACACCTGAAAATATCCGTTCTAATTACAGCAGTGATGATGGCGACTCGGCCAGTGCAAGCGATGTTCACGTGTCGCCTCATTCGGTCAACCTACCGCGCCGCCGCCTGTCCTTCCACCATGACGATGAGAATCCCTTTCAAGACAATTCTACGTATGACTTATCTCAACTACCTTTGCACCCACCTGCAGATATGGATACGTGGACACAAATCATGCAGCGTCTGTCGGTGGATAGCCGCGTGGCGGACGCCGATATGATGCCGCCTAGTAATGACCCTTCATAGAATTCACGTGATCATTCTCATTCCTGTGGAGAAGCCAGACCCACCGTGCGCGAAGCGTCAACGCGGTATCTTCGCATGTCGGCTGAAGTGCATGGAGGCCGTGCTCCAACCGCGATTTCGAATGAGACGGAGGTGCCGTCAGGATTAAGCGCTCCGTCGGCATCTGCATCCAATGGCCTCTTCAGCTCGGTCATGCAAGGGAACCCCTACTTTTCTGCTGGTTTTGGCCTCATGATCATGGGTGGTGCTTTGGCGTATGCACGCACAGGGCTTCGCTGGGCAGCATCTGCTGCGCAGCGCCGACTGCTTGTATCACTGGAGATTCCCTCGAAAGATCGTGCACATCCCTGGTTCCTGCACTGGATGGGCGCGCAAGCGGCTGCGCAGGCACTCCGTCGCAAGGCGCACCATGGCCACCTTCCCCGCGAGAGCATCGGCGAGTTCTTGGGTCTTACGTCTCCCATGGCACCAGCTGATGCTCCCGCGAACGATCCCCTACGTGCAGCATCGGGGCAGATGGTCGCGCCTGTGCGCATCATATCGCGTGAACTGGCTGTGGACACCCAGGAAACCGAGAACAACGCCAGTGGGAGTGGTATGCAACCTAATGGTAGCGAGCGCGGCCCAGCATCATTCTCGCTAGTCCCAGGACCTGGCACTCATTGGTTCCGGTACCGCGGCGTATGGATGCGTCTACAGCGTGAGCGCAATGGAAAAATGGTTGACCTCACTACCGGAGCACCGTGGGAGACCGTAACGCTGACGACGCTGGCTGCATACCAGCACCTGTTTCCCCAGCTATTGAACGAAGCACGGCAGCTCGCACTGTCTTCGACGCTAGGCAAGACTATCGTGTTCACCAGCTGGGGTGCAGAATGGCGTCCGTTTGGTCACCCTCGCCGCGTGCGGGAACTAGGCAGCGTCGTACTTCCCAGTGACCGTAAAGAGGAAATTGTGAATGACCTGACGCGCTTCTTGGGGCGCAGTACCTGGTATGCCAAGCGCGGCATCCCCTACCGCCGCGGCTACCTGTTACACGGTGCGCCTGGGTCGGGCAAGACGTCTTTTATCACAGCTCTAGCCGGCCACCTAGGCTTCAACATCTGCCTACTCAATCTGGCTGAGCGCGGTATGACCGATGACAAACTCACGCATCTCTTATCGAATGCGCCTGAGCGTAGTATTATGCTGCTCGAGGACATTGATGCCGCATTTCTGGGTCGCAACACCCATGCACCGGAGCGCCATGCCGACGGTTACCAGCCGAACGTAACATTCTCGGGCCTGCTAAATGCTCTCGATGGTGTGGCATCCGGCGAGTCGCGCATCATTTTCATGACGACCAACCACCTGGAACGACTGGATCCTGCGCTCATCCGCCCAGGCCGCGTCGATGTCATTTGCGAGTTGGGTGACGCGGAAGACCGCCAGGTGCATGAGCTGCTCATCCGCTTCTATCAGACGGACCTCGTCGAGCAGCGCGTCCATAAGGTGCGTCTGGCCAACGGCGTGGATCCAGCCGAGTTTGCGCAGGCACCACAGCCACCCGACTACGACGCGCCGTATTACCAACGAGCTTTGCTCGAGACGACGGAGAACTTGCAGGCACTGGCGCAGGAGCTTGCTACCCATGTACGCAGTGCCACTGCGCGCCGACGCATGGCCTTGGGTCTGGATGAACGGGGCCATGAGCCTGGCACGCAGCCGGCCGTGACGCGCCGCGCCGCTCGCGGCGGTGTCAGCATGGCGGAGCTCCAGGGCCTGTTTATTCGTTTCCCTGATGATCCCCGAGCCGCTGTCGAGGCATTTGCAGCAGAGAACGAGCTCAGGTGATTTTTTGAGTGGCGGCAAAGGCACCCTGTAAGCACACCTGAGCCATGGCATCCACCAGAGCGGACGTGATGGGAAGACAGGTTGTATCGGGGTCATAATCCCAGTACCACAAGAAGAGACACAAGGTATGGGCGAGTGCCAGTGCTCCTGCTGCGAGGAGGATGCAGACGGTGATGAGCGCCACCGAAAATGCCCAGTCAATAATGAGTGTCCCGCTCAGATGCAGTGCCAAGACAAAGAGTGCCTGGACAACGACCGCATGGAACAGGAGCACGATGGGAGAGTCCCATTCGAGCACTTGGGGCTGCAGCGACTCGAGTAGTTGCTGGCGCCAGCTCATCGGTGGGGATGCCTCAGCTGCCTGCGCGTCCACGGGTATGTAGCCGGCACCGTGCGAGGGCCGTGTGCGTGCCACGAAGTGCTTGGAATGCAGGGCCGAGGTCAGTCGCGACGCATGCACGGCCGCTGTGATGCCCGGGATGCCCGCGATGACCGGCGCGAGGAGGGGGTATCCATGGTATCGTCCTGCATTTCTTTCTAGCACAAGCCCAGCCAGCGAGCTGAGGGCGGCCGCTGCAAAAAGAGACAGCCAACCGGAGCCTAGAAGCTCATGCACATAGGCGTTGCGTGCGGTCATAACTGCAAAGACCAAAGAGGCCAGTATCAGTACGACAAAGAGGGCAGTTGCAAACCCCGTGCCCTCGAAGAACACGAAAGCAGAACCACAGAGACTCAGGCATGTCATGGTTACAAGGTCGCCGAACGATCCTGCGAGTGGCACGACGATATTATCGGGGTTAAGTCCAAAGTACCGAGCCCATATCGTGCATGCACATACGAAGGCGCCCTGGAACGCCGACGAAATCGACGCCGTAAACTGCGCCACGGAAAGTACCAGCGCAAATTCAAAGTACCCATCCCGTAGTCGCAGCGCCTTGTCCATGACAGGCTTGGTCGAATGCACAGGACCGCGGCGTGCCATGTCGTTCGACTCGCTGCGGTCATGGTGCCCCAGCTCAAACGAGAGAATACCTGCCGCACAAGACACAATCAGCGACTGCACCTGGAGCAGGGCCATGTTGCCTGTCACGAGTGCACGACGCGTGCGGTAGTTGTCTAGCTCACCCATATTGGCCTGCGTCAGTGCGTCACAACGTACAGCCGTCGTCATGCGCATCGATAGGTTCATCTCCAGATTACCTTTGAGATTGAATAAGATCGGCACCAGGATCAGAAACTTGTCCACCTTGACAAAGGCAGGCCAGGTCTGCGTCAGTACGCGGCACATACCGATACGCGATCAAGCTCCAGACCCGAAAAGAAAAGACCAAGCAGGGCAAATATGAGCATGGGCACAGTCTAATGTAAACAGAACTAGCATACCTCGCGTGTAAGGGACCATGCTTTGGCCCAGCGCGACGTGCCCGCCCCTCCAGTGGGGCCGATCATTGCGGGCATCGACCACGGCGTGTCGACCTCCACCTACAAATCTACATGGTGGCCTCGCGCAAAACGTGCACGGAGCAGGTCGGCCCGAAGCCTCAACGAACTCCCATTCAGCCCGGTCTGTATCGACTGGCACGGGGACAAGGGATCACGCCATGATGCCATGCATTGATACATTCCATTCCTGGTCAGGCGCGGGTACGACGCGTCGCGATCGAGGAGCGCCATTGGCTTCCAGCATCTATACGCCTCGTTCCAGGTGGCTGCCTGAGCTTCGGTCGGAGAAAGACACTTGAATGACAGACCATCAGGGGCTTTGTTACTGTAGCGACCCGCCCAAGTGCATCGATATCGCGCGGCTGTGCACGGAGCCACACGCATACACAGAATCAACATGTCCTACCGGGTGGCCATCTCGCGCAAGGCGTCCTCCTGCACCGCTTCGAGGCACGGTCTGTATGGTACGCGCAGCGTCGTATCGTACGAAATTTTAAGCAGTTGCAGGGCAGCCATGCTACCTTGCCAGCATACCTATGTGAATGCATCGTGGCGTGTATGTGCATATATGCTGCTCGCGTTCCAGGCGCTCCCACTCATCGCGTTCCGTGGCGCTCCGTGAGGCGCATCGAACATGGCCGCTTGTGCTGCTCGGACGGTCTGGGCCATGTGCTCAGATCGGCGCTATCACTACACCCGTCGCTGCCATAGTTCCATACCGGGACCCGAGCGTCTAAGAGCCGCCATTTGACGCGCTGCTCCGTCGGATCGCGCTCATCCCAAAGACCAGCATAGATAGTATCGCCGTCTCATCTGTAACGGCGAACTAACGCTCGCCCGACTCCTCGTGAGGCGAGCCTCCATCACGCAGGAAGTGCATCGGTATGGGGTGCTACACATCTATTAGCGAGCGCCAGGCGGGCGGTACACGCCTGTGCGGGGCTTGACGGTAGTGAAGCCGTCCTGGTCTGCCTGAGAGGTACGCGGTGGCGCATTACCCGTGCCGCCCTGCTGGCGCATGCGCGAAAAGGCACCAGGGACGTACCGCCCGCTGCCGCCCTCGGGGCGCGCGCTAGGCGGGGGCGCACTCGACATAGGCGCACGCGGTGCCGATGGCGGTGGCATCATGCCACCACCCGGACCACGGTTGCGCGACAAATCGCCAGGACGGTAGCGGCGGTTGGCAAACATGGGATCGGACGCGCCGCTGGACGCCGCCGGCGGGCCCCGACGCCATGTGTCCGCAGACTCGGCGCGGGACGCGGCTTCCTGGCGCGATGCCTCGAGCCGCTCGTGCGCGCGGGCCTCCTGGGCGGCCTGCATGTCCGACTGGCGGCGTAGCGAGGCCTGGCGCTCCTCGATCTCGGCGCGCTTCTGCGCCTCGAGCTGGGCCTGGCGTTCCTCGTCCGCACGTTGGCGCTCGAGACGCGCGGCGTCCTCCTTCTCGCGCTGCGCACGCTGCGCGGCCTCTTCGGCTGCATGGCGTTCGGCTTCCTCGCGCGCGCGGATGACATCGGCGCGGCGCTGCTCCTTCTCCTGCTCGATGCGGACCTCCGCTTGCTTCCTGTGTTCCTCGAACACAGCATGTCGCTTCTCTAACAGCTTGCGCTTGAGCGACTCGTAGTCGGGCATCATCGACGACAGTGTCGCTTTCATCGCCATGTCGACCTCGTGGCGCTCGCGCGCGACTGCCACACGCGCCGCATGCGCACGCACATGGTTCTCCCGGTCGGCCGCCTTCTGGCGCTCGTAGTCCGCCTCTAGCAGCGGGCGCTCCTCGCGGCGGTACGCACGCTCCAGGTGGTCCATGCGGCGCTGCACCGTGCGCAGCCGCTCGCTCAGGTCCTTCTTCTCCTTCTCGATCTGCTCGACCTGCAATTGTACGAGTTTTTCCGTGTCCATCGACGCAAACTCTTCTTCGGAGAGCTTAAGACCGCCCCGCTCCTTGAGCGACTGCGCCATCTTGCGCGCCTCCTCGAGCTTGGCCGCCTCCATTTCCTTGCGAACATGCTCAAGCTCGCGACGGCGTGCCTCTTCCACAAAGCGGCGCTGCTCCGCCTCCGCCTGCTCGCGCAGGCGCTCCGCCTTGGCGACCGCCTCTTCCTCCTCCTTGCGGCGCGCCATCTCGCGCAGCAGCTCGCGACGGCGCTCAATCGTGGCCTTGCGCTCCACAACCGCGCGATGCTCCTCGGCGGCAGCCTCAATGGCGCGCTGCATTGCACTTGCACGCGCTGCCTGGGCTTGCTCAAAGACACCCTGGTCGAGGACGCGCAGCGATTTATCGAGGCTCACTGCCAGGCTCGCTAGCTGCGTGCGCACAAGCTCCGACGGCTTGGCCTGCAGACGCACGGTGTCCGTCTCGCTTGCGCTCACCAGTGCGGGGTGCATGTCCGCCGCAAACACGTCATCCTGGAAGGTGATCGCGCGCGAAACATGGTCGATGCGCAAGTTGACATGGCCGCGCTTGCAGGCATTCAGGCAGAACTTCTCAATGTCAGCGCTCGTGTAAGAGTAAGGCGCCTTGAACGCTGACACAAGCTGCATGACCTGCTCAAGCTTCACTGAGTCGTAAACCTGGCTCAGCTGCTGCACTAGGCGCGTGAGCACCACCGAGTGCAGGGGCTTGACGTACTTGGCCATGTCGGGGTCCTGAGCGATCTGGCCCAGGATCGGCTCGATCTTCTCGCAGATTGAGAGAGGGTGGAACTGCACCTCGAGGATGTTGTACAGCTCGCGCAGCTCGGGGCGAACACGGCGCAGCACATTGCGGTTCAGCGCCTCGCGCAGCAAACCCGCACGCGTCGGTGTCTTGTTTAAGCCCAGAAGCGAGTTGAGCCGTCCGGTGCGCTGCCGCGTTTCGGAGTCAGCCTGCAAAAAGTCGGGGCGGCCCTTGGCCACGTTCCCGGTGCCAGGGGCCGTTGAGGCAATCACAGGCACGGCAAGCGCACTGAGCAGTACGAACGAGGCCATGCGTGCACTCTCCTCTTCGGTGTGCGCCTGCAAACGCATAAGCGCAAAGTAGCGGTTCCACGCAGCAGCGTGGAAAAGATGGTTTTCGCTGACAATAAAAATGCGAGTCAGCTTTTCGTAGTAGTTCGCCATCATGGCCGGCTTGGGCGCCCGCTTCGCCAGCGTAAGCAGGTTGTGCACGTCTTCGACGCTGCGGAATGCCTCCTGCCATAGCTCGAGCTCGACGGCGCTGTTTAGCTGCGTGAAGCGCGTGTCGAGGTGGCGTTGCAGCGTGTCGGCATCACTGAAGTCAATTGCATTCGTGTGGTGCGTCGAGCGCGCCACGCTCTGCAGGTGCTGGCGCAGTACCTCACACAGGCGGCGGAACTCGGTTTTGCGCTGGTGCTGCAGACAAAAGTGCAGTGCCTGGTCTGCAATCTGCTGGTAAGCTGTCTCCAAGCGCGTGTTGTTCTTCAGGATATCCAGAGCCGTGCGGTACGCCTCCCACAGGAACTTGAGCCAGGGCGTGACAAGCGTGCGGTCAGTGCGGTCGCGCTCCTGGTCCTGAGACACACTGCCGAGCAAAATGCTCTCAGGCGTCTCGCTCTCTTCCAGATCATCCACGTCAAGTTCCTCCGCTGCTGCATCCGCGCGACTGCGGGCTTCGGCCACCTTAGCGTCGGCGTGCTTGACAAAGTGGTGAATCACGTCCCGAATCGACTGAGGGTCTGTGTTCTGGAATGCATTCTTGTACTGCAGTAGTGCCTCCTTAGCAGCACGTCCACGGCGCTGGTCCACACACAGCTCCATGAAACGTTCCATTAGCGGCTCAAGCGAGGCAACCGGGCCCTGCTTGAAGCGCCGGGAGAACGTAAACTCGTGCAGCGCTTGAAGCGCCGCCGAAGCCTGCCCCACATTGATCAGCTCCTCGGAGCGCTTCAACACCGCTTCCGGCTTCACGACTGGCGGCATCACGTAGCAGCCCTTCGCCGGTCGGTTAGAAAAGACGACGCAGAAGAATTGCAATTTGCCGCCCTCTTCCGCAGCTCGGCCGAACCCATACACCCATCGCCACGGCCCTACCTGGTCGTGTCGCGCACCATGGCTGCTGCGCTGCCTGCCGCCGCGCCCCCGCCCGCGCTCTCTAAGAACGCCAAGCGTCGCGCTAAAAAGAAGCAGCAGCGCGAGCAGGACAGGGAGGATGTTTCTGCCCCTGCTTCCTCAGCCCTGCCCGCTAACGCGTCAGTGGCCCACAGCGACGACGTGGAGCATGTCCCCTCGTACATCGAGCCTGCCCCAGAGCCTGTCGCTGCGCCGCTCCCTGAGCTGGACCCTGCGATGGCCGCAAACTTTTCCGCCGTTCTGGAACGTTTCCAGCCCCAGCACGAAGAGTCTTCAACACGAAAGGGGGAGGTGCTTTATGCAGACGACATGTACTCGGACGACGAGGAGGCGCGGTTGCCGAAGTCAACCATGTCGCGGCGTAAGCTTCGTGAAATTCAGCGCATGTCTGTCGCCGAACTCAAAAAGCTCGTTCGCCGTCCAGAGGTAGTCGAGTGGGCGGACGTGGCGTCGCCCGACCCGCGCCTGCTCATCCACCTGAAAAGCTACCGCAACACGGTGCCGGTACCCACACACTGGACGCAGAAGCGGGAGTATCTTGCCCACCGCCGCGGCATGGAGAAGCCACCCTACGAGCTTCCGTCCTACATTGCCGAGACGGGTATTGCGACGCTGCGCAGCGCTGTGCAGAATGCCGACGCAAATAAAACACTCAAAGCCAAGACCCGCGAGCGTGTGCAGCCCAAGCTGGGCCGCATGGATATTGACTACCAGCGATTGCATGACGCATTCTTCCGTTTCCAGACCAAGCCGCCCATGACCAGATTTGGCGAAACATTCTTTGAAGGCAAAGACGGCGGGTCCCGCGCTCGGCATCGTCGCCCTGGTGATCTGTCGCCGGCGCTCCGCGAGGCCTTGTCAATTCCGCCACTAGCGCCGCTCCCATGGCTTATTGCAATGCAACGCCATGGGCCGCCGCCCAGCTATCCCCACATGCGCATCCCGGGCTTGAACGCTCCCATCCCGGAAGGTGCGCAATGGGGCTTTCATCCAGGTGGCTGGGGCCGTCCACCGCTTGATGATCATGGCAACCCCATTTATGGTGATGTGTATGGCCAAACTAAGACAAGCAGTGACCACACCTTTATGCAGGACCCGCCTCAGCGTGACTATTGGGGCGAGCTACCGCCTGAGGAGGAGGACATGGAGGAGGAGAGCGAGGACGAGGACGAAGAAGACGAAGAGGACGAGGGTGAAGAAGCCATGGATGAAGAAGAGGAAGAGGAACCTACCGTGGTGGAGTCTGAGGCGGCCGCTGGCCTGGCGACGCCCTCGGGCATCCAAACGGTTATGGCAGGTCTCGAGACGCCTGCGCATATCGAACTGCGCAAGCCAACCGCGCCACCACCCAACAGTGAAAAACCAATGGGCCCGCCCCCGCAACTATACCACGTCTTGCCAGAGCGCAAGACAAGCACCAGCGGTCAAGGGCTGATGGGCAGCGACCACTTGTACGATGTACGCGCAGCACGCGAATCTGATTCTACATAGTTATTTCTTGGAAGCTTGTAAAATCGCATCTGCCTCCCGGAGAATATCACTGATTGTGCGGCGATGGCCAGCGGGCTTGGTGGGCTGAGACACGGCGCGTGTAGAGTTCATGGACCTAGTGTCATTAGGTCGCGGCTCCATAGGAGGCATGGCCGTGACAATACGACGCCCAGAGACATTGGCTGAAGTCGTTGACATCGGTGCTCGGGCTAAATTCGGAGAGTCCAGTAGCTTGTCGGCCAGCGGTTCTGCCTCGTCCTGCGGCGAAGTCACTTTCTCCTGCTCAGCACTCGGCGGCTCTGACAGCTGCTCTGTTTTCGTCGGTCCCTCAAGAACATTCGTTGCATGAAGGTCAGTATTAGGGTCTTTGTTCGATGCGCTCGACGCGATGGTGCCCTGCGGCGATTCATCGATCTGAGAAAAACGAGTCGGAGTGTCGGTCGTTTCATAAATCTCGGCACCTCCGGTCCAAGGTTCCCTTGAGCTGGGCGCCGACTCCTTCGAGTAAACAGAACCCGAGTCGCATGGGTCCTTCGCAGCTTCTCGTTCCAAGCCCGTATTCATCGACAAGGGAGAAAGCGACTCTGCTCCAGAATTCTCCGGAAGTTCCTTGAGGCTAGGCGTCTCTTGCTCATCCACCGTACACTGGCTGCCAACCTCTGACTTGATCTTCCTGTCTAACGAATGGAGCAGTTCTGGGTCTTTCACGTTCAAAGATGGATCTTCGGGTAGAGAGGTAGGCACAGTCTGCCGTTCAACCAACGTATTTGTGTCTGCAACCTGCACTGACACAGACTCTGAATTGGTGGCTGCCAAAGTCTGACTTTCCAGCTTTTCTGCGTCACGATCAGCGGTATGAACGATCGTTGTGACATCACCCATATTTTCACCGGAGAGCTCATCAAGTCCTTGCACTGGAGCAGATATATCCGCCTCGGAAACTTTGGGCGTCGCCAGGTCAGTAGAAATAGCAGTTTCCTGTATGATACTTTCGTCGCTGTGACTCTGACCGTTTACAGACAGAGAAGTATCGGCAGGGACGGGTGCTTCACGATTTATTGGTACTTGCACCGCCTCTACAGGCGACGCTTCATCGATACTTGATACTAGCGCGGAGGATTGTAATGCGTTCCCCACTCTGTCCGAGTCGGTATCACCAGTACTCTCAGTTTCACCCTCAGAATCATTCTGCACTTGGTCAGACACGTCATGCGTAGCCTTCAACAGATGAGTAGGCTCGGCATTTTCTATCTTGACCACAATAGGTGTGTCCTTTTCCTCGTTCACATAAGCTTCCTTAGTTGCCGCATCTGTAAGACTTGTATCAGCATCCTCCAAGTCCTTTGCGATTGATGCTAGGTCTGCCGTTGGCTCTTTGATCGTTTGCTCTGCCGGACCATCTTTGGAGAGACTAGGTCCCGCATGGGGTATCGAGTCAGGTCCGATACACGCTTCGTCGGTCTCACGAAGGAGTTTCTCATCACGCTGAACAGATGAAGCATAAGCATCACTGGCTGTCGAATTCTTTTGATCAGAAGTGTCCTTGGTCACGGTATCTTCTCGATTAAGGATATCAGCATGAGCAGTTGTTTCCTCCATAATAGCATCATTATTACCTCCTTCGAGGGATCTGTGTGAATTCTCGCAAATAAGGTCCTGGTCGTCCTTGTGTGGGGCTGTTCCCGGTAATTCTGGTTCCATGACAGCATTTGATGGAGATGGTGAATCTTGCACAGACTGTGCAATGATTAGAGGTGGGAAATTTGTCTCTGTAACCTCTTGTTTATCTGAACCCACTTGATTGACAGGCACTCTTGCCTTGTTACCTTCCAGTTCCAGCTCCTCAGCTATTGCATCTGGCTGTTCTGCCAAGCGCCCATTCTCCGCAGGCTTGCAGGATGATGTCGAAAAAGGGGGGACGTCGGGAGACGTATCCTTACGTTTGAATGCAAGTACACGATCGTCAGTGGGCTCTTCGACACCCTTGCCTTCTGGCCTGACATCGTGTATGCCACTACTGGCATTCTTATCATTCATTGATGGCGCATCTTGTTTTTGCACTTCCAGTTTGTCAATATCTGCTGTTTCCCGATCATTCCTACCGACCTGGTCTTCAGTCGACTCTAGTGCATTGGTCGATAAACCGGTAGCCTCCTTGCCGAAGGCGCAAGTCTCAGCGCCTGTTTGTAAATTTCCAATGTCATCAGCATTCGGTTCTTCATTGATCTCAAGAATATCATGGTTTGTAGATATGGAGACGGGTTCTGCCATAGACGGTTCAAATGCTACATCGTCTTCAGTTCCTTCGACATTATGCCGGAAAGGATGGCTCTTCACCACGTCAGAAGACTCGACTTGACTCGCTGGTTCCGTCAGGCCGGTATCTTGCGTGTCCAATATCTCTGTACGTTTTGATTCCTCAGGTGAAATCTTGTTTTTTGTTGTTTCCATTCCTTCATGGGAGGCATCATCCTGTGAGCCCAGATCCTGAACATCGGTATTTGGATCTTCTAGGGTATTGCCCGACAATATTACATTATCAGTGATAATGTCACCCCCCGAGTTCTTGTAATCAGTCTCTGATCCCACAGATACATCAGGGACAAATACGTTTGATTCTGGTTCTGGGCCTGACGGTTCAACAAGTGCATCAGCTGGTGTCGCGTCACGAGTCTTTTCATTGTCGTTCCTTGATATGTCTGCAGGCTCGCTAGTTGTTGACGAGCTCTCAGCATGGTTGTCTTCTTGATTCGCAGATGAATTTGCACAGGAAGTCACATCCTTGTCCAGATCCCCGGAAACCACATCCTCTGAATTAGGTTCTTCACGTTTAGCCATTTCTTCGTACTCCGCTTGCTTATTTGGCTGCTCGGATCCAGAGTAGTTGACATGTTTCACAGTGGTTGCTTTCGTATTGGTCTGCTCCATACGAGACTTTTCCGGCTCCGAGATTTTGTCTGGCTCCTTTTCACCCTGATTTTTCTCCGGCATTTCTTCTGCACATTCATCAGCAATTTGTGGTTGCCCGTCACAGTTGTCTTCTGAGCCTTCATTCAAGCTGGCCTTATCTTTATCTTCAGGCAAGAGACCACTAGGGGCCTCTGTACCGACTTGAGATAAATCGGTGGCTTCATTACACTTGGCCAGGTCGGCTTTTGCTATTGTCTCTGGTTCCGGGGAAGGTAAACTTGCTGGCTCTTTGCCGTCAGTCTTTAGATTAGGAATAGTGCCATCCCGCAAGAAGGCGTCAGCTTCCTCTGCACTAATGGTTTTATTTGACAAACCCAGACTTGAAAACAGTTCATCGTTTCTTCGGTCATTTTCAGTGCGTGCCATTCTGTCTCGCCGCTCGGCCATGATTTCCTGTAATGGACGACTATTAAGCTTCATTCGAGGAGCGGGTCCGCGTGGCTTAACTTCAACACCAATAGCTTTGGCTGCCTCAGAAACAAGGTTCCGAGATTGTGGGTCATACTTCGCACGCTCAACTTGTGTGGGAGCACCCTTGGAGGGCATTGCAGGGAGCGGCACAGGTTCGTGGCTCAGTCGATTCGATGGCGTGTAAGAGCGGCGCGTCGTCCGTGGAAGTGGTTTTTCAAGCTCTTTGAGTAGTGCGTCGACCTCAGCATCTGTCACTGTAGTACCCTGGGGAAGGAACGAAAGCACATCTTCGTCCTCAAGCGTGCGCCTGCCTTGGCCTGGGGCAGCCGGTGTAGGGTTCACTGTGGGACCAGGTGGAAGCTTAAGCGAGCTATGCAGCTCAGATGGAGCCTGTGGGCCCTTCTCAACTGGCTGTGTAGTACGGCGTGTGGGATCAATTTGGAGAAATCCCTGGAGATCACCGAGCTCGACGGCTTCTTCGAATTCTTCAAAAGTGCCACGCCACTCGTTGTGAACTAAAAGTCCAGGCAGTGGTGAGTTTTGGGACTGTGTGAGCGAATGGGTCGTACCTTGGCTCGCCAGCGGCGTTTCGCGTCCTCATCGGCAGACAGATCATGGTATACAAAGGGGATCTTGGTAAGAGTCGCGTACCAACCTTGAATGCTGTCAGCACTGACACATAACGATCGTGCCTTGAGCGTGTTCTTGGATTGCCTAAGATGGAGGTGGAGAATAGTTCTACCTCGGCACTCATGCCATGGGACGCGTGAAAGAGCCTGGGCTCCAAGTGTTGGTCCTTGCGGAAGAACGTCACGTGAATCGTAGGCCGCGCGTCGGTGCGGAGCGAATCGTTCTGAGACGACGGCGATGACCAGTGCGACGATGAGCGAGTGTCGGAGCGGCTTTGACTTTTCTGGCCATGTTCGCAATGCTGCCCTCACTGCACGTGGTCATGTTATGCCGCGTGCCACTAGCACAGGTACTACAATTGTCGGTCTGATCTACAAAGACGGAGTGGTCTTGGGCGCCGATACTCGTGCCACTGAGGGCCCTATCGTTGCGGACAAGAACTGCGAGAAGATCCATTATATCACTGAAAGTATTCGCTGCTGCGGTGCTGGGACCGCCGCTGATACGGAGTTTGTGACAAACATGATCTCCAGTAATATGCAGTTACACGAACTGCACACTCGGAAGCGACCTCGTGTGTTGACAGCCATGACCATGCTGAAACAGCGACTTTTCCAGTACCAAGGATATATTGGTGCTGCCCTTGTCCTAGGAGGTTATGATACGACAGGCCCTCAACTGTTTACTATCGCACCTCATGGATCTACCGACAAGCTGCCCTATGTAACCATGGGTTCTGGTTCGCTGGCTGCCATGTCGGTGTTTGAGAGCCGCTGGCGTCCGGAGATGGATGTATGTCTCTATGTCTAAACTTACGTGCAGGAAGCGGATGCCATTCAACTGGTTGTTGATGCAATTGAGTCGGGTATCTTCAATGACTTGGGGTCCGGCTCAAATGTGGACGTGTGCATTATTCGGGAAAAGTCGACGGAGATGCTTCGAAACTACCGAATGCCGAACGAGCGCGCCCAAAAAGAGCAAAGCTACAAGTTCCCGCGGGGTACGACCAAATTTACCAAGGAAGAGATTCGTTCTATGGTGGTCAAAGAAGGTGCGTCATGAGTCACTGACCGAGCTAGACGTGCTCAACTTCGACAAACCAGCACCCACGGAGGCCACAGGGGAAGCGATGGACACGGACGCATCGTAGTTGAGAGACGGCGCCTCTTTCGTTGCCACGTGATGGTGGCCATGCCATAGTACTGATTGGCCAAGTAATCGGGTGCCCCGCCCTGGATAGCCGGCTCCCCGCATACAACCATGTCTAATGCTTCATCGAGCGGGAAGACGCAGATCCATGTGGGTCGCGTGGACGATTTGCCGATCGGATCTATGTGCGAGGTGCCGCTGGATGCCCCCTTCGACGTGCCGGTAAATGCGATCGTGGCCAATGTACACGGCACGTTTTATGCGACGTCGTCCCGGTGTACTCACTATGGCATGCCGTTGAGCAAAGGTGTCCTTACAGATGATGGCAAGCTGTACTGTCCCTTCCATGGTGCATGTTTCCGCGTAACCACTGGTGATATTGAAGATGCACCGGCCCTGGACCCGCTGCAAACTTTTGACGTGGAAGTCAAGGACGGCCAAGTGTATCTCCTCGTAGACTACGAGACGTTAAGGAACCCGTCCACTGCGCCATGTCCTTCAGAGTTAAAGGGCAAGCGTCAAGGCCCCCACACTGTTTTCATCGGTGGTGGCGCAGTTACGTTACATGCTGTACAAGAGATGCGCCGTCTGGGGTATAAGGGTCGCATTACGGTGCTAACGTCGGAGCCGCATCCTACCATTGATCGACCGCGCCTGAGCAAGTCTTATGCGCCTGACGTGGATCATGCTCTCATCCGCAATGAAGCCTATTGGCGAGACACCCTGCAAGTTGATCTGCGCCTGTCAAGCCACGTGTACATGATTGATACCCGGATGAGGCGCATCCACATTCGCGGCGGTAATACATTGATCTATGAAAAGCTCGTGCTGGCCACTGGCTCTGTTCCGCGGCGTCTACCTGTTGAGGGTGCCCATGCCCAGGGCGTGTATGTTTTGCGATCGCTGCAGGACGCACAGTCTTTGACGGCGTCCTTGAAGCGTCGTGCAGCACCCAAGCTGGTGATTATTGGTACAGGATTTATTGGTCTAGAGATGGGCATTGCCTTAGCCAAGCACGCTGATGTCACACTGATCGGTCAAACCCATGTGCCGCTGGAGGGTCCACTTGGACGCCAAGTGGGCGGTGGTCTTCAGACGGCGATTATGAATGAGCGACCATTGCGCTTTTTAAACGCTGTGGATGTGGTACGCATCGAGACCGATATGGATGGGCATGTTCGGGGAGTCCTTGTCCAGCCGCGTGCACGCGGATCGCCTGAGCTATTTCTGCAGGCGGATATGGTGCTCATGTCTACGGGTGCCCGACCTGCAACGGACTTCCTGCGAAACTCACCAAGCTTCCCTACTCTGCGGCCGGACGGATCTGTGGAAGTGGACTCTGCGCTGCGTGTCAATGGTCTTCGAAATGTTTATGCAGGTGGTGATATTGCAGCGTACCCTACGGAGAATGGGGTGGTGCGGATCGAGCATTGGAACGTGGCGAGCAATCATGGCCTGGAGATTGGTCGTATGTTGGCGACGGGGCGCGTACGTCCATACAGGCACATTCCTGTGTTTTGGTCGGGCCTTACATCTACGCTCCGCTATGCCGGTACGGGTCATGGGTACAATCAAGTATATGTGGATGGCGAGCCCGATGAGGCCGAGTTTATTGCGTACTATGCAAAGAACGACAAAGTGATTGCCGTGGCGACGTATGTATAAAGATGCTGACAATTTTCAGAATGTGGAAAGACCCCATGATGGCCCAGGCCCTAGCCTTGATGCAGGCGGGTAAGATGCCTAAGCTGAGTGTCATTGCGGCGGGGCTGGACCTCATGACGCTCTCCACAGCGCCCGTGCGCCGTCTGTAAGCGGAACGAAGTAGAGTTTTGCCATCGGGCCTACATTAGCCAACCACGTGCGAGTTGCCACACGGCCCGCGTGGCTCTGGCAGTTGATTGCGATCAGGCGCCTTTCCCTCCCACGGTGTAGCTGGACCTTTCTGGGCGAGATGAGCACGCAAGCATTGAATCTCTCGCCTGCCGAGCGGCAGTCGTTCGCCCATCTCTATGCGATGGCGGACCCGGCCAACTCGGGGATGGTTACAGGCGAAGCAGCTGTCAAGTTCTTCGAAGGCTTTCAGCTGCCGACGCTTACGCTTGGTCAGATTTGGTCCATCGCCGACAATGCAAACAATGGCTTCTTGACACCTAACAGCTTCAGTGTGGCTCTGCGTCTCATCGCTCGTGCACAGCGCGGCGAGAGCGTGAACGAGCAGGCTGTGCATCAGCCTGGCGCGCCGCCCCTCTATTCTGGAGCAGGGCTTTCCGCCGACCGCGCCGCGCCATCTATCACTAAGGAAGACAAAGCGCGTTTTACGCGCATCTTCACTATGGTGGGCCCAAAGAATGGCGTGCTGAGTAGCGAGCAGGCCAAGGATGTCTTTTTGAAATCAAAGCTGCCTTTTGCCAAGCTGGGCGAAATCTGGAATTTGGCCGACACGAAGCAGCGCGGTGCGCTGGATCTGACAGACTTCATCATTGGTATGCACTACATTCAGGGCACAATGAACGGTACGATTCCCACTTTGCCGAGTGTGCTACCGCCTGGCCTTTACGAAGCAGCGAGCGAATCGGCTCCCGCGCCTTCCGCGAATGCCGCCCCCATGCAGCCTCAGCGCACAGGCGCAGATCCCTATGGCAATATGGCCTCCGCACCGCTTGGCACGCCGAGCATCATGTCACCGACAACACCCGGACTCGGCGGCTTGCCGAGTGCGGCGCCGACATCGATGCCGTCCGCGCCGATGGGCGACTGGATGATTTCGCCGGCAGACAAAACTCGGTACGATGGCTTTTTCGATTCACTGGATGACCAACACGCGGGCTATGTGGACGGTGGTGTCGTGGTGCCGTTCTTCCTGCAGAGTGGACTGGATGAGGGTACGTTGGCGCACGTGTGGGACCTTGCGGATATCACGCAGGATGGTACGCTGAGCCGCGATGAGTTTGCCGTGGCCATGCACCTGATTAATGAGAAGATGACTGGCAAGGCGCTACCGGAGCAGCTCCCGCCCGCGCTGCTCCCGCCCTCGATGCGCTCGCAGGCGCTGCCGACCGCAGGCACGGCGAAGCCGACCGAGACACAACGTGAGCTGTTCTCGCTTCTTGATACGGATGTACCGCCGACTATGTCGGCCAGTGAAAAGACGAGTGCATTTGGCGCCCCAACTGCGCCGAATATGATGCCCATGCAACCGGAACCCAGCGCTACGCCAGCTGTGGACACGAGTGTGCCTGCTACTACTTCTACGGCGGCCGCCGAGCCACCCAGCCGCAGCGCGCCTGCGGACCCATTCCAGGCATTCGATGACGATTTTGATGCACCTGTACCTGTAGCGCGTGCGGATCCAAAACAGGACGAGACACTCGCGGCCCTATCGTCTACCAACAAGAGTATTGATGAGATGAAGGGACGACAGGCGACGGCGACGCGCACGCTGGGCGAGCAGCAGACCACACTGGCGGAGCTGGAGGCACAGCTTGAGCGTGCTAAGAGTGAGCATGCAGAGCAGGAGACGGCTGTGACAGCCGTGGAGCAGAAGGTGCAGGCTCAAGAGTCAGAGATCGAGACGCTTCGGCAGAGCGTGATCCGTGAAGAAAGCGAGGTCAGCGCTCTTAAGACCCAGCGCGCTGAGCTGGAACAAAAGCTGCTGCAGGACCGTGATGTTGCATTTGAGCTGAAGCGTGAGCTGTCGCAGCTGCAGATGGAAACGGAGAAGTTGCGTGCCGACAATGCTCGCCTCGAGGAAGAGGCACGGGCGCAGCAGGAGTCAATGGCCGCTACCCGTTCGCAGCTTAGCCGTGCTAAGGACGAGCAGACTGCCCTTCAGCCGCCCACGATGCCCGCGTCGAACCGCTTCAACCCCTTCAGCATGATGACTGGTAGTGCGGAGGAGACTCGGGATCGCGCAGCAGTTGATCCGCCGTACGGTTTTGACGATGTATTCACTGCTGTTGGCACGAGTGGTGCCGCTGCTACGGGCGGCCTCACGGCGGCGACGGCGGCGTACGAAACGGGTGCCGAAGCAGATGAGCCTGAAGAGCCTGAGGAGGCCGATGCGACGCCCTACAGCCAAACGGAGCGTGTGTATGGTGGTGTCGAGCCGCTTGGCCACGAGCACTCGGCGATTTCAGTGCCGGGTGATTTTCCTGGCGAGGCCAACGAAAACGTGTCCTTGTCCATGGAGCGGGAGATGGAAGGACAGGCACTCACGCGCGACCTGTCTGGCAAGCCGTTGCAAGGCATCGATGAGCAAAGCGCTGTTCCGCCAGTGCCGGCTGCAGCTCAGCCACCGCCCTCGGTGGCCAATGAGCCTGTTGCGTCGTCAAAGGCGTCTATGATCGCAATCCCGCCGTCGTCGGAGCCTGTTACGCCTGCAACCACGCAGGGTGCTCAGGTGGACGACTTTGACAAGGCTTTCTCGCGCATGGGTCTTGCACATGTTGTGCACACGTCAACGCCGCGTACCACGGCGCCAGAGAAGCTGGACACGAACCCAATTGATCAGAACTTTGGGGCCGCTGTCCCTGCCGGCGATGCGACGCCGAGCTCGGCCAGCGGAGCGGCCAAGCCTGTCGTCGTCGATGTGACTCCAACGACACAGAGCATGTCGGCGCTTCCAAGCTACCTGCAGACTACTGCGGCACGAGCACCAGCAGCGACTTCGTCGCCTACGTCGTCTTCGTCAGTGCCGATGCCCCTGCGTGCGGGTATAATGACGTCTACGCCCGGTCTTGGATCGACGTCGGGTCCCTCGACGCCTGCATCGGCTGGTCCAATCTCTCCTCCAGCGACGCAAGCGCCATCTGTGCCTGTATCCATGCCGATCCGCGCGCCGGCTGAGACACCCGCGCACGACGGCTTCGACGACCAATTCGATCCCAGCAGCGATGCCACGGGGCGCACCGGCGCTGCCGGCCCCGAGCGAGCACCTTCGCCGCCAATCCCTGGCGACATTGGCCCGGTGCGCCAGCTGTGCCAGATGGGCTTTTCACGCTCGGCCGTCGTCCGGGCGCTCGAGCGCAGTAACTACCGCACGGAGCGCGCCTTGGAGCGCCTCCTCTCAGCCGCTAAGTAGGCCTCCATAGACAAGTCACATGATCCCTCTGCTTCGTCGCGCTAGGCACAGCTCTTCGACGCTACGGAATGGCACGACCCTCCGTGCGCGGCATGCCGAGCCGTGGCGGTGCGTCGTCGCTGGGGTGCGCACGAGACATCAAGGCGCGTCTCTTTGAAGAGCTAGGGCCGCGTGCGGACGAGTACTGGCGCGCGCTCGTATCGCTGTGCACAGCCGCGATCGACCGTGCCGAATTCCAGGCGCGGGTGCAGCCCTGGCTGCCCGCATCGTGTGTAGTACTGCACAATTCGCTCGTACTCAGCATGATGGCTGAGGCTTCGGCACCGGTGTCGTCGCTGGGCAGCGGCGCCGTGCATGGAATGCAGGCGCCTACCTCTCCGATCCGTGCGCGAACAAACCTGCTTGACAGTGACGACGACTCGGACGATGCACGCGAGCCGCCCGTAGGCGGCCACCCTGGGCGGGGGCTCAAGCGTCTGCGGCATATGTACGCAGGCCTCTCCCAACACGAGCGCAAGCGCCTGCAGTCGCTCCCCAAAACGGACCATGCGTCCTTGCACACTGCGGCGTCGGTGTGGGCCGGTGCTGGCGCCGAGCTACTCGAGCGAAAACGCAAGGAGGATGAGAAGCGGCGCGCTGTCGAGGAGCGCCGCCGCACACGAGAGGCCAAACTCGCGATCGGCGCGTCCCACTGGCGCCTCGCTGCGATGCAAACGGCTGCCCAGGCTGACTCGCTGCGCTCGCGACTGTCACCCACGATGCAGGAGACTCTCGCGCGAAGCGCTGATACACCGCACTGCATTGAGGCTCATGAGCTTCCTGACGTTTACACGCTGCAAGACCGCATGTCACTGGCTGCGATCGAGGTGGGTCTCTCACATGGCGTGCACGTCCAAGCGGCCGCTGTACTCCTCGCGGCCCTGCAGGACCATTTGCGGGCGATATTACGTCGTACTCTCGCTTACTCGCGCGGGTCGAAGCGCTCTGACGGTTCGCGCATCCGCATGCCTGATATCCAAGCTGTGCTGGACCTGGCGCCCCATGTGTTGGTTGAGCCGCTGGGCCAGGGGCCACTGGAGCGGCTGCTGGCCCCCGATGGCGATGGAAGTACCACCGGCAGTGTTGACGGCGCAGGTGTGTCGTGGGTGGAAGACGATGCTATCCGGCGTGTGGCGCGAGAATGTGCGACCACAAAGTTGGCCTCGCATAGCGCACCAGCCGCGCCTCCGCCGCCAAACGCAAGCCATGAGCAAATTCTGCGCCTGCAGCAACAGACGCAGCGCGACGCCGTCCGGGACCAGGTGATTCTCGATCAGCTCGCTCCGCTGCGCCTGCTCGACCGGCCTGTGCTCCGTGAGTCTCTCGCGCAGACAGACTCGGGGCTGCATCCGTCTTTGTCAACGCCCATGACCGTGGCACTCGAGCAACATTATCAGGCGGGACACCACCATCACCATCACCAGCACCCGCATCCGTTGCATCGGCACAAGGACGAGTTCTTCGATGTGGTCGATCCCATGGCCCTCCTCGGCAGCCTGTGCAAGCCATAGCTGCATGTATCACTACACTACTTGTCTAGCACATCCCAGCGACCACGCAGGCCCTCGAGCCACCGCTCATAAAGGAGCGACGCCAGGCGCGAGTGGGCTGCAGGCACCCGAGGCGCGTCACCCTCGCGCGCCGTGCCATCCTTGAGCATGTCAACCAGCTGCTCCAGGTACTCGGGGCGCTGACGGCCCACCTGGCTAAGCAGCGCGTGTAGCTGGTGCACGAGCGAGCGCAGCGTCGACGCCTCGTCTGGGTCTTGCCCGGCCTGGAATGCGAGCTGCTCAAGCGCTAGCTGGATGCGGTTCTGTGCAGTCATCGATGGCTGCTCGGTCAGCTGTCGCACGGGGCTGTGGCTCACGGGGTAAGCACGGCTGCTCGTCTTATTCGGGGAAGCCTCACGCCGAGGCGAGTGCGGCGTGCTGGGCAGGTCCAAGTCAGCAGCAGGCGCCGTGGGAGGCGGGGTATGTACAGGGACAACAGGCGCCTGCGAGGCGTCTCGCACGGACATGGTTGCCTCGGCAGGGGGGGGCGCATCGGGCGTCGTGTCAAACTGCCATTCACTGAATGTGCTTGTGTCCAGCACACTACTCTTGTCCTGTAGCGACAGACTAGATGTTGAACCGACAGGCGGGCCACGCGCATCGATCACGCGCTGCAGAACCTCGAGGGAGCCGGCGCTTTCGATCCATGCATCTGTCCGCAGTTGCCGCGCCGTAGCACGGTCGGCAGCGCTTTTCGCGAGGCAGCGATCGACGAAACGCACGAGGCCGGGGTCGTGGCTAGCTTCAATCCGGGGCGGCGTCGCTTTCGGGATGAGGAACATGGCGCGCATTGGATGATATTCGGATAGAGGTGGGTGACCCGTCGCTAGCTCGATGGCGGTGATACCCAGCGACCAAATATCCGCACGCGCATCATAGTGCGACTGCTTGATCACTTCGGGCGCCATCCAGTAGGGCGATCCAACAAGGGTATTTCTCCGAGATCCCCGATGTAAAAGCTGCGCTGCAACGCCAAAGTCCGCTGCGGTCAGTGGCAGGTACGTACCAAGCTTCACCTGGCCGTGCCGCGTCAGCAGCACGTTGGCCGACTTGATGTCGCGATGGATGATACCTTGCGCATGTAAGTAGTCGAGTCCAAGCACAAGCTCTCGACATACAACAGCAATAGCCGCATCTGGCAGCGCACCTCCATGCTGCAAGAGAGACAGGCACGAGCCGCCATCCATAAGCTCCATTACCACCCATAGCGTGTACTTTTTTACAAAGCTACCATAGTACCGCGTGACACGCTCACAGTCCTGGCACTGGGCGAGACTTGCAATCTCGCGTTGAATCTCCATGAGGTCTTGAGTATGTGAGTCGTCACCAGCCCCATCGCCTGTGCCCTCGAGGGCAATCTGCTTCACAGCGACGACCTGGGACGTGGGAGTGTGTAGCGCCTCAAATACCTGTCCAAAGCTGCCACGACCGAGGCGCCGCAAGATATTGTATTCATTCCATGGATCATGGGCCCCGGCTCGTGGGAAAGGCGCCGGCATGCGACTCCGCTCGTCCCACCGCGGCGACGAACGTCGCTCGGTCATCGCACGCGATGTGGAGGGAGCTGTACCGCCGACGTTGGTTGGCGTGTCATTCTATCTGTACATCTAGTCCACCAGCACACCGACGAGCTCCGTGGACGGGACCTCGGGTGTGCCGGCTGAGGTATCGCGGCGCGGCCGGTGCCAAGCAGAGAACCAGCCATGTAATGTATGGATGGTGCCCCGCAGGGTGGCGGGAGAAGGTTCTCCACGCAGGTCACGAGGCTCCTGCGCGGGTGCCGCGCTGCTCCCCACAGACACCGAGTAGGGTGGCGGCGCCTGCATGGAACGCAATGTAACCATGCAGATACCCTGCGCGGCAGGAGGGGCATGCTGAGGCGTCGCCGTGTCTAACACGGATGCGTCGTAAGACGGCACGCGCACAAGCTCGCCAGTGTCTGTGTCGCTCTGGAGCTGACTCGATGAGCTCGGGCTCTGCGCAGACTCGATCAGGATACTGTCCTTGTCCTGACCATAGGCCGGCGGCGGCGCCAGCGTGCCGACCATGGGCGCAAGGCCCCACCGCTTTACATTCGCCTCGATAAAGACAAAGCCCGCCTGGCCAAAGTTGACATGGATCTCGGCTGGTCCATCTGCCGAGATCGTCGGGAACAAATTGTAGCTGTAGAGCCCAACAAATGCCTCAGAAATGCGCATGCCGTTGCGTGTGAAGAACACGGACCCAGACCGCGGACGATAACCAACACCGATAACGTCACCGTGAACATACGCAGGCCCGTACGACTGCATGTGGAACGGATGGTTGTAGCACTTGGAACCGTCTTGCGAAAAGTAGCCAACGGAGTGCTTACACAGACCTGGAGCGCGGAACGACGGATAGGGCTTCGTCGATAGCCCGACGGCCACATTGGTCGTCGCAGGTTTGTTAAACATCTTGGCCTCCCAGTAGTAAACTTCATTTTGTTTCGGCAGTGGAAGGTTGCTCTGGATGGAACAGGCGCCACCCTCCTCAGGAGCCATGCCGACACTGTCCGTAAGGAACTGGATTTCAGTCCTAGACGATACCAAGACCCCTTGGTTGTCCTCATAGGGCGGATCGAAATTCCACGCACTCACGCCCTTTTCTTGGATGCCCAAGAATTGCGGCATGGTGATGTCAGTATCACGCTGGGACCTTGGCGGATGCTGCTGGCACCAGCGCTCCGCGCACTCAAATCCCGCTCTCGTTCCATCGTCTGCCTGCTCCAGCCACCGCTGATAGGCACTCCTTACGCTCGATGAGCTTTCGAGCTGCTCTTCAAACGCCACATTGATAGGCCCCGATCTGTCACCCAATGCCACACCGGGTCGTAGGCGCAGCACAAGGTACATTACAAATGGTGCGATAATGACAAATATCATAGCAACGCCAATCATCACAAGTGGGAGAAGCAGGAGCAGGATCTCTGTGACAGAGGTCGCCGGCTCGGACATGGCATCAACAGCGCCCTGCCTCGCCGGCCCATAAATCGAAGGCATTCTTGTTTCGACTCTCAGTCCACAGATTATTATGATCGATGTGTGTGCGTGAAGCACCACTCGTCGCAATAGACTCGACTTGTCGCCACTCCAGTAAGGAAGTACGCAGCGCCGCTTCGAACCAACGACCCCAATTGCCTCCACATGTCTGCCGCTTGCGGAGACACTCGGCCGAATTCGGCGCGGGACCGGAACTTAGGACAACCACCTCAATCCCTCTCCTCCCATCCCCCCTTTTGTCATCCTTAGCAAATAGCGTCGTGGTAACGGTGAGTGGAGCCGACGCGTCGCGTCTAGCGTCACGTCGGCGCACAATCGGAAGTACTAACATGATACAGACATGGATCAAGCCCCCCCTGCGCCTCCACCACCACTTGCGGACGAGGCTCTTGGCGCTGTGATTCAACTTGCTCACGCTGCATCGCGAAACGAGGACGACAACCACCACAACCACCCGACGACTGTGAAAGGCCGTACCGGCGATATGACAGACAACGGACGCGCTCCAAAGCACATGCGCATGGAGAGTGAGTCTCCCCACGGTGGCGTCGATGCGCAGGCTCTTTCGTGGGCCCCGTCGGCCCCCCCTGCCTACCCGGGACATGGCCTAGACCAAGGAGCCATGCCCCTTCCGCCCCCCGATGCCAACACCTTCGACCCTGCAGCCTATGGCGATGCACCGCCTGTACAGAATGACCAAGCTCGCATGGCTGCGCCTCCTGTCCCCCAGAGTGGCGCCCCTGAGCCACCCAAGCACCTTACGTCCGAGCAGACTGGCTTGGTCGGAGCCCGCGGCAAGACAGGCATGACCCGAACTCTCAGTACGAGTCGCCGCGCGGAGCAGAATCGCAATGCTCAACGTGTGTTCCGTGAGCGCAAAAACAAGTACATCGCGGATCTTGAAAGCAAGGCAGCCTCGCTCGAGAGCGCTTTGCTTGCTGCGGAGGAGCACCGGCGTCGCTTTAGTGAGGCCCTAGAAACGATTGAGATCCTTAAGCGCGACAACGATACGTTGCGTGTGGCGCTGCGTGCGCTGGGTGGCCACCAGGCCGTGCCGAATGCGCCGGCACTGCCAATCGACCGCGCCTCGCATGCGTCAGCGCTCCTGCCCACGTTCGCCCAGCAACACGGTGGACCTGGCGGGCATGGCCGCGGTGCAGAGCACCACGATGGGCCACACGGCCAGAACCAGGGCCCTTCCATGCACGAGTCAGCCGACCAGAACCAGGATCCGGCCACGGCGGCAGCTGTGGCTGCGGCGGCGTCAGGTGGTGCACCGTACTGGCTGCTCGAGGCTGTCTCGAACGCCAACCAGCAGCATGGGTTCCCCGTCTCTGGGCACTTTTCGTCTCAGCTTGGCGATGGCGGCATGCCGGCTGGTGCCGCTTCAATGCATGCCGCAGATCCGAACGCCATGCGTTCGCGCGGGGCAATGCCGCCCCGCACTGAGGGTATGCTCGATCCGTCGCTGGAGCATACAGCCCTGGGTGATGCGTCTCGCTCGTCTGGTCGCGTCCACAATGAGGATGGGAAAAATAACGAGCAGCTAGATGCGTCGGGCAATCCTGACAACCTAGCCTCTCTCAGCGCCGTGGCTGCTGCCGCCGCCGCCGCCGCGTCACAGAAGGTGAACCAGTAAGATTGTAGCTATGGAGTTTTGTTTGATGCTATACACTCTTGTAGCCAGGCTACGAAGAGCTGAGCGATGTGGCGCTCAGGGGCCTCATGCGAGGCTAGAGGTAGCCCATCACCTTGCTCCGCCTTGCTCGCATAAATGCGGACGAATTGGCGGCGCATGGTTTGCAGGCGTGCAGGGGATGGAAAGGCTGACAAGGGTGGTACATCCAGCACAAGGGGGGCCGAAGCCATGTAGGCTGGAAGTGGAAGGTACACGCGCCCGGCCATGGGTGTGCCCAGCGTGCGCTGCTCAGCCAACGAATTCAATACAGCATGCGTGGTGTTGTCCAGTAGTTCCAGGTAGTTGTTGGCGGTTTTTTTACGCTAGGGTCAGCTGACAAGCGTACCACAAGGGTAACAGATTTGGGCGGCTGCACGGCCGACTGAGTGAGGGCCTCCCATATTTCTTCCAGAGGCGTTGGAAGAATCTCCAGTTTATTGTCTAAGCAGGAAGAGACGGCTGTGAACAGGGGTCGGTGCCATCGCGCGTCTGATGTAGGCTCCTCGAAGCGGAAAGCCAGCTCATCGAAGCTGTGTCAGAGCGGCGCACATACCAAGTATCTGTGTAGGCCATGTGGCCCGCTGCACGACGTTCTTGGTTCCAAGAGCGGCCCAGATCCACAGGGCAAGCCACGTACAGCTGCACGTAAGAAAAGCCAGCATACCGTAGCACAGCGCAGGCCCAGCTCGCGCGTCGCGCACCACAGCTCGTAACGCGATCCCTTAATATTGAGGCCTGGCCCACCGTCAGCAATTACAATGGTTCTCTGGTTCAATGCACGGCGCACAGCACTTAGATACGCGGCACGAGCGCGGCTCTCGGATTTTTGGGCTGCGTTAGACCAAGGGACTTACATTCGTAAACGCTCAAGTCGGCATGCACGTCCTCTCCACGCACGATTTTGACCTGGGACAGGGTGGCGTGGTCGGCAATCTTGGGTTCTAGAAAGCGCGCGAGCTCGTCGACGCGTGTAGACCGCCCCGAGCTGGGCAGCCCTGTGACGACGAGCAGCGCCATACTTGACTAAGATAAATGACTCCACATTTGCTCATTTTTCTGCATCGCACGTGAAGTTGTCTCCCTGATGTGGCGACCATGGACTGCCGCACGGACACTTGTACAGCGCGGTCCTAGCTGGCCACACAAACTCATTAGGGCATACAGCTTTCCGACATCTCCGTCCCACGAAGAGCCACATTCACCTGTGTCGCCGCATGCCTGGGATGAACTCTTTGCGTCGGCGCCTGCCACGACATCTGAGTCCCAAGAGGCCACTGCGATGCCCCGGTCTGTGTTATACGCTGAGAAGCGCGATCAAGTACCTACACTGCACAAGCGAAGACAGAGCTACGACACTTCCGCTCTGACACCGTCCGAAACAGTCCAGTTCCGGCGTATCTTCGAGCTCCTCGAGCAAGAAATGGGCGCGCCTTTTAGCAGCAAGCCGCATGAGGCGGACTTGGGGGCCTTTAGACGACGGAATGCTCTGGAGCCTCGGCGCGCCGTGGCACGTGGTGGTGGGGTCGGTACACGTTTCCAAGTGAGCCAGGAAGGCCTGGCGGCCCATATACCCGCTGACCAGCTCGATCGCGGTGTCGATCAGATCTGGGAGGCTCTCCAGGCACAGGCCTGCGCCGTGAATACATGGGCGTGGGCGGAGACACACATATGGGGCCCACCAGAGGTGGCGGAATATGGAGCCCATACGGCCTTCTATGCTCCTGCATTGCACATGCTGCTCCTGGCTCTGCGTGACCGATTCCTGGCACCACATACAGCCCTGGCAGTGCTCCCCGCTATCAAGAAGCGGGGCGCCCACTCATTTGTACTTGGATGTACTGCGTCCCTGCTCGCCGAGGTGATCCGCACCCAGTGGGTGTGTCTTCGCGATGCACACGCCGTCCTGGACACGGCGCGCGAGGCGCGCGCGAGTGGCATCCTCGTGCCGTATGCGTCGGAGCATTCAGAGGACGCACCGCTGCGCGAGCAGATGGAGCGCGTCCGCTCAGAGATCCGCGGCCAGGTGATGCATGTAGCGCAAGAGCGGGCTGCTACCAGCGGGCAGCGTTGGGATGAGCTGCCGCTGACTGCCGACGAGCAGGACCTCCTCGCTGTGGCGAGTGAACTACGTGCTATGGCTGGACGCACGTCTAAGTATGACCGCCAGCCCCGTGCTCGTTCGCCGCGGCACCGCCGTGCCAGGCCCCCTGCCCAAAAGGCAGGTCGTGAGAAGGACCTGCTCATTTACCCACAAAACCCGTACTCGTTGCTGCGCACGCGCGTGCGGTCGCATCCCACAGAAGCATAATATTACTACACGACAGAGTATCGGCCGCCTGTGGGCGGTGTCCGTGCCTCAGTGTCAAGGTAGGCCTGTGTGCCCTCCAGCAGTAGTCGCTTGATTTCGCGGATGGCATTCTCGACACGGAAACTATCGTTGCTCTCGATAAGGAGCGACAGTTTCGGTGGTTCGCCAGGGTGCGGCTCGCGACCTCGCTCGTAGAAAGCACCCTTGTTGGTGACTGGGTTAGAAGGATATACGTACTCGATGCACCTGTCGATTCGATGAGCATCGCCATCGTCTCCTTGTTGGTCACGTTCCAGCGTGCCTTTTGGGGGAAATCGTTGATGGGGAAAATGGCATGGAACTTGGTCGCGTCAGGATCGCGTGCGCGGCGCGACTTTTCCCATTCCTCGCGACGCTGGTTCGCCACGGCGTTGATCCGGGCAATGACCTCCTGCAGCTTGGTCGTGTCCGCGCCCGCCGCACGTGCCGCGTCAAGCCGGGCCTGGTTCGCAAGTTGGTCTGCATCTGTGTAGACAGGTTGCTTGTTCTCCCGGACCGCCTCGGGAACAGGCCCGGTGCAGATGGGAATATCGGCATCGCTGAGCCGCTGCGTCTCATTCGCCGCGCGCGCAGCGACCGCCTCGGGATCCGCCTCCTCGTCCTCGATGTAAATCGAGGCCTCCGCCTGCAGCAATTTCTGCCGGCCCATTTCCAGGCGCTCCAAACCGCGACCGCCAAATCCAGAGTTAGTCGCCTTTTCTGTGCCTTTGGCAATCTTATCCTTGAACTGTGAGACCATTTTCTCGAGATCCGGTGGCACTTCCACCTTACTGGCCCGTAACGCTGCCACCAAGTCTTTGGCATACCGCTCTTGCTCGGGTGTAATAAAGGTCACACACGTGCCACGATGGCCGGCGCGCCCCGTGCGCCCCGCGCGGTGCACGTAGTCCTCTAAATGACTTGGAACATCGTAGTTTATGACGAGCTTGAGCTGCTTGACATCCAGACCGCGCGCAGCGACGGACGTGGCCGTCAGAATTGGAACAATACCCGCCTTGAAGTCCGCAATAGTTGTGTCACGGTCCGCCTGGTCTTTGCCGCCGTGTAGCGACATGGCTGGGTATCCGCGCTTCATCAGCTCGTGCATCAGCTCGTCAGCCGAGTCTTGCCGCTCGACAAAGACCAGCGCACGAGCATCTTCGTCTGTGTGGTACAGATGCCCGAGCACCTCCAGCAGACGATGGAACTTGGTCGACTCGGGGCGCACTTCCACCTGCTGCGTGATCTCGGGAGGTACCACACTCCGACCGCCCACTGTGACTTCCAGTGGCTCGTGGCGCAGCATTTTGCGTGCAAGGCCCTCCATCGCACGCGGAAATGTCGCCGAAAATAGTACAGTTTGTCGATCTGGTCGCACTAGTGCGAGGATCTTCATGACCTGTGGCTCAAAACCCAAGTCGAACATGCGGTCCGCTTCATCCAGGACTAGGTACGTGGTGCGCTGCAAGTTAGTGACGCGGCCACTGTTGGCAGCCAGCAGGTCAATCATACGCCCCGGTGTCGCGACCACCAGCTCTGCAGTGCGTTTCAACTCCGCAATTTGCTCCGCGATGGGTGCTCCGCCATATACACACACCCCTCGAATGCCAAACGCCCGCAGAAACGGCTGGGCGTCGCGGAATATTTGAACAGCTAGCTCCCGTGTAGGCGTCATGACGAGCGCAATAGGACCTTCACCAGGCTCCAGAGGCCGTTGGTCGCGGACATGCCGAAACAATGGCAAAAGAAAGGCTAGCGTCTTTCCGGATCCTGTCTTCGCCACGCCGATCATGTCGCGGCCACTCATAATGGCGGGGAGCGCCTGACTTTGGATCGGCGTAGGTGCAGAGAAGCCTAGCTTCTTGATCACATCTAAACATGCCACGGGCATACCGCAGTGCGACCATTTTGTGACGGGGACTGGGCACGACTTGCCACGCACGGATATAGCACCGAGCTCCATGCGCACACGCTCCGCGTCCTCGTCTGTCATCTTCGCTAGTTCTTCCGGAGGATGGTAAAATGATTTACGGAATGGCTCATACTCAATTGATGCATGGTCCACCGTCGGAAGCGTCTTTCGATTGTTCTTGCGATGTACCATCGCCAAGATATCTTCGGTGCGGATTGAATCGATCTTGTCTTCTTCCTCCTCCTCCTCTTCATCTCGCGGTCCTGCGTCATCATCTGGGCCCAGAAGCTCGGCCGCCTGAGATTGAGATGCATCCTCCTTGTGAACCTCGTCTGCGAGGCGGCTCATAAAGGCATCCAAGGAGTCTTCCTGTGGCGCAGACTCCTGTGGCTTGGGCGTAGATGTCTCCATGTTCAAGGTTATTTGTTTCTTGGGCTTAGATACAGGTTCGTCGTCGTCGTCCAAAAGACCTAGACGAACTCGAGGGGCCGTGGGGGCCGCGCGTACCAAGTTCACCCCCTTCAGGCCCAGTTTCGTTTTTTCAGGCTCAACCTTCGCTTTTTTGGCCGGCGTTTCACCATCTACATTAACCTTCTTCTTGGCCGCCTGTTCCCTGCGCCAGGCTTCCAAGCGCTCGCGCTTGGCTCGCTGCTTCGCTTCCGTGTCGCTCATGCACACGTCAGGTCGACAGGTTCGTGGGGGTCCTTACTCGATCGGGCTATCGGGCTTCAAAATTGCCTTCCCTCCAGCGCCTACCGCACGCTCGCACGATGAGCACAGCTGCTGAGGGACCGTTCTTTAGCGCGGCTCGTCCAGAAAACGAAGAATTTATATCTCTGGCATTGGATGAAATAGAAGACTCTTCGTCCCACGAGTCGGTCGCTGGCGATGATGTGCAGGTGGATGAGACAGTGCGCGAGCATGCAGCAGCGCGAAACACCCCGTGGAGCGTCGATGTACCGTGGCACCGCTGCCGAAATGCGGCGGAAATGTAGGTATATGTGGCTGACGCAGGCTTCACGCTGAAATTGACACCTTTTCCAAGTGGATTAGTCCGACGCCGGAGGAACATTCTGCTCGGGTCATGGTTATTCAGCTCCTGCAGCATGCGCTCCATAGCGAGTGGCCCGATGCAGATGTGCGCTCTTTTGGAAGTCAAGATACCCAACTTTATCTTCCTCAGGGGTATGTGCTCTTCTCTGACGCAGTGACATTGATCTTGTGGTGCTCTCGAAAGAAATGGACCAACATTCTCGCGAACATGTCCTTAGAAGGATGGCCAGCTGCTTGCGAGCACACAAATTAGCACGAGACATCCAAGTCATTGCTCGTGCGAAAGTGCCCATCATCAAATTTGTGTGCCCACTGGGCCACTTCCACGTTGACATCTCGATCAACCAGGCGAACGGTCTACAGGCGGCCCAATTCGTTAACCGATGGCTCGTCAAGCAGCCTGCTATCCGGCCTCTTGTTATGGTACTCAAGCAGTTCCTGCAACAGCGAGTCCTCTCCGAAGTATTCACGGGCGGCTTGGGCAGCTACAGCGTGACGCTCCTGGTGCTCAGTTTCCTTCAACTGCATCCCAAGCTTCAACGTGGTGAGATCTCTGCAAGTCAAAACCTAGGCGTGCTGCTTATGGAGTTGCTCGAACTGTATGGAAAGAACTTTGGTTACGACTATTGTACCATTGTTGTCCGCGGGCGTGGATGCTACATGAGCAAAATGGACTCGAAGATGTACGACGAGCGCAAGCCCTTCCTTCTCAGCATCCAAGACCCTCATGATCCTTGTACGTGCATCGTGGCACTGACACAGCCAATGACATTTCTCGCGGATCATTTGCCATCATTAGTGTGCGCTCGGCCCTGGGCGGTGCCTTCGACATTTTGCATGCAGCGCTATGCGAACGTGCAAGTGATATCCAAAATTTCCGCCGGCGGCAGCGCATATTAAGCGACAGACAAAGCCAGAACACGCACACCTTCTTCCACCCCGAAGACGCAGACCATCGACTGCATCTCTATTCTGACAATAAAGAGCCTGAAAGTCTTTTGGGATCTATTTTGGGCGCGTCGAAGGAAATGACAAAGCGCCGGAATGAGGTGTGTGTATTATTCTGACCAAGATCAAAAACTTGTTTGAATCAGGCACGCTTCAGAAGCGACTAGCCAAGTTTGGGTATCCTGTAGATACCCTGGATACCGTGCCATCTACGTCTCCGGCAAATACCGCCGAAATGCCTCAAGAGAAACCAGCGGAAGAACGTGCGCGAGAGCCCGTCGATGATCCTATCATTGTGCCACCCAATGGTCAGCCTCGTCGCCGACTCCAGCAAGAAACCATGGAGACTTCGCCTGAGAGCAAGTATGCACCCACTGGAACGCGAAAGCGTGGGGCTGACGACCCCTGGAGCCACCCTACCAAAGTCCAACGCGTGTCCGACAGCGAGTCAGATGAAGACCTCGTTGCGGAGGACGCGCCTTATGTCATGGAATCCAGTGAATCTGAAGCTCCACCATCAAGCAAAGCACCCAAGCGGCCTGCAAAGAAGCGCATGTTGAACATGGCTGGGCGTGCGAAGCGCTTTGTCAAGTCGACTGCCAGTAAACTGAGCAAGAGTGATCGCATTCACTTTTGGAACAACAAGGCGGGTGCAGCGCCAAGCAACGACGGATAAGATTGGACACAGGACACCGGGCAAAGTCAAATTTCAAGCTTCCATGAGAATTACGAGTAAACTTCTAAGAAAGTACAGTACGAGTGCTGTCCCAAGCGCATCGCATAGCTCGAATCCACTCTTCACAGGCCACGGCACCAGCACTATGCAAATGCTGCGCATGCGCCATGACTGGGAGGCGACGAAGAGAACGACCTGAGGAGCCTTGGCAATGTATCGCCAAATCCCTTAGCATCGCAGCAGGAGAGGTCGAATCGCCCTCACGGATCGCATTGAACGAGGGAAACGAGGTCTCTTGGGCTAGGCCCACGCGTATCAGCTCAACCATGCACGAACGCAAGATCATGTATACAGCTGCTGCGCTCGGCGGGGGAATGTACTGACGGATATCTGCACGGTCCAGAAAAGCTGGATCGATGGAATCGGACAAATTTGATGTGGTCATGACTAGCACATTTCTTTTTTGCTTGAGCTTGTCAAGCTCGGTGAGCAGCGCATTGACAACACGGATAGAATCACTGGGCTCCACACCAGCAGCTGCGGAGCTGCGCGCCTTGGAAAGACTCTCGATTTCATCTGCGATAAGTCAGGAAATGACTTACCGATCAATACAACGACAAAGCCCGTTTCATCCTCCACGAGCTGCTGTACCATGTCGAACAGCCGATGTACGAGCTTACCGGACTCAGAGAACCATTTAGAAAACAGCGAGTGAGAGTTGATCTCCACTAGTTTGCCATGGGTATACCGTCCTTGTAGACGTATTGCCAATTTCTGGGCAAGTGCGCGGCAAAGTGACGTTTTTCCCGTGCCTGGAGGACCGTGCAGCAGCACGACACGGTTCCAGGCAATGAGATTAAAGTCGACGTCCGCATCAGAGAATAACATAGTCGAGTGAATGTAGCGCAGCAAGCGCCATTTGACGTCATCATCATACATTAGACTACTCCAAAGACCCGACAAGGATTGGCTAGGTAGCTCTGACAAAGTGGCTGCAACTGCGTTATCTTGGTGGGCTTCATTCGGATCGTTGACGCCAAACTCATCGACATTGTCCACAGCAAAAGGTTGAAACGTATAAAACTGCCAGTCGGCATGTACGACCAAGGTCGCTTTTTCTGGTGGGTCTGAATTAGGGGAGAAAACATACAAATATCTGCCACGTAAATGCGGTCCACATGCTCCGCCAAGAAGGCTGTATCTTGCCATCCGCTCAGGTAGCTTTCGCTCTCGACCTTGTCGCACTGAGACAAGTGTGCTTTTACAGCGGCTTCAATCTCGCTCACATCTGCTGATGAATACGAATGTTGCTGGATCTCGACTGTGCGTTAGATAGGCAAAACCTACCATGGACGAGGCGCCGAGCATGCATCGGTACAAGGCTTCCGGGATAGGTGTGCATGCACGAGTGTCCTTCGTAACGCGCTTCACGCGCCTCACGTGATCATGAGGAGGCTCCTTCCTTGCCTTCGCATCTATGGAGGTATCGTGCGGATGAGAGGGATCCTTTTCTACTGGTCTTCCTCCGCAATCTCAAAGTCAGCGCCATAAGGCTTGCTGGTAAAGAAAGAGTCGTCGAACCAATTAATACGAACTGTTGTCAGTCCAATTAAACATACCATAACCGTCTTCACCGCCGCTAGCATACGCGTTGCCTGTCGGATGTACCGCAAGTGTGTTGATCGGACCGAAATGGCCAGGCAGGCGAGCGCACTCCTCTGCAAAGATTTTGTGCCAGAACCGAGACTCGAACTTTCCCTGGCGCGCGGACGTGGTCGTAACACTCATAGCCTCTTGACCACCACCGACTACCACGTAAGGTCGCGTGGGCAAGCTTATAGCAGAGTTCAGAGGCGTATCCGTAGAGTACGTTTTGATGATATCAAGCGTAAATGCGTCGATAATGTTCGACGACTTGTCCTTGCTCGATGTGACAAAGTAAGTGGCGTCTGCACCGAACTGGAGATCCGTCACATTTTCCGAGTGCGCCTTGACATGATGGATTTCAAGCTCTGCGTCGATACCAGTCTCACCCTCCTCTGCATCATGCGAATAGACAGCAACCTTTCCATTCTCGTGACCAGTGAAAATGTGCTTGTCCAGAGCATCGAATGCAGCCACAGTAGCCTTGCTGCCAGAAAATGTGATCGTGCGCATCGGCTCCGAGTCCTGCTTGGTCCACGACGCGGGATCGCGATTGATATTGAATACACGGAGGGCGCCACGGTAACCCATACGCTCTTCCGTAATCACAAGAATTTGGGTACCATCGCTGTTGAAGCAGACACGCTTGGCAGCCGTAGGGAACTCCCACACGTACAGGCATTCACCTGTCTTGCAGTTCCAAAGACGCATCTGGTTGTCGGCAGATCCAGTGACAAGAAGCACAGTTTTTTCTAATGTGAGGGAATAATCACGTACTGTCCACATCGACTGACCACACTGTACCGTTGTGTCCATTATAGGTGCCTAGGCGCTCGCCATTGTGCGTGTACCACACGTTCACAAGATTGTCCTTCGAGACAGAGAAGAGGAGATCACCTTCGCGGTTAAACTTAATTTGGTTAAGAGACCGGGTGTGACCCGAAAGAACAATGGGACGCTGCATGGTCAACTAAAGCTGTTACACACCATGATATGAACTCTCTCAGTCGTCCGTGCCCGCGATGCAGCAATACGAACGACGACGACGCAAAACTAAGAAGAGAGTATCACGTGCCATTCGGCCGATACTGAAGCCGGACAGCCGATCAGCGACTAGTGTCAACTTGTTAACGCCGACGAATCCGTGCTTTGGTGCCCCAGTGTTCTTCGACTCGTTGTTTGACGAGTGTTGTCCGAAGAAAACGTACTTTATTGACTGATCACCATGGGACAAATCTTGTCGGAGCCCATTGTGGAGAAGGTACGTATACACTCTACCGGTGCTGCCTTTTCAGCCCGGTGGTATGGCTGGGGGCAGAGGCTGACCCGTGTTTTTTTCTTTTATTCTTTTTCCGATACAGCATACCTCTCACGATGAAGATGAAAACATTGCTTTTTGCGTCTCTGATATGCAGGGCTGGCGCATTTCCATGGAGGATGCGCATGCTGCCGTGCTCAACTTGATGGACGATGCCAACGTTAGTCCCAAGGATCGCGTGAGCTTCTTTGCCGTGTATGATGGCCATGGTGGTACGTACACGGTATCCCAAGCCACTAACATCCAGGCGCTAATGTGGCACGCTACTCTGGGCGTACCGTGCACACACGCTTGCTAGAGCTTCCGGAGTTTAAGGAGAAGAAGTGGGAGGCAGCTCTTCGACGATCGTTTTTGAAGACAGATGAGGACCTGCGAAGTGGTATGTGCACTAACTGTGTACTTACATCAGACCCTGTTTACGCCAATGACACGTCGGGTTGTACGGCTGTGGCTGCACTGATCGTGCCTCAAGCAAATGCAACGGGCCGCACGATCTACGTGGCTAATGCAGGTGACTCCCGCAGTGTACTTGGTTTGGCCGGTGAAGCGAAAGCTATGAGCTATGACCACAAGCCAGGTAACCCCGAAGAGCACTCGCGTATCCTAAATGCGGGCGGCTTTGTGGAATTTGACCGTGTTAACGGCAACCTGGCTCTTAGCCGCGCTATTGGCGACTTTGAATTCAAGCAAAATGGCTCGCTGCCGGCGGAGAAGCAAATTGTCACAGCCGATCCTCAGGTGATTTCCCATGACTGGACAGGCGAAGAAGAGTTCCTCGTGTTGGCTTGTGATGGCATTTGGGACTGCCTGAGCAACCAGCAGGTGGTAGACCTTGTGCGGAGAGGTGTTGCGCAAGGCAAAGAGCTGGATGTGATTACGGAAGATATTATTGACCGCTGTTTGGCCCCCGATGCAGAGGTTGGTGGCATCGGCTGTGACAACATGACGCTTTTGATTGTCGCACTGTTGGGAGACCGTACCAAGGCTGAATGGTATGAGTGGATCAAGGAGCGCGTGGACAACAAGGTGGGCTATGATACACCCGAAAATGTCCCTCCGGTCTTTCGCACGCATGCGCAGGCGACGCAGAACTCGTCGATTTTTGGCGGCGCATCCCAACGTAACATGACGCTTTCTCTGAACGGTCTCAATGGCGGTGATATCCTGTCTGCCATCCCTCGCGTACTCTCGGGACAGACTGCCACTGAGGACGGCGATATCCAAGAGACGGAGGACGACGAGGCTTTGTCGGCAGGTAACGCGAAGTCTCCCTTGTGAACTAGTCTTTGGCATCTGCCCCTGTTAGGAGCTACGCGCGTACATTCAAGTACCTCGTTTTTGCATTCCAATGACGATCATACCAGAAAGTGCTGAGAGAATCTCTCTACATCCCTTTTCGACTGACGGCGGCGTAGAGCACCTGACATGCACTTAGCCAAGTAGTCCCCGACACTTGATATTCGATGCAGCTGTACAGCTATGGTACTGGCACACAATCGATCGTACAACTGTACTCGAAGCGACTCTCATGAAAACGAAGGATCGCGCGATAGTGGAAAAGGATCGCTAGTACAATAGCAACGTGCCAAAGTTGGTGCGAGTGACCGATCAGATCGAATCGTCCAGGGGCTAGCCGCTCGGGGAAACGGAAAGCATACAACACGACACCAATTAGATACGAGAAAATGCTCGGTATGATAGGGCTGAAGAACTTGGCCATCGGGCCACTTCCATGCAGGAAAGCTCCATGTACAAATGGAACCACGCCCATGAAGGCCATCAGTATAAATAACAAAATGCGAACTGTGCGGAATCGAATATCGTTAAACCACGGTGCCCACGGCAGCACAGCCATGGTCATACCGAGAGCAATGATGCCCACGGTGTATGCGGCAATGATTTTTGGCTGGCAGTAAAAACCATTGTATACAAGCGTTTCAAGGGACGCTGCCACAAGCCACGAGATACCTGTATAGTCAATACAGGCAAAGCACAAGAACCAATCCAGATCTGAACAGCCCGCCATAACGTGCCAGGATACGGAGCATATCAGGCACTTGGCTGCTGCCAGCAGGTACAGGGTCTGGATCCCACGGTCAATGGCGGTAGTCTGATGATCCAAGATGCCTGTAAACCAAAACAGAGCAGCAACTAGAATCAAACCACCCACGTGTGTATGAATGTTGCCCGTCTCGTTATGCAGCTGAAATATGCTCAGTAGCAACTGCTTCCAGCTTTTCACAGGGATAAAGCGGTATCCTGTGATGATATAGTCATTATTCCGCCAGAGCTCAGGAAGGGAATGATACGTAATGAGCTTGCGGCCGCCCTGTGCAAGTTGAAGGGCGGTATGGTACAGGGCATCTTCCACATCGTGCATTGCATGAGCAATTTGTGCGCCGGCTGTTCGACCCTGTTGCCCGATCATTTCTAGCTTACGCTCAAAGCGCTCTAGAAGATCTGGTGGAAGAATGCGATCCGGTAGGCCCAGTGCAGGCCGTGACGGCATGGAGATTTGAGGCATATGGGATCGTAACGTAGCCACTGTTTTCTGAACTTCCTCGGTGAGATGATGAGCCCTTGCAGGTACACGAGATGCCCACTCAGCATACGTATTCGGAATAATACGGGTCTCTTTCGCAAAAAGGGTGGGATGAAAGGTGCTGGCTCGGCGCTCCCAGTCCAAGATCAAGGCATGGAAGCGCGCCATTAGGTCCTGACGCGACGGCATCTTGTCCAGCCAATCAATCCCGTGTACTCGAGGTGACTCGCGCACGATGCTCGCCAAGCGACCATACGCAGCCTCTAGCCCTGCCTCCATAGGACCCAGCGGCACATGTAGACCCCGCGGGTGTGTGTGATTGGTATGTAAAAGTCGCTCGATGTCTTCCACATACTCTCCCATGCGTGCACGTACATATGCAAACCAGTAAGGCAGCGACGGAGCCAGATCAAGGGAGTCGATGACCGAGTATGCACTTCCAGTATCGCTCCAGGAGGCATTATCCGACTCTTCCGTACGTGGCGCACGTCGTTCTGATGGCCACGGGCGAGGCGCACGGTGACGCCGATGTATATAATTGCCTTCTGTGACATGCAAATCAACTGCCGAGGTGAGGGCCACGTCAGACGACTCGCTGGCGCTCTCGTCTGACATGGTCCGGAAAACCAAAAATAATGGCCACGAGGGTGGACCATGCGCCACTTTTGCTCACCTAAGCTATCATGTGCTCCTACATCGCGGGGTAGCGCATCGTCGCAGTGTAGTACGCCAAGAGAACTATCTAAACTTCCATGACTCTTCGTCCCAGTCTTCGACGAGCTGAGGATCTTGCTTGAACTTGGGGCCAAAGAAGCCGAAACCATCCCGCAGCACAAGCACCTCCTGGACCTGATCCGCTTCGCGCTGGTACATGCTAGTGGCATCACGAACCTCTCGGTAGATGCGTGCCGCCTTAGGTCCCCTTGCATTAGTGTGCTGGCATACCGCTGCTGCGACAAGGCGCAGTGAAATACGACGTTGTCATCTGGTATAAGGTCGTAGATACATACAGTCCCTTACTTTGGCGAGCAGATCATTGACACTGTCCAGGAAGGTCGAAGATGGCGAGTGAATGGCTCCCGCAATATGTCCACCTTCATAGTCGTCATCTGGTATGAGTCATGTCTACACACCGCGCACGTCCACAACAACGACTGAGCGGGGATTCTCAGAACGCTGCTTCAACATAGAAGCCAATGAGTCCGCATCAATATACTTATATGGTGCCTGAAATGACATGAAGCGATGCCGGATGCAAGTCTGCGCAATGTGTCGGGCGCCAGTGCGGAGCATTACCGAGCGTTCTGGTCGGTCGGCTCGAGGCACTTCGGCCGAGTATCAAGATCCACACCAGCGACGGCCACGCCAGCGACGGTCACGCCTTCTCTCCTTGGGATCGTCGATTGAGCTTGCCGTGCATGGCCGGTGTATCGACGTACTCGCCCGTGGGCGCTGATGTGCTGCACAGAGATGCTCGTCAGGCCTTACGCGCACTCATTGTACGGATAGCAGGCCAAGCGGGCTTCAGCGGGGCTCGAGAGCAGGCCTTGATCCGCATCGAAGACTTAGTCGAGGACTTTGTTACGACACTACTGCAAAGTTGCGGGCGTTTCGCTGAAGTGTCAAACCGTGTTACCCCTACCCTTTATGATATGATCCACACCTTTGAGCTTCTGGGCTTGTCCCTGCCCGAACTACACGCCTATGCGAAGCACGCGCGGGACTCGGCTTCGTCACGCGTCCAGATACCCACGACCACGTCGCCAAACGATCAGCACAGTTGGGAGCACCCGACAGCTTTGTTTCTTCCTTCTGACGATGAGTCAGAGCAGGCCTCAACGTGGAAAACGCTGATGCACGATATTGTACCGGACCATCTACCACCTGAGCCGCCGCGGCACTGCTGGATGTTTACGCCGGTGTATGCGACAGAAGTACTGTCTGAAATGCCAGCTCTACAGCTAGTCAATCGCAAGCTTGATAATGCACGCCTTGTGGAATCGTCGCTGCGTAAGCTAATCAAGAATACTGATACGGCTGCCCCAGTAAAGCCATGGATTCCTCTGGAGCCCGCTGCTTCCTTGCCAGACGTAGCGGAGGATGAGGGCGACATGTCGGTCTTATCTGTCGATGCACTGCCGACCACGGAATCGATGGCCATCGATGCACCACCTAGTGAGAAGCCTGAGGACAGGTCGGGCACAGAGCAGCCTGCCACTACGAACGACGATGTGCCGCGGCGCCGCGGCGTCTTGCCACGTGCAGTGAACTACAAGGTATCGTGGTACGCGTCCCATGCGTCCACGGACAACAAGCTACCCACGGCCAACTTGTATACGGCTCGGCTGCGCGGCAATATGGATGAGTCGGCGAGGCGTGCGCGACGCTATATCGTGTAGCTCCTGCTTTGTATAGTATAAACCGACTTTTTACAACTATCGATACATCATTATACATCATCAACTACCTTCTCAGAGACGCTCTTGTCCTGGTGCAGATCCAACTCGCTGTCTTGACGTTTGCGCTCCAAACGGACCAAGACAGCGCGCTTCCCTGCCTTCCATAGTTCGACGCCCAGGAAGAAGAGGCCGGTGCCGACAAAAATGAGGCCCCACTCCCAGCCAATCGGGGGTTTGTGGAGGAAGACAATGTGGTTGAGACCAGGGATATACAATAGGGGAAACACACTCAGAAAGCCGAGCACGACACAGGCGAAGAGGAACTTGTTCTTCCACGTGTCGACGAGCCATTGGTTGTACCAGTGGGCGTCCTTACCCATGGCGAAGAACGAGCGGCGCATGTTCGTCACCTCCCACGCCAGAAACAGCGAGAACCAGGTAATAACAACGAATGTGGCACCTCGCGCACGGAAGACGGCATCGCAAGAGTCGTTAAAGTCGTTGTTGCAGTTCATGCCGAGATCAGCCGGGCCCCACGCGAACACCACGAGCGAGAATGTGGCCAGGCACAGGGCGGCCATAAGCAGACCATAAAACAGCAGATCCACTATCATCTCGAGGTTGAAAACGCCAAAGCGTGAGATGTTAGGACGCTGCTTCATAATATCATGAGGTGCTGCCTCCATACCAAGACCCATGGCTGGGAAACCGCTGGTTACCATAATCACATACAGGATCTCGACCGGGCTGAGGGGAAACACAGAGATGCTCGAGTCATCCTTGAACGCCAGACCAATGAGCAATACGCACGCCTGAGCCACATTTTGCGCTAAAAGATGCAGCACAAATTTGCGGATGTTAGCAAACATGCGGCGACCTTCCTCGATGGCACTCTCAATTGAGGAAAAGTTGTCATCGGTCAGCACCATGTCGGATGCGTCCTTGGCAACGTCCGATCCGGCCATGCCCATTGCAATACCAACGTCAGCGAGCTTGAGCGACGGCGAATCGTTGACACCATCTCCTGTCATGGCACAAAAGCGGTGACGACGGTGAAGCGCCTCAATCATGCGCACTTTTGTCTGCGGCGCGCACCGCGCAATTACGAGCGGGAGTACCGGCAGTGCATCGATTTCATCGTCCGACAAGCGATCAAACTGAGCAGCCGTCATTACAAGGCCCTCGATTACGTCTTTGCTGTATTTGCATGCCAGTTCCTTATACGGAGGGAGAATCTCGACTTGCTCAGCAATAGCACGCGCAGTGCCGGGGTGGTCGCCCGTCAGCATGTGGACCTCAATACTCGCCTCGTGGCAAGCACGCACTGCGCTGCGCGACTCGGGGCGCGGCGGGTCGTAGATACCAGCTAGGCCCAGGAAGGTCATATCCGATTCAACCTTTGCACGCTCCAGAGACTCGCCCTGTGCCGCTTCGCTGTCCGACACGGCGCGGTGCGCCAGCGCAAGGACACGTAGACCCTGCTCAGCAAGTGCCTCCATGTTCAACAGGATATTCGCCTTGGCCTTTTCGTCTAGGGGCTGTGTACCGTTTTCCTTTTGCACATTCTTGCATGCGTTCAAGACGTGCTCGACGGCTCCCTTCATCATGGCGCGGTGCGTGTTGGTCGGAAGATGTGTGAAAGTAACGGCCATGCGCTTGAGACTGCTGTCGAAGGGGTATTCGCCGATAGTACGCCACTCGCCGCTCTCGTTGTCGCTTGAGCTGGTCATAAGCTTGCGACTTGCCATGTTAAAGCGGCACGCAAGAGTCTGTAGTGCGCACTCTGTCGGGTCGCCATGGGCTACCCAAGTACTTTGTTCTTCGTCATAGAATACCTGTGCCAAATTGCAGATCGAGGCGACCGTCACAAAATCTTTGAGTGGCTTGAGCAGGCTATCCTCCAAATCAACTTGTGCGTCGCCCTGCGAAGCGACGAGGCGACCTTCCACGTCTTCGCTCTCCCCATGAGGGGCTGTCTCATGGAGTGATACGGACGCGATATTCGGGTTGAAAGGCTCGTTACTTTCCGACACGAGCAGCTGTCCCAAGGCAGGAAGCCATGCCTTTCGCACGACCATCTTGCCCTGCGTCAGTGTTCCCGTCTTGTCCGAGCAGATATCAGTAATAGATCCAAGCGCTTCGAGGGATTCAAGCTTGCGCACAATCACATTGCGTTGGACCATAGCGCGGCTGCCCATCGACATGGTAATGGTCAGCACAGCCGTCAGGGACGCAGGAATCATCGAGACACCCGTGGCCACCGCGTAGATGATGACCTCCTTGTCAGACCAGTTGTTGGAAGCAAATACAATGATAGCAAAAATCACAGCAATAATAAAAAGCAACACGGCAAGCTTGGACAACATAATTTGCAGCGGCGTGCCTTGATTGATACCGAGGAATAGGAGGATGTGGTCCATGATAGTGAGTGTACCGGCCTCGATATAGTGGTGAGGGCGCTTTTTCCCGTAAGCATTACGCTTGACCTCGCGGATCTTGTTGCGCTTTGATGCGCCTTGCAGTGCATCGGCAATTTTGCCAATCTCGGTGTGCATACCAGTGCTTGTCACAATCACTGAAGCACGGCCCTTGCTTACGGATGAGGAAGCGTACACCATGTTAAGACGGTCACCGACGCCGACTTCCGTCTGGTCTGGGTCGGTAGGCGGGAAGCATTGGCTTGGGTCTTTGGCGACCGGCATTGACTCGCCGGTCAGCAGAGCCTCGTCGGTCTCAAAGTTCGTAGCGTCAAGAATGCGGCCATCGGCCGGGACAGTGTCGCCCACATTAAGTGACATAATGTCTCCAGGAACCACTTCAGGAGCAGGGATGGTCATCAGCTGTCCATCGCGCATAACGTGAGCAGTGGGCGACGCCAGGGAGCGGAGCGAGTTCATCGTTTTCTCTGCCGAATACTCCTGGAAAAAGCCGACAAAGACATTGATAGCGACGACGCCAGCAATTACACCACCCTCAATCCATGACTGGATGGCCAGCGATACGACCATAGCAATGATTAGCACGAGGGTCATGGCGTTGGCCACCTGGTTGATTAGGATGCGCAGGGCGCTAACGCCCTCGCTGCTTTGGAGTTCATTGCTGCCATACTGCTGGTGGCGAGACTTGGCTTCAGAGGCACTGAGACCATTCTCAGAATGGGACTCTAGCGCGGCCACAACAGACTCACCATCATAGCGGTGTGCGTAAGACAGGGCCTCTTCGCGACTTGGTGGGGTAGACTTGGACACAGACTGTGTAAAAGATACAGCAGAGTTGTCCGAGCTCATGCAAAGACTAAATCTTATTCTGAAGGCATGATCTGCGTCTTGGCACGCCGCCTTTTAAGGCCTCGCCCCTTCTCCGACGACCGAAGAAGTCATTTTGAATGCCAAGACTCTGTGGCGATCTGCGTCTAAGGACAAATGTGATTGGTGGAGGTACAATGCCAAGAGGTCCAGTCAGTAGTAACCTCGCTCCACGGACCTATCGCTTAGATTGACTCGGGTGGCTTATGCGCCTATTGCGCCTGTCCCTCGTGGCTCTATGGGCTCGGATGCATGCGCATGTCTTGGCACAGTCTTCAATAACTAGCGAGACTACGTCTACGCGCACAAGCGCAAGCAATACGTCGTCGGCCATGTCGGCGGCCTCGTCGGGGTCATCTGCCGTCCCTAGCGCCACCACAACAAACGCAACAGCGACCCAGTCGAGCACCCCATCTCCCTCCTCGATCATTCCTCCGCTTCCAAATGGATTCATTAACCCGTTGCCGGAGGGCAGTATGTTCGGTGTAAGTGGCACCTGCTGACTTTAGAAATATCCGGACAGGCCTTTCGAGGGTGAGCCTCTGAATGCGATCGTATCGCACAACTCGTCGTCCGACATGCTCAACCCGGAGGGCTTCTTGGTATGGGCCACGTACGTATGGGTCGCCTTACACGCAGCGCACTGGGCTTTGGCGTTTCTTGTCTAGGCCAGGGTGACCCTCAGACCATTATGTATGCGAATCTGGGCCCCAACAACAGGCAAGTAAAGCAGGGGTCAGGCTCAGGATTAAATGGTGTTTTGCGCTGGAACTATGGCATGCCTGACGTCGGCACTTGTCGCGAGACCTTTCAGGGTGGTGGGCATTTTCGCTGGTTCATGCAGCCGTCGCAGAATGGCACTGCCTACTTTTTGGCAGCAAGCTTAGAGCAGAGTTTGAGCAATTTGCACAACATTGAGACGGACGGATATAATCGAGGACGTGACCAAGTGGTCAACATCGCCACACAGCCCGGTGGTATTGAATGGAAGGGCAACAAATTTAATGCGACCGTCTCATGGATCGATCCGGGGATCCTGATGAACGCCACGTCCCAGAACATTAGCCATCCCGAAATGTCACTCCCGGGGAAGCCGGTCGTAGATGGCCGGATCGCCGTGCTCTATGTGCACACCATTACTCGGAATTATGGAGAAGCGTAAGTGACATCCACTTACCATAGCACGTCGCCCAATGGCGCCTTGGCGCAGCTTGACCCAGCCCTGACCTCGTTTGTTTTGCTCGGCTGGGTACTGATGGTATTTCTACAGATTCTCTAGATCTACACTCTCTCGGAATGGCCCAAATGCTGAGTCGGCGCGATTTTATCGCGTACGCGGCGTTTCTAGATCAGCAAAGGCGACGTACCAGCTCCTTGAGTTCCGGAAATCCGCCCTCAGTCTTTCGATCCCACAGCAGGTGCATCAGTGTGGTACCCGTAGCATCTTGAGCAGCGAGCCATACGCGGAATCGCCCGGCCGTCTCGGGTGCAACGCGGGGTACCAGCATCGTGCTGGCCAGGCTACCGCCACCCGAGGCGGCCGAATCGTGTTCAGCCTGCTTCGCCGAGAAGGTGATGAGCAGCTCCGTCTGAATCCACGTAGCACGGTGTTGCCATCGGCAGCGATCACAATACTGGGTCAGCAAAATACACACACCTCGATGATGAGGCACGGCTGAACCAAGCCGGCAGCCCAGTCCTCTGGAATGGGAGGCAACATATCGATATTGGGTGGTTCAACACAAGGAATGTCCTGGGGGGTCACGAGCGGCCCCAGTGGCAGGGGTGCATCCAAATGCGCGGTTTGAGAGGCAGGGGCGTCAGCGTACATACCATGCACCGAGGTATGCGGTGGCTCATTTGGGCCATCCACAGGAACCTGCGTCATGGGAGGTGCACGCGGGGCAGTATCCGTGGGGGCTCCAAACTCTGTAGATGTCTGAGAAGAGGCCAGTAGCAGGTACGGCGACGGGAGTGCCACGGAGAGAGTAGGCGCGCCAGAGGTACGAGATGGCGACACAGTTTGTGTAGGTGTAGACGACATTGGCGTGATTGTGTCGCCGATAGGAGCAGAAACAGGTTCAGAGAGCGACGATGCGCTTGGAAAGCTCGCAAGAGGTGCCAAAGCGAAGCTGGCGCCAAGGTAGCTGGACGTATGCGGGCGTGCCGCTGAGTCGTCGTTGGTGTGGCGACCATGTTGTGCGCTGGTGGGCGCGCTGGAACGATCATGGAGACCATGCACAGGCATACTGTAGTGTGCTGGTCTCTCATACGCCCGGCGTTCGGGCGTGGGTAGCGCTGGAAGTTGCTTGTCGGGCATGCCGAGGAACGTGGGCAGTGCGGCAGGGTCGAGCACGGTCCTCGTGTCATCACGTGTTTTGTGGAGGATCGCGTCGGGGGACGCACAACAACACCACCATGCTGGTCGTGCGTCTCCCTGCATCGGAGGCAGTGGAGCCGCCGCCCGTGGCTGATGGAGCATCGGGGCATCGGAGCGCACACCGCGCCTTTACACGGAGCAGCACTGTTGGTTCTGAAAAGAGTCGTGCCCCCCCGCCTGCGCCCACCCTTGGGCATGGCAAGCTGTCCTATGAGGTTCCGGCGCCGAGCTCGCTGCCAGCATATGCGCGCGAGTCTGACAATACGGAGCGGGACCTTGGGCGCCTGTACAAGTCTCTGTGGGAGGCGCGGCGCATTGCCGTGGTATGTGGTGCTGGCGTATCCGTCTCGCCGCCGGCCAACATCCCCGATTTTCGGTCGGCGACCGGTCTGTTTGCGCGGCTCAAGGATCGGTTTCCGCATGCAGGCCTCACGAGTGGCAAGGATCTATTTGATGCGCGTTTATTTCAGTCTGAGACGTCTACGGCGCTATTCTACTCGATGATGGCCGAGCTCAAGGACATGGCTGATGCGGCGCAGCCGACACTGTTCCACCATTGGCTCAAACGCCTCGACTCGGAGGGCCGACTCCAGCGTGTGTACACGCAAAACATTGATGGCCTGGAAGAAAAGGCGGGTCTCACGCTGGGCGTCGGCTCCGGCGAAGCGCTCGCCTCGGGATCAAAGCGCAAGCGCGCGGGACGCTCGTGGCAGCGCTCACAGTCGGACTCGGCCGTGCCGTCTGCGTCCCGCGGTGAGACGCCTGCCCCCCAGCCTCTATTTCCCCGAGCAATTCCACTGCATGGACACTTGTCGAGCCTCTCTTGCATGCTGTGCTCCCATTCGCAGACGCTAGACGCCGCTCATGATGTGCGTGCGAGGGACGCCCTTGAGACGTTGCGGCGCGGCGATCCCGTGTGGTGCGACAGGTGTGCGACGGCCGACGAGCTGCGTACGAGTGCAGGTCTGCGGTCGCGCGGTGTCGGCCGGATGAAGATCAATGTGGTGCTGTACCATGGCGAGAACGACACGGCCGAGCATGTCGGGGCGTGTGTGGAGCGAGACCTGCTCGGCCTGCGCGACCCGCAAGAGCCCGATGTGCCAGAGACACCCGCGGAGGCGCGTGCGCGAGAGCGGCGCATGCGCGCGGCACTACCGGAGATGCCGGTCGTGGAAGAGGGCAAGGACGAAGTGGGCGACTTGTCCATGTCCGCTGGCGATGTCCGCGTGGACGACGCGCTGGCTTCGGCGTTTGCGGAGGACGAGAAACCAGCGCCAGAGGCGCCCGCACCGCCTGTAGAGCCGGTCAAGCCGCGGCGGCGCAAGCCGATGCCCCCCGACCTGCTTGTCGTGGCAGGCACGAGTCTCAAGGTCCCAGGGACGAAGCGCATTGTGCGCGAGTTTGCCAAGGCGTGCCGGGCGCGCGATGCAGGCAAAGCGCATGCGCCTGTGCGTGTGGTGTATATGAACTACGACTTTCCTTCCGCGGCGAGCGAGTGGGCCGGCGTGTTTGACATATGGGTCCAGGGCGATGTCCAGCGCACCGCTCTCGGCCTGTGCGAGCCGTGGCCGCACCGTCCACACGCGGACCCGGCGATGGAGTCGCTCGTTGCGCAGCACACATGGCAGGCACTTGCTGCTGCGCATGACGAGCGCAAGCCGCGCGCCGACGGCACGTTGCGCCTTAAATCGAGCAAGCTGAGCACGGCGCTGCGGAGCGCCGGCAAACCGGCGCGCCGTGCTCGTGCGCCGGCGGCGCGTAGGTAGCACGTGGGTATCACGTGGGCCGTACCGGACCCCGCCGTTATGCCGGCGACGGGCTCTCCGCTCTATCATGCTCGCTGTCCGTTCCATGTTCCGGGCCGGCTCGCGCGCGGCTGTGCCTCTCCGCACGTTTGCGACGTCGTCGTCGCGCAACGCGAACACGCTGCTCTTTGTGGAGCACAAGAAGGGTGCCATCAACCCTGCCTCGCTGTCGGCGCTGACGGCGGCGCAGAAGCTGGGCGGCGAGATCCACGCTCTCGTGGCCGGCTCGCCGAGCGAGGCCAAGTCGGTGGCCGAGGCTGCCGCGAAGGTGTCAGGCATTGCGAAGGTGCTCGTGAGCACATCGGAGGCGTTTGCGAACCAGCTGTCGGAGCCGCTCGCGCCCCTGATCCAGTCGCTGGTCGAGGCCCACTCGTACACGCACGTCGTGGCAGGCCACACGGCTGTCGGCCGTGATGTGATTCCCCGCGCGGCTGTGCTGCTGGACGCCTCGCAGGTGTCGGACATTGTCGCTGTCGAGGGCGAGGACACGTTTGTGCGCCCGATCTACGCCGGCAATGCGCTTGCCACGGTCAAGTCAAGCGACAAGATCAAGGTCGTGACGGTGCGCGGCACTGCCTTTGACGCTGCGAGCGCCGAGGGCGGCAGTGCGAGCACTGAGGAGGTGGACGCCGGTGAAGCACCGACGCCGACCCGGTTTATTGAGGAGCAGGTGAGCGAGTCGACGCGCCCGGATCTGGCGACCGCGGCCCGTGTCGTGTCGGGAGGCCGTGCGCTCAAGTCCGCCGAGGGCTTTGCGAAATACATTGAGCCGCTCGCTGACAAGCTGCACGCGGCCGTTGGCGCCTCGCGTGCGGCTGTGGACGCGGGCTACGCAGACAATGCGCTGCAGGTCGGTCAGACGGGCAAGATTGTCGCGCCCGAGCTGTACGTGGCGGTCGGCATTAGCGGTGCGATCCAGCATCTGGCCGGTATGAAGGACAGCAAAACGATCGTGGCCATCAACAAGGACCCCGAGGCGCCCATCTTCCAGATTGCAGACCTGGGTCTCGTCGCGGACCTGTACGAGGCTGTACCTGAGATGACTGAGAAGCTCTAAATAGGTAGCGGTAGCACTGTCACTGTGCGCCGATCGTGGCCCAGCAAGACGCGCGTGCCATGCGCAAACGCAGCGAGCGAGCCCGTCCCGTGTGCGGCGCTTGTATCGCTCGGCGGCCAAACCGGCGCCCGCGTCGGGCCCAGCGAGCCTACCGACGTGTCGGCGCCCTGCTCGTACAGCACATGCAGGTGCCCGCGCACAAGAGCGAGGTCGTGCACGCGCGCGGGCACCGCCAGCGACACGGGCGCACACGCCCCGGGCGTCGGGCCCAACGCCACATGTACGCTCACTACGTGGGCGTCGCTCACAAACGTGTGCACATGCTGCCCGTCATGCGCTGCAGCGCGCACGAGCGGTCGCTCCTTGCCTCCGCTCATGGTAGGCGGCGCAGGGCGCGGCACGGATCGCACCGTCTCGTCGCGCAGGCGCAGCCCGCCAGGCACAGGCATCGCCATGTGCGTGTGTGCCGTGGTGGGACGGGCCTGTGCGAGGGCGCCGCGAAGGAGCGCGCCCCACGCCTCGGCAACGTCGGCAAGGCGCACAGGGAGCGTGGCCTCGTCGCCGGGGAGCGTGGGCGGTCGGAACGTGTGGGCCGGACCTCCTAGGAGCGACGCAGGTCCATGCACGCCCTGCCATTGCGCCTCGGACGGCGCGCGCGGCGCGGCCGGCTGTTCGAGCCATGCGAGCGCTGCCTGCACCGCGGCTGCAGCGTCGGCCTCTTGCGCCGGCGCATCGGTCTCATAAGCCACATACGCCGTCTCCCAGAGCGGCTCGATGGCCGCATGGCTGTCGTCGGACGTGTCGGCCGCGGGCGGCGGTGGCGGCGTGCCCGAGCCCAGCATGGCATCCAGGGCTGGCGAGAGAAAGCCCCGCTGTAAGTATTCGAGCACGGTGAGCGTGTCGTGGTACGTGACGACCCGTGGTGCCGCCTCCTCAAGCTTGAGTCGCTCCTGCCGGTCCTGCTCCATACGGAACCACTTGTAAAACTCGTCGAGCGAGAGAAGCTCGCGCTCTGCATGCTCCTGCACGGCAAGTGCGACGGCATGGCACGTCTGGACACGGCACTGTAGCGAGCGAACGCACTCCTCGTCGATGCCTGGGTACTGTGTCGGCCAGCGCGCACACCCGAGCAGCTCGGTAAGCAGGACCAAGAGGCGCTCGCACGCGGGAAGGACGCCTGTGGCGACGAGGCGGCGCAGGCTCTTGAGGCCCCGCTTCGCGTCCGTCTCCATAGCGAGAGTCGTGCCCTCTGTGAGCTGCACCAGCAGATGCTCGCACGCCGGCGACGCCCGTCCGCCGACCACGAGGGCCATCCACTCGTGCACGAGATCCACGCCGTGGCGTGCGGCCGCGTCGTCCCAGTGCGCGCGCCACTCGTCGCAGCGTGGGCGCACGAGGAGGTGGTATGCCTGCGACGCATGGAACGCCGCGTCCATCGCATGCACGAAGCTCGCGCGCGCCGCTGTACTGAGCCGCGCAAGATGCACGAGCGCATCGTCCCACGCCAGTGGCAAGTGATGGATGTGCAAGGTGTCTTCCCTGGCCAGCAAGAGCGACGCGTCGTGCGGCGTCGCGGCCAGCGAGAGCACGGCGCCCGGGACCAGCTCGGGCGCATGCAGTGGGACCGTGCCGTCGAGCCATACGCCGAGGCGCCCGGGGTCGTCCGCGCACACGAGCAGCGAGAGCTGGGACGCCTGTGCGCCATGCGCGAGGGCGGGCACCTGCGCGAGGACGCCGGTCCCCGTCGCCATGCCATGGCTGGGAGGCGGCTCGGACGGCCTGGCGCGGTGCTGTGCCGCGCCGAGCCAGGTGGGCTTGTCGTCGATCGCCGAGCGCAGTGGCGTGAGCGCGGGCATCTGGTCGAGCATGTCGAGGGCCTGCGACGGCACGCCCGGCGCCTCGACGGCCACCCACTGCAGCGCGCTGTGCTGCGGCACGGCGTCGCACGGGGTATGGTGGGTATGCAGCACGGCGCCGTCGTACACCGAGTACACGAGCAGGGCGAGGGTATGCTGTGTGTGCGTGCCTGCCGTGTGTGTGAGTGCGAGTCGCACAGCCAGGCGTTCGCCTGCGTCAGCAGCGTGACGTACCGTCCGGGCTCCAGCACAGGCCGAGCACCGACACGCCCTCGGCGGCGTCGCGCGGGATGTCTGCGCGGGGCGGCTCGATCGGCACCTCCCACACGCAGCTGGGCGCGTGCACCATGCGCCAGACAACGAGCTTGAGTGCGGGGCCGCGCCGCACCTGCTGGGCGCCGGTGGCAGCGGCGGGGTTCGCCACGCCCATGCGCCGCGCCTGGATCGCGAGCATGCGCTGCCGCATCGCCAGCTGCGCGGGCGTGAGGCCGGGCGGCGCACTCGCCGCGGCCGGCGGCGCACGATCGCAGCACAGGAATGCGACCAGGTCCATGCATGGGTTGCACGCCGAGCCGACCAGGTGCGTGTCGTGCGGCAGAGTCACCTGCATGGTGGAGGGAGCTACGGAGCGACCAGGGCGGCGGCTGCCTCGGGCGTCTCGGTCGAGCGGTGTGACGCATCTTCGCGCGCGGTAATGAGCCCGAGGTCCAGGCGCCCACGCAGGGCGCGCCAGACATCGGGTGCGCGCGACCGTGCCTTGGCGTGAAAGGCCCGCACGAACCTGCGGTGAGCGCGGGGCACGTACGTGTTCCACGTGAGCGACTCGTCCAGCTGCGTCAGTGGAGCGGCGTACCTGGCGCGCGGCCGAGCGGTAGGCGTGCAGTGCGGGCACGACGTCGCCGAGCGGCGGCTCGCGGTCGAGCCAGCGCAGGAGGAGCTGCGACATGCCCTGGCACGTCTCCGAGACGCGTTCGGTCGAGTAGACCAACGCCGCAAAGTCGCTGGCGGCGTGCGTGTAGCGGAGGTCGCCGACCTCGTCGATGCGCACATAGTCGTCGGGCGCGCTGCCGTCCTCGGGCGGTGTCGCGTCCGAGTCGCCGCCGGCCGCCGGCGGGGGCTGTACCGTCGGCTCGCGCTTTGCAGGCGCCGGCCGCGCAGCAAAGAGCGCTGCACATGCTTCTCGCACGGGCCGGGCGCGCGCCTCGGCACGCGGGGGCGCGTGCAGGAAGGCCGAAAGGCTGGGGGGGAGGGGCGGCAGCGGCGCCGCAGGGTGCAGGTAGCGGTGCTTGATAGCCTGCTTGGTCCCGTGGATGGCCGGGGCGTAGCTGAGCGACGGTGCGTACCATCTGGGTGAGCCGACGCAACGCACCCTTCCTCGTCGCCGTGGTCGTCCATGTCCATCAGGTCCATCTGCTCGACCAGGGCGTCCATCTGTGCCTGCTGCTCGGGCGTCGGGATCGTGGGGTGCGTGCGCACCGTGTGTCCCGTACTCGTCACCACGCGATCGAGCGGCGGAAAGGCCCAGCGGTGCACGTCGTCGCGGAAGGGCACGCGCACCATGTAGAATCCATCATACTCGTGCTCCACGAGGGGGGCCAGGAGGCACAGCTTGGGCTCGCCGTGTGCGCGCGCCACGTAGCGTGCGAGTGCGTACACGCGCCGCACGGCCGCGGCCTGCACGAGGCCCGAGAGGGCGATTTGTGCGCGTGGCGAGCGGGGGTGCGGAAGCACGTAGTATGTCTCGCCCATGTGGTATTCGCGTCGGTACTGTGTGAGTGTGGCGGACGCACCGTGCTGGCGTGCACAAAGTGCAGGATCTCGAGCGCGGGGCGCGTGTCGAGCTCGGGCTCAGCGTCAGGCAGCGGCACCAGCGTCTTGCCGAGCCGGTAGGCGCGCGGCCCCTGCGCCGCGTCCTCGGGGAGCGGCGTGAGGCCGCTCAGGTCGCCGCCCGCGCGCGCCACCTCCCTGGCCTGGTAGAGCGCGTGCCGCGCCTCGAGCTGGCGCTCCCACGTCGTGCCGTCGCCGCGCGCCATGCGCCGCGGGGCCATGGGGCGCTGCTGCGCCGTCGCCTTGTGCAGCTGCACGGGTATTTCGATCGAGGCGCGCGATGCGCTGTCCAGCTCGCCGAACGAGAGCGTCGTGTGGATGGGATTCGAGCGCGGCCGCTGCACGGTCGGCTCGAGGGCGTGAGCCTCGGCCTCTTCGGGCGTCGCCAGGAGCGCGCCAGGGACACGCGCGACCCATGGGCGCCAGAACGCAGGCGGCGCCTCGGCGCCGAGGTCGACGCCGATGACGCGCAGCTGCGTCTGCGAGTGCGCGAGCCGGTCGCGCAGGGCGTCCGCGCGGTGCGTGGGCATCTGCGGGTGTGCGCGCGTGACGAGGTACACGATGCGCGTCCACGCCGCGGACGGCTCGCCATGTCCCTTCTCGAGCATGCAGTCGAGCGCGAGCGAGAGTGCCTCGAGCGCTGCGTCAGTGGGCCGTACGTACGCTCGCACGCGCGCGGCTGCGACGCGGGCTGCAGTGCCTGGAGCACATGCATCGTCTCGAGCGTCGGGCGCGCGGGCGGCCACAGCTCGCGGGCGGCGGGCGGGGGGCCATCTGAGCTCTCGCCGTAGACGACGAGGCATACCTTGAGCGTCGCGAGGCCGCGGAGCATCTCGGGTGAGTCGCGCAACGTACCATCTCGAGGATGCGCAACGACACAAAGGCCTGGCACTGCGCGAGACGTGTGCGGCCCGTCGCGTCGAACGACGCGCTCATCGGCTGCGACACATCGAGCACGAAGGCAACGAGGGTGCGCTGTCCCAGCTGGCGTCAGTGCGCGCACGTACGCTGGCGCCACTCGCCATGGTGGCACAGGCCAAGGGCGCACGTGGCTAGCTATGGGGAAGGAGCGGCGCTACGGTGCGCGTCCACTGGGCCTGCCAGGTGGGTGCGTCTGCGCCGAGGAAGCCGGCGTGCGGGAAGCGCCGGCGGCCTGTGAGCACGTCGGCCATGCACGTAGCGAGCTCCGAGGCCGACGAAAACACGGCGCCGTTCACGCCCGACTCGATCAGCTCGGGCAGGCAGGCGAACGAGAGCGCGCACACGGGGAGGCCGCATCCGAGCATGTCGACGACCTTCATGGGCAGGTCGATGCCGGATGAGCTCGTGTGCAGCGAGACGCCCACATCCGCGACGCCGAGCAGGCGCGGGTAGTCGTCCGCCGCGAGCCACGCGGTGCGCACGGTCACATGCGACCATGCCTCGCGCAGCGCACGCGCGGCCATGTCGCGCTCGTACGCTTCGCGCAGCGGACCGCGCCCTGTGATGACCACGCAGATGGGCGGCACGGCGGGGTCGCGGCGAGCCAGCGTCTCGTACAGCGCCGCGGCATCCAGGAGCATGCCGATATCCTCGTCGGGTGTCCAGCTCGTGCTCGATACCACGAGCTTGCACGCGCGCCCGCTGCCCGCGCAGACAGGGTGGCGCGCGAGGAACTCGTCGCGCTCGGGCGGCGACAGGCGGTGGAAGTGGGCGGGCGGGCGGTCGTGCAGGACGGCCGTGCGGCCGCGGAGGCGCCACTGCGTGAGCAGCTGTGTGCGCATGGCATGCGTGACAAACAGGTGCACATCCGCGCGTGCGCCGAGCCACCGCTCGAGCGTGCGGGCCACGGCCACAAGGGGACTGCGTGCGCCGAGCTTGAGTGCGAGCAGCGTGTAGCCCAGGTTGTGCCAGTCGATCACGAGGGTGCTGCGCGTGATCGCACATGCCAGGCGCACGACCCCCAGCGTCGGGATCGCAGGCGGCGTCTGCACGAGGACGAGCGACGGGCGCGGCGTGTGCGTGACGATCTGCCATAGAAGCGTCACGGCCTGCAGCGGCACCTTGACGAGCGCGACCACGGCAAAGAGCGCGCGCGGCAGGGACTGGAGCGCATGCGGTGGCGTCCAGAGGGGCACACAGCGCACGCCCGGGCCGAGATCGGCGGGCCGCCGCGTCTCCAAGTACCCGGCGACAGCGACGGACCAGCCGGCGTCGGCGAGACTCCGCACATGGTAGCACATGCGCGGACTGCGTGCCACGTCTCCAAGAACAATCACCATGGCCGTCCGCCTCGCCGGGGCGCGCATGCGACCCAGCAGCAGGGTGGCCAGCACCACGAGGGCGGCGACCGCCAGCGCCAGCATGGTGGAGGCCATGGACGAGCGTCGGACAGCGCCGCCTCCACGTCCCACGCACCACGATGGACGAGGCGGGCGCGACAGCCTGGGAGCAGGCGTGCCTCACGGACATTTTCCGTGCGCATGTTCAAGCGGAGGCGCCATCGTCGCCGCCCACTGTGTACTTGGCCGAGCTCGCCGAAGAGCTCGCTGGCGAGACCGGTGCGCTGCCCGTCCTGCGCATCGGCGCCGCGGACCGAGTGCTGATTGCGCGCCTGTCCGAGGAGAGTGCGTCCGAGACGAGCTGGGACTTTCTCGTCGGTGCATGGGTGCGCTGCCGCCGTGCTGAGCAGGGCGTGCGCGCGTCGCCTGGCGCGTATCCTCCGTCGGCGCCGGGCGCGCTCCAGCATGTGCGTGGCCTGCTTGTGAGCTATGCCGGCCTGGTCATCGAGATGCCGGACATGTTTCCGCGGCACACGAAGCACGGCGAGGCACTTGGGCCGCAGGCGCTCGTGCCGACGCTGCTGCGCCTCGCTGTGACGATGGGCGACGACGCCGTGGTGCCGTCGGCGTACGATTGGGCTGCGCCGCCGCCGTCACTCGCGCGCGATTTCGTCGCGGATATCGTCACGCGTTTTGCGCCGGATGATGCGCTGGATGGCCTGCTTGGCGCGGCGCTCCACGCACTCACGCAGCGCGTCCTCGAGCCGCAGCGCGAAGCCGGCGCGGAGGCCCGCGCGAGTGGCCATGGCAGCGCCTCGTCTGGCGCATCGGCCGACCAGGATGCGTACAGCGTGCTCGCGCAAATGCTCCAGATGCCGGTGCCTCGCGCGCTGCCGCAGCAGGAGGGCATGACGCTCACGCAGCTCGACTGGCAGCCGATTGCGCTCGCGCTCGCTGCGGCCCTGGACATGAAGCCGCTCGCTGCGGCTGTGCCGTCGTTTGCGTCGTTTGCGCCGGCGACCAGTACGGCTGCCTCGCTCGAGCGCGACTCGCTATTCGGGCCGCTACTGCGCCTCTCGTGCTTTCCGGACGCATTCCCGTCAGTGGCGCGCGAGGCGCTGGCGGACGCCAAGTCGCGGTCGCCCGTGGAGCTCGAGAGCACGGTGCAGTCGCTGCGCATGTCGCTCGGTGTCGTGCAGAAGGCCAACTATGACATGTTCCACCAGCTCGTGCGCGCTGGTGCCGAGCCGAGGGAGCGCGTCCTGGCGTTCTGGGGGCAGGTGTGCCAGCTGAACGCCAAGCGTGGGGCGATGCAAGTTTCGTCGAGGGAGGTGGCGACCGATGCATTCATGGTGAATGTGTACGACCTGCTGCTGCGCTTTGCAGCACCGTTTGCGGAGCCGACGTGCGCCAAGATCGACCGCATCGATGCGCGCTACCTGCAGTACCAGCGCCGGTGGGACACGTCCACGCTCACGCGCCTCCTCGCTAGCGAGGCCGAGGCGCAGGCGTGGATGCAGGCAGCAGCGCCGCCCCCGGCGCCGCCCAACTTTATCACGGAGGTGTTCTTCCTGACGACGCGCCTGTCGACGCTCGCGCTCGGCAAGGTCCTGCGCAAGACGGAGCAGCGTGAAAAGGAGATGGACCGCCTACGCCAGCGCGTCGACGAGTTGGAGGAGGGCCGCGCGGAGTGGGCACAGACGCCGCAGGGCGCGCACCTTGACGCCATGATCTCGCGTGCACGCGCGCAGATCGACAAGCTGCATAGCGAGATGATGGCGGTGCAGGCGCAACTGCTCGAGCCGGGCTTCCTCGACCGTGTGCTTATGTTTGTCGCGTTCACGATGACATGGCTCGTGCGCATAGCGGACCCCCGCGGCGCGCATCCCCACGCGTGTGTGGCTCTGCCGCTGCCAGCCGAGGTGCCGGAGGCGATCCGCATGCTGCCGGAGCACATGCTGGAGGATGTGTGTGATCTCGTTCTGTTCTATGCGCGACGGAGGCCGGACGTGATCGGCGCGCCGGTGCTGGAGAGCATCGCGACGTTCAGCACCGTGTTCCTCTCGAGTGGCTGGTACATTCGGAACCCGTTCGTCAAGGCGAAGCTCGCAGAGATGCTGTCGTACCTGGTGATGCCGTACGCCCCCCCTAGGGCGGGCGTTCTCAGCGACACGATCAACACGCTGCCCATCGCACTCGCGCACCTGGTGCCGGCGCTCATGACCTTCTGGATCGAGGCCGAGTCGACGGGCTCGCACACGCAGTTCTACGACAAATTCAACATCCGCTTCCACCTAACGCAGGTGTTCCAGGCGATCTGGGACACGCCCGAGCACAAGCGCCAGCTGCACGCCGAGGCGCGCGAGCACCAGGGCGGCTTTGTCGTCTTCATTAACCGACTGATGAATGACGTCACGTTCCTGCTCGAGGACGCGCTCGACAAGCTCGCGGAGCTGCACACGACGCAGGCCGAGAGGCTCGAGCCGCGCTGGGCCGAGCGGAGTGTGGAGGAGCGCCACGAAGCGGAGGGCCTCGAGCGCAGTCTGCAGGGGCAGATCCGCAGCGATCTCGCACTGGGCCACGAGTTTCTGCGTCTGCTGATCCTGTTCACGAGGGAGACGAGCACGGAGTTTATGATGCCAGAGATTGTCGAGCGCCTCGCGGCTATGCTCGACTACAACTTGGACGTGCTCGTAGGCCCCCGGTGCCAGGAGCTCAAGGTCCAGGACCCCAAAAAGGTCGGGTTCGACCCGAAGAGTCTGCTGAGTGAGATCCTCGCCGTGTTCCTGAACCTGGCGCCGCACCGCGAGTTTGTCGTCGCGATCGCACGCGACGGCCGCAGCTACCGACGAGAGATCTTCTCCAAGGCCGCGAGCATTGCGCAGCGGCACATGCTCAAGAGCCCGGCCGATATCGACACGCTCGCAGACCTCGTGGAACGCGTCGAAAAGGCGAAGCAGGAGGACGCCGACGAAGAAGAGGACCTCGGCGAGGTCCCTGACGACTACCTGGACCCGCTGCTCGCAACGATCATGCGGGACCCCGTGCGCCTGCCCTCCAGTCGCACCGTCGTCGACCGGTCCACGATCAAGGCGCACCTGCTGAGCGACGGCACGGACCCTTTCAACCGCATGCCCCTAAAGCTTGAAGACGTGCAGCCTGACGATGCGCTGCGCACCGAAATTGAGACTTGGGTCCGTGAGCGGCGCAGCGCCCGAGGCCCCACGCAGCCAGGTCCCTAGCCGCACGGCCAGCCTGACTCGGCCGAGCTTTTTCTGCGACGACCACCCAGGCGCGCCTCCGTAGCAGCCACCACGACCATGCGATTCTATGAAAAACCGCTGCCTGACACGGACGAGATTGTCATGTGTCAGGTGCGGCAGATTGCCGAGATGGGCGCGTACGTAAAGCTTTTGGAGTATGACAATGCTGAGGGCATGATTCTGCTCTCGGAGCTGAGTCGCCGACGCATCCGCAGTATCCAGAAGCTGATCCGCGTCGGCCGCAACGAGGTCGTGGTCGTGCTGCGTGTCGACAAGGAGAAGGGGTACATCGACCTGTCAAAGCGACGCGTCTCGCCGGAAGACGTCGTCAAGTGCGAGGAGCGGTACAGCAAGTCGCGTGCGGTGAACAGCATCGTGTCGCACGTTGCACACAAGCTCGACCGCCCTGTTGAGGAACTGTACGAAAAGATTGTATGGCCCCTCGACCGCACGTACGGTCACTCGTACGATGCATTCAAGCTCGCGGTCACTGAGGCCCCCAAGGTGTTTGAGGGCATCGAGATCGACGAGGTTGTGCGCAAGGAGCTGGAGGCCAACATTGCGCGCCGTCTTACACCGCAGCCTGTCAAAATTCGTGCCGATGTCGAGGTGTCGTGCTTCGGCTATGAGGGTATTGACGCCGTGAAGGAGGCGCTCCGCGCCGGCGAGGCCCTGTCGACCGAGACGATTCCGATCAAGATCAAGCTCGTCGCACCGCCCCTCTACGTTCTAGTTAGTCACTCGACCGACAAGGCGGGCGGCATTGCGCGCATGGAACAGGCGCTCGAAAAAATCACAGAGACGATCGAGAAGAGCGAGGGTAAGGTCTCTATCAAGATGAAGCCCAAGGCCGTCTCGGCCGTGGAGGACGAAGAGCTCGCGCAGCTCATGGCCCGCGTCGAGCGCGAAAACACCGAGGTCCAGGGCGACGAGTACGTATCGCAAGACTGACAGCAGCGACTCGGAGGAAGACGAGTAACCGTATGTACACTATAGTTCCTGGGCGAAGCCTTTCTTCCTGCTTAGATAAGCCAGTCGCGTGGCGCCCGCCACGCCGAAAGACGCAGTTGCGTGTCGACACGATGGCGGAACCGCAGGTAGCCTACGCCCAGGATGAGTACGGCAATCCGTTTATTGTAGTGCGCGAGCAGGGGAAGAAGACACGCGCCCAGGGCACGCAGGCCATCAAGGACCACATCCAGGCCGCACGCACCGTGTCCAACATCCTGCGCACGTCGCTCGGCCCCCGTGGCCTCGACAAAATTCTCATTAGCCCGGACGGCGACATCCAGGTGACGAACGACGGCGCAACGATTATGAGCAACATGGAGCTAGAGCACCAGATTGCCAAGCTTCTTGTGCAGCTGTCCAAGAGCCAGGACGACGAGATTGGCGATGGTACCACCGGCGTGGTCGTTCTCGCGGGCGCGCTCCTCGAGCAGTCCGAGGCGCTCATCGACCGTGGAATTCACCCTATCCGCATTGCCGACGGTTTCGAGCGCGCCTGTGATATTGCAGTCGCCGCCCTCGAGAAAGTGGCCGACGTGGTTGAGTTTGACCGCGAGCATATCGAAGAGCTGCTCAAGGTCGCCAAAACCAGTCTCGGCAGCAAAATCGTGTCCAAGGCCTCGGACAAGTTTGCGCGGATCGCCACGGATGCTGTGCTTTCAGTCGCCGACTTGGAGCGCAAGGACGTCGACTTTGACCTGATCAAGGTCGACGGCAAAGTAGGCGGCTCGCTGGAGGATTCGGCCCTGGTCCAGGGTGTCGTGATCGACAAGGACTTTTCGCATCCCCAGATGCCGCGTGAGATCCACGACGCGCGGATCGCGATCCTGACATGCCCGCTCGAGCCACCGCGCCCTAAGACGAAGCACAAGCTAGACATTACATCAGTCGAAGAGTACAAGCGCCTGGAAGAGTACGAGCGCTCGACATTCGAAAGTATGATCCAGAAAATCAAAGACTGCGGTGCCAACCTCGTGGTGTGCCAGTGGGGCTTTGACGATGAGGCCAACCACTTGCTGCTGCTGCATGCGCTGCCCGCCGTGCGCTGGGTCGGTGGCCCCGAGCTCGAGCTGATTGCGATTGCGACCAACGGTCGCATCGTACCGCGCTTTGAGGACTTGAGCGCCGACAAACTTGGCCGCGCGGGCGTTGTGCGCGAGGTCAGCTTCGGTACAACACGCGACCGCATGTTGGTGATTGAGGAGTGCGCCAACTCGCGCGCAGTGACGGCGTTCCTGCGCGGCTCGAACAAGATGATCATCGACGAGGCCAAGCGCGCACTCCATGATGCCATGTGCGTAGTGCGCAGCCTCGTCAAGGACAACCGTGTCGTGTACGGAGGCGGTGCAGCCGAGGTGTGTGCGTCAATTGCCGTGTCGCAGTGCGCCGATGAAATTGCGACCATTGAGCAGTACGCGATGCGCGCATTTGCCTCGGCGCTCGATGCGATCCCCCTCGCTCTTGCAGAGAACAGCGGGCTGGCCCCCATCGAAAACCTCGCGATGGTGAAGAGTCGGCAAGTGAACGAAAAGGATGCCCGCTACGGTATCGACTGCATGGCTACAGGTGTATGTGCATTAAAATTACTAACGTCAGAACAACAACATGAAAGAGTGTCGCGTATTCGACCCACTGGTGTCCAAGCGCCAGCAACTCCTCCTGGCTGCGCAGCTCGTGCGTGCCGTGCTGAAAATCGACGATGTGGTACGCACGACCAACTCACCCAGATTGAACAGCACGCGCTGGAAGCAGAGATGTAGCACGTGACGCTAGAGCAGGTAGCCTTTGCCGACATCGTCCCTCGGCGTCGATCATGGCAGCGGAAGACGAGCGCAAGCGCGAATGCCCCGCGACGGAGAATGATGCGGCATCGTCTGACGATGATTTGGGTCCGATGCCAATGCCGGCCTCGTCAGACGAGGCGGAGCGAATCAAGCGGCGCAAAACACTGCAGCATGAGAAGCTGTACCTGGATCACCTGCCCTGTGCGGAGCGCTACTACAAGTCGCTGATGCACCGCGATACCATTAACTTTGTGAATGTGACGCCTCATACAGATTTTGTCATCACAACGTCCGTCGATGGCCATGTCAAGTTTTGGAAAAAGCAGGATACAGGTATTGAGTTCGTCAAGCATTACAACGCTCACCTCGCCATGATTGTAGGTGCAGCCGTCAGTGCCGACGGTGCCTACTTTGCAAGCATCGCAGCAGATGGATCTGTCAAGGTATTTGATGTGGTCAACTTTGACCTGATTCACATGCTCCAGCTCCCGTATACCCCGCGCGCATGCGCCTGGGTCCACCGCCGAGGAAGCGTGGACGCCGTTCTTGCCGTCGCCGAAGAGCACAGTACCTCAATCCACTTCTATGATGCACGAGAGGGTACAGAGCCCCTGTACTCTGCATTGCGTGTGCACAAGAAGCCGTGCCACCTGCTTGCCTACAACGACAGGTACGATTGTATCGTCTCGGTAGACACAGGGGGTATGATCGAGTACTGGCAGCCACGCGAGCCTTTTGCGCTGCCGGATGGTGTGTTCGAGCTCAAATCAACGACAGACTTGTTCGAATTTAAGAAGACCAAGTGCATTCCAACGTCGCTTACTTTCTCCCCGGACTTTGAGCAGTTTGTTACCTTGTCCGCCAGTGACCGCCAGGTACACGTATTCCATATGCAACGGGGCAAGCTGCTACGCAAGTACGACGAGTCGCTTACGGCGGCCCAGGAGATGCAGCAGGCTGGTTCCACGTCGTCACAGCTGGACGATATCGAGTTTGGCCGCCGACTCGCTGTAGAGCGCGAACTCGACGCCACGGTGCTCCCCGGTCCTACGGAAGCCGTGCCAAACGCGACAGGCTTGGCCACTGCAAATGCTGTGTTTGATGACAGTGGCCACTTTGTGCTATATGCGACAATGTTGGGTCTGAAAGGTGCGTAGATTGCGCTAACAACCAGTGGTCAATATCAAAACCAACAAGCTCAGTCGCTTGCTGGGCCGCGATGAAATCATGCGTTTTTTAAATGTGTCTCTCTACCAGGGTACGCCGACAAAGAAAACCGCAACTAGTGTGGCTTTCGCTGCCTCTAATAATCCGCTCGTTGCTGCGGAGGCGCAAGACCCGATACTGTTTTCTACTGCATACAAGCGCTCTCGCTTTTTCATGTTCTCGCGCAAAGAGCCCGATACGGATCCCAATTCCAAGCTCGCTGGTCAGGACCGTGACGTGTTCAATGAAAAGCCTACACGTGAGGAACAGGCTGTGGCCAGTGAAATTCCTGAGGCAAAGAAGAAGAATATTATTACTTCGGCCATCTTGCATACAACCGCCGGCGATATCCACCTGCGCCTGTACCCTGACCTGGTGCCCAAGACGGTGGAAAACTTTGTCGGGCTCGCTAAGAAGGGATACTACAATGGAGTTATTTTCCACCGTGTGATCAAGAAATTCATGATCCAGACTGGTGACCCTTTGGGTGATGGTACCGGTGGTGAGAGTCTGTGGGGTGGTGAGTTTGAGGACGAAATTGTAAAGGAACTGCGCCATGACCGACCCTATACCTTGAGTATGGCCAATGCTGGCAAGAACACAAACGGCAGTCAGTTCTTTATTACAACGGTGGCAACACCGTGGCTGGATGATAAGCATACAGTGTTTGGACGTGCGACGAGCGGCTTGGATGTGATTCACAAGATCGAAAATGCACATATTGACAAACGAGATAAACCGAAAGAGGACATTCAGATCTTTAGTATTTCTCTACATTAAATGTTGAGCTTTTAGAGTAGCAATGTCTAAGCAGGTTCTCACGGATTGATATGCACTAAAATGCTACAAGTAGGCCAAGCGCGCCTGCCTCCACTCTGCCCGGAACATCGTTGTGATCCGCCTATAAGGCGGGGGTGGAGGAAGGCAACACACCCGCAGTCTTGCCTCTGACCACAACACTCCACAAAGATCAGCTGCGACAATGGATCTTTGGCGCCCAGCCCCGTTGGGGCATAAGTCAATCCCCCTCCTATGGCAGCAATCTATGGGCCGTAATACAAGCAAAAAACGGTTGGGAGATGTTCATCTTACACCCACGAGTATTCAAGTGTTCAATGCGACGCTGTTTGACAAGATGCGGGGGCGGAGCACGGAGTGTGGTTTGGGTTTCGGCACGCCTGAGACCGACCATGTTTCTGTTGAGGGCATTATCAGCCTGCGTGAATATGCAAGCAAACGGATAGAGCACGAAATGATGATGTTCGAAACCATTCAGCAGGCCACAGATATATCCAAGCTGCTGTGGGAAGCTCAAATGGCGTACATGGCTCGACGCTATGTGCTTGCCGCCGTGTTATACCGCCGCTTATCCGAACTTGACTCCGCTTATGCATGCGCATGCCTCGCTAAAATGTTCGGATTTGGTATCGTGGAATACAACGTTGTGTTGTTTGAACGTGACACGCTTCGCGGCATTGCATGGGCCATCCGGGGGCTGCGGCTGGTAGTGTCGGACATTCATGGCACACATAATCTGGAGCATGTACAAACAATGAGCCAAATTCTGTCGTTAATTTGCATTCTCGTTTGCGCGCCTGAATCCATGCAGACACTCCGCACAGACGATCAGCACGCTGATGTTTCCTTATCGTTACTCTTATTGTTCCCGCGCTCCTGTGAATTGCTGCATCCGCGCGCACGAGTCCAAAATAAGATACCTTCCGAACTCACACGCGAATCCATATGGATGGCACTCCGAGATGTCCTCAGTGAGATGACGCCGATCCAAGAAGCCCAGGAATTGATGGAGCCAGCCGATTTGGCCCAAGTGGAACTACTCAAGAAGCGTGTTCGCATTGATATATTATATTTGGAGGCATTTTTAGTGATGCGGCAAGCCTTTTTACACAAGGATGCCTCATTGATTCAAGAAACATATACATGCTGGACGCAGTACCTGTCAGAAGGACGAGACTTGACGGATAAGGTGGACATATCAAGTTTTCGGCGCGTTGCATCTGAGGGACAAGAGTGGGCTGTGCCAGATGCAGAGCGCACAACGAGTGCATCACTAAGCCACGCTGAGTTTTCTGCTCTATCAAGACGTATTTCTAACATTTTTCCCTTCACAGCACCTAAGCAAAACACACGCGACTCATATCAACCGATCATTTCGGACAGTGCCCATGCTGGACAACAGAAAGTAGCACGTCCGACTGCCCCCACCAAGTCAGACAAAACAAAAGCATGTGCAAAACCACACTTTCTTTCAAATATCACGCCATCTACGGTCTCATATACTTCCTCCAAAGATCATGCCACTGGCCACAGAACTCAAAGATACAGCGGAATCACAAGCAATCGCTTGAAAGACGTTCAAGGTATTTCCCAGCGTCGATATGTGTCAGCAGAAACTATGCCAAATACATTTTTGAAACCCGAAGAGCCTAACTACCTAACAAGAATGGACGACGTTCTTCCTACGCGACGCCGACGCACACCCAGCATTGTGTCTGTGACACCCTCTCTGATGTTTCCTTCCTCAAACGAGCCGTCTACCCTCTCGTCAGATCCCGCGACAGAGGTAGTAGGCCAATCGGTTCAAACCACGAGTGCTTATTTATATACCGACAATGACGGAGAGCACGCACTGCGAGCAAGGTTAAAAAGACAATCGTCGCGCGCTTCGCTTCGAGGACTGTAACTCTATGAAGTTGCTAGTGATATAGAACAAAAGTTATAGATTAGCCAACAAGTTCTCCTAGTTAGTACAACGGTTAGTATATGTCGCTCTCATAAGCGAAGCTGTGTGGCGCCGACAAGACCCGGGTTCGACTCCCGGATTGGGAACTTCTTTTTCCATCGTAGATATTTTATTATAGAAATCTTTGACAGAAAGACCCATTCATTTCTCTTATTCATTTAAGAGCACCTTGGTAATGGCATTCTACTTAGATACAAGGTTTTCGTACTCTTGTTGGTCCAGGCGACCGTGGACTCGATCAAGGAATTCTTTTCGATGAAGATACCCTTTCACATCACCTAGGCCACTGCCACCGCCCTGCGTTTGAGAGTCCAGCTCATCACGTTCAGCAGCAGACATGGTACTGCGATTGTCTTCCGTAGCAATATTCCCCTTAAAAGCCTCCCAGTCAAGTTTCGATTTCTCGAGCGTGTTCATTTTGACAGGAGTCGACGTGACGGCTGCACTCATGTCGGCCAATTGACTCTTACGTTTTTTGCGAGCCATTGAGCCCAATTGAGAAGATCGCTTTTTTACCGGCGCACGTAATGGCGGTGCTGACGAAGTAGACTCTTCGGCCTTTTTGGATACCGTCGTCGACGCCGTATTTTTTTCAGGGACAGCGCTATCAAATGTTTCGGTTGACTTGGCGGTATCTTTAATAGTTGGAATAGAATCAAGATCGTTTACCTTTTCATTAATACGTGACTCGGTATCTTCGATAATCTGGTTTGGGCTAGGAACATCGTCAGTAACACTGTTAGCTTTCAGCTTCTCCGTGGATGAATTTTGTGGACATGAAGTTATTCCTCCTTCGAGACCCTTGCTTAATTCATTTTCAAATTCTGGGTGTGTCCCGGACAATGTATCGACGCCCTTGCTTTTATTGACACCAAAATCGTCTGGCGTCATCGAACTGTCTAGATTGCGAAAACGGAGAAATCCTTAAAGTACCTCCACATGATACCAACTAGTTTCAAACGCGGGGGTAACGCCACACTTATGCTTGATCTACCATGGAACATACAGATGCAGATCCGACCTTTTTAACGTCAGATATTTCTGTGCAGAATGCAACAGATTCCAGTATACCTGAAGACCGTATCACAACAGCTATTTCTCCAAATGTATCTCAGAATGCACCCTCCCAAATGACATTGTCCGAGCAAGTTGAACAAGCGTGGAATGCGGCTATCGACGCACCTGAAGATTCTGAACAAGCTTTGAACATCCCTGATATGTCTGGTTCATTTACTGAGCAAGATTCTTCCCAAGGTTCACCCCCGTCCAACCCTACTTATGGTCTACGAGCGTCAGTTGGGTTCTTGTTGAATCGCTGTATTGATGCCATTACTTCATCTATTTTTAATCACCGTGAGGCACATCCTGCAAATAGGGATGACACCATGTCTGAAAATACAGGATTTGTTGACCCCGCCAGTGTTGAGTCAAACGATATGCTTACTCCTAATGACCATAACACTTCCGATCCAGAACCACAAAGTATTGAAACTTCAGTGCATGATTTAAATTCGAATAATGAAATGGCACCTACGTCTCCCCAATCTACATCCACTGATGCCTCAAGCCTTCCCCGCCCTCCCCAGTTCCTTATGCATATACCTCAAGATGTTTCCCCTTTCCCATTTGGATTTTTGTATGATGCCAATTCTAGTATGGCCTGGCCTATATTAGACCAGTTTGAGCAACCTCAGTCTAGTGAATCCAATGAAAATTGCCGCACTGTCCATGTGCTTGGTCGCCCATTCCGTCTTATTGTGACGGTTACTACGGGTGGTCCTCGAGAGGAACCAGATGCAAATAAAGCATTTGCCTATGTTAAAGGGCTTGAGGTGGTCGATGCGGACCTTCGCGCCCGGATGCAACATTTAGGAATGAGCGACATTAGCGAATACGGCTTTGTCGACGATGATCGAAGCAGCGAATATGTGACGGGTTGTCCTGTGTGTTTGGAGCCATATCTAGACGATGACAAGCCATCATGGCTCGTTGGTGAAGAGCAAGAGATTATGGAAAGAATTGTTGCTCTTCCGTGTCCTGGGTTTCACACAATGCATGGGGCATGTATATTCAATTGGCTTAAGTCCAGAGCCCCTAGCAAGTGGACATGCCCCTATTGTCGTAATCCTTTGGATCCAAAAAATCCGACTTTAAAGGCCTGCGGAACTGACAGCAAACCCCGGACTATCCGCGAATATGTGCGCTCAGAAGAGCGTCGTTCTGGATGGCGCTGTGATGCACCGACTTGTTTTCCGGACTATGAAGCGGGCACACAAGCTTCACATATGATACAATTGTTTCCCTGTCGTCACCAAATACATTTAGACTGTCTTTGCACTTGTCTACGCTTGCAAAGGACTCAGGAGCATGGCTCGCTCTCCTTTCAAACTGAAGACAATGATGCCTATGATTACGAAGGACAGGAAAGCGACTCGGACTCTGACCATACATATGATGTTTGTCGCATGTCACGCTCTGAGCACGTTCCTCACTGCAATGAAAACATTCTGACAAATCCGGATACGATTGGAAAATGGGTGACCTGTGCAGCATGTCGTAAAGATGCATGGGCCGAGCTTCCCACACGCCGACGTCCTCGTCCTCGACAAGAGCTTCACTCACATCTATCCAAAAGCACAGAGCTGTAATACCCAGACGATGTCATAGGATACGGTTCGGCTCAGGTAGGCAAATATCCTATGATTGGTTGATCATGTAGGGACGTGCGCCAATTTGGGCACGTGTGAGACGGACACATACAGCCACAGGCGTGCCGACCACGTTCAATATGCCAAGTAACCCTAGAGAGCCATCGGTACAGAAGATTCCGGCGCCCCCACGGTCTGCGGCTGGAAGTTTCTTGAATGATAGATCCTATTCGCATAATTTTATGGAGCAACCTTCTAGTGTAAGTCTGAAACGCAGTGCGACCATTATGCCGGATGCATCAAGTTCATCTCATTCAGATGCGATTGATCGGTACGAGGAAGACAAGCAAGGGGCTAATGCATGGAACGGTAAAAATCACGAGGAGCTCGATGAGCCTGACAGGGGTGAAGCATTGATTCGGCACAGGATCTGGCAGCGCAAGCTTGACAAAATGATGAAGCAGCGCCAGATGGAGCAGAGCTCTGAACATTCATTTCTTTCAGATGGCGCTGATACACAAGGAAGGACCGATATCTCATCATCAATGACACCATCTCAGTCTACGAGCTTTTTCTATCGGCATCCACGTCGTTCTTTTGATGGTCCACATGCCCATTTTGATGATACTGACCGTTCCCTTCAAAGTGTACGTCGTCAGTCTTCATATCTGGATGGCGAACGAACACCTCAAACGAATGCGGATCATCATCTAGACGTGGGTTCCCCTAAAAGCCTGGACGACATGGACGATGGGACAGATGAAGGCGACAACGACGACTTGGAATATACTGTGAAGGATCGTCAAGATGCAATTAACATTGAGCATCCATTTGGTCTTCCCATTTGGAAGCCAGCTTTATACAAAAAGTCTCGCTCAATTCAAAGGACGGCGGATTCGGCCATTCGTGGTGAGCCCGGATTACTTCCAGACCGATCCACTTTACCCGGTAACATTTGCTGGCTTTTGTTTTTTGGTATCTGGCTAAGCCTGCTATGTGCCATTTGTTCCATGATTTTATACTTTGTTCCTCGAGGTGGGATTATGTATTCTCACACCATGTGGGGTCTCGCAACGTACTTGCTGTGGCCGTTTGGAAACTATGTGGAAGTGGAGTGCTCTCATGAAGGGGGACATCGTCACGGTCCATGCCGATTGCCAAAAATTCACGAGCATGAAGTAAAGGACAATGATGTTGTGGATATGGAGCACCATCATGCAGGCTCAGATGAACCTCTAGTATCGGAAGGCCAGTCATCGCGTTACGGCGCCGTGGAAAATGATGAATTGGATAGCCCTACGAATGAACAAGAGCGAATCGCACTTGAGCGTAAGTTATATCACTATGTCTATGATGACAATGGCAATGATGTGGGGGTCAAGACCCGCTGGGGAGGTATCGTCGTATATGCGCTAGTGTATTGTCTCATTTTGTTCCCTGCCTTGGGTGTTGTTTGTTTAATATGCTGGAGTCTGGTCGTAACCATACCAATGGCCAAGCTACTTTGGGTACTTATTAAGAACATGGCATCTCAGCCTCTTGCCCTGCATATCCGTTCGCCATGGCAGATTGACACAAGGAACCTTCAGGTTCGTGGCTCAGAAGAGCCTGGTTCCGTTCGCGATGTGCTGCATCCTGGCCACTTGGCACCACGTTTGAAGCGACAGCATCGCAAGAAAGGCTCCTCCAAGCGTCGAAGTGTGATTCTTCTTTGTACTTACAAGGCCATGGGACCTGAGTATTTCAAGTACACTGTGGGAGGAATTAATATCCTATTCGTTGATACGGTCCCTGTCATTTTTTTCACTATTGCGCTATTCTATATCCTGCGACCATGGGGTCTTCGGCACGGTATGACATCCGGCTTGTTCGGCTTCATTACCAGTGAAGGGTTTATTTTCTGTATGGCACTCGCAAGTGTACTGCCCCTGTCCTATTTTATTGGTATGGCGGTGGCTAGTATCAGCACACAAAGCAGCATTGGAATGGGTGCTGTGATCAATGCAACATTTGGATCCATTATTGAGTTGATTCTTTACGGAGTCGCTCTCGTACAAAATAAAGGAGCCTTGGTTGAAGGATCCATCATCGGGTCAATCCTCGCAGGTGTATTATTAATGCCGGGCACAAGTATGTGTTCGGGTGCTTTACGGCGAAAGGAACAGAAGTTTAACTCTCGCTCTGCCGGTGTAACTAGCACCATGCTTATCATGGCCATCATTGGAATTTTGACACCCACGCTGTTTTATCAAATATATGGTCAGTTCGAACTGTTATGTACAGGATGTCCTGAAGATACGAATTTGGTGTCGGATAGCTACCAGTGCCAACAATGCTCGTATCGACATGTGCCGCCGTTCAAGGACCCGTTCTTCCAAACAAATGTGAAGCCGCTCATCTACACCTGTGCATTTCTGTTGATTTTGGCTTATGCCATTGGTCTATGGTTCTCTTTGCGCACCCATGCATCTCAAATTTGGAACAGCGCACCTACGACAGTCTCGGCAGAACAGCTCCCGCCACATTTTCGACGGGCTTCGTTGTATAAGCATCTTTTCCCCGGTGTCGACTCTGCCCAGCTACCGATCCATCGCACTCAACAAGACCTGAGTTCTAGCCAATTGGTGACGCCCTCAGAACAAATAGAAGGCAACAGACCTTCTCGATCTGCTCAGTCAGATCCTCAGTCAAGCACACATGCTCAGACTCCTTCCAACTCTAAGAATAAGTCTCAGCAAGATGATATTGCTATGGATGTGGCTGCAAGAATATTTCAATATATTTTCAGCCAGAGCAAGTCTCAGGCGCCCGAGAACGATGGAGTGGCCGCTGGCCATGCTGGTCATGATGCTCCTTCGTGGAGTCGTATGGTGTCCCTCAGTGTCTTGTTTTCTTGCACATTTTTATATGCTATCATTGCGGAAATTATCGTGGATATGGTGGACGTGGTTATTAAGGGCTCGGGCTTGTCGGCTAAGTTTGTCGGTGTGACCTTATTTGCTCTAGTTCCAAACACAACGGAATTTATGAATGCCATGAGTTTTGCACTTAACGGAAATATCGCTTTGTCTCTGGAAATTGGTTCTGCCTATGCGCTTCAGGTGTGTCTAATCCAAATACCTGTTTTGGTTTTATTCAGTGCTATTTACAATTCCTCGTATCTATCTGGACCTGACATGGACATAACTCAACATTCCTTCACATTAATCTTCCCCCGTTGGGACATAATTGCTATCATATTCTCCATCTTCCTATTGACGTATACGTACAATGAAGCACGAAGCAATTACCATCGCGGAAGTATTTTGGTGCTTTCATATATGGTATTCATTGCAGGATTCTTCTTTGCACCATCTGTTGATCCGGAAGATCCTTCTCAAGCTAATGCACGATTGTTCTCCCTAGGAACGTAGATGTCAGTAATACGCCGAACCCAAAATTGAGTTTCTAAAGTCGAAGGGTAGGTGTAACAATTCACGCTTACGTAATCAATAAAGTTCCTAAAAAAATGCTTACCGGCAATTGCCGGTAATACGGTGCTCGTCTCAAGGCGTGAGTGTATTGCCAAGGACAAGCCGAAGCTGTGCAAGCAAGCCTGCAAACAGCTTCCCGCGTCGAAAAAGACGGTTAACGATAATCCTCCCTGAGGGAGGAGTTACAAGCGTTAACTTGTAAAGAACAGATACTACACTTGATCTAAGCCAAAAGGCCAGAGAAGGTGAAGAACAAACTATGGCCCTTCGCCTGCTTATATAGTTTCCAATTTTTTAGAAATTACAGTCCTCCCCTTGCCCTTTTCACTTTGCGGTAGTGGCCGTTGCTGACCTGGAGTGACTAAACTGGAAGGTGCTTATGACTCGCGCAATACGTGCCACACCATCACCATCATGGGAAGTGCCAAGGTTAAGGCTGGTATCCTTGGTGCCACTGGCACTGTAGGGCAGCGATTTATTCTTCTTTTGAGCAACCATCCTGAATTTGAGATTGTGGCTCTTGGTGCTAGCTCCTCGTCCGCCGGAAAGCCTTACAAAGAGGCTGTATCTGGTCGCTGGAAGCAAGCTCAGCCCATTCCCGCACATATTGGTGAGATTCCCGTTAATGAGTGTGAGCCGAAACATTTTTTGGACTGCGGTGTTGTTTTCAGCGGCCTTGATAGCAAGCCTGCTGGCCCAGTGGAAGCCGCTTTCCGTGAAGCGAATCTTCGTGTATTCTCTAATGCAAAGAACTATCGTCGTGATCCTCTCTGCCCACTTATTGTGCCTCTAGTCAACACGGATCACCTGGAGATCATTCCGTACCAGCAGAAACAGCTTCTACTCGAGCGTGGCTACATTGTTACCAACGCGAACTGCTCTACCACGGGCGTTGTCGTGGCATTGAAGGCTCTTGAAGCGGCGTTCGGTTCTTTGGATGTGATCATGATCCAGACTATGCAAGCTATTAGTGGATCTGGCTACCCCGGTGTTAGCTCTCTGGATATCCTTGACAATGTTGTTCCTTTCATCGATGGTGAAGAGAATAAAATTGAGTGGGAGACTTCCAAAATTCTGGGTGGCTTGAAGGACAGCAACACTGCATTTGACCTACACGAAGATAATCCGCTTAGGGTGAGTGCTCAATGCAACCGTGTGCCTGTCATTGACGGCCACCTGTCATGTGTGAGTGTAAGCTTCAAGAAGCGCCCTGCGCCTACGCCAGAGCAGGTTGCCGAGGCCCTTCGCAAGTACAAGTGTGAAGCACAAACGCTTCATTGCCACAGTGCCCCAGAGCAAGCTATCACTGTACACCAAGAGCCGGATCGACCACAACCCCGCCTTGATCGCGAATGGCAGAATGGCGCGGGTGTAAATGTGGGACGTATTCGAAAATGTCCTGTGCTGGACATTAAATTTGTGTCACTAGTAAACAATGTCATGCTTGGTGCTGCTACCAGCTCGGTCCTGAACGCTGAAGTGGCACTAAAGAAAGGTTTCCTTGGATAGTGCAGTTTTATATACCTACGCATCAGTGACACAACCATGACTAGCATCCGCCACAAGGCGAGTATACTTGTATAAGCCGCCCTGAGTGACCTTAAGGGGACGAGCCACCCATTCAGAACGACGACGCGCAAGTTCTTTCTCATCCACATTGGTGATGTTGATGGTGTTCTTTTCAGCATCGATTGTGATCACATCGCCATCCCTAACGAGAGCGATAGGCCCACCCTCTTGGGCTTCAGGGACAACGTGGCCAATCACAAAACCGTGAGAGCCACCACTGAAGCGGCCGTCCGTCAGGCAAGCAACATCGTGACCGAGACCAGCACCCATAATTAGACTTGTTGGCTTGAGCATTTCTGGCATGCCCGGTCCACCCTTGGGGCCTTTGTAGCGCAAAATAACCACCGTCTTCTCACCCCTTTTAATCAAGTTCTGTTCGACAGCGTGGACCATATCGTCTTCCGTATCAAAGACACGAGCCTTTCCTGTGAAGTGAAGTCCTTCCTTGCCAGTGATCTTAGCGATAGCACCACCGGGGGCTAGGTTACCGTAGAGAACACGTATATGACCAGTGGCCTTGATAGGATTGTTGATCGGATGCAGCAAGTCCTGGTTAGTGGGCATAGGTCCACGTTCGGCAACCCAGCGCTCGCAATTCTCCTTGAGTGTGCGACCTGTTACCGTAAGATGTTCACCCTTGATCAGTTTGTTTTCAATCAAATAATGAACGATAGAGGGAATACCACCTAGGATCGTATGCACATCCTCCATGACATACTTGCCACTTGGCTTCAAGTCGGCCAGGAATGGCGTTGTATCACTGATACGCTGGAAATCGTCAATCGTCAATTCAACTCCCACACTCTTAGCAATGGCAATCAAGTGCAGCACGACATTGGTAGATCCTCCCAGTACCATAGTTAGTGTTATGGCATCTTCAAAGGCACTCTTCTTCATAATGTCACGGGGCCGAATATTCTCTTCAAGTAGTTTCCGCATAGCAGCCCCAATCGAATCACATTCGTTCTGCTTGTCCTGGTACTCTGCCGGGAACGAGCTGCTACCAGGCAGTGTCATTCCTAGTACCTCGGCGCAAGATGCCATTGTGTTGGCTGTATACATGCCACCGCATGCACCAGGACCCGGGCAAGCGTGTCGGACAGTATCGTAGCGGATCTTTTCGGCCTGGTCAGACGAGCCTGATGCGAGGTATTGACCATAGCTCTGGAAGGCACTGACAATGTCTAGAGGTCCAGATATCGATTCACAACGACCGGGGCGAATTGTTCCTCCATATACCATGATACCAGGACGGTTCAAGCGACCAAGAGCCATAAGGACACCAGGCATGTTCTTGTCACAGCCGGGCACGACCACACAGCCATCTAGCCAGTGCCCACCCACACAGCTCTCGACACTGTCCGCAATCAAATCACGACTGGGAAGCGAATAGGACATGGCGCTGGTTCCCATACTGATACCATCTGATACGCCCACAGTGCCGAACTGGTATCCCGTGAGACCGGCTTTTTCGATCGAAGCGCGAATGCGCTGACCGATACCAAGAAGATGAGAATTGCAGGGATTTCCTTCATACCAAACACTTGCTACACCAACCATGGCACGCTTCAGATCTTCGTCGCTGTTAATACCTTTCGTCGCGTACAACATAGCTTGAGAAGCACCCTGGTCTTTGGGACGAGTGATCAAGCGCGAGTGGCGGTTCAAATCGCCAGGAGGAGGGCGAGATTCCGATTGATAACATGCACAAGACGTGCAAAAGCTGGATTTACCGCAATTAGCCATCACACTACGTGAAAACAGCGACGCAAGTGGTCGCATATTCTTTAACGCAAGAGGCATTCAGCTGTGACTCCCAAAGCCACTGAATCTTAGCATATTTGACATTCGGCCGAACTACGATTTTGCCTCACCTAGGCGCATCCCCACACGCACGAGCGTCTCCATGCATGTATCTGCATTGGCCAGCAGATCTGAATCCCAGCTCATACGTGTGCGTTCAACCAGTAGCACCAACGTACTGCCACCGAATTTGAAATAGCCAAGCTCATCTCCTCGCTTTATAGATTGACCGGCTTCAACAGTAAGTATAATAGAGCCCACCATCATCGCACCGATAGCTGTCAGAATAACAGTACCAAACTCCTTGGTATAAATGGGGACAACGGCGCGAACGTTTTCACCATAAACGTCAATAGTACTGCGGATAGCCATTGGATTGACAGTGTAGTATTCACCCTCGATTCGCTCTAAATTTCCGACCACACCATCAACAGGAGAATGAAACCGATGATAGTCTTGTGGTGCGAGACGAAATATCACAAGTGATGGATCCCGAGGAGCATCACTTAAGAAAGTATTGCCGAGTAATTTTTCAATTGAAAATTGGCGCCCTTTAATCCATAAATTTGTGGCATGATCCACACTCTCAAAGACCAAGAGACGACAGTCAGCACAACAAACCAACACACGCGGGTTGTCCGGCTCAGCGAGGGGCCTGAGTGACATTTGGATCCGTCGACAGAAGAAATCATTGAACGTCAAGAAGGAATCCACAGGTTGTACCATTTCGTCGACGTTGATGCCATGAAAAGAGATAAATGGGGCAATGGCTCGCACACTGCTAGGATGGTCATACTTGAAGCCTTGTTTAAAAGTCAGGTTCCGGAGCATTCGCCGGACCCTGGCACCATTCATATGGCTCCTTGCACCTTGATATAGCAATCGAATCCCGAGTCTCACATAAACCTGCATCTTTTCTTCAATCACTTGACCTGTAAGGCGTTCCTGAACCAGAATATTCGCACTATTGGCACCAATTCGATAGTGACCTTGACTCAAAACTGTAAAAATATTGGTATACCATTTTCGCCGGGCTTGTGTGGCAGTGACAAAGTTTGAAACCATAATGTCATCCACTGAGCGGCCCTTTCTTGACGTACACAAGGCTAGGTGGGTCACAATATCGGTTTCCTCTGCTTGGGATAATCGCGGCAGGAGACAAATTGGACATGTGCTTAACTGAATCACACGTTCAACATGCCCACCTTCGTCAGCTGAAAAGGCGTCATCGTCTGCCTCTTCTCGATCAACGTTAAGGTGCACTTGTTGCCGCTCTGAATTTGGTTTTAGCAGCTCACCTTCCAGTGCCCGAATGCCCTCCAAGAATGTGAGCTCATCATGTCCTGCAACCTTTCCGTAGCGCGAGAAGAAACTCTGTACCGTCTTTTCAGTGAGAGTACTTCCCAGGCTGAACAACATCGTCTCCAGCTCGTCGATATCAATACCTCCCGTTTCATTTGAATCATACAGTCGTAACATTTCAAGCCAAAACCTCTGCCTTAAAGCATCATAGGGCTGGAAAACAGCAGTTATCTGCAAAGTAGGATTTTGAGTGCCAAACTTTTGGTCTTCATCGCCACGTTCTCTTGTCAATGGCAGATCATAATACAACGAGTGAGATTGCTGCCCACAGTTCAGGTCGTACAGGCCTGTCTCAGGATTGGGTACAGGCGCAGCAGACATAATATCATTCAAATCTAGGCTTAATTCACCCACATAGTCATTGGCGGACATATTATCCCAGTCGTACACAGCGCATCGCACATTGTAGCTCATCTGATTCTTATGAACATGCAGTAAGAGCTTTTCACGCCATTCGGGATTCAAAGTATGGCGAAGAATACGTGTACGAAATACTTTCCGATGAAAGGAGATAACGACAAATGGATCCATATCAAATGACGTTTTCGTCAAGTTTCTCCATCGAGGTAAGTCACGAGCGCTAATGACCTCGATCATGATAATCCCGAGTAGGTCACTGTTCGTTTTCAGATTAAAACTCCCAGCCTTCCGGCGTCTGCGCCGAGTGCGCCTTTTGGACTTGAAAGACATTATAACATGTGGTCGATTCGCAGAGTCAGATTTGGATCCAGTAGTATGAAAACTAGGTTTGCGCAGTGTCCATGACCGTCTATTCATGTCAGTTTCTGACATCACATCTGTATCGCTGGCCAAAGTGTTTTCAAGAGGATGTTGGGCAATCATCTGACTCTTTCTCTTATGCAACAATGAAATCCTTTTCATCTGCTCGGAATCATTCTGCAAAATAGCACCTTGTTGAGTATGAATTGCTTTGTGAGGGGTAAGAGGATCGAGTGTAAGAGCTTCTAGTGATTTTCGTACCGGCTCTTGATCAGAATCGGAGACAGGACTTTCTTCATCGTTCGATGCTTCTTCACCACTAGCCCCCTCATCGGAAAAATCCTCCAGTTCCTCGCGCATGCCAATAGTCCTAGTCGATGGCGCAAGATATGGATCGATTTCATTTTCATTGAACATCTTTTCAAGAGCCCTTGTCACTATTGTAACATCGCCATCATACTGAACAGGGCGAAGACCAATCTGTACTTCAAGTATTGCCGATGTTTTTCCATCGTTTCCTCTCAAAAAAATATCAAAAGGGAAGGAAGGCCATGTTGCATGTTCTGCATGAGATGATGCCCATTGTCCGAGAGACAGTGAATATTCAGAAAGAAAAACATTACTTTCTTCTTCAGTAGACCACAGCATGAATTCCAGTGAGCATAGAATTTTTTGGTGAAAGCTTGAAGTATAGCGAATATCTGGGTTTTCGGTTAGCAAGTTATTGGCAGTAGTACGGTGATTTAGCCAAGACCTTCGAATGGGATAATCAAATGTTTCAAGATTAAAACGCCAAAACTGAGGGTTAGATAAGGAACAATTGGGAAAAACAGTATTTCGACCATGAGGAATACCATGAAGACAAATTTCTAGGCTTAGATTACCATTTGGAGCATTATTCATTAAACGTAGGTGGCGAGGCTGCACACGTAGCTGCACAATAACATCGTCATTTTCATCATTGTCGCTTGCAACAATAGACTGTAGCTCTTCTATTTTGTCCTCTGCGTGTTCAGAATAATAAGGATTCACTTCATAATTAAGAGAAACCATGCAAGTTTGGCTGTCGGACGAAACTAGTCCAATGCTAATTCTGAGCAGAACGATTGTCAAGACGTCGAGAAAGCACGGACCCTCATCTCAGCTATGATAATTTTATACATCTCTAGCAAAGGACTTACTATAGCAGTTCCGGTAGCTCAGGGGTAGATGCGACAGATTGCAACTCGCAAACATCTGTAGGTCGCGAGTTCAAATCTCGCCCGGAACTTCTTTTTCTCATCTTACGTTTTTACTCCACTCGTGCCCCTCAATAGAAAGAGAACTTATATGGAGTGGCCTCATTAAATCAGCATTATGTTCTCATAGATACTACAAAGGTCGACTAGGTTGTGAAAGGAAAGGGTTTTCTTGTCGTGCCTTTTCAATAGCCTCTTCCAACCCTTTTTCTTTTAGGGCATGCTGTATGTTAATAAAATAGGAGGGAAACAAACCTGAATGCAATTTCTGTATTCCGCGAATAGTGCACCACAATCTGTTTCATAGCGAGCACGCAATGATTCAAGCTTTTGTGAATCGCTCTCGGATGAGGTGAAGAGTGAGGTCCTACGAGCTCTCCGACTTTCGGAATCTTTGCCGTACTGCTCTGAACCAACGAGTGATCCTGTACTGGCTTCAAGATATGATTTGAACCAATTATGAAAACAACGGTCATACTTCTGCTTCAAATGGGTGCATTCAGAAGACATAGAGTTCATTTGACCAAGAGTAAAACCCTCTATTTTGTCTTGACCTGTGTCCATGCTCAAATAAATATCACAGGTGTGGAAATTGATCTGAAAACGTAGGCGAAAAGCTGAACGCCATACGAGTAGCTATCGGTCAGATCACCGCTTGCTTTCGTAAGCGGGTCACCCCCCAAGCGAGAGCTGCGACGGAATATTATAGCAGGCCAACATTAATAAGAAAGCTATAGGAAGTACGACGAATCTAATACTTCTGGTCGGTTAGAATCGGCTGCCAATGTCAAACCATGGATGGGTTTAGGACGGTTCCATCATATAGGAGCGAAAGACTTAGATGATGGTATTGTTGTTCGCATTGGACGCATCCTAGATTTGAACTATGCATTTATTTTGGACTAATCATTTGGGCCCCGTCCCATACTCAACCAAGGTAGCGTCGATACATACCATCGTTGATGACTACTGAGAAACCAGCTTTCATTCCTCTTATGTTTAAGGGCCACGTGTCGCAACTAAAACTCAAGCTTGCAATTGCAACGATATGATTTGTCGAATCTACGTAAGCTGCCATTTTGCTGACGATTTGGACATATTCCATTGGCAACTAGACGGAAGATTCCGGATAGCCGCTGAAGGGCACAGAATCCCTTGAACCGCGAGTCGGAATTATCTACCACTTTCTTTACTTTCATTACCATGGGTTTCTCTGAAGGCGACGCTAAGAAGGGTGCTAACCTGTTCAAGACTCGTTGCGCTCAGTGCCACACCACTGAGGCTGGTGGCCCTAACAAGGGTAAGTTATAGCTCGTTTTTTTTCTAACTCTCACAGTCGGCCCCAACCTGAACGGTGTCTTTGGCCGCAAGACGGGTCAAGCCGAGGGTTTCAGCTACACTGCTGCTAACCAGAACAAGGGTATCACTTGGGATGAGAACACGCTCTTTGAGTACCTTGAGAACCCCAAGAAGGTATGTTCAGAGCTTAATCGAAGAATAAATGCTAACCGCGATAGTACATCCCTGGGTATGTATTGAAATGTCAGCCATGTTACAATATGATGTTGGCCGATTGTTTATTTAACGGATGGATGCTGACATTCTGTGCCTACGCGGTTACCGCATTTGGGGTATTTATTCTAGTACCAAGATGGGTATGTGTTGATAACTGGGATGAAATGACTAATGCAACAGCTTTCAACGGTCTTAAGAAGGAGAAGGACCGTAACGACCTCATCACTTTTATGCGTGAGGCTTGCAAGTAAGCAAATTCGTAGTTGTAGCTTGAGTGGCTGCTGGTCGCGCTCGACTCGCTTTCGTAGCCGACGAAATCAATCTTGGAACAACGCTATGGCGGGTATGGTTGCTGTGTCTGTACGAAGTTTAATGGCGTGCGTGCTGTGTACCTATCAAGCGTCACAATGGTTTTGTCAAAATAGCCAGAGCCTAGGGCTGCTAAGACAGTATTGGGAAAGAGCCCGTGAATTGAATAATCAAATACCATTATTCAAAATGGACCAATTAGAGTTGCTCCATCGGCCCAAATAGTGGGTTCAAAAGGTGAGCAACTACGCTGTCGCAAATTAACCCCCCGATCGGGTCGTTTGCACGCTCAACGCGTACATTTCAACAGTAGATCCGCAATTACTTCCGTCTTGGGGCCATACTATCACAAACCTTGGTCAACATAGTTGCTCCTGGAAGTTGTAACAATTATATCGTTTCTTAAGACTGATTACCTGCGAGTCATTTTGTCAAAATTTTGCAGTGACTTAGCCTTGTATCACAAGCAAACGTGCGATCTTGCATTTAAGCAACACGGATAGAGCATCGTTGTGCCTCAGTCAGTTAACCATCAGCTCACTGGCACCCAATTAATTGCAAGTCCAACTGCTGTAATTTCCCGAAAACGTGCAGATAATCATGTCGAATATCTCACACGAACGTTCGGTACCTACAAGCGAGAGAAGTTCAACAACAGAAATCGGCCAAGTGAATACTGGTAGCATACCAATAAGTCAAGCTACTGTGGGCCAAGCATCCAATTCTATGAATTCAGCCGCATCAACTAATTATTCTTCACCATCGCCTCCGCCTCCAGCCCCGCTATCATCTTTGCAAGCGCAACCCTTGCACTCTTACGAGTCGAGTACCGAGCACAATATGCGGGCGTCTCGTACAACAGAACCTACTAATTCGTCTTATGTGAACTACGCTATGTCTCGTGGAGCAGCGCCTATTGGGGCAGTGCCCTGGCCGGCAACTTCCAATGCCTCAATGGATCCCAGTGTATTGTATTCCCTAGAACGCGTACGTATTCATTGACTAACCATGAGATTCACTCCGCTTCGATGGCCTTGTGCAATACTGTTTCAGAGTATTTGAGCGCCCAAAATCAAGTTCCGCGTTCAGATGAACTTTCTGCGCTTTTGCCAATTGTGTCGGAAATTAATCAGGAGATCCGCACATTGACTTCGTCACAAGATGGTCGTGCGGGTCGCGACTATATGGATGTGGCACCTTACTATCCGTGGTTGCCTGGAAGCAACACATCTAGTACGTGACCTATAATTAGTCGACTTACCTTAGCAACACCAGCATACTGGTCCCCAAATACCCGTGACGAACGCGAGGCCAAACCAATCCGCATTGACGAAGGCAAATCCCAATTTCAGAGAGAGAATTCTAGCGTTCGAAACAAGTCTGAGCGTGCTATACAACGTGGGATCCGCGTATCCGCCGCTGCGGATGAACCTGGCCTTTCAGGGCACTATGCTAATGAGCATGAGCCGCTTGTGTCGGCAGGTAGTCGCCCGGAGCCGTATGGATCATACTCTGTCCGCACTTCTAAGGGTTCGGTCAGTGACTTAAATGCTTCGCAACAAACCTACGTGCCGAAGTATAAAAAGCGAAGTCGTGCCCCAGCCCCCGGAGTGTGTCATTCATGTGGCAATAGCGATACGCCCGAATGGCGTCGTGGACCTGATGGTGCGCGCACGCTTTGCAATGCATGTGGGTTGCACTTCGCTAAGTTAGTGCGACGCCGTACACTAGAATATGCAAGTGCGGCGCCCGGTGTTCCCATCCCGCCTGTGACCATTGCTGAGCTACGACAATCGACTAATGTGAACACAAATTCACCCAGTGTTGCGCAAGCAGATGATGAGCGCGCACGGATTGCCACGGAAACATCAGCGTCTCTCCCCTTACGGTCGAGCACGGACGTAGCCACTGGATCCCGTGTGGTAGAAGAGCCGTAGTCTGAAACGCCTCATCTGCGTTATTATCATGACAATCAGTCACATATTTCGTCTAACCAGAACTTAAAGGAGTATTTAGGTGACTGAAAAAAATCTTTAGTCCTACCGTAGGACCAAAGTATTGTACAGCCATCGTTGACGACCGCTAAAGCTCGCCTAGCCATGAAATAGTAAGCAACTTGGACAGGAAGGACATGCCTAATATATTTTGACGCAGGCGCTATGGCGCAGCTATAAAACGTTACCGAATAGAGGCTGCGAGATACGGCCGTGGGACGCACAAAGATACGACATAAGACCCCAAGGTATCGAGCCCAGCAGGGCCCACCAATCTCGAAGCCAGGTACTAGATCGCTTAACGGTAGCGCCTGAGCTGGAGGGTCTGCCGCCTGCGGTAGGCGGCGTTCTTGCCACCACCAATCGTGTTGTTGTAACGGTGACCCTTGCCGATGCCACGGCTCTTGTGGCCAGCAGCAGTGAGGCCACGCGACTCACGGTGCTTGTGCACAGGCTTGGCGATCCAGTTAATACGAGCATCGCGACGAATAGCCTTGTGCTGAGGGTCAACGCAAATGACCTCAAAGTACTTGTAAACACCATCCTGGTTCACCCAGTATGAGTTCAGAACACGGAGGTTCGATACCTTGCGGCCAACGCGCTCCTCGGCAAGAGCACGGAGCGAGCGCTGGGGCTTCAGGTGGTTCACACCCTGACGCACAGGCTTACCGTAAGTGGCACCCTTCGAGACGTGCTTCTTGCGGTTACCGCGGCGGACACGCACACGGTAGATAACGTAGCCCTGCTTGGCCTTATAGCCAAGGCGGCGAGCCTTGTCGGGGCGCGAAGGGCGCGAGGCACGGTGCACCACATTCAGCTGGCGGTACTCCCAGCAACTATATGTTAGCCATGGCAAAGATCGACACACGTACCGAACGCGAAGCAGGAAACGGAGCACATCACTCTGCTTCTTCTTGTACAGCTCCTCGAGGTACTTGTAGGCACCCATCTAAGTCTCATGTTAGCATTAAGTTCGCAAAGGGAACGAGGTAGACCATAGAGTATACCCCGTCCACCCAACATACCTTGATACTCTGGGAACTGGGATGGTAAGGAAGCAAGTGGATTCAGCCTACTCTGACATCCTCGTGCGCGACGCTTGCACATTTAGCGACCTAATAGGTAATAATCATTTTGGAAAATTAGAATACACGTGACATACGTATTGGATTGTAGTTTTGTGGATCGGCCGAGCGATCGAAGAACTGCAGCTCAAGCTCAGCAAAGGCATCGTAGGAGCAGTCTTTCGTTACGCAACCAACGACGCTGGTCGCTTCAAGATGGTGTGTATCAGCAGGCGTGTAATATGGAGCATTGTTACTAACACGTTAACAGCCTTTCACCAAGACTGTGAAGTCGGACGCCTACTTTTCGCGCTACCAGGTCAAGTACCGTCGCCGCCGTGAGGGTAAGACGGACTATTACGCGCGCAAGCGCATGGTCGCTCAGTTCAAGAACAAGTACAACGCGCCCAAGTACCGCCTTGTTGTTCGTTTCTCGAACCGCTTTGTGACCTGCCAGATTGTGCACGCTAAGATCCAGGGTGACTGTGTGCTGGCCCACGCCTCTTCGCGTGAGCTGCCTCGCTACGGCATTAAGCACGGTCTGGCGAACTGGACGGCTGCCTACGCCACTGGTCTTCTTGTCGCTCGTCGTGCGCTGAAGAAGCTTGGCTTGGACGAGAAGTACCCCGGTCAGGAGGAGCCCGACGGTGAGCTGGTGCACACTGAGCCTCTGGGTGATGATGAGCCCCGCCCCTTCAAGTGCTACTTGGACGTTGGTCTGAAGCGCACATCAACTGGTTCGCGTGTTTTCGGTGCAATGAAGGGTGCTTCTGACGGTGGTATCTTCATTCCTCACAACGAGCGTCGCTTCCCTGGTTACGATGTTGAATCGAAGGAGCTCGATGCTGACCTGCTTCGCAACTACATCTTCGGTGGCCACGTGGCTGAGTTCATGGAGTCCCTTGAAGAGGAGGATGACGAGCGCTTCAAGAAGCACTTCTCGTCGTACCTGGCTGATGACATTGGCAGTGAGGACATTGAGGAGATTTACGAGAAAGCCTACGAGGCCATCCGTGAGGACCCTGACTTCCGTCCCACTGAGAAGAGCAAGGACTGGGCTGCAGAGTCGAAGAAGTACAAGCAGCCTAAGCTCACGTACGAGCAGCGTAAGGCTCGTGTCCAGGAGAAGATCAACGCCTTCCAGCAGGAGTTCAACGTGGATGCCGAGTAAGAGTCAACCTTCAATGATTCTTTTTGTGTCCTAGTGACGCAGAATGAAAACAATTGCGACCTGCATTCTTATTCCATAAATTGTGAGAGCAGTAGAGCAATTGACGATGATCCTGACTATTGCCGACAGGGTACTCACTCGATAGTAATTTTGTGAGCACGTGCGTATATCGGATTTTGTTCGTGGCAAGGCGAGACAGAATCATGCAGATAGTCGCAGCAGGGATTTGACAAGTACATCTAGTCCTTGGCGACTTGCCATAGCTCGAGAGAGGTGGTACTACGGTGATGGTACGAGAAGCTGCCATTGTCTTTGGAGCTGCTGCACCTGCTTCGATCTACTACACAGCTTCCCAAGCACCCTCAGTTACGCCTGCGCTGCGTCATGATTTGCTATTCCCCACGGATGTAGGCCATGCTGGACAAGTTGAATCAGGCGCACGACCATTCCGTGCCCAAATGGGCTACATCAATTTTACAACGGAAAATCATGGTGAGTCAATTGAGCTACGCTGGCTTCCTAAAGATGCGGCCAAGGACAATGCAACCTCGGATGACATCTTCCGTAACTTGGGACCATCTTCCCCATACCGCCCGGCCGTTGACTTGTTTCCTGAGACGATGTCCTACCAATCTATTCCACCTAAGTGTAAAATTGAACAGGTTCATCTCATATATCGACATGGCGCACGATATCCTAACTACGAATCTAAAAATGGACCCAGAAATCTTGGAGACCGAATAGCCAATGCTAAAGCCACTCAACAATTTTATGCCATGGGTGATCTTTCCTTCCTTTATGAGTGGGAGTACACCTTAGGACTTGCCAAGCTAGTCAATCAAGGCGCTCAAGATATGTTTGTGGCAGGATCGCATGCATACTACCAGTACGGTGCTTTACTTGACCAAACGACACATAAGCCAGTCATCCGCACAACATCACAAAGCCGGATGCTTGATTCGGCAAGATATTGGACATTGGGGTTCTTTGGCTGGGATGCACCGACCAAGGTCCGCCTTGAAGTTTTGACCGAGGCAAAACATATGAACAGTACTTTGTCGCCCAAGTATGCCTGTAAGAATGCGAGAAAGAAACGTTTCAAAATGGGGCGCCAAGCTAGTTCCGAATGGGATAAAATCTTTTTGCCTCGCGTAGTTCAGAGATTACAGCCAATGTTGAGGGGCATCAACCTCACCAATGAGGACGTCATGGACATGATGAGCACTTGCGCCTACGAGACCGTGGGGCTGGGATATTCGCACTTTTGTCGGGTTTTTACGAAAGAGGAATGGGAAAACTTCGAGTACTCCATGGATTTGAGGTTCCAGGGTGACCATGGTTTCATGAGTCCCACAGGAAAGGCACAAGGCATTGGTTGGGTTACAGAGCTCAAGCATCGATTGCTGCACAAACCCTTTACAGGACCTTGGTCGTCACAGAATTTTACCATAAATACAGATCAAATCTACTTTCCTGTCGATCAACCTTTTTATGTCGACTTTACTCATGACACCGTGCTTACGGGCATTATCACCGCACTCAACTTGACTCAGTTCGGCGAGTTTCTTGATCCAAAGCAGTTGAATCCGCATAGAAGATACCGCGCAAGTCATGTCACTCCATTTGCAGCCCGTCTAGTTCTAGAGGTGATCGCCTGTGATGAGGAAAAGTGGATTCGTATGAAGCTCAATGAGGCTATTATACCCCTTAATCAAGATCAAGGTTGTCCTAACAGAAAGGACGGGCTATGTCCCTTGACTGGATTCATCAGACATCTAGAACAAGCCTATGATGAGTCTATGTATGGTTTGTCCTGCTTCGGGAAAAATGGCACAGACTTTGTTCTCTATGGTCCCGTGCACCGAGGCGTTCCAAGTTAGTTACGTAGCGTATGCAAATGTTGCATTGGATAGGGTTCGCACGTGCAACTTTGTTAACTTGTGAAATTCGACTATTTTTGGCCACGCTGCAGCCCAACACAACAACACTACGCCAACGCGATAGCCTCTAACTTGCAATAAACACCCCATGTTAGGGCTAGTGCCACTGGTACCGTTGTTCTTGGCCACCTACGTCTGTGCCGACGAAGTTTACTGGGGAAATGTGACAGGTACTTCTGACAGGCTATTTCCGACCGATATTGGTTTCTACTCGGACCAAGTGCCGGGTGGATCCCCTTTTAATGCCATGTCTGATAGTCTTGGATCCGATCACCGTGAGTCAGTCGAAATGCGATGGGTACCCAAGGGTGAAAACCATTCGCTCGCCAACTGGAAAGATTTGTGGTTCAACCTTGGTGATATGTCTCCTTACCATCCTGCTACGGAGTTATTTCCCGACATGGTACAGTATTCGGCAGTTCCCAAGCAGTGCAGTATAAAACAGGTGCACATTCTTCATCGTCATGGAGCCGAATATCCTGACAAGGGCCACAAGTCTGGCCCTGGCAACTTTGGGAAGAAGATCAAAGAGCAGCGAAAGAAAGGCGAACTGAAGGTCTCGGGCGAGCTCTCTTTCCTTAACGACTGGGACTATGACCTTGGCCAGAAGATCCTAACTCACTATGGTTCGGAGGAGTTGTTCAAGTCGGGTGTCAAACACTACTATGACTATGCAAAGCTCTTGGATGACTTCAAGGGGAAGCCTGTTTTTCGCACGACTTCGCATAGCCGCGTTCTCGATTCGGCGCGCTATTTTTCTCTAGGCTTCTTTGGCTGGGATGCGCCTTCGAAGTATAACTTGGAGGTTCTCACCGAAGAAGATTACCAGAACAATACGCTCGCACCCAAGAATGCTTGCCGCAATGCCGACAATGATGACTTTATGTTCGACAGCTACCTTAGCTCCCAGTGGCAGGCCATCTACTTAGAAGCCCCTCGGAAGCGTCTCCAGAAGAGCATTTCCTCGATCAATCTGACACACACTGACGTTTACAACATGATGCTCAATTGTCCTTATCTCACATACGGTATTGGCTTCTCCGATTTCTGCCACCTTTTCACCGCCGAGGACTGGCGCAACTTTGAGTATGATCAGGACCTCCAGACATACGGCAAGCATGGCTTCATGAACCCCACCGCTCGAGCGCAGGGTATTCCTTTCGTGCAAGATCTCACCGCACGTTTACTGAAGAAGAGGTTCACCGGTCCTGTGACGGCCCAGAACATGACGCTCGATCTCAACTCCACCTACACGCCCCTCGATCAACCATTTTATGCCGACTTTTCCCATCACAGTGTGATTACGGGTATTATGACTGCTTTGAACCTCACGCAGTTCAAGGACTGGCTCAATGCCACCAAGCCGAACCCTCACCGCAAGTATCGTACCAGTCACGTCACACCTTTGGCCATGCGCATGGCCTGGGAAGTGATGGATTGTGACAGGAATGGAGGCAAGGAAGAGTACATCCGCATGAAGTTAAATGACGTTGTTTATCCCTTGGACGAATCCAATGGTTGCCAGAAGCGCAAGGATGGTCTGTGCAAGCTAACAGACTACACAGAATTTCTTGCGAACCACGCATACAAGGCCTCCAAGTTTGACCTCGTGTGCTTTGGCAAGAATCAAACTGACTTTATTCTCACGGGTCCTGTCACCGATGGTGTCATCCCCGACGAAGATATTCGCTCTTAGACCCATTGGAAGTGGAAATGAGGGCCTTGACAGAAGTTGGGAATAATCTACATAAAGACCATAGCTAATGATATGCACAGAGTGAAACCAATAATGGTAAAAGTCGGAATACGCAAATGGTTAGCCATGGAAGGTGCTTCAGGTCCCGGTGCGTTCTGATCAGGGTCTTTGCTCTCGGTTAATTCAAGCACGTGGGTTTCCGGGTCTGGCTGGATGGTATACACCATTCCACCAATCTTTTCACCACTGTCACAGCCAGTAAATACGACATTCATCCCAATCATATTAATGTACACCATTTCATAACCAGTTTGGCCTGGCTTCAAAGTGAAAGTTCCGCTGCCGCCCTGAACATTGATATCTCGCTGAGTGTCCATGCTCATAGCCTTTCCCAAATCAAATCCAGAGACCGGCAGACCTGTAGCCGTAACCGCATAACTGTAAAATGTTTCTCGTAGGTTCTTGGTTGGCACAGGGCAGTCATTGTTGCCCATAGGACATAATATTACGTCCGATACGCGCACACCCAAGCGGGGATAAGAATCAACAAAGAGTCTCTCTGCTCCACTGCAAAAAACAGCGTTATTTGGTACGGAGGCATTACGCTTCGATGCATCAATTAATGGCGGGTTGCCTTGATCCTCATTCGTTGTATTTTTCGTGGCCATGTACTTGATGTCGACAAAATTCTGAGTTGGAGTGTACACTTTTCCACCCACAGGAGCTCCACCGCACCCTGTAAATGTGACATTGTGAATTTTCATGGGCACTTGCAAACTTGCATACCCTGTTGTGCCTGGCATAGGTGTCACGCCAAGTGACGATCCTGTGAATGCATCGGTTGAGCTGTTATCGAAGTCTGAACCCACCATTTGCGAGAAGCTTATTCCTGTTACGAAAAGACCATTGTTGGTTATACCAAATGAATGAAAATCCACTTGCAACTCCGGATTGCTCCAAACTTTATTGCAGTTATTATTACTAGGAGGGCATGAAACCAAATTCGACGCTTTCACAAAAGCAAGGGTTGTTCCTACGTCGTCATCCACTTTTTCGAGTCCTTTACAATGTAATGCACCTGGTTTTAATGAGTTTGCCCATACAAATGTCGTGCATAGTACAAGCCAAAACAACCTTTTCATCGTGTACAGGGAAGCCGAGGATCGGAGGCACGACAGTCTCCACACCCCAAATAGGAACACGTGCCTTGCACGAACCACTTAAATGAAACAGCTTTCTCTACGGGCCCAATGTGATCCCTCCCGGCATGTTGCCCGTGTCATTCCTCGTCATTGCTGTCTCCTTGATCGGTAATTCTTATGGTGCCAACTCGACCAATTGGTCTAATGTAACGGGCACTTCCGGTTCTGTATTTCCCACAAATGTAGGGAATTTGGGTGACGTGGCCCCTGGCCTAGCGCCGATGACGGCCCAGGATGACCAGTTGAATTCGACTCAGTTTGTGAAGGGCTATGGTATTGATATGCGCGACAAACCCCTGGGAGGCAGTGAATCCTTTGACGTTTACAATAATTTTGGACCTTACACCGCCTGGCGACCGGCTGAGAACTTGTTCCCGGAGACAAATCCGTACCGCATCATGCCTTCTCAGTGCCAGTTGAAGCAAGTTCACATCATCCACCGCCATGGAGCACGCTATCCAACGGATGGTATGGATGATGGCCCTGGTCTTTTTGGTGCTATGGTGATGAATGGAACGCGTAATGGTACTTTTAAGGCGACTGGAGACCTAGCCTTTTTGAACCACTGGAATTACACCCTTGGTCAGGCCCTTCTGGTTCATCAAGGTGCACAGGAACTTTTTGACTCGGGAGTGAAGCACTATTATGAGTACGGACGTCTTCTGAGCAACATGTCAGAAAAACCGGTCATCCGCACAACGAGTTCCAGTCGCGTGTTGGACTCATCCCGCTACTGGACTCTCGGATTTTTTGGCTGGGATGCTAACGAGAAAATGAATCTGGAAGTGTTAACTGAAGCTCAGGGACAGAACAACACATTGGAGCCCAAGTACGCTTGCCCCGAAGGTAAGGAGTTCAAATTCGGAGATGAGATGCGTAAGGAATGGCAAAAAGTGTACTTGAAGGATGCCTTAAAGCGTTGGCAACAACACATTCAGGGTTTGAACTTGACCATCGAGGATATGTTTAATGCCATCCAGGTATGCCCATACGAAACAGCCGGGATTGGATATTCGAAATTCTGCTCCCTCTTCACGAAGGAAGAGTGGGAGGGTTTTGAATACGATGCAGACCTCAAGTTTCAGGGGAATTCCGGCTTCATGAATCCGATGGGCAAGCCCATGGGTATTGGCTACGTGCAGGAGTTTCTGGCGCGTATCTCGAAGCAGACCATCACCGACGCAACTAGTCAAAACATGACCTTGGACCGTAATGTTACTTATTTCCCTCTCGACCAGAGATTTTATGCCGACTTTACGCACGACACAGTGATCGTCAACATTCTTACAGCTTTCAATCTTACTCAGATTGCCGATAAGTTGGAGGCCAAGAATCCTGACAAAAATCGCCGTTTCCGTGCTAGTGCCATCGTGCCATTTGGCGCTCGTATTGCCCTTGAGCTGATGGACTGTGAGAAAGAGAAAGAAATTGTTCCTTTCATTCGTATAAAAATCAATGATGCAGTCGTGCCTCTGGATGAAGGGCAAGGATGTGAGAAGCGTCCTGATGGTCTGTGCGCCAAGTCAGCCTTCGAAAAGCATCTGAAGGATAGTATCGAAGCTTCCCATTATGAACTAGCCTGTTTTGGCAAGAATGGCACCGACTTTACGGTGACATCGCCTGTTTCGCAAGGTCAGCTGGAGGACGCGCAGCGTCGTAATAAATGAGCCGCATTTAGGCAAGCGTATGGTGATGCAGCTTATATCAGGGGTTGAAAGATTTATTTAATTCCGTACTTTTTTATTGGTTACGTTTATATTGGCGCAGCACCCAGGCAACGCTCATGGTGCACGTGGGCAATCTTGCCATGACAGCTTAAAACGATACGAGCACACAGATTCCTGTATCCCTCTCCAACATGCTTGGCCCTATCGTACTTGCGCCGCTCCTTCTAGCCATTTCGGCCAGTGCTCAGGAGCCTTCTCAAAGCTTCAACAATGTCACTGGCACTGCGAACACCACTTTCCCTACTGATGTGGGGTTTGCTGGACCCGTCAAGTACGAGGGGCTTCCTCTATTGGCGCAAGATGATGCCGTCAACTCCACTGTGTTTCAGAATAATGGCTACGGTATTGAAATGCGTGAGCCCCCCCTGAATTCCACCGTGGACCAGGCAACACCCGACGACATTTTCCGCAACCTTGGCACCACTTCGCCCTACCGTGCCGCGGACGATCTTTTCCCTGAGACAAATGCCTATCGCGCTATGCCTGAACAATGTGAGATCAAGCAGGTTCACATTCTTCACCGTCACGGCTCTCGCAACCCGACGCTTAGTGCCCATGAAGCGTCATTTGTTTTCGGTTCTACGGTCATGAATGCCTCGAAAGCAGGCAACCTAAGCGCTTCTGGTGATCTGGCCTTCTTAAGCGACTGGAACCTGACCATTGGTGCAGAAACCCTTGTGCACCAGGGCTCACAGGAACTCTTTGACTCTGGCGTCAAGCACTACTATGACTACGCGCGTCTCATGCAAAACTATACCGACAAGCTCGTTCTCCGTACCACTTCGCAGAGCCGCATGCTGGATTCTGCTCGCTACTGGGCGCTTGGTTTCTTCGGCTGGAATGCCTCTGAGCTGGTCAATCTCGAGGTGCTCACTGAGGCTTCGAAGCAGAACGACACCCTTGCTGCATACTACAGCTGCCCGAACTCCAACAAGGACAGCTTCTTCCTGGGCGACCAGCTGAGTTCGCAATGGCAGGAAGTCTACACTCAGGCACCCATTCAGCGTATCCAGCCCATGATCCCTGGTGTCAAGCTGACACCCAGCCTGTTGTACGGCATGATGAGCCTTTGCCCCTATGAGACCGTGGCTACCGGTGCCTCTCGTTTCTGTGGCCTTTTCACGAAGACTGACTGGGAAAACTACCAGTACGACATTGACCTGCAGTTCCAGGGTAACTATGGTTTCATGAACCCCTCCGGAAAGGCTCAAGGCCTTGGTTGGGTAATTGAGTTCCTCACTCGTCTCAACGGTACCTCGTTCCATGGTCCTGTCTCTGGCCAGAACACGACACTGGACAGGAACTCTACCTATTTCCCTACTAAGCAGCCCCTTTACGCTGACTTTACTCACGACGACATCATTCACTCTGCCCTTACAGCTCTGAATGTAACTCAAATTTCTGACTTCTTGCCTGCCACCGAAACCAACCCGAACCGCCGGTATCGCTCCAGCCGTGTGACTCCCTTCGCCGCTCGTTTGGTTTGGGAGGTGATGGACTGCAAGGATGAGACGAACAACACATCTCCCTATATTCGTGCCAAGATCAACGAAGCAGTCATCCCACTTAACGAGGACCAGGGCTGTACTGCTCGTCCTGACGGACTCTGCAAGCTGTCAGACTTTTGGTCGCACCAGTGGCAGAACGCTCCTAAGGATGCCAAGTTCAACCTTATCTGTTTCGGAAAGAATGGTACAGATTTCACAGTGACGGGTCCCGTTCGTAATGGTACCATTTAGTTAGGTAGCTTCATATTGCTAGGTTATGTGGTACGATAGGGCTTGGCCTGGGCTCGCGCAAGTGGAGGTCTGCTGTGGCGCCTTACGATCCTAATTGCCACGTGACCAAACCCGTGTTCCGATTTGGGCCGCCGGCAAAGCTGCTCTTGCAACTGCCCATTCATCATGGTTGTTCAGCGCGCTGCTAAGCAGGCTACCAACTGGAAGAAGATGTACGTGAGAAGTTTATGCTAACAGATCAGCGTTCCTGTTGAGGTTTACCCTATTGTCGTCCTTACAGGTCTCGCTTTGGGTGCCGCTACTTGGCAGATCAGCCGGTGTGCCCGCTCGCCTGACGTGATCTGGGACAAGAAGGTTTGTATTGCCACCACGTAAACTAACCCTAAGAACAACCCGACCCCGTGGAACAACATCGAGCCCGGCACGCAGTACAAGCTCTGGAACCTTGGTGTATGTTTTCTTGTTTGCTAACATCTCTAGGGCACTTTCGACAAGATGTACAAGCGCGACCGCCTTTAAGTTAGCACAATACAGACTGAAATCCATCACTCATGGTGTTTTTGTTCGGTGTGATAATGATCTATTAGACGGATCTAGTACACATATGGGATAATGCGATAAGGCACCCGCTTGCACTGTAATAAGTCAGGTTAGCGTCACGTACGTAAGTGTCCCAGCTGTAGTAGATGTGGTCAGTACTTGCTCTTTGGCAGTGACGTACTCGGATCCATATTTCTTCTTGCATGCATCATCATCGCGTAGCTGGCGGTGCACCAGCAGGACTGCAAAATACACGACATAGAAGTAAGGGATGGGTGTGCTAAAACCGCATGGAAGACACCATGCCCATGCCATGATCCAATCGCCCAGGTAATTGGGGTGACGGCTGCGGCCCCACCAGCCAGACACGAGCAGCTTACTACCTGTCGAGGTTGTCATATACTGCAGGTCTTGGAAGTAAGGAATTTCTGACGTACTTTTCGGGTTCTTGCCATGTCGGAAATCATTCTTTTCGACATTAGATGTGCGGAAGATATAGTAGCCCACGGACTGCACGGCCAGGACAGCAACTATGCCCATCCATCCCAGCTTGACCGGCGAAAATGCAAGATAACGCGCTTGTAAACTGTAGGTAAAAGGTAACCATGCCAAGTCGCCCACACTCAGCATAAATCCGAAGCCATCTGTAGTGATATCCATTTGGGTCAAAATGGTAGATTCATGGAGGAGCGAATCCACCACGTACCACGAATGGAAAATAGTTACGAGAATCATGCTGTCTGAAACTTCACCAAATGTTTTCCACTGGTGACACGCACAACTCAGATCCAAAAACACCCAGAGTAGCAGACCAGGGCGAAGTTCATTGAAAGTCTTGATATCGAATTTTCCGATTCGCGGATTGAGCTCGCGACCAATGAACCAGTCAAACAACGGGTTGCCACTGTTTCCACCAAGGGCAAGCAGCTTGTTCCCTGTGAAAGAGCCTGCGTAAACAAAGAATGCTTGCACCAGCGAGTTTACGAAAGCAGCCGTCAAGAGACCTGGCCAATGATCATACAAGATCGAAAAAACATCAGGGCGTTTCACAATAACGCCGACAGCGACTCCCAGAGCTAGTGCACCGGTGGAAAAGGCATTGATTTTATACTCCAGCGTTGCACCAGTGCGAAGAGGAAGACCCTGTACCCACTTACCAGGAAGGACGAACCAAGCAATCACACAATAAACATACCATCCATAATAGATAGCCCATGCTCTCTTGTCGGTAAAACTTGCAATAAAGCTGGTACGCGCAAATTCCCACAAGGCATCTGGTCGCGAGATCGGTAAGGATAAATCACAACCCAGCTCCTCGCTGCAACCGAATGCGAGGTAATACATAGTAAGAGGAACTGTCACAGTCACAAAAAGAGCGCCAAAAAATCCTCCGAATTCAAGTTCCTTTGAGCGTGGTGCCAATACTTCTTTGCTATGTGCTGGTTTCGGTGGCATGATCTGTACAATAACTTGATGCACTGTGGAGCCTATTTAGTTCCTCCACAACCACACAACCTGCACGGGGCAAGCAACAAGATGCATGGGAGTTGGATCCTTTGGCTAGCCTCAGTATTTTGGTCCATCCTTTCTCATGCATCGCCATTACAGCAATATCCATTCAGGCAAAGGTATACAGATGTGACTGCTTCCAGAGAACTCCTATTGTCAGAGTGTCCTAACTCGGGAGCTAGGCCTGTCCTTCGGGTCGCTATTATCGGGGCTGGTGTTTCTGGTACCAGCTCAGCCTACTTCCTGTCTACGGCCCAGGAGAAACTAAATCGACTACGACTTAGGGAAATACCTGGCTGTGCGAATTCTACTTTGCCCGAACATATATCCATCACTGTATATGAACGCACAGGCCGTGTTGGTGGTCGTGTGTACGGCGTTCATCCCCTCAATGATAGCAGCATCATGCCTGTCGAAATCGGTGCTAGCATTTATGCTGACATCAATAAAAATATGGCGCGAGCTGTAAAGGCTTTGCGCTTTAAGTCTATATCTCGGGAGATACTGCCGGGTAGTCGTTTGGGTCTCTGGGATGGGAAGGAATTCATCTTCAACGACTTTAAAGGAAGTAAATGGGATTACTGGAAACTATACTGGCGGTATGGATCCAGTCCACGTACACTTTTGGATTTGTACGCAGTCCAGCACTAATAACAGGGTCGATCGTACTGTGTCTCAGTTTCTACAAATCTATTCCCCAAAATTCTTACACGATCGGAGAACGTCACAAAAAACCAAGACAGGCTATCCTTGGTCATCTTTAGATGGGTTTATTGATTCACTGAATCTCCGTGAGCTTGCTCAGCTGCAGGCCCATACGTACTTTGTTCAGAATAAAGTGTCCCCTGTGTTCGTGGAAGAAATGGTCAATGCGGCCACAAGAGCTAATTATGCACAATCAGTCGAGCAAGTTCATGCGCTGGCCGGTATGGTATCTATGAAAGCAGCGAACGCGTTTAGTATTCGTGGCGGTAATGAACAGCTCTTTCAAAGGCTTATGAATGATAGTGGTGCTTCGCTTAGGCTCAATACCCGAGGCGATGTGACTGGGATCATGCGCATGAGCCTTGCGGAGCAAGACCGGCACACTGAATGGTGGGTGGGAACGCGTGATGGTCATGGAGAAGCTTATGACATGGTGATTATTGCTACACCGTGGGATCAATCTTCTATCACGCTACTAAATACAGAGAAACGAATCCCACACATGCACTTTAAAACCATACATGTGACCTTGGTGGTAACAGATGCCAGTCACGTCGATCCGAAATACTTTGGCATTAATGGATTGAAGCCAAAACTCCCACAGGTAATTTTCACTACGAACCAACACGGAAAAACTAACCCAGAGGTATGCTTGATTCATTGACGCCCCAGTTCCTTTCTCTTTCTTATATTCGAAGACTATCCTATGTATTCTATGCGGGAAAGAAATGGCCAAAGCTCTATATTGTAAAAATTTTCTCAGAGCAGGCGCTCGTGGACCAGCGTATCCAAGCTATTTTCGGACATGGTTCGGTGCTTTGGACATCCCAACATGTGTGGAACGCGTATCCTGAGCTAACCCCGACTACCCACTGGGGTCCCTTCGAAGTGGACGACAATCTGTTCTATACAAATTCCATGGAACGCTTAGTATCTACTATGGAAACTAGCATGGTGGCTGCCAAGAATGTAGCCGCGCTGTTGCTCCAAAAATGGTTAGGGCTGCAGTTCGTGCACGGACGCGACTGCCGATGGGATCGTGGATCCACAATCCACGGGTGGGACTCGTGGGGCTGCAAAGGCAGTTAGGGCGTTAATGGGTCGAGACAATGACTACATGTTCTCCAGACTTAGAAGGTCGAGCGAGATACCTTCTCCAAGACAGTCTCATACGACACTTCACTGAAGTCGGTTCCCTGGATCTCAGTGGCGATCCCTACAAGGGCTTTGCGCAGGGCTTCTTTGGACGAAGCATAGAGCATCTTTTGCTTCACTTTCGAATCATCAGGCGACCTATCAAATAAGTGTTATGTCGCACGTACCAAGTGTAAAAGCAAATTTTGTTGCGCTTACCCTCGTCGCCCTTCTGGTACTCGAAGTCGTAGATGGCATAGCGACATTCCGCAGGAGGGAATTCAGCCAAAAACTCGTCGTAGTCCTGTGACTCACTCGTCTTGGATACCACAATTTCAGTGTTGTCAGGCGACAGGGTGAAGATAATGTACTTTGTCTTCTTTCCAAGTTTCAGCGACTGGAACTGCTCGAGACACTCTTGGCTAACTTTAACACCGGAAGACTGCAAAACAAAACATACGTTAGTATTGTTCCTAACATGAAACTGAATAGGTGCAACATACCATATGGTCGAACTGTGTAACGGAGAGACGCACTGCTGTCAGACCACCACAACCCGTTCCCGCCAGCAGGGCTCTCCACGTGATAACACCCTCCACGCACGGCAAGTGCTCAGTGCCCAGCCTCACAACAGCGATCCTGCCATTGTCTATTGTGTTTCTTAGAGTAGTGCATCAAGTACTGTATCCATGTGCTCATCACAGTAACCCAAAAATATTGACCATGCTTGTAAAAGCATGGCATAAAAATTGTGGCTAGCCGGAATCGAACCGGCGTCTCATCGGTATGTTGCGATTGGCCCAAGCCAACTCCACAACGATACGTACTGACCACTATACTATAGCCACGACCTCATCCTTCTGCTTCGACATTAGAGCTTATAAATGAAAACTTGTTAAAAATCAATTGGCTAAAATTGTGGCTAGCCGGAATCGAACCGGCGTCTCATCGGTATGTTGCGATTAGCTTTATGCCAATTCCACAACGATACGTACTGACCACTATACTATAGCCACAACACTGACTGTTTTAGGTATGATAGTTCATATACAACAAAACTACGTAACAAATTACCCGCTGGCATGTGGCTGTCGCTGGGATCGAGGCACATGACTGGCTGTGTTTGTGTGGACTGGACCTGTGTGGCTCGGTTTTGCGTGGCAGGTGTAGCTTGCTCCGCCGGGGCCTCTGAGGCTTGTTCTTTACTCAGTCCCTTCAATCAGCTTGCAACAGCTGCTGCCCTTTTATTTTGTACCTTTCCGTCCCTCTTAACGTCTGAGAATGACTGAACTACGTCGGAAGCTGGTCATCGTCGGTGATGGTGCCTGCGGTAAGACCTGTCTCCTGATTGTTTTCAGCAAGGTATGTGAACAGAGCGGGATAGGGCTGTAATCCAGTCCTGAACTGCATCTGGTGCATAGGGCAATACTAACACTACATCTTTTCATGGTTTTATTGATTCTAGGGTACTTTCCCCGAGGTATGTGCTATGTTTGGCACAGTGGCTAACCAACCAGGTGTATGTGCCTACTGTTTTCGAGAACTATGTGGCCGATGTCGAAGTGGATGGCCGCCATGTTGAGCTTGCTCTGTGGGATACCGCCGGCCAAGAGGATTATGACCGATTGCGCCCTCTTTCCTACCCTGACTCTCATGTGATCCTTATCTGCTTTGCCATCGACTCGCCCGACAGTCTCGACAATGTTCAGGAAAAGTGGATCTCAGAGGTGCTTCACTTCTGCCAAAACCTGCCTATCATTCTCGTTGGTTGTAAGAAAGATCTTCGCCACGATCCCAAGATCATTGAGGAACTGCGCAAGACGAGTCAACGCCCTGTGACTCCTGAAGAAGGCATGGCTGTCGCCTCGAAGATCGGTGCTGTTCGCTACCTGGAATGCAGTGCTAAAACGGGCGAAGGCGTCCGGGAGGTTTTCGAGCATGCTACTCGTGCTGCCCTTATACAGAAGCCCCGTGGCAGCCGGAGCAAGTCCAAGTGCCTAGTTCTTTAAACAGCTCAAACTAATTTTAAAGCTTTCCTAGCTTGACCTACATGCTTTCTTGGCTCTCACTTCCAGTCTCTGTCTATTTTGACATGACTATCCTTTGTTGGGTATTACGAAGTAGACAGGCTTGACTCCTATAGTCCTTTTTGACATGCGTCAAAGTACTCGCCATTTCTCTGTGATTTCATTGAGTGGGGACGTGACATGAGCATGTCCAGTTTGCCACCGGTGCCACGCAAACATGGAGGCCACGTGTTAGATCTGGCGTGCGGAGGGATGGACTATTCTACCCCTGATTCCTCAACACAAGCAGTAGATGTCGCTTCTGCCCTTGGGATGGGCCCCTCGGGCTATGCGGTCTCGAAAGCCTTTCGTGCTTTTGTGTGCAGTCATACTCTTTTTGTTGGTTCTGGTTCCGTGGCAACTGCATTCGAATGTGCGCACCATTCTCCAGAATACGGCCTCCGAAATCCGCCAAGAAGTAGCTTGGCCGGCCGCTCCGTTTGCTAAATTGTCGCCACACATGGCCAAACAAACAAATGTGAGAGTAGCTCCCAAGCTTCATGACAATCCCTTGCTCACCACTCGCTGCGATGCGCAGGTCATCTCAGGTGCGCGTCCAATGGTCCAATATGCCGTAATGATGGACGCAGGCAGCACGGGAAGTCGCATCCATGTGTACAAATTCAACTACTGCCACACTTCGCCGGAGTTGGAGTTTGAGCATTTCGACCATGTGGAACCCGGCCTGTCTTCGTACGGTGCTGATGCAGACCGTGCCGCTGGCTCGCTTCGTCCGTTGCTGGACAAAGCAAAACAAATTATTCCTCCCGAGCTTCAGAGATGTACCCCTATAAGCTTGAAAGCTACTGCGGGTCTAAGGCTGCTCGGGCCCCAACAAAGCAGTGCCATTATTACTTCTGTGCGCCGTCTCATTGAGCAAGAATACCCTTTCCCCATTGCGGATGGTAAAGACGAGCACGGCAACCCGCTTTATAATGGCGTCGAAATTATGGATGGTCGTGACGAAGGTGTTTTTGCGTGGATCACTGTGAACTACCTGCTAAATCTGATCGGCTCCGGTCGCAAACTCCCGACTGCGGCGGTGATGGATCTGGGTGGTGGGTCTACCCAAATTGTTTTTGAGCCTTCTCTGCCTAAGAAGACGCAAATGCATCCGGGAGAGCATGTGTATGAGCTGCGTAACTTTAACAATGCATCTTACACTCTTTACCAAAAATCCTATTTGGGGTATGGACTAAAACAAGCACGTCAGTCTACCAACTCGTTGGCGACATTTATGCATCTTATGAAGCACGCCGATACAGCCCATCCGGGTCGCATGCCCTCCAACTGGGAGGCGTTTAGTGCGGAAAACACCCACATACCCAGCCCGTGTTACGCCGAGGGCATGCAGAAGGCAGCAAAAGTATCCACGGGCATGTCTCAGGCACGCGAGGTCACCATGCGGGGTACTAGCAGCGGTTTCCGTGCGTGTCAGCGGCTTGTGGAGCTCATGATGGACAAGGATGCGGAGTGCCAACAGGCTCCGTGTTCGTTCGCGGGGGTGTACCAGCCTCCTATATCACAGGTGTTTAAGCATGCCGACATTATTGCTTTATCTTACTTCTACGACCGACTTACACCCTTAGGTCTCGGTCCTACCTTTACTGTCAAGGAGCTTGAACAGTTGGCGGAGCGCGTGTGTGCCCCACCAAGTACTTGGGTGCAGTCCACATCGTCTTCCTTCTCGCCAGAAGCGCTCTCTGAGTTGCAGCAGCGGGCGGATTACTGTCTCGATCTTACATATATCCATTCTCTACTGCGGCTCGGATACGAGCTCGACGACTCGCGGCGCATCACGCTTGCCAAGAAAATTGGCGGTTTTGAACTAGGATGGGCTCTGGGAGCCCAGCTGGCGGTACTCTCTGGTGGAATTATTTGTAAGTAGCTACTGGGACTTTTGCATACGCATCCGGGCCTCTGTGGCAGCTAGAATGGCAGCGCGATCCACGCGAACCGGAGCGGACGACGCAGATGTGTTGTTTGCTGGGCGTCGTGGTGTAGTGTGTGTACCGGACGTCAAATGAGGCATACGAAACGAGCCATCCGCCAACTGATGAACAGTCTTGGGCGTTTGAAAGAGGGGCGACAGATGCTTGGCGAACCATGCGAGCCACGTGAGATCCGGACGGCGTCGACTCATACGCGGCGCGTCGCGGCCAAAGTACCATGCGTACCCAGCTACGACGCCCGTGAGACTCACTAGTGCAGCATCCATGCCACTAATCGTGAGTTCAATGCCCAGCATGACAAAGGCAAGGTATTTGCCTGGAATACTGATGAGGCCCATTAATGATACGGGAGTTTCTGGCAAATGCACAGACCACTGGGCCTATTCATGAGAACCTAGGAACGCACCATCAATGCACCCGTCAAAGATGAGAAGAGGAAAGGTCGACTGTAGGGGGCATTCATGAGCTGCAGGTGAGCAGCAAATGCATACCATGATCATGGACGCCATGCCGAGGAGGGACCAGCTGTAATCCGCCACGTTGTTGAAATACCCAAAAGCCTCAATCTTAGTAGAGGAATTGCTGGTCGTAAGTAAGTGCCACATACTACATGAACACGGTATTGTACAGCATGGGGAATCCCGAGCCTGCATAGAAGAAGGCGGATACAATACGCCACAGCTGCCATCGCCTGGTGACGAGAGGCCATAGTAACGCCACTTGATACGGCGAGAGCGCTTGAAGCGCACACGGAATGGTTACAATAGCCGTTCCCAAGAGCAGTGCTCGTGATACGGGCGGCATTTGGCGCCTGCGTGTCAGTCACCTTTCCATACAAGATGTCCATCGTGGCGAAGTCCGTTAAGTGGAGGCTCGACGGTGTCTCTGATGACAGAAGTGGTGCGGAGCTTTCGACTGACGCGCGTCTTGCACGAAGGTATGCACGAGAAAAACTTATTGAAGATGCGCGATCCCGAGTGGTGAACCTACTAGGAGCCTGCAGCTATGATGGCCAAGAAACGGCGGCGCTGCTTTTAATGGAGAAGACGCATTTCTCGCCGCAGTTCCTTGACACTATCGAGACAGGACTATCTCATGCTTTTTCTCGGATAGAGAGCATCGGACAAAATGACATCTACACCTGGGTCTTTGGATGGCAGGCCGCATCCAAGAACGAGCAAGCAGACGTTAAAATGACGCTAATTTGTCCGGCTACTGATGAGCTGATTGCCAAGTATTCCACACCGGAACGTCGCATGGTCCTGGAAACACCACATATGTACAGAACTGTGACAAAACCATGGATTGATATGCTTCCCACGTCCAAAACGGCCTGGGTGCGCAACATTCTGCAGGGGATTTCGGAGCAGGAGTCGATCTTGTACAACGACGATGATCCCAAGGCAGGCTTCATACTGCTGCCCGACATGAAATGGGACCGCCGCTCCCTTTCGTCTCTGTACCTTGTGGCAATTGTACGTGACGAATCCCTCAAGACCTTGCGCGATCTGAGGAAAGAGCACATCCCTCTTCTCCGTAATATCCAGACGGCTGGCGCGCAAATTGCCCGTGACACTTTTGGCCTACCGCCTGCGAGTACTGATGGGTCAGCAACGCCACTGAGATGCTTTTTGCACTATATGCCGACCTACTTCCACTTGCACGTCCATTTGCTGTCGGCGAACTTTACGTCGCACCCTGGCGCCCTTGTGGGCCAAGCTCATCTTCTGGAAGACGTAATCAGTCTGCTAGAGTTGGGTGTTTCGTTTTCTGATCGGACTTTGGGGTACGCTATGGCGGATGGACATCCGCTCCTGCATGCCCTGCAGGAGGCAGGCTATGCGAAGTAACCTACTAATGCAACGTTAGAGTAAATAAGCCATTCTTTAAATGGATTCGCGTGGAAGACCCTATAACTCAGTCGGTTAGAGTGTGGAGCTAATACGAACATGTTACTCCAAAGTCGCCAGTTCGAGCCTGGTTAGGGTCAATCACTTTTTTCTCCTAGATTTTTATGGACAGGCGGCCACCTGCACCGGTTTGTGCCTTCTTTTTCCTACACAGAAGTCGAGTCTCCGTCTGGCTTGGAAATCGCAGTGTGGTTGTCTTTCGGCTTCATGGAGGACTCGGTCAGCCGAGGCGCTTCGCTCGCCTGTGTGCCTGCCGTTGCCGTGGTGGCCAACGGTCGGTCATACGGAGGCGCAGTTGTTTTCCGGACGATTCCTAACGCGTTCTCCTTTCCGCGTTTGCGTTTCCCTGAGGCGTCTGTGCGTTTTGGAATAGTGGGAATGGTGGTCTTATCGGCCGCCGGTGCCGTGGTTACTGTGCCCTTAGTCTCTGTAGCGCTGGCTGTCAGTCACATATACGTACCGCCGGAAACGCTCGAGCTCCTTGGCCTCCTCGCTCCGCTTGGTTTCCTCGCGTTTCTGGCGTGCTCGATGAATATCTGCGAGGAACTGAGACTCACTCTCGTCGAGTCCTCGGAACTGATTACGCAGCTTGAACATTTCCTCTAACTTTTCGTCCTGTATCGCTTTGGCCTCTTGCAAACGCTGCTGTGAGCACTAGCGCGACGCACTTCATAGAGCGGCCGTGGGTCGTACGCCTCGTCCACCGGAGCTGGGGGTGGCTCCTCACCAATCCTGCGCATCAGCCAGCTTCATCGACGTACCGTGCATAAGCCTCCCTGATCTCCTTTTCGCGCCGCTTCTGCGAGTCACTCAGCTCTCTCTGCGAGACAAACTGCGGCGCCGTGCTGCCAGCCGCACTACTCATCGCGGGGGAGCGGTGATGCGCCCGATGCGCTCCCGATCTTGCACGAAGCGCACGGCTCGCGTGGCGGGCGCGGACGACCTTCGCGATGGCCACCGAGGAGCCTCCCTCCCATGAAGGTGAGGAGCTAGTGCGCTTTGAGGGCGCAGATGCATATAAAGCGAAGCAGTCGCTATTTTTGCACCTGGTCGCCAAGGACGAGGGCGATCCTGCGCCCCTCTTGCGCGAGCTCATGAGCGAGGTACGTCGCGCTTCTCACAGCAGATCAACGTATACCAGGAACAGGCCTACCTGCTCGACCCGTACCTCGAGTCACTCGTTGTACCACCCGCACATACCCTGCGCGATCTCGTCCTGTCGTGCTCGGACACAGACGATGTCCTGCGCCGCATGGGCCTGACGGCGCGCCTGCTCTACACGTATACCAAGGTGCGTGGCGCCAAACTTGTAGCGCGCCTCCTGCCGCAGGATGCACGCGATCTCCCGCGTGTGCTTGGCCTCGTCGAGTCGCTCGCTGAGGCGCCCGCGCCATGGGAGCTCGTCTATGTACTGCTTCTCTGGCTGGGCCTCCTAGCCCTCCTGCCGTTTGCGCTCGATACGGGCGAGGCGCCGCTTGCACGCCGCATCGACGATGCTGCACGCGCGTACCTCACACGGCCCGGCAAGGAGCGCGATGCGGCCAGTGTGCTGCTGGGCCACCTGTACCGCCGCCGCGACTCGTCCGCATTGGCGCTCGCTGGTTTTTTGCATTGGGCACAGTCGCACATGCACACGATGCGCTCGCCGTTCCTTGCGACGGGCATCCTGCAGACGCTCTGTGCGATTGTCAAAAACTGCGACGCGTCGCTCGTGGCCCGCCACCTCGATGGCCTTCAAGCATTGCTGGCTCTGTACGAGCCATGGGCACTACGAAGCATGCTTGTCGAGCACTACCGCATCAAACTCATCGGCCGCATCGCACTTTCCCTCCTCGAGCATGCGCCGTCGGTCGACGAGTGCATCGATGGCCACGTCAGCGTGCTCCTCGGCTCGCTCTCCCGCGCCGATTCTCGTGTGCGGTACAGCGGAGCCAAGGCACTTGCACGCTTGGAAGCGCAACTCCCAACCGATCTGCGGCAGCAGTTGCTCGATGCATTGTTTGCGCAGCTCGCAGCGCACATTCCCGCGGCGTCCGTGCCGCCTGCCGCGCTCGCTGCGGCACCTGCGCCCTTCTCGATGGAGGTCTGTGCAGCACTTCGTGCGGCCGATTTGCATGCCGTGTCGGAGCACACATGGCACGGCGTTCACCTTGCGCTGGCAGAGCATGTACGCCGCGGCCATATACCCCCTGCGCAGTATCCTCGGCTGCTCTACTGGGTGCTCACGGTACGTCGACTCACTCACACAGGGCCTGGCCTTGGATTTGCGCCGTGCGACCGGCTCCACCGGCTCGAGCGTGCGCGACGCTGCATGCTATGTCCTCTGGGCACTCGCTCACGCGCGCGATCCGGCTATTCTTGCGCCGTACGCTGTGCCCGTCGCCCAGCACCTCGTTCTAGCCGCAACTACGGACCGCGATGTTTGCATCCGCCGCGCCGCGAGTGCTGCATTCCAGGAGTGGGTCGGCCGCACAGCCAATGTACCACATGGCATTGACATATTGCGCCTCACCGACTTTGCCGCTGTTGGCTCCCTGCGCCACGCTCTCGGCAACGGCGCGCCAGCAGTCGCGCAGCACGCTGTGTATCGCGTACCGCTCTTGCACCATGTTCTCATGGTTTCGCTCGTGCATTGGGACCCCGCTGTGCGCGCACATGCGGCACACGGTCTCGCGGGGATCGTTGCTCACGACGCTGCTCTGCGCAGCGTCGCTGTGCACACACTCGCAGCACGCACAGCGTCCATGGATACCGCCGTCGTGCATGGCGCACTCCTCGGCCTCGTCGCGCTTGGGCCCGAGAGAGACAATATGCGCCCATGCCTCGCCGCTGCATGGCGCATCGCGCCACGCCTATGGGAAGCACCAGGCAGCGCGGCGGTGCTTTCAAGTACATGCCGCCTCGTGCAGGCGTGTGCGGGGGCTCTCGACACATCTGACGCCGCTTCTGTTTCGGCGCTGCTCGGCGCTGCGAGCGGGCGACCTGAGGTGGACGTGCAGGCTGCCGCGGCAGATTTATGGCTTGCGCTGCCGACGGAGTGCGCCGCTGTACAGGAGTACATGCACCGCGTCCTTGCATGGGACATGACGCCTGAAGAGCAGGGCACCGCCGTGCGTGTTCTCGGCCGCCAGCGCGGCTGGGACGCCGAGCGCCTCGACCTGCTCTGTGCGCTCCTCGACCCGGCGGCGCCCTGCTACGCCACGACCGTGGAGCTGCGGTGTGCCGCGGCGGCATCGCTCGCGCATCTCAACGGGGCGCCTCAGCGCCGATTGCGCGTGCTTGCGCTGGGTCTGCGCGATATGTCCACCGACGAGCGGGGCGACGTTGGCTCATGGGTCCGCCTGGCGTGCGTACAGAGCTGTGCGCACATCCTCTGCGGTACGCCTGTCGATCCTGCGCTCCTCGCCGAGGTGTTTGTCTCGATGGCGGCCATGCTCATGGAACGCATCGATGCCGTGCGTGTCCAGGCGTGTGAGGCGCTCGCCGACGTGGTGCGTGTGTGTGCAGTGCCGTGCCGCGACGCTCTCGCACCGCTCCTAGCGGATCCTGCTGTATGGCGCGACGCACATGCGGCCTTTGCCGCATTCGTTCCGTGCCTTGCGCTCGATACATACCGCGTCTCACTGCTTACAACGCTTGTTCGCACAGCCGGTGGGCGCTCCGAAACTTCGCGGCGCGATGCTGGCGCCGCGCTAACTGCCTGGGCGCTCGACGCGCGTCTCGAGGCCGTGCGCGATGTGTTTGCACAGCTCGCAGCCTTGTTTGCCACACACGCACGGGACAACCGCGTGGCGGTGCCTGTGCTCCAGACCACGTTGCTCCTCATGGATGGCGACGTGCATCGCGAGCGCGACGTCGAGGACGAGTACGTTCAGCTGACTGACCCAGACTTGCGCGCCTGGTGCGCCGGGCATGTGCCCATGTAGGGCAGGTGAAGAGCGTGCCGCGCGCGCTGGCGACGATGCAAATGTACGTTGCTACACTAACATTAGCTGTGTGCGCGCATTGCCGCTCTGCACGCTCCAGGCGCCGGCGCTCGCATGCATTGAGGCATGCCTCGTGCATCGGTACCCGGCGGTGCGTGTGCAGACGAGTGAACAATTGTACATGGGCCTAGACGACTATATCGGAAAGGAGGGCCACGCTGCGGTGGCCACACTGCTGCTGGAGACCGCATGGTAGGTGCGCCCAGCTGACCGCAGGTCCACCGATGCGCGCGATGTTTTCGTGTCCGCTGCCGCCGCCGTCGTGCAGGGCGCCAAGTCCCTGCTGCATAGATCTTAGGCGTCCCCATAAAAGGCGCGGAGCGCGCGCTCCGCCTCCTCGTACTCTTTCTTCACAGTGGCAACCGCACCACGGAGGCGATCGAGCGCGACGTCGTTCGGCAGGGACGTGGCGCCATCTGCCTCGTGGCAGTTGCCGTAGTGCTGGATCGCCTCGCAGCTGTTCCGCACCTTGATGACACCGACGGCTGCCGACGATCCCTTGAGAAAGTGGCCCAGTGTCGAAAGCTCAGAGAGCGCCTCCCGCGCACTGCGTCAGTCGAGACCACATACAGTGCAGCATCCATCTTGTCAAACGTGTTCTCCGCCTGCTCGAAGTAGTTCCACACGAGGCTGCGACTAAACTCGCGGTCGTCCTCGTCCATTTCCAGGAGCTGCTCGAACACTTCAATATCAATCACATCCTCTGGCAGCGAAGGCGCGCCCTGCTGTACCTGGGTTAATGGCCTATCACTCACACCTGGTTCGCTCATGGTCGGCCGCCTACCGCCGATCGCGGCGCCCGCCCCCTGGGTACAAAAAAACACGTGGCTAGGACCGTGCGCCTCGGGGCCTGCCAAACGCGGCGCCCGCACTTCTGCTTCCACGGTCATGCCTAGCTCGCAGCCCACTTCGTCCAATCCGTTTATAGCGGCGACGGACGCCATGTCTGGAGCCATGCCGCACAGCAGTGCTGCCAGCGACCTTGCTGGCCTCGACATGTCGGCGCCCCAGCCCGCACAGGCGACCAAGAACCCATTTTTGATGCAGCAGCCATCTACTGAGGCCACAGCGGCTCCGGCCGCGAGTACGCTGATGCCCGCCCTCGGTGCCCCTGTGGCCTCGACCAACACGGGTGGCGAGGAGCCTCTGAGCTACCTGGCGTCGGGCGTCTCGCCTGCGACGACCGATCCTCAGCAGGACGCGGTCGTCCGCTCGTACCCGGTGCCTATGCACGCGCAAGCGTCGGCGCCGGAGGGCACGCTCTCCGGGGAGGATACGAATATGGGCGGGGCGCTTGCTTCGGGAAGTGCTGCAGCGCGTGCAGCGACCAGCTCTGCACCGACAGGCGTAACAAACTCGACGCAGTGGTCGCTTAAAGATGTGTTTTGGCACGGGCGCGAGACCAAGATCATTATGGAAAACGAGCTAGGACCCTGCTCTCTCATTGCCCTTTGCAACTGCCTGCTGCTGGAGCGCCGCCTCAAGATTGTTCCGGCGGACCGCCCCGCAGTGACGTATGGCTACCTGTCGAACCTGCTCGCCGAATACCTACTGGAGGCGAGCACGGCTACGGACCCCTCGAATGAGCTGGGCCAGGTGCTGAACTCACTGCCTTCACTACTGCAAAACTTTGAGGTGGATGTCTACTTCGACGCGCCGAACAAGTTTGGCGCGGATCCGCTGACGCACCGCTCCGCGGAGCTCTCCCTCTTCAGCATCGCAGACGTATCGCTGCTGCACGGCTGGCTCGCTGACCCTTCCGATACGGAGACATATGAGGCGCTGCGCGCCATTGGCAGCTATGGCCGCGCCATGTCGTCGTCGCTGGCAGACGCAAGTGAGCCCGTGCGGGACTTTATCCAATCGACGCCGTCGCAAGTCACGCCGTACGGTATTGAGGCTATGAAGTCCGTGCTGCCACCCGGACAGGTCGGCGTGTTTTTGCGCAATGCGCACCTGTATGTCCTCTACCACCGCCGCGCCGAGGAAGGTATGAGCGGCGGTCCCCAGCTGTTCATCCTCGTTACCGACCGCGCGTACCTGCTGGATGACGCAGTTGTGTGGGAGAGCCTCGATCACGCGCAGTGTATGCCCCAAAGCTACTACGATGCCAACCTGGTTCCTGTCTCCGGCGACCTGTCGGCGGGTGCGGGCACGACCGAGGAAGACGACTATGCTCTGGCAATGCGCCTGCAGGGCCAGGAGCGTGACCGCGCACTCGCCTACCGCAGTGCATTTAAGGAGCGCGCCGATGCGCGCCGCAAATACAAGGAAGAGAACAAGTCCTCATTCAAGAAGCTCATGGCCAAAGTGCATAAGAAGGACAGTGACAAGATGTGCACGATCATGTAACCTGGCTCTAATAATCACGTGAATAGGTTTGATAGTGAAGATGAAAGCGCTGTGACCCGTCGACGTGACCGCCACCATGACGGACGCTTCGGAGAACTTTGACGTGATCCTGACCAAGTACAAGACGGCCGGCGACATTGCCGCACAGTCAATCCGCACTGTCGTTGAGGCTGTGCAGCCCGGAAAGACTGTGCTCGAGCTCATGACCCTCGGTGACGAGGCCGTGGAGCAAGGCACTGCCGCGGTGTTTAAGGACAAGAAGATGAGCAAGGGTCTTGCGTTCCCCACTACCATCTCGATCAACCAGGTGGTGTGCAACTACGCGCCGCTCCCGAGTGATGACGCTTCGAAGACGGCGCTCAAGGAGGGCGATGCCGTCAAGATCCAGCTGGGTGCGCACATCGACGGCTACCCGTCGGTGCTCGCCGAGACGGTGGTCATCGGTGCGAGCGCTGAGGCGCCTGTGACTGGCCGCACGGCCGACGTTATCAAGGCCGCCCACACGGCCGCGGACGTGGCGATTCGTCTCATGCGCCCGGGCATGCTGAACCACGACATTGCCAAGCAAATCGAGCTCTCGCTGAAGGACTTTGACGTGCGCGGCGTCGACGGTATTCAGACGAACCAGTTCGGCAAGGACGAAATCAGCGGGAAGAAGAAGGTCGCCTTTGGCGGTGATGGTTCGTCGCGCCCGGACGCCTGCAAGCTCGAGGAGAACGAGGTGTACGGTGTGGACATTGTCGTCACCACCTCGCCTGAGGGCAAGAGCAAGTCGGACGACGCCTTCACGTCGATCTTCCGCAAGACGAATGCCACGTACCTGCTCAAGATGGCCACCTCACGCAAGGTGTTCTCCGAGATCCAGAAGAAGGCGGGCGCCTTCCCCTTCAACCTCCGTGCGCTCGAAGATGAGAAGCGCGCGCGCATGGGTGTGCAGGAGTGCTCGAACCACGGTCTTGTGACACCGTTCCAGGTGCTCGTCGACACGACCGCCTCTGCGGTCACCGCGCAGGTCTTCTTCACGGTGGCAGTGAGTGCCAAGGGCGCGATCCGCCTGACCCCTGCGCCGACGTGGTACTCGGCGGACAAGGTGAAGAGCGAGAAAGAGGTCACGAACGAAGAGATCAAGGCCCTGCTGGCCACGAGCGTTCGTCAGACCAAGAAAAAGGCCAAGAAGACTTCGTCAGAGGCCCCGGCCGCATAGTGGTACAGTACTTAGTCACTACAGTCTTGGATGCGCCGGATGCCCATCTCAAGGAGTGCGAGCGAGCTCGCGACGGGGTTCTGCGGCGCCTGCTTCGCCACGTAGGCTTGCCAGTCGGCCACCCACGTAGAGAGCGGTAGTACAAACCGCTCATACAGGCGGGCATATTCCCGCTCCTCACGCAGACCCGTGTAATTGTGGGACGCATCTCGCACCGCGACAAAGTAGAAGAGCGAGCAACATTCCTGCAGATAGGTTTGATGCTGCACCAGGTACATTGCCAGCTCGTCGAGGGCATTTGCAGCCGCTGCGTCGTCCGGCGCTGGTGGCACTGGACGCGAGTGCGGCAGAAGGAATAGGGCCTTATTCCAAGCGCGCCACAGGCGCCCATCCGAAAGCAACTCGTCTTTGGGGACGTGCCCCGAGTCAAGCCGCTCAATGCGCGCCGCACACACTTCGCGCACGAGATGCACCGTCGACCCACGCAGCGGTGCAGGTGCCTCGGGCGCCATCATCTCGCGGATCAGGCGCAGCGTCGCTTCGTCGGAGCTGTGGTCTCGCACAAGCCGCGTCGCAACTGCAAATGCGCGCGCACGGAGGCGCGCTACAGGCGCATAATTTGCGATCAGCGCCATGCCGCGCACCACATACGTCACGCACTCGTCGTCGAGCACCTGGCGCGCGCGCGTTTCTGACGGCAGCGCATCGGTGGCCCACTGTACAAACGTGACAAGTGCATCACACAGCCCCAAGTCCTGCGTGCGTGCGAGTGTGTGCTCTGACGCAGGCACATCCAGCGGGCACAAGCCAGGCAGCAGAGCCCCCGGCAGGACATGCGATAAGCGCCCGAGCAGCTCGCGCGCCGTGTCGGCGCTCCAGCGGCGCGGCTCGGCAAGCACCTGGCGTGACTGTGTTGCGACACGCAAGCGGTCGCGCGTGCGGTCCTTGATATGCGCCATCAGACTCTCGTACGCCAGCTGGTGCACTAGCAGCACAAAGTCTTGCTCGGGATGCGACACTGCGAGCGTCTCGCGCGCGGGGCGCGATACATCCGCCGGACCGAGGCAGCGTGCCCCCATGTCGAGGTGCAGCTGGTCGTATGTTTTGCGCACAATGTTCCACACGGTAATGCGTTTCGACACGCCCTCCGAGCTGTATGACTGCTCACAGAGAAGCATCCCCTCGTTGTTCTGCATATGTCCAGTCGCGCGTGGCAGGAACGGGGTGAGCGCATACAGGTTGTCCACTAGGACCTGCTCGATGCTCGGTCGGTCGTCGCCTTCAATCTGCTGCGCCAAAGATTCGAGACCAAGGACGAGCTCACACAACACGACGGCAGCCTGTGTCGCCAGCTCTTCCACCACATCGATTTCCTCAAGCGTACCGAGCGCATCCGCAATGGCATCTTGATACACGCCCGGTGAAAGGAGGCCGAGCACCGAGTCCAACAGAGCCTTGGGGCGCCGTGTGTGTACTGCCGGGAGCAGGTTGACGAGCCGCTGCAGCTGGCCAAGTACCGCCTGCACCAGCATCGCTCCATCGCGCGCAAGCACCGTGGCAGCATCCACAGCAGGCGAGCCAGCGGCATCCTCGCGCGTACGCCATGCAAGCCCTAAGCGCTCAATCTGCTCCTGGAAGCCCAAACACATCTCTTTGGCACTGCTGCAGGCACTGAACCGCTCAAGCACAGCTAATGCCAAGCTGCCTGTATTGGACGAAGCAGGCTTCTCTGGATGCATTGGGCCGTCATGCACACTCACCAGCGCCAGCGCCGGACCCAGCACATCGAGCGCACGAAAGTTGAGCTCGCTCATCTGCCGACGCAGCGCCTCACTGTCCTTGCTTTGTAAGGAATGCTCTAAACGCCGGTTCAGGCGCTTAACCAGCGTGTACAGCTGCTTAGCATATACGTCATCGGGATCCTGACGTCCCGGCGTCGTTCGCCGCTCGAGCAATGAACGACACGTGCTTTCAATTGCATCCAGGGACGTGGCCAGCTCATGAGGGCCGATTAAATCCATCCTGGCCTCAGGCGTCGTGTAGCCGGAACGCATGCGGGGCGATGCCAGCGCACTGTCCGTCGGCGACGTGGCAAGAGAATGACTCATCGCAGTATTCGCCTTCAGAACACCTCCGTTGCTCAACGCACCTCGCACGTAGGGCAAGGCACGTGCATCGGATACATAGACATGCACCACACCCGACGAGGGTCTAGGCGTCCGAGAGTGACTGTGGCGGCGTGAACGGGGCGAGTCCACGATCGTAGCGGGAGGAAGGCGATCCACATGTGTATCAATGCGCAGGTCCGGTTCCTCCGTGTTGCTTCTCCACGCGGACATCTTAGGACTGGGAGGAACCACGGCCGTGGCAAGACGGTGCTGCAGGGCGGCTGCTACCATCTCGGACGTTGGCGCTTCCCATTCTTGTGGCAGCGGCGTATCGGCACCGCGGGGAAAGCATACGATCATATTATAAACGAGCATCTTGAGCGGCCCCTGTTTCCCCGACGGCCCACTGCTGGGGCGCACTGCATCATCCCTGGCACTGGGATCAATCGCGCGCGCTGGCAACTTGACCAACTCCTCCGGCTCTGTGCGTTGGCCTACTAGTGACCATAGCGTCTGCATGATCTGCGACAATGTACCTGGAGTCTCCTCCTGCGCCAATTCAACCACACATTGGAACACACAAGACAGACCGGAACTGCTCCGCGAGTGCTCAGCACTTGGCTCTGGCCCGGGTAATGTGTAGTACAGGATGCCTGCACAGCGGAGGCAGTACTTGATAAACGAGAGTACGCGCCTGCTAGGCTGCTGCGACGTATTGAGCAAGGTGATCATAGGATACTCCCGGTCCATGGGTAATGACACATCAGGTGGCTGTATCAAGTCGGCTTGCTTCGTCAGCAGGAGCGGGAGTACCATGGCATGCTGCGGCGGTGCGGGCACAAAAGACGTGCATTTCAGTTCGCGTCGAATTCGCGTTTGAGAGAGGGCCAACTTCTCTTGAATACGGTCGGCAATGCGTACGAAACTCTCCATGCGACGCTCGCCATGGATGTCAAGCAAAGCCGCAATATCCTTGCGCATTTGTGAATCAGGGATCGTTGCCAGCATTTTTTTGGCGCGATTTCCCATCGCCGATGGCGATGTGTGCGACGTTCCAAGAGGATATCGCACGCCAGTCAAGCAACGCAAAAGCGTGATACCACACGTCCATGCATCAACCTCGGGGCCCCAGTAGGCCACCGTGCCGGGGGGTTGCGAGAGTGCCGTAACAATTTCGGGGCAATGAAATGCAGGACTGCCACAACACGTCGTCAGCTTCGCATGGCTGCGACTAAAGTGCGTTGCCAGACCAAAGTCGAGCAGCTTGAGGTGCAATGTCTCCGGATGCACCAAGACATTCTCCGGCTTCACGTCCCGGTGGCACACGCGAAGGGGCGTGTGGATGGCGCGAAGTGCCATCATAAGCTGGTCAAACACCTTTTCTGCTACGTCCGCAGGAAGAATGGGACCCGGTGCAGGCATTTGTGCCGAAGCGCTTGACGACGACTGGGCCTGAGGCTTTGTACCGATTCGAGCCACAAGTGTCTCAAGTGTCACGTACCCATCCAAATACTCTTCAACAAGGTAAAAGTGCCCAGGCGTACGAATCGTTTCGACAACGTCAACAAGATTTGGGTGCGGCGGAAGCTCAGCCAACAGCGATGGTTCACGCAACAAGCGCGTTGCCACAAGCTCGTGATGGGGAAAGAGAGGGGTATGTTTCACTGCAAACCGTTGCCCGTTCTTCACTGCCAAGTACACAGTGGAGAAACGACCACGTCCGAGTGTCTTCGGGAGGATCGTGTATTCACATATGCCCCAGTCTAGGAGTCTGTCCATGCCAGTCACCTCCTGTGGCTCATGCGTCTGAGCTAGCACCTCTTCCTGGGCTGGCACCACTTCAGAAGCGCCCCAGTTAAAACGGTCCAGCTTGGAGGACCGTTTCATCCGCAAATCCTCGTACCACAGAAGAACATGGCTCCCTGCACCACGCGTGCGATCCCACTCCTCGCGCTCACGCCTTCGTGCATTCGCCTGCTGTGTAGCAATGTAAGATCTCGAGTTGCGCCCACGAGATTTTCGTACGCCCGAAGTCGATGCGCCGTCGGTAGATTTGCTTGCAGATTGCTTCACTACAGCATTCTTTCGCGGTAAATCCGTGTTTTGATTATTTGGGAGCTTATCATCGTCGTTATTACAGACCTCGCTATGCTCAGGGAGCATACCGCAGCAGAGGAAGAGTTTCTACAGCAGCGCGGGAGACCCCAGTCGTAGGAACAAGCGGCGCCGTTTCGTTTTTTAGAGGCCCATGATTGGTCAAAAAAGTTTGTGCCAAAAATATACCCAGATAAGGCCAGCGGCTTGTCCCAGCTAACCACGGGGCAAGTCTACTTCACAGACAAAGAGCTTGTCGTCCAGCGAGCTGCGGCGTCAAGTAGGCCTGCCCTGCCACGTTAAATTAGGTCAATTTCCTTAGTGCCCTAGTCCGAGTCCGAGCCTTTCCCATCGTCGTCACTATAACTTAACTGTGAGCGGGTCGCCGTGGACTCCTCGCATGTACTGCACGAGCGGGATGCACTAAACTCCGACTCATCTGATGCCATAGATGCTGAGCGTTTTAAGGAGTTGCCATGGGAAGGGCGCATAGATTCCCGCATCTGTTCTCGCTCCCGCTCACGTTCACGCTCCTGCAAGATACGGTCTGCCGCGCCAGGTCTGAATTAGTGGCAGAGTACTTACTGCTGAATGACTTGTTCGCTGGAGTGCGTGGGGCGCCACTGCTTTTCGAGCGCTGGGTTATTCAGTACCTGGGTCCGTGTGGGTCGCCTCTTATATGGCCGAGGATTTTTGCACTCATAAATAGCATGACCAGGTCTTTCACACCTCTGGCATACCCGCGATGCCCTGCCGCTTTCATCGCGGCCAACAGACACGCGCGACGGGTACATCGGTGGTGTTGCGGAAAACGAGCATCATCACCTAAAGATATGCTTACGTAATTTCATGACCGTGCGTTCGAGAGGCTTCTAGGTTCCTGGGCAACTGTGCGGGGCCGTCTACATAAATCTAGCCACGCCACCGGACTCACAGACCATTTTCGCATGCTCCGATTGCAGAACAAGTCTGTAATGAAACTGGCGGGGGTGCAGCCAGCACGCATCGTCGGTAGGACGCGCATGGCGACTGCGCCACTTACCTCACGTCGGCTTGCTAGCATTGGCTACTCCATGCCGCGCTTGATCCATACCTCGTCCGCCCGGTGGCAGCCGCCGCCGGGTGGCGGAGGGTTCCCAGGGATGCGTATGAACATGCAGGGACAGCAGACTCAGCCAGGAGAAACGTTAGCACAATATTCACAAGACCTAACGAAACTAGCCAAAGAAGGAAAGCTGGACCCCGTTATTGGTCGTGATAGTGAAATTCGACGTGCGATCCAAGTCTTGTCGCGACGGACTAAATGCAATCCTGTACTCGTTGGACCGGCTGGTGTTGGAAAGACGGCTGTTATGGAGGGGCTGGCGCAGCGGATTGTTAACAAAGAGGTGCCAGAGTCATTGCAAGACAAGCGCGTGTGTGCCTTAGACCTGGGCGCTCTTCTCGCCGGCGCTTCTTTCCGCGGCGCTTTTGAAGAGCGATTCAAGGCTCTACTGAGCGACGTTGAGGCAGAACAGGGCAAAGTGATTGTATTTATCGATGAGTTACACATGTTGTTGAACCTTGGAAAGGCAGAGGGGTCTGTGGATGCAGCCAATATGATTAAGCCGCTGCTGGCGCGCGGCGCACTTCAGTGTGCCGGTGCCACTACTTACGATGAATATCGCAAGTATATCGAGAAGGACCCTGCCCTTGCGCGTCGGTTCCAAGCTGTGTCCGTGTTGGAACCTACGCCCGAAGCTACGATTGCCATTTTGCGTGGCTTGCGTTCTCGCTACGAAGTGCATCATGGTGTTGGCGTGAGTGACGGTGCTCTCGTCACTGCGGCGACGTATGCATCTCGGTACCTGACGGAGCGGAAACTTCCCGACTCGGCAATTGACCTCCTGGATGAAGCCATGTCGGCCTTGCGTCTTCAGCAAGAGAGCAAGCCTGAGGCGATTGAGACGCTAGACCGAGACATTCTCACGCTTCAAATTGAGCTCGAATCGCTTCGCCATGAAAACGATCCTCTCTCGCTTGAGCGCAAGGAGATTGTCGAGAAGGAACTGCAAGAGAAGCGCGCAGAGAGTGGAGCGCTCACTTCTTCCTGGATGGAGGAGCGCAGCAAGCTAGACCAACTCAAGTCCGTCAAGGAGCAGCTGGAACAAGCTCGTATTGAGCTAGAGCGCGCCACTCGTGAGGGAGACTTCCAACGAGTCGCTGAGATCCAATATGGTCGGATTCCGGATTTAGAGAAGCAAATTCCGACTGAAGAGGAACTCAACGAGAAGCACAAGGGCCGCATGCTCCATGACCGTGTCACGAGCGACGATATCGCCGCTGTGGTCGCAAAAATGACAGGTGTACCTGTACGGAACCTGCTCCGTGGTGAACGCGAGCGCCTGATGGGTATTGAAGATTCCCTGCGAAACCGTATCGTTGGACAGGACGAGGCACTGAGCTCTATTGGGGAGGCTGTACGTTTGAGCCGTGCCGGTCTGCATTCTGCCAAGCGCCCACTCGCCTCGTTCATGTTCTTGGGTGGTACCGGTGTTGGTAAGACCGAGGCCGCCAAGGGTCTCGCACAATTCCTTTTCGACTCTGAGAAACTAATCCAAATTAACTGCTCTGAGCTAAGTGAGGCGCACTCTGTAAGCAAACTCGTGGGTGCCCCTCCAGGCTATGTGGGCCATGAAGATGGCGGGCAGCTCACTGAGCAGGTGCGCCGACAGCCATACTCTGTGGTACTCTTTGATGAGATTGAAAAAGCAAACCGAAGCATCCACACGCTCTTACTTCAAATTTTGGACGAAGGTCGCCTGCAGGATTCTCAGGGCCGTCAAGTGGACTTCCGTCAGACGATTATTATATTGACGTCGAATGTCGGTGCCGAAGTTCTCTATGAGCCTGGATCTACAGATGCAAAGGGCCACGTTACGGAGGAATCACGCGCTAAAGTGGTTAAGGACGTGCAGCGCGCCTTCCCACCTGAATTGCTAAACCGCCTTGACGAGCAAATCATTTTCAACAATCTGGCTCCCGAGACGCTCGAAAATATTGTATCGATTCGTCTTAAGGAGGTAGACCAGAGGCTACATGACAAGCGAATTGTGCTACGTGTGAGTGACGAAGCTCGACGCTGGCTGGCCAAGAAGGGCTATGAGCCAGCGTATGGCGCGCGTCCCCTAAATCGGTTGATTCAGAAGCGCCTGCTCAATCCGCTCGCATCAAACATCATCCAAGGCAAGGCCAAAGAAGGCGACACTGTCGAAGTGGATGTTGATGCAGCGAAGGATGATCTCTCATTGCACGTTGTGGCGGGCCATGAGCACAAGTAGATGTATATATAGAGTGGAAACGTATCTATGTTATCGTCTAGGCAGGAGGCGGCCAGACATCTAGCAGGCGCTGTAGTAAGGCCGGTGCCTCACTATAAGGCACTGCGAGTAAGCGTCCAAATAGTGGTGCCTCGTAAGAGTCAGCAGCATCACGAGGGGGTGGAAAACGATAGGTGTACGAGTGTGACGCAAACTCGCGGATCAGCTCATCTTCGGGGTGAAAAGAGCCCAAGCCATCATCATGCGACCCTGCGGCCCGCTTCTTGTTGGCGACTGGTTTTCCAAGGGCCGCGGCCGCTGCATCGTCGGGGTGTACGTGCTCTCCACGGGCTTTGCGCTTGCGAGCACCGGCTAGGCCAGTAGGCTCCTCTTCCTCATCTCCTTCCTCGAGGGCATCCGCAGAGAATGCACGAGAAAATATGATCAGATGAGATGGTTTGGGCAACGACGTCTGTCGCAGGGACTCATCCACTTCCTCGAGCAGCATTCGCATAAGCGGGGGCATCACTTGAGGCGGGAGATTGATCATGCGCTCATGTAGTACAAACAAATGTGGTCTACTGTCGGATGAGCTTTTAATCAGGTCAAGGAATGGCTTCGCCGAGGCAGCCTTGCTTAGTTGCGTGGTAAAGTACGTTCGCAGGAGGTCGGAGGCGGGCGACGCAGGTCCTAGCATCACGGCACTAATAACGGCGTAGGGATCGTGCACTTGTTCAATGTCGTCCACCTTAATGACCGTGCCAATGCCTTGAGTCATGCCTGTCTGGATCACATGGTCTGCCAGCACGCCTATGTCCATTTGAGGGGCGTGCGTGTAGAACATCTGCTGGAACAGACGTTTCAGGGCCTGGAAGTCAATTTCACTTGGCGCCTGAAAATCAAATTCAACATTGATCACATCCTAGAATGAGGCAACTAAACGTACAATGTCTTCGTCGGAATCGCTCGAGGGCTCGACAGGCGCACCGCGCGTGTCAGCGCTGTGCGACGCACTCATAGCAGCGTGACACAAGGTAGCTGCGTGGCTGGCTACGCAATATTGCCACGTGCTTATCGTCCTCGGAGTGCCAGGCCTGCCTATCATAAGTTCCAATCTGTCTTTGACATGCATAAGGCTGCAGCTGTCCCTTTCCATCGCACCCGCTCCGTGGAACTCGTCCTCTACGAGTCGCATCAGGGAACGGCTTGGCACAGTTCTCTCGCATCCGCGCACATTTCTGTTGTAGCGCTTGGTCTGCATGTCGGTCCCCAATAAAGGGGAGCGATCCTCTCTCTCCCCTCCTAACGCCCGTCCTGATGCTGCGCAATCGATTCGTCCCGCTCGCCCTGTCTCAGCTGCCGCCCAGACCAACATGATGTTAGGTGCGCTGGCAACGCCAGAGCGCCCCTCTTCCTTCCATTCAGATTTAGGACCGACGAACTATTCGTATGCGCACGCAAGTGGCCCATCCACCGTTCCTGCCATGGACCCTTCTGGCGCCTCCTATGGCTACATGGAAGCCAGCCCTCCCATGTCGTCCCAAGCACCGGCAGATTCACAGAGTGGTGCACTGTCACTCATACCCTCTTCGAATCATCCTTTACAATCTCCCCCCGCTCCACTGGGCCCCACGGCTCTCACCCCCTCGCCTGCACGAATCTCCCCCCCTCCGCCCTTGGTGCCCGAGTCCCCGACATCCAACAGTCTGTCTAGGCGAAATGCGGCTGCGCCGACCACCCAGAAGAAACCAGAGACTGCATCTGCACGACCGAAACCAACAGCACCAACTTACGAGCGCTCCATGCTACGGAAACTTTTGGCCTTTTTCACATGTGGCCTGGCCTCTTCAACGGTCACTGCTGCTTTGGATCCCCCCTCAGCAGAATCACCTAAGCCTGTATTAAATTCGTCTTCTATGCAAAAAGTGTACTTACCTGGACCTTCAGATGCTAATCCTCCTCCTCAGACTGAGTCCGTTCCGCCGCCGGCGGAGGCTGTTCGATCACAGACAGCCAACTCTTCGTTTACGGCACCTTTGTCTCGCGATACCATAGTTGGGCAAGACCGCAATTCGCTGGCACCAGGTGGCATCTCGCTCCGAAGCTCTTTGAACCGGAATAGCGTGGCAACCACTGTTACATCTCAGAACGATCATTCGGACGACTTTATGCAAGATGTGATTACTCAGGTGCCGGAAAATGGTCCCGCTATACCCATGGGAATGGTGAGTCAAGATTTGGAACAGGAGATTATGGCCGAGGAGCAGCGCCTTATCCAACAGGGTGGAAATGGTATTCCTCTCGACAGTTTTGGGAACCCGATGCCATTGCTACCTGCATTGACGAAGCCTCATCTCTTGCGCAAGTGTCTTGTGTTGGACTTGGATGAGACTCTGGTCCACAGCAGCTTTAAGATGGTACCGAACGCTGATTTTGTGGTGCCCGTGGAAATTGAAGGCATTGTCCACAACGTCTACGTCATTAAGCGGCCTGGTGTGGACGAGTTTATGCGTCTCATGGGTCAAATATACGAAATTGTGGTTTTCACTGCGTCCTTAAACAAATATGCGGATCCCGTGATTGACATTCTCGACATGCACCATGTTGTTCAGCACCGTCTCTTCCGCGAGTCCTGTTATAATCACTATGGAAGCTACGTCAAAGATCTGTCCCAACTGGGGCGCCAACTCACCGATACCATCATTCTTGACAACTCACCTGCGTCTTACATCTTCCATCCAACCAACGCTGTGCCTGTATCCAGCTGGTTCAATGACCCGCATGATACGGAACTTACCGACCTTTGTCCTTTCCTTGAGGATTTGTGCCATGTGGACGACGTGCGTACTGTCCTTGATGGGTTCATTGACATGTCGTAACTCCTCTTAGGCGGTGGCGACCGACACGGCCGCCCGTTCGTTCGTTGCTCAGGTATATCACGTGTTGTAGCATCTCCATCATGGACGAGTTAACAGCTCGACTGGCCGATGAGGTCTTGTCGATGTATGATGTGTACGGGTAGCACTGAGAAGCTGATTCTAGGACTTCATCACAGCGGCGATGTATGCTGGGCTTGGCGGGCGTGCCCGGTTCGGGCAAGTCCACATTAGCCAAACGTCTGACAGCACGACTCAACGAGGTGCATGCCGGTAGTTGTGTATGTATTGGCATGGATGGCTGGCACTACACTCGCTCCCAGCTGGATCAAATGGAGGATCCATGCGAGGCACATCGCCGGCGTGGCGCCGCGTTCACATTTGATGCGGAGGTTCGTGCACGAGCCCTTCTGACCTAGTCGTTCGTGGCTTTTGTGCAACGTGCCCAAGACTGTTTAGATGTGCCTATCTGGGCCCCTGCTTTCTCACATGCTGACAAGGATCCTGTGCCGGACGCGATCCGGATCGAGCCCACGCACCGCGTACTACTGTTCGAAGGTCTCTACTGCTGCCTGGACGAAGAGCCATGGGTCCAAGCGGCGCGCTGCTGGGACCGCGCCTGGTTTCTGCATGTTTCCACCCAAGTGGCGCGCTCGCGACTCATCCAGCGCCACCTCGAATCCGGTATCGTACATGATGAGGCGGACGCTGCCGAGCGCGGTATGTACATGGCTCTCTCACCCTCTCAGCCGATACCAATGATATACCCAATGGAGACTATATTTTGGCACACATTCATGAACCTATTTATCATATTACTGAAGTTCCCTCAATGCTTAGTGGCCACGAGCAGCTGCCTGGCAGGCCTTGAGTTGCTCGAGATAGTAAGCGCATGCGTTCATATCGTTGGTCTTCTCGAGACAGGTGATAAAGTCCTTGCTCTGCACGTCGCAGTTGATGCCCGTATTCTGTTCAGAGAATGAGTCAACCTGCTGGGGCGGCGGAGCGGCCTCGTATGAGCGACCACCGAAAAGCATGTTACTGATACCGTGTCCGACAGTCTGGCGTAAGCGAAAAAAAAAATAGCACGCACCGAGCCCACTGCAACACCCGCTGCAGTAGATGCCATCTGTTGTTTGTTAGATTCCAAAGATGACGTACCTGCCCAAACAAACCGGGGCCCTGTGACGCCACCGGTGCAGCCTGCTGGGGCTGAGGCGCCGCACGCTGCTGCGCAGGCGGCGGCGCATAATGCGACTTGGGTGCAGCCGACATAGTGTGCATACTACGCGAGCCACTGGGTGCAGTAGAGCGTGCAGCGGGGCGGGAGCCACCAGATGAGCGGGAAGAGCGTGGCATATCGTAGTTGACACTGCGTAACGCCTGGTGGGGTCACGGCGTGGACGCGCCAGCTCCCACGTGCGAAGTACTTCATCGGCCGAGTCGACATTTTTCTCGTGCGTGGCGTCAGTGCATGAGACGACCGCCGTTGACGATGGCGGACGCGGCGCAAGTGCATCGGGCGCATCGTCCGGCGCAAGCAGGCCCAAAGTCTGCCAAGGCGAAGGGAAGAGAGCGCCATGCTGGTGGTTTTAACCCCAAGGCGTATATTGCGGCACACCCGTATGCGGCTGACAAGCAGGTCCGGCGAAAAGCTGAGCTGGACCAGCAGCGCTTGCATGTGCCGTTAATGGATCGTACACCTGAGAAAGAGCCACCACCAGTGATTGTCGCCGTGGTAGGACCTGAAGGCGTAGGAAAGACGACGTTGATGCGTAGTCTTATCCGACGGTACTCAAAACATACATTGGCCCATATCAATGGGCCTGTTACGGTGGTCAGTGGCAAATCGCGCCGTATTACTTTTATCGAGTGCAAATGTGATATTAATTCGATGATTGACGTTGGAAAGGTTGCCGATCTCGTTTTACTGATGATCGACGGCAGTTTCGGTTTTGAGATGGAGACAATGGAGTTCCTCAATGTGCTTCAGGCGCATGGCTTTCCCAAGGTCATGGGCGTATTGACGCACCTGGATCTTATTAAAAAGGCGCGGACACTTCGCGCAACCAAGAAACGACTGAAGCACCGGTTCTGGACGGAAATTTACCAAGGCGCTAAGCTATTCTACCTCTCTGGTATCATTAATGGCCGATACCCCGACGCCGAAATTCAGAACCTCTGTCGCTTTATCAGTGTGATGAAGTTCCGCCCACTCATCTTCCGGAACCAGCATCCATACTTCTTGGCAGATCGTATGGAGGAGCTGACGCCGCGCGACCTTGTGAAAGCGAATCCGAAAATGGACCGCACCATCACTGTGTATGGCTATCTGCGCGGCACCCACCTCCGAGTGAGGCAAGCTGTACACATTCCCGGTGTGGGTGACCTAACCGTGGCCTCAATCGAGCGTCTCGCTGATCCCTGCCCACTTCCCACGCAGGAAAGTGAAAAACGCCGGCGTTTGAGCGACAAGCAAAAGCTTATCCACGCGCCTATGAGTGATGTCGGTGGCGTCATGTTTGACAAAGATGCTGTGTATATCAACGTGCCGGGTCATTTCTCGAAGCGCGACGGCGATGGCGACGTGGGCGAGGGCGAGCGCATGATAATGAACTTGCAGGACTCAACGACCACTCTGGGTGACCGCGCTGCCGCAGGGGACTTGCGTCTTTTTGATGATTCAGAGTCGGGTGTGTCGATCAATAAGCTGCGTCGGCGTGCAGCCTTTGATGATGCCAACCATGATGAGGGCGGCGAGGACGAGGACGAGGACGACGTGGCGGAGGATGACGACACCGATGGCGAAATTGAAGACGATTTGGATGGATCAGGAGCCTATGCAATGGATCTGGACGACGAGCAGGAAGAAGAAATTGCCTATGCGGATAGCGACTCAGACCTGGGCGACGCGGCGGACTTTGCTCTGTGGAAAACAGATTTGGCCCAACGTGCTGAAGACACTGTGATGGCCAACCGTCGTCGTCGTCGCGACCTGATGCGGCTCGTCTACGAGTCAACACAATCGCCCGAAGAGATTGTGCGTGGGGACACATCGAATCCAGAGAAGGACGACGAAGACACGCAGGGCAACGACGAATTTTTCCATGTGGTTTCAGAGGAGGCATCTAGCTCTATGCAGGACGTGCCCGAACAGTTTTATCCTATACAAGGGTCTACTGATCTCGAGATATGGAACGAAGACGAGAAGCTCGACTCGATTCGGTACCGCTTCATCACTGGCGAGGCTGACGACGTGAATGAGGATCCCTCTCAAGGCGAAGAGGGGGTCGAGGCTGCAAACGAGGTGGTGGAGGACGACGAAGAGGCGCGAGCCAAGGCACTTGCATCGAAAAAAGCAGCCCTCAAGCGCAAGTTTGATGAGCAATATGATGCCGAAGACGACGAGCAAAACAATGATGATTGGTATACGGAACAGAAGCGCGAACTGGCGCATCAGGCAGAGCTTAATGCGGCCGAGTTTGCCGACCAGGACGAGGAAACACGGGCGAAAATTGAGGGTTTCCGTCCCGGTACTTATGTACGTGTTGAGTTGCAGCAGGTGCCCTGCGAGTTTGTGGAGCATTTCCATCCCGCCTATCCGATTGTGGTGGGCGGTCTGCTGCCTAACGAGACACAATTTGGCTTTTTGCAGGTGCGCATTAAAAAACATCGCTGGTACAAGCGGATCCTTAAGACCAACGATCCGTTGATCTTTAGTCTCGGCTGGCGCCGGTTCCAGTCGATGCCAATCTATACGCTAGACGATGGCACGCGCAATCGCATGTTGAAGTACACGCCCGAGCACATGCACTGTCTCGCGTCGTTCTACGGGCCAGCGAGCTTGCCAAACACGGGTTTCTGTGCATTTAACACACTCTCGTCTGATACGCCCCAGTTCCGCATCAGTGCCACGGGAGTTGTACTGAATGTAGATGCTGGCACAGGTGCCTCACACAAGATTGTCAAAAAACTTAAGCTGACAGGCACACCGGCCCAGGTTTTCCGGAACACGGCATTTATTAAGGATATGTTCTCTACGCCGTTAGAGGTGGCCAAATTTGAAGGTGCTCAGCTCCGCACAGTGTCTGGTATCCGCGGTCAAGTCAAGAAGGCGTTGGCCAAGCCAGAGGGGCAGTTCCGGGCCACTTTTGAGGACAAGATCCTCATGAGCGATATTGTCTTTTTGCGTGCATGGTACAATATCGTGCCCCGGCCGTTCTACAACCCTGTGACCTCGTTGTTGATGCGTGCTGACGAGGCGCGTGAATGGAAGGGCATGCGTCTTACGGGTACGGTTCGCAAAGAAGAGGGTTTGAAGACTCCTTTGCGCGTCAACTCGACCTACAAATCTGTCGAGCGACCGGAAGCACGCAAGTTTAACCCGCTTCGCGTACCTCGTGCGCTTCAGGCAGCGCTTCCGTACAACAGCAAACCGCACGTCACCAAGGCACAACGCAAGCCGACCTATCTCCAGAAGCGTGCGGTACTTATGGAGAAGGACGAGCGCGATGCTGTGGCGCTACTGCAGCAGATGCAGGCTGTGCAACGCGCCAAGCAGGAGAAGCGTCAGCAAAAGCGACAAGATCGACTCGACGACAAGGCCAAGACCTTGGCCAAGCAGGAGACAGCCGATGCGCAGAAGCACAAGGAGCGCATGAAGGATATCTACCGCGTGCAAGGGCAGCGGGCGGCCAAGAAGGCCAAGTCATAGCTACTCATATTCGAGTTCCGACTCGCTACCTATGTCATCTTCCGCGTCGAGAAAGGCCTCGAGGGCCTCCAGTGCGTCCGGATCGTTCGTGGGAAGGTCGACCAGTCCATCATACAACACTGCTTCGGATACAAGCGCAATGGGACGATCGCCCAAAGTCGTGCGCTTGCCTGGCTCGAACTTGGCACACTTGGTTTCCGGAAGACGGTACATACGTTTAAGCGTACGGCGCACACGCCGTAGTATCTCAACGCGCTTCGCTGCATACGCAAGCGATAGCAAGTCAGTCGACCGCAAAGGTCCACCAATAGCGGTTTTATCGTGAGGGAGGGTGTCTGTCATGGGACGAGATTCAACACTCTCAACATCCGAATCATTCTCTTCGTCCGTAAGTGGGCTAGGTTCGCGGAGATGCTCTTCTCGCCGAAGTCGGCGGCCAATGATACCCGCAATCTGAATACCTGTGCTTGCATCCAACATCTTGAGTTCGTAAAGGATGGTCAGTGGCTCCTCTGCGTAGCGGTACTCAAGGACCTGCAAGGTATCGGCAATAAAGACACTTAAGTTTACATCGTCTGGAGTTGGCGATAGATCCTGTTGCACGTCCAAAAGTCGCACGAGGGCTCTAAGAAACTGAAGTTTGGCTTGCCGGTGGTCCACAAGAAGGTCATACCATACTTGAAACATTGCTTCCCTCTTTGTTCCAGGGCGTACTCCGCGCGGGGCTGCCGTGAGACGCTGCTGGAATCGAAATGCCATCGTGACAGATTCACCAAAACGCGTGCTGAGCATCGACGAATGCTTTTCTAGTAAGTATCGATGAAGCTGCACGGCCTTGTGTCGCAGTAGAAGATTGTCACCTGTTTCCAGAGCCACCAAGTAGGGCACACATTGCATGGGGTGTGAGAGGCCTTGCAGAACAGACAGCTTAACAATCTCGCTCGCCACTTGCTGCGTCTTTGGAACATTCACCTCCAGTGTCGCTTGCAGAATTGGCACAGCATAACGCTGGATTAGGGCGGACGCTACACCGGCATCTACTTTGTTTTGGCCGGCAAGCTGCTTCCTCATATCCAGCTGCGCCTCCTCTTGAGGGGCGGTGGCATCTCGATCAAGGTATCCCCAGAGTGCGCGCAGCATGAAATATTGCTCCAGTGGTGCACCTTCGGAAAACACATGATCCAAGACCTTGCACACATCCGGCTCCAGAAACTTGAGAGGATACGCCTGAAGTACGTAGCTCAGGGCCAACAAAACTGAGTGAGTATTGTCCTCAGTGGTGGTAGAATGGCTAGACAAGGTGGAATAAAAATGCAGTAGCATATCAAACAACGAATCCGCATGGCTGTCAAGGCGTGACTCAGACCAGGGCCCATTTGCACACAACAATGCCGTGATACACAATGCTAGCGACGCTTTGGCGTCCAAAGAGGATGTCTTAACCAAAATTTCGCGAGACAAGGCAAAACAAGAATGATAGGTCCGCGCCAAAAGAGTGTAATTGTTCGTTTGGTACTGAATGGCCGCACAAAAGCACGAAATAAGAGCTTCGAGAGCCGCAGAGCCTGGTCGAAATTGACATTTTGAAATCAGGCGCGTAAGAATCAGTTCCAAATGAATAGCAAACGAGCGAGCCGTGCGAGGAAGAGCAGGCATACATTGAGCGAATATCCGAAGAAGTTCCTCCATGACAGCCACTTCATTGGGCGTTTGTGCTCCGTCCACATATGGAAGAAGTTGCTTGGCTCGAGGTACTGTGAGCAATCCTGGATGCACTGCTGTAATAATTTGAACAGCTCGGAGTCGTCCGGACATGGCAGGTGAGAACGTAGGCGCGGCAAACAGATCCTGAAGCAGTTCGTCGACAAATTCACCCAAACGGATAGCAAACAATGTACTCACTCGCACCGATCCCAGCCGTCTTAAAAACTCGTCCAATGGAGATGGTCGCTCGTGAAGCCGCACACATACATCGGCCAGGACATGCGCCACTGAGCGAGCGTTTTTCGTACGATGGGTACCAAACCAAAGCTCCTCTAAAGCTTCTTGAGCCGCTTGCTGAATTTGTGGATCCACATCATAAAGGAAGCGTAGAAGACGCAATGCGGCATGCAATTCCAACGAGAAATCACCGGTAATCTCATATACTTGCATGAGGAATCTCAACGCACGACGGCGTACACTAGATGAAGTGTCATTACAACGCTCCAATATACGTGTGAAGAACGAGGGTATAGCCTGTTCGTTTTTTAAAACATAATTGGCCAGTATTGACACACAAGTCTCCCGCACGCTGGCACTCTGATCACCTAAGTGATCTGCCACCGCATCACGGATCTGTGCATCGTGCAACAGTGCTGGATCCACAGTCGCGATATTACCAATGGCACGCATGGCGCGAATACGTAGAGACAGTACGGGGGCATGACAGTATTGCAGTAGTCCCTTCAGCAGTGATGGAAACTGGACAAAGAAAGTACTTTGTAAGACAAGCTGGGGCATTATATCCGCATAGATTCGCACAGTCTCGTCACCAGTCACACGGTCCACACACTTAGCCAATGCCTGGTGAAATGCTTCATTTTCTTGACAAACTGTGCGCGCCAACGAGAGCTCATAAAGGTATTGTGCCGCGTGAAAGGCTCTTGCCGTAGCAGTTCCAGGATTCTTGTGGCCTTGTCGTAATTGTGACAGCACGCTGTGATAGGCTCCATCTACATCCTCCAAAGCCTCGATGTTAGCTGCCCTAGCAATCTGCCGCATTGGTTGGAGTGTTAGACGCTTCCGCCCCAATCCATTTTCAATGTCCGCTTTGCGCAAGCGAGAACCTACCAGACCCAGCTGGTCGAGGGAAATCAACTTGGCATCTAAACCACTTTTGGAGTCAGAGAGTGTTGTTGAAAAGGCTCGGCACAAGCACGATAATAAAATAGGGGCGGCGGGCCATTCCGGATGGAACAAAAGAAGTAGCAGATCTTCCATGAGACCATACAAAATCGCACCATAGCTGATATCTATGGCGCTCTTAGTCATTTTCGATTCACCTCCTTTCAGCACGAGATACTTGGCGACGCTGCTAGCCAGTGCATGTACTGCTTCTTGGTTGCTCTGGCATGGTGGTTTTTCCAAGTCTGATTCTCCCGAAAACCATGCAATTGTTTGCTCCCTAGCGGCGTTTGTCTCGTGGGAAGCGGCCTGGATAAGTTGTAGCAGTAAGGCAGTGAGAACATATACATAATGACCCTGTTTTATACGAAACTGTCGCTTGCGCCTGCGCAAGTCTGGTAGTCTTAAAAGGGATACGAGAATTTCGCTTAGAACCCAGGAGCGTTGACTAGGATAATTAGCAAAAACGCTCCGAAGTATATTGAGGCCTGCGAGGCGAAATGGTTTCAGTGCCTCCGTGTGGGTATAGGAACACGAAACACTTGATTTACTGAGGGCATTTCGACGGTCATGTGAAAAGAAGGGCGACAGGGCCATGTATACACATCGAATAGTCAGATTGTCATGGATGCTAACATTCGATAAAGTAAACATGGTGTCAAGAAGACCTAGACACACACTAAGCGTGTGGATATGAACTTCCAAAGCCTGTAGGGCGTCATTGTCAATGTGACCTTGAAGCAACATTGTTCCAAGCTCTCGTTCTTCCAAACCTGCGCATGCCTCAATAAGTGGGAGGACAAACATCTCTAATGATGGTTTGATGATATTGAGGCATTGCGCTACAAGCTCTTCTGAAAATAAGAACTTGGGCATTTGGTCGATGGAGAATATGGACAAGCAACATTTTGCACAGAATAAGGCCTGTGTCGATCGATGTACAGCCGCCATTTGGGATGTGACATCTTTGCATAAAGTCCAATCACAAGTATTTTCACGCATCGTAACCTCCAAAAGCGATAGCAGCCTGGCAAGCATTTGAGGATCCACATCGAGTAAGTGACGTGGTGAGTCGTCCAAGCAAACGTGTCCATGTAGTAAGTATTTATTGGTGTCGCGCACGCAGAGACTCAAGATGCCATCCAACTGCGAGAGGGTGCTGGGATTCAAAACTACCTCACCTTGCACGTTGTGGACCATCGCTAGTGAGGGCGCATCCGGTCCGCATTCATCTTGTTCTGCAAAGAGTGTTGTTATGAGTTTAATGAGCACCTGTGCCGAGGTTTCCGGCTTCCGCAGAGTGTCAGGGGCCGGTACAGGGGACGATGGAGGAGCTTCGGAAGTGAGAAGCAATGATTCCTCTGAATACAGTTGCGCATCGTCCAAATCCCATGCGTCACTCCATCCTAAAGGAAATGCATGTCCCGTATTATGACTCTCCTCCATACTTTCTGGTCGCATTCGCTTGCATGCTTGTTCCTCCGCATCCGCATGTGTGTCTCTTCCGTGCTTTGCGACATCTTGAATTAATTCTGCACGTAGTCTCCTTGGTATATCGTCTGCTAGAGCATCAATGGCGTCATAAGACAAATGGTCATATTCTTCACGTAAGTCTGAAGGCGGTGACACAGGGTATGCCACATCTTGCTTTCTCGGCATTATCGCCCATGTGATGAGCCACCGTCAATTGCGTCTAGCAAGCGGTGTACCATGTTCTTACATAAGAAGCACGAGGGCCGGTGCTCACTTCCCTCCACACAAGATTTGCTCGCATGGCCTCGGGGATGTCAGACCAAGCAGTGAATTCAGAGGAACCTGGACGTGTACCTGAGGATCGTATCTTGCATATTCGAAATAATGAAATGGAAGATGATCATCAAGGAGATTCAGATACTGACTTAGATGAGGAAGAGAGCGACTTTAGGCATGGAACAATTCATGTTTGGGATGAAGATAGCGATGAAGACGACCAGCCACCATCCCAACCGGGTATCATTCCATTTTACCATACCAGAGCCGAACGATTCAATAATATAGAAAATATCCAGCCAGTTGCTGGATGGTGGCGTACTCTTCTTATCGGCTCTGCTACTCCAGGGTCCTTGAGCAAGGCGCATGTGGCAATGAACTTATTCTCCTCGAGTCTACACCCTGGTGTTTTGTTGGCTATGCCAGTATACTTCTTCCGCGCTGGTATAATTCCTGGTATGATTGTACTTGTATTAGTTTCACTTTTGGGAGCCTTTGGAGGTGGGCTATGGGTCTCGCTCGGTCGGTATGTGGGCGGAAACACCATTGAGGCAATTACAGCTAAGGCATTTGGCATGAACACGCACTGGAAACGGGGTATTGGTTATGGAATTAGCAGCTTGGCCCTGGTCACATATTGCACCGGCGCAGCGGTAATCGCGTACCATGGTTCGTTGTGGATCACTGACCAAAGCCATGACCGACTTGCTGTTGCAAGTATTTTTTCATTATTCCTTGCCTGGACAAATTTTTCACGGTCGAGCCTTTGTCACTCTCGTCATTGGTGGCTCACTCACGCTACCTCTCCTTTTATCTATGACGCCAAAGCGTAACATGATCCAAATTCAATCATGGACTGTCATCTTGCTCTATCCGGCCATCGTCATTATCATGTTGATTCGAATCGACGAATGGAAACTTCATGATTTCTGGAGACCGGGTCAGTTATCTTCTAGCCTCAACTCGGAGGCCATGGTTCCATTGCTAAAGCTGCGAGATTATTCTTGGCCGTGGGCCAGCACAGCCATGCTGCCTCTCTTCACGCTAAGTGCATCGCCACCTCAGATCCTTGCCCATAATCGTTCTTTGCGACGGAAGAACGTCTATGATTCTAATGTAAAGTCATTCTTAATCGCACAAATGATTCAAATTGTGTTGCTCTTATTAACAACCTATATGGTTGCGATTCAGTTGGGCGTGTTTGGTGCATCAAAGATGCTAGGTGGCTTGCATGCAAATTTTTTTAGCTCTCTGCCACTTGATGATGACTATGTGAACGTTTGCCGGATACTCTTCTCTGTCCTTCTCGCATCACATCTTACAGTCTGTCTCGCATCCGCCCGCTCGTGCTGGAGCCACCTCCTTAATGTGATTAAAGTCCACCCTCTGAAGAGTGTGCAACCGCCTACGCCTCGTGTAATGAAGAAGTCTACCCGCTCTGGTCGAAAGCACTCTTCTTCTACGTTTCCAAGCCCAGCATGGCTACCTAGTGCATCAAGAAGTGTCGATCCTATCTCTGAGCTTTCTGAAGTTTCGGCCTGGAAAAGGTTTAAACTTCTGCGAGATATGCTTGCTGGATTTACATTATGGACAATTACTGCGCTGACAGCCTTTTTTTCAGGTGTGGGAGGCGTATTTATGCGCGAAGAAAAGGAAGGTGAAGAGCTGCGGTTTTTGCGCTCGCTTGAAGCAATAGGGTTAGTGGGGGCATTTGTGGGATTCATCCTTCCTGCTCTCATCTGGCTTGTACTCTTTTGGATTCGCAGACCACGCGCCATTCTCATGCTTCAAACAAATTCGATGCGTAGACGCCTTAACCAATATCTTCTTTCACCTCTGAGTAATCTTATTGGGAAGTCTTCTTATCCAGAGGAGGAACCCTTGCTGACACACCAGGCTCCCTGGTCCTCTACAGACCCAGGTCCTTCGCATAATGCACAATCGGTTCCCGTCACAATACCAAACCATTTAAACGAACACACGTCTTCTACATGTGACGACGCCACATTAGTCTTACTGGCTCGGAAAGAGCGAGATCTCCAGCGCAAAACTAGGTTTCGGAGACGGTTTCAGGAGCTACTCGTTGTGGTTGCACTGCTGCCGTTTGGCCTCTTCCTTGTCATTATGGCATTAATAGAATTGATGGAAGGTGGATTTTAAGTTCTTCAAGCCGAGTTACGGATTAGAGTTCTCTTTATTTTGTAAAACATTACCATAAGCTTGAGCATGTAATTGTAAGGCTGAAATCGCCATGAGATCAATCTGCGCGTTCGCTTCAGGTAAAGTCTCCGCTTCTTTGCGTAAAATACGAGTGATCTCGGATTTTCTCATCTCAGCAGGAGATTCAACTAAAATTGACTCCTCACTTGAAGCGAATCGGAAATGACCCCACTTTCCTGTAGCCAAGAGCCTTTCAAGGCACATGTGTATTTGTTGCAAAAATAGCATACAAGGAAAAAATGCTCGAATCATTATTATTACAATTTGGAAGGGTATGAGACCAGTCACGCGAGTGATATAAGGGCATGCCCCTTTACTCGTTGCCATTCTTAGCTGCAACCAGCATAAAGTGCCTTGAAGTAAAAGACCCCACTTCACGTTAGCCATCCTAAACGCACCATCGTCCCCATACCAAAGGAGTAATTATAGCTCCTCGCATGAAGTAGCCAACCTAGGGCCTGCGCAAATAGGAGGTGAAGCTGGGAATATAGAATTTCATATACGCCGTTGCGAATAAATTCGTTGACCGTACTCAAATGCGCCGATGAAATAGCCTGTGGTCCGAATCTTGTGTTATTATTGACAACTTACCGATCATATGCAAGCCTAAGTGTGGGTTCGGAAATCATTTCGTACGCATCGTGCAGCTGCATGAATTTGGCTTCACCCGCCATACCCACTTTATCTGGATGGTATAGCTTCGCGAGGTCACGAAAGTGTCTCTTGATCTCTTTCTCGCTTGCACATGGAATGACACCAAATTTTTGGTAAGCACTTGTCTCTGTAGCTAATACAATCCGAGAAATTGCGTAGAGAAAGTAAGCTATAGCAATGACCATTCTGGCCACAATCCTGTGTGAATCAGCTGCAGGGGAATGAGGAGGTGGGCGCTTGAGCCGGATTAGCGTGATAACATTTGAGTAGAGAATCTCAAGAAGAATCCGTACACCCACGCTCTCTGCCGTGCTCCAGACACCCCATAATACGATCTGAGAAAGAGCCACTTGCGCGAAGGTCATGATGGAAGTGGAGGTGATAGATCAGTGCGGTGGGAAATATGGCAGACGAGCGGCTTACGGGGCTGGTGTCTTGGTGGGCCTAAGCGCGCGGCGAACGTGTTCAGGCGCCCTCCGAAGTCCTGCACAAGACTATGCACAACAGACATGTTTCAGATGCCATAAGAATGCGTACTAGTGACGAGATTATGGGTGACGTCCAGGATGTCATGGAATTGAAGCTCCTTGATGAAGAACGACCTGAGGGCGACGAGCATATCGAAGATGATTCTTATGGTGTCGAAGACGAAGACGGACTCCATATGATAAGGCAAGTGGTTCCAGAAACAGACAATCCCCTCCTGCCGTCTTTGACCTTCCGTGCTGTCGTGCTTGGTACTATATTCACCGTGCTTGGGGCTGGAATGTCTCAATTGTTTTTCTATAAATCCAACGCTCCCTCTTTCAGCAGTTACTTCGTGATTTTAGTGACACTGCCTCTCGCACGATGGATGGCCCGATTCCTACCTGATAGTGTAGTGAATCTGTTTGGATGGCGCTTTAGACTCAATCCGGGACCATTCAATGTGAAAGAGCATGTTCTTATTGCTGTTATCGTCTCTTCTGGTGCCACCAGTGCCTACGCCTCGGACATTATAAATATCCAAGAACTCTTTTTTGGACAACACATGTCTGCATTACCATCGCTTGCCTTGCTTATTACCACGCAAGTCATTGGATTCGGGTTTGCTGGTTTGGTCTACGACCTCCTCGTTCGGCCACCTAGCATGGTGTTCCCTGGTTCTCTTGTAACTGTTTCATTATTTAATACTCTTCATGATCAGGAATCTGTACTCACTTTCAAGCGAATGCGTTTTTTTATACTCGCCTTTGCTGGCATTTTTGTTTACCAGTTCATCCCAACAACGCTGTTCCCCACTTTGAGTAGCATTGCAGTTCTTTGCTTTGCCCATCGGAGCCGGATCACGCAGATTTTGAGCTCTGGCTATCGTGGTTTTGGAATTGCTAATTTAAGTTTTGATTGGAACGTCCTTGGTCACAGCGGTCCCTTGTTCCAGCCTTGGTGGGCAGCCCTTAATTTCTACGGAGGACTTATGGCAATGATGTATATCATCATGCCCATCCTTTACTTTAGCAACTTTTGGGATGCTAAAAAGTTTCCCACCGTTCTCAGTTCGGCATTGTATACTACCAGATTTGGCTCTTTCAATGTAAATGGTGTGTTGAACAAGGATAATACATTGAATGACATGGCATGGGAAGAGAGCAAGCCTATGTTGTTGACCCCTTTTTTCGCTTTATCTTATGGCATTAGCTTTGCGATTCTCACTAGTACTATCACTCACGTTCTTCTCTGGCATGGCAAAGATATCAAGAGAGCGCTCTGGAACCCGATTTATTCTGACGTTCACAATCAACTCATGAAAGCTTATCCTTTGGTTCCCCAATCATGGTATTTGTGGATTTTGTGTATTTCGCTTTCAATTGCAGTCGTTCTCGTACTTACAACACCGCTTCAATTTCCTGTGTGGGGATTGTTCCTATCTGTTGGCATGTCACTTTTCTTCCTAATACCTATTGGAATCCTAAAAGCGGTTAGTGACACCGGCGTCGGACTAAATGTCATTACGGAATTTGTCGCAGGATATCTCATACCCGGCAAGCCCATTGGGAGTACGTTGATAATTACTAACAAAAGATGTATGCTGGAAGTGCTATGGATATATGAGCTGTGCTCAAGCGCTTGACATGATCAGCGACCTAAAGTTGGCTCACTATATGAAGATTAACCCTAAACACATGTTCTTGGCACAGCTCCTAGGCACCGTTATCGGGTGCATTGTTAATTATATGGTAATTTGTGTTGTACTGGCACCTGAGAATGGATACCGCGGCTTTCTTGATGGCAGTGTCACCGATCCTACGGGACAATGGGATGGACGCAAAATTCACATTTTCCGTTCTGCGTCTATTATTTGGGGCGCAGTGGGACCTGAAAAATTTTTTTCTGGGAAGTACAAGTATTTGTACTGGGGCTTCGTCCTTGGTGCTCTTTTACCATTTATCCCCTGGCTATTGCATAAGCGGTTTCAAAAGAAAATGCCGAATGGCAATCAGAGCACTGTATTCAGTCGTACGGTGGTGCCAATTTTGCTTCATGGAGCCATTGCACCACCTGCTACGCCCACGAATGTAAGTGTGAGCTATTTGACAGCAGATTATCTTAGGTGGATTTATATGCTCATTTTTATCCCAAAAATGGGCGCGAGAGAAATACCCTCGGTGGTTCCAAAAGTACAAGTACGTTATGCTACGACTAAGATTCCAGCTATGTTTTGTCCGCCGCTTTGGATGCAGGTATGTGTATTATAATGCTTATCACAGGCTCATCGATCAATGCGCTGACTGTCTTTTTGCTTTCTATTTCGATATTCCGTTGGTTCGGCAAACCTCACGGTGGGACCTTTGGCACAGATGTGGAGCACTGCAAGGTGGATTGATTGATGACTGTATCATAGACTAAGCGGATTTAAGGACCCTGCGTCTCCACACCTGTCAGAAATGATCGGGACAAGACAGACCTTGGCATGCACAGCAACAAGACAAATATGTTGCTTCAGAAACGGGATGATCCCACTGTAAATTTCCCATCAACTGGTGTTACTTTAGCTGTGATCATCATTGCTTTGCTAATCTTTCTTGTATTGCTTGCCATAAGCCGCATTTACTTCCTCAGGTATCGTAGATCCCTGGCTGAGAGCGGTGCCATTCCTATGCGGAGACTCTATGGTGCAGAGCTTCCAGTGCCTGACATCAGTCCACCACCAGTATATGTTCGCAAAATTGATCGATTTATGTACAATAAGCTTCATCATAACACTAGTAGTTGGGCAAACATGCAGCCGCTCTCAGTCACCCTAGATCATCGAGCATCCAGTCTTATCTCAGATGAGCAAAAGATGTCTGGATCAAACAATCTTGAATTCCAGTCAATCAATGTTTTTTCCATTATTCAAACCTCATTTCTAGTTTCGTTGCCTACACCCAAGTCATCATTTCCATATCATCTGCGCCGGCGCACACAGCCCTGTGACAGAGTTAGGACGCAGGATACGGATTCAACAGACCCTGATACACAAGTATCTAAAAAAAACAGCGCGAAACACAATGACACTGCGTCTGTTGCAGTGGGCGAACAGCGGCGCAATACTATCGTTAAACTCCTAGAACGTTGTGCTCCTGGTAACCAACGGACTTCAGAATTCATACAAAACCCTTCTATCCAATCTACCCGCATGTCAGCCAATCACGAAACCATCCAAGGAAATGCCAAACAAATGACAAACATTGAAATGGCGGATAAAGACCTGGGATCTTTTGGTCTCGGAATAATTTCATTTGCTCTCCCTATATCTGATCCATCAATGAGCAAGGAAAAAGAATCAGTCAAGCCATCAGAATTGAATCACGTAATTGATCATGCCAAGCAGATTCAAAAATTAGGTACAGCAATAATATGATTAAAGTTGTATACCTATACTACGACCACGAGTTTTTCATGATAGTCCTAACAGCGATTTCAACGTTGTCCATTACCAGGGTCGGTTTATGAGCGGGAGGACCCTCAATATCGCGATATACACCAGTGCGTACTAAAGCGGAGGACCAACCGAAGTTGTTTGCACCTGTGTTTAGAAAAGTCAACGTACCGGCAATGTCAGAATAAGGGTTATCGCCAATCATCCATACGTTTTCGGGTGCCATAGGTTGTGAAATGTCTGTATCAGAGGATTGGAGCATGTCTTGGAGAAGACCATTTGCGTACTCGTAGGTCGAAAGCTCAGGCTTACCGAATGACAGAGCATGCAGATCTTTGCCAGTTAATTTACTGTAAACAGCTTCCAGTGCAATTCGAAAAGCTCCCTGGCCTAGGCGTGCCACAGAAAAGTCATTGCCCCACACTTAGATTAGACAAGCTTGACTTACAGAAATCACCGTGTGAGAAAAAAATGGGAACAGGGGAACGGGACTTGAGCTCCTTGTTGGTAAGAACAGTTCCAAAAATGCCATGATCTGCGCGCATAATATCAATGGCATATTGGATGTCACGACCCCATTCTCGACTATCATGGAAAACCAAGATTGCAGCGAAATTCACTTTCGAAAAATCAACGCGCTGGTAAATTAGAATAAAAACACCTACTTTCACAGCATCTTTTTGATCAGATGGAAGACTGGCGTACGGGAACGAAGGTGGCGCATACGCCTGCAGGTCGTGCACAGTATACACTTGGCGGAAACCGTAGCTGTCATAAGCAAAATTAAGCGTACCCCTCAAGGACTTGGCGTGAATAGCCCACCGGATGCTCGGGGCCACCAATCATCAAAATAGGCTTGTCGGAATATTGATCCACGAGGGAGCGCATCACTGTATGAGCTTGGACCACTTGTTTTGGTGACACAGAAGTTTGGAAATCGTTCGAAAGATCATTGGCGCGAACTTTCTCATCCTTACCGCCACTGTTTGTGATAAAAATGTAGGGTACCTTTTTCTTCCATGGATTATTACCTTCGAGCATTTGAATAGTGCGTATGGCTTCAGGTAGAACAACTGGGCCTTGTTTAAGTACACCATCAATATCAAATGCAAATGCAATCGGTTTCAACGGCGGGTTTGAAGAAATCCATCGTACAGAATTTGCTCGAAGATATGGAGCAGACGCGACGCAAAAGGAACGCATTGTAACTTTTCCAAGCATGATGATGTTTTGGAGAGAGTGGGTCCGAGCGCGAACCCGATGACGATTGCTGACGTATACATCCCAACACTCAGAATGGAAGGGCTTGTGAAGCCGGCATTAGACCAGCGTCTATAGGGTATTATATGAGCTACAGGTATTAATCAATATACATCTATATTGCAATAGAACAATTTGGACGTCGATTTAGCCGGTAAAGGCCCTAGAGTGTTCGTCTTCGCGGAGAAGTACACACCTCCACATACACGTGGACCGTCCGTCAGCTCATGGTGGTTGAACTTAACCAAATTTTAGGAGTGCGGCGGCAACCTTTGGACTAGGTCAGGCTTTCCGGAAAGGGATTTTTTTTACCCATTCAAGTTTCTCTGTACTATGCTTGGCCTTGGGACTATCTTATACACCACTTTGTTGTTCATCAATGCGATTGCCATTTTGAATGAAGAGCGTTTTCTAAGTAAAGGTTCGTTGTCACTTTAACAGACAGTTGGCTGGTCTACCAACTCACGGGGAAATGGATTTGATTATCCATCTAATGAAGCAAGTGTCAAGCAACGGCTTGTGCACTTAATTAGCGCTGTGCGAGTGCTTTTACGCAGTATGTCTATGGCAGTTTGGACGGGAAACTAACAATATTTTTGCAGTTCCGCTAATTGTTATCAATACTGTTGTGATTATATATGAGCTCCTGCTAGGGTAGTACTATATAGTAACCATTTAAGAATCTATCTCACGTTATAATCTGTGTCTGGACCGACGGCTTCACCTCTTTGCACATCGAGCAGTTATATATCGGTGTGGCCGTACAGATCGGGATATGCATGAGAACAACAATTCATGTTATTCCACATGAGGCTCTCCACTTGTCATGACTGTCCGCGACGGAGATCCAGTATCAGCCCAGTTGCTGGATCCGACGCAGATGAGCACGGCGATGTCGAAAGGATGGAATAGAATGCAAAAGATTAGGAGACGCAGACTTCAGCTCGCTGCAGCATTAATTGAAGCAGACAACCTCGACATCGACAAGCGCATCACTTTCTTAATTCAAAATGATCCGCGTGCGACCGATCTGTTGGCGCACCTAACGAAGTTGCTAAGGTATGCCAATGACAGTGTAATATTTCGCGACACTTTTTCAAAGAGTCAAGAATACGAGCGCCCGGTCTATACGTATAGACCATCGACACAACGTGAATTATCGCGAGGCTACTTACATTTGCAGCAGGACTGCGAATTGGAAGATATGAGCCAACCACTAGATGATCAAGCTCAGCCAACTAATGATACCGAAGTTTCCGATACAGGGAAGAACAAATATGAACAGATTTCGTTTTCCTTGGATGACTTTGGCTCTCCCGTACTTAATGTGCTGGACCAAGCACCATCTATTGAAGTTGCGGCGCAAGCCCACGCTGAGCAAGAACAGAAAAAAAATCTGTATCATTCGAAAGAATCTGAATCCCGCTCGAAGCGCCTTTTGGATCGTATTCATAATCTGAATACAGTGGTTCACAGCTCTCCTGCACCGGACATTAGCTTCTCTTCCACAGAGGATATGTCTATTTCGCAGGATAAAAGCTATGAATCGCATGCAAGAGATATTCCCTCCGTTCTTGAGGAAGGTAATGCAGGGTCGAAAGAGCTAGAATATGAATGCTCGTCCTGTGCGGAAGAGTCAATGGAAGGATTAGGCATCCTCAATCATCAGCCTAGATCCGATTTGCAGTCCTTTCGTGAACGTGTAATGAAAAGCAAGCCTCAAAAAGGTCTTTCTGATATTTCTGAACAACGCGCGACTGAGACGCCTTCCTCTTTCAATGATGCTGAAACACTACTTGAACACCCTTTTAACAATGACACACAAAAGACACTACAGGGCTCAGAAATCTCTACTAAGCAGCTCAATGCTATGGCTAAGGGGTATTCGCATTTACGCTCTTCTCACATATTAGGAATACCGCCACATACCCACAATGTGGACGAATCTTTGGTCAAACCCTCCTTCAAGCCGACCAGCAGTATATTCACAAAGAAAGAAAATCTTTCCAGGCTTCTCATTCCAGCAGTATCACGCAGAAAACATGAACGCAATTACACTCCCATCTTAGACGGTTTATCGCCCATTCCTGATTCCTATGACCCCACTCTCCAGAACATTTCAAACAATATAATTTCGACCGAAGGTGGAATGTTGGGCGTGAGCCTTCAGTCCCCGTCCATGCCACAACTTCACACTAATACAGCTAGCATGAATGAGCCGCCAATTACCACAGCAACTGACAAGCCGCCTAGGATACATCCTGTATCTGTTGCAGAACCAAACTCATCCTATATAACTTATGAAGACGATCCGACACCTGCCAATCAGTCGCTTTTGTCCGAGAGAGATATTCCAGTGAGACGCAGGCAATCCTGGGCTCCTTCCTATATATGTGTCCCTGCTCCTTTGCAGGATCTTCAGGTGCAGACCACTGGTGATACGTTTTATGTTCCTCAAGGAGCCTTTAAGTTGGACCATGGTATTATCCTACCGACGCTTTCTTGTAAAGGTGATTCTTATGGACCTATTCAAGTACCGTTGGGCATGGGTCGACGAGTTTTATACCCATCTACGGCTCTTTTCCGGAATGTGCTTGTGACCCGTGACCATGAGCAAGAGGGTTGGGGCTGGGACCGATATACAAGCAGTGCCAAGTACTTTGAAGGAGCTCACGCGGATGATGATGACTCGGATGATGACCTTCCTCTTATGGATGTGCGGATCCATCGTCGTGAGAACCATATCATTGAAAAACGCATTACACGGGAAAAGAAACGCCAAAGGCGTGCCCGAGCTGAACGCCAACGTTTACGAGCATTAGCACGAGAAAAGGGTAAAGCAGCTTCCGTTTATGGTGTAACGGAGGAAAGCTCAGAAGGCGAACTGTCCGACGCCTCGAGTGACTATGATATAAGCAGTGATGAAACAGATCCTGAGCTGCCATGGGTTGACGATTTACGACCTGCTGGGAAACTGTATGGAAAGAGTCTTATGTGTGCAGTTGAGGCAGAAAAGATGCAGCGAGACAGTAAGATTCGATTTTATGGGCAGGTGTCTAAAAACGATGTTGATGGACAGCATCCCTTTCAGAATGACACAAGAGAGCGTATGCGTCGAATCTTTGGAGATCAATCTAGGTTCCAAGAAGAGATGGAAGGCCATGCAGAACAGGAAACATTCAGGCTAAAAGACCTAGTTGATAGCCTCGATCGGGATACGCCGGATCAGACTGAACAACTCACGCCGGAGGAGCTGCGAGCTCAAGAAGTGATCAAGGAACATGACATGGACGAGCATGTGGCCGATGCATGGAAGGGCGAATCTTCCGATGACGATGCTGCCTCCGTGGATCTTGCTAAAACGTACAAGCCTCGGCGTCGACCACGTGCGTCTAACTGGCCACGCTGGATGGATAAGAGTGAAGATGATGTACCTCTTTCTGAGCTGCACTTCAATTCAGCCCCGGCAAGTGACGATGACAATTTGCCATTGGCTTCTCAGCACCCCCATGCGGAAATCATTGCCGAGAAAGAGGCCATAATCCGGCGCCTGGAGGAAGAAAACAAGCATGTACGTATGATGCTGCAGTTGCGCACTTCAATGCCTCCCATGCCCCTCCAGCCATGGATGATGCCGATAAATGGGATGGTGCCCCAACCTAATGCATCGATGGAACCACACGTGTTTGATGAACCATCTTCGTTCCTACAGCCTTTGCCACACAAGCCAAATGGACTTGCTGAGCCCCCTGTTATGACTCATGAAAATCAACAGGGTGTCCTGGGTTGGCTCTCTGAGCGAGAGACGCCGGACTCGTGAATATGGGTCTGTTGAGTTGTTTTCATGCATGGAACTTGTACGGATGGCCAATCTTGTTCTGGTGGACGCAATAGTTCTGGTATGTGGGCAAACAGTCTGGTCTTGTCGGGCAGCAGATGGTGCGTGACGCGTGCACTGGTGCTTGGTGTTACGAAGAACAACGTTGAGGAGGTATCTTCATGCTGCATGCAAATTGGCAAGACACCGTAGCCAAGATCCGCCTTAGGTATAAGGTCTGGCTTGCTATGCCAGAAACCGGCCACATGTCTTGGCAGCGGTATCGATTGCACGTCGTTGATCCAGCATCGCTTGTGGACTACTTTAAGAAATGTATCTCCAATTTGCTTCCCCACAAAACAAACAATCCTGGGTCGGTATTTTTGTATCTTTTTGAGCAGCTCGGGCACACCTCGCTCTAATTCAGCGCGCGTGAGCTGTTCGCTTTTCGCGGTCGGACGATGGGCAAGATTTGTAAGGCCTAGCTTGTAAGGCCTGAGTGACGGGAATGTTTCATCATCCATATGGTTTAGCTTCTCTGTAGTAATATGGGCGGCGTAGAGACATTTGTAAAAATGCTTCGTGGGCTGGCCGGTTACGTACATTGGAGTGGTGCGCGTAATGCCGACCCTGGGCTCCTGATTCGGTTCCTGGATTGATTCCACAAAAAAGGACTGCATTAGCACTTAATACAAACTATCAATATTAGGCTGGATATAGTCAGGCAGTGGCTGAGACATGGCAAAGTATGGTGAAGTAACACGCACGGACTGGAGCGTACGTGCTGCACGTCCCATGGACGTCTGCGTAAGTGGAGGCGACCCAAGCGCCTGGCGATGGCGACTCGACGCCTCACCATGTTCACAACGCGCCTTTGTCGTACCCCATGCCTATCGTTTGTTCGCCATGTTCAAAAATCTATGTATGTGTAATAAGTTAATAAAATTAAGGATGGAAGTCAATGGACATGATGCGCACAACACGAAACGTCTCGTGGTCGAGGCAGCCCGGCCTGGTTTCATTGATACTCGGTTCCATATTGCAGCGGAAAACTGTACGTGAGCGCCATTAACGCAGTGAACCGGGCGCGCACGCTGCATGGGGGCATGATATCTACTCTGGTTGATTCAGTAGGATCCTTGGCCGTCGCCTCGCATGGCTGGTTCAACACGGGCATTTCCACCGATATTCACGCTACATTTGTTAAGCCGGGAGGCATGGAGGGCGATACGGTCCGTGTAACCGGCGAAGTAGTCGGAATGGGTATGTATTGGGGCTAATGTGTAGGGAAGACACTAGCCTACACGCGTGTTGAGCTTCGTCACATTGAAACCAACCAACTGCTGGGTATGTGAATGTGACTTACCGCAGCCTATGGCAGCCATACAAAGTATATCCGCATGGGCCGGAACTCGCCCAAGAATCTGGTGTTTAATGAGAGCGGCGAGGAGGTGCTACAGGGCGTACCTCCCTAGGGCTGCTATCACATTTGGGTCGTCCATCGCCCGTGCACAAGCAGTTGCGTAGCCTTGATGGGCGGCAGTTCCCAGCCCAGGCCGCCCGCAGCGGCACCGTCCTGCATGGACCCGCCATACCTCGGGGTGAGCAGTACTTGACGCTGCATGGTCGTACTCTCGCCCCGCTTGAGTGATTGCATAGAGGTCGAAAGCGCCTCTGCCGAAGCCGTCTCAGAAGGTTGGGAAAAGGTACAAAGTGATCGACCTAAGGTAGACAGCCACGCAGGATTAATCCTTGTCAGCATTTTTAGCCACGTAGTCGTAGGCGGTGGCGGCTCACCATCGACGACGGCTTCCTTCGGTGCACTGCGGTGCACCTCACCAAACACGATCCATTCAGGCGCAGTACGCTGGAAGAACGTGGAGCTGCGGTGAAGATACACAGGCCCAGGTACACCCAGCGCGACATACGGAACGCCTCGAGCACCACCCTTGCTCGTTTGGGCACGTACTTGCAGCTCTGCTTCTGGTGCAGCGACAATGTCCGCGCGCACAGCAACTCGATCAACATAGATGGCGCACAAAAGCTGCCGGAGAACTTTGCATTGCGTGGGGCTTGGGGGGATGAGCTCAGGTTGTTGTAGGGCAACGGTATCGGTATTCGACAGAGCAGTAAGGTTTGCCACGACTAGGCTGCTAAGCTGGGCACGGAGTTTGTTTATCTCTTCCATGGCCTTGATCCGCACAAAATTATCGCGGCAGAACTGCATCGAGTTGCCACGAGTCGCTTCATAGGAATATGCACCAACCACGCTGAGCAGACGGAATGCATCACTCAGACCGTCGCCCAACGAATCGAATGTGTGCAGCTTCTTAAAGTACTTGGAACGTGCCGCACGCCGAGCTTCTTTCGCAGCGACAGGATCTTCGTCGGGAACATACAGGGAGTCCTCTCGCTCAAAAATATCTCCCACACTCAACGCTGCCACAAGGGCAATTGCATGAGCAAGGCATTGATGTTGATGTCCTTGCGCCAAAAGCTTTGCATAGCGCGGCACCACAGGGAAAAGTGCCATTACGCGACCGAGGCTCGTCACGGTAGCATGGATATGTCGCTTAGTGCCGACGAACGCCTCTTTGTTTTCTAAAGCACCAATATGCACAAGCATGCGCTCAGCCTGCTGAAGAGCACTCCGATCTGGGGGTGTCGGGAAGGGAAAGTTGGCCACGTTATCAATATTCATCGATTTCATCTGTAGCACTAGGCCATCCACGGGTATGCGCAAAATCTCAGGCATGCCAAAGTCAGCAAAATGTTCTTCAAACACGGCAGACGAATAGAGTCGGTAACAATGACCTGGTCCAGTACGTCCAGCACGACCTGCTCGCTGTGCGGCACTAGCCTTGCTAATCCACGATACATGGAACGACTGCACTTGACTCCGAGAATCCATGTGCCGTTCCTTCGAACGGCCGCAGTCAACCACATACTTGATATTGGGGATGGTGATAGACGTTTCGGCCACATTGGTGGCAACGACAACGAGACGCGTGTTCAGCGGAGGGTCATCAAATACGGCCTGTTGCTCATGGGAGGGAAGTAGCGAGTACAGTGGCAAGATGTGCATCGGCATGTCCGAGTCTGCTAATTCGTGGACCTCGTCGTCACTGTCTAGGGCCTCGTCATCGACGCTGCCATCCACATCTGCTTCGTCCACCTGTGGCGTGTCCCCCGTTCCCAGCTCCATTTCCTCCGCCTCTGTATCTGCTACGCGCGCAGAGACAGTGTGCTTCTCTGACGGCACATCTGTAGACTTTGAGGTAACATGAGGACCATATTTTTGTCTCAGCTTGCGGCAGACCGTCTGCACCTCCTGTTGGCCTGTCATAAAAATAAGGATCCCACCGTGCGGGAGACGTGTATGGATTTTAGAGGCTTTCTTCACAGCTTCCGTCACGTAGTCCTGCACTGTGCGTCGGTTAAAGTGGATCGTCACAGGGTGCTGCCGCGCGCCAATATGCACCACGGGTGGTGGCGTTGTAAACAGCGTAGTGTTTTTCGTAAAGTCACCCACTCGCATTGTTGCACTCATGATGACAAGGCGTAAAGGTCGGGGAGCGGCCATGCCAGCAGGGCCGTTAACCCAGCGCTGCTCTCGCATGCGAACAACACGACTGAGCATGCCGATCAATACATCGGTGTTTACGCTGCGTTCATGCGCCTCATCCACAATAATGACACTGTATTTGGACAGGGAAAGATCTTGAGCAAGTTCACGTAGGAGCACACCGTCGGTCATGAATTTAATCTGGGTTTGGGGACTCGTGGTGGCGTCATAACGGATCTGATAAGAGACCCGGTGGTCATCCAACACCAGCTCTTCAGCTACTCGCCGAGCCATACTCACCGCAGCAACTCGACGTGGTTGTGTGATGCCAATCATGCCAGGGTTCGCTGAGTAAGTCAGAGACAACGTACCACTTCCTACCGTAGCGAAGGCCGCTTCGTATAAAAACTGTGGGACTTGCGTAGTCTTACCACTGCCTGTCTCACCACAGATGACAGTCACAGGGTTCTCTTGAATGGTGCGGAGAATATAGTCTTCCTCTGCTACCACGGGAAGACTCATGCGAGCGTCTTGTAACGCCTGGGGTCGTGATACAGATACGTGACGCACAGGTGCATCGTTTCGCATCTGTCGAAAGATCGACTCGTCGTTATAATAGCGTTCTGTGAAGAGAGATCGAATCGAAGAGGCTTCCTGACCAAGGGGACCTCGGATTTTTCCGTCCTGAGGGCCGATATCGCGCACACGATCAACGCGGCCACCGACAGGCAACGGGGGGTGTTCCTCGGAGCTATCTTGCGGTGGACGAGCCAGCTTCAATGCGCCAAGTGCCCATTCTTTAAATCCGAGGCTCCGTTCCGATTCACCGATGCCTTGACGCTTTGACTTGGGCTTATTGTCCGTATCGAAGCCAAGAAAGAAAGATCCATCATCGTTGTCGGTATTTCCATCGCCCTCCTCGTCATCTTCATTCTCTTCATCATCTTCATCCTCTTCATCATCTTCACCCTCTTCGTCCTCTTCAACCTCTTCGTCCTCTTCACCCTCTTCCTCACTCTCGACGACTTCCTCTTCATGCCCGTCGTCGATGAGTTCATTAGGAATGGATTCGGCTTCAGGAGGGAGAAGACCACGACGTTTCATGGCCTCGAGTAACACCGCTTCTTCATCCGCATCAGTGTCAGCCTCTTCACTTTCCAATTCATCCGTAGCCACAGAGTCACTGTCTGCTTCCTGACTTTGGCGCTTCATTTTAAGCATTTTGTCCACATCGTACACATTTGCATCCGACTCTTGATCGTCTTCAGACGAATCAAAACTGGTGTCCGTATCATGCGACTCTTGGGAAATCTCGTTTTTTCCACGAAGAACACGCTCCTTAATAGATAGGTTGCTTCTGTCATGAATGCGACCCTTGCGCTCGCGTTTCCGTATAACTGGCATGGCTGGTTGACCATCAGCGCCTTTTTTGAGAGCAGAGCCGACCTTGTCAGGTGGGGAAGGCATAGGCTTGGCCAGCGCAGAGCCTATACTGGACGATGCCTCAAATCTCTTTACAGCATCTAAAATCCGTTGTTGACGCTCGGCATTGTCAGCCGTGATATGTTCGCGATCCAAGTCAGACTCAGCATCGGAAGTAGACTCGGCATCCAAGTCTTGATCTTTGTCATCCTCCTGAACCTGAAAAGCAGCTGCGCGTTTCCGTTTCGAGCCGGCTTCCTGCTCTTCCAAAATTTTCTGCACACGTTCAGATTCTTTGGATACCCTGCCGGTACCGAGAGTAGCGGCGCTAACAAGTTCTGTGCGATCTCCGATGTCAGCGGACGACTTGGCCAGTCTCTCAAGAATGCGCGCCTTCTCCTCTTTTCGCAGCTTGTTCTCAATAAACTTATCAAGTCTTCTCCGCTTTTTTGAAGAAATTTTCATAGTTTCGTCATTACCACCCTCACGAAGCAGTTGTCGACGCTGACGATCCTGCTCTGCGAGAGCAGCACGGGTCTCTTCATCCATAATTGGTGCATTTGCATCGGCATCGACGCTAGGCCGAATACGAACAGCTTTTTTTCCTTTATGAGAAGAGCCGCCCGCTGTCGACTGTCGCGCTTTGGCGTTGAAGCGCTCTCGGCGCTTGGGCCCCCCCATGGCGTACGATCAAAAAAAATTGGGCGGTGGAGGCGTCACAGAGATGGCCGCTGACTAAGGGTAACGTACAGTCGTAGTCTATTTAGACAGGGGGTACAAACTCGTTGATACGATCTGGAGTCAGTCCGTCACCACGTACCCCGAGCGTTTTGTGCAATACATTCAGCAATCCAGCAAATGGAGCGAATTTCCTGCTCCTTGAGTTTCAACCAAGAGTAAAAGATGCCATATTGGAATTGGGTCATGGTGAGAAGGCGGTTCACTGCGTAAGTTGTAGCCACGTACATTCGACCTCATATTCGAACATTTTGTCCTCGAGCATTTCAACGCTAGCATCTCCGTCAGCGATCGAAGTAGCGCCATTGTCGTCAAAGAGACGCTTATATTCGGGTACAGACTCCACAATTGCCCGGACTTGATCTAGCTCGTCGGCCTTGGCTAGAGCCGTATTGCCAGCGGGGAATAGCTTCCCCATGCTGGGAAAGAGGCGCGCACGTTCTGCTTTACTTAGTAGCGTGCCAAATGAATTGATAGTGATGTTGATAGTGCGACGGTCAGCCTCGTAGGCCAGCAGCTCACCCATACTCTCAGCGGTGCTACCGCCAATCGACTGGCAGAACGCGTGGAAGTCTTCAAGGTAGGCCTTGTACAGCTTGTTGCGGATGATTTCAATGTTGAGATCGTCGAGATCGGAAGCTGAGAAACAGTCGCGGAAGTACGGCGAGAGTGGCGTCTCCACTAGCACCGTGCGGTACAGCTCTTCAACATTGGTAGCCACACACAGGGCAGGTAGTGTGTCAAACCATCCAAGCGGATGACAGCGGTCTAGGAGCTCGTGTGTGTCACGCCCATGAAGTGTTCCGGTGATCAGCAAGATCACATTGTCAATCATATACGAGTATGTGAGGTAGTCGAGGAACTTGTTCAGCGGTGCAGTCGCATTCGAACGCAGGAACTCAAACTCATTCACAAGCTTCCGCGTAGCTCGCTGTGAAATAGCCGATACCGCAAGAGGAGACGGTTCGTTGGCAAGAAAGTTGCCGTAATCAGTGGCAGAAAGTTGCATGCGCAGATCTTCCAGTGTCTCGCACTGTGTAAGCGCCTGGAAGTTGGTAGCCGTCAGCATCGAGTTCATATATCCTCGGACAATGCCTTCCACAAAGCCACCATTGATATTGAAGGTGAGTGCCTCCATGGTGACCCCAGCACGACCGTCACGTATGTCCGTAAGGTGGGCGTGCACGACGACCTCCCGCCCGTGGGCACGTGGGTTCGGCCGAAGAGCACCTCCACGCCAGGCACCGACCTTCGCACCTTGGACGCGGTGTACGTGATGGTGTTTATTGTCAAGCTGCCGGCGCGCAAAGCAGCGTCACAGGCACAGGATGCCGGCACGGAGTCTAATTCTACGGATGATAATAATATAATGGAGTATTCAACTGCTACGCCGATGGCCTTGCCCGTCGCAACGCCGCTTATGACCGACGCGTCTCCTTCTCATACGGACGCGAATGTCCACGAAGAGCCTTCATCAGCCAAGAAGGACCCCAGTCCGGCAGATGCAAATAAATCTGTATTGGATGTTCTTCTTGCTCCGTCTGTATTAAAACATCGCTATGTGCGCGGGGTGGACAAATCAAACATCGTCGAACGTCCAGAGCGCATCCGTGCTGTTCTGTTGGGTTTGGCCGGTGCGCACGGCATCAGCGAAAAAATATCGGGCGGATCTATGCGCCACGATAACAGCGACCTTGTTTCCATGTTATCGTCAATGACCATGGATGAAAGTGAGAGTGCTGTGCGTGTGATGAAAGCAACCCGCACGCTGAGCCTTGACGCGCCAGAGGCGGCCCTTGTGGATGTCCATGGTTACGCCGGTGAGCCTGCTGTTTATTCCCTTAGTACTGAATATGCGCAGGGCGACGAGAGCGAGGCAGGACCATCCTCGCATCTTGCGCGTGCCTCGTCGTTGGCGGCCAAAGCACCGCACGAGGCGCCAGGCACACTTCCTCGCAAGATACCTAGTGCGTCTTTGGACCTCTCGGACGCCACGTCCAGCGATGGTGAAGGCGATGATCGAGTGCACCTTTGCGAGATACCCGAAAACTTGCCGCAGGGTGACTTGTACCTGTGTGGCCCACACACGGCTGGCGCCCAGGATACCAGTGATGGCGGCTCTCGTGAAGCGATTTGTCATGCTCTGGGTGCCTGTGTAGAAGCTGTGGACCGTGTGGTGGCTGGGGCGAAGGCCGCTTGCCCCGTGCATTGGTCCGAGCAGGTGCAACCGTCGCCTGTTAGTCTGGATGACGTGCCTGTGACACGGCCCGTACCACACCAGCCGGCCAAACGAGCCTTTGTTTTATCACGCCCGCCAGGTCACCATTGTAGTGGGGCTGAGCCGTCCGGCTTCTGCTGGGTTAACAATGCTGTGGTCGCAGCGGCGCACGCCTACCGTGCTCATAAGATCGATCGAATTTTGGTGTTGGATATTGACTTGCACCATGGTAATGGCACACAAGCCCTGGTGTGGCGCATGAATGCCGATGCCGCAGAAGCTGACCAGCGACGGCAAGCCAAGCTCTCGTCTACATTGCGGCAGGCCAGCAAAGGTTCGACGCCTGCTACACGGAGTGCGGCCAAGGCGGCCGAGGCGGCTCGCACACCCTACCAGCAGCTGCTACACGAAGAGTCACTTGTGGGTCCTCGTGCACAGCGCTTGTTCTATGGGAGCCTGCATGACATTGAAAGTTACCCTTGTGAAAATGGCGATATGGACCTGATTCGCAACGCTAGTGTATGTCTCGCTGGTGCGCATGGTCAATGGATTTGGAATGGTACGTAACTTGGATCCTGTGCCTCTAGGATGTCGTCCGCTAGGACGACCTAGTAAAAGGTCTGAGGGAGCTTTCCGGCACCCCACGACGACTTGCAACAGATATCTGAGCAATCCAGCGCATTGAGCAGGACTAACCGAACAGTGCATCTTGACACCCACAAAGACGACGCGGAGTTTGAGCAACTCTATCGGAGCAAGTACTCAAAATTGTTCGAGCAGGCGCGCCGCTTTGTGCGTGACACTAAGGCGCTCCCTGAACGTACATTGGTGTTGATCTCTTGCGGCTTTGATGCGTGCACGTATGAATACCCCGGTATGCAGCGCCATGGAAAGCATGTGCCGCCCCAATTTTATGCAATGTTTGCGCGTGACGCCGTGGCACTAGCAAATGAATGCTCAGATGGCAAGATTATTAGTATGCTTGAAGGCGGATACTCAGACCGTGCCCTGATCAGCGGTGCGCTCGCGCACATTGGCGGATTGGCGGATATGCCGTGGGCTGCTAGTAGCTGGTCCCGAGCGCAAGCCCCATGGAGCCTTGAGAATGTGGCAATGCTTGAAAAGATGGCGAAGCGAGTCGTGCTGTCAACAGGAGACAAGTCGATTACAGCTAGTGTCGGCCGTCGGCGGCCTGCGCCGTCCGCTGCGTGGCTTGTGCGCGCCTCAAAACACTTCGCGTCTTACCAGCGTGCGTGTGGGATCGCAGCTCGCCCGCTCGAGTCGACTAGTCAGCCATCCACGCCCCGGAAGGCGGCATTGCGTGGCTTGGACCTCGATCTGGCAACACCCTCCCACAGCACGGCCGGTGGGCACCAGTTGCGAGATCGCAGCGTACGGCGGACACGCTCGCATGCGAGTCTGTGGACTGACGGGACCCCGTCTCGCACCCGCGCACGGCCGCGCGCACCGCTGGAGCCTACGCCAAGCCTGCCATGGACACCGCGGAAACAGGCAGATCCATCAATTCTCGTGCCAGGGGCTTTGCCTGTGGAGAGCGCTGGTCCTGCCACGCCAATGCAGCCAGGACCTTCGCAGGATGACACATCAAATACGCTCATGGATTTGCTGGGGCGCCTGCAATTACAGGAGCCTTCGAAATAAGTAGTTCCTATCTATTTTTTACGTGCGGATGATTTTTTCATTCGGCGCTTCTTTTCAGCCTTGGGCATCTTGGTCTTGCGACGCTCGCGGTTTTCGGCCTTTACTTGTTTTTTATGGGACTGCGTCAGTAAAATGACATACCTTGCGTTCCTCCTTCGCCTTGGCCTTGGCAGCCTCGGGTGTGAGTGAGTCAGAAGTGGGCTCGTCGCTGTCACCATCACTGTCTTCGCTGCCGCCGCCACTGGACTCGCCAGTGTCACTGCCCGTGTCTGACGCAGACTCCATACCCTCGACAGAGCTGGAGGGTGGTGCTGCCATTGCTGGGCTCGCGCTGTCTTCGTACACTTCATCAAGACCGGTGACGCCAGAGTAGATTAAACTGCTCACATTCCCTGAGCGTAGCAGCTGCGAATCACGCTCCGGGTCGTAAATTTCGTCCAATGTACGTGGTAAGTAGCTCTGACGGAACACGGCATCTTCTGCCTCATTGTTGCGAGCCTCGTCAAGCTGCTCGACGAGACGGCCCACGAGTGAAGGGGCTGCCTCTGTCGTTCCATCAGGTTCTGCCGCGTCGTCGACAGACAAGCGCGCAAGCTCGGTCATGAGAGATGCCTCCGTCTCATCCTGATCACCCGCCTGGTGGAATTCTAAGACCGCCTCGTTAATCTGTTCATCTGCATGTTCCAGCTTCTCGAGGCCTGCCACGCCACCACCGCGTGATCGCGCGGCCTCCTTCACAATAAACTGGAATGTTTTGCGCAGGCCGAGGGTGCGGACACCATACTTGGCAAAGTAAGCGTCGATATGAGCAATGTCCGCCCGCAAAAAATCAAAGGCATGAGGATGGTCATGCTCCACCGACTGAGACACATCAATGATCCACAGGTGACCCTCATGCAACAAGATATTGTATTCGCTCAAGTCCGCATGCACTAAACGGCAGCGATGATACATCAAGCGAACCGTTGCAAGCAATTCATGGTACAAACGCATCCAGTCATCAGCCGAAATCAGTGCCTCGGCATCCTTTAGGCGCGGACTGGCCCATCCATGACTATCACCCAAAAACTCCATCACTAGGACATGGTCGCGCAGTTCGATGGGGTCAGGTGCACGTAGTCCCGCGTGGACAAGACGCTTGAGATTGCGCATCTCCTTTTCCGCCCAAAGACGTACCATCTTGCGTGGGTTGTGACGTGCATAGCCATGGCGGAACCGAAACTCACCAGACACATACCGATCACGATCTTTGAATACCAGAATACTGGTCTTGTAGATTTTGATGGCGGCGCTGCGAGGCACCCCGCCTTCCTCCGCGGGAGGCATCGTTGCGTGGTATACATTCGCCTCTTTTCCCGTGCTGATGCACCCATTCACCTCGGTGATAAGTTCGCGGCGAATTAATTTGGATAGAAGGACCATGGTGCGCGGATCCAGCACCTGCTGCAACGTTGCACGGTCCGCTTTGTCCTTGCGCTTGTTCACCTCAAGTTTGTTGGTTTTCCGCGGCACACGAGCATCAATGCTGCCACCTGCTACACGTGAGGGATCATATACATCATCCACATGAATCCGCGCTGCATATTTCGAAAGAGCCGCCATCTGCGCGGCCGTCTTGCTTGCATGAGTCGCTGCATCCTCGGTCGGCGCCACCGCATCCATAGTGGCGGGAGTTTCGGATATCTCTGTAGTGGCAACACGTACTCGTGCATTGTTGATAGCTGGAAGTACTCCTCTTGATCCCCTGCCACGATTCTCTAACGCGGAAGCCATTTGTCGCGCTCGATTGTATTGCTTGGTGAAGTCTGTCTTAGTATGGCCAACGTACCACCACGGGCAAGTTCCCAGTCTGCATCATCAACAGCACCTACACGCATGATTTCCTCTTCGTCAAACTCGCTATCTGAAGCAGAGAGTACAGGACTTGAGAGCATGCCATCGCTGTCGTCTGCGCGGCTCGCCGAGGCAGCCCTTTCATCTGTCATGGTAGTGGAGGTGGACTCAAATTTTTGGGCCACATTTTGACCATTTACAGAAGACCCTCAAGAGTTATCTACTGGGACGGTTGGCGGGGCCCTCGTGGACCCCGAACCTGGCTTGTGCGAGGTCGGCGTTGCAGTGATGGCGATGAAAGGTCTGGTGACGCACCCGCTTTTGCCTCGTCACCATCCGACATAGGAGACGCTACTTTTGTTTCCATCGCTGCCTCAAACATCTTGCGGCGTTCACTGATGCTGTTGCGCTTCGCATGAACAATACCAGGCGATGGCCGGATTGCTGGGGCTGCAGTCGCCACCGCAAGGCGCGGATCGGCCTGAGACGAGTCCTCCGCCGGAGATAATGAATTTGCCTTTTCGGACTGCTTAGACTCCGCATCCTGCGGCGCATCTTCCGTACTTGCAGTTGCATGATCATTCTTAGTCGGCCGCTTGACCTCGGGTGTAGACTCAAGCGCTTTGAGCGGCGATCCTCCGTCTGAAAGTGGACGGGCTGTAGTTTCCATCTGTTTTGTTGGCGTCGTGTCTTGCGTCGCTGACGCAGTCATTGTCAGCGGCCGTATATGTGACGATCCACGCCCCGCTGGTGTGGATGCATACCGCGTCCCAATTTGCGTTACGCGGCGTTGGAGCGCCTCGGCTGGCAGGCCCAGGCCATTAAGGGAGCTGCGCTTAATGCGCTCATCCACTAGCATGGATCGATGGCGGATCAGGCCCGTCTTAAAGGGGCTCAGTGACTTCATATCTGATTCTTTGGCCTTAGCGCGCACCAAAGGCGGGAGAAGCTGCTCGTAGTGGGTCACGAGATCCTTTAACAAGACAGTAGGATATTCCGCATAGAGAGCGGAGGGAAGGGATCCACTCGGCCGCAGGATACAGCGGCCAAGCGATAGGCCCAGCTTGGTTGCATACACACTGTCAGATTCACTTGTGGGCGTGTCCTTCATCAGCTTGTACAAATGTGCCACAAACGCGTCCAGACATGCTAAGTGCAACTTTGGAAGGCGCTCCAGCACTAGCGCGAGGCCATGGAGGATGGGCTCAGTTAGCTCCTTGGCTGTACGCTCGCTTGTCCATTCGTCCACCGCCAGGCTACGCAGCCGCGCAGCCTCATAGATTTCAGCCACTTCATCCCACAACGTATAGGGAAGCAAAGGCGAATCCAGTTCCAGGAGCCAAAGTTTCACAGTGGCTGCTAGGACCTGTGCATCCACAGCATCCAGCAACTGGTCAGGTGCCGCCAGATCGGCGGCATCGGTACCAGCACATGCATTATAATGTTCCATCAGCTGATACCGCAGTTGGTGGACCGTAGGTAGCGGCACATCATAAAGCCAGATCCGGCGTTTTTCGCCACAAATCTCGTCCTCGGTCGCCTTACCACTGGGTGGCAGCCACCGCGAGCGCTCCGCGTACGAACGCTGCAGCGCTGTGAGCAACACGTGCAGTACAGGAGGCAAGGTGGGCATAGCCGACGAGACCACAGCTTGACTGCTACCGGGGTGTGACGCCTGCGCAGTCAGCGCCGCACCTTTGGCCGCACTGAGCAGGTCCATACCAAAGCCGGCTGCACTCACGCCAGATACCGTCTTGCCATCATCGTGGTAATACGGTTTGAACACCGTCGGCACAGGGCGGAAAGGTCCTGTTCGATGTGCTGTGATGAGCTGCTCGATATGCGCCCTAGGTGCCAGAGGGGGCAGTGGTGTCAGTGTCTGCGTGTCAATGACAAATCCAAGGGCATGTTGGAAGGCTCCCAGCACGCGCTGAACGGCTGTAACACGATCCATTTCCCACTTTTGAACGAGGCGGTACTCGTGAAAGAGAATCTCTTCGGCATTGGTACGCAAAGAGTCTAGCAGCTTGACACTCTCTCGGTAGGCAATTTCGGCTAGCTCTGCCTCTTTTCGTAACCGCACATGCCGTGGCTCGGCGAGGCCCGTCACGGCCGCCTTGACCTGCGCTAGCGCTTGCGAGTCATTCACCTTGCCCATAGTGAGATTCCAGTAAGATGACAGACGCGACTCCTGGCGCCGATGAGTGGCCGACTCGCCGTCCTCTTTGTTGCGAACAACAGGTTCCGCGTCCTGGCGAGGCTTGAAGCCAAACTGCTGCCGCAGCGTTTCGCGGCGCTTGAGTTTCAGTGCCTCATCTGTTCGCTTCTCTGTCTCTTGCGTCTTGTCCGTGATCTCTGTACCCTCCTGATCTGAGGACGGCGCTGAAAGCAAAGGCATTGACACGGCGCGCGACTGCTCTGATGGGTTCGACGCATCTCTTACGTAGTTGCCCTGTACATCTGATGTAGGGGCAAATCGCACATCGTCCTCTGCTTCATCCGCTTGTCGACTGCGCGCCTCATATACGCTGCGCCGCTTGGCAGTCTCTGTAGTTTGGCGCTCCATGGCAAGTAAGGCACTATCGATTTTGTGCCAACTTGCATGCACGCGTTCAGCATGAGCGTATGCCCATTTTCCAAACGGATTGAGTATGTGCGATTGGAGAAGCCGAGCTAGCCGCATGTGGTGCTCGGCCTCTTTCTGACGCATGTCGTGTGTTAGCTGTCGAATTGCGTTGGACGAAAGCGTGTCATTTGCGCGATAGCCAGGACGACTCTGATCCACCGCCGACGGAAACAGTACTTCAGACACACACGGTGTCGTGGGAGGATGAGAAAGAGCATGGATATAAGCTGCTTCCGCACCGGCCCGGTGTTGCACTAAAGCCAAAAGCGATTCATTTTCGTCTAAGCCTTCTTGCAGACGAGAGTAGAGCACGACTGCCCCCTTCCTGTACTCAGGATACGTCCAGAAAGATGACGAAAAGGTCGGCGGGTAAGTTACATCAAGATGAGCCGGTGATGTCATAGCCCATCCGTCGCCGCAGGCGGCTACAGACCCACACCCTAGACAGCTGGACGGCGATCTCGCCTGCGGCGCCACGTGGCACGTACCTAAGGTCTCGTCGCTTCCCTCCACGCGACCGACCAGCATGGCCAGCACCACGCCGAACACGTCGCTGTACGTAAAAAACATCAATTCGAAGGTCAAGAAGCCAGGTACGTGTACTTTTCTTACAAGAAAGAGCTGCGCCGGCAATTGTACTGCCTCTTTGGTAGCTACGGCAAGGTGATTGACGTCGTAGCGACGCGTGCCGATGGCATGCGTGGCCAGGCCTTTGTGGTATTCCGCGACCTGCAAAGTGCTACGTCTGCCTTGCGTGCGCTGGACGGCTTTGAGTTTTATGAAAAGCCGCTCGTTCTTGAATATGCGCGGACGCGCTCCAAGGCCACGATCGTGGCAGAGCACGGCGAGGAAGCGTTGCTGCGTCCTGACTTGCTCTTTAAGCGCGCCGATGGCACTTCTATGCGTGGACGCATCACGTACTCGAATGCACAAGGGTCGCAGGACAAGAAGCGTCCGCACGAAGATGCGCCTGTGGTGTCGAACGTGGTGCCCCCTGCTTCCGGGCCCGATTCGGACGGACGGCCGCCAAAGACGGCTCGCACCGAGCCTGAGCCTGAGGAAACTGATGACGACGGTATGTCGTGCAGCACTGACGATAGCTATGGAAATCGGCGACTCGGACAATGAGTAGATACATATACCCCTTGCAACACTAGACACAGTGACATAGCCGATAACTGTTCACATCACATACGGCCAAACTACCATGACGTTGGAAGGCTACCTAGTGTTGTAGCGAAACGCATTGTAGGCTATGCTATTTTTTTCTGCCAGGTATTCAACTAGGAAACCCGATGAGATATGGCCCAGCCAAGACACTAGTACACAGGGCAAAGAGGCCAACAGGAGTAGACGGGTCAGTCGGACCTTTACTCGTCGTCGTCCTCCTCGTCCTCATCCTCGTCTTCATCCTCATCCTCGTCGTCGTCCTCATCCTCGCGCTGGGCCTCGAGCACGGCCACAGCAATGCGGTCAAGGTCACGCATGCCATCCTGGGTGATGGAGCGACCGCCCTTCTCGCTGATCTCGAGCACACCGATCTGCTCCAGGCTCTGGAGGACCTTACGCTGGACGGCACCTGAGGCGGGGCTGTGGTGCGAAGGACGGAAACCGCGGTTCTTAGGGCCACCGTGAAGCTTGCAGAGCTTGCCCACACCGACCGACTTACGCAGGTAAACGTGGCGAGCGAGGGCCGCGGCACGGATGTAGTACCAGTCAGGGTCATAGGGGGCCTGCTCCTTGTAGGCACCCGTCTTCACAATATCGACCCACGTCGGCATCTCGAGCTTGCCTGTTCTGTTAGTCTCTGTTCAGCGCCGACGCGAGCCTGCGAGGCAGTACGTACCCGACCGCTTCAAGTGCTGGGCATAAGCGTTGATGAACTGAGCGGCGTCAACGTCGCGAACGCTGCGAGCATGTTAGTACCCTGTTCCGCAGCAATGGCGCGCTTGCACCCACGTACTTCGGCATGTTGGCTCTATGAGAAGATGAGAGCGTTGCGCACGTTGGTCCTCGAAAACGAGTTGCTTCGGCCGAGATGGGTGCCTACGTGCGAAAATCAAAACTATACTCGCGGCATGTGACTGCTATGCTTACATAATATGGGGATTGGTCCTGTGGAGTCAGTGGGGCGCACGTACCAGCTGAAGTCGCGGAACTCCGCTTGGTCTTGAGGCGAGAAGACGCTGTGCACGGGCGTGAGCATAGGTTTTTCGTTCGTAAACTGGTATTAGAGTTTTTTTTAGCGCACCTCTGTATCAAACCAGGTAGTATCACTGGCATTTTTAAGCGTTGGTAGGAATGGTGGTGGAACCCGCTTGCGCAGCAGGTCGTCCCAGTTGATATCGCGGAAGAAGGGATGGGCCTTGACTTCCTCCGCGTCGTTCGGACCTGCGCCCAGCCGGCGTGTAGGATCACGCGTAAGCAGACGCTGCAGCAGCGATACCGAGTCGCGAGGCATCTGGATCGGGTACAACGGTTCGTCCTCTAAAATTGCATCAAAGATCTCGTCCTCGTCGTCTCCGCGGAAGGGCGCCTGGCCCAGAAGCATCTCATATAACAAAATACCGAATGCCCACCAGTCGACGGCCCGGCCGTAGCGCTGCTCGAGAAGGATTTCAGGCGCCATAAACTCGGGCGTGCCACAGAAGGTCGAAGTGGTGTTTCCGTACCACATGCCCTCCTTGCACAAGCCGTAGTCGGCAATCTTGATATGACCGTCCAGGGTGAGCATAATGTTGTCGAGCTTCAGGTCACGGTAAATAATGCCATGCTTGTGGAAGTACTCCAGTGCGAGCAGCACTTCGGCCGCATAGAACTTGGCACGGTGCAGGTTAAACTGCTCGCGCTGGATATGCAGCATAAGGTCACCACCACTCACATACTCCATAACAAAGTACACACGCGTTTCAGTCTGGAAGCACGAATGCAAGCTCAGGAGGAATGGATGCTGCTCGCGGGCGGCCGTGAGGAACACGCGCTTCTCTGAGCGCGTGCTGTCAATCTCATCGTTTTCAATAATGAATTCCTTCTTGAGTACCTTGATGGCAAAGAGTTGGCCAGTGTGCTTCTCTTCTGCCAGCATAACCTTACCAAAGTTGCCTTTGCCCAAAACCGCGAGGAAATTAAAGTCATCCAGGGCCACTTTGCGGTCTGACGAGGGCGGCAGCTCTTGTACAGCGCCCGTCCGCGCTTTTTGCGGTGAGGTCGATGCACTAGTCGGTGCCACAGGGGCCGGTCCAGGCGCGAGCCTACCGGCGCTAGCTGGCGAGAGTCCTGCGGCTTCAGGGACAGGCCGCTTGGCGCTGGGCGTCACTGGTGCAGGAACAGTGCTTGGCTGCGGCGACCTTGGCGCGGTAGGCGTGGTGGGGACGCTGCCTACGGGGCTCGACCCGGACGAGGCCCAAGCGGGTCGGGACGATACATTTAGACCCTGCATGCCACCGCTTAGTGCATCGACGCTCGGCCGGCCGGCCTCCATAGCCGGGGTGCGTGGCGCACCGGGCGGTGGCTGCTGCGGCTTGATTGACAAGCGATTCTTCTTGATAGTCGCGATGTTGCTCATCATCTGGTTCGCAGTCTCCATGGACATGCCGCAAAAGTCTGGCACAAGGTGCGCACAATCGGCATGGCACGTCACGTCGCACTCGCTGCACTTACGGTTGGAGCGCCGACCAAGCGAAAGCATTGAACCGCAGTGGCAGCACCAGTTTGCACCCAGGTTCGAGAACGGCTCAAAGCGGTGGGGAATGCGGTGCTTGAGGTTCACGTCATCGTTATCAGCGCCTGTGCCACTGCGACTGACGCAGCGAATGACAACCTTTTGCGCGCACTTGCGGTGGCAAGTGTATAGACAATCTTCGCACTGTGCTCCCGAGGCATTCAGCAGTAGTTCGCCACAGAAAGCACAGCGAATCATTTGGTAGAACTGACGCGCAACGAAACGGTGACCGTTGACCTCGGACACCTCTTTCGGGCGCATACGCACGGCGCCCTGGCGTCCCAGTCCCTGCTCGACCGGGCGCTTAGGGCCGTTCTGCTTGACATAGTTCAGGCGCAAGTACAGCGCTCCGGTTGGCTCGACAGTAAACCAACCTTCTACGCCCTGGTCCGCCGCTGCGTTGGTACCAGGGGCGGCCGTATCCGGCATGTTGGGTGCCTCCATGGCAGGCGAGGGGCCTGCGCCGTCGGCACCGACCTGGCCGAACTTGATCTTGCGCAGGTGGTCCGCAATATCGCTCACGCGCAACCACACGAGGCCGACGGGCACAGGCGCAGTGGTGCCGACGCGATCGAAGAGAATCAGCTCGACCTCGCTTGTGTCTTCCATCGGCAGCTCGAAGCGCTCGCCCCACGTATCGCTGCGCGAGGCGTGAGTATGCACGCGATCCTGCTCTTCAATCTTGACAGCGACGTACGACTCGCGGGCGAGGCGCTGGCCACTAGGCATGGGTGCATGGTCCACGTCGCGTGCCGCCTCGATGGCGATGCGCAGAGTGCCCGGTTGCGGCTTGCGGGGCCGGCGATTCACGTATGGATTCTCGATCTCCTGCCCATCCTGGATGTACAGGTGCTGGTATCGACTAAGCGCCTGTTGGATCAGCACCATCTTGCTCGCTGTCTCCATGCGCTGGTGCTTGGCGTCGTCCTGGATCCGGCGGTCACCCTCCGCTTGGTACAGCTGCGCAATTTTATCATAGCCCAGCTTGTACTGTCGCTCTAGCTGCAGCTTGTACTGCAGCTGGTCCAGCTTGCGCTGTACCTTGGCGTTTGTCAGCGGCGTGTCGTAGCGCAGCAGATCGAGCGCGGTGTAAACCCTCCGTGCGGTGTCTTGTACACCATTCAGCTCCTGGTTGCGATACGCGGCGCTGCTGTCGATGGGGAACGACGGTGCGGCGTGAGCAGCACGTATCGGACTCGGCTGTGCGGCGACAAGCGACGCCTCCGAGATCGACCCGGTGCTCTTCCGGGAGACGGGGACAGAAATACCATCTGGCCCAGCTGACACTGTCTCGGACAGCGAGCCACGCCGCTGCAGCTGCGCGAGGCTCTCCTCCAGGAACGAAATCGTATGCTGCGCACTGCGGATATTAGATTCAGCCTGCCGGATCACGTCCTGATTCGGCGTTGCATGGCATAGGGACTGGAATCCCTCAATAATCCGGCGCTGCTTGGCAATACGCGACTCAAGGTCGGCGATCTTGCCCATGTTGGCGTCTTGCATTATGACGTCCCACGCTACACGCGACTTGGCCGCGGTGCTGCGTCGGATCGGTGCTTGGAGGGCTCCGCCCGGCCGCACGGTCACTCGGCCGAGATCTCCAGACCTGCATGGAGGCCCCTGCGTTCTGAGCGAGCAGCCGTCGATGTCGTATGCGACGACACGCGTGTGTGAGCGTGGATACCGGCCTCTACCGCGTGCAGGCAGATGTAGGTTTCCGCACAAATGGACCACGCGCGCGTGCTGCATCTCAGCGGCTGGGCCGCCGCGTGCGTCTCACGTACGCGTGTAGCGTGGCACTCGACCTGGGGCGCGTGCCGCTCAGCGGCACGCAGATCCACACGGGTGGCCTTGGGCGCGCCATTGAGCGCTTCTTTGCGCAGGTACGCTGCATCGCTAAGGCAGCATGCGGACGTACTAAATGTTCGCTCGTGCCAGTGCGTCCACATTGATGCGCACACGACACAATGTACGCGCTTGTGCTTACGCAGGGGATCTCGTCCTTGGCAGCGTGCCGCACCGACTTTCGTGCCCCATCTACATGTCCTGGGGCCTTGTGTGGTCATCGCGTGGCGCCCCCGTCGCAGCGCAGCTGCGAGCACCACACCTGCCTCACCGCCTCGAGCAGGTCCATTCCCAGCTCTTGCGCCGCATCCTAAACGATCTCATTGTACCCACAGCAGATCAGATGCACGGTGCGTACGGCGAACATTTGCGAACCGTCACTCCATGGCTCGAGCATATGAGCGCGAGTCTCGATACCATGTGGCGCCATGGGGTTCATGCGCCATGGGACACGACGAGCGGGACACTTTCCGCCCTTGTCCGCGCAGATGACGCCGTACACCCACCTAGCAGCTTCCCGCTTGTGTGGCCCCACACCGAGCGCAGTCCGAGCCTCATGTCGGACGATCTGCCCGTGCTTTCATCAGATGCCACTTGTATTCTATCTCCACATCGTAGCGCTCGCGAGCGCAGCTCGCCACACGATCCTAACTCCGATGGCGTAGGGGAGTCGCCATGCGCGTCGCCGCGCTAAGGCTTTTTGGGAAGGATAGGAGGTCGTGCGGAGCGAAGCCACGTGGGCTGCGCACGGCCCACAGTTGGGGGCGTCTCGGCCTCGGACGCGGTACGCGGACGCACTTTAGGCACAGTCGGCCGCTTGAGCAGCGAAGCGGACGGCACGACCTTTGGCGGCGCCTTGGGTGTGGGCGTCTGCTTGCATAGCGATGCAGACGGCGCGACCTTTGGTGGTGCCTTAAGTGCAGGCGTCTGCTTGCGTAGCGACTCGGACGGCGCGACCTTCGGCGACACGGTGGTCTCTACTCGAGGTCGTTTCGGCGCAGGCTGCATGGTTTGCTTGGGTGCAGGCGCCGCAGAGCTCTGCGGGGGGGCAGGCGCTGGATCCTGCGGAACAGGCTCAGGGCCAAGCACCGCCTTGGGACGCGCCATCTTGGCCGGGTTCGTAAACGTATGCGGCGTGACCTCTATGCAGCACTGGAGTGTGCGCGCCTCGGTGATCAGGCGGCGCCACACTGGATCATGACACAGGTGCGACGCATGGCCCAGCACAATCAAATTGCTTCGTGCACGTGTTAGGGCGACGTTCAAGCGGCGTTGATCACCCAGGAAACCCATCGTGCCGTCACTGTTGCTGCGCACGCAGCTGAGAAAGATGATATCCTTTTCTTGCCCCTGGAATCCGTCCACACTGCGAAAGTCGGCATGGTCCGCGCTCGCCCGCCCATAGCGCTGCACAAACAGCGAGCGCAGCAACTCAACCTGCGCCTTGTACATGCTGATGAACGCCACGCGGCCTGCCAGGCTCTGTCCGGCCACCTGCTGCAGCGCCTCGTACGCCTGCATCGCTGCGCGCGCCTCGGCCGTGTTCTGCAGCGAGTGGCCGCGGCCCATCGACTCGGTGCCCCGCACATCCAGGAACCGGAACGGGCCAAACAGCGGCGCAGCATGCCACGGCTGCGCTGTCGCCTCGGCCATACCCGGCCCATCCCGCAGGTGCCGCCCGTAGAAGGCCGCCGAGGGAAACTGGCTGATGCTTGGATGCATGCGGTACTGGATCGACAGCAGATGCACACGGTCCGACGCCGCCTCATACAGCCGCACAAACAACGACTGTGCATAGCCGCGGCGTTCCGCCTCGGTACTGATCACCGTCGGTGGCAGCTGCTTGGGGTCACCCACGAGAATGCACCGACGACATTCATAGCGCAGTGGAATGAGCGCACTCAGTTCGACAGCCTGCGCCGCCTCGTCAATGACGACCGTATCAAATGTGTACGCATACAGCGACTCGTGTCCTGCACTGGCCAGCGTTGCACATACAACCTCAGCGTCGTCCAGGACTTGCTTGCGCGTCAGCGAGAGCCCTGCATCTGTGCGCTGTAGTGACCGGCGCTGCCGGCTCTCAAGTGACTGCAGCTCCTCGCGCAGCTCAAGGAGGCGATCAGACAGTTCGTTCAGCTCACGCTGTCGCTCTCGCGCTTGTGCGCCAGTGATGCCTGCCGCAAGCTGCTGGCGCGCAGCTTGTACTTGCGCCTCGACACGCCGCTGCTCTGCTTGCACGTCACCGATCGGCCGCCCGGTCTCGGTGCCACGCGCGAGGGCATCCAGTGTCACGTCCTGCACACTCGGATGCACGGCGTCCTCCCGGCCCAACCGCACGAGGCGCGGCACGATCCGCTCGCCATCCACGTCGACGCCATCCTTGAGGCGAGCAACAAGCTCATCAATTGCAGCATTGCTCGGTGCACATAGTAAGATCTTGGCATCGGGCGTGCGCTTTGCACTACGCGCCGGCCGCTGCCGTACCAGGTGAGACGCTACAAGCGCACGGATTGTCTTCGTCTTACCGGTACCGGGTGGTCCCTGGATCAGCGAGAAGCCATTGGTGCGCATCGCCGCAACGACTGCTTGCGCCTGCGGCGCATTCAGCGCGTATGTGTGCGCAGCCCGTGCACGATCCGCATCGGACACCTCGGGCCGTGGCGCGACGCGCGCCTGAAGCAGGTCTTGCGCCAAAAGCAGGTCCGGCACGCTGCCGAGTGCCGCATATTCACGCCGCAGCGTCGTAAGCGTAAGTAGCTTACGGAGACGCCAACCACGCTCTGACACGTACGGCAGCGCGGACTGCACCTTGGCGTGGGCGCACCGCAGCTCCAGGTCAAGCACACGAGCGTCCGTGGCGCTGGCCCTGGCGCGGCACACGACTGCGACGGCCTCAAATGCGCGCTCAGGCAGCTCCAAGCATACGACGTCCGTGTCGCTCAGCCCAAAGCCGGTCGGCACGGTGCCCGTGGTGATCAGCTCCAACTGCACAAAGCTGTCAACGCGGCGCTGGCGCACGTAATGCACATCCACACTCGGCACTTCTTTGCGCTGCTCACAGCTCTGTTGGAACTGCGCCCAGGCCTCGAGCGAGAGCAGCGTACCAAAGCGCTCCATATATGCGTCTGCATTTGGCGCCCACGATGGAATGGAGGCAGGAAAAGGCAGGCCATCGAGACGACACGGAGGTGTTAGTGCCTGCGATCCCATGTCCCAGCGAGTAAGGCCCTCGTGTAATGGCGCCATCGAAGGAGGCGTGCGCAGGCGGCGTCGGCGCTGCTCGTCTTCGGCACGGCGCATCGTCTCTTGCAAGGCTGGATCAGTCATGGGCTGTACGCGGCGGCGCACGACGGGCGCCTTGGCCTTCGGCGGCGATGCGAGCGACGAGAGGCCACGCCGGCCGCCCTCATCCTCACTCTCGCTCTCGCTTGTCGTATCCGACTCGGGCGGTGGCGCAGGCCGCACTGGTGGCGGTCGGATGGCGCCTGTGACGCTACTCATTGCGAGCGGCGCGCGTGGCTCGTCTGGCTCAAATTCACGGCGCGGCGCATGGGGCCTGCGGGCGGCGGTACGAGTGAGCTGGAACTCGTTGCGTAGCTGCGCGAGTTTTCCGGTCGAGCTGCGCACGCGCGGCGCGCTGCGCGTGGCTGCTGCGGGCGTATGTGTCGCCTTCCGGAACGCTGACGGCGAAGGCGCCTCACGCGTGAGGTCAACCACGGGCGTGGGCGCAGGCGGGGCACGCGCAGGTCGCGCAGGGGCCCATGGAAGCGTCTGCTGTCGCAGAGGGGGTGACGGGCGCGGTGCGCTAGGGCCAGCCGGTGCCTCTGTCCGCAGGGCACGGCATTCTTCCAGGAGCAACTCCATTTGCGGTGTCGTTAGAAGGGTACGCCGCTCTTGTGCATCGGGGATCGCGAGCTGCTGCGTGAGAAAGTCGATGACCTGGGTCTGGAACGCGGGAGGCACACAGACGCCGTGCGCTTTGAGCACCTTGACGGTGCGACGCAAATAATCAAAAAGCTGCTGCAACAGCTCGCCATGATTCAGACGCAGCCACGCGACAGCCTCGTGCAACGGCGCCAAAAGCGCCGTTTGCACACCGTCTTCAAGCCCCTCGAGCTCCGTCGCACGACTGGCGAGGTCGGCACTCTGGACCATGTACGAGGCAAGCGCGGGGACATGGGCTAGATACGGCAGCATCGCCTGCCGATCGCCCGTGCGTGACCAACCAGGTACCTGCGCGAAGATTGTGGCAACGCATTGTGCAAGGCCCGTCCATAGTGCCAGCACACGAGGGCCATCAGCGAGTGTGCCCCATGGGATATAGGGTAGCAACACACCGACTGTCCTGTCGCACAGAACATGCAAAAGGTCGTCAATCAGGCGCACACCCGCCCGAGCGAGCGGCCAAGTCCACGATACGTGCTGTGTCGCCAGCAAAAAGAGCGCAATAAAGCGCTGCGTCCCATCCAGTGCTGCTGCGCGCTCTTCGAGCCACAGCGTATGTAGCATTTCAAAACGCGAATACGATGGATCAGAAAGCGTTTGCAGCAGACTCTCGATGCCTTGCATGAGCGCAGGCGCCGCACAAATACTCAGGAGCGGCGCTGCTTCTAGGCACACGGCTCGTAGGCGCGGCGCTATCGCTGCAAGGTGCGCCGTAGCCGGCGGAAGCGACTCGACTATCATGGCCATGGCCTGCCGGGTCCCAATCACTGCCTTCGTTATGCACGTTCGGAACGCCACGAATGCAGGCGCTGCCTCGTTCGCCAAAGCACGCGGTGTATGTGCCTCGACGACCGGGGCTGGGTACATGGGCGCGACGATTGTGAGCGCGCGCAAGAGATAAGCGGCCAGGTGCATCGGCGCAGTGCGTGCCTCGTCACTGCCAAGGAGAAGAGCGACATGCGTCCACAGCTGCGGCGACGTTGTCGGTGCGGACAACGTGCCATGCTCAGCGAGCGCCGCGCGGTAGAGTGACTCGTCCGCATCGGGCGCTTCATGGTCCATAAACCGCTTGCGCAGCTGCGCTACGCGTGTCGTCGTGTGGGAGAGTGCCACACACACATTCGCCGTCTTGACTGCATCGTGGGCCAACGCGAGTCCAATCAGGCGCACAAGCCGCGGATGACGTACGACAGCGCTCACGATGCGCGATGCATACACATGGAGCACGAATGATGCACTAGAATCACCCTGTGTGCACGCACGCGCACTGCGATGCTGGAGCGTGGCATCCCATGCCAAGGCGACACGCTGCTCGAGGAGCTGAGCGCCGAGTACGAGGTAGGACGTGCGCACATGCACGGGTATATGTGCACCCTGGCGCTTTTCAAGAAGGTCATGCATGAGAGTTTTTAGGCCTTCATCGTACGCGGCCGGCGAGTACGTGTGGAGTGCCTCGAGAAGGGCGCTCAACGCCTTGTAGAGAGTCGTCACTGGAACTTTATCAAGTAATGGGTGCGCGAGGAGATGCGACAGTACAGATAGTGGGGCATGACCAGTGCGCTGCCAGAATGTGGGGTCAGGGTGGGTACATAGCAGCGCGATCACTGCGTCCAGGACGTCCGGGAGAGGCGTAGAGGCGTCCTGAATAAGGCTCAGTACGACAGGTACAAGGACTGAACTAGTATCAGAGCCATTCGAGAGCAAAGAAATGCAGGCGTTCCAGGCATCACGATCGCTACTGTGCGTTCTCAAACGCATCGCAATGTGTGTGGCGTCGTGGGCGGCCGCCGACGGGGCACGAGTCACCGTGGCATCCGCGCTCATGGCGTCAGCCAGCGCAAGTGGCGGCAAATCCGCATACACATGCTGTTCGACAGCATCGAAATATGCCGCGGCGTGGCCCGCGCCGCTCACGCCGACGTGCGGCGCTGCGAGCCACACCATGACGCTGAACGCGATGCAGCGCCACGCTACGCGCCGCTGTCGCCTCCACCCTCCACTTGGCCGTTGCGTATGCCGCGATCACCGAGCGACACGGCCGCGCGTATCGCGCAGGGCGTTGAGCACAAGCAGGCCGGCAATGCTCTGTATAGTCAAAAAGACTATAAGGGCGCGTTGCGTGAATATTATTATGCAGTGCTTGTACGTCAGCCTACTAAGACAGCATTTGTCCGGCCTCGATTCAAGTGCGCTGTCCGGCGTTGCGCCACGTCCGGAGGTAGCATCGACCGACCTACGTGAAGGCCAGCGGCACTTGAGTCAAGTGCGCTCGAATGTGCGTATCTATACTAACACAGATGGCCGCATGCTTCCTTGCACTTGCGCGCTACGACCGTGCGGCTGAGGTGTGTGATCAGGCACTTGCCGGTGATGCGACCAATGCCAAAGCCATGTATGTCCTATATCTAATGCAGCTTCCGCAAGGCGCAAGCACTTCGCCTGCGCGGCGATGTATACGCGGCGCGCGACTGGCTCGCGCGCCCCGCACATGCCAAGTATCTCGACGATGCCGATTTTCTCGCTGAAAAGGCTCGAATTGATACGCAGATTCGCACACGCGAGCGTTCAAGTGCTACGCAGTGGCGCGGCTTCCTAACATAGTGTCAGATCCACGCCCCCTGCCGCTCACCTCCACCTGCCGCACGATTAGTCTCCCACCGATGCGGTGGCTAGCGCCATTTCATCCAAGCACGGCGGCGGTCGCAGGGGTCGCTGTGCATGCGTGGTGGCATGGGTATACGTATCTGTGCCTAGCACATCATGCAAGCCTATCGTTCTACACACTCGACGACGAGGCCCCAACGCCGACAGGCTGCGAAGCCGCGCCTGTGCGTGTGCGCCAGGTGCGTCTACATGCGCGTGTGCTGGCCATGGAGGCAGTACGTCGCGCGCGAGGGCCCGATGCACTTCTTGTGCTCACTGACCACCCGACGCCGCGCCTCGTACGCATTGAGCCACGCGGAACGTGGGACGTGCACACAGTGCAGGTTTGGGACCTGCACCTGGCAGGACGGACCGCCGCCGAATTGGGCCTTGGCCTCGCAGTAGAGCTGGAGGGCGCAGATGGTGCACCGGGTCGCTGGGTGCTCGCTCATGTGTATACAGGGCAAGTGCGCCTCTTGTCGCTCGATACGAAGCAGAACTGGGACGCACGGTACGTATCTATGACTAACATAGTCTCGATGATGTCGTCCTTATCGCAAGTGTCGTCCTGGCCCGTAAACCATCGACACCAGCCATGTTGGCTCTTCTCACAGTATCGACTGCTGCAGCATCGCAGGGACAGCCCGTGCTTACCTTCCACACTATCCATGCAGCGCGCCACGCTCTGCGCCCTGTGCCGTGGAGCGACGCTGAGCCTTCTTCCTCTGTGCCGATCCCGGACGCTGACGCCTTCGGAGCTCACTATCTCGTTGCGCTGCCTGCGGATGCAGGCGGTGGTGTCCTTCTGTTTTGTGAGCACAGTGTATTCTTTGTTCCGCCACCCACGATCGCTGCGCGCGGCGTCGGGACAAAGCCCGCTCCCAAACGCGCACGTCCGTCGCCGCCCGCCTTGCAGCATACAAGTCTCGCCCAGGGTGGACAGGTCGTTGCGGCCTGTGTGCTTCCCACTTCCATGTATCCCGTTCTCTATGCTATGGCGGACGGCAGCCTCTTTGTGATGCAAGGCCCATGGGCCCCTTCAGCGGGCGCTGCGCGCTTCGATGTACGGTGCCTGGCTCGTGGACTGTCTGTGCCTGCAGGTCCACATGCTCTGACGCCGCTAAGCGACCAGATTGTGGTTCTTGCGAGCGCTACGAGCGACTCGCACCTGGGACTCGTGGACCGTGGATGGCACTCCATTCATACGTGGCCACATGCAGGGCCCGTTCTGGATTTGGCTATTGCAGCACCCGCTGCAGGCCCTGCTGCGCCGCCGCGCCTACTGCGAGCTTGTGGTGCGCCTCCTGCTTACTGCCTTCAGCTACTCTCTCACGCGCTACCGACTATGCTTCACGCAGAAGGCGCAGCGCCCGAATGCATTGATCTCTATGCATGCCATACCCCGAGTCCCTCAGGGCTTCACACGACGGCGCTTGTGGCCGTGTACACACACGAGGCACATGTGTACGATGCATCACTGGTGCTCCGCAGCGCCGTGGCCGGCCGTGTCGTGTACGCGGCCGGCGTCGGTGGACATCCTCTGCTTGTGACGCGCACGCACATTGAGTGGCAGGACAAGACATGGGCGCCAGAGGCTGAGGTGGTGGCCGCTTACGCGGCTGGCGACCATGTCCTTATCGGCCTACATGGCGGGCGTGTGGTGCTGCTACGTGCGAGCGCCTCTACCGGGTTGACGGTCGTGAGCGAGCAGGTTCTTCGGGCCGAAGTGGCGTGCGTTTGGCTAGGCGACGATGTACTCGTCGGCCTCTGGGATGCGTCGGTGATTCGTCTGGCAGTGCCTACGCTCCATACTAAGCAAACATGGACACAGGTCGCTCCCAGTGTGCCATCGTGTGTGCTTCTTCATGCATGGGTGCCGGAATCTCCCCCCGGGCTCGTGCTAGGTACAGTCGATGGCCGTGTGCTCGTGCTGGATGGAGAAACAGTGGCCCATTCCCTGCAGCTGCGTGGGTCGCGTGTGCGTTGCGAACCATGCGCGCTTGATGTGCTTGGCCTGCGTGGTACGGGTCTCCTGCTTGGCACTCGCACCGATGCGGGCCTACTCTATGCAGTAGGCGGCCAGTGGCAGTACAGTCCATGGCCTGCGCACGGCGTTGATGCACTCGTGCGTGTGTACCTTCCCAGGAGCCCTGCGCTACACTGCGCAGTGCTAGCACATGCACGACTCACGTTGCACAGCGTCACGGGCGTGCAGCAGGACCATGTGACTACAGCGCCGCTCGGCGCCGAGGCACCCACGAGTGTGAGTCTTGCGTCGGAGCACGCTGTCGTCGCATTATGGGATGAGGATGCGACCCGTGGCCGTGTTGCCCTGTGCGACCGCAGGTCGCTCGAACATCGTGCCGAGATGGTGCTGCCCGTGCCGGAGCGACCAAGCTGCGTGCACGTCGCGCGCATCAATGAGACCGAACATGTATTCCTCGGCACGGGCTATGTGACGACCGCAGGCACTGCGCCCACATCGGGGCGCGTGATTGTCGGGCGTTTAGACGGCACGCACATCGAGATGCTAGGCGCGCTGGACGTGCCAGGTCATGTTCTAGGTGTGGCGTACGTGCCCCACTATATTGTCGCAGCTGTGGATGCACAAGTGCACACATACGCATGGGACGCAGACGCCCGGTGCTTGCATCCAGTCGCGCGCTGGGGCTGCGCGTTCATGGCGAGCTGCATCGCGGCACACGAGTCGACGATTGTGGTGGGTGACGCGATGCACTCGCTCACGGTGCTGCACATCGAGGCAGACGGTACGTTGCGCGAGCTGGCGCGCGACTTGGACCCGTACTGGACAACAGCGGTCGGTATCTACGATGTGGCCGGCCAAGAGTATGTCGGCGCGGACATTGCGATGAATATGTTTGTCGCGCAGCGCTTGGCACTGCCCGAGTCTGCGCCGCGCGAGGCTTGGTCCCACGTGATGCGACGCACGACGGCGTTTCACTATGGCGACATGGTCAATCGGCTCGTGCGTGCGAGCGAGGGCTGTGTGTATGTCGGCGCTGCGGCGGGGGGTGTGGGTATGTTGACTGACTTGGCGCCTCACGACGCGCAGGTGCTTGGCTACCTGCAAGAGGCACTCGCGAGCGAGACTTGCAGTGTGGACGGCGTACCGTGGGCGGTCTGGCGCACGCTGCGTACCGATACGCGCGAGGCACCACCGCTCGGCGTGATTGATGGCGAGTTTGTGCGTGGCTTCCTTACATGTGATGAGGCGCAGCGTGCTAGTATCCTGACGGCCGCGCAGCGTCTCGCGCACGACGCGGCCTGCCGCGAAGCGCTCCACGAGACGGCGCTCAGGTCGCTGCTGAGCCGCCTTCCGTAGCGACATACACAGCACCCACGTGCTGCAACACACAGGCGATGCCAGTCGCCCGATTGAGGACGCCAATATGACCTAGCACGTGGTATCCCGCCTCGAGGAGGTGTAGCTCGAGATCCGCGGCGCAACTCTGCCCTGGTGCGAGGCGGCCCAGTGACACACATGGTCGTTCTGGAAGCACAGTGTCCTGGCTTGCACTCTGGGTGTCAGGGTGCCACTGCACCTCGAGGTCCATTTCCTCCGTGCTCAGATGGAAGAGCGACACATGCAATAGTGCACGCCCCAGGCCTAAGGTCGGCGCATGCTGCGTTACGTTTACCTTTGCAAGTAGTGCACCATGCAGTGACGCCATAGCAGACGCCATTTCTCCGGGATCACAGCCTTTTGTGCTGACATCCGCTTGGTTCCATGCGATGGCACGGCGAGTGGGCGCACCGGGCGCCTCACTCGCACGGAGCAGGCCCGAGTTCGCTCGCCATGGCTTTGGCGGCGGCGGCGGCGCGTCATTGGGCGACGCAGAGACCATGCGAGCTGCCTGCATGAAGGGCGCCGCATCGATGGCGCCGGCCGCTCGGCGCAAGGCCTGCTTGGCGATCATCGTGCGCTGGAGGTCGTTTTGTGCGAGACCCGTGTAAACAGAGGCACAGTAGTCAGAGAGATATGTGCTTGGCGCTGCTTCCCCGCCGCGTGCCGGTGTGCCGCGCAAAACGACGCGCGCGTGGCGGCAGGGTAGCCAAGCAGCCATCGTGGCTGCTGTTTGACTCACATCCATGTGCGCACACTCAATGCGCACGGTGTACAGTAGATTGTGCTGACTGAGTGGTCCAATGTGCATAGGAAACACGTTCGACGCATAAAGCGGCTCCACGATCATCTTCACGTCGTCCGCATCGGCGAGCGGATCCATGCGCTGTCCGCCGTACGACGCGCTGCCAATTTGCAGCGTGACATCGTGCAGCACAAACGGCGTGTCGATCGACCCGTTCTCCAGCTCCACCCACACGATCATGGCGTATGTGCCGCGCGGTGTCGGGCAGAGACGGCGTTGCTGGTAAATGCGCACTGAAAGCATGATTTCAACCGTCACATCGAGGTGGGCTGCGCGGCACAGCGTCACAAGACCACTGAGTGCGAGCGTCGGTACATCCACCGTGTCGTCAGGAGCTGCAGGGGGCTCCGATGGAACAGGCAGAGAGGTCGAGCGATGCATTCCGCCTGGCGCAGGTTTGGGCGGCGTTGTCCATGAGCTGAGCGCAATATCAGCATCCGACGCGAGGGCGGCGGCTTCGAGTTCTTTGGCACGTCGCACACGCTGCGCAAGGTGCACGGCCTCGCTCCAGGGTGTCACGATATCAGACCCTAGCACACCAGGCATGAGCATCGACGTTGGAAGCAGCGTGAGCTGGTCCGCCAGATGCTTGTGTCGCTGCTCGGGCGTTTCGTCAGGGACCTTGACGGAGGCGGCCAGCTCGCTTAGCATATCTGCTTCGATCATGTACGGGTCGCCAGAAAGCGCGCAAGGATGTACTGAGTGCGCCGTGTAGTGGAACGGCGTCTGTGGCCGCGGCGCGTCCGCGTGCGCGACCAGTGTGCCAAGATCAAGGCGCAGGCGCAGGTCGGAATTGATGCGCACTGACGCGACTTTTCCCCGGGCTCTCCTCCACGGCATGACCAGATCACAGTACCAGTGCATGTGCCACGCCTTGGACGCCGTGTCGTAGACAATACCATTGAGCCCAGAGTCTTCGCCGAATGGTGTTATGCTTGAGGGTGTTTCTTCCTCACAACTTGGGAGTCGCACGCAAAAGTCAGTGTGCGGCTCCATGCCCTGCCATGCGTACACAGTCACCGGCGACGTAGGCTCTTCAAGGAACGCAGCTTGCACTCGAAGCTGCAAAGAAGTGGCTAGCGCAACGAGACGCGGAGGGAGACGCTGCAGAGACTCATTATCAAGCACGGTCACAGCCTCGGTTGCCTCCCGCGGCGGCGGAAGGCGGCTGGGGAGGGACGGCAGGCGCAAGTGCACCCGCACCCGCACCTGCTCGTCGTACGGAATGTGCGCCTGGGTCCCGGTGGGTGCACCTTCAGGCATCGCCATGCTTAGTTCAGACGCCGCAAAGATGGCGGATAGGTCCGCACACACTTCGCGCGCCTCATGAAAGGCCAGCGTTGGCGACAGCACGCGCCCCTGCATAGCGAGCCACCGTGGACGTGGCGCGTCAGGCCGTGCGACGACGACCACGTGCCTTGGCCGAGAAAAAGCTGGGCGTCTATTACACGACTACGATTCGACTCAAGCCTCAAAGGTGAGCGAGGCACCAATCTTGTGGGCGCTCGCATCAGTAGTGCCCGACGAGATCTTAAGGGTGTCGAGCGCGAGACCAAAGGTGGCCTTGATGCCAGGACGCAGGGCCTGGGCGTAGCCGAGGGCCAGGATACCGGAGTTGTTGATCTTGGCCTTGATGAACGCAGCGTTGTCAAGGTAGGTCTTGGTACCGACCTCGAGGTTCACGTTGCTGGCAGCCTTCGAGTCGTAGGTGGCGCGGGCGCTGGCCTCAATGTCGGCATTCACGCGGTGGTAGTACGAGGCGCTGTAGGTCGACAGGTTGCCGAGAGCGTGCAGCGTGACGGCGTACTCAGGAGCGTGGAAGCCAGCAGCCAGGTTGTAGCGGGCCAGCTTCTTGTCCTTGGCGCTGTAGGCGGCCTCGGCACCGAACAGGAAGCCGTCACGGCCGACCACGGCATCGGCGGTCAGCAGCGGGCCCTTGAAGGCATCCACAAAGTTGCGCACATGCACACCGGGCGCCTTGTAGGTGAGCGCCACCAGGGCGTTCTTCGCTTGCTTCTCAGGCACGAGCGTCGAGATCACCTCGAGCTTCAGGCCCTTGGCGACGTGGTTCTCCAGCTCAATGTGGTTGCGGAGCACATTGGCAGTCGACCAGGCCTGCGTGAAAGCCAGACCCTTCTTGCGGTCGGCCCAGCTCGCCTCCAGGTCGCCGCTGATGGTCGACGACTTGTTGTCGTGCAGACCCAGCACTTTGAAGGTCACACCCGAGGGCGTGCGCGTCTTCACCTCCAGGGTCGAGCCGTGGATCGGGTAGTCCTTACCAAGGATGTCGGACGCGGCCTTACCGAGGTCCTTCCAGCTGGGCGGCACGGGAATCGACATGGTGACGTGAGAATGGATGCAATGGTAGAAGAGCACTCCGGGGTGGGCTCGGGCCAGTGCGTTCCGTGCTGGCAACACCCGCCTTTCGGCCGGGACCGGCGGACCCACTCATGCACGTGCCCTAGTCGCGTGCGTAAGGGAGCAGGTGGCGACAGGCGCTGCTAGCGTGCCACTCCCGCTCGGCCGTGCTCCCGCTAGGCAAGTGTGCTGGTCGTCGACCGCGTGACGGTCGTCAAATTCGTGGCTCGCATGCTCCCGCACCAGCAGAACAAGATTGATACCTCAGTGCGTTTACACTACATTATCTCAGCTGCTAACACGCCGTCATAGTCTTTGAGTGAGGAAGAGCAAAAGCTGTTCCGCCTCTACGGCAAGCTGCCGAACCGCAAGGACTTGCTGGCCAACAAGCTCAAGGAACGCAAGTACTTCGACTCCGGTGACTATGCCCTGTCCAAAGCTGGCCGCGCACCGAAGCAGTCGGTTGGTACGGCCATCCCGAATCCCGAGATGGTGCCGCATGCGGCAGCCAGCCCAGGAGCTCACATGGGATCAACTGCGCAGCCGATCCCCGGCACTCTGTCCCCTGCTTCCCCAGGTGCGCATATGGGTCTCTCTCGCAGTCCCTCTGGCTCGCGTCGTTTGTCGACGAGCGGCGGATCATTTACCGACAGTGGCTCGCGCTCTTCCTTCCCTGTCGCTACGGGTGCCGTGAACAGCAGCCCTACACGCGAGCCGACCAGCTCTCTCAGCCGCGAGTAGGCGATTCTTCAGCAGGACGCACACAATGTGTCTTCTGAGCCATGCCATGTTGACCGTGCGCTTTTGTGCGCCCGGCCTAGGTTCCCATAGCTTGTATGTACTCACTCCATGGACCGGCCCTACCACGTGGCAATTTCATAGAGACAGCTCCACTTTTGCGGCGGCTGTCCACGCACGTTATGCTGGCCCTCACCGAGCTGGAAGATTCGCTCGACACTCTTTTAAAGGTCATGGCATCAGCAATTGCCTACACATCCCGAAAAGCTAGTCACAAACAAGTAAATCCTCAGGTCCCGCTGACAACGCTTGGGAACGCGGAAGGCCTAGCACCGGATGCCATGGAAGCGAGTCGCGATGAGCTCATTGCCGACTTAATCACACAGGCTAAAGATTTACAGCGCCGAATTCAAGAACTTCCTTCTACGGATCAGTCTGACGAGGCACAGGTATGTGTCTGCTCCTAACAGCAGATAGAGGCCTTGGCGGACTTGGAGCGCGATTTGCACGAAGCGAACCAAGACTATAAGCAGGCACTCAGCGAGACGGGTACGAAATCAATACTCACCAAAGATCGTCTTTCTCGTCAGCTGGACGACACGCTCGCGCGACTGTGCTCCGAGCGCCAAGAGGCTCGCTCTGCCTTGGACGCTCCAGGCAAGTTTCCTGTCACGTGATACGGTGGAGGCGTGAAACAGCTGATTTTGGTCGACTGATGGCCAAGTGGCGCCACACGCCTTGATCAAGCACGTAATGGATTCCTGGAAGTGGGCGGGGCTAGACCCTACCATGGAACGACCACTGTACGAAGACCCAAAGCCCTGGAAGGGTATGCCGGGGTTGGCGACCTCCCCCAAGCCTTGGTCGTCAGTGGACCTTCCTGACCTTTTCCTCACGAATCTCATTCACGACGTGGATCATACATTTACAGACGATTCTCTGACGGACTTTTCTGGCTCTGGTGGACCGTCAGGCAGCGACACAGAAAATAGTCCTCATGCTTTTGAGGACTTTCTCCTTCGGAATGAGTCCCCCGAGTGCATAGAGACCTCATCCCAGCCTCTCCTTACGCAAACAGCGCCTGCCCCTATGTTCGACCTGGCGGCCGTGGACTTTGTTCCTGTGATGCCGATGTTCGCAACCGATCCTATGGGCCACCCAAGTGCACCTCTGGCTGAACCAGCATTTTGTGCTGCATCCACTGATATGCCTTCCACCCTGAGCACTATAGCGCGGGCACCCTCGATGCCGTCGTCGTCGATGCCATCCACCGAAGAGTCGGTGCCGTCGCCTGTCTCGCTTATGCAGTCGCCAACGTCACCCGTATCTTCAACGTCCTCTGTTATGACGGGCCAGGCCCTGGAAGAGTCTCTTCTTGCACCCATCCGCATGATGCCTGGCTCCAACATGGATGCGCGCTCGGCACTCGCTCAGCTTCGGTCCTCTAGTGCGCCTGAGCCTGCATGCGCGCGTCCTAAGCTGAATCGCTCCTCATCGTCAATGTCAGCCGCTGCCGCGCGCCGTGCGAACCCTGCGCCTAAATCTGCGCCAGCAGACGACACTTCACCGTGGTCGAAAAAGACAGCTCACAATGCGATTGAACGACGGTATCGCAGCAACATTAATGACCGCATCGCTGGTCTACGTGATGTCGTACCGGCTTTGCGTGAAATGCGGCCGCGGGACGGCCGACGTAAGCGCCGTCGTGGCAAAGCCGAGACGGAGGAGCTGGTGGATGGTGTGACAGCTGCGACCAAGCTTAGCAAGGCGGCCGTCTTGACCAAGGCCACCGAGTACATCTGCTATCTCAAGTCGCGTGAGGTTCAGCTGAGCCGCGAGGTCGCAGGCCTTCACATGCTTATCCGCAGTCTTGATGGTGGCGAGGAACTTCTCTCTCAATTCGGGACGGAAATGGACAAGATCCATTCGGCACATCCCCCCATTGATGCCGTATATGGTGATGCAAGTCCGCGCCCTATTCCCGAGGAAGGCGATGAGCTGGCTGACGACTCGGACGACGCTGACGACGCTGATGAGTCTGCGTCATCTGACTCACCGGAGCCCGAGCGCGCTTCCAAGACGGCTCGATACATGTTCGGCGCTTTTGCTGGACTTTCTTTCATGGGCCGTTCGTCAGACTGGGGGGCAGACTCTGCACCGACTTCATCTCATGTGCGTGTGCTGGGTGCTACTCACCAGCTGGTCAAGCGCGCTTCGACCTACTTGCCACAGCCTCACCCGTACGACCATGTGCCTCTTGTCGCTCTTGTGGTCGAGGTTCTGCAAGCAGGAGCACTTGCACTCGCGGTGTTTATGTGCATGTATGTATTGACGTGCCGCGCCGGTACATGGATGCGCAAGCGGAGTTTGAACAAGGCCAAGAAACTGCAGTTGGCGCAACCGTCTTCGATGATATTGCCGTCGCCGGTGGAGCACGCCGCCTCCTCGCCGCTTGTCATGCTAAGCACGGCATCCCGTGTATACGACGCTTTGGGCACGCAGCTTAAGATTCCTGCAACCTCGATCGGCCTTTCCCTGAGTCTAGTGTGGCAATGCGTCCTGCTCATTCTGGTTCATGTCCCGGGCGTACGCTATGTGTGGTTACACAGCGAGGACTCTACAACTGCTTTACTCACGAGACGCTCAATAATGCGCCGTGGCGAGATGGAGCTGTCTCTGGAAGACGATTCCTCGCGGCGCGGATCTCTGCGCTACTGGCACACTGTGCTAGCGCTTGAGCGGTACCACTTCCTGTATGGCTTCTCAGTGGATGAGCAGCTACTCCTCGCTCTCTTGCTTTACAATGCAGCACGTCGTGCGTACCTTCCATGGGGCATGTCGCGGGCAGTGCGTCTCTGGCGTTCGGCCGCAGTGGCCCTGGTCGATGAGCCCAAGGTTTCAGACGATACGCGCCGTCGGCTGGCGCCGATGCTAAGTCTGCCGCTACCTGTTGCCTGGGCTCATGTGCGCGATGCCAATGTTGCTACTGACGGGCCAGTCTCCGTCCCTCCACTCTGCAACTTGATGGAGACACTTCGCAACGAGTCGCTTCTGTCTTTCTGGACGACAGTGCTAGCGAGTATGATGCGTGCGAGCGATACTTCTAGTGCACAGGCGTGCCTGGCGCCTGCGGTGCTGGATGTGGTTTCTGACGCTGCCTCGCTGACCCAGCTCCAAAAGGACTTGGGCTCACTCACTAACGAGTGTCCGCCTCGCACAGCACCAGCCGCCGAGCAGCTTGTGGTGGCACATGGTGTGCTCGCGTTAGCAAGTGGCCATATGCGGCTGGCACGGCACATGGCGCGAGCACTTGCAGCGATGCAGCCTCGCACACGGGGCGCCAGCGAGTTCGTGGCTCTTCTTCACGATACGGAGAGCTGCCGCAGCAAGACACCAGTCGGCCCGGTGGATATGTTGTCTTGCGTTGCGATTGGCTGGATGCGTCTGCAGCGTGCGAATGCGCTAAGCGATGCGTCACAGAGGCGTGTAACGCTGGTGGCAGCGATGGGCGCACTACAGACACTCGCCTCGCAGTGTCTTTGGACGTTTGTGTCGCCAGAGCCTACTAAGGGCGAAGAGGCCGAGACTCCTCTGCCTCGGTCGAGCTCGGGGCCTTCGCTCGAGCATGCTTTGGATACGTTGATGGACAACCTCTCTGTTATGGCAGTACCTGTATAATTACAAATTTTTTGACTTCTTAGAGGCTGGCGTTTGTAGCACCATTGACACTTTGTCCGTTAGTGTCGTGGCTTCGTCGAGGGAGAGCTGGCTGAGCACACGGGCCTTCCCTCCAGGTACTACGTACACATTGACAGTGTACGCTGTGGCCTCTGGCGTAAGTGTATCAACATACGGTAGCTCTCGGAGAGGTAACCTTGGAGAAGCAGCTCCACAACAAGGCGCTCGCAATCCTGCCTAAGTAGAATGTACGTACCTCGCGCGACAAGGTAACTTTGCCACCCAAACTGGGAAGATCCAGCTGCATCTTGGCGGGATGTGGCGCACCGCTATTGTCCACCTTACGGAACTGCGCGTGATTCAAGCCTCGGACCAGGTCAGCGAGGCCACTTAAGGTTACACGTCCATTGTGCAGGTGCACCTCCTCCGCAGCTCGCACAACCTTCCATGCAGACAGCGACACGTCTGTAACCTGTGCGGCCAGACCACGCTCGCAGTTATCGCAGACCCCGCATGATGATACGCCGTCAGGATCTTCAAAGTACTGCGCAAAGAGCGTCCGGCGGCACAGGTTCGATTGGGCATAATTCATCATGGCAAACACTGGGTGAGTTCACAAGCGTACATTTTCGCTGTGCGCCCACTTCCCCGGCCGTCATGGCACTCACGCGGGACATGTCTCCGGGTCGATAGAGGAGAACACAGTCAGCTGCATGTCCATCGCGCCTGTGTTAGTGGATTGCACGTACCCCGCACGTCCCGTCTCTTGGTAATACCCATCTAGCGACTTGGATATACACGCGTGGATCACAAAACGTACATTGCCCTTGTCAATACCCATCCCGAAGGCAATCGTGGCACACACGACAGAAATGTCACCCGTGCGCCACAGCCTGTGTACATTCTGCTTTTCTGCCTCGTCCAGATCAGAATGATACACGCCGGTGCGGATCCGCCCATGGCTTAGCTGTGCAATCGCATGCGCAAGTGTGTGGGTATCTTTGCGGCTCAAACAATATACAATGCCGGACTGATTCTCATGGTGCGAAAGGATGTATGAAACCATTTGCTCTTGCGAGGCCACCGTGCTGGATGGGCGAGTAAGTACTCGATAGTAGAGGTTGGGCCGGTGCAATGGGGCGCGAAAGTAGATGGTTCGGCGCGACTGAGCATGGGATGGGTCTGTCGTACTGGGCAGACCAAGGATTCGTAATACGTCCTGCAGTGTACGCTTGCCGAGTGTGGCAGACAGACCCATGATAGGCGTTTGAGGAAAAAGCTTCCGACACAGTGACAACTTGTTGTAATCGGGACGATAGTCGTGGCCCATCATGCTACAGCAGTGGGCCTCATCGACCACGATCCTGGCAAGCCGTCCTGCCTCATACGCCTGTTGCAAAGCCGCCAGTAGCTGCTTGGACTTAACGATACGCTCAGGAGTGACATACAGTAGATGCGGCATATCGACACCCGTGCGAACCTGACGCAAAATTACTTGCGCTTCGTCTTTGGATACCGTACTTGAAAGAAGGGCGCACGAGACCTGCCGCTCACGCAGGTGCATAACCTGGTCAGACATAAGCGCAATTAGCGGAGAAATAACCAGGTACATTGCGTCACTAAGTAGAGATGGAAGTTGGTAGCACAACGACTTGCCAGCGCCCGTCGGCATGACAACAATTATGTCTCGGTGATCCATGACGGCATTGCACACTGCCTCCTGACACAGGCGAAATGATTCAATGCCAAATATCTCATGGGCCTGATGCGCAAGCTCAGTAGTCCATGGAAATTTTCCATTTGCATAGTCTACCGCATGGACATCAGCAAGGACCGCCCGTTCGCGCTGAGCCTCGAACAGGCCTTGTCGCTGATCCTCCAATTCCTGGCGTCGGCGACGCAAATCGTCAATTTGCGTCTGGATTAGTTCAAGCTCCCTGTCAATATCTGATACCCTGTCAAGGAGCTCTGGCTCCAGCTCGCTCTTGATAAGCGCCCCTAGAACGTCAACATCATCGTCACTGCTCTCCGCAATTGTCATGTGTGGAGGGCAAAGGGACCAAACAGACAGCAACCATGGAATGGGAGGACGGTCTACTGGGCATCACACTCGAAGATTCAGATGATGATGCACGGGAAGCAAAGAAGGATCGCAAGCAAAAACGAATAAGGCAAGCATTCTTACATGCTAGGGATACCTACACTGCCAAGTTAGACACCAATGAGTGGTTCCGCGAAGGCCTCACGCTTCGTTCTGTGGACGAGATGGACATGGATACAAGATCATCTCAGCGTATCCAAGCCATATTGAACCTTTATTATTATCGAAAAGAGTACCAACTTGCATGGGTTTGGTCTCGTGCGCTCCTACGACGTCTGTATGTGCTCGGGGAGGAAGTACGATGGTATCATGGTAGACCTGCCTTTCGGACACCAGTGGCTACTGACAAAGCCGCCCTGCTGCATTCTAACTCAGCTGTTGCTAAAGAGACACTTGACACGGCGCTGAGGTGCATTCTTCACCACAATATACCCCTCGAGGAGGCAGAGCCTGTGCTTGCCGCAGGATTTGAGAAAGCCCGCCTCCCGACAAACAATTATGCGATCCTCTGGCACGATGGGAAATCTGATGAAAAGGAAACCAAGGCATGTGCTGTACGTATACTGTGCTCATGTTAGTGGACCCACAATCCTGGCCTTTGTCTGTCCTTGGGAGACGCATGCCAGGCTATGGACCTGGCTAGACCTGCCGTCGAGGCATATGCATTGGCTGCCGGCGCTCGCGGACCTCACTGGCGTATTTGCGCTCAATTATTACATTCACTGTGTGACATGGTGAAGAAAGAACCTGCTAGCTCGGTCGATTCACTGAGGGTGCTCGCCCGGGCCTGTGCCACTTGTGCACTGTCATCGTGCCCATCCAAGCTACGGCAAACCCTTTTACATGACATCCTTTCATTCCCGTGGATGTCAGTTCAAAATGATAAAATTGCGGAAACAGATAGCTGGGATGAGCCAGCGATTGTATCAGCAGCACCGGAGCTGCCCCGCGAGACGTACTTGGCGTTATCCTACTCTCTAAAGCGGCGCGGTGAGATTGCCGCATTGTCACAACGGCTCCCTGACATGGTTTCTATGACTAGGGATTTACTTCAAAATGGGAGCGCAGATTCATTCGCCCTGGAGGAGGACGACTTGGCCGAGAGTGCCCCACGCAGCGTACGAGCCTTGTAGCTAGTCATAGGGTTAAGTGGAGGTATAGTTCTCCCTGCAACACCGGTTGGTTCCACCATGCGACAAGATCCGCTCCCTGCGCCGACGCGGCCCTATCTCGCGCTGGGACTCGAGGGAAGTGCAAACAAACTTGGTGCTGGCATTGTTCGGCACAGTCCACCAGCGGAATCTGGACCTGGTTCTGCCCTTAACCAGGCCCGCGTGGATATTTTGTCCAATGTTCGGCATACCTATGTGACTCCGCCTGGCCAAGGTTTTCTACCAAGTGATACAGCTAAGCACCATAAGCACTGGATATTGCGTGTAGTAACGGAAGCCGTCAAAGCGGCTGGCATAAAGAGTCTTTCTGAGGTCGACTGTATTTGTTTCACGAAAGGACCAGGTATGGGTGCACCATTGCAAGCTGTATCACTGGTGGCACGCACGCTCGCGCTCATGTACAATAAGCCACTAGTTGGTGTGAATCATTGTGTCGGTCACATTGAAATGGGTCGCACGATTACAGGCGCGCAAAACCCGGTTGTTCTTTATGTTTCTGGTGGGAATACCCAGGTGATTGCTTATTCTGCACAGCGCTACCGGATTTTTGGAGAAACCCTGGATATTGCTGTGGGAAACTGTCTGGATCGATTTGCCCGCGTGATTGGACTATCAAACGATCCATCACCTGGGTACAATATCGAGCAGGAAGCAAAAAAGGGACAGCGGCTTTTTCCCTTGCCATATGGAACAAAGGGCATGGATGTATCGCTGGCGGGTATTCTCAGCGCCACAGAGGCGTATACAAAAGATGCACGCTTTAAGCCCAATACAACACAGCCAAACGATGATATTCCTGTCGGTGCGCTCGCCAATGGGCGTCAATGGCACGGCAGCACGCAGCATTCGCTGGAACATACGTCACCTACGGCTACTGTCCAGTCCCTAGATGGTGATGCGGATATTATCACGCCTGCTGATCTATGCTTCAGCTTGCAAGAGCATATGTTTGCCATGCTGGTGGAAATTACAGAGCGAGCTATGGCACATATTGGAAGTAAAGATGTGCTAATTGTAGGTGGTGTGGGAAGCAATGCGCGACTCCAAGATATGATGGGCATTATGGCTAAGGAACGCGGTGGAAGTGTCTTTGCCACAGACGAACGTTTCTGCATCGACAATGGGATTATGATCGCCCATGCGGGACTACTCGCATTCCGAACAGGATACTCCACGCCTTTCGCCAAGACAACAACGACGCAACGCTATCGCACAGACACTCCTGTAATTTCGTGGCGCAGCTAAAAACTACACTAGTGGGGCATATTGCACATCTTGACCAACTTGTCGGATTTCCACTTGACCCGTCTTGTCGAAGTGTTTTCCGAGTACATACACATAGGGGTATCCCAGCAGATCCGCATCAAACAAGCGAGAGCCGAGCGATTGGCCAACGCGGTCGTCGAGAGCAATATCGTTAAGAGGAACTTGGATATTCGTTTGAGATGAGTCGCCTTGCTCAAAACCGGATGCAAGCTGTGAGCACAGCTTCAGTGCAGCCTCCATCTGTTTGTGTGATGCCGGAAGGACTAGGGCTGAAAATGGTGCTAGACCAGAAGGCCAGACAAATCCCTCCCGCGCGCGTGTCTTGCTGTTTTGGCTTGACTGAAGGGCATGGAAGAGATTCATACTAGTTTGTGCCAAAGCGCCAAGGATGCGCGTCACTCCAATGCCATAACAACCCATCTGCAAGGGCTCCTTTTTCTGACTGCCAGATCCAACAGACCTGGGAACAACACCATAGCCCAGAGCCGCAGAGTATTTTGTTCCCAATAAAAAGGTATGGCCCACCTCAATAGCGCGATGTTCTTGCAGATGCCCCACGCCACAAGAAGCACACGTGTCTCCTACACGAGCCAAGCGAATTGCACTGGTTTTCATAGCACTTGGGTTTGGTACATCTGTCAAGTCACAACCACGGGCATCGGCCACAGTCTGTCGGACGAGATCAACGATTTGGTGTGGCGGAACATTGCTGCAGCTGGTATCCAACCAAATATAGACGGGGAGGTTGCCCTCACCCTGATACGGTTGACATTGCGAAAATGGCGCCGCAGAGGGATTAACGCTGGTCCCGGCAGGTACAACTGCAACGTGTAGGCTAGTGCTGTTCGAGTACAAATGCACATGGACCCGGCCTGTGGACGAACAAACATCTGAAGAGGGTTCCAAAGCTGTTGCGCACTCCTGGTTCGATGCATACGAGCAGTGATCGCAGGAAAAGAGGGTGTCTTCGCCGGCGCTGTCCTCGACATGATATTCGTGGGAAAAGCTTCCGCCCATTGATCCGGAATCAGCAGCCGCCTGCGTCAGTATTACAAACAAACACACCTCAATCCACGTTGGTCGAGCTGGAAGGGACGGAAGATGCGACCAATTAAAGATCCGATGGAATATATTATGATAGGCCTGTCGAACATCAGCATATGTCGAAGTCGCCTCTTCGGCAGTGGCATCAAAGGTATACAGATCCTTCATGAGAAACTCTTTGGTACGGAGAAGTCCAGCTCGTGGACGAGGCTCATCGCGAAACTTGCGACCAATCTGATAGACACGAACAGGCAATGATTTGACACTGTCAATTTCGGAACCGATGAGTTTGGTGACTTCCTCTTCGTGGGTAGGCGCCAAGATCATTTCTGTATTTCGACGATCCTTGAACCGAAAAAGCTGTGTGAGAAAATAGCACGCACTTCGCTACCCATGGCGTCCACACGTCCAGTTTTATGCCAGAGCGAGGAAGAGAGAAGCTGCGGCATTTCCAGGCGCGATGCACCGACCTGGCCATCAGTAGGGGAAGCGTACCGCATCCATTTCTTCTTCTATAATTTGAATGATCTTACTGAGAATCCTCAGCCCCATAGGTAGGAAAGAGTAGGTGCCTGAACCGGACTGCCGCACATACCCACCCCGCAACAAGAGTTTCAGGCTATCCAAAGTGTCTGACGAAGCGATGGCATCCGCAGAACAAGTCGGAAAAAATATTTTACTGAGTCTCTTAGGTCCCGTGCTGTAGGTACGAGTAGAATGCGCGCAGAGAGCTGTTGGGAAACGAGCGAGCTTCATCGACACCTAGCTGTGTGGCTTCCTTTGCCAAGAGGTGCACGATGTGGTCCACTTTACTAAGCAGAGCCACTCTGACCCCGCGTGCGCACGGACGACGGAATTAGCCTGCGCCGACATTGGCGCGAGAAGGTGATGCAGTGGTATCTTGTCCTAGCTGTGTTTGGAGCGGTATTTGGCTCGGGTATATGTGCAAACTTTAGCATTTGTCGTGAGTCTAGTGGGCAAGAGTTTTATACCGATTTTTATTGGTGGCCATGGGCCGACCCAACGGATGGCCAGGTCAAGTACGTGCATCGACGCTCACGACAATAGATATGTGGACCAGAAGACTTCCCAGGATCAAAATTTATCTTACGTGGATTCCTCTAATCGCTTTGTTTTGGCTGTTGATACGGGACCTACTGTCCCTATCGGTGGCAAGCAACCAGAGATTGGGCGTCGATCCAACAGGATTCATTCAACTTACTTGATGGGCGATGGTTTTGTGATCATAAAAGTCAACCATATACCGACAGGATGCGCGTAAGTAATCTACATACTTACAAAGTACCTGGCCTGCATTTTGGACGGCCACACCGGGCGTCTGGCCGGAAGGCGGAGAAATTGATATCATCGAAGGTGCGAACGGCCAAGGCGACAACTTGGCCAGTATGCATACAACAAACGGGTGTATGGTAGACACGGATGTTAGCAAATCACAGCTAGGGTATGATAATGTGCTTGCTGATGTTTAGGGAGTTCAGACAAGGAAATTGCTCGTACCAGCCTGGATGCTCTTCCTCATTTACAAAGAATACGTTTGGACCAGCAATCAACCAAAAGTGTGTGATAACTACTAACGGCAGTGGTGGTGGCTACTTCGTCATGATGAGAGATACCTCTCTTCACGGTGCAGGGGCATGTATCTTTTACTTACTCTAGATCTCTGTGTACTTTTGGAACAGCTCTACTAATCCTGACCGTCTACCTGCAGCCGTCGGGGCAGCGCCACATCTTGCACCTACGTCCATCACCACTGATGAAGTGGTAAGCTGGGGTAAGCCCCAAGTATTTTTTGGAGCCGACAATGGACCCGGCTCACCATGCCCATTATCCAAATACATGGGGATGCATGAAATTATCATTGATACGACGTGCGTATTCGAGTCACTTACACACAGTATGTGCGGCTATTGTATGTCCAGGTGACTCACCGTTAGGGGACAACTCAACTTTTCAAGATGCTGGATGCCAGGCACCTTCATGCCAGGACTATTTAATCGGTACGCTAGAATCGCTAACCCTAGCCAATGGATCTGCATTTTCAAACGCTCGTTGGGAGATTGACTATGTACGGGTGTATGCCAACCAATGTGTCGCGCGCAAAGATATTTCAGGAGCAGTATCACTTGTATCGAATGTCCAGTGGGTCATTGCAATGGCACTAGGAATCACTATCATCATGGCCGTGGGGCTTTCCTCGGAACTATGACACATTTTTGGATATCTCTGTTTTGGCTTGCATCGATGCGCGCTTAAGATCCACACGGCATTGCTCTGGAAGTTGGAACGTATCCATAAGTTGGGTGGCTCGCCTGGGACCCATAATCAAAGACCAGTCATTGGGAAGAGAGACGGTCTCTCCGTCTCCGTCCTGGGTGCAGATTTCATCTAATTTGGCGTCGGGAATTAGGTCCATCAAGTTTCGTTCCAACAGGCTGGAGACAGACTTGCAAGCCAAATAGGCGCGATAATGGCTCCAGACACGCCACATCAGATAGTAGGCAGGCAGGTTAGGGATCGCCGGAATCAAAAACAGAGGTGAGCTTACGACAATTCCAACGGTACTGTATAAAATTTGCCATGAATGAAGCGGCTGACGGTGAGAAACCATGCGCCGGATCGATTCGATAACAGAGGTTGGTGACACCAACGATGGTGGGTATAGCAAAGACAGTCGATTCGGTTCAGCATGAGGAGACCGTTGATGTGACATCACAAGCCTCCGAATAGAAGGGCCGAGCGCTTGATCAATGCCCTTGAGCGCCCATTCTTCATACTCGATTTTGTCCATAATTCGTTCGCCCAACAGAAAGACGCGGCGCTTCCAGTCGAATAAGGACCGAGAATCTGTGCGACCCAAGTTGGACCATGCGCGGGACGCTTGGGCCACGATCCGTTGAGAGAGTGGCAACGAGGCGGACCGTTTGCGCTCCCCCTTTGCTGTGGAATACGCGATATACGTCAGGTACGGAACTCGAGCTGGGTTCGCGTTCCGAGCGAGCGGGACCGCCATGATCTTCATCGTGGCGTCTGACACGCATGCAAGGCTCCGGCCGTACCATCATGCTATACAGACTCCACGTGGAGTTCACGTGCTGTATCGTCGAGACACACATTCTACGGGCCAAGTTACTCGACTACACGGAAAGGCTGCTTCCGCAGCTTGACCGCACCCGAATGGGCATTGTCGATGGGCTGCTCGTAGCGCAGGTGCGAGCGGAAGCGGCGGAGGTACCTAATGGCCACATCCTCCAGCACATCAGGGGTAATACCAAGGTCAGCGAAGCCTTTCGTGTTGGGCGCGGGCACCTCATCGATGAAGCGACGCGTAACCTCGTCAGCGTTGAACATAGGCCACCATGCAATCTTCTCACCAATCTTGGCCAGCGCCGAGAACACGGGGCGAGGGACATTCACTTCGGGAGAGACAATCTTTTGGTAGGTGATGTTCTCGACAATCTGGAGAAGCTCACGAACCGTGTACGTCTTGGGACCGTAGAGGGAGAAGGTCTCACCCAAAGCGATGTTGTCGTTTTGAGCGATCGTCAGCAGGGCCTGCGCCACATCAAGTGAGTGCACGGGAGTGAGCTTCGTCCGACCATGGTTCATCTTCCACGTAATAGGCCACGAAGCCATCTTGTTCAGGAAGCGATCCTCTTCACCATAGATTGAGGCGGGGCGGACAATCGTAGCACCAGGAAACGCCTTGCGCACGACATCCTCACCCATGGCCTTAGTGCGCAGAAAGTCACTCGGCGAGTCAAGGCTAGCGCAAAGATGCGAGACGTGGATAAAGCGAGCGGCACCGGCTTCTGTGGCATACTCAGCGAGACGGCGAGCACCGTCAACGTGGACATCACGGAAGGTGAAGTTCCTGGATATAAGTTGACCATACTTACTTGGTGTTGTAGTTGCGGCCCATCAGGTTGAACACCGTGTCCGAATGACGCACACACTCCTGAATCTGGTGGTCATTGCGGAGGTCCCATTCCTGTACGTCAGAAAGGAATACGCACCAGAGGAACAACTTGGCCCAGGTCGCCAAGCAACTTGAGATGCCGCTTCTCGTCCTCGTCACGATAAGGCACCACGACCTGGGTTCCTGCCTTAGCCAGTTTGCTAACCAAGTAGCGGCCAAGGAAGCCAGTGGCTCCAAACACAGTAGCAATACTGCCTGTGACGGAGTTGCTGTGGGTGAGCGACAGCAACGTACCGGCCCAGACCATAGGGACCCGACGTGACCTGGGGCATGCCGGTTTTGTGCTTGATAGTGAGGTCCTGCATGTAGTTCCTTGTAATCATGCGCGATGGCATAGCACGGCCAAAGCCGTCGCGCGAGGCGCCCAGCACAGAGCGCGACAGGCTCATGTTCGCAGCGGTCGACAAGGATCGGAGCACTGTTCTTACCCACCGTTCCGTGCTGCTCGGCCGGTCCGCAATATTACAAATATTTGTCATTCTACCCTACTCACTCTCCGCCTCCACTAAGTCAACGTCCAGCGAGGCATCAGCGTCCGAGTCGTCTTGCGCGTCGTCAGAGTCCGTTTGAGAGAGCGTCTCGTCGGAGGCAGAGTCACCTATACCATCGAGATGCGCCGGGAGGATCGATCTGGATTCCTCTTCACGCAGAAGCTCGTCAAAAAGGGCGATAGCTTCCTCATCAGCAAGCTCCGCTTCCGTAGGGCGGCGTGGCTCCCGCGTGGAGCGCGAGGAACGTGCCAGTGTAGGCGGCCTGTCCGTCTCTTGGAGGTCATTTTCATTGTCCACGGCGGCAGATCGATGGGGACGCCCCATGGCTCGAAGCACAGCGGCCACATTCACTGTGCGCAAACGATGGCGCGTCTGTGGCCGAACGTTTGCCCAGTTAGGTTGGAGATGCTCCATAGACATGGGTGTGGCATAGTGGTATCGTACAAGGCGCTCAATGCCTGCAGTCGCGATCATCGGAAGCGTCGGGTGGCATAGAGTCGAATTCACGATCGACCGCGATCCTTCGAGGGTGAACGAGGGGACGGACAAGTGCATCGGCTGGTAGAGCAAATCGTCCGTGACAGAGTGGAACCATCCACTGGTGGATCCGACACCCTCCATTCCTTTCCACGCGTCAGCAGCCAGGGCCTGTCGCTGAGCGCGCAGCGTGTCGATCGGGGGGATCTTCCAGCCGTACCCGCGAAAATCGTCCGAGCCAGCAACATAGTAGAGATTGCCCGTCTGGGTCTCAAAGCCGAACGATCCACGCTTGATGGTGCAACTGTTACGGTATCCTAGCATTTCGTCTGCCGCAAGCGGTGCCTCTCGAGCAAAGATAGGGTTCGTGTGCGGATGCAGTCCCATGGACGACAGTTCCGCGACTGGTTCAGAGCTGTCTGTAGCAAAAAGAACAGGATGGTATAAAGAGAGACTGTGTCAGTGAGCAAAAACGTACTCGACAGCGAGGAATCGCCCTGTCGGGTCAAACTGAGCGCCTGTTGCTTCTGGATTCGCGGCGGCAATGCGGTCGCCTTTTTTGCAGTGCACTTGTGTCGCGTATCGCACAAGCGTATCGGAGCTGTTGATGGCGAGGTCAGACCCGTGAAAGACGGTGCGGACATCAAAGAGGCTGTGTTAGCATGGAGACGTACGAAGCACAAGACCCTGACTCGATGGACGATGCCACGGCAAAGCGGTGCCCATCGCCGGGGTTTGGATTCCACTGCGCCGACTCGACCTGCCCCGGAAAGTAGCCGTACTGTGCGACCTGACCAGGAAGGCGCATGTCAAGAAGATACAGATCACCGTCGTCACTGCAAGAGAGAGCCAGCTCAGGATTCGTAGGGTGCGCAGATACCTCGCGTATACTCGCCTCATGGAGTCCAAACGACACAGTCGGTCGGTGGCGCTCGACCTGTGGCTGGACTTGGCGAATGGGCGCGTCGCCGTAATGCAAGTCGTAGGCAAAAAAAAGGCAGTCATTCGCTCCTGAGAACAGATACTTGTTGCCCACGCCCCACGAGAGAGAAAAAATGTTGGAACAATGGCCCAGCAGGCGCGCGCGTGTGCGGTAAGTACTCGTTTCGGCGCCGCCCGGGCGCTCAGCATCAAAGTCGAATAAGTCGCGGATTAGGATGCGCAGATCATCGCCGCCGCTCGCCATCCACTGGCCAGACCCCCGGGAAAAGGCGAGTGCGTTGACGCACGAGCTGTGCCCTTTGACTTCGTGCAGATACGGAAAACCATGAGCATCGATAGCGTCCCCAAGGAGAGAGCGTCGCATGTGCATCGACTGCGTGCGAGAATTAACAGACAAAGTGCGGTTCCGTAGCGCAAAAGGCACGGACTGCTTTGCGCGAAGCGCATCGCCATCGCCCTCGGGGCTATGGCTACGTTTCTCCCCTCCAGGCATGGCCTGCGCCACTCGGTGAAGGCGTGTGGAGAAGGAGGCGGCGCACGGACAGGCTAGATAGCACCCAAGGGCAAGGCACCTACAGCGAATGGCAAAAGGGAGATTCCTCCTGGGTGCACCTTTGTGCGATACGCCATTGATACTATGGCAGTGGGACGAACGGGCTGGACGGTGCGCCCGAGCACAGGTTGGCTCCACATGTCGACGCTGTATTCGGTCAGAGTGTGCCACGTCTATCGAGTGCCGCCGCGTACGACGGCCGCCGGCTACCGTGCCGGTGATTGGGGCGATATGAGCCAGCCGTTATGGAGTGGTCGACTACGTGTGGTGGAGCATGCAGAAACGTGCGAGATCCGTCTGGAAGATGGCACGACAGGTGGGTGGGGCGCTCTGACGCAGGCGAACTCTTCGCGTCATGCCCCTATGATGTGACGGGCAAGTCGGTGGAAGCAACGCTTGACTCTTCGCGCTGCTTTGTCGTGCGTGTCGAGAGCGAGGATGGGCGGCATGCGTATATTGGCATCGGGGTGCGTCCCTCGTGGCTGACGCCAGTTTGCAGAGCGCGCTGAGAGCTTTGACTTTACAGTGGCGCTGCAAGACTGGACAAGGTACGACCATGCGGTGCTCTGACGACAGACGGCGCAAGTCGGAGCTGGCTGGCCCTGGGCCGGACGAGGCCCCGCGCCCCTCGCCACACTTGCCAGATGGCCCGCGCCAGGACTTTTCGCTACGCGAGGGTGAGACGCTGAGCTTGCGCATGCCGGCGCTTGGGGCAGTACGCGCGCCCAGTGCGGCGCCAGCGCAGACGGGCTTCCAATTGCCGCCGCCGCCGCCCGGCGGGCGCAGCAAGTAATGTACATTCTACTTCTTGGACTCGGTAGCCGCCTCGTTCGCCAATGTGCGCATGATAGTAAGAGGTCCTTTTTGCGCGCGGCCGGCCATCTCCTTCTCGATGCGCGTCGTGGACGAAGCGGTATTTTTCTGCGTCAGTAGCCGGACACATACGCGCTTCTGCAATGCCTCCTGCATCGCTGTCTGCTTCTTGGGTGCGATTCGTTTTCCAACCTTGGGCCGCGGTGCGGCGCCCTTATTCTTGCCCTTGGCTTTGGCGCCCGCCACGGGCGCCTTTTTCAGTGGCTTGAATCCCTGGGTCATGCAATCCACAGGCGCAGCGGAAAAAAAAACGCGGGTCGCAGGTGTGCACTCCACTTATGCTGCACCTGACGCTGGAGCTGCTGCGCGGCACAGCGGTCCCGGATCACTATGGAAAGATTGCTGCCGCGATCGTGTTGATTCTGCTGGTCCACAGCTGGGCGCGTGGGCCTGCACTACTTGAGCGCGAGGAGCGCATCGAGGCACACCAGCGGCGCGCGAGCGAGAAGGAGGATGCGCAAGTGACAGCCGGCTTGAGTGCGATGGGCGGACGCACTGTGCTGATTGGCGTACGTTGCATCGACTGACCCCAGACAGGTGCGATGACGCCCATGGGGCTCGTGGTGATGGCTATGCTGGCGCAGCAGGGCGCGCACATCGTGGCGCTCGTCCCTGACGCGACAGATGAGAATGTCGTGCAATTGATTCTATTGCTGCGCGAGAGCACTTCGAACGAGAACATTTTTGCAGAGACGTGTGATGTCCGAGACGATGCAGCCATCACGGCCTTTGCCGAGCGGTGGCACAAAGGCACACGAGAGACAGGCACCGACCGTGTGCCTAGCGCGGTCCTGCCGGGCCTTGCGACGCCGCAGACGCACCGCCTCGATGTGCTGCTATTCCTCCCGAGTGCCGAGGCTGTCCCGGTCATGGGTGCTACTACGGATGAGGCGTACAAATTCACGGTACTTGCGCGATTCCGCCTCGTGAATGCGCTGTTGCCGATCCTGCTGGCGCAGCCACCGAGCCGCGACGTGCGCATCGTCAGCGCAGTCAGCCCCTGGTATGCCGCAGGCCTCGCGCAGTTCGACCGCGTAGCGCAGCCGCCCAAGGGCCCCATATTTGAGCCATGGACGCGCGTCGGTGCTGCCGAGCTGCATTGGATCTACCTCGCTACGGAGCTCCAGCGACGCCTCAACCTACTCGCCGAGAAGGACACACGGCCCCGCACCGACCTGCACGGCATAGACACTGACAACTCACCCCCCCCACTGGCCATGCGACGCAGCCACGTGTCGTCGGTGGTCGTGTGCCCCGGCTTTGAGGTGTCGCAGTTGTCAGCCTTCTTCGGCGGCCCTGCACCGCTCAGTACCGTGCACCGTGCCGTGCTTTGGACTCTGTGGCTCGGCCTGGCACCGGCGCTTTGGCTCCTGGGAAAGCCAACCTCCCGTGCGGCCGACGCCATCGTATGGGCCGCGCGCGCGCATCGGGCACCCGAAGCGCGCGCACGCCGGGCCTCGCTGACGCAGCCCCCCACAGACCACGACGATGTCAGTCTGGCAAGGCAGTGGCCCGGGCTCCAGCCGGGAAAGCTGTACCGCGAGGGCCGCCCCGTGCTGCCCCCTGCCGCCGCCACAGGCGGCGCGGCGCTGTGGAGCGCCGCCGAAACGCACAGTCAGGCACAGCCACAGGCAGCTACATAGTGGGTACACGCCGTGCACTCGCAAAGCGCGGCACGCCGCGCCACGCGGGGCTGACGAGTACGAGGCGCTCGAGTGGGACGCGGTTGCGTTTATGGCGGCCCCACGCCCGCTCCGGCAGGGGCATGGCACGCTCGCGACGCTCGAGCTCGAGCCATGCGTCCCAGGTGATCGCAGCGAGCGCGCGGCCGTGCCCAGTCGCAAGTGCGTAATCGCCCGATGTCACAGCCCCGACGGCCGTGTGTGCAGCAAGCTCGGTGTGCTCCCATACTTGCAGCTGGCGGTGAGCCTCGTCGCGCTGCGACGTCGGCGGAGACAGCGCATGCCGCCACTGCGGCACCGAGTCGGCCGGAGGCAAATGCACGGTGGCGGGAGCCGCAAATGCGCCACGGCCACACGCCGTCAGCAGAACAAGCACAAACGGCGCGAGACCCGCCGGCACAGGTGCCGGCACATGGGTGCGCAGCAGGCCGCCCTCGTACTGCCGACGTGCCCAGACGGTCGTCGTACGCATGTGTGGCGCCGGCCCTCCGGCCGGCCGCATGTCACCGCTGCTTGGCACAATGGCGGGTGTCCCGGGCGTTCCAGCTTGTTCGGCCAGTGTTGTCCATAGCGCTGCACCACCAAAGGGGTGGGCACACGCATTCGGCTGCAGCGGTACGCGCTTGGCGGGGGGACGCGCCTCCCACGCAGCGCGTAGCTTATGTGCCTCGGCGTCGCTGGTGCGTTGGTGGTCAGGATGGCTGATCCAGTCGTGGGGGAACTGTGCGCGGCCCAGGTTGAGGTGCAGCGTGCGGTACTGGGCCTGACCAAGTACCAGGGCGCCCGTGTGCACAAGCGACGTCCAGAAAGCCGCGCCCCATCCACGGGGCACGAGTAGTGTGTACACAGCGAGGTCGCGCGCGCCTGGCGCCGCCTGGAGCGTGCGTGGAATGAGCAAGATGGGCAGGGTATCGAGAGGAGTAGGCGCCGCGGCGTGGCCGCCCATGGCACGGCGCCGGTCGATTTGCGACTGGGTATACGAGGGAGGGGCGCGGTGCTCGAAGAACGCGGCGTCAGTGTGCGTAGGCCGACCATCCTGTACCCATGCCACAGGAGTGTCGCTCTCTGTACTGGAAGAGGCATTTCTTGGAGGAAAGTGCAGCCGGGGGTCCTCGACGCGGCACGAGAGTACAGTGCCGCTCGGCAGCCATTTGGGAAGCGGCGCCGAACCATGTTGCAGCACCCGGCTGAGCATGTGGGCCTGGCCGGGATGAGCGTCTGCAGCAGGCTGCAGCACGCCATGCAGGACATGTGCAGCGCGGTCACCGACGAGCTCAAACACGTTAAACCCGCTCGTCGGCGGGAGAGGCGGTGCCTCGATCGGCTCCAGCGATGTGGGTGCACGGCGTGAAGCGTCCGGATGCAGCACACCTGCAGCGACAGCCGCAGGTGGTGCCGTGTCGAGAGCGTGCGCCGTGAGGGCGACATGCTTGTTCCAGCGTTGCGCTACGACACACACATGCCGCGGGCGGCGCTGCTCGGCATGTATGGCATCGAGCGCATGCGTCAGAGCCTGCTGCACGTCCCATGCTGCCGCAGGGTGCACGAGTAAGAGGCAGGTACGGCGCGTGTGTCGCTCTGAGCGGGGTATCCACAGGACTTGGAGCGGGGCGACGGCAGGGAGAAACGGCGCGGTGGCGCGCGCCTTGTGCAGGCCGCGGGGCCGACCGAGAAGCACTGTGTCACAGAGTCGTGCGCCGGATGTCCACTCGTCCTCCCATCCATGTGCGGCGCCAGCCAAGTGCAGGAGCAGTTGCAGGCGCGCCGTTGCGTCCGAGACGCGCCGGGCGCGCGCGCCAACGTAGAATGCGGCCGTGTAGCTGGCGTCATGGAGAAGGGCATACGCCGACTTGCGCCATGTCGTCCGGAAGCTTTTCTGGAACGGCGTCTCGGCGAGACAGAAACCCCAGTGGCCCGCGCCGCCATCGCTGGTGCCCTTCTCCCCCGACATGCGGAAGCGCTTGGCGTGCCAGAGATGTGTCTCAAGCCAGCGACGCCCAGGTCTCCGTGCACGCGCTTGCAAGGCAGTGCGCCGCCGCACGTAGGCACGGAGAGTGCGCTCCGGCGCGCGGCGGCGCATCTCGCTGCGTGTCTTGGCATGCGTGTTCGAGGCGCGAAGCTCCGCATGCGCCTTGCCGCGCAGGCGGCGTGGAAGACGCAGCGGATTATGGGAGGCGGCGCGGCGGCGCAGATGACGCGGCAAGAGCTGCCATGCCCGTGTATGGGCCGACGAGCGGGCGTGCGACATGGCGCGCTTGAGCGCGAGGATGTCCGACTTACGTGCGGCTAACAGCTCGTCGATGTCTAGTTGCAGGGGTGGCGGATCACGAGGCGCGATCGTAGGTGCCTCGTGCCGCAGGCGCTTGCTGTCGGCGGCGAGCGCCGCAGTGACGTCCGCCTCCGCACCACGTTTCGCCATCGCGTTGCAAAAGGCAGCAAACCCGCGAGCCTTGGCGTGCTGACTCATCTACGTGCAGTCCAAAAAATGTGGCCCGAAGCGGGGAAACTAAATTGACAATCGACAGCGATGCTCCAAGGACTGCTCAAGAAGGCGGAAAAGTCGGCAAAGCATGCTGCTACGCAGCACGACAACGGTAAAGGCGGGAAGGGCGGCAAGTCGAACGGTGCGTCGAATGGGAAGGGCGGAAAGTCGCACAGCGTCGCTGCCGCCGCGCCCTCCTCCAAGTTGCCCAACATGGGGCCTGCGAATCCGACGGCGTACCAGACGCCGCAGGGTCTGGCTGTACCGGGCCTTTCACTGCCTAAGTATGCGCCCGCAGGCCGCAGCACGAACCACTCGGTGGCTGAGCCCAGCTGCACCATTGTGAACGTGGCTGGCTTGCCCGTGCATGTGTATGGCTTGGAGCAGCTGACTCCTCCGCACCAAGGCGCTGTGCCCGAGGTGTGCATTACATTCCATATGCACGGCCGTACAGGTTCGGCAAAGAACGAGGACTCGCTCGTGCGTGAGCTGTACCGCAACACGATGGCCGAGCGCGCGTCGCTGGAGGGCTCGCCGCGTGTACGCGACTTTTTGCTGGTGACGTTCGACCAGCGCAACCATGGTGAGCGCAAGACTTACCCATTAGGGCAGAAGACCTGGAAGGAGGGTAATCCGACACATGGGTATGTTCACCTGACTCACATCAGTATCGACATGTACGGCATGATCCACGGCACATCGACGGACGTGTCGTTCCTGATTAAGATGCTGCCCGCGTACCTGTTCCCGAGAGACGAGCGCATCGTGTCACTCTTTGCTGTAACGGGCAAGTCGCTCGGTGGACACGCGACGTGGCAGGTGCTTGCGCACGAGCCCATGGTCCGCGTAGGTGTGTCCTTTATCGGCACGCCCGACTACCAGAAGCTCTTGGCGCAGCGTACCAAGGCGTCAGACCTGCCCAATGCGCCACCGCAGGTGCCGCAGTCGCTGCGTGCGGTGATACAGAAAATTGACCCCGCACAGACACCGTACCAGCGCCCGGACGCTTCTAACCCCTTCTTTGGCAAGAAGATCTGCTCGTGCTCTGGTGAGGACGACCACCTCGTGCGTTGGAGCTTCTCGGAGGAGTTCCTCAAGTCGGTTGTCGTCGCGCCACCGGGCTCAGAAGAGGCCAACCGCAGCCTCGAGATCTTCCTTCAGCCGAACACGGGCCACAAGGTCACAACAGAGAGTACGTATCCATGACTAACCCCAGTGTTGCTGCTTGGCGGCCGCTGGCTTGCGCAGTGGGCGCTTGCCTACTAAGTGGAGGTCATAGGATTTCCGGCGTCTAGATAAATCAGGTCCCACACGTGCAAATCCCTGCACCACTTCGGTTGGGGCTTGCGTGCCTGGCTCCTCGACGACCCAAGCAGGTGAAGCGGGCGCGCCCAAAGCTGGCATGCAGTTGTTTATTCGTCTTGTCATATGTTGGGTATGGTGGTGGCAATCGGTTTATTGTGCCAACGACGGTGAATCACAAGTCCTGCACAAGCCGCTCGTGCCAAGCCAGGGCCCGCTGCCGCCGCAAGCAAAGCCGCCTCCGCCGCCCGACAGCGTCAGCCGTGAGGAGATCAATATCAGTGGGTTCCCTGTCAATGTCTACGGTCTGAAGGAGCTGGCGCCGCCCGTGAACGGCACGGTCCCGGAGGTGGCGACTGTCGTCTACATGCATGGGCGGGGCAAGTCGGCCATGGACGAGGACGCGATTATACGCATATTGTATGGCAACGTCCGTCAGCACATGATGGCAAACCCCGCTGGGTCTGCCAAAGACCTCCTGATAGTGTCGTTCGACGCGCTTAACCATGGCAGCCGGATGACCGATCCTAACCAGCGTCTTGGCCTGCAGCAGAACCCCCGCTTCCTTGTGGACTTGTATGCAGTGATGCTCAACAATCGAGACATGGTGTCATACATTATTGACTACCTGCCAGCTTTCATCTTCCCATATGACGAACGCCTTATTACCAGCTGGATTGCCTGTGGCCGCAGCATGGGCGGTCATTCCGTCTGGCATGCGCTTGCTAGTACGTATTCTACATGACTAACGTGCAGACGAACCACGCATCAGCACGGGCGTCGTTTTTATCGGCATGCCCAACTATAATGCGCTCATACAGCAGCGTACCAGCCAGTTGAACTTCAAGGCCGAGGCACCTGTGGTCCCCAGCTCGTTTGCTAAGCTGGTCAATACGACAGATCCCTCCATGATGCCCTATACGAGCACCGATCCCAGCAAGAATCCATTCTGGGGCAAGCATATTTTCCAGGCCAATGGTGGCGCCGACGATCTGGTGCCCTTCTCGCTCTCTGCTGACTTTTTATCGCGCCTCGTTCTCGGGCCCCGCGACAAGGAAACCAAGAACTCGTTGGAGCTTTTTGTACAGCCGCAGATCCCACATCAAGTAACAACAGAAATGCTCGAGCTCGCAGGTCGGTGGATATACCGTTGGGAGATTGCTAAAAAGCCCACCAACTTGCAGCCTGCGCCCACGCTGCCAACGCCCACCTACGCTCGTCCACCTGCCAATTTGCGCGTCACGAGTAGTCCCCCCTAGTGTTAGCTTTAGTAATGTCGAACGGATGATTTTCTTTTTCGGTGGCTGGCCCCGATGGCCCTTGCAGATCCGCATGCAGCGGCTGACCCGATCTGACTCTATTTAAATTGATAAAGAAGATTCAAGAGACCTTAGTTACAAGAGGACATAGCATGCGATTAAGCGCCTTCCTCAGCATCGTGCTCGGCTTGACTGTAGCGTGTTGGCTACCTAACGTGAGCGCTAGAAAGGCCGCCGATCCTAGTGTGTCGCTGCCGGTGCCCTCCTCGGCCGCTCCGCCACCCGGCCAGGGCATTCCGAAAAAGAATGACATTTCTAGAGACGTGGTCGATATGGCGGGTTTCGTGGTCAACGTCTATGGTCTCAAGCAGTTGAATCAGAAGCAGGGGAAAAAGCCAGAGATTGCTGTTGTCATATATATGCATGGCCGCTTCGAAGACGCCCTCGCTGAAGATGACATTGTCCGTGATCTGTACAGTCAAGTTCGCAGTCTCAAAAAGACTGAATCAGGCAGTCAGGAGCGAGACCTTTTGATTGTCTCCTTCGATGCACAGGACCACGGAAAGCGCCTGACAGATCCGGATCAGCGCGAGGATCTTAACTCCAACCCCAAGTTCCTGTTCGACCAGTACGCCATCCTGTTGAACAACAAAGACTATGCTTCGTATATCATTGATTTTCTGCCCACCTTTTTGTTCCCTCGTGGTGAGCGCAAGATGACTCGCTGGATTGCGGCAGGTCGCAGCATGGGTGGTCACTCGACCTGGCATGTCTTATCTTGTACGTATGCCAAGCTTACATTGTAGCTGAGCCTCGCGTTAAGACAGGTGTGGTCTTTATCGGCATGCCAGACTATAATGCGCTGATGAAGCAGCGCTTGGGACAGCTGAACCTCACCGTCGAGCCGCCATATGTGCCAGACACATTCGCAGCATTGGTGGATCGGACAGACCCCGCCAGGACCCCTTATACAAGCAAAAGTGCCACAGCAAACCCTTTCTGGGGAAAACATATTTTCCAGGCGAACGGCGGTGCAGACCCGCTGGTACCATTTTATCTATCGAAGCACTTCCTTAACAATGTGGTGCTCGGTCCCAACGATCAACTGACCAGGGAATCCTTGGAGATCTTTGTGGAGCCTAACATCCCTCACCAGGTTACCCGGCGCATGATCCGCCTCGCTGCCATGTGGATCTACCGATGGGAGATTGCTAAGTCGCCGGATGTGCCTCTGCCTCACATCAGCTTGAATGCTCCAACCATGTCTCGCCCCCGCAGGCAAGCGAGGGCCATGTTCACATCCCCCCACAACTCTCATTTATGACGCGCGTCCATTAAGGATTAAAATGATATGTTCTATAGACAAAGAATGGCAACTCCCGCTTGCTCACTCGTTATCGTAGCTGGAACGGCAACGCTGAGGCTTGTGGAGGCCTCGACTTTCCGTAATAGGTATTCGCGAGTGTTGTTTACAGGCCACGTGGCTAGGCACCAATTCGGCGACACAGACGGGCCCCACACCTGTCTAGCAACCATGTCGGACTTGGTGTCGCACTTCCCCTCTTCTGAGGGGCTTCACCATCTCACGCCTAATCGGAAGCAAAACGGATTTGGCACATTTGTGCGTCGTCTCGGTGGGGAAGTGCCGGCGGACTCGCCGGAAGTCGCGGCTGCGCGTAAGGTCGTGGCGAAGGTCGGTGTTTCCCCCCGCCGCCGCACTAGGGGTCCCGGCTCAGTGCACCAACCGACCGTGCGCGAGTTTCGTACTCCTGCGGGCACGCGCCGCATTGTATCGGAAGGTGTGTACGAGCACAGACCCAACCGCAAGTTTGCCAACATTGCGCCTGAAACGCTGCTGGGTCCTGTGCCGCATGCGCCTTCGTCGGTCTTTGCGAATGGCAACCCGGCTGATTTGTACACGGATACGTCTGAGAAGATGGCTCAAGACTTTATGCAGCAGAAGAGCCAGAGCCGTGCTCGTACTGAGGCTGCTCGCGCCGAGGCGCTGCGCATTCGTGACATGCGTGCACGCCGTCAGCGTCTGAATGAGGAGGCAATTGCCGCACGCGAGGAGAGGAAGCGTGCTGAAGAAGAAGCGGAGCTGGAGGCTGAAGAGCTCGCAGCTCGTCAGCGCGAGCTGCAGCACAGTTTGTCGAAGCGGACCAGTGCTCCGCCCCGCGCTCAGCGTGACCGCTCGGCTTTTATCGAAGAGGATCAGCCACCGCCTGTGCCGGAGAAGGACCGCCAAATTCACGCGGAGCAGACTTCACGCTCTTATCTGAAGCCGGAGATGCATCCGGCCTCTGAGGTGCGTCCGACTTCTGTGGTTCGTTCGACTCCGGCCGTGCGCTCGACTCCAGCGGTGCTGAACCGTCCCGATATGTCGTACCTACGCTCCTACAAGTCCCCATCGTCGAGCTGGATGGCTGAGCTGGGTCAGATGAAGCCTACCACTGTGGCTGCGATGGAAAAGCCAGACAAGCCAGAGAAGAGCATGGCTGAGAAGGAGTCGCTCACGCCGGCGCAGTTTGCCGAGATTACGATGGCGTCGTTTGCCAACGTTAGCACAGGCTCGACGCTGCCCGACTACCTGTCAAAGCCTTCATCGCTGCTGGACGATACCAAGGAAAAGACTCCTGAATCGGACAGTAAGGAGGTCGAGAAGGTGGATGAGAAGGCGGATGAGAAGGTGGATGAGAAGCCGCATGACCTGGCCGAAACTGATGCTATCGCCAAGGCAGAGGCCAAGGTGAAGGAGGCAGACAAGAGGGAGTTGGAGGCCAAGGAGGCTACCACGGCCGAGGCGCGGGCTGAGGCGGAGGTAAAGCAGGCCCAGAAGGACAAGGCTGACCTTGCCACGAAGGAGGTGGAGTTGGCCCGTGAGGAGGCCGTCAGGGCTAGGCTCGAGGCGCAGAAGGCCCGCAGGGAGGCCGAAGAGGCGCTGAAGGAGGCTGAGCAGATCCGCAAGGAGGCTGAGGAGACTCGCAAGTTCTTTGAAGAGGCTCGCAAGGCTGAGGAGGTGCATCTGGCTGAGCTGCGCAAGGCCGAGGTGGCTCGTCTGGCGGAGGCTCGTAAGGTCGAAGAGGAACGTATGGCCGGAGCTCGCAAGGCTGAGGAGGAGCGTATGGCTAAGGCCCGCAAGGTCGAGGAGGAGCGCCTGGCTCAGCTTCGCAAGTCTGAGGAGACACGCTTGGCCGAGGCTCGCAAAATTGAGACGCCTCGGGTGGCGCCTGTGTCCCTGGCAAATGACAAGCCTATGCCTACAGCGACCGACGATAAGCCATCAGCCTGGTCAGTTAAACCGGTGAAGGAGACGAGCGAGCGCCCCAATGTGTCGAGCGGTTTGCCGCCGTACCTAAAGGAGTCGGTCGCGGCGCTACTCAGGAAGGGCTCTCAGGGTGGCCAGTCGGCGCCGCAGCCTCGTCCCAATTCGCAGCCCAAGCCAACCGTTCCTGCTCCTTCGCCCCAGCCCCGTGCCAATTTGCAGCCCAATACACCTGTTTCTATGCCTTCGACTCAGGCGCCGAAGCCTGCCCCCGTTCCTGCTGTGCGTGATGTGCCTACGACTGTGTCTAGCCAGAGCGCCCCGTCTACGACTCCGACACCCGTGACTCAGGGCGTAGCGGAGGTTAGCAATACGCCGAACAAAACAAATGGCCTGCCCCAGTACCTGAAGAAGAGTATCTCGAGCATGGTGCGCCGCCGCCAAGCGTCTGGTACCAAGGGTCCGGAAACGGATGTGAAGGAAGCCCTCGATGAGCCGCAGACCAAGGCGCCCGTGAAAGAGACGCCATCGACGCAACCTGCTACGCCAAGGATTGAGCTTCCCAAGGGCGAGGCGTCGACACCGACTCCTGGCTTGGCCTCGACCTCGCCTGCCGCCTCCGCTCCTGTGACGAAGTCGCCCGTGGTAACGGCGCCTGCTCGTCCGGAATCCTCGACGGCCAAGTCCCTCCCTGCTAGCGAGCCTAGCAAGGGTGAGTTGTCGCAGCGCTATGGCTTGTACATTGTGGGTGATGCTCCTGGTAAACCTAAGCTGGCTCAGGCAAGTGGCCAGGCTGAGAATGAGTTACAGGAGCCATCAGCTCCTAGTGCCCCCGTCTTGGACGACGAATTTTCGTCCAAGCCGATACAGCCAGCGCCTCGTGATGCTGCACCGTCGGAAACGGGCGTCCGTGCTGCGCCCGCCATCCAGGGCAGCAACTTGTACTCGTCGCTCAAGCAAAGTGAGGACCAGGCTGCGTCGCAGACGCGCTCGGACAAGGGCGATGTTCCGGCGCCGAAGGTGAGCGACGAACCACAGGCGGCCCCTGCTGTGAAAGAGTCGAAGTCTGTTGCGGCTGAGGAGACCAAGAAGGCTGAAGAAGCCAAGAAGGCTGAGGAGGCCAAGAAGGCTGAGGAGGCCAAGAAGGCTGAGGAAGCCAAGAAGACTGAGGAAGCCAAGAAGGCTGAGGAAGCCAAGAAGGCTGACGAGGCCAAGAAGGCTGAGGAGGCTAAGGCTGAGGAAGCCAAGAAGGCCGAGGAAGCCAAGAAGGCCGAGGAAGCCAAGAAGGCTGAGGAGGCCAAGGCTGAGGAGGCCAAGAAGGCCGAGGAGGCTAAGAAGGCCGAGGAGGCCAAGAAGGCCGAGGAAGCCAAGAAGGCCGAGGAAGCCAAGAAGGCCGAGGAGGCTAAGAAGGCTGAGGACGCCAAGACCCAAGAGACCAAGTCTTCGAAGAAGAACAAGAAAGGCAAGCGCAAGTAATGGTGCAGCGCCTAACTGTCCGACTGGCTTGGACCAGCAACGAGATGCCATACAGTACCGCTAGTAGAAAGTTGTTGAATCCGTCCCCCCTATGTCCTGCCGCCCTCCCACAGTCCCACATAGTCGATCCCCGCCTCGGCCGGGAGCGGTCCGTCGACGCGCCGTGCTCGCACACGTTTGGAGCGAGACCGTGTCACGCTAGGAAGTTGGGGGGGCGGAAGTTTGGCCTTAGATGCAGAGGACAATTCCGTCTCCTGTGTTTTAGATCTGTGCTTCTTTGACGTCGCCGTACTCGGCTTTTTGTAGAATTTCTGTGTGAGTCCGCGATACGCACGGCAGAGCGGCCCATAGTCGTGGTTGGAGACAGAGTGGAGGTCGACTTCTTCTCTTCGTCGACCCCGGCGCCAGCACAGAGCATGCGCGTTCGCGCAGCAGCTCTCTGGCGGCGCGCGGCCCCATTGTATACTGGGAGTGTGCGCTGTCTAAGTATGGTACGCGTTCCGCGGCCTTCGGGCGACGTTGCGTTACCTGCCACGCCAGAAACGTACATGGCGCTGCGCGCATCGGCGTACCAGCTCCAGGCCCTTCCAGAGACCTCCTTTGATGCGCTCATCATGCATGCAGGACGTACGGGGCTTTCTGGTCTGATCGCCAGTATCACGGAAGATGTCCTGCAGCACACTGCGGCGGATCAAGGTACACCACGCGAGCAGCGGCTACTGCTGGCCCTGCTGAATGTGAGCAGCACATTCGAGAAAAAGCTTCCGCTCGCACCTGAGCTCGTGGTGCGCCTAGCCAAACATCTGCTTCGCAGTGCCTCCGTGGACTGCATGCCTCCGCATGTGGCCGCACATGTGCTGCGCAGAGCGCTCTCGATCCCGCGGCGCGACGGCGCACATCACCCACTTATCCCCGTACTTGTACAGCATCTGGCCGTCACGTCGACATACCCCCTTCTGGAAGAGGGACTGCATGTGATCGAGTACAGCTTGCAGTACGGCGCAGCCGACCCGGCCACACTGATGCACTATATCTCGCAGACCGCCCAGGTGGACGGCGAGCGCCTCGGCGAACACACGCTACAGCAGGCGCGTGCCGATGGCTTTGCATGGCGCAAGTGGGCCCGTGAAGCCAGTGGCTGGATGGCCGTGCGCCCGCGGCGGCACAGCACGGTGGATCTGCAAACGCACGTCTTGCGCATCTCACTCTGGTCGCTCTGCTGCCGCGTGTGGCTCCGTCTGCAGCGGCCTCTCCGCTTCCGCGCGGCCCTCACTCAGCTGCGGGCAGAGCTGCACCGTGCATCGCGGCTGCTCGCGTCCACACGGACGCTCGCGCCGCCTCCGCCGAGCGCACACATTGTGCGCGGCCTGCTCCAGTCGCATCTGGTCCACCTTACAGGCAAAGGCACGCGCAACTCGGTACGCGCCGCCCTCGCGGCTCTGCGCTCGGTCGACGCGGACGATCTCGTGCAGCTCCTCCCAGGCGTCGTGCAGAGGCTTTGTGACAAGGCTCTGCAGCTCCAGGATCCACGCACAGCCGCGGATACTCTCATGCTATGCCTCGATGCGCATGCATCGCAGCCAGGCGCGGCATCCGCCGCCGCCACGCTCGCGCGCACGATCCGGCCCGCCACCTGGCTCCAAGTGCTGACGCACCTGGTCAGCACTTCGCGACACGCGTCCGCCCGCGCACTGCTTCCCCATGCTCTCCAGGGCGCCGCAGCCTGGCCCAGCCCCCTGCATGCGCAGTGGCTCGCGTGCCTGTGTGCCCTCGATGAGCACGAGCTTGTGCGCGAGCTGTATATGCAGTGGACCGCGTCGTCAGGCGTGCCGCTCGAACCGGCGGGGCGCACCGCATGGCTAGCGCAGCGGGCACCTGTGTCGGCCCTTGAAGGCCTGTATGCTCAGTGCGATGCATGGCTCTGTGCGCCCGAGGCGTCCGCGCCAAAGCCGCTGGGCGACACGCCCCGGCCCCTCGACAGCCCCTTGGCCCGCGCGCCTCAGAGCCTGTTGGCCATGGTCCATCTGTTCGGCACGGCACCGCGGCATGGCGCCCCGCGCGATCGCGCATTCGCCATGGCCGTGCGCGACGATGCGCTTGTGCCGGCCATGGCCGCGGCCGCGACGCCGCACTACCACCTGACCGCACTGATGCAGGCCTCATTGATGCTGGGCGATCGCGCGACCGCTCGGCACATTCTGCACAAGATGCACGCGTGTGGATACGCCCTGGACACCAAGGACATGGCCGTTCTGCTGCGTGGCCTATGTGATGTCGCGTCGGACGACGCGGTCGCTGCGCTGCAGGCGCTGTCGCCGCCCTGGGCAGACGAGGTGCACCTGTATGCCGTGGTCATGGCGCGATGTCTGTACCATGGCCGGGCTGAGCTCGTTGACCGTGTGTACGGGCTCGCATGCGCGCGGCACCTGGGCGCGCAAGTGGCCCAGCAGGCGCCGGCTGTCGTGCTGGCCACGAGCGATGCCTCACCGCCTGCCTACGTGCGCCGCGCCATCGAGCTGATGCGCGATGGCTGGCAGCCTGACATGAGCCTCTTGCTGTGGATGATGCGCTCGGCGACACGCGGGCTCTGCCTCCGCGACGCACAAGACGCACAGCCTGCGCCGGGGCCTGGGCGAGCCGCGCGGCGCGCGGGCCTACGTGCCGCGCTGCGACTGCACGAGTACGTCGCGCGAAGGCACGGCGTAGTGCACCTTCCGACGACGCGCTTCCTCCTGTACCACGTCGCAGAGCACGCACGCCATGTGCGACGCAGTGCGCAGCCGTCGGCGCCTTGGATCGCGTGTCTCGACCGCCTCGTGACCCATCTGCTGCATGTGCGCCTGTGGACGGCATGGGACGAGTATTGTGCCCTCGTACACGATCCCTCCCTCAGAGAGACTTGGACGGCGACGCGCCAGCGAGTCTTGCCGACGCCACTCGCGCACCAGCTGCTGCTCGCGTACCAGGCGCTCGGCGACGAGCAGGGCGTCGCGGAGGTGCTGGATTGGATGCACACCACCGCGCAGGTGCGCCGCCAGGACCTTGCACGCGCGCCGTACCCCTCTCTACAGCGCCTTGCAGCGCGTGCGCACGCACCCCACCTGCGCACCAAGCCGTGGTGGCAGGCAGAGGCGTTCCGTAGTTAGATACCCCGTCCGGAGCGTAGCCTCCACTTTCTCTCCCACCATGCTCGTTGCGCGTGTGTCCCGGCCCGGGGCGCTGCGCGCGGTCTCTGTGAGTCGCGCGTATTCTAGTGCGCCGCCGCGGCTCGTCGGCCGGCCTACCGGCGTGGCTGTTCCGCCAGTACGTTTCGCACACTCACAGCAGCGCCCACTCACGAGTGCGCTCGTTGGGTTCCTGGGCGGTGCGGCGCTCGCAGCGGCCACCGGCCTGTACTGGATCCGGCACGAGTACACGCAGGCGTCTACGTCCGTGATGCAGAGCAGCGAGCGCCTGACAGACATGGCGAACCACGTGCGTGACGTGAGCTGACCACAGGTGACACAGTACCTCGACCGCATCGCCGAGCTGGAGCAGCGTGTCCGGCGCATCGAAAAGCAGCAGATCACTCGCGACGAGGTTACGCACGCTTGGGACTCGCATCGCAAGCTGTATAGCGATATGTTCGAAGAGTCGCACGAGCTCAAGGAGCGCTTGTGGCAGCTGGGTACGTGGTGCGCACTAACGCAGAACACACCATCTTTGCCACGCGCACACGCACTGAGCCCGTAGCCTGGGACCTTGTGCCTGCGCGGCCACCGCCACTGCCGCCCGTGCGTCTCCTTTGATAGAATCTTACATGCCACCTGCCGCCGGTCGAGGCGGCACGTCTGATTGGGCTAAATGGAGCAATTTGCCCTCGCCCGGCCCACACCGTCGCGCCATGTCGGGGGCAGACGAGCCCGCATGGGCCCCGCCCTCCCTGCTGCGGCTCGTGCCGGACCGCCAGCAGCTCGAACGCGAGCGCCTCGCACGCGCTGCAGCGCGCGAGCGTGCGCGCAATCCTAAAAAACGCACGCGCTCTGTCTCGCCGGACGCGCCGTCGAAGGCGCCGTCGCGCGCGCCGCCGCCGCCCGCGTCTTCGCGCTACACGCCGCCCGAGCCCCAGGAGCGTTTCTGGACAGGCACGATTAAGGTGCGCATCTTCGGCTTACCGGCAGGCCACATACAACCGCTATGCGCGCGCCACACGCGCCGGAACCAAGCTGGAGCAGCTGCTCGCTCCGACGACGCCGGACGACCCACACGGTCTACAGCGCGCGCTCCTCGCCTCTTTCGACGTTGACATCGACTGGCTCGAGTCACTATTTCCGCCGTCCGTGCCGGTCACCTACATTGGCCACTCACCCCCCGGCGACGCAGCACCGCCGGGTTTCTATGCGAGCGATCGCATGGCGCACTGGGAGATGTGCATTCCGCGCAAGCCGCACGCGCGCGCATTGCAGCACATCAAGCTCATCATCCTGTTTTACGCCACGCACGCGCGTGTGGTGGTTTCTTCAGGGAATCTCACCCCCCTCGACTGGTCGCGCTACGAAAATGTACGTGGGGCCCACTCACGCAGCTCGTGTATATCCAGGACGTGCCTGCCACGGGGCACCCACTCGCCCTGCCACCACCCGACCCCCGTGCCAGTGGGTGTGCGTTCCGCACACAGCTCGAGCGCGTGCTGTCCTCCCTCAGTGTACCGACGACGCATCCGGCCATGCGCGCTCTCGCCTCGTACAGCTATACGCACGCGACCGCCCACCTCGTCGCAAGCTGGCCCCTCGCGCCCATCGCGCGCGGCTGGTCAGAGATCGAGCAGGTGGGGCTGGGGCGCCTCGCGCATCTCGTGCGCGAGTGGCATCTCACTCTCGCTCCCACCATGCACCTTGAGGCGCAGGGGTCTTCGCTGGCCGCCTACGACCGGCGCTGGCTCGAGCAGTTCTACCTCGTAGCGGCGGGGGCCGACCGGGCGGTGTTGCCGCTGCCTGCGCGGCGCGGCGATGGGCCCTCACCCGAATGGGTGCGCGCCTCTGGCATGGATGGATGGCCGCCCGTGCGCATCCTCTTTCCCACACAGCGCTGGGTCGAGCACGAGAGTGTCGAGGGGCGCATGGGCGGCGGCTGCTTCTTTGGCCGAGCTGACGAGTTTCACAAGCGCGGCATGCGCTCCCTGTACGCGCAGCCCGTGTCGCACCGCGGCAACATTATGATGCATGCAAAAAGCCTTTTGGCTATCGACGAAAAGGCGCCGGCGCATGGCTGGGTGTACACGGGCAGCCACAACTTCACGCGTGCCGCGTGGGGGACCTTGGCTGGCACACGCGAGGAGCCGACGCTCTCGCTCAGCAACTGGGAGCTCGGTGTTGCCATGCCTCTCTCGCTCCTGGATTGGGGCGGTCGCCCCATGGACGCCGTGCCCTACCGACGGCCCGTGCAGGCGTACGGCCCCAGCGACGCGCCATGGGATGCACGTCCGCTGCCTCCCTAGCACGCAAGTGGAGGTCTCGCGTGGCGCCCGCGCTCCTTGCCGTAGACGGTCGTGTCGCCATGTCGACGTAGGTGGACCGCGCTCACAGCAGCAACCTCGCTCTGGCAGAGGGAGAGGTCTACAGCCAGCCCGCCGACACAGGCGTGGGTGTGCATGAGAGCACACAGCTCGTAGCTGCGATCGATGCGCTCAAGGTACGCTCCCGCAGCTCACTGTAGCGCACGACGCATCCCGTCCGCATGGAGGACTTTGCTCTGGTGCATGGGCTCCATGCGCTGATGAATCCGCAAAGCAACCTGTTCCAGCGGTTCAAGCAGCACCACAAGGTGCGCTATGACGAAAAGACCGACCTATGGAGCTACAAAGTGCGTGCCACTGACTCACGCAGCCCGACTACGAGGTGCACTCTCCTGCCGACATTATTGCGCTCCTTCGGTCCAAGTACTACCATCCATCAGCGCTCAACTCCGCGTCTGCTGCCGCTGGCATGCGCCTGGGCGAGCTGCGCGAGTCGTACCCGCAGGCCCGGGAGGCCGTCGAGGAGCTCGCCAGCGAACAGCCGGTGGAGAACCGGCAGGTCCTCGTGCTCCGTGGCAAGCGCGATGGGGCCATCAAGTATGTGTTTTGGAACCCGATTCAAGGCGAGGTCGTCCGGCCGATCGATGGGGGTATGTCGCAGCGCTAACGTGACAGAGTTCAAGGAGCTATGGCACAGTATGAAGGCGCCCGATGTCGTCGACCTGGCGACGGATCTCGAGAATGGTGCGTATCCTAGGCCTCTGACGGACAGAGGGTCTCAGTGCGACCCAGATGGTCGACACGGCCCCGAAAGCGACGGCCCCCCCGGCCCACGCACAGCGTGGCAAGAAGGGCAAGCGCGGAACTGCGCCGCGCAAGTTCAAACTGCAAAATACCCACTTGAAGGGCGTCGATCTAAGCAAAGACTTTGTCAAGCCTAGTTAGTTGCATAGCTTTCATCTATGATGTCTTGTGTTCGCTGAGCTGGCGGCTCAGAGACTCGTAGGGGTCTTCCATGGCGACCGACTCCGCCACTGCCTCGCTGCCGGCGTCCTGGCGTCCCTCGCCGTTCGCCGACGTGGGCTCTCCCAGTATGTTAAAATGCGCATCCTGCGTCGACTGCTCAATCATCTGGCGCGACGACCCAGGGAGGCTGTTGTTAGTGGTCCTCGTGCATACGTACTGGTCCTGTCGACGCAGCGACGCACTACTAGGCGCACCGTTGTAAGGAGACACATCGACGGGCATGCTCACATCGCACTCCTGTGGCTGAAGCGCCACGGATGCCGCTGAATCCATCGTCATGAGTCGCTGCTGAGCTTGCCACCTCACTTCACGGCGGAAACTGATCACCTCGTCAAGAATCAGTTTCTTCATCCCCGGAATGTCGTCAACATTCTCAAAGCTGAAGTCGAATTTGGAATGGCACACCGGCTCATCCGCGGGATCGTGCCAGACGGCCAAGTAGGGATGTGCCAGCGCCTCGTCGCACGTTATCCGCTGGCGCGGGTCGAACGCTAACAGGCGGCGCAGCAAGTCCAGCGCCAGCGGGTTGGCCCTAGGATATAGCTGCTCGAACGGAATGCCAGGTTTGAAGGGAAGCGAGCGGATGTACTGCTGCGCACGTGGGCTGGCAATCCGCTGCAGCATCGCCTCCGAGGGATGGCCCAGATAGTGCAGGATCTGGTTGAGCTGGTCGACGTAGTCGCGGCCTTTGAACAGGGGGCGGCGCCCCAGCAGCTCAGCCAAAATGCACCCAACCGACCACATGTCGATGGCCGTCGTATAGTTCTGGTGCGACAGCATGATCTCGGGCGCACGGTACCAGCGCGTCGCGACATACTCGGTCATGAACTCTTGCTGCCCAGGCACCACCGTGTTCTGATCCGGATCAAATCCCCGCGACAGACCAAAGTCGCAGATCTTCAGCTCGCAGTCCGCGTTGACCAGCAGGTTACCAGGTTTGAGATCGCGGTGCAGCACGTTGGCACTGTGAATGTACTTGAGTCCGCACAACGTCTGGTAAATGAAGCTCTGAAAGTGTGCATCCGTGAGTGGCTGGCCCGAGCGGATCTGTGTGAGTCGAGAGAACGTACAATGGCATGCAAATCCGCCTCCATGAGCTCTTCATACAGGTATATTTCATTGAACGCGGCAGGGTTCGTGATATCCAGGTCATAGAGACATGTGATGTTCTTGTGGCCCCGGAAATGACGCAATAGTCTAGTGTCAGCATCATTTACGTACTTGATTTCTCGAAGTGCACGTTTGGTGAGTATTCGCTTGTTAAATACATTGGAAACGCGCTTGATGGCGATGCTTTCACCCGATGCGATGTGCTCGGCAGAAGCAACGCAGCCGTACGCCCCTTGTCCCAGTCCTTTGATAATGCGGTATGCTGGGTCTATCAAAAACGTCTGATTCAAAACCGACGCCTCAGTACGGTGCGGTCGCTCTGCGGCACTCATTGTGCTGCGTGAACCTGGCCCACAGCGCAATCTGCAGTGAGCACCGCCATGGAACCCCGTGGCCCCTGCGCTTGCCATTCGGCCGAGAGGAGCGCGCACACACCATCGTCCCTACCCTGTGCCAGCAACGCAACGACGCGTGAGCGAGCAGCCATGCCAGTGTGCAAACGATGACGGCTCAATGAATGACCTTAGCTACATCCTCCGGTCGCTCGCGGCAAACAGGATTAACGTCCTCTAGGAATTACCACTCATCCCTAGTTGAGATTCCGGTCATACTGTAGTCGAACTCATGCGACTCTCGAGCACCTCTCTCCCCCGATGCTCTTCGTTCGCCCCTACCCCCACGCGCATAGCAAGCATCTCTGCCATAGCCGGCTTCCCTACGGCGCATCGTGCGCGAGTGATATCACGTGACCGTCGACGTCTCGCGAGCACGCCGTGCAGCTAAGTTGATCCACCAACGCACGCGTCGGGTCATGTCCTCCAATGCAACGGACACAGACGCGTTGCTCGCCCTCCGTCGGTCCTGGAAATTTGCTTCAGTCTGTCAATTTCTGTTTACCTTTGATGAGGTGCTTCAATTAGACGGATTCCAGACACAGGTACGCGTCGGCACGCTTATGCCAGCGACTGGAATCAGCGCTCCAGCTGAATCAGATGGGCTACATTTCGTGGCTCTTCAAGATTTTGCTGCAGTTCCTAACGAATTCAAAGACTATCACGTACGTATGCGCCACTAACATCAAAGTCAAGACAACTGGGCGGATGCCTTTCGGTCTCAATGGAGTATCCGTGCGATCCCCACTGTACAGCCCCTCTTGGGCACAGAGGAGGAGCCCATCGCATGGGAATCCCTGGACATTCTTGAAAAGGTATGTCAAAATGCTGTCTGACAAAAGCTTGGCTGCCTATTTGAGCTCTGCGAGTGGCAACTGGAGAAGCCTGAGCGACTTCGGCGACTTGTCGAGTCGGAGGAAGAGACCATCAGCTGGGTTCGTATGGCATCGTCTAACACGTAGCGAGTGAATCCGGCAGGATGGGACCGGCAAGGCAATACATATTGGCTCTTCGATGACAATCGCATGTGGATCCAGCGTGTGCCGCCCAAAGCTCCGTCGAAGTCCAGGTCAAGGCCGCCCGCCAAAAAGCAAAAGACAGCTAAGAATGCTTCTAAGCTGCCTCCGCGCCCTCGACCAGCCGGTCGGCGCTCTTCACGATTGAGCGGCGCTCATAATTTGGCGTCTGTTTCTGAAGCGGAAGTCCAGGCCGAGGAAGTTTTTGCGTCCGAACCGGAGCATTCACAGCCAACAGACGAGGCATCGGAATGGTTTGAGTTTGAAACGATCTGTATCACAAAATCTGAGTGGACTACTTTTTGTGAGCGTTTTGCAGCGTCAAAACATCCCGACGAGCGCAGTTTGTACAACTATGTCTCCAAAGAGGTCCTTCCCAAAATTTTGGAGGTCATCCAGAGCGAGGAAAAGAAGGCCGCTATGGAAGCAGCTCTTTCGAATCGCAAGCGCAGCTCCCGCATCGCCATGCGCGATAGTGAGCGTGAGCAACGCGAACGTGAGGAGATGGAGCTGCGTGAACAGCGCGCACGTGCCCAGGCAGCGTTGGAAGCGGAAAGAGAACGCATTCTCCGGGAGGAAGCGGAGACAGCGGCACGACGTACGCGCGAAGACCGCATGCGGGAAAGGCAGGAACGCATACTTATCCGCGAGCGCATGCTGGCCAAGCGACAGGAAGCATGGCGACGCTCTGAAGAGGCCCAAGTGAAGGAGGAGAACCGAGAGTTGGGGACGCCGAAGGAGATTGACTCAAACGCTACGTCACACTCCGAAAGCGCCGAGCACAGAGAAGACGCGGACATGCCCCATACAATGCCCACGTCTGCGCCGCCTGGACCGCTTACCACCAACACTCTTGAAGGACTAGAGCGCTCCTTTGCGACACCTGCGTCAGAGAATGGGTCGTACCCGGCCGTGACGGAACCTCCGGAAGCATCCCTCTCTGGCGATCCTGCAAGAGTACATACTGCTCTGGGAATGGACAGCCATACTGTGCCAAAGAACTCGTTGGCGCCGGTCACGCCACCTTATCCAGTTGTACAATCCTCGCCACGAAACAAAAGCCCGTGCGGTTCATTCCCGCTGCGAACGCAACTGCTCCGTTCCCCCTTATCTCAGGCCGTGGAGCCTGTAGAGACACCCGTCCAGATGTCTCTTGGAAACTCTATACTTGATTCGGAGTCATCTTCCGCTCTACGTGAGTCGCCGACGATGCCTCCGCCTTCGTAGTGCTGTACTTCTATCTGACGCAGGGAGGCGAATGTCGGCCGAGATTGTCGCACGTCCCCAACGACCTTGGGAGCCGTCTTCGCTTGACAGCCATGGCATCGGCTGAACAGCCGGCAGGGAGCGTTGCCAATGCGGTACCTTCGGAGACAGATCCCATGTCCAATTCATTGAATTTATCAGAGTCCAACAAAATGGATGATCTAAGTGAGTTGGGTGAAGAGGAGGAGTTTTATGGTAGGTTTGCGAGCCGCTGACGCGTAGAATCCGAAACACCCTCTGACAGTGGCACGGAAGGGTTGACCTGGATTTCATGGTTTTGCTCATTGTCTGGGCACCAGTACTTTACCGAAGTGGCGGAAGAGTTTATCGAAGATGACTTTAATTTGACCGGACTCAACTTCCTTGTTCCCTTCTACAAGGAAGCGTTGGAGATGATCCTTGATATTGAGCCGCGTACGTCTAGCATGTCTGACAGAAACAGAAGACTCGCTTAAAATCCCAGATATTTCCATCGTTGAGTCTTCAGCTGAGCTGCTCTATGGCCTTATCCACCAGCGCTATATCATCACTCGCCAAGGCATGCAGCAGATGGTATGTACTACCCAACTGATAATAGGTTGAAAAGTTTGACCATGGTCATTTTGGCGTTTGTCCACGCGTCTACTGCAATTCGCAGTACATGCTACCATGCGGGAGCTCGGACCTACCTGGTCTAGACACCGTCAAGCTTTACTGTCCAAACTGTATGGACACCTACACACCGCCAAGCAGTAGATATCATGGTATTGATGGCGCTTTCTTTGGAACCACATTCCCTCATCTTTTGCTTCAATGTTATCGAGACCTGGCGCCATCTATTTTAGCACCGCTGCCCACTTCCATGGAAGCCACAGGGCAAGAATCTTCCATGGAATTTGCTTCGAAACCCGCGTCAATTTCGTCTAAGAAGCCCTCTGTACTGTCAGAAGCACGGTTAGGCCGTAAAGAGCCCCAGGCAGACATTTATACGCCGCGGATATATGGTTTTCGTGTTAGTGAGTTTGCTCCCAGCGGACCTCGCATGCAATGGATTCGCATGCGGCCACACACACTGAGCGAGCTCGACTCTTAATACATTTTTGTAGAAGTGAAGCCCCCTACTGCTCTCTGTCGTCGACGTCATCGAGGTGCCTCCATATCCATCCATCCTTTGCCACGTGCCAGTCACGTCTCGCACCTTGCCTCCGCTCGGTCATCCCCCAGGGATGCCAGTCTCGCGCGCGGAAGCAGGCGAAGCGTCTGCACCGGTAAGTCTTGTACCACTAATTTGTAGAATCTCTTTTTGCGACAGATCGCAAAAGATGTTACGGTCCGTGTGTCAGAGCCTTGGTCAGGCTCCAAACAGCAGCCACTGTCTTTATGCAGCATTGCTTCTACCTTAGGCCTGTTGGTCACGGCTACGTCCAGGGGCCTAGCATTGTATGATCTTTCACAGCTGCGTGAAACGTTCAAAAAAGGTGAGCGCAACACTGTCCCAACACCGCCTTCCTTGCATACATTCGACACAGAGGTCTATGTGCAACATGTCACTTTTGCAGATCACGACGCGCGCTTACTTTGTGCCCTTGTCAATGGGAATATCCTGGCGTGGGAAACATCTTCTTTGCGAAGCGGGTTCTCTGCCCCCCTCATGGTTGGACCACCTGAAGGTAACAGCCATTTGTTAGCATTGGAGCCTAATCCTGGTGATCGCAGCACGCTCTGCCTGGCTGTCTATGGCCCAGAGCTCACAACAGCGTCAGGGGGCACAGCATATATATTGGATCTATCCCACAGTGTCTGGAGCGCTCCTTTGCCGTGCGATGGCGTCACTGCAGTAAATTGGTCTACTCGTGGAAAGCAGTTCGTCGCAGGCTGTCGGTCTGGGGAGATTGTTCAGCTCACACCTGAGGGCGAAATCAAAGCCAAACTTCCACCTCCTCCCGAGATCAATTCACCCCTTTATGTGGATGACGTTCAATGGCTTGAAAACCATGTTTTTTTGATCACATACAACACCATGCCCGCTGTTGCTGACGATCCTAGCCACGAATATGAGCTATATGTTCTTCTCCGTGATGCAAAGTCTGACCACCTTACCTATGCTTCTCTACCTCTTGATGTCGCCCCACCTTTTGGCGATACAACGTGGTGGGGTAAGCGTTATACGGCAGCTTTGCGTACATGGGCGGGAACCAAACACCTCATTTTTATGGGATGCACGGCAAGTACGGATGTTGGCGTCATCAGCTGTGATGAATCCTCGGGGCCTAGTGCTTGGAATGCTCTTGAGTTGGAGGAGACGTCTCGTATTGTTTTGCCATTTTCCTCCCAAGATGACTCGTCTGATACGGCACCTTTGGGAATTGCTCTAGATCTCACTGCCACAGAGCCAGTCTTTGATCCAAATGCTGCCGCGAAAGGAGAAGATCCGTCGTCAACGCTACCCCCTATGCCTATTCTCTTCATATACACGAGTGACGGTGTTCTTCTTGGGTATCACATCATCAATACTGAAGCAAGAGACATATACACTGGGATGTTGTCACAGACTTCCAATGGCGTTGAAGCATCCTCGTCTACAGCTGCAGCAGCGCCAGCAACTAAATCTATGGGGACGATTAGCACACCAGCTTTTGGTTCTTCCTCTGACGCATCCAAGACATCTAATGTGCCGGCATTTGGCTCCATGACAGCTTTTGGCAATGCGGCAGGCCATGGAAAGCCTGCCTTTGGTACAACGTCTGCCTTTGGTACAGCTTCCTCGAGTACCCCGGCCTTTGGGGCTACTTCGTCCTTTGGATCGTCTCCGTTTACTTCTTTCCCTGCCTTTGGTAAGCCATCATTTGGATCTGCGTCACAGTCATCTGGGTTTGGTGCTTTTGGCGGGTCTACTTCTGCTTTTTCAAAGGTGCCTTCGAAACCCTCGACGAATGCGTTCGGGTCCGGTTCTTCACAGCCAGCTTCTGGGCCGCCCAACTCTGCTTTCGGGGGTAATTCTGGCTTCTCTAACAGCACAAAGTCAGCATTTAGCGGTAATGCATTTTCCTCAGCAGCAAGCAAGCCTAGTGCGTTTGGGTCGGTGGCCAGTCAAGGAAATGTGTTTGGATCTGGTGGCTCTTTTAATACTTCTCAAGTTCCCGTCTTTGGACAGCACACACCCAAAGCTGTCCCTGAGACACCGAAGAATGAAATCACGTCAAACGAAGCTCCTCCCAAAGAAGATACTCCGGTCGACAAAACATTTACTTTTGGTGAGCTCGACAACATACTTGGAAGGGAAGAACAAGGGAAAGAGGAAAATCAAGAGCAGGATATGTTGGAGGATCCTGCGCACAATGGTGACGACGTGAGTGAGAATGATGTCCAGAACGTTGAGCCAGAGCAGTCAGATACTAGTGAGCCCATTGTATCTGGTAACCCTCAAGATGTGCCTCGTCTTCGGAACGTCAATGATGACATTGCCACGAAACTGGATGAGAATGAGAAATCACCAAGCGCCTCCAATAATGCCAAGGAAGATAAGAATCCCCCAACAATGGAATCGAGTACACCGCCAACAAAGCAGGGAGCTGATACAGCTACAGTTGGGCTTTCTTCTCAACTGGAAGAGCCAAAGGATGCCAAATTTTCTTTGGTACAACATACTGAATGTAAACCTAGTACTGACAGTAATGTGATCGGTTCGACGCAAGATCAAGCCTCAACGGGCTTGCGACCCAAGAATTCAAATGACAAGGACGACGAAATCCAGACAGCCATACCATCGAGCTCTTTACGTAAGGCAGAGCCATCGCAGGGGGGCATATCATCGACACCAGCCTCGCTCACTAACTCATTAGAAGATGCTTCCCGGCCTACTCAGGATTTCTCTTCATCCAGACAAGCAGATGCACCGGTCAACAGCGTGGAGGAATCTACGGCGGTGCCTGGTAACAAGTTGAATGAAGCGCTTGACTCTCATTCCAAGCCTGTAAAAGCAACTCTGAAACCTGAGACAGAGAAAGCACCGAGTTTGTTTTCTCAACCCAACAGGGATCAATCTAGTATTGCACCGGCTTTCTCTTTCTCGACACATTCCAACGAAAAGCCCGGCTTTACCTTTGCCAAACCAGTGGAGGAACCTGTGGGGTTACAGTCTACCGACCTGGCTTTGTCGGACAAGACCTCCTTAGAGCAAGCTAGCAAACAGGAGGCTACTTCAGCGCCGCTGCCCCTAACATCAAATTCAATAAATGGACAAGTGCCTGAGTCTTCGACTCATGCTTCTGGTACCATCCCAAGCGCACATAATGACAGTTCCAATGGCCCCTCCGTTTCTTCGGCATTTGGGACCTCGGCATCGCAAGGATTTTTCACAAAAGCTACCACTAGTGGTATCGCACCGGCATTCTCGGCCCTTACTGGAAATACGGATAAACAGCCGCTTCTGCAGGAAAATCATTCTATGCAGAGTCGAAACAAGCAGGAGGGCCAGCCCTGTCCATCAGTGGTCAACGCTAAGAAGGAAGAACCAACGGGTGTACGTCTTACAACCCCTGTGCCCCAAATTGATTTATCTCAGTCGATTGTGCCCTCTGTCCCAAAACAGGGCGATGAGTTGCTGACAGAATTTATCAAGATTTACGTCACTTTGAAAGAAGAGCTAGATGTATTGAAGGGCCATGCGAATTCTTGTTCGGAGTTTTGTACGAAGCTTGCGCAGCCTTCTTCTTCCCCTAAAGGAGTGGATGATCTGAAGGACACGGAAAGTTGGGTGTTCGCCGATATTGATGTTCTAGGTCCCATTGCAAGAGATTTGACACAGCAGTTGCAAAAGGGTGTATATGATGCATCCACGATCCAGCAACGCTTAGATGGTCTGGACAGTACGCAGCTGAAGTCGGAAATCAAAAAAGATGAAATCGCACGCTTTTTGCGGGCCCGTCAAGATCCAGAATTTGCTAAATTGGTTCGCATTCGGCACCTAGGGCCCGAACATGTGGAAAATCAGTGGCGGCTTCGTCGTTTGACGCATATGGTCCGAGAGCGTATGCAAGAGCTGCAGGAATTTTTGAATACTGTACATCGAAATAACTCGTTGGCCAAGCAAGGCTTATCGACCATGCGTGCACCCTCCCTGGATTCTATCCATCGTTCAGCGGATAACATAACTCGGATTGTTATGATGCGTCTGTCAGAGTTGGAAAGGATAGAGCAAGAGTTGTCCACATTGTTCGCGGACCTTCCCCAAGAGCAGTCTCAACTGAAGTCAATACCACGACCTCTGGACAGTATTACAGATTTGGATGTTGCGCTGCCATCTGTGGACCATCCGCAACCAGAGCAAATGAATCCGATGGCCTATTCAGCTGCTGAAGCGTTGTTGTCTTTCCGCATCGAGCCACTCTTAACAATAGCAGGTGAAACAAAACGGGAAACAGCATCACATACTGTGGAACAGGGGGTAATCGAACTACGTCAAGTCCGTCAGCTTATGCGGCCTCCTCAACCCGAACATGCAACCTTGGAAGCGTCTGATCCGGAGACAAAGCCAGCTAAGATTACTAATTTCTTGGCTACGTCTACACCTCAAGGTATTAACTATGGTGCCAGTGATACTTCCCCCGGCAAATCTCTCAAGTCAGCGTTCCAGACGACAACTTTACCGCTGTTAACATCGAGCAATTCCCTCCTTGGTTCCGTGGCATCTCTTCCGCAGCAGTACACCACTTTCGAAGGCCTGGTGCAGCCTCGCCCTATGGAATCGGAACATAAAGATCTGACGCTTGAGGAGTTCGTTGCTCAAGAAGATGAACTAGATGAAGAAGAAGACGATGACTATGAGGACGATGATGACAGTGATGGGTATGATGACTATGAAGAGGAAGACTTTGGAGACCAAGGGGATTGATTAAGGTTCATACGATAAAGACGCTGAAATACTTCTTTCATCGAATATAGCTGGGTCAATCCATCTCCACACCTCGTATTTATGGTTGAGACCGCTTTGTTCATGTATGGCGAAAGGTCCTCCATCTTGCATGCCATGGCAAATAGGCTGACCATCATTGCAGACACCGCAGAAACCCCCAGTGCCTGGAGATGGATAGAGGAAAAAGACGCGCTTGACTCTTGAGTGAACTAGCGCCATTGCACAATAGACGCAGGGCTCGTGCGTGATGAACAATGACATGCCCGTCAATAAATAATCTTTACCATTTATGGTATTTATAGGGGAATCATTATGCTTTTGAGCACGTAGATCCGCTACCAGGCGCACGGCATTGGGAATAGCGTGTCGTAAGGGATGGTTAGTGCTAGTGCGCGTATCATGGGCCGTCACTTCAACTTCTAAGGAAGCATCATCAGCATCCGATGGAAGAGTCGTTACAAAAACACCAACGCCCAATTCGCCTTGTTCTTGAGCCTTTGAAGCCGTTGAAAGGCATTTTTCAAAGGCCAGTCGAATAAAGCGAATCATTTCTTTATCTTCCCATAGCTTTTCATCTGCTGAGCGGTCGACAGGAACAATAGCACGAGCTGCGTCACTACCGGGTATGCTGCTTTTTGAGGAGAATCCAGCACCAGGTGGCAAAAACATGCACGGCCACACTGCACACCATTCAGACAATCTCTCACGCACAGGAGCAGGTCCCGTAGGTACATCCACAAGATACAAGTTCCAATCCACATCCATGTGAGCAAACGTTTCTTTTAAGAGTGATACTAATTCATCTCTTTCGTGAGCAGACTCCAAGGCAACGAGCATGGATAGGTCTTCAGATTCTGTTGTACACAATTCAATTGCATCTTTTGTATATTTCTTCACTTCTTTTGTCTTTCGGAAACTCCGCAGATGTCGAATAGAATAACGGGGATGTGCATCGCCAGCACGCAGCGTTCCATCCTTCACCAACGATTGTAGAGACTTCACAATAGTAGAGCAAGCTTTCGGGGGAACATCCACAGCCCATGCTCGCCTAGTTTCTAGTTTCATGCGCTTAGGGTCTGGTGACGCAGTCACACGCCACAGGGAGGCCTTGTAATCAATATCAACAGGAGCTCGCCTTGAATGGGTATCACACTCGTCGCTAATATCCAAATTACCAAAAAGGGCACATTCATCTGCTTCCGATGTTGGAATCGGCGACTTCTCTTGTTCACAAGGTTCCCACCACATGGACCCAGCTCCGTAGCAAATTAATAGTTCTTCGCCCTGCTTAATATCGCGAACAGTCCGATATTTGATAGAATTTGTCTTCTTGTCAAGCTCGTAGGAAACATTTGCATTAAAAGAAGTATGATTAAAGAGTGATCCCAGTCCTAAAGCTAGGGCCATTGTACTCCCTTCACTACTTCGCTCCCACACGAAGGTATAGGAGTCCAAAATGGTGTACTTTCCATGCTGAGAATATTCTTGAGACGAGAAAAGAAGAACGGGGCTGATTTCAATGACTGTGTTAGATGGAATAGGTTTGGACGCAAATAGGCTCCTTCCAGCATCGGCAGTATCACATATGCGTAGGCCGAATACATTTAAGTGCGGCGTGCATGGAGGGTTTCGCATGATCCTCGGAAAAGAACCAAATATTAAGCACGAGTGTCTATGATGCAAGTGGAGGCGCGTTCAACGAGCGCCAGGACTACGGGACTTGGCCGAAATGGATACACGATGTCCTACAAATTTACAATGCTTCCATCAGGACGCACAGTGACCACCTCAGGACCATCATGTGAAGACGATTCGATGTCAGCGTGTCGATTCCTTTGGGCTTCAAACCGGTGTTGATATTTCTGGGTGATATCAGCGATCTTTCTGACCAAATTTCTCCGTTGAATATCTCTTACACTCAAGTCAGACAATTTTTGCTTTTCTTGCCAGCCCAAATGCCCAGTCAGCTTGTCTTCATATTTTTGAATAAAAGACCGCAATGGGCTTTGTGATTCCTTAATTACCTCGTAGTCATCAGGATGAATAGGAATGACAATGGTCTCTGGTTCGTCCAGTTCCTTCTCAGTGATGTTGATGACAATATTATGACCTTCAATCCATTCAACAACTTGCGGATACTTAGAGTCTTCATCCCTATCCTCGACAGTCTGGCTTTCTAAGTCGATGTCATTGTGATGATGGATATCGGCAATATCTTGCTCGCCGACCGATTGCAATCGAACCTTTTCTCTGAAACGTCGCGCTTCTGGTGTGTCATCTCCGTCCCAATCGTCTTCGCCAGAGACTTGTACATCTTCCACATCGTCTACTGTCATTGTGCGAGGGAGTATCGATGCATAATTGCTCTTTGTTTCTTCTGATGCATTAGGTAGCACTTGAGCGACAATTTCCTTCTCGGCGTCCTCATCGACAGGTAGCCCTTGCTCTTTACGACGCTTTAGTCCCTCTTGCATGGCTTGAACAACCGATAATTGCCCTTCTTGAGGCCCAGATACGTTGGTTGTAGCTGTTGTATTGAAGCGTCGAACGCGGTTCATCCAACTCGAGTCACCTCCCGTGGTTGTGAGATTCTGGGTGAATGTTCGATTCAGATTCACGTGTGCCTTTTTACCAAAAGCGAAAAATGGGATAGTAAATCCATGGACAATGACAGAAGTGAGGACGAAAAAGTATACAATCGGCTGAATTGTGACAGTAAGAACATCATTAGGTGTTTCTGGCGGAAGTGGGACTTCCTCTGGTAGTAAAAGGCGCCCATATGTACACATGAAAATCGCACCGACACCAATGGGTCCAAAGTAGCCGGAGAAGAGGGCTTCATGAAATGTCTTAATATCAGGAATATACTTCCACAGTGCGACAACAATTGGAATGCGCTTAAGAAGTAAAACTAATATGCTCAAACCAATCAATCTGCCAACACTCAAATGTTGTGCAGCATTGGTGAATTGGCTCCAGGGCATCTCAGCACCGATGTAAATAAACGTTGCAATATTGAATATCAAATCCACAATACTTGAGAAGTTTGAATCTGCTGTTTGCTTTTGAAACCATCCATCCCAAGCGAAGGCAGTACCACATGCAAAGGCAGCAAGTAAATCGTCACTTCCGATCAATACATTTAAACCCATACTCGCCATGGCCAAACTAATGTACTGTGCGACAAAACTTTCTCGATCGACTAGTTTGTGTTTTTCACTGAACCTGATTAGCTTTCTCGCCAGATATCCAATAACGACTCCAATAAGAGTCCCCAGAACAATCTGATGTTAGATTTACACCTCATTAAAAACATACTTCGTAAAGGATTGTCTCTAAAAAAGTTAGAATTAGCATACGTACGATAAAACCATTTTCCCACTGGAAAACCCACTTGTCCGCGATTCACTGTAAGATAATAAGCCAAATACAGAAAAGGGAAGGCAGCACCATCATTACACCCTGATTCGCACTGTAACATATGTCTGATATGTGCCGGAACATGTTTTTCGGCCCATGGGCCACCAACGACGGCTTGCGCGAGAATTGGGTCGGTTGGTGACACACATGAAGCGATCATCAATCTAATGGTTAGATATAAGTACATACGCGCTCAGATAGTCGATACCTGGAATGAGGGCCCAAATCAGGAGTCCAGTGATGAGCCATCCCCATAGCATCACAGGGCCCAACAACATGGAAATTGAGCGCCAATGCCGCCACACATATTTTTTGGGTAACTGGAAGACTTAGTTATGAGCCACTTACCTCTACCCCGACTGCAAAAACAGACAGGGAGATACAGACTCGCATAACTTCAAGAGTGATTTCGCGCGTAATTTCCGTCCCTGGGGCATCGGTCGGCTGATCTCCCCACGTATTTGGATGGAAAATTGACGCAGCGCTAGGACCTTGACGTGTAAGCATACGGGTAAGACGTACCGACAATGATACCGAACACCAACGCCAGCGGTGCTTCACCCAAGTAAAGACGCTCTTTGAAAAGCATTGAAAACATGCCAAACTTGAATGTCAGAGAATAACAAGACATACGCACCAACACAATGAAAAATCCCAAAAAAACGTAGATTATATGGGGTGCCGATGCCTCGGCTGGACTAAAGTCATGCCGTTGTCCATCTAGTAGCTCTGTCATTGAGGATCTGCACAACAGATTTGGCTCAGAGATCTACTTCGACGGCCGAGGAAAGCCAAGAAAGCGGGCATCAATCCACTATAATAATGCGTCAATCTGAATATCAAATAGAATTAAAATGCATCCTACTATGCACATACGCCCGCTTAGCTCAGTGGTAGAGCGCGTCACTAGTACCTCCTGCGAACAGCAGACGGCTTTAAGCCATGACGAGGTCGGTTGTTCGATCCAGCCAGTGGGCAGTTTCATTTTAGAATCTTAAGTTTTGTTTGCCATTTCACATTTGCAGCTGACTATGTAAGCAAGAAATCTTCACGATAATTGTAGTAAGCCCGCTTAGCTCAGTGGTAGAGCGCGTCACTAGTACCTCCTGCGAACAGCAGACGGCTTTAAGCCATGACGAGGTCGGTTGTTCGATCCAGCCAGTGGGCATGATTTTACTCGAGATACTTCATATTTTTTATTTTATTCTTTAGTATGTGAAGGCGCTTAAAAGTGATTGTGCGAAGACTGAAATGCTTTTGGTGTTGATCCAACAATACTACATATGCTCTGACATGATACACACTCAATACGAATCATACCTCCTCAGGTGATTTATCTGAATGGCTCGCTCGCTTACTCAAATGTTCTGATAGCCAGTCAGAAATCTGTAAATTTGGTTAGTACATGCTCAAAGATTGGTAGAACCAATTTCCTAATGGTAGAACGACTTCTTTAAACATACATTTGTTATACGCGATTGAAGCCACGACAACGTAGACTCAGACTGGAGCCGAGGTCGCTGTTTATGCGTTATTATTATGCACATGTAACATACCTTTTGCGTCTCTTTGCCTGTATTTTGAACAATCGTAGAGTTAGGAACATTTTCAAAAGCGCCGCAGTCGTCCTCAGTTGAATTCGATCTCTTTCCAAGCGTTTGGTTGCATGACTCGCCAGACTTGTTGCCAACACACGCCCTCTTTTTCGTTTCCAGCTCTTGTATCCTCGCGAGCATCCGTTCAATTTCTTTCTCCTTTCGCAAAAGCTCAGTATTAGGCCTTCTTGAGTCATAACTTTGGGACGTCTTTATTTCACGCTGTACCTGCTTATCGGAATCCTTCAGGGTTTGAGAAATCTTCTGTGTCGTTTCCGCCTCAACGCTAATTTCTTCATCCTCCTCGTCCGACAAGTCGATGATAAGGGGACGCCAAGACATGTCTTCGATGAACTGAGTAGATGTTCCATTTGATCGTGACTGCCCAGATTGCTTCGAAGATGATGTTGTTTGTTGTCGTGAATTTGGTTTTCTAATGATATCAGGATTTCGATATCTGCGTCCCACGGAGGCTTCCATTAAATGATTCGCCCATGGTTTGGCCTCAATATCTCCAGAAGGTGGTTCAACTTTTGCAGTATACTCATCTGCATAAGAAATTTTCTGCCTCGAGCCCCGCGAATGGGCCATCTCTGCAGCCAGAATTGGTTCAGGTTCAAATGAATTTTCAGGTGCATCAACATCCGTATATTCCAGTTGCTTTCCAGCACTTTGCTTGATTAATTTTTTGAAGTTGGGAATTGTTGGGCGCTGTTCTTGCGAGTCAACACTAGCTTTGGTGATATGCTGAGCAGCCACGCCACTATGAGCGTCAGAGGACCCTTCGCGAGACGACGAAGCTTCAGAATGATGAAATACTTTCGGATCAGATTTTCGTTTCTTGATCGTCTTCAAAGCTGCCATTCTCAGGGCCATGCGCGCGTCATCATCGGCTGTAATTGTAGTTACACTAGGTTGAGGCTTAGGCGGAGTTGATCCAAAACTCTTTTCCGTGTCTAAAATTTCTGACGACCTTTTCGGTGGTTGAAAATTATCCTTCCAGCTGGGAAGTCCTGAGAGTAGCATGTCATCGTCAATGTTTTCCTCATTCATAGTATTATCGTGCGACTCGATACAACACTTTAGTATGGTGCGAGTCCCTTAGTCACTTCACGTGATCTACCTGTCTTCCGCAGCGCTGGCGACCGCACCCCGTTGCGACGCAAGTCATTCTACTATGGTGCGCATCGAGGAAGTCCAAGACGAATCGGAGAAGATCAGGCAGCAAGATCTTGATCTTTCCAATGACAACGAGGATGATGAATGGGAAGCAACTGATGCTGAGACGGATGACGTATGTTGCAGATATGACGCTGACAATTAGGATCTTTCGGATGACGATGACGTGGAAGAGCGAGCACTAGTGTTGGCAAATGAATCTATTTGGGATCGTATTGCTGCACTTAAAGATATCCTTTCTCCATCAACCCGCGCGAACATTGCGAAGGTTTGGAAGACGGGATCTGCATATGGTTTTCTTGGTGGCTGGGTGGCCGGTAAGCTGATTTGGGTCGGCGTTACTTCTGCTCTGCTAGTGGGCTTGCCATTTGCACTCGCTGTAGAAGACGAGAGCCGCTTCGCTGCCCAAGAAAAGGAGATTGTGGCTCAGCAAACTGGTGCTAATACAGGTGCCAGTCCCTTAGCGCCACCTGCAGGGACCAGTGGACAGACGCAGGGTCTGCGCCCACCGGGCTTTTAGTATGCTTTAGCACAATCCAACTCTGCCTATTCTATTGCACACTCTTGCCTATAGTGCCCGTAATAGAATGTCTCGAGCTACTTCTGTAGAACAAGCGACATGATTTAAATCTTAAATATCCAGGAATGCTGGTTAAAAATACACTTCTTCTAGCCACCTATACTTGTACATCTATAGAAAAGGATAAATCCAGCTTCATTGTCCAACAATCATTGTGAAGCTGATCAGGAACAAAAGAGGGTTTATTTATACAATCGATCATGGAGTTGACCTTGGCTTCAGGAGCGACCAGTGAATCGTGTGGGTTTTTTCATGCCAACACGCAAAACTTCACAATGGTATATAGTGTTCATTAACTAGTATCCACTTCGACAGTTGTTTCACTTCGCTTGATTTGTGGAGTCTGCCTTTGCAGGCACTGCCGCGGAACTAGAATTATTGCTCTTCAATATAGCAGCGCCCTCTCCATCTGGTTTGTTACCATTTGATTCATTGGCGGGTAATGTTGGAGTCGTGAGTGCTGGCTGGCTTGATACAGCAGCAGCCAAAAGCGCTTGTCGCATGTAAGTCCAATCGGTCGAGAGTTTCAACAAGTTGGATTCATCAAGAAGCGACATGCGGTATCGGATGAAGCGTTGGTCAAAGTCATCTAGCACGGCCTCTTCATCTCCTTCCATGCCACCCAAGCCAAGCAGACCTAGTCCTGCCCAGCGTCCACCATCTTCATCGTATCGCCATCGTTCAGCTAGCTTCTGCGCGCGCTCCATTTGTTCCTCAACTGATTCTTCAGGCTTCGATTCCGATATCGTATCAGCCTGCAGCTTGTCTTCGTGCATATTATCTTGTTCGATGTCGGTGGCTTGCGTGCTTTGTCCATCACCAGAATCCTCTGAGACCCTAGTACGGTCAGTGGACTCTGAAGACGTGCTGGCACCATCACTGTTTTGCGTCGCATTGAACGTGCTGCTGCGATCATCGAGATGCCCAAAGTGAATAGATGGGTCGTGAGATAAGGGTGCTCGGGGATCTTTCGATGTTAAGGGATCCCACGAAAGATCGGGTGTAGGCAAAAGCATTGGGGCAACCTGTGCTGAATACACAAAAGGTGCATACGACCGTAGTGCATCTACACTAGCCGTTGAGCGCCCTGTCCCATCGTTTCGACGTGCGCCTGATTCGGGCTGACGGCCATAACCAAACGTGGCTAGTGGGAATCCATTTTGATGCTGTCGTGGCCAGGCCCCAATGTTCGCGGGAGCAGGACTAGCCACAACAGGTCGGCGGTCCAAAAATACTCTCCCTCCACGACCTACACGCCGGCGGAAACAAGATTGCCTTCCAAGTCTTGCAAATGGATGATTGGACCAGAAATGGGTATCGTTGTTGTCCGATTGGATGGGGCGGAATGCCCGAACCGAAGGGGGCGCCGACACGGGTTGAAAAGCTGAGTCTGTGAGATCTTCCATTCCAGCATCAGCTTGTTGTTGAGCGGCACATTCTCGCTCGATGAACGCTTGGACAGCGTGAATACGATCCATAATAGCTGAATTGGAGACATTAACCACAGAGTCTGAACTTGTTTTGTTGACAGCTTGATCGGCGTCGCTTGTCTTCGGACGACGAATCTTGAGGGTCGTCGATGCAGAGACTTCGTCAGCTTTGCGCTTTTTCTTGAGCTGAGCGCTGTGAGCTGACATATTGACGGCAACAGGTGCGGTAGGATCCGGCTGCACGGAGAAAATAAGGTTTTCGTCATCGTGACCTTTATTGGGTCCCAGAATAGCCCACTTGCTCTTGAGAGTCAATAACTGTTGGGCCAGTGTCCAGCAAGAGCGACCCTTTATCACTTGTTGTTCTTTCAAACGTTCTCGCTGTGCAACCATCAGCAACAAAGACGTTGCCTGTCGCATTTCAACTTCAAGACGAACAAGTTTTTCAAGTTGAAGTGTGTCCGTTTTCCGAGTTTTTCGGGCACTCTTCACTTCGCGACGTCGGAAACAAACATATGGATCATTCTCGTTGCTTTCGTCAAAGTTCAGCTGAGGCACAATTTGTTTACCTTCACGAGCTTCGCGACGAAGTTTCCACCAAGGATATATCGCGCAAGCACATGGCTTGAGCAAAAACAAATAACGGAAGGGATTTTTAACGGACCACTGCAATTTTTGCTCTTGTGAGTTGTTCTTGACCGCATTTATTAAATGATCGGTTTTCTTAAAAGGAATGGATTTGTTCAAGGTCCCATTGACCACTTGAGCGATGCTGACATCCATTTTTGGCAATTCAGGCAATGCCAATGCAGATGTAGCGGAATCTTCGTCAAATTCATTCAGCAAATCATTCAGGGATGGCATTTTTGACATGTCCAACTCCAAAAGTGGATGACGTTCGCATGTGGTACGCTCAAAAACAAACATAACCATTTCAAACTCGTCTTCCGTTATAATCGTGTACTTCGCAGCATCCTCTTTCATTGATGTTTCGTACTGCTCTTGTTCACCGATTTTTGAGTCTTTTTTAAGTTGCTGCATTTCCTTCCGGACTCCTTCATTGTATTTGTCAAGCCAACCTTTATCATCATCATCCATACAGTATGGTGGACCTTGCGTTGTCGACTCGACAGTATCGGAGAATCGAACATACGTCACAGGGTCTGAGTAAGCACCAGGCGGATACTCCTTATTGTATTGTGCCTGTGATAGTACTTCAACACTTTTAGGAGTAGGAATGTGGTATGTCTTATTCAACACGCCAGGTCCGCCTGTGGTTTCCACTTGATTGGATGACAAGGCTGCCTGGAGATGGTGCTCTGTAATTTCATGGGAGTCAACACCGAATGTCGAGTCTTGCTGATTATCGCTTGACTCAAACTCGGGGTTGATTCCACTCACGAGCGCGTTGGACGCGCCACTAAAGAATGCGCCACGTTGTACGCTTACTGTTGGTGTCAGTCTGTCCTCACGCGCATTTTGAGGAAATAATTTTTCACTCCCATTGAAAAAATTAAATCCCCAAATCTCAATGAGACGGTGGCAATCACCGCTCCAATGAGGCATACGTACTCTTTTGTTTGTAAGAAAGCTTCTTATTCCTCATACGACTACTCGTCATATGAAGAGATGACAAAGAAGCGGGTGTAGCTGGCCCAGCTCCCACACCACGAGTGGTAGAGGGGCTGGCCACAGTTACTTGCGCAGTCATAGCCGAGAAAGACGGTTACTCGACAGTACTCCAGACCAATGAAGGACTAAAAGTACTGTGGAAAGAGCACCGCGTGGTATGAAGGCGTCGGGTAGGGATGCCTTAAAGGATCGTCTCCCTATGACCCGAGCAAAGGTCTGTCCAATACAGTTCTCTCGCCTAAGGGGCGGGAGTCACTGGCGGCTTCCCGAGTCACTCCCGGCACAGAACTCTGACAAATAAAAAGGACAACGGCCCCCCAGCTGCACCCACTGTCCTGGTAGGTACACAATTGGCGTGTTCGTTTCATGTCCATTGGCATGATTACGTTTACGCCACGTGACCGAACACAGATGTGGAGGCTCTATGAGTGATGGCGCCGCTTGCGGCTGGAGGTGCCCCGTTTCTGCCGGGCGGGCGCCGCTCGGCGTCGCTGAAGCTGCGTCGTGAGCGATGGTTACATACCTCGTCGAACTTGCGTTTTGAATATGATACAGATTGTGAATCTCTAACGAGTTCGCCCACCACCGTTTCTGAGCGTTGACTGCGGTTGAGGATCGAGGAAGGTTCCAGACCTCCTCCGACAATGCGGCCAAGTTGGGCATAGGCCGGCATGCCGCGTTCTGCACCGGTACCAGCACTTCCACGGTAAAATCTCTTAGGGTCGAGAGCATTCCTGAGTCGAATGGCCTGGATCTGTTGCCGTAGTTCTTTCTCTGTAGCTTCTCGAGCATCTCCACCAGTGAAGCTCGACTTCCCCCCCTGCGTTTGTGCCTTTTTAGAAGAAGTTTTATAGGAAGCACCGCCAAAAGCAGGCATACCAAACCATTTCGGACCGGCCGACTTGGCGTGGAACTGCGAATGAGCGATGCATACATACCTCTTCGATTTCGCGCTTGCTGCGCCTGCGTGACGGAGTGACGGAAGTGACTTCCAGAGCATGCAGGGCCGCATCTGATAGATCCTCCCTTGGTTTTTCCCTCTGTTTGCCTTGTTTTTTTATGCTGGACTGCTTGACCGGCTTGGTAGATTCTGTGCCACACTTGTGGGCGTCGTCATCATTGTCTTCAAAGCGAATGATATCAGTGCCATCGAGAAAAACCTGCTGATTTGATTTTTCTGCCGTGCTAAGCTTCGCATTTGTTTGGTATGCCTTCCGCGAAGCTGCCAAGAGCGCGTCTTCGTCGTCAGTCATAGTGATAGTGACTGTAGCTAAAAAAGTCGGTGTAAGATTTATTTCCTGAGTGCATGGGGTAGGGGGCCAAAAAAATGTTTCCGCACGTGGCGTCACTTTTGACCGGCTGTCGTGAATCTTCAGATGGCCAAAGGTCGTGGTCGCCGCGGCCAAAATAGAGCTAGCCGGGGCTCTAGCCAAACCTCAACTCAAGAGATTCCCTTGGATGACGTGGATGCCTTCCATGCCCAGCGGGACAAAATTCTGCTGGACGAAGATGCTGCCTCTGACGATCTAGATGATATCACCGACTCACAGACCCGTGAAGTGCTTGGTCTTGCGGATGACGACGACAACGAAGAAGACGAGGAGGAAGACAATGAAGACGAAGTAAATGAAGACGAAGAAGAAGAGGAGGGAGAGGAGGATCGTGATCTGGATCGCTACCGCACCATGATTCTTCCGCCCAGTGTGACGGAGGCTTCGCTGCACCGAAAAGCCCCTCGAGACGCCGCGCATGAAGAGCAAGATGATCCATATGCCGAGAATGAGGACGAAGAAGATCTCGAGCTTGGCTGGGGTGCGAACAAGCGCGCCTACTACAGCGGCAACACGGATAAGGACATGGAGTCCGATTCGGACATGGACGAAGAAAAAGCCCATGAGCTCGAGACCAACGAGGCGATTCGTCTTCAGCGTCTAAGTCGTGTTGATATGGATGATGCTGAGTTTGGTCTTGATACAATCGATGCCGAAGAAGCCCAGATCCAGGCGGATGAGCAGAGCGACGCTGCCAGGGCTCGGCGGCGTCGTGAGCTCGACGACGAAGGCGATCAGACGGCGCCCCCCGAAGAATCTCCCGAAACACTGCAACAGATCCTGCGGATGCGGGCACCCATTGTTTTAGCGTTGGTGGACGAATTTCCCGAGGCCCTTCGGCAGCAGGCGGAGGCCAAAGCCTACGTGGATGCGTATGTGTTGTTTGCTAACCGCAGTATCACGGCCAAAGGCGAGCGCCAATTAGCTGAGATTGCTCACTTGTATTATCAGACGTTGTCGTCCTATACTACGCTTCTTGCGTTTTTCTTCCAACTCGCGTGCCAGGCCACGCTACTCTCCGACTTGGACGCAATCCTTGCTCACCCCGTTCTGGAGCGCCTATCGCACTTCAAGCGTGCCTTGGTGGAGATGAAGCAGCTGGGTCTGTTTGATCCCCGCGAGGATGACGATGACGAGCCGGAAGCGAGCTTGATGGGTCCTGCGACGGAGGAGGATATGGAGGAGTATGAGCAGCTTGGTGATCTGGAGCCCAACGAGCTAGAGGATCTGTTGGCGGACGAAAAGGAAAACTACACGATGGAGGAGCCTGCTCGGTCTGCCCCCCCGAAGAAGGCTCCGAAGAAGAACAAGTCGGCAGGATCGGAGCCAGCCGCGCCTGGGCCAGCCGCCCCCTTGTCGAGCGTTGCGCATGTGCGCTCTGAGGTGCCGAGTCGTCCTGCGCGTGTGTCGTCGCTGGCCATGCCGCTTGAGGAGGCAGACGCCTATGGTGAGCCGACGCAGATGCGCGAGACGGAACGAAAGGACAAGGCAGCGCGCCAGCGTGCAGTGCAGTTCCATGCGACCGGTGTGGATCCTACGCCGTCGGCAAAGCAGCGGTCGCTGGATGGCGATGCCGATATCCCGTACCGCGATCGGCGTCAAATCCGCGAGGCGGTTGCGACGGCCAAGGCGAACCGGGCCGCCAAAGCCAAGCCGTCTGCGCCGCCGACGCTGGAGCCGTTGGAAGAGTGGGGAGAGAGTGACTGGCAGGCACGAGACGAAGTTATGGGTGATGGCAATGATGACGCCGACACTGATGCCGAGGCGGACGCGGCGTATTACGACCTGGTCAGCTCTCGTAAGCGCCTGCGCAAGCAGGCGGACAAGGCCGCGTATGACCAGCGCCGCCTTGACGAGCGTGTGTGGGACGACGAGAAGCTGGCGCCAGGCGAGCACCGCACGATCGACTACACGATCGAGAAGAACAAGGGCCTGACGCCGCATCGCCCCAAGAATGTGCGTAACCCCCGCGTGAAGCGCCGCATGCGTTACGACCGTGCGAAGAAGCGCCTCTCCAGTACGCGGGCTGTATACAAGGGTGGTCAGAGCGCCCTACAGGGCGGCTACAGCGGCGAAAAGTCGGGTATCTCTACCCACCTCGTCAAGAGTCGTAAACTGGGTAGCTAATAGTGCTAGTTACGCAAGTTGCATACTCGCCACGCCACGAAGAATGGGCGCGATAGCTGTGCTGCCTTTGGCCGTCTCGAACGTGCAGAGGCGTCCGTCGACGCCACTTGTGCTGATGGTGTCCACCTGGCCCGGCGTCCCGGCGTACAGGCGCACCTCCGTGATGGTGTTTTGGTGAGTCGTATGCAGCTCGCCGTCGTCGGCGATACTCGCGCCAGCCACGGCACCAAACGACTGGGGCGCATGTTCTGCACCAGAGGCGGGCGTCGCCGCCGTGCCGCGCGAGTCGGCCTGACGGAAGCGCGCAAACGCCTCGTTGTTGAGTCGTCCGACGCCGGGCGCCGCACCCGCTGCGAGGCCAGGCGCCTTGGGCGGCGGCGGCGGCGGCTTGGGCTTGGATGCGGCTGTGCCTGCCGTATCCAGGCTGCGCGTCAGACGCCAGCCCTGCTCTAGCGAGCCCTCAAAGACCATGGGCTGGCAGTCGTGCCCGGCCGCCACGAGCGTATGTTCGTTCACGAAGAGCACAGCCACATACGGCAGGCTCGGAAGGCGTACGACGTGCACGGCATGTGGCGGCGCGTCGGACGCAGACGGATACACGACCGTGAGCGAGGCATCATGCCCGACGAACGCAAGCGCATCGCCGCTCGGGCTGAAGGCGACGCCGTGGACCCAGCCGGCCGCCGGCGTCGCATACTCGCCACACACGGTGCCGAACGGCAGGCGCTCCCCCCACACGCTGGGCGGAGGCTTGGCATCCACGCCCTTGATGTACGCACTGAACACGCGCGCATGATAGTCGGCGGACCCGGTGGCGAGGAGCACGTTATTCGGGTGCCAGTCGAGCGACGACACCGTCGAGCGCAGCGGGCGCTTGATGTGCTTTGCGACCCACCAGTCGTTGTCTTCCTCGAACGAGCACACGGAGACGATACGCGCGCTGCTCGCGACCGCGAACTTGTCCTCGTTCGGGCTCCACCGCACGGCCGTGGCGCCACGCTGCAGGCGCAGCAGGACGAGCGTGGGCTTCCATGTCGTGCCGGTGAACGTCCACACATACGCATTGCGGTCCTGCGAGCAGCTCACGAGGCGGTTCGTGCGAGGCGCCCAGTCGAGACCTGTCACGACCTTGTCGTGCTCCACGAGCGTGTGCTCGAGCACCCACCCGGCGGGCGTCATAGCGTAGATCAGGATTTCATTCGTGTTCGGCGACACGGCCACGCGCGAGCGGTCCGCATTAAAGGCATGCGCCGTCAACGGGCTGTACGAAAGCTGGTGCACCTGGTTCCCCATGGCGGCGGAGGACGAGCCGTCGTCGCCGATAGCCAGTGGGGCTGACGGCGCGGGCATGGCGCGGCCACGTGTGCTTGCATAAGCCGCAGGGCTGCACCGTAGCGACCGCTGGGCGCCATTCCTTCACGGAGACAAGATGAACGCCGCAGTGACTAACATGGCCGTCATGTTCGGCGCGATGCAGATCGCGAAGCGTATCCCCTTTGACGATAAGCCCGAGTATGTGCGCTACGCGCAGCTCGTGTATGTCGTGTCGCAGCTGCTCTGTCTGGGCGTCTTCTACTTCTGCAGCCTACAGGTGAAGAAGAAGAACGACCTCACTGTGCTCAAGTATGTGAATGCCAAGGTCCCGACGGTACGCTCATTTACTCACAGACAGTCACAGGAGCCTGGCGAGCTTGTGACTACGACGCACCGCGACTACGACCTTGCGGAAATCAGCAAGAGCATTCGCGGCGTGCTCATGGGCGTGGCGTTCATGGCCGTAATGCACCTGTACATGGGCTACACCAACCCGTACGTTCTTCCCACTTACGCAGTCTCGTGATCCAGAGCATCATTCCCCTCAAGAATGCCCTCGAGTCCAACATGGCCAAGATCTGGATCTGGGGCGTGCCGGCCACAGGCGACCTGAAGCGCCCCTTCAAGCCGGCGCCGGGTCTGTTCAGCGGTATGAACCAGGGTCCCCAGTCCGACAAGGCGTCCGTTAAGGAGGCCGAGAAGATCACTGGGTCGATCCAAGCCAAGGCCGAGTAGGTGCGCCTCGCGCGTCGTCGTAGTTCTCGCGGCCCTCGTGGAGGTCTCAGTAGCTTCTTCCGGTGCCGGGCGTGTAATGCCTGTGTGTGTCCACTGCGCACGCCCCATCCCGGCGCTCCTGGTGCACTTTGGTTCAGGACACGTTGCTCTGTCGCACTGTGCTGCGTGCGGGCGCATCGCCGACCCGTACCTGGAATATGGCCTGGCCGTCCTCGTGATCGACTTGGTGCGTGCGGCGTCCTAACCGCAGATCCTCATCAAGCCGCGCGTGTACCGGCATATCCTGTACAATATCCCCGCCTCTACGACCCATACCCTTCCGCTCCGAGCACATGCTCGCCGGCTTCTCGCGCTCGTGCTCGTCGAAAGCTACCTGACGTGGTTTTCACTGTGCGTGCATCCATATGCTCCATCCATCTGGGACGAGGCGCACATGCCGCCGTACTGGCCATCCTGGGCACCTGCACCACTGTTAGGTGCTGCACGCGTGACTTGCGTGACGCTGGTGCACATGCTGGCCTTGCACCTGAGCGTCGTGCTAGCTGGCGGTCTCGTCCAGTACGCGTGGTACAAACGCCGCCGAACTCGCGCATTCTGGCGCCTGTACTCGTGGTACCTACCCTCTGTGGCCATGCTGTATGCTAGCCTCAGCACGGAGCTACTCCTGGTCATCCGCCTCGTGTGGGACTCGCGCCTGCCGGCAGGTCGACGCGCAGCAGCGCAGCGTCCCTCGCTCTTCACGCCAGTACACTGGGCAGCGCCGTACGTACCTGCGTGGCTTGCTGCAGGCCCCTGGCACACCAACTGGCTTATCCGACACGTTCTGGGCGGCATGAGCGCAGGCGTGGCGCTGGCCGCGACGATGCCCATGCACCCACTCGCTGGTGCACTTGTGGCGCTCCTTGGCTTTGGCGTGCAGGCGCAGGTACGCGCGTGGCTCGGCGTGCCGGACGACGCGGTGTCGCCTGTGCCACTGTGTGTACCGTAAAGGATAGAGCAGCTACGCTACATATTCATACACATCCTTCTCTCCCTCGACTCGCTGGAGAAAGTCCTTCTCGATGAGCGTGTCGATCGCCTGCCGTGAGTAGCTTGCGCGTACCTTTTTGATATCGGGGATGCTGGGCTGGAAGCGCGCCTGCAGCTGCGTGATCACCTCGGGCAGCAGCAGGTTGTGCTTGAGTGTCTTGCGAGCCTTCATGATGCGCACAATGGTCGCCTGCAGCAGCACCTTACGGTCCTCATGCACGGTCTTGGCAACCTCGGCAGACTCCGCTTTCTGCTCCGCCCGCACCGGCAGGTTGAGATTGACACGGACCTTCTTGGCCTTGAAGTCCATGTTGAGCGAATACGAGTCGTCGAGAAGATGCAGCACCTTCATCTTGACGAGCGGCACGAGGGCTGCGTGCAGTACACTCGGCTCAATACGCGTAGCCGCGGCAATATCGTCCTGCGTCAGCACCGTATGCACGTTAAAAAGAAGCAACACAGCTGTCTGGTATGTAGAGGTCGTGAAGATGTACTTGCGAGGCAGGTAGTTGACATGCAGCTCATTCGTAGACAGGTGCCACAGCCACGTCAGCTGGCGGTGCGTGTGCTGCTTGTAGTAAAACTTGGAAAACTCATCGTGGATGGGCTGCAGCTCCTGCGGCACAGAAAAGGCGGAACTAGGTGCCTGGAGCGGCCACACGCCCGACGTGAGCACAAATACATAGAAGCTCATATCTGTGCCGGCCAGTGCTCCCGTGTCCTGGAAGCGCTCGTTCAGCTCCTTGCTCAGGCCCGCCTCGGTGAACATGCGCTGCAGCTTGGACGTATACTCAAAGCCGCACAACTCCTTGAGGCGCGTGATCATGTGCTCCTCGGCATCCGCGGATGCGGACGCAAACGACACGAGACGCCGAGACAGGAACTTGGCGTAGAACTTCAGGAAATAGTCGCGGTCCTCAATGTACTTGAACACGGCAAGGGCCTTATCGAGCGCGTCGTCTAACGAGCCCTCGTCGTCACCGCGGTGGCTCTTCTTCAGGAGGCCATCCATATAGCGCGCCAGCAGCTCAGGCGACTTGCTCGCCGATGCTCCCGTCGCCTGGTTCCGGTTCATATACACGCGACATGCCTTGTCAAGGGCCGCAAAAAAGCCCGCCTCTGCGTCAAAAGACGTAGTGATCGTGCGCACATTGTGGTCGTACACCCGCAACATGGCGTGGACATAGCGCGACGGGTCGATTGTATCGTTCTCCTCCATCTCGCGGCTGACCGAGTCGAGACCTGCAGCCTTGACATGCACCTCGAGCTTTTGGCGCAGCGGTTCGAGACCCTCGGGCACCTGCACAAGCAAGCGATACATGCGCGCCAAGTCGTCGGTCCGGTCGTTCTCTAGCAGGCTCGAAAACTGGTCCCAAAGGCGATCGCGGTGCCGCACCACGAGCTCGTTGCGGCACACATCCATGAGCGGCCGTAACGTCGAAGCATGCATGTACAGATCGATACGTGCTTCCTCCTCTCCTAGGCGCTCTTCTGCTTTCTTCATGTAGTCGGTCACAGAGCTGCTCGCCAGGAACGCCTGGCTCTCCTCGCGGTAGAACGCCTCCGTCGCTGCAAGGAACGCCTGCTGGAACTCGGCGCGGTATACATCCAGGTTCAGGCGCGTTGCATCTGTCTCGTCCAGGCCGAGCGATACACAGCTGTCGAGCACGGTCTTGAGCAGCGCACTGGGAACAACCGCACCCTGCCGCTGTTGCTGAATCTGCTCCAGCACAGCATCGACAATACGATGATCCGCCTGTAGTGGCTGAAAGACATGCTGCTTCCATTGCACAAGGGCGAGGGTGTACACCGTGTGCACATCTGTCCGGCCCTCTTCCCGCTCGTGCTTGACCCAGTGGCGGTTCAGGTACACGAGCATGCGGTGCACAAAGTTCGCCCCACTCGTGTAGCGATCCCATTGAGACGAGTACAGTTGAAGCAGCTCTAGACCCTGCCGTCCGTCGAGCGAGTGTCGAATGCCCTGCAGGTGCTGCTCAAAGTACGCAGCGACCCGCGCATACAGCTCGCCACCGACGAGATGCGCGCCAGCCACTATACCACTGGCCCCACCCATACCACTACTAATGCAGTAGTTGTATGCGGCCGTGTACAGCTGCATGTAGCGCTCATAGGACATGCCCTCAGTGAGCCGCGTCATCTACGTGTAAGTCCCTTGTCCACCTACCATCACCTCAATGCCGCCCTCGAGAAACTGCCATGTTGCCTCGATGCTGCCGTCAGTAACGACCATTGACGTACTTGTTCGAGGGAGGCAGCGCCGGCGTCCTGCCTACGCCTCGTCCGGCCGCCATGGTCGCTCGCGGGCGCCGTCACTCGCAGCATGCGGCGCGGACGACATATGCTGACTAACCCGGACGACGCCGCCCGACGCGGCTTGCACCGTGCGGCCGCTCGAACAGGACGTCTGGCTTGCGATCATGGCAGCACCGCGCGGAGGTGTGCTGAGGTACGCAGTATGCACTCACCGCAGCATGTTCGGCGCTGCGCAAGACCCATCCATGGTTCCTGCATGGATGAATGGTGCGTCGGCGACAGCCCCTGAGGCGATGGGGCGGGCAGTTTCGGATCGTGCGCTCGACCTGGTGTTTGTGTGTACATCTTTCTCACACAGATTATCGATGCGACGGGATCCATGGGCTCCTAGTATGTGAGATACACTGACACCAGTATCAACGTACGTCTCGCTTGCTCACGTAGTCCGCGACGCGGAATATTGAATCGATTTGTGACCAGGTATGTTCTCACACTAACGACGAGATTGTACAGTCTGAGCTACTTACGGCACCGGATGCGCTACGTGTTGGCCTTATTGCGTACCGCGACCACCCGCCGCAGGACCATGTGTACATCACCAAAAACTGTAGGTACCCCAGGCTCACCACAGTTGGCTTTACCACGTCGGTGCCTACGATGAAAGAACAGCTGAACGGACTCTTTGCGGCCGGCGGCGGCGACGGCCCCGAAGCTATGACGGCCGCCCTCAAAGCGGCTTCGGACCTCGACTGGCGCCCCGATGCGGCCAAGATGGCGATTCTGATCACGGATGCGCCGCCGCACGGCATTGGCGAGTACGGTGATGGCTTCCCGAATGGCTCGCCGGACGGCGAGGATCCCTTGGTGCTCGCGCGCAGCATGTCAGCACGCGGCATCTCCCTCTTTGTGGTCGCGTGCGAGCCAGCGCTCTCCGGATACCAGCATGCCGTCGATTTTTACCACGGTCTTGTGACGATCACCAGCGGTATGCTGGTGCCGCTCACGACTGCCTCACTGCTCAGTCACGTTGTAGTGGCCGCGGCAGGCGAGGTCATGGACCTCGAGCGCCTGCACCGCGAGCTGGGTGACTCGGTGCTCGAGCGCATGCGCAGCCTGAGCCTCGACATGCAAAGCGCCGGGGACGCACCGGTCGCGGACGCCACGTCGCTGTTAGTCGACCAGGTGTCAGTGGAACTGCACGAAAGGCTCCTTCTGCGCAACGAGAGCACCAAGCAGCTGATCGTGGAAAACATTTACCGCGAAAGCGAAGGTATGTTCGTCGCCGCTCATGGCAGAATCCGCGCACAATATCCGCGTGTGGACGCACGCCCCGAATGTGATGGCGGCGCGGCCGCACATCCGCAAAGTCATCGGATCGCGCCTGAGCCCAAAGTTCCTGGAGATGCGGCGCGCTGGGTTGTCGAGCGCCCCGCGCACTCTCGCGCCGGGCCCCGCGCCAGCCCCTGCCGTCTCAGCGCCGTCTCGGCATGTTGTCTCGCACTTCGACGCGTTCCAGGCAGGCCCTGGAATCTCGTTCCTTGGCACGCAGCATGCCACAACCGACTATGCGAGCTTAAGTACACAACGGTACCGCACAGCCGGCGCCGAGGACGACATGGACGACGATGGCGATGACGCGCTCATGCCGACTGATGGCTTGGGTGATGCCAACGAGCAGGACAATGAAATTCGCTTTGAGGGCGACGATGGACAGACGCTTGCGCTGCGCCAAGACGCCATCTCGCTGTCACAGACGCGGCGCTTGGCGCTGCAGTCGCTGTGGCGCGCATCGTGATAATGTAGGCGTGTAGAGTTACTCTCCAGCGACCACCATGGACGCGATGGACACGGACACGCCTGGCCCTGCGTCGCTGGGCGCTGCGCCCTCCCTCGATCCGTGGGACTACAATGAGCAGGTGCGGCAGGTACAAGCCGCCATGCTCGATAGCGACGACGACGCACGCGCCGCGCAGGTGCCAGCGCTGCTGCAGGCGTATGCGGCGAAGGCGGCGGTCATGGCACTCACGCCGACTGAGTGGCACATCTATCTCAGCTCGGCGCATACGCATATGAGCGCAGATGCATGGCTTGATCTGCATGCCCAGAGCACGCAGGACACTTTCGATATGAGCCTGTTTGTGCGCTACGCCAGTCTTGTGCTCCGCCTGCACGAGGCACAGACGGGCCTCGCGTATGAGATGGATATAGACGCGCCCATCCAGCACGCCAATGGGACGCCGTGGCAGCTTGGTGCGCTGACCGAACAGTGGACCGGGCGTCGCGGGCCGCCCCTTCGAGACAACGGCATGTACGAGCGCGCCGACCTCGGCGCTGGCGCCTCGCCGATCTCGCTCGAGACAGCGCGCAGCCTGTTGCGCGAGCTGTATGGACGTTGTGCCTGGCATGGTACCGAGAGCCAGGTCGTATGGCGCATGTACGTGGCCTTTGAGTCCGCGCACTCCCATGGCGACGAAGCGACGGAGCTTCTGCACCAGATGTACATCGCTCGGCTACAGGTTCCGCATCAACGTACGTATTCGAGACTTACGCAGAACTGGCTGCGACTTTTGAACAACTTTCGTCGTTCGTATCGAGCTGCATGCCCTCGGAGGCGTACGAAGCCGTGATGGCCGCGGCGAACCGGTACTATGCGGACTCACTGCGCCTGTGGGAGGAGCGTGAGGCATGGGAAGATGGCGTGGCACAACCACACGCTACGCTGCAGGAGCACTGGCTGCCGTACCTGGCGTGGCAGGCCCATCGCGTCAAGCAGCTGCGCGTGGCCAAGGACAAGTCGCATCTCGGCACCGAGGAAGAGTGGGCGAGCATGCTGTACCGGCGCGCGCTGCGCTGCTACGGCCTGTATCCACTCGCGCGGAACGCCAAGGATGAGCAGCAGTACGCCTCGGTGCCGCCTACACCGGACGTCGAGAAGCGCTGGCGCAACAAGCTGGCCTCCAAGTCGTTGCAGCGCGAACGCGAGCGGATGCGAAAGGACGCGCGCGAAGCCGCACGGCTTGCGGAAAGCCTGTGGCTAGACTTTGCAGCTCTGGTCAGCACCCCCCAGGTCGACGCGTCCGCGCTCTTGCGCGTATGTGCGGATGCCACACGCGCTGTGCCTCCGTCTGGGCGCCTGTGGGCGCTATATCTCCGTACGCTCGTGCGCTTTCAGCGCCCAGCCACACAGGTGCAGACACTGTACGAGAGGACGATCGCAAGTGGCTCGATCGCCGCGGTCGGCGGCGGCCACGCGCTTCTGCCGCTACTCGTCGCGCACATGGACTGCGTGCGTGCGCAAATGACACTTGAGATGGCCACGGAGCACCGCGTGCCGCCGGACCAGGTCGTGCTCGTGTCGGACCTCGATCGCTTCATGCGCCTTTGGGAGCTCCTGGTGCAGGCGACGGCCTCAATGGCGGCGCTGCCGGAAGACGAGCAAGACCCGCACCTGCTCCTCGAAAAGTATGCCGTCGACTGGATCGAGCGTGCGGCGCGTGCGATTGTCGCGTCTGCCGGCATGCCCCCTGGGGGCGGTGACAACCCTGCAGCCGGACTCCTGGAGCTCGCAGACGACGTGTGGACGCGTGCGCTCAAGCAGCATGCACACAACGTATACGTGTATATCGAGTCGGCCCTCTTCTACAAACGCCGCGACGACGATAAACGCGCGCGGCAGCTCTTTAAGGCGGGTATTGCGAAGCACGGCCTCGAGAACAAGCTCGCGCTGCTGCAGGCGTACGTGCAATTTGAGCACGAGCGCGGCTCGCCTGCCGAGGTCGAGCTGGCCGAGGCCAAGCTCAAGGCCGAGACCGACAAGGCATGGCGCCAGTGGCTCCAGTACCAGTCACAGGCCCAGGCTAGTGCGCCCGAGCCGCAGCCCATGGAGACGGAGACGGCCGACGTGCCGAAGCGCAAGGCCGAAGACGAGGCGCCGGCCGACAAGAGACGCGCTGAGACGGAGGAGCCTGCGCCGTCGCGCGACCGCGAGTTCTCGTCCGTGATGGTCTCGGGCCTGCCCGCACAGGCGACCGAGGCAGACGTGCGCACGTTCTTTCGCGACTGCGGCACCATATTCAGCCTCGTGGGTCCTCGCGAGATGGCCGCGACGGACGAGGACGGCCAGCCCACAAGTGCGGCGCTGGTCGAGTTCACGGACCGCGACGGCGCAGGCGCCGCGCGCACGCGCGACTGGAAGAAGGTGCGCGGCTCACAGGCACGTGTCACGCTCAGCTACCTGTGCACGCTGTACGTGACCAACTTCCCGCCGGATGCGAGTGACGAGGCGGTGCGCGCGCGCTTTGCGCCCTATGGCCCGATCTTTGACGTGCGCTGGCCAAGCCGCAAGTTTCAGCAGTCGCGGCGCTTCTGCTACGTGCAATTTGCTACAGAGGCTGCTGCGCAGGCTGCGCTTGCCGAGCATGGCGCGCACTGGCATGGCGAGCATGCTCTGCAGGTTCTGCTCTCGAACCCACAGCACAGGAAGCAGCGCTCGGATGCACATGCGAACGACAAGGAACTGTATATGACAGGCCTCCCGCGCTCCGCAACGTCAGAGGATGTGCGGCAATTCTTCGCACCGCACGGCGACGTCGCGGAGGTCCGCGTGCCCGCGCGACCTGACGGCAAGTCGCGCGGCATTGCCTTTATTCAATTCCACAGCGCCCTCGATGCGCGCCGCGCAATGCAGGCAACGAACAGCACCAAGTTCCAGGGGCGCCTCGTCGCAGTAATGCTCGCCGATGCGGGACGCAATGCGCGCCCCGAGCGCTCTAGTGGGGACGACTGGCGCGCCCGCTCTGTGCTCGTGGCTGGCTTGCCGCCCGATGCGCAAGAAGCACTCATTCAGCAGGCGCTAGAGAGCGCGCTGGGCCCGCAGTCGGTGCGACGCGTATTTTGGACGCCGGGACGTGCGCCGGGGCCGGATGGGACATGCGATAGCCTCGTCGAGCTCGCGGACGCCGAGACGGCAGGGAAGGCGGTGCTCACAGCGCGCGCCTCCTACGCGGGCGCTCCACTGACACTGTCGGCGCATGTGCCGCCGGCTCCGACGCCCGCCGCGCCGCCGCTGGTGCCCCGAGGAGCGGGCGCGGCTCGCGGGCGCCGCGCATTTGGCTTTTCACGTGTGCACACGGCGTCGGACACGGTGCCGAAAACCCAGGACGCCTTCCGGGACATGCTGCGAAAGTAGCTACGTAGCACTAGGGGTATCTTGGCACGCATGGATCCACTCGAGCAGCTTCGATGCACGCTCGGCGCGCAAGGAGAACCACTGCGTCAGCTTCGATCCAGCATCGGCCGCAGGTGCCGTGTCCGCAGCGGGCGGGTCCGGCGCTGAATCGCCCTCCTGCGCCGTCGGCTCCGGGGGGGATGCCACGGACGGCGGGCTCGCTGCCGACGCCAAGGTCTCCATCATGCGCTGCTTGGCCAGCCCCATCATGCTCTGCAGATAATGCGCCACCACCGGCACATGCTCATCGTCGACCCAGGCGCCGCTCTCAGGCAGCGACACAGCTGGTGGCGTCACGGAGCGGACCGCTTCCTCCAGGTCCGAAGCTATGTCCTGCACCGCCTGTCCAGCCTGGACGAGCGCCGGCGACCATAGCATGTGCCGCAGGAGCCAGTTTTGCTTTTGCTTCGAAAACTTCCATGCATGCTTGTCGGTCAGGAACAGCTGGGCGTAGGCGATGGCGCGCTTGGCCGACTCACCCAGCGTGTCCATGCTGTCCACGTCAGGACCAGCATAGGGAATATGTGAACGCTTGCGCTTCCGAGTGCGCTTGCGCTTCTTCGAAGAGGCCCCGTCCTCTGCCGCTGGCTCCGCTGTGGCCTCAGCGGTAGCTGTCGCAGGCTCTGCCGGCTCCGCCGCGGAGGGCGGGGCAGCGGGACACGACTCTATCGAAGCAGGTGCCGCCGCACCATCGCTCTGGAAGCCCACCTGTATACACGACGCGTCTGTCGTGTGGGCATCGGTGCGGGCTTTCTTCGACACGCGCTTGCGCGGGCGCTTGGCCATGGTACTAAGAAGCGACGCGTTGTGGAGCCGTAATTTTTCTACAATTTCACGAGGCAGCCAGCAGTGCCTGTAGCCACGCGGGCTCCAGCTTCGAGACGGTCCGTGCGAAGGTCTGCGACGTCATCACCAGCTCCTCAAATACGATGGCCTGCACACTGTCACTCGATACGCCGCGCGCGCCATGCCGAGAGGGGTGCAGGACACAGGTCGGGTGCAGCTTGAACGACTGGCCCCCCGCGATGCGGCGGAAGCTGCCGTCCGGCTGGCGCAGCGCCACATGGCTAAGACGGCCCATACCAAGGCACTGGAGTAGGTCCGCATAGTTCTGCTCGGAATCCTTAGCGGAGCTGACACCGTGTCTGGTCACGATGAGAGCGTCGTCGTCACTCTCCGAGTCGCCGTCGTCGGGATGGCCCGCCAAGCCTTTGCCCCCCCCACCATCCGCACACTCGATTCCATGCTGTGCACAAATTCGCGTGAGCTGTTTTCGAATCGCCAGCACATTCTTCACGGTACGCTCATGGATGGCGTGCGTCTGGCACCACAGCTTCAGTTCCTGCCGTGCCGCGGCAGGCGTCGGATGCGATTGGAATGCATGCTGCTGCGCTAGCAAGTAGGCTCGTAGTGCATTCAGCATCGTCGCATGGTCGCCACTCGTGTCCACAAATTGGTCCCGTGCGTTCTCCAGAGCCTCGCGCTTCTCAGGATCGCTCACGTCCACGAAGAGCCCCCGATCCGCCGACAAGATCGAAACAAGGTCCCGCGCCTGGCTCGCGACATGGGGTCCTCGCTCCGCGGCGGCTAGAAGCAGACGAGCATACGAAGGTGTAACCGGCAGTGCAGCAAGTCTGTACCCTAGTGGCGTGAGCTGCACCTCGTCCTTGCGGGAATCCACAGCACCGAGCTCGGCCAACTGCAGTACCGCCTCGTGTAGCAGAGACGTGGCTGGTGGCTCGATCCAGTCAAACGTAAAAGGGTCGAGGCTCATCGCATACAGCTGCAGGACAGCGCCAGACAGCTCCGTGCGGTGGATCTCGGAGGTCGGCTGCGGCTGCAGCTCTTGGAACGCCTCGCGAGTATACAGTCGATAGCACTCGCCTGGGCCTTCGCGGCCCGCGCGACCCGCCCGCTGCAGACTCGATGACTGAGACACGGGCAGGACCTGCAGCGTTTCGACATGGGTCTGAGGCGAGTAGACCTTCTCCTTGACCAGGCCCGAATCCACCACATAGCGCACACCAGGAATAGTGACACTCGTTTCGGCAATATTGGTGGCCAGCACAACTTTGCGTGTGTCCTTCGGTGTCGGCGCAAACACAGCAGCAGATGCAGATGGGCCTAGAGCGGCGTATAGAGGACGAACGATCAGTGCTGGGACGCTCTCTTGGCCGTGTTCGTCGGCCCATGCGTCGAGCTGGGCCGCGTAGTGCTTCAGAGATTGGGCCATGGCCTCAATTTCTTCCTGACCTGTAGCAAACAGGAGGATATCGCCCAGCGGCTTGGATACATGTATCTGCATTACAGTGCGCACAGCGGCATCTGTCCAGTCTTGGCAACTTGCTTCTGTATGGTACAGCCGGACTCCGTGTTGACGTCCTGCCACATACAGAATGGGCACAGGTTGGCCATGAGAAAAGAATTGTGCAAAGCGCTCCGCATCAATGGTTGCACTCATAAGAACAATTTTAAGGGGGTACACATTCGGCTCACCAGCCGCAATGCGGGTGCGTCTATCCCGCTGGATTCGCTTGGCGAGTCCCAGCACCATATCTGTGCGTATCGACCGCTCATGCGCCTCGTCAATAATGAGAACTGAATAACGCTTTAAGGCATAGTCATTCGTTTCTTTCATGGCGCGTTCCGTCGATTTCGAGCGCCGACGAGGCGATGGACCCAAAATTTCTCTGATCAACATACCATCTGTCAAAAACTTGATGCGTGTGTGACGAGTCGTGCGATCATCAAAACGAACGGAATAGCCGACCCATTCCGGAAGCCCTGCCCCTGTGTGATCCTGTTTTTCCTTTAGTGTTGCTGGATCTGCACATCCCAACTCGGCAGCGACCCGACGAGCTAACGACGTAGCGGCGACGCGACGCGGCTGAGTAATGCCAATCATTTGTTGGCCCTCGGACGGTAAAATACCTTCCTGAAGCAAGAACTGAGGGACTTGTGTCGTCTTTCCACTACCAGTCTCACCCACCAAAATCACTGTATCATTTTCACGGATGCGCTGCACAATTTTCTCTTTCCCCGCCCACACGGGCAACGCATCCTTTGCATCCATGGCAGGGCTCATCGAGGGGACAGGTGGAGTCTCCACCTCATGGAATTTCGCCCGATCCCGATCACACGCGTCATCGTACTCGCTCAGGCCTGGTGATCCTTGCGCTCCTTCACCATGGACTTTAACTTTACGGGATCGTCACGCCCACAGCGGACGATAAATCTTGGTGGAAAAAGTCAGCCAAAGTCTGTGGCTGACATCGCCGCACAGGCGCGCGCTGCTCGAGCTAATCGACAACAACATAGACAACAAGTCATGGCCGCCACTCGCCTTCAGAGCTTCTACCGAGCTCATCTCACCTCGCGGGCGTGGCGACTTGCGCTTGCACAGGAATTTGACGAGATGTTTCCCAATATTGCGGATCATGATTCTTGGATCCACGTCACGCGTTTGGCTGTCTTCTGTCAGTCTCCGAATACACTCGAACATGTATCTCGTCTCGCTGCATGGGCCCATATGGCTGTCCAGACGGATGTATGGTCGGATTCTGCATCATGGAAAACGCTATTTCTGATGGCGCTCCGGTTATCTATACGTGCTCTCTCTTCTGGTATGCTTCAGCATGATGACGCACATGCTCTGTTCATGCTTGTTGTGCACACCTTAGCGGGAGATCACGGGGAGCTGCAGTGCTTCCTTGTGTATGGCATGCTCAAGGAAAATCTGTATCATGCACTCCGTGTACACTTTGTGGGCCTGCGAAAGGAGGCTACCCCCGAGCAAACTGTTTGCGTGGATGCCTTCCTGCAGCCTCTGCGCCTATTTCCTGGCCCAACTCATGGGTTTGCAGAGGTTCCCACCGATCCACATGCATCACCACGCGCGCTTTGCCTCTCTGGATTCACGGAAGAAATACTTTCTATCCCAAATCTTTTGCAAAGTATGCCTATATCTGCCGTAACTCAGTTCTCAGCATCGCTACCAGTGGATGATGTGCTGCAGCAAGTCTGCACCTTGGGCACCTACTATGACGTGAGCTCGGGTGACAGCAGTCTTCCGACCAATCCGATTCATTGCCCATATTTACTGGCCAATCTATTGCCACTCGTCTCCATTCGCGTCAAGTCAATGGGAGGCCGACAACTAGCTCAGTACCTCGAAGCTTTGACGATTCTCCAGAATGCCTTGGACCGTTCTATTTTCGCAGACCAATCTTCCACCAACGCTCGTGCATTTTCACAACTATCCACGCTGGTATCCCATGGCCATCTCTGCTCTATTTTTGTCGCGAGCAAGAAATACGCAGTGACATCGCGGCCGGCATTCTTTTCCTTCTTGGTGGCCATAACACAGGCATGGCCTTCTCATGTTGCCGAAGATGTTCTCATGACTGTATTGTATGGTTTTGAGGCTCAGCCTTCGTCTGCAAGCGTACCATTTGGGGCCGTCGCACGAGAGCTCTGGCGCGGCTGGGTGCGGTCTAGCTCACTGGCGCGCACGATAAGTGCACCCGGCCATGACATGGTCTACTATGCAGAAGAGTTGCGAAAGCAAATTATCAGCCCAACTTTCGCCACTGAATGGCCGATGTTACTGCTACTTTGTATGCTATATGGACGCTGCCTACTGACTCTGGGAGACGATGAATTTTACCCTCCTAGGCTTCCGTCTAGCTCGAATCCGCCAAAAAACCCTCTGACACTCGATGAACTTGTTGATTTTAGTGCCATCTTGCGGAATATGGTCTTCTCTCTGTTCTGGACAGACGCCTCAATCTTCGACCTTCATGTCCCTGGCACCCGCCTGACCTTAGGGGAAACACAAAGAATGGCGACACGATTACTTCGACAGCTACATACACGCGATTCGCGTCGCTCCTTCGTGCCGCGAGGGCATTGGCACCTATTGCGCCAACAAGACCTGGCCTCGTTCATCAAAGCGGTTGTGTTGGAAGAGCGAGACCTGAGTCGTGTGGGCAACGAGCTCACTCACCAGTCCATTATGTCTGAGAGGACGCGTGCATTTATGACGCCTCGTTTACAAGTGCTTGAACAGATTCCCTTTGTGATACCTTTTGAAGTCAGAGTCGAAATCTTCCGCCAGTTTGTGCGGAACGACGTTGAGCGTCTGGGAATTTCGCGTGACCTTTTCTCGCCATTCCAAAGGCATCGTGCCACTATTCGACGGGATCATATCGCTGAAGATGGTATGGCGCAGCTGTACGCATTGGGACCCCGCCTTAAAGAACCACTCGAGATTGTGTTCATTGACGCATGGGGTCAGCCAGAGGCAGGTATTGATGGCGGTGGCGTTTTCAAAGAGTTTTTGACTTCGATTGTCCATGAAGTTTTCAACACTGACCGAGGCCTTTGGTGTACCAATGACCGGCATGAGCTTTACCCCAGCCCGTACAGCTACGCCCAAGCTGAGGAACAACTAGTATGGTATACCTTCATTGGTCGCATTCTTGGGAAGGCTCTTTATGAGGGCATCCTTGTGGATGTGAAATTTGCAGGGTTTTTTTTGAACAAATGGTTGGGTTTGCAAGGGTATGTGGATGAATTGGCCAGTCTAGAAAGCCTGGATAAGGACCTGTATCGTGGCTTGATTGCTTTGAAGAACTACAATGGCGATGTGGAAAATGACTTCTCACTCAATTTCACTGTCTCGAAAGACGAATTTGGCGAGCAAACAGTACTAGAGCTGATTCCAGGGGGTAGCGAGATTCCTGTCACGCGTGAAAATCGGCTTTCCTACATATACCACATGACACGATACCGCCTCACTGTACAGATTGAAGCGCAATGCCGCGCCTTTTTTAGTGGATTGAGCGATCTTATCGATCCGCGCTGGCTGAAACTCCTGAATCGAGAAGAACTGCGCATCTTACTATGCGGTACAGAGAGCCCAATTGATCTGGACGATTTGCGTCACCATACTGTCTACGGTGGATACCACGAAAAAGATGTCGCTGTACAATATTTCTGGGAAGCTCTCGCCATGCTGGATCAGCCCTCCCTCAAAGCATTTTTACGGTTTGTAACATCATCACCAAACCCTCCGCTGCTCGGCTTTGGCGAGTTGAACCCTAAATTCGCCATTCGGCATGCGGGGGACGACCCCACACGGCTGCCAACAGCAAGCACATGTGTAAATCTCCTAAAATTGCCTGCCTATTTGTCCCGTGAACAATGCTTGGAAAAGCTAAAGTATGCGATCCATGCAGAAGCAGGCTTTGATCTCTCTTAGAATGAATCTAGATATCAATGGATTCCGCGTTTCCAGCCGGGTTGCTCCCCGACTGGGCAAGTGGAGCCGCCATTATTGCTTTTCTCCACATATGGGCCGGTCCTTTCCGTGTGGAGAAGTTCCCAAGGCCGGGGTAGGCGGTGGGCGGAGGGATAAACCGGCTTGACCGACTGGAATTTTTTTAGGGTGCCTCCATACCCCACGTCCCACAACACTTCCCAGTTGAAGCATGCAAGCTTTACTTTGATGACACCATGGATACGTCAAAGGATACTGAACATATATTTCAAATAATTCAAGGCACTCTTAAGCGTGTATCTACGACGGATCCGTTGCAACTCGCGCATTTGTGGCATGGTATGTTTTTTTGTACTAATGCCAGGTTTCACTCACTGTAAATCCTTGCTAGAGGATGGTCCCCGGTATGAGAACCTTGCATGGCGTCTTTGGCATCAGCGCGCAAAATCTCCTATTCTCCCGCTGCCCAGCCACGCACCTCTAAGCGCAGAAAACATTGGCAAGGTGCAGAATCCTTTCTATTTGCCGGCAGTACTGTCCGAGCCTGAGTTTTCAACGGATGGGTCTTGCACGAGTGATGGTAGCTCTTCAGGCTTTAAGGAAAACGAATTCAAGCATGTGATGCCAAAAGTTCTCACAAAGCAGACGTGGGCAGACGAGCTCGTCGAAATGGCTCGAGAGGCAGGCTCTCGGCATTCCCATTCTACTTTGTCTTCTGCGCAAGACAACGAACATGATGTGGCTGTGGACGATGATGAAACAGTGCTGGGATATGAAACTCGTTCTGCAGGCACGCCTATTTCAACGTCGGGTACTATCACGCCGCATGGCATGCGGTCAAGGGCCAACTCGTTGGCTACCTCACCGCGTAATGTAATGATAAGCCCACAGGGACCTAAACCCTCTGTTGCTGATGCACGCCTACAGTCTGCATCCCTGGCGTCTTCCATGGTTCCTCCCGCTGTCACAGTCCATGCCGCGCAGCCGTCGCGTATGCCTCACGCGACTACGGCACGTTCAAACCTGCCGTCGATTACTGAAAAGTCTGAGGCTCCTACAAAATCTGCCACCACGACCTCACTTGCCGGCCGTCAGCGCCGGGGACGGGGTCTAAAGAGTGTGGAAAATTTGACAGCCATTCGTGGCAATGGGAAACCGGTTTCACGGAATAGTATGCTTCAGATGCTGGGGCCAACCGAGGATGGGACAAAGCGGGACAAGTTGAAGAACAAGAGAAAGAAAGCCAAAATTATTTTTACTGTTGGTGATGTGTCGGATGAAGAGGATAGCAAGTCGTCGACCGCGGCCAACGATGAGGACGAATGGGCCAGTGAGGATGAGGAAGAGGAGCAGCGGCGCCGAGCTGCAGAGGAAGCGGCTGAGAAGGAACAGCGGGCGAAGGAGGAGGAAGCAGAGCGAATTGATATGTTCCGGAAGCGTCCAATCCGTTCCGTGAGTCTTGCTGATCTGAATATGGTAGAAAAGGTGGCACAGAATGCTCCTCATTTGCTGCCCCCACCAGAGTCCGGACTGACTCGTGGATTGCTCTCGACTATGTTCCATACTGCCGATACTAATCACACTCGTGGAGCAAGCGTATCGGGGCCGGGACGGGTAGGTCGTTCGCTGCGCTTGTCTCAACTGCCGCCGCGTATGGATGGCCATGAGCAAGGTCGCAACATGTCAGTTCCTGCCTTAGCCCAATCGCGGTCAACTAATAAACTCTCAAAGATATCACAAGGACCTAACCTGGAGCGTAGTAAGAGCGTCATTGCATTACCACTTCTTGATTTGACGTCGCTGCGCTCTTCTACTGCCACGGCCCGCTCGGAGTCGCCCGAATCCACGGTGACCCGTGATGACCAATGTTCAGTGGCAGGTAACGATGATGAAGCGCATAGCCCTGTGAACCGCACAAAGAGTTCTAATGCTCTGGCGAGGCTGTCGGCTATTGCGCAACGCGGAGCCTCGGAAAACGAGCCAAGACGACTAGCCTCGCTTGTTCGCTCGTACAGTGCCATTGGCAACCTCATGACGGTAAAAAGCACGGTGCCGCCGTCACCCACTCTAAATGAGGATGAGGAAGGACCATCTCTGGCAGTGCAGGCGGACGACACACAGCCTCGAGTAACCCGTGTGCCTCAGCCGGAGCTGGTCGCAACGCTTCACCAAGATGAACCGGATGCAGAGGGGCATAGAACGCCGGTGGCAGACGTAAGGGCCCCTGTTCCTTCACCTCATAATGCACGAGAGACCATGATGTACAATGAGCTCTCCGAGAGCCTGAAGCAAAACCTAATCTGGGAGCGCCAGTCGCGCGCTCGGATCCTTGGCTTGACCCCTGCCCGGCCGCCAGAAGGTCGCCGAGCGTCGTCAGGCGGTGACATGTGGCCAACAGTAAAAAAGGCCCAGGAAGACGAGTCGTTTCATCACAAGGGATGGTGATTGCCCTTAGGCCTGTGTGGGATGCGGGCCTGATAAAAAACGCTTTAGAGTACATGTACAGATACTATAGCTCATTGTGAAGAGTCGACGAGGCCCCCCACATCCAAGATATCCAGCTTGGCGCATGAGTACCCCAGGAGCCAAGGCCCACGCCACTCGTGCCCCGCGAGAGCAGCCGCCAAGTTGTTACGATCAGCAGTGTAGATCCACTAAGAGCCATCACAGCTAGCAGGCCGGTGCGCCAGCGGACGCGGACAGTCTTCAGTGACCGACCTGGTGTAGGAACAGCACCACGCGGATCCATAGCAATCGTCAAGATGAGACTGTAAAGCTCAGCCACCTCGCCCAAGCGGGAGCTTACGTTCAGAGGACCAGCCCCCAGGTGAGGCACGTTCAGGCCAAGTTTACGACAGTACATATCCGGCTGCACTTCATGTCTCTGTCGCGCAAGATCCAGATCAGATTTGGTCGCAACGAACAGGGAAGGGAAATGAGCCAGATAGGGGTATTGCTGGCGCAGATTTGAAATGTAAGAGAACGAATGTGTGTCGCTAGAATCGTAGACAAACACAACTGCACTCACATGCGCCAAGTTGGCGGGATTGCGTAGAGCCTCCGCTTCATTATGCGATCCGTACTCTTGCATTACAAGATAATGTTCAGCACCATCATGCTCAATGGCACCCACAGCTCGCTGTAGTCGGTGCGTAGGTGCGTACTTGGGTTGGAAGGGTTTGCCTGCCAAATTCCGCAGCAAGGCCGACTTGCCGCTACCGGGCGCTCCGAGGACAAGCGCTAAAAATACACTGCATTGCTCTGTATTGGAGCGCCTGCGGTCTCCAGGGCGACGAGGACGCACAAGTTTGAGAGCAGACGTGGTGAGCGAGGGTGAGACGTCTTGTATAGGCCTAGAGCCCACAGCAGTACCATCAAACCAGGCGTAGGACGACGGTGAGGCGCTGCTAACCGGAGGCATTGAAGCGCCATTGGGCGAGCGCGATGGAGAGCTGATATTCATGGCATTCGCAAAGAGCGGGTACCCGAGATACGCAAGGTATGCCAGGGTGGTGCGCGGTTCAAGCAACGTCGTCATACTCCACTGGGCGAGCCAGCCCTGGAGTGTCACGGCGCCTGCTTCGTCTGTGACGGTGCTGTTGGGAAATCCTGCGCCATTCCATGGATGCTGGCCACCGGGTGCCGTGACGAAAAGTTGCTCTAGCTCGTTGGGACTAAGTGCACCGTCATGATCCTTGTCGTGAGCCTTAAAAACCTCGGTGAAGAACTGGTAGCCAGCGGGCGAAAGTTCCACAGCCATGCCGTGGGGTACATCAAAAGGTGGATATACATACGCATTCGACAGGGACAAATCCATCCCATAACCGAACGTCCATAAAATTGACCATGTGGTTTCGAGTCGGCCGCGCTGGACAAAAAGAGTATGCAGGTAGAGGAAGCCGGCGAGCGTGAGCCCATTGTCCCGGATATGTAGCGTATTGCTATTCTTTTGCCCCTGAGAAACAAGTTCCTTGATACCCTCTAGCTCTTGCAGATGGAGCGGAGCATCGAAACACACAAACTGAAAGTTGTTCAGTTCTTCGTCACTGAGCACACCATCTTTGTCGGCATCGCACAGGTGAAAAATGTTGCGCAGTGCATCTACACATGCTGGCTTGAGGGTGTGCGACCGCGAGTCATACAAAGGCGCTGTCGGGTAGAGCACGGCCTTCTGTGCATAAAAGAACACCTCGCCGACATTGAGCGACAGCTTGGCACTGCATTCAATGCACGTCTCCAACTCTTTGAATTCAACCATAAGTGGCGCAATCTCCTCTTCCAGTGCGTCTTCATCATCGTCAGAAGGCCGCAAGTCAATTTTGTTGCCGACGAGCACAACAGGCACGTTAATGCCGAGAGAGCGCATGAAGGGAAGCCAGTACGACGAGATACGCTCAAAAGAGTCCTGGTCGATCACGCTGTACACAAGCACAATGGCATTGGCACGACGCATCTCCGTTTCCACGCGCTCTTGCTGCGTCGTTCCCGAGCCCGTGTCAATGATCTTGGTCGTGACACCCGCAGGCGACGCATCTGACGGCAAAGTAATTTCGGGAACAACTGCTTGCACATCATCAATAAAATGCTCCTTAATAAGAGACATAATCAGCGATGACCTACCGACGCCAGGGTCGCCGGCAAGCACAAGGCGGATCTCCTGTCGCATCGCGTGAAGTTGTGATGTCGAGAAAGTTCGTGCCTTCTGGTGCTCCACTCTTTATGGTACACGCCTCCATGAACGCGAGACGGCGATAAGGCTACGTTCAAGGCCTGGCGTGTGGAACCATGTCGCTGCCGGAATATGCCGATAGCAGCCCTGCTTCCCCAGGGATCCGGGGATGGCTTGCTCGAACGAAAAAATTACGGGCTCTTTCGAGATCCATGACACCTATGCCGCTGCCTCGACCGAAAGAGTTCCATATATCCTATGCTGCCGTGCTCCTAGGGTTCCTTAGCAATGTACTAGATGCAGCCTCTATGGGTCTCTTGGTGTTTCCCGCAAATGGAACCATGTTTGAAGGCTTACAAGCGCAGAGTATTGCTATGTTTGTGGCATCGATTGTTGTGTGCCAGAGTGTATTCGTGCTAGGTGGTACCAACTTTAGTCAGTCCCAAGGTTCCATGCTTGTCGAGGTGCTGCCCTTCATGCAGAACATTGCCACCAAACTAGCGACTGTGATTCCAGACAACAGAGATGCCTTGTTGGCTACAATCGTTGTTGCCTATGCCCTTTCAGCCCTAGTGTTGGGGGCCTTGTTCTTGTCCCTGGGCTTTTTCCAGATCGACCGATGGATTGCCTACTTTCCTGAAACTGTACTGGATGGCGCACTAGGTGCCATTGGCCTCTCCCTTTTCCTTTCAGGATTTGAAGTGGCGCAGCGCTCTTCGTTCGAGTGGACAGGAGAGTACCTAAAGTCTCTCTTCACCTCCAAGGGTATGCCTGTGGTTGTCTCCGCATTGGTATTGACGGCCATGCTATGTTCGGGCATTCGCGTCAAGAAACGAAGTGGGTCCACAAAACCCCGTTGGAATACATCGTTCATTCGCCGCTTGGACTGGGAGTTTCGTCAGATGTGTTCTAATCCCTTTTTCACCCCCGCCTTCAACTTGACTGTCGGAATCGTTTTTTGGATCATTGCCCTGATCAGCCGCAGCTCGATGCAGAGCCTCGTGGAGCACCACTGGCTCTTTGTAACAGTTCCAAAGGGGGCTACGTTGGGCAGTCGCATGCGATTCTACGAGTTTTGGGGTCTGTATAAATTTCATCAGGTGCAATGGAGTGCCCTGAACGAGGTGATTGTCGAGATGATCGTCTTAATTATCATTGGCGCGCTAAATCTTCCCATCTACTATCCCGCTCTCGTGGAAAATTTACCGGACGTGCCACGGACGGCCTCTATCAAGAAGGAATTTATTGGCCATGGTATAGCCAACATTCTGGCTGGTTTATGTGGTGCTTTGCCAGTGCTAGTGGTCATGTCCAATACGCTTTTTTTTGCCCGTGCGTATGGCAGGAAGAGTGACAGTGTTCTTGTGTTATTCGTGACGTTCTTGTTTTTTGTCTTCTCTAAACTGTTGCTTCCTTACATCCCCGTCCTTTGCGCAGCGCTGATGGTGTTTTTCTTTGGTGTGGAGCTCATGGCGGAAGCGCTCGTGCCTACTTGGTCCACCAAGTCTCTATTGGAATACATGGTCATTCTGGGGACTATGGCAGCTTGCACGGCCCTTGGATTTGCGCAGGGCGTGGGCGTGGGTTTGGCCGCCACACTTGCGGCTCAGGGCTTTGAGCACCTAGCTGACTATGAAATCCGGACATGTTTTGTGGACCTTTCCACTTTTGTTGATGCTCATGTCTTGTCGCCCAAGGTCTTGGAACGTCTAACCGATAACCAAGACCAATCACCCCAGATTGGTGTTATTGCATTGTCAGGAACCACAAGCTATACGGCGGCATCAAAGATCAAACAGGCTATCCACACTGTTCAGCAGCATGGGTGTGCTGCTTTGGTCATAGACCTCACATTCACGGTGCGAATTGACCGTGTAGCTGCGACGGCTATCGCAGTTGAGCGATCAAACACGCATGACGGTGTATCGAATCATCCTCCTGGATTCCTTCTTGGAGTTCCAACTGGCTCACCACGTTATGAAATACTGGCACAGAGCGGTGTTGTTTGTCGTGATCCATCCGTCGTGGACGCTGTAACAGCTAACCAAATGATTGCACGCAGCGTGTGGCCAATGGGCGAATTTAGTCATGTACTAGCATGGCTCTCCGCCAAAGCTACTGTGACGCACCCTCGTCTTCCACGTTGGGCGCGTGAATCTCAGACCCCCATCGCCATGCCAAGCCCGGTTCGAGAGGTAAGCATGTCGCGCCGTGAATCGTACGAAATTCCCCTCACGCCTCTACCAAATATACCCCCAGGAATGGACACAATTGATTCTACATTACCCCTTTCGACACAATGGCAAGCTTGCTGGGATCAACTTTGCTGCTCTGTGCAATCCGATGCCGTCTCGATGGTGGCAAAGGACTTGAAAGATTCTGAATCCTTCGATGAAAGTGAGATGGGTCCTGTATCTCCAAAAGAAACACTCACATGGGCTAACAGGTTTGTCCCTGTGCTTGAAAAATTTGGACACTTGAGCTTCTATGAGCCCCGTACCAATTTGGCAAACTCTACAGATACTATGCCGGATGTGCGTATTATCGTTGTGGGCTGCATGAACTCTCGCTCGAACGTTACCCGCATTTCTACATCCCCTCATGCAAGTGCCTCTAGCCCTGCCAGCAAGGTTGATCGGAGTCCTGCCGATTGGGCCTCGTTGCGACCTCGGCTTCGTCGGCGTCACACAGACTCGGAGATGGATACATCTGGCACAAAAACGGTTGTTGAAGCGTTCTCCCAAGGTGACGTCGTGGGATTGTCAGAGCTTACCTTCGGCGAGCCTTGGTCAATGGATTTGACAACAGCAGGACACCTTGGGAGCTCATGCATTACCATTGATTTTTCGGCCGCAGACGTACTAAATAATGCAGAGTTGGCAATGGCACTAAACACCTATAATTCGCACAATCATTTCCGAATTCACCGTATCCAGGATATCTATTTCCAGGCTCTAGGCCAAGGAGAACAGTACAAGTGGTAAGCGTCTAGTTATTTTATGTTGCTACGTAGTTCAGCTCAGCTACCTATGGCATAGTCCACAGAATTGTTCACGAAAATTAACACTATTTTGATAAGGCCATCTGCACGTGTATGCCCGATCGATATATTCGACCAGTCACTGACGGTACCTTTTGACGCCGAATCGACATTGTGGCAAGCAGTGCTTAAGGCGATGAAGAGCAACCATACCAGATGGGTGAGCTCTTTAAACGGTGGCGGTGTTACTACACCTGATCCTAAATTTCCAATATTTGTATCCATTGATGCTGGGACATATTTGCCCCGACTCCCTGACGAGTTCTTTGATGACTTGTGCCAAACATCCGATTATTCAATCGCAGAGCTAACCAATTCGGCAGCAGAGAATTTTGAGAAATACCGTCGTGACATCTGTAAAGAGCTTGAGAAGCTGGTGTCTCAGAAGCAAACAGAGCTTGTCGCTCGGATGAAACAGATCCATGAAGACATTGGCTCGGAGATCCAATCGATAAGAGCTCGACATGCGTCGGAAAGGACAAGTGAAGGGGAAGGGAGCTTTGCCAACGACGATGCTATATTTATGAAGCGTTCAATGAATGACTCTTCTTTTTCAGTCAAGCCTTCGGGTGCGCTTGGTGCCTCCTTGGCAAGAACCAACGGTCAACATTTTCCAGCATCCTCCTCCGTGTCAACAAAGACAACGAGATTGAAGGCTGTAGACTCGCCAGAAAAGGCTGCTCCTATCAAATCTGAAAAGCAGAACAAGGTTAGTCATAAAGTCAAGTTCGCTACAGAGGAAGACTTCGACATGGAGCTCGAAGAGAATGGTACACATGATGGTGTTTTCAATATTGACGAGGACTTAGAAACCGTGAATTCATCTGTGCAGCCATTTGCGACTGACAAATGGCTGGAAGATGACAACGAGGATCGTATTGTCAAAGATGAATCTGTGGGCCTTTTACATTCAGGCCTCGCTGCCTCTTTCTCCGCTATTCCTAATTCTTACAGGAATCAGGGAGAGATGCCAAGCAACAATCACTTTGGTGACAGCGAACTTCAAGGGCCTTATGATACAAAAGAATTAGATGCGCATTCTCGCCCGATGGCTTCGCGTCGCAATAATTACTCGAAGGCCACAGAACATGCAGAAGAGGACCTAGCTTTGGTTGGTGCTGCCATGGCTAATGCCCCTTCACATCGACATTTGTTGACACGCTCGGCGGCTATTAGGGTAGCTGAAGGTCATAAATCCTCCCAGCATGCCCAAGACTTGGTTGAGTTTTCGAAACTCGCGCAATCTGTGCCATCTGTTGGTGCCATCCAAATTCAAAAATGCGACCAAAACTCTAGCGTCAAGGAAGGACTGGACAGAGAGCCAAAAACTAGTCTGCCATACAATGAGAGGCTTATTGTTCCCTCTCTTCTTAAAGCCACTCGAGGAAGGAAAGCCTACAGAGACCCAACTGCAAGTGCTGGTAGTCTATCGCAAAATATGCCTGGAACAAGCAGTGTCCGCAAGACTGGATTCCGTATATCCAGTTCTACACATGATTCCCCATCTCGTGCGATAAGTAACAGCAATACCCTGCAAAACATTTCGATGGTTGACTTGCCGCCAGTCCCTGATGTGCCTAGTCAGCATATTCGCTTGGAGCCATCGAACACAATCTTCCCTCATGATGTCCCGGGAACCCAACACATGATCCAACAGGAAGACAATAAAATTGTCTCTAAGTTATTGTATTTCACACATTATCTTCAAAATTTGAAGTTATCAAAGCGCACAGGTTGGTATCATCATAACGTTCCTTTCCCTGAATCCATCGCAGATCACATGTATCGAATGGCAGTGTTATCAATTTTGATTGAATCGGATGAGATTGATTTTCGAAAATGCTCTATTATGGCACTGGTTCATGATATGGCTGAGGCTCTGGTGGGAGACCTCACGCCCCTGTGCAAAGTGGAAAAGGATGAAAAGCGACGTCGAGAGGTTCAGGCGATCCACTTTTTGACGCGAGACCTACTGGGAGATACACAAGCTTCTCACCGTATATATGACCTTTGGCACGAATATGAAGAACGCAGCACGCCTGAAGCCAAATTGGTAAAAGACTTAGATTGTTTCGAGTTGTGTTTGCAAGCATATGAATATGAACGCACACATAACATCACAGATCTCCAGCCATTTTGGGACGGTGCAGCGCCAAAAGTGTCTCATCCTGAAGTACAGCGCTGGATGGGAGCACTTCTTTCCAAACGAGAGGCCATGTGGACATCGCGGGGAGTGTCCTACCGGACACAGGCGTGAAACGCGCGCTTCATGTCGAAGGTGGAGTAGGTTCATAATTCCTGCACGTGAGAGAGCCGTATGGTTGACCGTTACCATTGCGACATCGGCGCGGCTAGTGTCGTCTCCGCATGGAGCGACAGTATCTCAGCAGCAATAGGCGAGCCACTAAGGTGAAGCAGTCACTCAGTCCATCGTCAAATAAGCCGGTGCTACCTAGTCGCAGTCCTTCGACCTCGTCTCCCTATCGGACTCCCATCGCAGCCACTACTTTTTATGGCTCGATGCCAGATGGGCCGACCAAGAAGCACAAAGGCGCGACCTCTTTGAAGGTCTCAGAATCATTGGAAAACATTTCTGCAGATGACAGTCATGATGAAATCGATTTTTTGTCACGACCAAAGAACCTTCACGAACGAATGCGGCCAAAGACAGGTAGCGTCACGACGACACATCCTGTACCATACCAGCCCATGGCCGTTTCAATGAAGATTTTCGCTGTCATGGTAAACGAAGATTATTGCTATAAAAAGGAAGATTTTGAGCTTGTTTCATTTCCCTCACACATGCTCTTATTGTTACAAGGAGTGGAACGCAGCAAAGTGGCGTGGCGAGATGTGCAAGGTTGCAAGGTAGGTACAAAGAAGTATGTGATGTTGGCTTTGGACGTGGCACGCGAGAGCTCTTCAGGTCGATCTGTTGCGGCTTTTTGTGCTGCTCAGTTGGAAAAGGTGCATTTATTCCTTTTTCTCGAAAGCAACGAAGCATGGTCTATGTGCCAACAGCACCTCCGTTCCGCCGTTCAAGTCCAGGAGATGACAGACGATGAAGGTTTAATTCTTTGGCGATTATTAGAGTCAAAATTCCCAGATTCGATGGCACAAACGCAGTCGTCCTTCCCCAAGCGCATAGACCCCACGAAAAAGCCGACCCCCATCATGGTCGGTGAGCGACGTCGTTTGCAACAAGAGAAAGCGAATGAGAACGTTTCTAATTCTCAAGAGGGAGATACAACGTCAGTCGAGAGTACAAGGCATTACACACGCGCTCGCACGCGCTCAGAAGCCAAAAGTTTGACAGCTTGCGACACTGAGCCTATTCTAAGATACCCTTCGTCTGGGCCTTTTGCAGTTACATTACTGCAAACAGACTTGGATCGCCTTCGAGAAAATGAATATTTAAATGACACGCTCATTGAATTTGGATTGCGTTTTCTGCAAGAACAGATCAAAGCCCGAAACCCAACGTTGGCTCAGCAGATTTATGTGTTCAATACTTTTTTTTATCAAAAGCTAACCGAGTATCGGGATCGTTCCAAATCCTACGAGCAAGTCCGGAAATGGACCAACCGTGTAAATATGTGAGTGTTTTTATGCTGACCCAGATTTGAGAAGCGATACATTGTTGTACCTATCCATGAGAACATGCATTGGTATTTGGCCATCGTTGTGAATCCGCACATGATCCTTAAGAAGGGCAACCCTATTAGCTCGTTGAGTTCGGGTTTTCATCGACGAAGATCAGCGCGTCGACCATCTGGAGGGACAGAGACGCAACCCAGCTCTGACTCTGAGAGCCTCGGCATGAAGGACCATCCCATTGTGACAAGTGCAGATGACCAGGGTGAGAGCACCTCACCCCTCCCAAATATGGCCACCCAAGACTCAGACGTGGAATACGAGTCGACTTTTGTGTTTGTCCTAGATAGTCTAGGCCTGCACCATGGCCCGGTCAAGACAGCGCTGCGGGACTATCTTCGTCTGGAAGCCCGCGCGAAAGGTGCTGTACCCGCTGATACTGATCTCAAAACGTTGGGGGACCCCATCCATGTGGATGCACGGGTCCCGGAGCAACCTAACTATTGTGACTGCGGCATCTACCTACTGCATTTTTTCGATCGCTTCTTTTCAGATCCCAATCAATTCTCACGCATTATACTCGCCCCGCGACGTGGATTCAAGAATGCCCCGGAAGTTTCCGAGGCGTGGCAGCAAGATACGATCGGAAAGAAACGAAACTGGTGGCGAGATCAGGTGTTGGCGTTAAGTATGGAGTGGACCCCACACCAAAGCGAATCATAGTCGCACATACAGTTCTCTCAAACAACCGCTACTAATAAGATGTGTTCACATAAAGTGTACGGTAGGAGATGCAATGATACGACAACAAACAAGCAAAGCATTCCGCGTCCGGTTCTACCTATAAAAATAGGACGGGGCTGGCGTATGCCAACTATTTAAGGGTTCTCGTTGGCCCAGTTGACACCCTTGCTGATGTTCTTGGCAAGGTCAGGGAGGCAAGCGTCCACAAGCTTCTGCTCCTCGGCGCTCAGCTGAGGCAGAGCAGGGATCGAGGCGACACCTTCAGTGCCGAGCTCAATCGGGCTGGCGAAGAACTTAGCCTTGTCAGCGAAGAGCGGGCTCTCGACAAAAGCGCACTCCTTGACGCCCTTCTCACCATTGAGGGCCTTGAGGAGGCTGTTGGCGAACACAGCGGCGGCGTAGGCCATCGAGAGAGTGGCCGAGCCCGCACCGTCTTTGGCCTTGACGACCTCGTCACCGCCGAACTGGATGCGGTGCACAAGCTTCTCATACTGCTCACCAGCAGAAATGGACGAGCCCTGCTGAGCCTGCGAAAGAAGGGGCACAATGGTGACACCCGAGTGGCCACCGATCACAGGAACCTTGGTGTCGTCAGGGTTCGAGCCAGCGAGGCCAGACAGGAAGGTCGACGCACGAGTCACATCGAGAGTGGTAACACCAAAGAGGCGCTTGGGGTCGTAGACGCCAGCCTTCTTGAACACCTCCGCCACAATAGGAACAGTCGAGTTAACTGGGTTCGAGATGATCAGCATGTGCGCCTTGGGTGCGACCTTGGCAGCAGCCTTGGCCAGGTCACGCACAATCGAGGCATTCGTGTTGAAGAGATCGTCACGAGTCATGCCGGGCTTGCGAGGGACGCCGGCAGGAATGAGAATCACCTCAGCACCCTCCAGAGCCTTTTCGAGATCCTCTTGAGGGTAACCAGTGCACTAGCATATAAGCAAAGACAACATACCTTGCTAGCAGTGTTAATGTGGTCAATATCCGCAGCGACACCGGGAGCGAGACGGATGTCGTAGAGACGCAGGTTCGAGACGAGCGGGTTGAGCTTCATGAGAAGCGAAAGCTACCATATTAATAGGGTTCATACGTACGGGCTGGCCGATACCACCCGAGGCACCAAGCACAGCAACATTGCGGTTGGCAGTAGCCGACTGCGAAAACAGACGGACCGAAACGGGGGCAGCCACAGCAGGCGAAGTACGGAGAGCAGCACGAGCGAACATGGTGTAAGTTAAAGAATACCTCTACATCACCTAAGCCTTGCCCGGGCCTCAGGCCGAACGTCCCCGAAGAAAGCACGTGCCACATGGTTTCATAGACCTTGGTTTGGCCGGGTATGATTTGTAAATGAACCAGGCGCCAGGTGGCACAGGTGCCACAAATTAGAGTGCCCCTGCCCCTGCCCCGCATAAGCCAGCCCGACCTTGCTTCAAAAACATCATCATGTCTTCGACACAGGTATGTACTAGGCCTGTTCTCTCCCTGTCTCTGGGAGGCAATTATATTCTCGTCGTTGAGCAGTGCTGACTTTTGACGCTTCTTTCAACAGGCTGATCATCACGCCAAGAAGGATACCGTGCATTACGCAATCGAAAACCACGAGTACGGTGGTGCTGCTTGTATCCGCGACAACTACACCAACAAGGGTATGTATTCTTCTACTTACTCTAGGTACTGGTTTTAGCATGGAAGAGCGACTTCGCCTTGGTCTTGAAGGTCTGCTCCCGCCTTCCGTTCAGACCATGGACCAGCAGTTGGAACGCATCCACCATCAGCTGCTTACCAAGGAGACGCCAATCCAGAAGCATATTGAGCTAATGAACCTCCGTCAGAGGAACGAGCGCCTCTTCTATGCCTACGTCATCAAAAACTTGCTAGAGACACTTCCTTTGGTGTATACTCCGACAGTTGGCGAAGGCTGTCAGAAGTTCTCGAGCATGTTCCGCCGTCCTGAGGGTCTTACTTTTACTCTTAAGGACAAGGGAAACATCGCTAACTGTGTGGCGAACTGGCCGCGCCCGCAGGACACTCCGCGTGTTGCTGTGATTACCGATGGATCGCGTATCCTCGGTTTGGGTGACCTGGGCTGGAATGGTATGGGTATCACCATTGGCAAGCTGTCGCTGTACGTTGCTTGCGCTGGTGTGCACCCCCAGTCGACCATGCCTATTGCTGTGGATATCGGTACCAACAATGAAGAGTTACTGAATGACCCGCTGTACCTCGGTCTGCGTCAGAAGCGTGCTAGCGATGAAGAGCTGACGGAACTGGTTGACGAGATTATGTACGAGCTGAACAAGCGTTATCCATTCTTGATCATCCAGTTTGAGGACTGGAGCAGTGCCAACGCCTTCAGGTTCCTGGACCGCTACCAGGAGAAGTACCCCATGTTCAACGATGACATTCAGGGTACCGGTGCTGTGATTCTTGGTGGATTCGTTAACGCGGCCCGTAAGTCATCTGAGGCTTCCGGTAAGGCGCTGGAGGACCAGCGTATCCTTATGGTAGGCGCGGGTTCTGCTTCCGTCGGCGTGGCTAAGCAGCTTATGAACTTTTTCACGGAGCACGGTTTGACGGAAGAGCAGGCCAAGGACCGTATCTGGACGACAGATTCCAAGGGTCTTGTTACCGCGAATCGAGGTGATGAGCTGGCCGAGCACAAGCGGTTCTTTGCCCGCCACGACAATGGCGACAAGCAGTACAAGGATCTCGAGGAGATCATTGATTACGTGAAACCTACCGCTCTCCTTGGTATGTCCACGGTTCGCGGCACTTTTACGCCGGAAGTGCTTAAGCGCATGGCGAAGCTAAACAAGCGCCCCATCGTTATGGCACTGAGTAACCCCACCAGCAAGGCGGAGTGCACATTTGAAGAGGCCCTGAAGTACACGGATAACAAAGTTATCTTCGCTGCCGGTTCGCCATTCGACCCTGTGGAGATCGACGGCAAGACGCGCTACTCTGACCAGGGCAACAATTTCTACATCTTCCCTGGTGTGGGTCTCGCTGGTGCATTGACTCGCGCCAAGCACATTACAGAGGCGATCATCACTGAGTCGGCCATGGCTCTGGCTGACTCAATGAACGACAAGGAGAAGGAGATGGATCTCCTGTACCCTCTCCCTGAGCGTGTACGCGAAGTGGCCCATTACATTGCGTTCCGCTGCATTAAGGCGATCAATAAGGCAGGCCTTGCGCAAGACGATGGCTTCACTGCCGGTCTGTCTGACGACGAGCTTTTCAAGTGGGTCCACGATGAGATGTGGGTGCCTTCCTACGACCACTAAGTGCTGTTGTGAGGAAGCTAACTGACATGGTACGAGTCGCTACCGAAGCTGTTTCACTTTGATATCATTGCGTAGTTTATTTTTATAGGTTTTTGTCGCTCCACACACACATCCCCGATACTCGATGCCCCCAAACATTCCGAGCAAGTATACTCAGCGGCAAGTCTGGCTACCTATTGTCCTTGCAAGCAGTGCGTGCGTGGCGGCAGTGGCCTTTTATCGATGGTCAACGAAAAAGTCCGGCCCTGATGAGAAGCCAAAAACAGCGCGCAAGCGCACAGCAGTGGTGCGTATCCCCCTGCTGACAACATAGCTGAACCCCTCACTAAGTCTGTCGCTGCCAGCGGACCCGACGTGGACATCCAAGCCGGTGCCAATGGAATTCATGGATCTGGTGAAAAGTGTGCGTTCGGAGTATGATCTACATGTTCTGGTCAATGCGCCGAATGGACAGTCTTTGGCGCTCCCATGCGACAAGGTGTTGGTCTATTCAAATGCGCAAGGCCGCGCAATGACGCAGCGAGCACTCAAGTGCCAATTGCACGTCGAGCTTATATTTGTTGACAAGCAGGACTGGATCGCCTGGGATCCCAAGGACGAACTCACAGCATACATGGATCGCCTCAACCAGTTAGCAATGGTTGTCGGCAAGATGCTTGTCGTATTGATGCCAGCAGATCCTGCGCCAAACGCTATTGCCCTTCGCGACCTAGAGCGCTCATGGGAAAAACATGCACTCTCACATCACCCCCAAACTTATTGGCTGGACCTTCGGCAGCCGTCGTGGCCTGGACTTCAGGATGTGCTGAGACAAGAGCGTCTTGGTTGGAGCTAGACTGACTCCTGAAAGGAGAGAGAACTATACAGGGTATTGAAAGGAACAGGTGAGGGCCTCTCCGCACCATGAACAGGTGACTGGGGCGTTATCTCAACAATGTGTTCAACTTGAGTGTCCGGCCGAAGTGGCACAGGCTCCGCAGCGCATAGAGTATGTAAATGACTTTCCTGGATATTGGTTGACTGGATTGATTCCACTTCGAACATAGTTTGACAGAGAAGCCCTCGCAAGACGGCCGCAGCTCCCTTCTTCGAGGACACCTCATTCCCATGCAAGCATTGCGGTGTTTCGATGCAGGAAGGACATCCATCTGCACATTCACATGCCTCAATCACGCGCAGCGCAATTTGGACAAGTGAGTCCAAATGCTCAAAAATCTGGTTACACAGACCAGCATGCAATCCGGGTTTGTCGTAGAAAATAAGACGCGAAGGACGCTTGCGTCTCGTTGTACGCGGGCTCCATTCACGAATGGGAACTTTACATTCCGTCAGCACATCGCCAGACGAACTGGCTACAAACAGAGGAGTAAGGCTCAGCACAGCGTGTTCAGCCGCGTGGATTGCGGCTGCCGCATGAATGCCCTGTTGGGCGAGTGCCTCCACAATATTCCAAGGCACATCAAGCCATATGCCCTGCGTGGCACGAATCAGAGGCTCTGCATCCACGTCGATCGTATCCAAAATATTCGCGCGCCGATCGACTTTGTAGTAGCCCCAAATATGGTTCTTGATATCCACTTTGCCATAAAATGCATGCCCTTGTACGTGCACGAGGGAGCGGAGACGCCAGACTTGACAAGCATCCACATCGGTGTAATCGCGGGGCCGTGTATGATAGGAAACGCGAGACGCTAGCATGTAAGCACATCGCTGGTCGTGGTGGACTTCTTGGCATACGTAAGTTGTTCCCTGGTGAAGAAAGACAGCGCCAGGGTAAGCCTCGAAGAAAACGCGCTCGAGCTCGACTTCTTCCAGTAGTGACAGTGTCGAGGCATCCAAGTAACGGTAAGTGTCTTGCCGCGCTCCCCGAATAGCAATGTCAGCGGCTGGGTTGTCAAATGTACTTCCACGAGGAAAGAAAAACCCCTGCTCGTCGCGATCCAACAGGCGAGTGCAAATCTCCATGCATTTTTCCCCGAAGTACAGTGAATCGTCGTCATTGAGTGGCACTTCGTAGGCAGCGCAGAGAATATGTTGTTCCAGAAGCAATTCATTGGATGTATCCAGCCACAGGGGGGCGTGCGTGCCGCAGAACACAAGTTCTGGATGCCGCATGTAGTACTGGTCCAATGGGAATGGCTCGCCAAGAAGAACAACCAGGGCATCGTTTCGGCGGCGACCGGCGCGACCAGCCTGTTGCCACATAGATGCAAATGAATAAGGCATGCCAAACAAGAGAACGGCATCAAGCACGCCGATATCCACACCAAGTTCCAGAGCTGAAGTGGCGACAAGGCCCAAGAGATGACCAGACGCCATATCTTTCTCTAATGCGCGCCTTTCTTCGGGTGAGTAGCCTGAGCGATAGGCTAGTACGCGAGCTGCGAGATCTGCATGGCCATCATGCAATAGGTCCTCTCTTATTTGACGGACGATGATTTCACACGTGCGCCGCACCTTCGCAAAGATGATTGTGCGTATGCCCTGCTGAATCAAGTAGCGAAAGAGACGTGATATTTCGGTGTAAGAGGACACGCGCCCATGACCAGGATCCTGGTCATCAATTAGCGGGGGATTCCATACGGCCCATTCTTTTTGACCACAAGGTGCTCCGTCCTCTTGTACGACCTGAATAGTGACAGGATCTAGGGCTAGCAATTGAGCAAGATGGTTTGCGGGCTCGGATATAGTGGCACTGCAGCTAACAAACTGCACCGCATGGTTGCCTAGAGCGGCGCATAACCGGCGCAGGCGCCGCAGAATAAACGCCACATGCGTACCAAAGATGCCAGAGTATACATGAAGCTCATCGAGCACAACAACCCGCAATCCCTGGAAGAACCGTCGCCAATGTTCCTCAAATGGCAAAATTGCTTGATGCAGCATGTCCGGATTCGTGCAAAGAATGCGCACACGTTCGCGAATCGCACGTCGTTGCTCCCGTGGTGTGTCACCATCATATGTAAAAATAGGCGCATCTTGTGCACCCGGGACAAGGGCAAGGAATCTCTGCAGTGACAATAGTTGATCTTGGGTCAGGGCCTTGGTCGGAAATAAGCACATGGCCGTTGAGGTAGACTCACGCAACAGTGAACAGGCAATGGGAATTTGGTATACAAGGGACTTGCCGGAAGAGGTACCAGTGCTCACAACAACATGCTGTCCATGCTGGAAAGCAGAGAGAGCCAAGACTTGATGCATATATAGTCGTTCTATCCCATGAGAACGATGCAGTGCATCTTGAATCACGGTTGGTAAAGGGGGTGATGGATCGCCAAAATGGGCCTCGCGTGCGGGAAAGGTCCGCCATCCGCCAGGAACAATCTGCTCGCGCCACCAAGGCAAATGCTGCAAGTTTTTCAAGACGTTGGACATGGATTGCATTCGCTGTGGTAGTGCTGGTTGTGCTGGTTCGCTGCACGGAAGTTTTGGCATAACACCCTCTGCAGCGTCATCCAAAAGAACAACAGGGTCCTCCCCTTTGGCAATACATGCTTTTTGAATTTCTGTTAGCGCCCGATAGAATGTAGAGGTACGGCGCGATATGAGTTGGACAGCTGCATTGGGGTTGGAGTTTTGTGGCATGATGACACGCTTTGCTGACGCCTTCCCGGTCATTAGCGCATGGTCGATAAACTCGAAAATGAGCGTATATTCGCATTCCTGCTCAGAAGGGCCATATAAATCTTCCTTTCGTCGTCTTTTGGACGTGGGATGTTGCTCCAGCTGCTCGGTAGGTACATACTCCAGGTGGACGAGATCGGGGCACGCCGCTTTAATTAATGCGAGATCTTTTAACTGCAAAGGATTCTTAGTGAGAGATTGGACACTCGACTGGAGAGTAGCAAAGGCTGGTACCACTTGCTTGTGAGCGGACATGAAGGTATAGACGGTGCAGAGGGCCTGCGGGTAAGCGCTGGGTTCCGTACCTTAAATGTCGTGAACAGAGAAATCCATTGTGCAGGCCAGGAAGTCGAAGGCGACCTCTGTCCATCCTCTGGACCGTGATTTGGCATGGCCAACTATTTGGACTTACACGAGCGCCGCATGAAGGGTAGAACCGCAGCGCGACGCACAGCGTCTCGCACGAGCCCATCACGTGTTTTCTCCACCAACAGACGACCATCACCGACGACCATGGCGAGCAGTACGCCGAATAAGTTGGCGTTCCTGTCTATGCAGGCGCCAGCAGGCTACGTTGCAGGTCTAGGTCGTGGTGCAACTGGCTTTACAACACGGTCTGACATTGGTCCTGCTCGCGAAGGCCCATCTTCCGAAGTTATTGCCGCTGCACGAGCGCGACGTGGCGAGGACGACGACGACGATAATGAGAGGTTTCAAGACCCTGAGGAGGAGACAGCGCTTTTTGCCACTTCTGTATATGAAAAGGATGATGAAGAGGCTGACAAGATTTGGGAAAATGTGGATCGGCACATGGACGAGCGCCGCCGGAAACAGCGCGAAGCGCGAGAGGCCGAGGAGCGCGAAGCATTGCGACAGTCGCAGCCCAAAATCCAGGCACAGTTTGCGGACCTGAAGCGCAACCTGTCGACAGTGAGCGAGGAAGAGTGGGCATCGCTGCCGGAGCCGGGTAACCTGACCGGCAAGCGGCGCAAAGCGGCATCGCTGCGCGAGGGGCGCGATAACCGCACGTATGCGATGCCTGACAGTGTGATTATGTCTGCACGCAACCAGAATGAGATGCAGACCACGGCTGCTGACGCAGACGGCACAGTCAGCTCGCTTACAGAGATTGGCGAGGCGCGAAATAAGGTGTTTTCGCACCAGCTCGACCAGGCATCATCGCAAAGTGCGATTGCGGCGTCGGGTCTCTCTTCGACCATCGACCCGAAAGGCTATTTGACTGAGTTATCGGGTGTATCTGTCAAGTCGAGTGCAGAGATTGGCGATATCAAGAAAGCCCGCAGCCTGTTGGACTCGGTTATCCGAACGAACCCGAAGCACGCACCCGGCTGGATCGCAGCAGCGCGACTAGAGGAGGTTGCAGGAAAGATGGCGGTAGCCCGTAAAGTGATTGCACAGGGGTGCGAGCAGTGCCCGAGGAGCGAAGATGTGTGGCTCGAGAGTGCGCGGCTCAACACGGTCGAACACGCCAAGGTCATCCTAGCCCGTGCCATCCAGCACCTGAGCCAATCAGTCAGCATCTGGCTCAAAGCCATGGAGCTAGAGCGCGATGTTGAAAGCAAGAAGCGTGTGCTGCGGAAGGCACTTGAGCATATCCCCCACTCAGTGAAGCTGTGGAAGGAGCTGGTAAACTTGGAAGAAAGCCCACAGGATGCTCGAGTGCTTCTAGCCGGCGCCGTCGAGGCAGTGCCACTAAGCGTAGAGCTTTGGCTCGCGCTCGCGCGGCTTTCGGTCCCGGCGGAGGCAAAGAGCGTTCTGAATCGTGCTCGGCGCACCATCCCCACTTCGCATGAGATTTGGATCGCTGCTGCGCGACTGCTTGAGGAAGACAAGGAAGAGGGCACTGCAAACCGTGTGGATCGCACAATGGCCGCTGCGGTAGCCTCTCTTTCCAAGGCGGGAGCGGTGCTCAGCCGCGACCAGTGGCTGCGCGAGGCCGAACAGGCCGACAAGGAGGGCAGCCCTCAGACGTGTGCGGCCATTGTCAAGGCTACAATCCACCTGGACCTCGATGCAGAGGACCGGCGGCGCGTGTGGGCCGAGGACGCCCAAGCGTGTGTCGAGCATGGGCGCATCGCTACAGGCCGGGCTATCCTGCAGTGTGCGCTGGACGAGTTTCCTGACGCGCTCGAAATCTGGCGGCAGGCCGCCACCCTCGAGCGTGTGCATGGAACGAGTGCCTCGTTACAGGCATTGCTTGAGCGCGGCGTACAGCATTGCCCTCATGCCGAGTCGCTCTGGCTACTGTATGCAGACGATCTGCAGAGGATCGATGATGTGGATGGCGCGCGTACCGTGCTCAGCCGTGCTTTCGATGCAAACATTGGCTCTGAAACTATCTCGCTCGCTGCTGCAAAGTTGGAGGCAGATGTGGGCGAGTTGGACCGTGCTGGCGCCCTGCTTGCTCGTGCGCGCACCGATGTGCCCACCGAACGTGTGTGGGCCACAAGCATTGAGCTGTACTGGCGGCAAAAGCTGTGGGACGAGGCGCTGCGTCTATGCCTGCAGGCATTACAACTATTCCCGAAATCTGCCGCACTACATATTATGCATGGTCGGTTGTATGAAGCCCAAGCGCAAGTGTCACAGGCGCGCGAGGCCTATGCGACCGGCCGCCAGGCGTGCGCGAACCATACACAGCTCTGGGTGCTGGCCAGCCGGCTGGAGGAGTCTGTGCAGGCATCGATTCGCGCACGTGCGCTGCTTGAGAAGGGGCGCCAAGCGCTCGGCACCAGCGACGTGCTGTGGGCTGAATCTGCCGCGGTCGAGTTGCGGACAGGCAACACAGTGCAGGCCAAGACACTCCTGAGCCGTGGCTTACAAGCATGCCCAACAAGCGGCCTGCTCATGAGTGCGTCCATATGGCTCGAGCCGCGCCCGTCACGCAAGACTCGTGCGGCCGAGGCGCTGCGTCGTTCCGGTGATAGCCCTTACGTTATCTGCACAGTGGCGCGCCTCTTCTGGGACGACGGAAAGCACGTACAGGCACGCGACTGGTTCGCGAAAACGGTGCAGGCGGCGCGCATGTGGGGCGACGGATGGGCATGGTGGTACGCATTCGAAGAGACACAGGCGGATGGTGAAGCGCAGCGCCCCCAACTGCTTGAGAAAATCGACAAGGTCCAGCCGAAGGAAGGGGACGTGTGGGAGACGCTGCGCGCGATGCCCGAGCATGCGAGCAAGCCCGCAAGTACGCTTCTCCCACTCGCTGCACGCGAGGTAATGGCACGCACGACGGCTACCTAGCCTCGTCGCCCCCTGCGGGCCGTTTGGGTTTCTTGGACGACCGCGGCTTCATGCTCACGAGCCACGCTTCTTGTCCCCGTCGGAAGCGGGGGTGCGCAAAGCTAGAGTGCGCGCCGTACAGCTCAGTCGCCGTATTGTACGATGTTGCGCCATGCCCAGGCTGGACGAGATGCCCACTCGTGCTCGCCTGGCTGCCTACCGACGTAGTGCCACGCGTCGCAATAGCATGCATCTCAGCTGCATCGAGCAAGCGTGAGGAGGACACGCGCTGGAAGCCGTATAGATTGAGCTGCCGCACAAACGAGGCATTGTTTCCATGCTTGAACAGCTTCGGCAGCACCTCTGCCGCAAACTCGGCTGCGACTTCGGGTTCGCTGTTGATAATAATGGCGTCGCCTGCCTCGTTCCAGTGGATGTACTTGCCGTAGATGTCTGGATTAATCATGAGATGCCACAGCTTGGAAATAAAGGCTGAGCAATGTGCTGCACCACCCAAACGGTCGCGGATCGCAGCTACCTCGTCGTTCTCGTCAATGTGCGCGCGCGAGACGCTCTTCTTCTCGTCGTCCATGCGCGTGCCCGTCATGGATAGCCGGTCGAGCGCTGCCACAGCCATATGGACCTGCGCACGCGACATTTCGTCGGGCGAATGCGAAAAGGCACCGTACGTCCGCACAGGCACCGAGCGTGTCATGGAGCCGTACGAGTCGTTGAAGGGCGCCCGGCGCATCGGAACACCGCGGGAATGGCGGGACCCGCTCCCTTCCGTTTCGTCGTCGGTTGCGTCATCGTCCACAGCCGACACTTCGTCGTCGGTCTCCTCGTCGTCGTATGTCGCATACACACTGGAGAACGTCGTCATAGGCGCCGACATGCTGGGGCCCAACATCATAGCAGGCCGTGAGTAGGCGGCCCATGAGGCCAGGCGCGCCGGGCGATTGCTTGACGGCGTCATGTTCATGGCATATGCATGACTTAGCGGACCAAACGAGCCAGGAGAACGAGACGGCACATTGTACGGTGCGCGGCGCGACGGACCAGCCGGCGTCATGGTGCGTGCAGAGGAGTCCACGCTTCGGTGCGAGGCGCGGCGCGGAAGAGGAGAGCGTGCTAAGCTCTCAGGGAATGAGCGCGCAAAACTGTTCTCGAGCGAGGGCACCGAGTCATCCGTATCATGTTTGGCCAGCGCTGGGCTGACTGGCGCATCGTCAACATCCGAGGCCAGGTCCATTGTCCGGAGGCGGCGATCATCCGCATGTCCCGACACCGCAAACACGTCATCGACCGACATGTCCGTGTCGTCGGCCGGCTCAGTCGTGCCTTGCCGCTCGGCGGACAGCTGGAAGGTCGACCCACCGACGGAGTAAGGCCGCAGCCGCATATACGACAGGGGCGTGTGACGCGGAAGCTCCGCGCGATAGGCCGGCGTAATGAGTGGGGACTTGCGGTCCACTGGTGGCGCCATCCAGCCTGGGGCCCCTGGCAGGGGCGAGCGGGATGGTGCCACAGCGAGGTTCACGTCGTCAGGGGGCGTCGGTAGCTCCGACGGTGAGAGCGAATAGTTCTTTTCCATGGGCACAGGTCGAATAGCGGGCACAGCCCCCGGAGTCGGAGGCAGTGTCCCCATATCTACCATAGGGCCAAACAAGAAGAATGGGCGTTAGGCGGAACGCACATTCGACAGCCAGGGCGCACTTCACGCGCCACTAACGGGCCGCTGTCCGGCGGGCCGGGCGCGTTTTGGATTTTCTGGAATATGCAATGACGTGATTGGACAATGGCGTGCACGGACACCCAACCTTGGAATCCCTATTTGGATAGGCACGCACGGCTTTATCTAACGTTTGAGCGGGGATGGCTGGCACAATGTCTATTTGCCGGTCTCTGGCGAAAGCAGCGTAGCTATCAGCTGGGCCACCTGCGCATGACAGCATGGGTGCCAGGGCCCTAGACAAGTCGCTCCTCGGCGGCAGGCTGCACGGCCGGTGGAATTGATGGCAGGGTGCTTGGCTCCGAGAACAGCTCCTTCTTCGTGCTGAGCGGGCGTCCGTCGCTGGCAGCCTTGACCTTGGCGTTCGCCTCGCTGAGAGGCAGACCTGACTGCTTCCAGCGAGCGACATAGTCAAGCACCTTTTCGCGCACGTCCTCCGCCGTCGAGGCCTTGCCGAACGCATCGACAAAACGGCCCTCAGGGTCCATAAGATAGAAAAAGATCGAGTGGTCCACGAGATAGTCGCTCGTAGGATCTGCGCCTGGCGGTGTGCTAAAGTACACACGGTAGCCCTTGCATGCCTTCTTGATATCATCGTACGAGCCCGTAAGACCGACCATGCGGGGATGGAAATCGGCAATGTACTCAGCGACAACCGGCACGCGGTCGCGCGCCGGATCACACGTCACAAACACAGGGTTAATCACATGGCCGTGCTCGCGCGCCACGTCGTCGACGACAGTGGACATTTTATCGAGTTCCTCTGGACAAATGTCAGGGCAGTTTGTAAAGCCAAAGTAGATCAGACTGAAGCTTCCCAGCAGATCTTCGTTAGTGAACGGATGGCCCGTCGACGACACGAGGTCGAACGGACCGCCGATGCGGGGGCGCCCTACAGACTGCTGCTCCCTTTCCAGCTGCTGTTTCTTCGCTTCAGCAAGCCGGGCCTTTTCGTGCCTGAAGTAGTAGTACAAGCCCACGCCCGTGGCAATGAACAGCACGGCCGCAGGTAAGTTGAAGGGGCCAGCAGGCCCGGGTGGCGTTCCGCGCGGCGGTGAAGACTGACCGCCCGGTCCGTTCGCAGACGCGCTAAATGCACGCACCGCGAATACAGGCGTGCATTGTCGAGGAAGTGCCGGTATGGCCTGGACTGCGGCCGTGCGACGCACCGCGTGCCTGGCCAGCGTCATAGGGCGCCATAGGATCATGACCGTCGAAGATGAGCGTCGGCCGAGAAGCTTCTTGACCATGAGCCGCCGACTGCAGCGTAGGCAGCAGCGGCAGCAGCAGGAGCTCGAGCAGCTGCAGTCTGTGTCGAGTGATGTAGCGCAGATCGACACGCCTGCCCCGCCAGATACGCCCCCCGCCACAGAGCCTGTCTCGGGTGCCTCTGCCTTTGCAGCCGTACGTGCCTTTTTCGCTTACCCCAGCTGGACGTGGCGGACGGAGACGCGCAAGACGTCGCGGACGAGGACGGTGCCGGTATGGCGGCACCTGCTCCCAAATCCAAGTCGAGTAAAAAGAAGAAAAAGAAAGGCGGTAAAAGCACCAATGTCAACGAACTGTCCCTCGAGGAGATGGATGCTCTGCTGGCGTCGGAGGCGCGCAAGGCAGCTCCCCGTGAAAATGCGACAGTACCATCTGCAGAGCCCACCAAATCTTTGCATGCTGTGCTCAGAGGTAGACTTGCGTTGGACCCGAGCCAACTGGACCCGCAGCTTGAACTGAAGCGCCAGTTTGGCGCTGCGGCCATCAAAGCCTATGAGCGCGAAAAAGGTCATGGACCCACACGCAGTGGCGCGCGTAGCCGCGAGAACCGCGGCGCCGTGTTCAACTCCAATACGCGCGCGCGCACTGTGCTATGTACGCCTAAGGCCCAGTGGCCGGACCTGGCCCGCACATTCGTCGGCATGTCGATGGAGACGTACGACACGCCGTCGGGGCGGGTGTGTAGCTGGGTGCACAGCCGCGCGTACAAGCAGGCGCAGTTTCAGTTCGCGCAGGCGGTCAGCTCTTTGGACACTCAGTCGTTGTACGCACTGATGCGAGTGTTTCCGTGGCACATCGATACGCTGCTGCAGCTCTCTGACATCTCGCGGTACCAGGGTGACCTAGGGCAGGCTGCCGACTTTATTGACCGGGCGCTGTTTGCCATGGAGCGCTCGGCGAGCCCGCCCTTCACGGCAGGGCTCACCTCTTCCACCGGTCCGCCGCTATGTGACTTTTTGCGCGCCGAGAACCGCGCCTTTTGGCTCGCGGCTCACCGTAATATTGACCTGTTTGGGCGCCGTGGCACATGGCGAACGGCGCTGGAGTGGTGCAAGCTTGTCTTTGGTCTTGACACGACGGATCCCCACGGCATGCTACTGTGGATCGACTATTTGGCGGTAAAAAGCAAGCAGGCCGAGTGGCTGCTGACCTTCCTCGATGCGTACGATGCGTGGATGTGCGAGCAAACGGAGCAGCACATGGACAATGTGCGTGCACGCACGCCACTGGACCACGAGAAGGCCGCCGCCCAAGAGACGTGGCATGGCGCACTGGACTGGAGCGTGGGCCTATGCTATGCTCGAGCGCTCGCAATGCACTCTGTCAACAAGGAGGCCGGCCGTGCGGCGTTGCGCCTGGCGATGGCGCGCCACCCGCGAGCGGCCATTCTGCTTGCCGACAAGCTGGATGTGAGCGTGCCGCCCGACGTGGTCCGTGCTCATCCCATGCACGGGTCTTACAGTGCATCCAAGCCAGTGTTTGGGGAGATGCTCGCGCACCTGTACGTGCACCGCTCGCTCAACCTGTGGAAGGAGCCTGCGCTTACGCAGTGGTTCCGGGACACAGCTGCCGACACGTGGGAGCACTTGGCGGCGCCGGTGTGCGAGGGCGAAGCGAGTGCGGTGACCAAAATGGGAGTGTACCGACATATTGTGGTGGCCGACCTACCCGAGTCACTGAATCAGCAGTTGGTCCGATACTTCCCGCCGGAAGTTCGCAGTCCACCAGGCGGTGTCGAGACGTTTGACCCGCTGCCCCCCTTGGGAGGATCCAGGTACGACGACGAATACTTTGCGGGCATCGCAGGGCAACTCCAGGACCGCTCGAACATGCAGATGGGGGACGTGCTACAGCAGCTGCAGCATCTGAATATACAGGATGTCGAGCAGGTGCTTGATCACCTCGACAATGATACCCGCGACTTCCTCCTCCAAGCAATGGGCCATGCCATACAGGAGGACGAGCCAACCACGGAGGATGGGCGGGTGGAGCCGAGAGCCGCGAGCGAGGACATGGCGCCTGTCGACGCGGCGGCCGCCGACGCAGAGGCCGAGGCGCCTGGCCCCGCTGCCGAAGCAAACGAGCCCAACATGCTGCAGCGCGCGTGGAATGCTCTGTGGGGTACTTGACTATGATAGATCTACGCTAGGAAAAACTCCTTCTGTAACGCACAGTCGGCATTGACACACCCAGGGCAACGCAGCGCCATCTGGCGGCTGCCCGGTCCCTGTGCCCAGGGCACAGTGCCGAGACCGTCAGAGCCTAAGTGTTCGCTGACCATCTCTGCAAGGGCACGCAAGAACACCGGCTCATCATTGAGCGAGGGAGCGCGCACCAGCTCGATACCTGCCTCCTCAGCATCCTCTTGTAGCTCGATGTCGAGCTCAAAGAGTGTCTCGATGTGGTCACTCGTGAAAGCGATAGGAACGACCATGGCGTGTTTGTGGCCCTGCTTGGCCCAGCCCTTGAGAGTATCGACCGTCTGGGGCCCTAGCCAAGCGGACGGGCCCACCTGGCTCTGCCATGTCACTCGGTAGGGGTTGCGCCAGCCGAGCTCGTGCATCACAGCTGCGACCGTCGCCGCGACCTCGGCCGGGTAGGGATCCCCGCGGCCCGAGACGACCTGCATAGGAAGCGAGTGGGCGCTGAACATGATAGGCACGTTTTCCCGGACCTCGGGGGGGAACTGGGCTGCTGCCTCGCGCACACGGTTCGCAAAGGCACGCACAAGACCGGGGTGCGTCGGCCAGCGATCAATAACCGACCATGAAATTCGTCCAGCCGGAGACTGCGCTTGTTTGCGGCGCTGGATCTCGCGGTACAGCTCGTTCAGGCTGCTGCCCGTGGTGCTGCACGAGTACTGCGGATACTGGGTAAAAGCTACCGCGCGGGTCACGCCGTCTTGTTCTAACTCATCCATGCAGGCATCGGTAAGGGGTGCAGCGTAGCGGAAGGCGACATAGGCCTTGTGGGGTGCTGTCGCGGGGCTCAGCTCGTCAAGCATGCGGACCATGGCGTCACCCTGCGTACGTGTCCAGCGACCAATGGGCGACCCACCGCCAATTTTGGCATACTGGCCCTGGACCTTGGGCGTGCGGCGTTTGGCAATCAGCGGCGCCAAATGCGACTGGAAGGGCAAACGCATCAGGTCGCGATCGAGAAACAGACGCGTCAAGAACGGTTGGACCTCGTCCAGCGTCGCCGGGCCGCCCATGTTCATCATGACGACAGCCGTCGGCGCACGCGATCGCGTCCGTGCAAGAGAGGTAGCAAAGGTGCGCAGCCCGCCTAGATGTCGCATCGTCGTACGGGTCCTGCGGCGTATCTAGCCACTCGCGCCGCCGCCATGACCAACCATCAGCACGTGATTCACGTGATGAAAAACCGTGGCGTCGTCCACGCTAAGAGTGTATCTTCTGACACGTTGCGCGAGCGATTTGCGTCGCGAGCCTACGAGGAAGCGAAGACGGCGGATGGATTCTCGAGAAGAACAGCTTGTTAAGGCTGTCGAGATTGCGTCGAATGCCGCCGCACTGCCAGATGCGAACCTGGTCGGTCAGGCACTTGCGTTTCTGGAGGAGCTAAAGCAATCGACGCAAGAAAGCTGGAGCATTGGCTGGGGTATCTGGACGGCTCACAGAGACGATTCACTCGAGCCCAAGTATGAATATGCACCGCGATTGTTCGGCTTGAACCTCGTGGATGATTTCCTCGATCGCAGGTGCGTGGCACTCACTGACGTAGCAGCATCCATGATAGCCCTCAGGCCGTGGAAGCGCTGACATTCCTGCAGGAGAGTGCTATGGCGTACATGCAGCGTGAATTTGTGGCATCTGACGGAGAGCATGGTGTCGTGTTTCTGAAGAACAAAGTAGCACAGACTCTCGCCTTGTTGATGCTGCAAACGTACAGCTTGACCTCGTCGTACACGTTCTTGACTGCGGCCCTGTCGCTCTGTACGTCACATCCAGACGAGGAGGCAGGTCTGAATGTGCTCACGACAGACTTGATGCTGCGTGTGTTGCACGACCTGTCGCTGAATCTGGGCTCTGACGTGACGCTTAGATCAGTGCGTGGCAAGGACCGCCTGCAACGCGATGCCGTCGTGCGCGACGAGATTCGCACGCACCATGCAACAAGCATTGCTGAGCTCTTGTGGCGCATCATCCAGGACTCGCTTCAAGCGCTGCAATCGCCTGATGCGTCGACGGACAACCCACGGCGCCTGAACGCCCATACAGCCGGCAGCCTTGCTCAGGTTGCCATGGCAGTTGTCGGTGACTATGCCTCATGGATTGATATCGGGTTGATTGTGAGTATGGAGACCGTGTCGGTGCTCTACAATGCCTTGGACTCATCACACGCACCTCTGCGATACGCGACGGCCGATACGCTCTGCGAGATTGTATCCAAGGGCATGAAGCCAGCTGACAAGTTGTCGCTGATCCAGGGTTTGGGCCTCACGTCCGTGATTGGACAGCTCGAGTCGTCGACGCGTGGGCAAGGCGAGGTGCATATCGAGCTGCGTGAGCATTTGGCCAAACTGGTCGGTGCACTCTGCACGGAACTGTGCAAGATTGCAGAAGACGCTGTTGGTGCTGAGCAAGATACGAGGGACGCTGCGCATAGCCTGCTTCTTACATTCCTCCCTCTTGCTTTGGCCTTCCTCGCGGATGAATATGATGAGCCAGCTGAACAGGTTCTCCCGTGCCTGCACATGGTGCTGGGCTTGTACAAAAAGACAAAGCGCCAGGCAGAAAGCATGGGTGTGGCTATGAGTGCGCCGCAAACAGAGTTTGTCACACAGCTCATCACCCTCGTGTTACAGAAGCTTAAGGCCGACGCCGACCTCGACTGGGAAGATTCGTCCTTGGTGGGTGGACCTGCCTCAGGCGAAGGAGATGATGACAATGACGACGATGAGCAGTTGGTCAAGTTCTATGAACTGCGTAAGCAGCTGCAGGTGATCCTCGGAGCTATCGCAGCGATTGACGAGCCGCTGGTCTCGAACACGATCCACGCGCTGGTCTTAAATACGCTGGCTGCTGGAGATCCGGCGGAACTTCCTTGGGAGCAGGCCGAGGTGTGTCTTTACGCAGCTTTCTGCTGTGCTGAAGTGCTCTCGTCGGTGCGTGGCAACAAGGTGGGTCTGGGACCTCACTCCTATGTGCAAGTACCTGTGGAGCCAGGCAAAACACGCAATGTGCGTCAGTCGCTCGCGGTGTACCAGGCGCTGCCGCCCAACACGCTCGGTGAGTTGCTGCAACACTTGTTCCGCTCGCGCATCTCAGCTCATGCGCATCCTGTGGTGCAGCTGCAGTATTTCGAGTGCATTGTGCGATACGCGAGCTGCTTCGCTTTGTGGCCGGACCTGCTGCCGGATGCGTTGGCGGCGCTGCTGGACCACCGCGGGCTGCGCAACCCCCATATGGGCATGCGCCGACGGATCAACTACCTGTTCTACCGCTTTGTCAAAGACACGCGCACGGCTATTCCCTCCGAATTTGTGCCGCAGCTCTTGGAGAGCATGCAGGCATCACTCGTTGTCCAGGCAGTCCTCCCTGACGTGCAGCCGGACGAGGATCCTCTTCTGAAAGCGACGGAACATGCGGGCGCATTTGACAGTCAGCTATACCTCTTTGAGACCTGTGGTCTGCTGATGGCGCAGCTGGGGCACATGCCCGATACTCAAATCATGTTGTTCAAGGCCATTACGCAGCCCCTGTTGCACCAGCTGCAGCAGAGTGTGGCTGCCTTTGGCACCGACGCGACAAACCTGCAGTTGGTGCTCCAGGTGCACCACTTGATTCTCGCACTCAGCACCATCGGGAAAGGATTCCCCGACTACGACGCTGGTCGTGCCACAGAGCCGGCCTGGATCGAAGAAGTCAAGCCAGTTATGGAGCAAATCCTTTTGGCCCTCACTGCGCTGAACCGCTTCTTGATTGTGCGTGAGGCGGCCCGTGGTGCATTTGCTCGCATTGTGGCCTCGGCAGGTCCCGCTGTGCTGCCGTACATACCCACACTGATTCACGCGCTCGTGCATCAGGTCACGGAAGCAGAGCTCGTGGACCTGCTCAACTTCTTTGGGCTTATCACGCACAAGTACAAGGAAAATGTCCGCAGTGTCATGGACGATGTTTTCCAGGTCCTCGTCTCGCGCATTTTCTCGTTCATGAACCAAGGCGTCCAAGGCACCGACGACCTGGTTCGCCGCTCCGACACAGAACGCGCTTACTTTGGCCTTGTCAATGCGTTGCTTACGGCCGGTCTGGACGGTGTGCTCATTTCCGAGAACAACCAGGCGCAGCTCCAGACCGTCTTGCAAAGCCACGTGTACTATGCCGAAAATGGCGAGCCCGTGAGCCAGCGCTCTGCCATCAGTGTGCTGACGCGCCTTGTGTCGATGTGGGGCCGCCGCGATGAAAAGGCCCTCGCAGGCTTTGAGCAGTTTGTATATGATGCAATCGTGCCCCTGGTGTTCCAGGTGCCCGCGAAGCCTTCATTCGACCGCACAGATGCACAGGCACAGCTGGTGTTGGCAGAACTGAGTGCGCTACTGAAAACCCTGTATACCGCCCGTGGCGACGAAGTTCTCCAGTTCTTGTCCACCGTGTACCTGCCCGGCGCCCAGTGCCCCCCGGCCCTGGCTATGGAGCTTGTTGAAAATATCCAGAGCTTGGATGCGAAGGCTCTCAAGCGCTACCTCGACACATTTATCGCAAAATCCCGCGGCGTGTAGTTATATAGGCTTACGCTGCAGATATGATGGATGATCGACGACGATCGTCGCGGTTTGCAAGAAATGGCGGCGGGCTTACAGGCGATACGCAAATGCTGAAGCGCCGCCCAGAGACAGAGTCAATGACTGGCTCCAGCCAGTGCAGTATGCACGGTGTGCTTGGCTCGGCCAGCTCCAGAATAGCGGTGGTTGACCCATGCCTCTCTGACGTGGGTGGACCTGGACTATGTGTGATTCTGTCCGTATCGAAGCGAGAGAGACGCCGTATACATAGCTGGATGAGCAACGAAAACGTACCTCAATAGCTTTAAAGCATTGGTAGACATGGCGCTCTTCGTCTGCCATGCGCACGACCCATTCTAGATGGTGCCCAGCCCCATTGATACCTTGGATCTTCATGTACCAAGCTGTCTCGTTCTCACTCACATTTTGCCACAAATCCACTCGTGCGCGCGCATGAAGTTCCAGACACAGGGGAGCTGCCCTTGCGCTGGGCAGGCCATAGAGCCGTGGACAGGAGTCAGAAGAGAGCTCGTGTACCAGCACATATTCCCATGCACAGCTGTCTGCACAAGACCTTGCTGACATGTTGCCAGGACACACCGTCCAGTCACGCCGCTTCCCAGCGCAGTAGTCCGCCGGCACCGCATGAGACCGCTCCACGTACGTACCGCGGAAGTGTAGTGTTCCGCGTTCTCGAATCGTATCAGCTTGCATCATTCGCTACCACGCTACATGATACTACTTCCAGCTTTATTGCTACGCGGACCGGGGCTGTGCTCCTTTGTCGTCAGGCGCACAGACCAAGACAAGGAGCCCCACACAAAGTGCAATCACGTGCATTAAGACTACTTGTTCGCAAGTTCCGACCCTAGCTTGTAGCTCACGACCTTGTCCCAATCAATTTTCTGGCGAGTGATAGGCAGCGTTCGGCGAAGAGCTTTGAAGGTGCCGTCACGCAAAAGGTTTGTCGTCTCATAGAGCCGGTCCTGGTATGCTTGCTCGTATGCATGGATTGCGGAAAAGATAGCCTCTGGCAATTCATCGTCGGTAGCCACAGCGAGCGTGGGTAGATCAGGTTGACATCCCGCAAACATCTGTACATTTCCGTTCTCAAAGTAGTGCGATTGAATTTGGATCCTCGCTTGGGAGAACGCCCGAGCGTTCACATCCACCACATACGTGGAGCGCCAACGCCCCGCCCAAAAGTTTCGCAGGTTGTATTTGTTGCCAACAATGTGCATGCACAGTGTGCTTGGTTGATTTTGCATCTCGGGTTGCTCATTGGCCTGTGTCTCATTGCCATCAGACTCAGAGGGCTGAGCTACAGAGCCCTCGTCAATGACCGATGGGATACTAGAACCTAGTGCAAAGGTGGACGTTAGACCAGTCTGATAGTGCTGGTATACATATTGGCTCAATTTCTTGTCGACCGCAGCACGCAACTTCTCAGTCGTATCCGTCGGCCTCGGGCACGCAGTCACCGCACCTACCGCTTCCTTGATAGGATCATAAGAAAACTGACATGAGAGACGCGGGTGTAAATAAACATCCCCCCTCTTCGCGGCATCACAAAGAATTGCTTCGTCATGTTGCCCGTCCAGTTCGATAGGGACATACAAGAGCTGTTCATGAGCATGCTGCTCCAAGATGGGTCTTGCACGATCCGCCACCTCGTCAGCATCGATAGACGAGCTTAGAATACCCTGTATATCTGAAAGTACATTTCTCTGCTGCCCAGGGGGTGCTTCCAGGACCAAAGCTAAACATTGTGTCGTAGGGTCATCGTCCTTGACGTTCGACATGGTAGCCCAGCGACACGTGTTATCGCCCATGTGGAGGACGAGCGCTAGTGATGGAACTTCCTTCCATTCGTATCTACCAAAGCGCATTTCAACTACCAAATGAATTTAGAAGGTTTACCGCCTCTGACCACAGTGTGGGCAGGTGGCGCTGTATTTCTGTCTCTTCTGGAAAAGTTTGGTTTCGTAACGGAATACCAAATGGGTTTGTCGGTGCGTTCCATCGTGGAGAAGCAACAATACTGGCGCCTTGTCACTACGTTTATGTACTTTGGACCTTTCAATATCAACCTCTTTATAAAATTGTTCTTTTATCTCAGGTTTGCTATTGTCCTTGAGCTGGATGCCTACGTTTCAAGGAGGCGAGCAGAATTTTTTTGGTTGTTCTTTGTATCATCCTTGTCAGTCCTGCTGTTGAGTTCCGTCATCCCCATGCAGTTCCTTTCTGAGCCTCTCTCTTTTGTTTTACTTTATGTTTGGTGTCGAAGGAACCGCCACGTTCGTGTTAACATTTTTGGCCTGCTTGTGTTCAATGCCCCCTACTTGCCATTTCTGGAACTAGGAATATCTATGGTGCGGAGCTGGGCAGAGGCCCTTCCTATTGCCCTTGGAATTGCATTAGGACATACGTGTTTGTATTCGCACGCTCTTCTGACACGCAGACGAATTTTTGACTGCACAATGGCCCAGAGAGTATGAGTCGCAAGGGCGCAACTGGATTGCACCGCCTCAATTATGGTAGGTTTATGCTTTCTTACCACAGGATAAACATGTTTTAAGAAAGCTGTCTCGCACACTATAGATTTGATACCCGTCACGATCCGCCTGCCACGAAGAACGCTATACTTCGCGCGCCAGTATGGATGACTAAGCGCAGGACCAAAGAGTTGTGATCGCGTTGGTTGACAGGCTTCTTACGCGGTCTATGTTGGCAGTGTGGCGCGCGCAGCATGCGCCGCGAGCCTATTTCCTTTATGGGTCGCTTTGCAATGTGAATCATCTTCATTCTAAATCAGCGGTGCATAAAAGAAGGGTTAAGTCGCGCAAAGGTCAAGACACAATGCGGCATCGCACCGATAGCAAAGCGTCAGAAAAGGATCCATCCGCGAAGGACCGCCACCCAAAAAAGAGTACTAAAAGTTCCGAATGCACTAATACACTGAATTCATCCGATATCGAGCCAGAGTCCACCAAGAGCCCTAGCCCGACCAGGCACGAACCTGCTTCCCCTCAAAAACCGCATGTATCGCGTCCTACTTCTTTACTCCACGGTGACGAAGCGAAAAGGGCGCGTATTGTAAGGATAGAGCAGCACGAGAAGGAAAAGGACCTGAGACAATCCTTTGGGCGGCTTACAGCGAGCGATGTTCAAGTGGTGCCTGTACGTCCTCTAAGGGAGATGAAAGTGGCAAAGCTTTCACATGGCCTCGACCGTGTCCTATTCAATCCAGGTATACACTGGCTGCGGGATCACCGGACTGGCATTTACAACTTTGACCCACACTTACGCCGCGTTCTGGACGTGGATTTGTTCGACTATTCAGCGCTGCCGCCGTATTTGACCTCGAGTCGTGATCAGGAATTGTTGGATATCACAAAGAAGCAAGAAAAAAAATACTGTGGCAGTACTAGTAGCATGACAGGTCTTCTGAGTCACTGCTATTACCTCCTTAGTCGATGGAAGGAACCTGAACTGAGGGGATTTAGTTCAAGCTTCCAAGATATGCCGACGGGGTTTAGTGAAGGTGCCAAGCTTCCTGCGTCGATAATGTTGCGATACCAACCTGGTGGCTTTTACGCCATCGATGCTGACAAGAAATCTGATGGGGAGCAAGATAATACAAACTATGTGCTTACGTCTCTGGGTAAGAGCCTAGAAAAGTTTCTTACGGCCACACCGAATGAGTACGCAATGTACGAGCGTGTCAACAGTTGGAAGTTGACGAAGGAACAGCGCAATCAGCCGGAAGCCTATCACTATGCAGAAACGAGCAAGCTTCTTATGCGATCCCAACTCGACTGTCAAGATCCACGTTTACCGAATCGGACCTTCGATTTGAAGACGCGTGCTACGGTGTCAATTCGTAATGACCGAGCCAATTATCCGGAAGGGTCCGGCTATCAAATCCGGTTTGCAATGGGTCAATGGGAGTCCTTCGAACGTGAATACTGGGATATGGTTCGCGCTGCCTTTCTCAAGTATAATTTCCAAGTGCGAATTGGGCACATGGATGGTATTTTTGTTGCCTATCATAACACGGCTGAGATTTTCGGTTTTCAATATATCAGTTTGGAGGAAATGAACCTTCGTCTCTTTGGGAGTAACGAAATGGGAGATCAAGCCTACCACATGTCATTAGGCCTCTTGGAAAGGATCCTTGATGCGGCTACGGATCATCTGCCTGAGGAGACGCTGTCTATCACCCTGGAGACACGCTCGGGGGCGAACTCCATGAGCTTTATCGTGGAGTCCACAGCTAGTGCCAAGATTATGCAATTTGACGTGCATGTGGATCGGTATTTGAACGGTGCCTTTGTTCGAGGGCCGGTTGACTTCACGGCATGCCACAAAGACAGCAATGAGGCTGCATGGGAAGATATCATGCAAGGTCGGTATGCGCAGCAGCTTGGCGACGTTCGGTGGCACGTTGACTACTGTATCACACCACGTCTAGACTTCTCGGAAGAGAAAGTGCGAGCCAATCTACAAGATATCCGTGCACGTCAGCGGCTGATGCGCACTATGTGTATACCGAACGTGGATATGCTCAATGAGCGTGAGGCTCATCGCATCGACGTTTTATCGAAGAAAAAAGGCGCCCTACAACGCTTCCTCCTGGAGCGCGAAAATGGCAGTGCCATTGGGATGCCGTTGGCACCAGGACAACAGACTACGCGGCAACTGATTCGGCGCAAAGGATATTTGGACCTTGAGAAAAACGGTTGCCAGGCTCCAGGCACAGCAATCCGCTGGCTCCGATTCCCAGATGCGACTACCAAGCGGATTCGCGAGTTGAGCCAGCAGGGCCATGAGAGGGCACGCAAAGAAACGAACAAGCAGGCCATCCCCACTGTATACCAGCCACTATAGACATCTGTAGAGGCATCCAACGCCAGCATTCTTGGCACCTATCGCATTGAATTCGGCCTATTTTGGAACAAGGGTGCGCAGATACCTAAGGAAGGCTTGCACACCAGTAGCTACTGATACCCGGTGGCATCTCACAAGTCATCATGCTTAGAAGCGGAGCGCGTGCGGCTTGTCACCCTTCGAGAGCGAGAAAGTGGCAGCCAGGTACTTGGCCAGAAGAGGGCCCTCCTTCTTCACAGCCGCCAGAACATCCTTGTCCAGGGCCTTTTGGTCAGCGACCTTGCTCTCCGCCAGAGGAGCCTTGTTAGCAGGGTCAGCGAAGAAAGCAGCCTCCGCCTTGACCTTAGCGGCCTTCTCACGGCGGAAGTATGCATCGTTCAGCTTCTCGTCCACCTGGACGTTGCTGATGTCGATCTTGGTGCTGGTGGCGATCACGTACGCCTGGTTGACGCGGCGAATCGGCACACCGTTCAGCTTGAAAGGACCAGTGACCAGCAGAAGACCGCTGTCGAGCTGCTTCAGGAACACAACACGCTTACCGCGGAAGCGGCCGGCAAGCAGGATGAGCACCGTACCGGGGGTGATGCTGTCGCGCAGCTTGGTCGGCTTGGCAGTCTTGCGGCTGACCTTCTTAGTGCGCACGTCATCGGCGGGGTAGTAGCGGGGCGCCTTGGTGGTAGGCACAACACGCTTGCCTGCGTTCTTAGCACCACCGACCGCCTTTTCCTTGGTCGTAATGGGAGTCTCCTCAGCAGCGGCAGCCGGCTTGCGACCGGTGTGCTTGTAGCCACCCTTCTTGGAGTACAGCTGGCTGCGGCCAAGACGGCCAACGTACGGGCTGACAGTGCTGTTGCGGGCCATGGTACGCTGTACAATGTTAGTCCCGTTCTTCTCCCAAAGATCGCGCATCCTCGACAATCAAGCAGAACACAGACACAGAAAGCACTGAGCAATCCGCTTGAATCGCCGAAGAAAGGCGCTCATAAAAGACGTACCTAAGTGAAACCACTAAGTTTGGCCTTGATGGTTGGAGGTAGAAATCGCCCGCCGCGCCACGCTTTCTCACGAGGCCGCGCTCCGAAGAACCCCCGCTTGACACTGATGTCACGTGCAGAAATACAAAACTAGATAGCCACCGGCCGAGTGTGTGGAGGCCACGTGGAAGTGTTGGTCCGCGCGCGCCCAGCCAAGCGGCGAACACGCATGCAGCCAGCAGTAGCGCGTCTCTGGCAGACTGGCAAGCGGCTCGCAGGAACGTATCGCGCTATGACAACACGGGCACGTACATACACTGCAGCTATAGATGCTTTGAACTCGCTTCAGTCAAATGCAGCTACTATTGAGGCTATCCGCCGCAGCGGTAAAACAGTCAATGAATTCAACGAGCCAGAAATGACAGAGTACTTAGAGCGCATCGGACACCAGCGTAAGGAGCTCGACAAGATCCAAGTTATTCATATATCTGGAACCAAAGGAAAGGGGTCCACAGCTGCCTTTTGTGATGCGCTACTCCGACAGGTGGACTCGCCGCCGGGCAGTAAAGTTGGTCTGTATACTTCGCCCCATATGGTAGCGGCGCGTGAACGTATTCGCATTAATGGAGCTCCGATTTCCGAAGAAGAGTTTGCCAAGTACTTTTGGGAGGTTTGGGATGCTCTGGAGCAGAACCCAGATCGGAAGCTGGAGACTACGCCTTTGCGACCAGTGTACTTCCGTTTCATGACGATCTTGGCCTTCCATGTGTTCATTTCGATGCAAGTGTCCGTGACACTTCTGGAGGTAGGAATCGGAGGCCTGTATGACTCTACAAATATTGTGCAGCACCCATGCGTGGCTGGCGTCACGCCTCTTGGTCTGGACCATACGGCGATTCTGGGACATACGATCGAGGAAATTGCCTATCAAAAAGCAGGCATCTTCAAGAGAGGAGCTTCAGCGCTCACTACAGAGCAGCCTTCGGGGGCATTGCAGGTCCTGGAAAAATACGCGTCAGATATCGGCGCGTCGTCGTTCCGTGTGGTGCCGGTGAAAGACGAGCTCCAGGGCCAGTTGCTGGGATTGCCGGGCGATCACCAGTCTGTGAATGCTAGTCTTGCTTTGGAGCTTGTCCGCGCATTTCTGCAATCACCGGCAGGCCAACAACATTTCCCAAACGGAACAGCTCAGCTGGGAAAGCCGTTCGCGCCCGTCACAGACGCAGCGCGACAGGCCCTGAAGGACGCATTTTGGCCGGGTCGCTGTCAAAAGGTTCCAGCAGTGAACACAGCAGGCGCAAACTACTACCTGGACGGTGCACACACTGTGGAGAGTGTGCGTCTGAGCGTCAAGTGGTTTGTGCGTGAGGTGGCTAGGCATACCCAGCCAAAGATACTGGCCTTTAACTGCACCAATGGACGCTCGGCCATGAGCCTCTTAGGGGCGATGAAGAATGAACTCGAGCAGGCAGGCGTCGACCCTCGCACGTTCTTTGATCAAGTGTATTTCTGCACCAATAATACTTACGCCGATGGAGGTTCGGCGAGTGACCTCAAGTCATTATCGATTGATCCTGCGGATCTAGAGAACATGTCAGTGCAGCGAGAACTTCTCGATGCATGGTGTGTGTTGCAAGAAGTTGCACCATCCTCCGACAACCCGAGCACGGCACACTTGAGCCCTCAAGTGAGTGCGCATGTGGTGCCAAGTATCGAGCACGTCATTCGTGCAGTACGCCAGCGGAACTCAGACACGGGTATTCCTGCAGATGTATTTGTGGCGGGAAGTCTGCACCTAGTCGGCGGCTTTATGGCACACCTGCAGGCGCAGGGCCAGTTGGACGAGCGGCTGCGAAGCATCCGGACCTAGGTAGTCGAGACCTCCACAAGGGCCGCGCAGGTGCCACCTGCAGGACCGAAACGGGCGGGGCACCCGATCGACATTCACAGCCACCATGGCGATCCGTGTGGGTGGACCGAGTGTGCGTGTCCCTTCGCCTCTCGTCCACCAGTATCTATGGTCTTGCCGCTCTTTTGTGAGCCATGCTAGAGTGTGCGAGAAGCTGCCATCCGGCGCGCCACGTGCCAAGCAGTTCCCGGCGTCGTTTGTGGTGCCGACGGCAGTGCCAAAGATGTCGCAAATGACCCGGGACGAAGCTTTACACCGCCAAAAGATCCTCAGCATTCTCAATGCCATGCGACTGCCCAAGTATAATTATGCGTTTGCCTATGGCTCTGGTGTATTCAGCCAAACAACGAAGGCCAAGGCCGTAGGAGGCACGGCGCCCATGATTGATATGGTGATCGCTGTAGAGGAGCCGGCACACTGGCATGTAATGAATATGCACGCGAACCCCCACCACTACCCGTGGTGGGCGCGCCTGTTCGGTGGATGGGCCGTGCGGGCTACGCAGAACATTGGCGCCAAGATGTGGTATGTGCCGTACGTCCAGGTGCAGGATGAGATTGTTAAGTACGGTGTGATCTCACTGGAAGACATGTGCGAGGATTTGCTGTGCTGGAGCACGTTGTATGTGAGTGGCCGCATGCATAAGCCGATTGCGCGTCTCTTTGACGCGACAAACGGGCGGGTGCCGATCGCGGAGCAAGCGAACTTGACGTCGGCGCTACGGACGGCGCTTCTCCTGCTGCCAGAAGAGTTCTCGGAGAAAGACTTGTATTATATGGTGTCTTCTCTGAGCTACCTGGGCGACTTCCGCATGAGTGTGCCGGGCGGAGAGAATCGCAATAAGATCAAGAACATTGTCGAGAACCAGCTGCCGTGGTTCCGGATCATGTGTGCGGATTTGATCACGCGCCTGCAGTTTATTCACGTTAGTACGGGGTCTGACTCGTTTATGATGCGGCAAGACATTAGCCCCCAGACGCGCGCGACGGTAGCGGCCAACTTGGCGCGCGATCTGCGCCTGCGGCTGGTGAGGCACTTCTTGCAGCGCCCTCAGCTGCACCCTCTTTTCAAGGAGCTGCAGGAAACGGATCCCGAGACGCTGGTCCCTGAGAAGTCCAATTCTGTGAACGAGAACATGCCGGTCGACCTGTCATACAGCCACGGGGAGGACAGCGACCAGCTGCCGCCGATAGCCACGCGCTTTTGGCTAGCTGTTGTGCAGCAGGAGACCTTCCCGCAGGCGCTACGCGAGGAGATTGCAAAAACGGTACGCGGCCCAGCCTTTGTACAGTCGCTCAAAGGACTGTACACAGCAGGCATTGGGCGCTCGCTGCGTTACATCTGGTCTAAGATGCGCAAGTTCCGCCAGGGACAAAAAGACACTAAATAGAAATGGATGCATTTCTCCACTTGGGGCCCGAGCAGCCTGGCTCAGCACTTGATGCTATCTGCGCCGGTGGGATAGTTCTAGCTTAGACCATCGTAGGGCCTAGCTCCAAGGCTGAGGCTGGGTCGGGCGACAACGAGTGCTGACGCGAAGTGCGCTGCTCCCGCTCCGCAGCGTGCGCGTCGAGCTCGTCGGGTACCACATCGGCCAATCATGTGACGTGTTTGTGCGCACGGACAACTGTGACCGGGCGCGCCGAGGCTCGATCTCCGTTTTCCCTACCATGAGTGCCTCGGTGGATGCAAAGGACGCTGCTCCCAAGGATACGGAGACTGCCCCGGCTAGCACTACAGAGCCCGTTTCGGACGTGAAGGCTGGCAAGGCCCGCGCTGTTGATGACGACGGGAAGGATGACGAGGAGGAAGAGTACAATGAGGACGAGGACGAGGATTTTGTACGCAGTGGCGTCTCACATTCAGGTCGAAGGCGAGGATGAGACTGAAGACGAGGATGAAGACGAAGAGGATGAAGAAGACGATGAGGAGGACGACGACGACGACTACGAAGACGACGCGGAAGCGTGCGTATGAAATAGCTCACTCCAGTGTCAAGGCCGGTGACAAGCGCAAGGCCGATGACGATGACGATGACGACGACGACGACGACGATGACGACGACGACGAAGACGCTGATCCCGCTGTCAAGCAGGCCCGGACGGACTAAGCCGCTCACATCGCATACGCACGTAGAACTACGTGCGGCGACAGGTATCTATGTGCTGTTCAAGGGCCTCGAGGCGCCGTTGCAGCATCCATACGTCGGTGCCCGTCGACGCTGGGCCCTCCGTGTCAAATAAGTGCATAGCAGCCTCGCGGAAGTGCCGCTGCGCCGCTTTGAGCGCGGGCGGCGGCAACCCGCTGAACTGGTACAGTGGGTCAAAGCCGCTTGTCTCGTGCGCCGTTGTGTGTGGAGTTGTGCCCTGTTTTGCGTCCCGCGCCGCTCCCGCACGCCGCCGGAGTGCCGGCGTGCTATCTGCCTCGCGCGCCCCATTCCCCGTTCGCAAACGCAGCTGGGCTGACATACGCGCATCGTATGCGTCGGGGCTGATACGCTGGCCGTACGTGCCGCCGAGGGCCATCTTGGCTCGCGCGAGTTGGAGAAACCCGGCCTGCATCGCATCGCTCGCGCGTGTGCGTGCCTGCATATACGCATCGAGCGTCTCGAGGTACTCTGCGAGCAGGTCCTCGATCACTGGCGGCGTCGGTGTCGCAAGCGATGACGGTACAGCGAGGCGGTGGATCGGCGTGAGCGGCAGACTGTCAGCGCTTGCCTCGTGGGCACGCTCGGCGTGCTTCAGTGGCCATAGGCGCTGGAACAGCTCCCATATGAGCACCACGACAAATACCTCATACAGAACGTAGCCGTAGCGGAGGCCATAGATCAGGGTGCATAGAGCCAGAGCGCCATAGAGGATATGCGTGCCAGCCCGCGCACCACGGCTGTCAAGCGTGCGGAGCATCCACGGTGCAGCATGGATGTACACAAGCGCAAGGAGCGCCGCCGTTGCGAGGATATTGTGCTCTGCACGCGAGACGCCCATCGAAAAACCTGCATTCACATTGCGGACCCACACCACGAGTACAGGCGCATGCAGCGGGAGGAACCACACGAGGCACTGGAGGAGCCACAAGTGCTCCGAATGCCGCTGCTCCCACAGTGCGCGCCGAGCCATGTCAGAGGGTGTTGTCGTCTCGCGCGGGAGGCGTTGCAGCACCGCGTACGAGCGAAGCGTTGTGCCAGCCTGCACCAGAGTGCATACCAGCACAAGCACTTGGTGCGGTAGGAACACGACGCATGCTGCAAGAAGCAGGGCGCCGACGCGCGTCGAGCGCTTGCGAGTCCATGCGACAAGCGTGGTGCGACTTGGCCATGCATCCACCACAGGTGGTAGCTCAGGCACCGGCGTCCAACACGGCCCAAAGCGGCCCAAGCGTATATGGCCAAGAGCGTAGAAGCCATGCAGGCCCATCCAAATCAGGAAGCTCAGAAACACGGCGAGGCCATACGCGAGCAGGGCCAACGCCGGCCCGAGCCACACGAATGCCAGCGATGGGAGACCAATGCCAAGCGAATAGGGTGGTGCGCCGAGCGAGGCGCCCATATACAAAAGGATGTGTAGAGCCACCGGCCCTAGCACAAGTATGGCGATCCATGAGCCGTGTATGAGGCGCGATAGCGCGGAAAACGGCGTTTGGGAGGTCCCTGACACAACGCGCGCGAGTGCAAGCACACCAAGTGGCCACAACACGAGGGCTAGGCGGTAGCGCAAGACAAGCAGGGCCAAGCTTGCGCGCCAATGCACAGACACGCGTAGTCGGGCGAATGGCAGTGGACAATTGGACGAGTAGACGCCTGAGAACGACGTGGAAGCGTACGTATCGAGATGCCACAGCTGGAAATGCAGACCACGGTGAGTCGGTGGCGGCATAAATGGCGCTGCGCCATGCATTGCGACGACCATGTCATTCGGCGCACTGACGTTCAATGAGGGGAAGATGCGCGAGTCGGACGTCGACGCGCTGAGGATCCGCAGCATGGGACTCATCTTGAGCGCTGGTGCGCGGCGACGGATCGCGCAGGGCGCCGGCTCGAGTGTGAGGCGATAGGCCACCAGCGCCGAATCCAATTCCGGCGCATGCCAGTGCCACAGGGCGGCGTGGTCGTCGAACGAGCTCAAGAGCGAGGCGGGTGGTACGCCCGGCAGGTCCCACGTCCGCGGTTGTAGCCACGACGGCTTGCCACGCAGGATCAGCGGCTTACTCTCGGTCCAGCCGAGGCGCACAATGCTGGGGACGCCCTGCTGGGTTGGCAGCGCAGCCGGTCTCCTCGTGTACTCGACGCGCACAGACTCGACGTGGTGGGCGCGCAGGAACTCGTGGCTGAGGAAGAGGCGGTTCAGGTGGTACGGCGGCGCCGCGTACGGCACGCGCGCCTGGGGAAAGGGGCCGTCCGGTGCCGTGGGCGACCACGGAAGCTGCTCATACGCATTCGAGAGGAGAGGGTAGCAGTAGGCCGGCTCAGGATACTTGCTCATCGGCTCGAGCGACTGGCGCCGCGTGCACAGCGCGACAAACATTTCGTGTGTCTGAGCATAGAGTGGGTCGCGCTCTGCATTGGGGCCGACGGACAGGTTCGTCACAACCTCGAAGCCTAGCGCCTCGTCGTCGTCTGTGACGTTGCCCGTGTACGTCTGGCGCGGCCCTGGCGGGGCCAGCGCCTTGTAGACGTGGACCCGCACATCGGAGACATTTAGATGGCCCAGCAGCGCACTGTCTTTGTTGGTTAAATCGATCGGCATGAGCTGCGTGTTCTTTGCGATCGAGGCGCCGGGTTCGTGGGCAGCAGCGAGCGCGGCACGATGCTGCTCGGTGACGGAGGCGGCGTCGTTTGGCACGCCAAGGATCGTACGCCATACCTCGTGTCGCGCAGCTCGCACGTCAGGCGTGCTGCGCTCGTCAAAGAGCCGCCCAAAATGCTCATAGTCGCGAAGCAGCGCGCGTGCAATTTTGAAGCGCAGCTGGTCGCACCACACAATGGCCAGGTGGTCCGTCGAGCTCCACAGCGCCGCAATCGACGTGGTGAACGACGAGAGGCGCGATTCAGGTGGTCCGAGGCGCGCAAGTGAGAGGGACGATGCATCGGACGACAGCTGCGTGTCCAGCACGCCGCCAGCGAGCGAGATGATCAGGGGTGCGTGCCCGTCGCTATGCGCCCGGTTGATTTTCTGGTACACGCGATCGATTGAGCGGTCAAACGGTACCGGTGGGAAGGCATGAGGTGAGGAGAGTGTCACGATCGTATCGACGGTGCCCGGAAGGTAGTTATCTAGCTCCAGCGCGAGGCGCGCGACGATGCCGCCCATGCTGTGGCCGACGACCGCCACTGTCGTACTCTGCTCGCCCTCACGAAGCATGCCATTGTCTGCCGATGGATGCAGATACCGCAAATACCGCAGCACCTCGTTCACATAAAACGCTTGATCATGCAGCGTTTGGCCGTGGAACGCAGAAAAGTCTTCGTTGAAGTCAATCGTGTACCAGAGCAGTGGGCCTGACGCATTAAAAAATTCAACCGCAGGCATGTCCATCTGCCCCTGCCAGTACTGGTCCCACGAACTCGCGGCAAGGCTGCGCACCTGTGCGTAGCTGCCGGCATTTCCGGGGATGAACAGGACCGGCATCGGCTCGAGCTTTTGCGGGCCAAACTGGAGCGACTGCTTGACACCCCTCTCACGGTACTCGCGCAGCGAGTACTTGTGCATGACCGGCGAGCGGGACGACGAGAATGCTCGCAGTTCTCCGTCGTGCACGACGTACGATGGGATCATGCGCGCCATGCGGCAGGCCATGCGCATATGGAGCATCTTTGGGAGGACGAGAAACTGGCTCGCCACCTGAAGCAGCACCAAAATGCTACATAGCGCAAAGAGCACTGCATACCGCCCTTCGAAGCGCCAGACCTGCATGGCGGAGCCAAGGAGGCGCATCCTGCGGCTGCACCTTACGAGTCACGTGGAGTAACGCGGTGGTGCCGCACGGGCGTGTGCCGCCCACCAACGACCATGTCGTACCTGGACCGCTTCAAGACGGCTGCTCGCAAGGCGGGCGAGCAGGTACGCACCGTGTTTTCACGCAGGCCACTACCTTTGCATCGCGCGCCCAGACCCAGATTGGCACACACGCGCGCAACGTGCACGCTGGCTTTAGCCTCCCGTCGGAGTGCCAGCGCGCAGCCAACATTCTGCAGAGTTTCCTGGCGGACCCGAACAACCCCGAGTCGGCACTCAACTCGATTCCAAAGTCTGTGTTGTTGCAGGCCAAGGGTCTCGCGGTGTTCACTGTCGTCAAGGCCGGCTTTGTGTGGTCGGGCAAGGCTGGCAGTGGCGTCGTGATGGCCCGCCTGCCCGATGGCTCGTGGTCGGCGCCCAGCTGTATCTTCACGGCTGGCGTCGGTTTCGGTTTCCAGATCGGAGCAGACCTCACTGAATTTGTGATTGTGATGAACACCGAGGAAGCTGTGCGCTCGTTTGGCCTCGCCGGCAACCTCACGATTGGCGGCAACCTCAGTACGGCTGTGGGGCCGATCGGTACCGGCACCGGTGTCTCCAGTGCGATCCTGCACTCCTCACCGATGTTCACGTACAGCCGGAGCAAGGGCCTGTACGGCGGTCTCTCGCTCGAGGGCACCGTCCTTATGGAGAACAAGGAGGCCAACACGACCTTTTACGGGCAGCCGATCCCTGCGATGGACCTGCTGCTGGGCAAAGTGCCCGCCCCTGAGGTCGCCTCCGTCATGTACGAGGTCGTCGAGGCTGCTGAGCAAGTCGACGAGTCAGGGCTCCCCGACCAGGCCTATGTGCCACACGAGCAGTTCGGCGGCCTTGCACAGGCACTACACACAGAAGACGAGCATGAGGATGAATCAGCGCCGGCGCAGCCGGCGTCCGCGCCCATGTCGAATGAAAAGCCTGCTATGTAGAATGCGGTAGAGGTGGCCGTGCTGTAGGTGCAGGCCGTTCCATCATGGTTCCAGAAGACGCCTGGAGGGGCTCGGCCTCTTCCAGCACAACGCCGGGCACCTGCACCGCGCCGGGCGGCACGAGCATCGCCGGTGCTGTGGATACCTCGTCCTCCTCCGATACGCGCGCCAGCTTTGTGAGCGCCTCGATCAGGTCCTCGGCGAGCGTGTCCGTATTGGGCCGATCTTCCTCGCGTGGCTCCCATCCGACCGGTGGACTGCCTGGCGGGCTGATGAGAAACTCTCGCTCAGGTGCGGGCGGTGCTAGAAAAGGGCCTGAAGTTTCCATCGAGTGGGCCACAACACACTCACCTGATGGCAAGTACGTAAGTGGCGTGGTATGATGCAGGTACACCCGAAGCATATGCGTGTCGTCCATGCCATGCTCTGCCTCTTGAGCCGTTGCGCGTTGCGCAGGCGTCCTATCCCACTCGGAAGACGGAAGGAGCACGCGATCAAGTACCTTTTTGACGCGCATGGCGTCGTCAGCACTTTCAAAGACCACGAGGCATTGCCCAAACGCCGGCTGTGGCGCCCACGACACGAGGGGGCCGATGCCGTGCAGCAGCTCATGGAACTGCTGCACCAGCGCGTCCGACTCAAAAAACTCGGTCGGCAGATTCGCAAACATGAGGGTATTGGTATAATAGGCACCATTCTACCGTTAATAAGGCCGAAAGCGTACATCTTGAGAGTGCTCTGACTTCACCTTGCCTGGTGCCGATTCATTGTTGGCCTCCGTCTCGTCTTCGTCTTCGTCCTCGTCCTCGTCGATGGTACTAGAGTCCAGCGCAGCCAGTCCAGCCAGAGGATGCGAGTCACTCGAAGCTCCCACTGATGGGTATAGAGACGCTCCATACGAGAGCGACTCGAAGAGCTGATCCACTGTCGTCAGTGCATTCCACGTACGCGTATCCGCGTCAGGCGTCGCCAGCCACATTTCCTTCACGGCCTCTTCCTCTTCATCTGAGTCCGCATCCTGCTCAGGGTGATCGTCCAGCTGACAGTACAGGCACGCTTCGCGGTACAGACCATCAAGCGCCATGTCATCAGGTACAGAGCGCGAGACCGCGTGCAGGGCCACAGACGTGTAAGACAGCGCAAATCCTTGCATGTCCTGCGAATCGTTGGGAAGAAACGTAATGTCTTTCTCCGTCAGCCACAGGCGACCACGGGCATGCAGCACAGCGGGCGCGGTCGCCGCCTCAGCGGGGCACACGTCTGAAGGCGCTGGCTGCATGCGCAGCGACACGCTCGGTAGTTCCTGAATAAGTGCGGGAGGAATTTCACTAAAAGACTCCGGCGTGGAAGTCTGTAGATCGTCTGCGGCTTCGACCGCGCGATACACGGGCGCTTCCGACACCCGGCGCAGCGGCATGGCGGTAGCGACCGTGGCTGCACGCGCCCGTGACGCGCTAGGGCCATCTATGCTGAGTCAGCACTGAGAGAATGTAGTCTGTCACGTGATATTTTCCTAGGACCCGCAGGGAAGAGTAGGACCAGCTCCGTCTCGCTCTCTCAACCTCGTCCAGAAGCCATCAAGATGGGCAGCTCTTCGAACCCGGCTCACAAGGCAGGCGTCCCCCGCACTGGTATGTGAAATCAGCGAGAGACCGACAGGACTAACATAGAGTAGACCTCGTTTGGGGTATTAACCGCGGTCACCCTACCAACCGCCGCATCCTCGCCCCCCGGCCCGTCAGCAAGAAGGCGGTCGCCAGCGAGCGCGTGAAGGCGGTGCGCAGCGTGATCCGTGAGGTGGCTGGCTTCGCTCCCTACGAGCGCCGTGCTATGGAGCTGATCCGTAACTCGAAGGTATGTTCTGCCACCGGGTCTGTATCTGCGGGTGATGATCACCCGTTAGCGGGACGTCGCGTTGCAGGTCGGGCCCTTTGCATCTCTACAGAGACTAACTATTCAGGATAAGCGTGCGCGCAAGTTTATCAAGCGCCGCATCGGTACCATTGGCCGTGCAAAGCGGTATGTATATTATGGTTATCAGACATGCTAACATCAACAGCAAGATGGAGATCCTGACGGGTGTCATTGCCGAGCAGCGCCGCGCCGGTCACTAAGGATGTTCTCGTTTACGCCTATATTCCACCCACATAGTGGTCAAAAAGCATCGCCCTGCTGAGGCAGGCATTGTATGGCACAGTTTGATGGCGTATGGCCGATGGTGCAGCGGCACAGGCCTAAGGTTCAATGCAAACATGTCTATGTACACCCTCTGTGGTTTAATGTTTGTCACCGTGTTCTGACATGGTGCCTTCTCGACCCCAGGACGAGGAACTACGTAGTGGCTTGCAAAGGCTCTGCTCTATGAGAGGCATTGAGCGCTCGCCTTCCATGGCTCTGGTCCCTCATAGTGTGGGGCCACTGGCGCTAGCACGCAGAAGCTGCGCAGGGAGTCTGCCATCATCCGAGATGGGCGATGCAAAAACAGGAAGGGGCCTAGTAGGCACGTGTTCAAAAAAACCCGTGACGAATTTTCGGCCAGACCTGCCGCTACCGCTAGATCACCATGGCGGAGTATGATCTAACGCAGAAGCTTCTTGCGTACGTGGATCCGCATCTGGGACTCCGTCTTTTGTCGCATCTGAGCACAAAGGATCTCTTTGATGCCAAGGATCTTGCTAAGGCGCAGTATGAGCTCGCTAAGCACACTTCATTGGTGCAGGACTTGCCTCAGTTCCACCAGCAGGCATACCCTGGCGAGTCTGTGCCCGAGGTGATCAACCAGCTGAAGAGCCAGGTGGAAGAGAAGCGCGAGAAGCTCGAGAAGGAGGCGGAGCGTGTACTTGCCGTCGTCGAAGACCCGAACGTGGCCAGCGCGCTGAAGCAGGACAAGACGCCCAAGCTTGCATGGCTCCAGCAGCATCACCAGCTCACGGCGGATCAGATCCAAGTGCTGTACCAGTATGGTCGCTTCCTTTTCTCTTGCGGCAACTACAGCAAGGCGGCCTCGTACCTATACCACTACCACGGGCTCATGCCCGATAGCTCGTACAGCGAGTCGGTCCTGTGGGGCCAGCTGGCGTGCTATATCCTCACGGACGAGTGGGAGCGGGCGCTAGATGCCCTCACAGTGCTTCGCGACTACATCGATTCGCTGCGTGTGCCGGCACCTGCGAAGAATGCTCTCACGCATGAGGACATTCTGCAGAAGCGCGCGTGGCTGCTTCATTGGAGTCTCTTTGTGTTCTTCAACCATGCGGCAGGCCGTGTCAAGCTAGTCGAATTGTACCTGAGCCCTGCTTACCTGAACGCGATGCAAATGTCGTGCTGGTGGCTCCTGCGCTACCTGGTTGTGGCTGTCCTCCTTACCCGACGAGTGACGCCTCGTGGTTATATGGTGGAGAGCAACGGGACATCGAACAAGCTTAGCACGCAGACCGCGCTGCGCGAGGTCTCCAAGGTGATCCAGATGGAGTCATACCGCCTGCAGCCCGACCCGGTGATCGACTTCTTCCGTCTGCTGTACGTTGAGCTCGACTTTGATGGCGCGCAGGCCGAACTTGCCGGGGCCATGCAGCTCGCGCACTCAGACGTATTTATGCAGGCCCATGCGGATGCCATTGTCGAGCAGGCGCGTTTCCTGGTCAGTGAAGTGTACTGCCGCATCCACCAGAAGATTGACATTGCCGACCTGGCTACACGATTGAACCTCTCGCGCGAGGAGGGCAACAAGTGGGTCGAGATGCTGGTGGCCGAGACCAAGGCCGATGCGCAGATCAACGTACAGGAAGGTGTGGTGCTGATGAACCAGAACCGCCCCGTTTTATACCAATCGGTGGTCGACAAGACTCGTGGTATCGCGCTCCGCACTTCGGCGCTGGCGCAGGCGATCGAGCGCCATGCGGGCGGCGCACAGCGCCTGGATCGCAAGGTGGGCGACGATGTCGAGCATGAGGACGGCGACGTGGACGGAGATGAAGAGGACATGGAGGCTGAGCCTGAGGAGGCTGAAGCGGCGTAGACTACGAACGCGTAGTTACATAAAAGGATACATCTCTTCCGGTTCGCTGGAAGCGGCCGTGGTCCGCCTCGGTGACGAGATACCCATCACCTGGTACTGCGAGCCCATGCCGCTTCCATCGATGAGACGCGCAGCGGCGCGCTCTATGTCAGCCCGGCGCTCCGGCGGGTTTGACTCGACTAGCTTCTTCACGCGGAGTGACAGGCCCAGCGCATTCAAAAACGCACGCTGCGGCATCGGTCCGTAGCTAAAGGCATCCGTCATGTGCAACGCCTGCGCAAGGAACGCAAAGTCCACATTCGCCGTAAGGTCCGACTGGCCCGGGAGCGATAGGGGATCCACAATCTCATGGGCGCGGAAGGCACGAAAACTGTCGCTGAAGAAGCGGAAGCCACCATAGTCCACCACCAGGCCACAGCCTCCCAGGGACGGCTTCGCACGCGCCGCAGCGAGCTCGTCGGACGGCGGCGCAGGCTGCCCGTCGGGGCCAGGCCGCAGTGCCGGGTACCCCGACACGAGTTCGCCAACGCGACGAGCTGCTGTCCAGCTCACAGGACTCACTTCGACGCGCTGACCTGGCTGCAGGGACTTGAATCGCTCAGAATTCGCTACAAGCAGCTGAGACCAGGCCGTCGCACCGGGTGACAGAACAAAACGAAGCCCTGGTTCCTGCGGTGGTTTGTTGAGATCAGCGGCCTTTATCACAGAGACAGGCGCTGTCTTTTCGTCGATGTCCACCATGACTTCGCGCCAGCCTTGCGCATGCTTCTCAAAGATATGGATGGGCAGGGCATCGAAGAACTCATGTGCGACAAGGATGGTCCATGATTCCGGATCGACAGCGGGCCGCTCATACGTCGGGAACCATTCGATGCGAATCTCTTCTGGCTTGAGTTTCTCGATTGGAGTATCAGCATTTGCCAGGGACCGATGCAGACGCGCAAGGGTCTGACTCAGTGCCGCCTCCTGACGTTCGATGAGCAGCGGCGAGGCCTCCACCAGCTCCAGCGAGCGGAGCGCTGCCATCATATCGGGAAATGCAGAGAAGGTGCGCAAAATATCACAAAGCAGTGTGCCACGGCCAGGGCCCAGCTCGACCAGGCGGACCCGCGGCGGCCTACCGGCGGCCTCCCATCGCGATACGAAAAACACGGCCATCAGCTCGCCAAATACCTGGCTAATCTCAGGGGATGTAATAAAGTCACCGCGAGTACCCAGTATATCCGTCGACTCGGAGTTGCTCTTGCTCGCATAGTAGCCATAGTCCGGGTTCGTCAAGCAGGCCTGCATGTACGCGGGAACCGTGAGGGGACCGCGGGCCTGGTACAATCAGCGGTCGAGGTGCACATACCTTGATTGTGTCGGTGAGGATCTTCTTCAGCTGACCCTCTTGTAGCCTCGGATCAGTAGAATAGGCGCGCATGGCGTGCCACCGCGGCACACGCAGCGCACGCAGCACCGAACGACGTAGCAGCATGATGGTGTCGTGCTTAACTAAGCGGCTGCAGTGGGGTCGAAAAAAATGGCCTCGCGTGCCCCGAGCAGCCCCTACGCCCATGGCGCCTCCCTCGAGCTCGGGCAAGCGTCGCGCAGCAGACGGGGCAGAGATGCCTGCGTCTAAGAAAAAGTCTAGTGTTTCCCAGGAACAGGTGCAGATGGTCGTGGAAGAGGGTGCAGGCATTGGACCAGCCCTGGGTACGTGGCTCGAGGACGCTCACACCAGTGTCGCTATCGGACTTTTGCCCGGATAAGAGCACACGCTTTTCAATGTTTGGTGCACCAAGCGACTCTGTCGATGACAGTAATGATGAAGATGCACTAGCGTCCATGAACGACCGCCTCCTTCTCGCGGCCGATACGGGTGTCATGCAATATACCAGCAGCAACTGGGGCTGGGGCGCCTCGGCCCAGGCGCCGCCTGAGCTGCGTCGTGAGACGCGCGGATATTCAGGAGATTATCTGCTGGGAGTGTATGACCCTGCCACAAAGAGCGTGACCCTGCGCAAAGTCCCTATGTTCACGCTGAACCGCTCTGTGAAGGCCTTGACGAACCTCAGCTCGATGGCGACCGATCGCGGGCGTGATGAAGGCTTTGACTACACCAAGGCACGTCGCGACCTAGGCGAGGCTTTCGGTAACAAGAAGCAGAAGCAGGCGGCTCGCAACATGGACCGCATGAAGGTCAACACGGAACATATGGACAATATCCTGGAGCATGTGGCCCTGGGCATCGATGAATCGTCTGCATCACTGCCCTCAGAGGTAGAGCTTAACGCGGCGTTGAACGCCAGTCGCGCGCTCCCCAAGGCCAACCTGGAGGCAAGCGAGCCCGCTGAGGTGTACCCGGTGGATTCGCTGGTGCCCCCTACGCTGCTGAAGGCGCTACAGACGCGCTTCCTGCTCAAGTGTACTTCATCGTCGGAGCTCGGCAAGGCCATGCGAGTTTTGTCGCTGCCGTCGCCGTGGCTCCTGCCTCTTCTATGGCAACATGTGCAGACGGCGCAAAATGACGCTGGATCCACGTCCAAAGCCATGGAACTAGTCCGCCTGGGCTATGTGGTGGCCATCCTATTGACGTTCCGCAAACACACTCGGCTGCTAAACAAGGGCGATGATGGAGCGACGCTTCTGTCGCAGAAGATGCGCCTGCCTGAAAATGAAAAGGACATGGTTATGGAATACCTTTTGTCACAGTTTGCCGAACAATCGCGCGGATCGCAAAGGTACGTCCCCGGCGCTGACAACAGCTCCACCGTCACTTCCACGGGCGAGACCCGCTTGTTGGCCACTATCGTGGTGCTTGCTTTGCACCTGGATAACTTTAGCGTGGCACCCCAGCGCATTGCTCAGGAGCTGAGTGTGACAACACAGAGGTATGTCTGCATATTTGACATGTACAGAGTGAATGAGATTTGCAAGTCGCTCGGCTGCTCCAGCTCGCAGTCGACCCAGCATGGGGTCGGTGAAGAGGGAGTTGTGACTCATCAGGAACGCCGCTGGCGCTTGCGCCTCCCACTTTCGTTCCCGAATCAACGGAAGCGCGCACCGGCTCGTCGTTAGCTTGTAGCCAAGGACGTTGTAGTCCAAGACATATCCGGCATGCTTGCCATAGCCAGGGGAGGTATATGCCGCCCACGTTCGGCAGCAGCAGGGCTTGCATGCATGTCGTAGTATTCTTGAAGCAAAACATGGCGTACATGGGGCGGAATCTTGTGGGTACGAGCTTCCATTTGCGCGCGCGCCGCCTCCAGCGAACGGTATGCACTGCGCTCAATACGGGCCATTTGTTTTTCGCCTGGGATTTAGTAGCACAAACATACACTCCATATCGTAGTTTTGTAGAACCTCCTGGACCTGCTCCTCGGAGAGCGAGCGTGTCCGCCCCGGCCGGGTGCGCTTGCGACCCATGATCGACGTCGGAAAGTTAAACGGCCAGCATCAACACAACATCTGTTCACGTGATGTGTCCGTGCACGCGTCGAGCCGACCCTCATCATCATGGGCACGACCATGCGGCGCCACACATGGGCTAGAGAGATGCTCGAAGCGCAGGGATTACATTTCGATACGCGTCGACTACCACACACAAAACAAACACTTCCATTTGGATACATAGAACTGCACAAGCACGGTATCCTGACAATTGCTTGGCACCCCTCTCGTCCTGCGCATTGGAGCTACTGGCGCATTTATCCTGACCCGGTCATAGCGACCCTGACGGATGTCCCGTGCGGTGCCTCCATACCTGACGTGGATGACGATCCGAGGCCGACACGGGCACCTAACTCTCACGACCCTCCTCCACGAGATGCCGCGTACACGCTTCACGTCGCCATCCGATGGATCTGTCGCTTGCATGCACACACGCCCATCGGCGCATGGGACGATATGCATGTAGCAAACGGAGTTCGGCAATGGTTTGCAGGCACAGCGGTGTACACACGAGCGACGGCCATAGCCTACTCGGCTCCGCCACAGCAGCCTCCTGACTTTGAGCTGCGCGTATACTGCATGCACCGAGTGAATCAGGCATGGCAGCACGACTGCGTACTGATTCGTATTGATCGTGCACGGAAGATCGTGAGGGTGCAACACGACCAAGCTTGTGCATCTCAAAAGCGACGCACCATGGAAACTGTGGAGTTCGGTCGCACCCAGTCCATATTAGAGACCGAAGTAATGCACGCCTTCGACCGCTGGGTGTTGCATCAGGCCTTGCGCATGCACACGTGTGCGGATACCCTCTTGGCCCAGCAATCTGCGCATTCAATCGCACCAGAGCCATCAAAGCCTCTCTCGCCCGAGCGGCGGAGGAAGCTTCTCGAGAGAGAAAAAACGTGGTACATGCGACGGCGTGCGCTGTGGCCATTGGGTCGCAGCCGGCTAGAGGCGCGCATGGAGTGTAGGGAGGCAGCGAAGCAGCCCCGATCATAGAAGTGAATACTTCTCTTCGGCACGCATTAGTGGCCCCCCATTACTATGGGTCCGCGTCCATGTCGATGAGCCATGAGGGACTCACCAACTTGGTATGGCGGACCTGAAGCAAAAAGGACAGGCGCTGCGCCTGTAGTATGTCTGCGCACTAGGATTGGGTGGAGGAAATCGGGCTGTCCACATAAGCAGGCTGCGGCATGCGCCAGCGAGGGCAGCATGCCACCGGGTGATAATGGATGGGCCTAGTAGGTTCTGTAACATGACTGGCAGGGCCTGAATGGTACGTGTTGTCGTTTTCCGACTTTCGTTTACGTTTCGGATTCGACACGTACTATCACAATGGGATTGTCTGTGTCGCGCTTGCTGTCGGGCCTCTTTGGCAAGAAGGAGATGCGTACGTGCCTTTCCTTTGCTTATGTTCGCAGGCATTCTGATGGTTGGTCTTGATGCCGCCGGTAAGACGACCATTTTGTACAAGCTCAAGCTCGGTGAGATTGTGACCACAATCCCTACCATCGGTATGTGTGCAGCTATGACGGCGATTGCCGTCTGAGACAGGTCTAACATGCAGGTTTCAACGTCGAGACAGTGGAATACAAGAACATCTCGTTCACCGTGTGGGATGTCGGTGGTCAGGACAAGATTCGTCCTCTGTGGCGCCACTGTATGTTTGCTATGGCTCATTCCAGACTTCCAAAACACGCAGGGCATTATCTTCGTGGTCGACTCGAACGACCGCGAGCGTATTCCCGAGGCGCGTGAGGAGCTGCAGCGCATGCTGAACGAAGACGAGCTGCGCGACGCTCTTTTGCTTGTGTTTGCGAACAAGCAGGATCTGCCGAACGCGATGAACGCGGCGGAGATCACGGACAAGCTGGGTCTTCACAGCCTGCGTCAGCGCCAGTGGTTCATCCAGGCCACGTGCGCGACGAGCGGTGACGGTCTGTATGAAGGCCTTGAATGGGTATGTGCGGTGCGAAGACTAACAGGCAGCTGAGCACGAACTTGAAGCGCCGTGGTTAGTGGACCCATGTCATATGGGAGATGTTGTCCAAGGCTCTATGCCCCATATATGCGGCGGTATCTCTAGCTGCATCAGGGGGAGACGTATCCATTTGGCCCTGTAGGTAGTGTATGTGAGACCGCGAGCGATGGCCATGTCCATTCATGACAAGGTCCGCAACATGGCATGTGCGCAAGGCGCGCCTTTGACGGCGGATGTGCTCCTTCGGGCTGAGCGCCGGCAAGTCACATGCGCACAAAATGACCCCTTCTCTCATTGGGCCCTTCTCGTGCAAGGTCGGCTTAACGTACGCGTGGCCATCACAGATTGTAAGGCGACGGCGTGGTGTTCTTGCTCCCTGTAGGTTAGCCGTGAAGAGGTAGCTGCATCGAAGAGCGGAATCTCGGCGAGCCTTTGGGTAGACTGCCAATTATGGATACCCCAGGGTCGAAGCGCAAGCTCTCCAAGAACCTGGGGGTCCGCTGGAAACAGCTTTGGAATGGAGCCAGCGCCCGTGCAACCAGCGAGGGGAACCATCGTGTCGAGGGCTCTGACCTACCGAGGAAAAACCCTCAGGGTGGCTTCGTGCCACCAAGCATTCCGTCGCGGTGGCGGAAGAGCTCGGTTGTGAAGCCCCATGAAGATGCCGGTGCGCCGCAGGATCCGGGTCTGACAGCCGATGACACGAGCGTGACTTCGTCGACGCCGTCGACCTACGCGGATACTCATGCGGCCCAGCCATCATCGCGGCGGCGAAAACTCTGGATGCCTGGAACGCACATTGACGAGCTTAGCACGCCGGGCCAGTTCCCTGAGGGCGAGAGCCGAGCGAGTGCACGCGACTTTTTAATGGCCTCACTGAAGTTGCCCGCACTGCTGGGTCTGGATACAAACTTTAAGGCGGACACAGGCTTCTTTGGGTTGGACCAGTCGGGCAATACGGAGACGGAGGACAGCGCGACGCCCGAGATCCCGACGCGCGCACCAGGCGATACGGACATTGAAACGGATCCGGAGGACCGCACAGACTACGTTGAGTATCCTCGTAAAGCGCCGAAAGAGAGGCAAAAAAGTTATAATGCTGGCGTAAAGAGCTCACCGGAGCATGTCTCCCCGCGGGCGGTGCCACGACGGCTGGACGACGACACCTGGAGCATCGGAGACAATGCGGACGGCCACATGGCGAATAGTTCGAACGAGTTGCACCCCAGTGCACCACGGTCGGCTGCGTTGAGCAAGACTCTGCATGAGCTGGACGAAGTCGAGATCAGCGAGTTTCTAAATCACTTTAGCCGACACACGCGCGAAGTGCATCTCCCTAGCGCAGCGCGGCACTTCACGCGTATGCCGCAGTGGTCCGACTTTGCGTACTCGTCCGACGAGGACGAAGAGAACATCCAGCCATTTGCACCAAGCGAGTCGCTTGCCAATCGCCACCGCCGCTCGCGCTTGCTCATGCATGTGGATCGTGGACTGCACATGCTCGAAGTGCCCAACGTGGCAGTACCGAGTGTTGTGACATCGGCGTGCTCGACGCCTGGCGATAATTCAACGACCCGGCGTCGAGGCATCGATGGCGATTTGCAGCGCTCCAATTCGATGAGCACCATGCCGGAGGTCGCCAAGCTTAAGGAGGGTGTGGATGCGGCGATGCCGGCGGGTATATCAACTAGTGGTGCCTCTGAGAAACTCCTGGACTCGCCCATCAATGACCGATCGCAAAAGCATTTTCGTGTTGCTGACGATGCCGCCGAGATCCCGCCCGACTTGCACGACGATCATGTGGATGGTGTGGCGTTCTGTGTGGCTTACTTTCTCGCACTGGTCGAGCAGTACGCGCCAGACGACCTGGACGAGGCGCCGGTGACCGAGTACCGCGAGAGCCGCGCACGCTCGCACATTGAACGTTTGTATATCATTGCGCCTTTCTGGGAGCAGCTCGCGGCGAATCTACGTACGCTGTACTGCTGGGAAGTCCCGCGACGCACGGCGGCCGCGGCTATGATCTATTTTGTGCTATGGTACACGGACATGCTGCCGAGTGCCTTTTTCCTGACGCTGCTGTACTACGTGCTGCAGTTCCGTTACTTTCCGCAGGACGAGTCGCTGCTGCACCAGCGTGTGCACGAGCGCATGGTGCGCGGGCAGCATGCGAACCGCTTGGCGGAACGCCTCAAGCGGCGAAGTCGGCTGGACATTTTGGATCTGTACAAGCGGTGGGCAAGTACGTATGGTGTTGTAAGCCAAGTGGCGGCGGGCGACGTCGCCGACTTTCACGAAAAGATCAAGAACCTGCTGCTATGGCGCAACCCCCGGGCGAGCCAGCGGACTGCGATTATCCTGCTGCTGATCAGCCTCCTTGTGACGCTTGTCAGTCCGGCGCTCGTGTTCAAGGCGTTTTTCTTTTTCTGTGGCATTACGTTTTTTGCGCTCATGCCGCTGCAGACGCTGTATCCCCGGTACCGACGCGCACTCAACCCGCTGTGGTGGGCCGTGCTGGGTGCGCCGACCGATGCGCAATGGGCGATCCAGCTGCTCCGCAAGCGCCACAGGCGGTACCAAGAGTGGCTACACACGATGGAGACGCGTCGGAGCCCGGGCGGCGGCACGACGAGCGGCGGCTACACGAGCAGCTCGGATGTGCCGCCGCCGCCGCTAACCGCTGCAGACGGGCGCTTCGCACAACTGCCAGCAGACACCGCGCCGGCGGAGTCCACGTCGAAGCGCTCAAAATCGAATGACGACATGGACCGGCGCAAGCTCGATACGTTCCTGTGTCAGCTCCATGGTGTGCCCGGCCACTTGGTCGTCACGCCATCGCACGTGTACTTTAGTTCCCTACGCGTAATGGGCGCTGGCAACAAGCACTATGTGACGCGCCTCGAAGATATCATGGGCCTGCGCAAGACGCAAGGCAGCCGCTTCTGGCTGTGGGACAGCCACGGTTTGAAGATCACGCGACGCGGCCGCAACACGTTGCTGCTGGCCAATATGGCGCGCCGCGACGAGGCATTCAACCTGCTGCTCACCCTCGCCTCGCACCAGATCCAGGACTTGTAGTTTGTATGATAATTAGGGCCATTGCGTGCGGCGCTTGCCGTTGACCCACCCGTCCCGGCGGATCAGCTCGGCACCGCGCTCCGCAATCATCAGGATCGTCAGCATCGGGTTCACCGACGGGATCGTGGGCATGACACTCGCATCACACACGCGCAGGCCCTTCATACCCACCACCGCGAGGTTCGACTGGTCGACTACGACCGTACGCTGCTCCTCGCTCGCAGCCTGACCGGCCGCCGCCGGCGTGCCCATGCGGCAGGTGCCCGCGGGGTGGTACACCGTGTGGTGCACCTTGCGCGCGTAGGCGCTCAGGTCCTCGTCCGACTGGCACGCGGGGCCCGGCGCGACCTCACGCACGAGGTGCTGGCGGAACTGGGGATGCTCCGCAATCTTGCGCGCAATCTTCATGCCCTCGACCATGAGACGCTCGTCGTAGCGGTCCTTGTCGGCAAAGTACTGGAAGTCGATCAGCGGCTTCTCGGCGGGGTCCGCACTGGCCAGCCACACCTTGCCGCGGCCGCGCGAGCGCATGGCGTTCGGCGTCATGCAGATAGCGTGCTTCGGCACCGGGTAGCCCGCGCGCGCCGTATTTTCCGTGAAGGGGATCTGGTAGATATGGAACATGAGGTCCGGACCGGGGTGCGGCACGGGCTCCGCGTCCGGTGGGAGCGCGCGCACAAACAGGCCTGCATCGGACGTCATGACCGTCTCCTGCGGCGTGTCGCGCGTCTCCCAGATGATGATGGACTCGGGGTGGTCGTTCAGATTCCGGCCAACGCCCGGTAGGTCGTGGCGGCACGCAATGCCGACCTTTTCAAGGTCCTCGCGCGCGCCAATACCTGAGAGGAGCATCAGGCGCGGCGTGTCGAACGCGCCAGCGGCGAGGATCACCTCGCGACGCGCCCGGATCGTCGAGGCGCGCCCGTCCTTGCCGATGACGTGCACACCCCGCACATGCAGCGGGTCCTGCGCATCGAACGCGAGCGCACGCACCCACGTGTCGAGGAACAGATGCAGGTTGCGGCGCGGCGACGCGCCGCCCGGCATGATCGGGTGCATGTACGCCGTGCTCGCACTGCTGCGGTAGCCGTTGTACGGGTCGTACGCAATATTGAAGAAGCCCACCGCCTTACGGAAGCCCCCGCGGTACGCAATCTGCGCATTCATGTCCTCGAGGATCGGCGCGCCCGTCGTGTCGGAGCTCGCCTGCACCCAGTCGCGCACCACGTGGTTGCGCTGCTGGGGCGCGATGGGCGTGATGTTCATTTTCAGGCGCAGGCCGTACGGCTGCAGCGTCTTCGCGTCCCAGTGGGGGCACCCGTGGTGCTGCGCCCAAATGTCCAGGTCCTCGTTGAAGGGGAAGAACGAGATGAGCGTGTTGTGCGACGAGCAGCCGCCCAGGATGCGGGCGCGCGAATGCAGGATGTGCGAGTTGCCATGCGGCTGCTCGGTCGTCGTGTACCCAAAGTCGTATTCGCCGCCGAGCATCTCGAGCCAGCGGCGCAGGTTCAGCGCACGTTCTTCGTGCTCGTCGCTGGGGCCCGCCTCGATGACGGCCACGGAGACGCCTGCGTCCTCCGTCAGGCGGTTCGCGAGCACACAGCCAGCCGTGCCGCCGCCCACGATCACATAGTCAAACTCGGCCTCGTCGCCGGGCTGCAGGTGCGAGGCAATGGCGGACAAGCGGTTGTGGGCACGAGGTGCCATGGTAAATGAAGACGAAAAAATCAGGCGACCAGGCTTGGCATGGGCCTACGCACGTGAAGGTCTACGTGCCCCTACTAGTAGTTCCAGCCGTCGCGCGCGAGGCGCTCGACCTTGTCCATCACGCCCTGCTCCATGTCGTCCATGTACGCCTGCATCTTGGCGAGGTAGGACGGGATGCCCGTGCCGAGGATGCGCACGGCCAGGAGCGCCGCGTTCAGACTGTTGTTGATCGCCACTGTCGCCACAGGCACACCGCGCTGCGTCAGTCACATATACGTACCGGCATCTGCACAATGCTGTGCAGCGAGTCGACGCCGTCGAGCGTGCTTCCCTTCACAGGCACGCCAATCACAGGCACAGGCGTTTGCGCAGCGACCATGCCGGGCAGGTGCGCTGCGCCCCCCGCGCCCGCAATGATGATGCGCACGCCCCGCGCTGGCGCACTGCGCGCATAGTCGCGCATACGGTCAGGCGTGCGGTGCGCACTCACAATCGTCAGCTCAAACGGCACATCCATCGCCTTGAGTGTCTGGGCGGCCGGCATCATCACAGGTAGGTCGCTATCGCTCCCCATAATGATGCCCACGAGCGCCTGCGGATGCGAAAAGTCGCGGGCGCACTTGTCGGAGGTGGCCGGCGAGCGCTGCGCACGCTCGCGCGCCGCACCGGCGTCCCACGGCGCGGCGCTCTGCGCAGCCGCCTGCGCAAGGCGCAGCTCCTCCAACAAGGCACCCATGCGCTCGTGCACCTGCGCGTCCGATTGCCCCACCACGTTGATGTGGCCCATCTTGCGCCCAGGGCGGCACCCGCTCTTGCCATACAAATGCACCGTCGTGCCCGGCACATGCAGACTGCGCACCGCAGGCGCAAGCGTCTTCGCGAGCGCGTCGGGATCACGGCTCAGGTCCGCCAGGCCCAGCAGGTTCAGCATCGCGGCTGACGGTACTTTGAGCGCGGTGCTGCCGAGCGGCAGCCCGAGGATCGCGCGCAGGTGGTTCTCGAACTGGCTCGTCTCACACGCATCCATCGTGTAGTGCCCGCTGTTGTGGGGGCGCGGCGCAATCTCGTTCAGTAGGATCGTGCCGTCCGGCATCAAGAACATCTCCACGCCAAAGATGCCGGCGCCGGTGAACGTCGCGACGGCCTTCTCGGCAATCGCACGCGCACGCTCCGCCAGCTCGGGCGTCTCGCTGCGCAGCGGCGCATACACACTGTGGCAGATGCTGTGCTCGTGCACCGTCTCCACCGCCGGGTACGAAGCGACGTGGCCGTCGACACTGCGCACGACCATCACCGCAAGCTCCTTGGCGAATGGCGCCCACCTTTCCGCGTAGAGTGGGCGCGAGCCACCGCCCAGCGCCGCAATGGCCGCATCCACGTCGTCCAGGCTGCGCAGCGTATAGTTGCCCTTCCCGTCGTACGCCTGCGTGCGTGACTTGAGCATGAGCGGCAGCTGGAACCGCTCGACGGCCGCTTGCACCGCTGCATGCATATCCTCGTTGTTGTCGATGGCCAGGGAGTCGACGACCGGCACGTCGTGCGCGTGCAGGTGCTCCTTTTGCGAATACTTGTCCTGGATCAGGCGGATCGTCGCGGGCGCCGGGTGGACGGCGCGCACGAGGCGCTCGTCCAGCACGGCCTGCAGCTCATCGGCGTCCACATGCTCTATCTCCACGGTGAGCACATCCACCTGCGCGGCCAGCTCGTGGATCTTGGCGCGGTCCGCAAAGCTGCCGTCCACATGGCGCGGCCCGTCCAGGGAGGCAGGCACGCTCGTGATCTGCTTGGCAGGCGTAAACTCGCCAACATCGAGGAATCGCACGGCTACATTCAGGCGCGAGGCAGCCTCGCCGAACATGCGGCCCAGCTGGCCACCGCCCAGCACGCCCACCACAGTGCCTTGGGGGTCCATGATCGTCGCAGAAAAAGCCGCTGCGACGCAAGGCGCCATGCTGAGTCAGCGCTCGGCCGCGCACAGACAGTGCAGGGCGCCGCTGCACGAGGCATCGCGGGCGCCGCTATGCGCCTGGTCGTCTACGATGAGGAAGACGGCGGGACACCTGCGCAGCAGGTGCAAAGTTATTTGGATCGAGACACGCACCACGATATTGGGGCGCTCGCCGTGTCGTACGCGGACATGAGCGATGCGCAATGTCATGCGCTCAGCGAGGTCCTGCGCGCGCACTGGCACATGATGACGTTGGATCCTGGGTTTGTAGGCCGTCGCACGCATACAGGTATCCGAAGGCTGGATCTCTCGTCCAATCGTATCACGTCCCTTGAGCGCGCGGGGCTCATCGATATGGTGCGCGAAAATGCCGTCTTGACGCAGCTGGAGCTACAGGCGAACGAGATTGTGGTACGTTAGCGCGCCTCACGCAGCGTTCTCGGGCGCACAAGGTGGACGAGTGCCGCCGCTTTGCGTACGCTGTATCGACCAGCACACTGCGCGTGCTCAACATGACGGCGAACCACCTCGGCGACGAGGGTATGGCGGCGTTCTTTGATGCGCTGCCCCGCACGGGCACCTCGCTGAAATCGCTGTACATCTCTGTCAACACATTCGAGTCGGCCTCGGGCTCGCTCCAGGCCGCCCGCAGCATCGCGCGCTTCCTCAGTGACTCGGGAGCGTGCCGCGGCCTCGAGCGCCTGCACCTCAATGGCAACCACTTCGGGTGGGCCGGCGTGCGCATGATTGCGCATGCAATTATGGGCTCGCGCGCTGCCTGTACGCTGGGCGGCACGGCCGACGCCACGACGCACGACGAGAGCGTACTCGATGCCGCGCCGCCCAACCGCTCGCTCATACACATCGACTTGTTTTCTACGGGGATCGACTCGTGGGCACCGGCAGAGCCCCAGACAATATATGCGAGCTGGGAGTCCAGCTCGCTCGTGACGCGGGACCGCTGGTGGAGCCTCGTGGAGCGACAGCTCGAAGAAAACGAGCGCCGCCGCAGCGCGGCGCTGAGGGCGGCCACGCAGGTGCTTGTCGCCGCACGGCTACTAGGATGCAAGGTGCATGAGGCCAATCCGCAGTGCACGTATTCGTTCCTGCGCCTTCCTCTGGAGCTGCGATTGCGCCTCATTTCATATGTGGACAGCGACGGCGTCCTCACGCACGAGCAGCTGGTGCATGTGCTGCAGTGGGCAAGCGAGCCAGGTACTATCGGGTACGGCACGAGGATAGACCCGGCACCGGCACCGGCCACGCAGCTGGTGTGGCCCATCCCGCCGTGGTCGTGGGACAACTGCTTCCAGCACCGCAGCGTTCGGCGCAACTGGCACAGCGACTCATTCGACGAGGACGATCTAGATGGCAGAGGCCCACGCGACCCTGCCCTGCTCGCGTTTTGGGAGTGCACGGGCGTAGCACACTAGCGCTCGTCCTTGGTCCGGGGGCGAACAAACCACGAGCGCACGCCTGTAGGGGGTATCGAGGCCATAGGCGGGACGTCGGCGGGCGACGCCGATAAGCGGCTCATGGGCACAGGCGGTGCCAGTCCAATCCATGGAGCGATGAACGCACGCGCGAAAATCTCGCCAAAGCCGAGCATGACGCCATTGAGGAAGGGCAGGCCGATGTTGATCGCCAGCGTCGCCGTCACAAGCAGGAGGCGGCGCGACCACGGCACGCCAGGCGCGCATATCGCAGCAATCGTGAGCTCTCCGGTAGGCGCTGGTGGCGGCGGTGGCTCGGCGACACTCGCAGCCTCGTCGATCGTCGAGAGGCTACTATCGATCGAGGGCGAGCGGCGCAGGGCCACCAGGTCCTTTCCAGACGTCTGGGTCTCCAAGGGCACCTCATTGGACAAGGACGCCTCGCTGGCCTCTTCTGAAGACGACCAGCCAGGGTGCTTCTCCATACCCAGCCACGGCTGCTCACTCGGCAGCTCCATCCCAAGTCCAGGCAGAAGTGGAGTTCACGTCGACGGGCAGGCTCGTGCGTGCGGCCTGCTGTCGGCCGACAGGTCTTTTCTTCCGCGGCGTGCGACAGAGACTTCGAACGATCGACTGCAATGCCGCCGAAGAAGAAGGGCGGTGGGGGCGGTGGCGCCCCCAAGGTGACCATCGACAAGACCTTTGGTATGAAGAACAAGAAGGGTGCGAAGGCACAGCAGCAGATCAAGATCATTCAGCAGCAGCAGCAGCAGACGGGCAAGTCGAAGGAGGCGCTCGCGAAGGAGAAGAGGCGCGAGGAGGAAAAGCGGGTCAAGGCCGAGGCCGAGCGGCGCATGAAGATCGAAGGGCCGCCGATTGTGCAGCCGCATGTGCCGTTTGGTGTGGACCCCAAGAGTCTGACATGCAACTTCTGGAAGGCGGGCCGCTGCGATAAGGGATCGAAGTGCAAGTTTGCACACTCGAACGATGCGCAGCGCAAGACGCAGAAGAAGGATCTGTACACGGACACGCGTGACCAGGCTGAAGACGATAAGAAGAACGACACGATGGACAAGTGGGACCAGGAACGGCTGAGCAAGGTGATCAACATGAAGCATGGCAACCCTCGCACGACGACCGACAAGGTATGCAAGTACTTCTTGCAGGCGGTCGAAGACGGCAAGTACGGCTGGTTCTGGGAGTGCCCCAACGGTGGCGAAAAGTGCATGTACCGCCACGCCCTGCCGCCGGGCTTTGTGCTGAAGTCGGAGCGCAAGGAGATGGAGGCGCTCGAAAAGGCGAACGAGATCTCGCTCGAAGAGTTCCTGGAGAGTGCTCGCCACAAGCTGGGTTCGAATCTGACGCCCGTAACGCCCGAGTCATTCGCCAAATGGAAGAAGGAGCGTCTTGACAAGAAGGCGGCAGAGGAAGAAGCGCAGCGCCAGAAGAAGGCGACACAGGCCCAGGCGAACAAGATGGCGGGTCTTTCAGGCCGTGAGATGTTCGCGCTCAACCCCGATATGCTGGAGGATGACGACGACGACGACGACGACGGCGCATTCGACATGGCGACGTATATGCCGCAGGGTTGGGAGCAGGGGCGTGAGGAAGACGTGGACTCGGCACCCCACAACGACATGGCGCAGCTCAGCATCTGAAAAACATGCTTCGTTTGATATCCTTGCTGCTGATGTACAACAGTCTGTATCCTACCACGTAGTCACTACGCATCGCGCCGCCAGCTGGCGGCGCCCAAGTATGTCTGCGCACTCTGCGCCAGAGCGCTCCACGCAAGGCCATCGGGCCCCGTGGGCCAGCCTTGAAACAGGCTCGAGAAGCCAGACGTAGGCGTCTGCGCCACGACGGTCATGATGGTGGGACCATCGGGCGGCACATCAGGCAGCTGCTCCTGCTGCACCTTGCGTTTGGCGCTGTCGAGCAGCGGCGTAATGTCGCTCTTCTCGATATCGTCACGAGCACGCAGCAGGGCCTCAAAGAACGGCAGGTTGGGCCCGTGTGCCTTGGCAAATGTCCAGTACGGCAAGAATACCATCGACGGCGGCGCGCTGAGGATGGCATGGATCATGTGAAGCACTTCCAGGCGCGACGCAGCTTCGTCGGCGGAGCGCACATAGGCCACCAGGTTCTCCAGCTCGCTAATGTCGACCTTGAAGCGCTCGGCCGCCTTGGGCATGCGCAGGCGGGCGGAGCGGTACAAGTTCGTCAGGTACGCCGTGAGCAGTCGCGCGATAAGGTCGTCGGACAGCACATCGTACAGGTTCGGCTCGAGGCGCGCGGCATAGTCGCCGGCATAGTCGCGTACAGTCTCGGTGATGGTGGCTGTTGTGCCTTCGATGTACCATGCAGGGAACGTGAACAGATCCTTGAAGGCAGGGCGCAGGTCAAAGAGGACCATCTCGACCAGCAACTGCACGCAGTGCTTGCTAATGTCCAGAAAGCCGTTGAGCGCATGGTCGAGCACCTCGCGGACGTGGCCCTGGTGCGTGGGGCCGACCTGCTTTTCGAGTCGGTGCAGTAGACGCTCCGACTCATCGGCGCTGGCCAGCTGGTCGTTGGCCAAGGCAATCAGGTACTCGACCAGGCCCCCCTTCACTTCCTCGGGCCGCTTGGCCGTCGTCTGCTTCTTAAATTCTTGCTGCACAATCTGCATCCACGACGACTGGCAATTGTGCATCACAACGCACGCATGGTCGACGATCCGCACGAACAGGTCGTCGCTCCCAGTTTGCTGCGCCAGATCCATCTGCTGGTTGAGCATACGGAACAAGATCACGCACGTCGAGAGCTGGTACATGCCCTCGGCCGTTTCGTCCGGCGCTTTTTCCCGCTGAACGAATGCGGCAATCTCACCGTACATGAGATTCGCCGTCCAGTCGTCCATCTTGCGCGTGAGCAGACTCGCATAGTCATCAATGATGCTCTGTTCTCGGCCGCCTAACAGTGACGGCTCTAGCCACGAGGCGTCGATGCCCTGGCCGTCGCGCGTGAGACGCGCCTCGTGCTCCTGCGCCACATGGTACAGCTCCAGCAGCGATGCGGCATCGGCCTCCTCGAGCGGCACCTCAGTCTGGAGCAGCTCGCCGAGAGCGCGGTGGTGCGCCTGTACATAGATTTTGTGCACCTGGACTTCAGCCGGGAAGAGCGGCACCACGGAGCGTCGCACCTGCTCCAGCTCATCGTAGAGCCAGCTGCTCTGCTCATACAGCGCACGGGGGCTCGGCTCCGCGAGCTGGGTCCACGTTTCCTGCAGCCGGCGCAGCGCGCTCATCTGCAGCGACTCGCGGAACTTGTGCCAGTACAGTTTGATGCTGTGGCCATACGTGGCAATCCCGTGGAGACGCGCTGCTCCCTCGATCTTGGCATGCTTGGCGAGTCGGATCGCTGCGGTGCGCTCGTCCTCGCGGTTCTCGCGCTCCATGATCTTGACCATGCGTACCACCACGCTGTTCTGCCCGCGCTGCACAAGAGCGAGCACATTCACGAAGAGCGCAAGCATGTAGGCCTCAAAACCATCCAAGAGCTCCTCCAGCGGCGTGAGCATCGACATAAGCTGCTCGCGCGCGTCTGGAGCACTCGAACCGGCGAGATGCAGCGTCTCATTGCGGAAAGTCTCCCATTTGGCCAGCTGGAAATGCAGGGCCAGTAGCTCCGGAGCAGGACCAAGGAGGTCCGCGCGGTACTGTGCCAGTACCTCAGAGAGCTTTTTAACATCCTGCGTCATCGTCTCAAACCGCGTCAGGAGATCGGTCGTCTGCACCAGCGTGCGCCGCAGTCGCGACAGCTCACTGATAACGCGAAAACTACGAGCGCCGCGCGTCTCGCCGTGTGCGCCATCACTGGTATCCTGAAACATGTTCTCAATCTGCGCAAACTTTTCCTGGACGCCGGCAATCTCACGCCGCGTCGAATGCAGCTGAAGCAGACCCTCCCTGGTCATCTCAAGCTGGTCCTTGGCGCCCATCTTTAGCTTTGCCGAGAGCGACGCATGCTCCCGCGCAAGCTTGCGCTGCAAGCTGGGGATCTTGGCCAAGTCATCGGGTGACTTGAGGTATTCGGCAAGCAGGTTGCCCACGCCCGACGCCATATAGTTCGCACGCGGCCGACCGGGGTGCACAGGTCACAGAGCACGCCCGTCGTGCGGAGTGGAGTAGCGCGGAATGCGCCTAGTGCCTAGTAGGTCGCAGGGACGCGCCAGGACAGACCACGCCGGTAGTTGGGCATCTACAAGGGGCGCTTCGCTACAGTCTCGCTCAAGAGGGGGATATACGGCCGCGGAGCTCGGTCTTGATTGATGGCGGGGACAGTAGTGGATTTGGCGCTTGAAAAGAGGGAAGTGATCCGGAAGACATGGGCATCGGCGACGTCACGCGTGATGGCGGCCTAGATGGCCATAGACCTGATGAAAGAGCTGTAGAGATGACCACAGAGTCGTCACACGTGCTCCATGTATCCTGCGTGTTTGACCCACGCCGCTCAGGCGGCCATTCGATAGGGGAGGTCGTGCGGGAGAAGGCACTGCCGCGCGACCGGTCACTGATCGGGGGGGTAGGCGAGTGAGGAGGAGGTAGTACAGACGTAGCGCTGGAGCTGCGCTCTGGATTCGGAATGTTCGACGATGCCACTGACACCATTAGAAAGTCATCGCGTGCCACCGGCCCATCGTGTTGTAGGTGTTTGGGGACGCCACGCGTAGCACTCGTGCGCCGAGTTCCTGGCGCCGACTGGGGCAGCGTGGCGCTGCCTGACATCCGGTCCCACCTTGTAGATACGAACGAGAGAGGTTGGGCGATGAACTGGCCCCATGGATCGTTCTTCTTACGACGCTTGTTCTCGTTCAGGTCATCCCGGAGCGGCGGAGCGGTATCGGAGGGCATAGTGATCGTCATGCGGTGCTCGTCCGCATCGGTGCCGTCCGACACTGGCACGGGCACCCAACCGCTTAGGTGCCGCCGAGCGAGCCGTCGCCACACCATATAGAGCGCACCCAAAACCACAGATACGAGCATTAGCACGATCACCCAAGACGACCACGTCAGCGGGACCGAGGCAGGCGCATGACGCGCGACCTCTTTGCTGACCTCGAGCAACGCCCTGCCGAGCGTCCAGCTGACACCGACGCCCTGTACTTCGTTCACGCTCTGGAAAAAACGAGCACTATCCTCGCGCGGCAGCGCAAGCCCCTCGTGGAGGAATGTGGATACCCATGCCGCCTTGAAACACTGCATCTGCAAGCGCGACATTGTGACCTGCTTGGGGTATTCATGGCGGTCGAGCTTCGCCGCCAATGCGTGCCAGTCGGATTGACAAAATGCTTCAGCCGCCCGGTGGAACTGCTCGCGGTCATAAGCACCGCCGAGCCCAAATACATCGTCGGCACTGTACCAGTACTCAGATACACCCACGAATGGCACCTTGTTATACTGAATCGAGGGCACATGTACCCCATGGAACGGACAAGGGGGCGCAGCACATGTCGCATTCCGGTTGAGCAGCGGTTGCTGGTGGACGAGACATTCGGCAAAGGAGCCCGTCCCTACCACATCGCTCAGTCCCTCCTGCCCTGGAAGTCGCAGGCCGTGCGGTAGGCACGGGTCCGACACCTCGGTAGCATTGGCCTGGTCGGCCAAGGCGTATAGATAGCGCAAGCGCGCCTCATTGGTGCCAAATCCTAGGAAGGTCGTCACAAAGACCTGGTGCTCGTCCACGGTGCCGTCCAGTCGATGCAGCGAAACAGGGAACAAGTCTTTTTGGGCATCCGCTTCGGACGGCTCGAAAGCAATCTGCGAGCTGGCACCCCCCATATCCAAGAACCCATACGGCTGAGACCCAGGCTCAAAGCCGCCCATGAGATAGTTGATCGCTAGCCAGCCAAAGAGGCCTTCCTCTTCACCAGAAATTACACGGACATGCCCGCCACAGGCCGAGTCCGGGTCGGCGCCGGTGAAATCATGCGCTTGCGGGTCCAGAGCGAACGGGAACTCCCGAATTGTTCGACAGGTCTCTAGTAGAATCGCTTGTCGTTGCTCGGGGGACAGCAGACGCATACCTGCCGTGGCATGGATATAAATGGGGGTATGGGCCAAGGCTTTGGGCGGGACCATCGTATATACATGGCTTAGAAGCTCTTTCAAGTAAGCGCGAAGCTCGGGCATTTTCCCAGCAAAGGAGGACAGTCCAGGCTCGAGTTTGACTTGCCATGGCTTCCCAGAGCTCGATGGCGTACCACGCTCGATGGCGGGAAGCACATGGAGCGAAAGTTTCTGCTTGAGCCGCTCCCGTCTTGTCCGGGAGAAGTCGAGCCAGGAGTACACCTGGAGCCGTGACCCAGACGACCCCGCATCCACAATGACAATATATTTGCGATGAGCGTCCCAAGCAAGATCCTCAGCGGTAGTGACTTCTGTTTCTCCCACCGGACTTCTTCGGAGAAGAGGGGTAGAGTCGACATGCATGACTGCCGCAGTCCTCGCGTGGTACCGCCCTAAGCGGGTCCCTGAGACACGCTGCCTAGCGAGTGAAGTAATCCAGATTCTGTTCCAAATATAGGCTCACCTATGCGGGCGCTCCACGCATCAGTCACGTGAAGAATATTACAGAGACACGATCGTTCCGTGGCATCCCTCGTCTTGCCCGCACAGGCAACTAGAGGCCTTTACTCCCCTGCCTCATCACAACTCGGATTGTCCTCGTTGTGAGAGATTGGGAGTGGCATACAACGAAAAGGACTCTTTTGATTGTACAAACCTTCTTTACCGACTCAAATCTGGGAAATGATGTCCAAGGTATGTCCCGTGGTCAGGATCGTTGCTGACATTCAGACTCAACCTCTCCGTGAGTATAAATTGGTCGTGGTAGGCGGTGGTGGCGTGGGTAAATCTGCGCTCACTATCCAATTTAGCCAGAACCACTTTGTTGACGAGTATGATCCAACTATTGAAGGTATGCTTTTTCATCATTGACACTCAGATTCGTACCGCAAACAATGCAGCATCGACAATGAAATGGCTCTCCTGGATGTTCTTGATACTGCTGGCCAAGAGGAGTACTCGTACGTCGCTTCGTATCTCACAAATTTAGCGCTATGCGCGAGCAGTACATGCGCACGGGTGAGGGCTTTCTCCTTGTCTACAGCATGACGAGCCGCAGCTCGTTCGAGGAGATCTCAACGTACTACCACCAGATCCTGCGCGTGAAGGACAGGGACCATTTCCCCATGGTCCTTGTCGCCAACAAGTGCGATCTAGAACAGGAGCGTGAAATCACCACAGCGGGTATGTAATCGTACGGGAGGCTGACTTTACAGAGGGCTACGCTTTCGCCAGGGATATTGGATGCCCATTCGTCGAGACATCGGCGAAGCAGCGCGTTAATGTGGACGAGGCTTTCAACGACTTGGTTCGTGAGATTCGGAGGTTCAACAAGGACTTGAACCTCGGCGCCGGCGGTGTCTCTGGCTATCAGGCCAAACCGACCAACGACGCGGTGGGCAAGGGCTGCAAGTGCATCGTGATGTGATCGCCTTGTCATGTTGTCAACCACTCACACCATGCTTTCATAGCAAGTATAACGGGATTATCATAGACACGAATCTTCAGTCTCACTTGCTTCTGAGCAAAAATTTAGTTGATATTAGGGAATACCCGCTTCATATACAAAATCACGCCACACCTAACACCCTAACTCACAAACTAATTACTTCAAGATCAATATAGCACTAAAGATATGAAACATTCGACGGCTATTTAGCGAAAAATAACGGTGCTTCTACAGTCAAATCGCCTGGGAAAATATTTAGATGAGGGCGGCAACAACCACACCCACAACGCCGGCAACGACGGCAGGGACGCCGCTGAAGCTAGCGGCACCGTTCTGGCCAGAGCCCGACGAGCCACTGTCACCAGACGAGGGAGCGGGGCTGTCCGACGACGAGTCATCACCATCACCACCACCGGCGCCACCAGCACCACCAGAGGGCTGCGAGCCGCTCGACTGCGAGTCACCCGAGCCGCCCGACTGACCCTGAGATTGCGACTGCGACTGCGACTGCGACTGCGACTGCGAGCCACCGCCAGATGTCGACGACGACTTCGAGCCGCTAGACGAAGAAGACTTGGAACCGCCCGACGACGAACCACCCGAGGACTTCGAGCCGCCCGAGCCACCGCCGGCAGCGGCAGCACCACCGCCACCGCCAGAGCCGCTGCTGCTGTTGCCGCCGCCGCTGCTGCTGTCATCGCCATCGCCCATGCAGTCCGACGAACCGTCGCGCACAGGGCCAACAGGAGCCGACGCCTGGCACTGACCGGTGCTGTCACACACCTGAATGGTGAACTTCTGACCAGCAGGGACCTGCACCTTCCAGCCGCTAATCTTGTTGTCGCTGGTCTGCTTCAGAGAGACGATAGGTTCATCCACCTTGCTTTCCTTCGTGATGGTAGGGAAGTAAGGGGCCTGGCCACCGGACCAGGTAATCTGCATAGGTTGGCACTGAACAGCCTGAGGAGGCGTGTCAACAGTGAACTGGCCACCCTGGGCAGCGACCGAGGCGGCAGAGACAAGAGCAAGGACAGTTGTAGCCTTTGCGAACATTGTGTTGGTGGAAAGGTAAGGAGGGGCCGTTCCATCAGCCCGCAATTTGAGTGACGCGCGGGCCGTGCCACCTGACCCTGATACGGCCAGTGCGTCGGCGCTAAGGCATCTAGAATGCCCGTTCCATTGAAATGTAGCCACTAAGACAAATCGATTTCGTCCCCAAATGACGTGGCATGAGCTAATGGCTCTATAATCCAGAAATCAAACCAATAATGAGTTATTTTTCAAAATATAGATAGTCTACTTACAAATATGCACGGTTCCTACAAACAAACGGCACGGGCTTCCAGTGCACGATCGGAAGTCAACAAGGGATTTGACCAATCAGATGTAATGCATGTTATGGCAGTGTTGGTCATTCAGTGATTTAGTTGACGTGCCCGAACTGCGGCTGTGCAAACCCACGACCGTGCATTTAACACGCGATATCATCTCACGTTCGCGTTCACGTGCCGAATTGGTACGATCGCACGCGAGACAGACCGTGCAATACACCAGGGACGTAATGCCAAAGGGTGCGTCCGGGTTGGCCAGTGCGCCACAGAGGCTCTCGTATCCGCGAGCAGCCCAGGCAGAGATTGTTCGTTTGCACCAGAAAGATCAATACTATCGTAGCCTCTTCTATGATCAGCTCAAGGAAGTTGCTATTGATTTCTTGGGGGCCAGACGAAGCCAAGTGTGGGACGAAATACTCTCCTTGGTAGCGAGTGCCGCATACTTTGGTCTCAGCACGTTGGGTGGCGCTCAGTCACTTGGTGAAGAATACGTGAATTCTGTTATGCGACATCGCGCTACTGGAAAGATGGTGGGGACTAAACGGAGAGCTTTCTTTTTGATGATGTATGTGATTGCTCCCTATGTCGTGACCCGGGCCTACGGACAAGCGCGAAAATGGCTCCAGAAAAAGGATCAAGAGATCCAACACAGTCACGAACGCGCGGCCATTCATCAGGCGATGCTAGAAAAGGCGGGTGAGATTGATCTGACTACTCAACATCAAGGCACTCTGCGGACTTGGATGGAGCGGACAATGCACTGGCTGGCACAGCACTTGCCAGGGTCACATATGCTAAGTGCTCCAGATGGCTTTCTTGCCTATGCTTCGGCGGCGCAATTGGCCATGTTTTATTTGTGGGGAAGATATTACACGATGGCTCATCGACTAGCCCGGGTCGATTATATCCATGCGAGCATCCAGCGTCCTGGCTCGCAGCCACTGTCGTATGAAGTGCTTGGTGTATTGCTGGCAATTCAGTTGCTAGTGAAATTGGGCATGTCAGTGCGGAGCTCGTGGAAGAAGGTGCAAGAAGCGAAGGAAGGACCTTTAGCGACGGAGGAGCTCACACCTGTTCGACCGACTCGTTGCATTCAATTGGATCAGGAATACATCAACCCTGTGGATGGACATCAACAGTCGGTGGTCGAACTAAGCCCACGGCGGGTGCCCTTAGCGTATCCGGATCCCGATATTACCGTGACACCTGATCGTTTAGGGTTTGAGTCACTATCCAACGACGCAGACCGACAAAGCTATGACGTTGCACAAGCCGCTGTGCGTGCCAAAACAACGCAGTTGGAAGCGATCGCAGAAGAAGTGCTTCGCTGTACACTCTGTATGGATAGGCGCGAGCCTGAAAAAGGTACAAGTGCAGTGACAGAGTGTGGTCATATATTCTGCTGGGACTGCATTATGGCCTGGGCTATGGAAAAAGCGGAGTGCCCGCTATGTCGGCAAAGCCTGCAATGCGCTCGCGTCTTGCCGATTTACAATTTGTAATATAGATATGAATCATAATTGAGATGCCCATTCGGTAGTTGACCCAGTAGCGAAACTACAAGCTACAGTTCTTACTATCACATTAGAGCTCATCGTGGTAGTCCAGCGGCTCGTCAGCGCCACCTGCACCACCAGAGCTCTGGTAGAGCTTAGCAGTAATAGGGTTGATGGCAGCCTGGAGCTCGTTGAGCTGCTCCTCAATGTCCTGCGCCTCGGCGTTCTCGCCATTCTCCTCCATCCACGCCTCGGCCTCCTTAATGTGCTGCTGAATCGTCTCCTTGTCCGAGTCGTCCAGCTTGCCACCCAGTCCTTCCTTGTCGGTAATCTGGTTGCGCATCGTAGCGATAAAGTTCTGGAAAGAGTTGACAGCCTCGACACGCTTGCGGATTGCCTCATCTTGCTCAGCGAACTCCTCGGCCTCGGCAACCATACGCTCAATCTCCTCCTGCGAGAGACGGCCCTTGTCGTTCTCAATGGTAATCGACTCGCTGCGGCCAGTGCCCTTGTCGGCAGCCGACACACGCATAATACCATTAGCGTCAATCTCGAACGTGACCTCGATCTGAGGAACACCGCGAGGAGCAGGAGGAATGTTGGTAAGCTCAAACTTGCCGAGCATGTTGTTGTCCTTGGTCATCGAACGCTCACCCTCAAACACCTGGATCAAGACAGTGTTCTGGTTGTCCGCAGCCGTGCTGAAGATCTGGCTCTTCTTGGTCGGGACGACCGTGTTGCGGGGAATCAACTTGGTCATGACACCACCCGTCGTTTCAATACCCAGAGTAAGGGGGTTCACATCAATCAGAACCACGCCGCCGAGCGACTCGTCGCCAGTAAGTACACCGCCCTGAACGGCAGCACCCCAGGCCACAGCCTCGTCAGGGTTGATACCCTTCGAGGGCTCCTTGCCGTTGAAGAAGTCCTTGAGCATCTGCTGAACCTTGGGAATACGAGTCGAACCACCGACAAGCACAACATCGTCAATCTCATCTTTCTTGACACCAGCATCCTTAAGCACCTGCTCGACAGGCTTGAGGGTACGGCGGAAGAGGTCCATGTTGAGCTCCTCGAACTTGGCGCGAGTAAGAGTCTCCGACAAGTCCTTGCCCTCGAAGAAGCTCTCGATCTCAATCTTGGTGCTCATCTGGCTCGACAGAGTGCGCTTAGCGCGCTCGACCTCACGCTTCAGCTTGCCGACACTGCGCTTGTTCTTGGAGGCATCCAGGTCCTCCTTCTTCTTGAACTGCTTCAGGATGTATTCCGACACGCGGTTGTCAAAGTCCTCACCACCGAGATGAGTGTCACCAGCCGTAGCAAGCACCTCAAACACACCCGAGTCAATGGTCAGAAGCGAGACATCAAAGGTACCACCACCCAGGTCATACACAATGATCTGCGACTCGCCCTCCTTCTTGTCCAGACCGTAGGCGATGGCAGCCGCGGTGGGCTCGTTCACAATGCGGAGGACCTCGAGACCTGCGATCGTACCGGCGTCCTTGGTGGCCTGGCGCTGGGCGTCATTGAAGTAGGCCGGCACAGTAACGACAGCGTGGGTGACCTTGTGGCCCAGGTAAGCCTCAGCGGTCTCCTTCATCTTCTGCAGCACCATGGCGCTGATTTCCTCCGGCGTGAACACCTTAGGCTGGCCACGAACCGTCACCTTGATAGCTGGCTTGCCGTTCTTCTCAACGAGCTTGAACGGGAAGTGCTTCATGTCCTTCTTCACGTCAGCCTCACCCCACTTGCGACCGATCAGGCGCTTGGCGTCAAAGATCGTGTTGTCGGGGTTCTGGGCGGCTTGGTTCTTCGCGGCATCACCAATGAGACGTTCGTCATCCTTCGAGAAAGCGACGTATGAGGGAGTGATACGGTTACCCTGGTCGTTGGCAATAATCTCAACACGGCCTTGACGCTGCACACCCACACACGAGTATGTCGTACCCAAGTCAATGCCGATGACAGTTCCGTACTCACTGCGCTTGTCCTGCGCTGCCACGCCCGTACCGGCGTACGGCGACGAGGAGAACAGCAGTACAATGGACAAGAGCGAGAGGACAGCAAACACTGCACTGAGCAGTGTCGGCTTGGCTTGAACAAGCATCTTGATGGTAGAGTGGCAACCTTCGGCTGGCGCCTAATATAAAGGCTCCCCCTTCCGCATCCCTGCAGCTTCCACGTTGGCACCGCGTACTCCCGCAGCCGCGCCCACGTAATCTTCCAATCTTCTACCGTGTTCGCTAAAGGGTCCACGTGGCACCCAGCAGGCACATGTGGGGAAGCTAAAGCACACCGCAGCGTGAACCGCGTGCTGAGGTCACGCACGCTCCAAGAGCATGTCGACGGCGCGACTGCTGCAGCGCTCCCTCCAGGACGTGCGCGCCCAAAGACGAGAGGATCGGCCATCGATGTGCATGGATGCGACAGATGATGTATGGAGGCATGATTTGTTCGAAGCCTCTCATCCGATCCATGCACGCGTCGCGGAGTCAAAGGAACCAGTACGATACGGAACTAAGATCCTCGTGGATAACTTGCACTACGAGATGCCAGAACAAGAACTGGCAGACGTCCTCGGAACTGTCGGTCCCTTAGCTAAGGGCCCCTTTTTGAAGGTGTGTGCGAGTGGCTAACAAAGAGTTTGATGCAGCTGGGCGCTCCACTGGTCACGCAGTTGCATGGTACTCGCAAGAAGCAGATGCCCGTGCTGCGGTAAAGAGGCTGGACGGCTCCATAGTAAAGGCGCATCCTATATGTGTGCGAATTGGAGAGACAGTCGCTCTGCAGCACCGCGGGACCCGAGGAAGGCGCGGGCGCCTGCGGTCCTTGTCGCAGCGGATCGGACAAGAGGCAGCTGCCGCATCCCACCGTCGATCTGGCAAACCCATGGTGCGCCCCAAGAGCAAGCGGATCGCACGGGGCCCCGTGACTGCCGCCGATTTGGACGCCGAGCTGGAGAGTTTTATGCAGGGTGCCCCTGAACAGGTACGTATACGGAAATTCATCGTAAGGACGCCCGTGCTATGGATACACGATAATTAATGGGCATGCTCCAGTTCCATGGCCTCTTCGCGGTCGCGTCGTTTCCGGATCAAGCCATCTGCGGTAAGCAAACAGGGACCTACACTCGCGCGATACGTGTGTCGTGTTGACCCATCCATCCTGGGGAAACATATCGGCAATCTAGTGTCAACCAGGCATACGTACGCGCTTGTACACGGTTTTTCGAGCATTAATTTCGCTGTATGTCTCAGGCGAGTTTTCCAGCTTGCTGGATGTCAGAAATTATGCGTACAGTTTCTCGTTCCGGATTTCACTCATGGCATTTTCGACGGTGACAATAGTGAACAGTTCATCGCGCATATCGTCCGACCAGCGGAAGCGCTTCGTCGTGTCATCCACCTCTGGCTGCAGACGCGAATCGTCCGCAGCGGTTTCGCCCTCCTCCTCCATACCCCCATCCTCGTTGTCCTTGCCTTCGACGCCACGCTCACGGCACATCGCCTCGTATTCTGCCAGCTGTGTCGGAAAACTTTCGTCGATCATTTTGCCTAGTCGGTCGAGGTGCTCCTCCTGCAGCTCGCGGAAGTACTCCATGTGCTTGTGGAAAAACTCTCGTTTGGTGAGCTTCATCATCGTGAAGCGGTTGTAGGGGAAAATCGACGGCAGGTAATTGAAAAAGTTGTCATTGTACTCGTCCAACTCCACGGCCAGCTTCGCTGTCTCGATCAGTGGCGGCTTGAGTTCCGGCGGGAATTTGGTCTTTACGGCAAAGCTAGCTTTGCTCACGAGCTGTTTCAGATGGTCGAACATGGCTTGGAGCTGAGGATGCACGGGTACGGTTGGATACTTGTTTTTCCGCTTCTCCTCGGCAGTGAGTTTCTTGGCGTCGGCCTGGTCTGGCGCCGCTGGATTCACTGGCGCTGCATCTTCGGTTGGAGGCGCAGCGGGTGGCGGCACAGGTGATTCCGCGGCAGCAGGGCTGGGCAGGTTGCCCGCAGCGACTGGTGGCAGCGTCGTGGAAGCATCCGACGGCGTACTAGACATGGGGTCGGGGCCAACAGCCTGACTCGACTGTTGCGATTTGCGCGACGCTGCGCGCTTTGCCAGCAACTTGTTCGTACCAGCCGCCCATCCCTTGCCCACACCTGCACCGAGGCTCGATCGGAAGGCAGAGGCAGACCGAGAGGACTCCATTGTACTTGCTTTAGCACGCGCCAGGGCCACGGGCCCCTTGGCGACATAGAAGCCGTCTGCCTGCGTACGCACGACGTGCGTAGGCTCGTCCACACCAAGCTCCGAGTCGTCGACAAAGGGATCCTTGGTGTCGTAAGAGCCAACGTCGTACTCATCAACGCGGCGTTTCCGCGACAGATGCGTGGCAGGACCTTGTGTGGGGTATTTGTGCAGCAGCTTGGCCAGGCCTCCTAGATCATGGAGCTCCTCCGCGGAGAGGCCCACCTCGTGTGACGTCCTGGCCATGTCGCTGTCCAGGTATGTGGCCCGGTACCAAGACGTCCACTCAGGATAAACGTCACTCAGTTGGTCGACAGCGAGTCGAGGGATCCGGAAAATATAGTCGCTTTTGTGTTTGGGGGCGTGTGTGAGAGGAAACTGAAGGCGCAATGTTGGCCGGGGCGGCGGTTGAGACGTGTACGGGTCAAAGGGAGAGGGGCTGCGCGGGCGTTTCCGTGCTTTGGTGGACTGTGTTCCCGTGCCTTCTGGTGTCTCTGCGTTGTCTTCCGCTGCTGCTTCCGCTTCCTGCCGCTCCCCCGTCACGTCGCCTGTGTCCGCCTCGTCAGTGGGCTCTTCGTCGGGCGTGTCTTCCTCGCCGCTCTCTTCCCCAGAGTCGTCCTCGGCGGAGGAAGGCGTCTGGTTTGTGTACTCGTTTCCCTTTTGTGTCTCTGAGACCGTCTCGGTAGAGATAGTCGATGCCGGCTCAGACGTGTGGGTCGCTGGTGCGTCGTGATCCGTAGGCAAGCAGGTAGGAGGGGACGGTGGCCTGGCCGGCAAATTCTCCGATTTGACTTGGGAGGGTGCTCGGGATTCGTTCGCATCAGTGTCGAATAGTGTGGGTGACGCCTGCTCAGACTTGCCTGGTGAGGGGTTCGGGGCTGGCGCCGCCCTTGGCGAAACAGCACTTGGAGGGCGCTGCTCGGAGCTTCTCGCAGGGAGCGGCGGCGCGCTCATCGAAAAGGTGGTGGTGCTGGGTCCCGCCAGCGAGAGCGTCGCAAGGGTCGTGGTATCTTGGCTCTTCGATGCCTTGACAATCGACGCGTCAGTCTCCCATGTGGCGGGATCCATGGCCATGTCCATGCTCGAGCAGTTGCTTGGCCCTTGTGTATCCAAGTTACCTGGCGCTGAGATCGCGTGATCACAGGTCGGCGCCTCGCTGCTGCCCTCAGCGCTAGGGGTCATATGGCCAAGGGCTGGTGCTGACAAACAGGTCTATGGGCGCTTGGCGAGCCCAAGCGCTGCCAAACTAACGAAATGTGCCGAAATTCTTGGTGCAGCCTTGTGGAGGAAGACACAGTCAAAGCAGACACGTTGGCACACTCCTTGACGCCTTGGTATGAGTGCGTACAGTCATGTCCTAGTGATCGGCGCCGGCGCCTTTGGCGCCTCAGCCGCCCTCGAGCTGGCACAACTTGGACACCGCGTCACGATCGTGGACCAGTCTCTGGACGGACACGCGTCTAAATCCGCGGCCTCGCATGACCTTAACAAGATCATCCGAGCGGATTACACGGTACGCTTCCTGGCTCACTCTAGGACCCACTCTATCGTGACCTGGGGAAAAAGGCGATTGAGCTGTGGCGATCACACCCCTTGTATGCCCCCTACTTCCACGAGGTAGGCATTTTCTTCCGTTCAGGACGACCTTCGTCGGTGGACGCGCCGTGGATAAAAACAGGCGTGAAGAATGCAACGGAACCGGTGGGCAATGCATACTCGACGGAAAATGCACCATCCAAGCACCCGACAGCACGGGCCATCACGTCTATGGAGGAGTCCGTGCATGTATTTCCGGAGTCGCTCAGACCGCATCTTGGCCCGGCCTATACGACCTTTGGAGACCAAAAGCAGGTGGGCTACTTCAATCCACAGGCAGGATGGGCGAATGCACGGGAAGCGACATTTTCCGTACTGGACGAGGCGCAGCGTCTCGGCGCGACCGTCCACTCGAACGTAACGATCGAAAAGTTCTTGTATGCACGAGCACACGGGAAGCAGCGCGTCTGCGGCGCTATCGCCAACGATGGGCGCGTGTTCCACGCCGACCAAGTCATTCTTGCCGCGGGAAGCTGGACGCCGTCACTGCTAGAACAGTGCCAGCTGCCCCTACCTAAAGGCCTGCTCAAGCCCTCGGCCCACTGCGTGCTGACCATCCGTATCCAGCCCCAGGTAGCGCGGCTCTTCCGCGGGACACCCGTTCTGTTTGACATGAACACAGGCATGTACGCATTCGAGCCCAACGCCGACGGTATCCTAAAGTGTGCCATTCACGGAGTACGTGCCACTTGCTCACGACAGACGGGATCGAGCTCACCCGAGCCAGCAAGCGCCTCGAGCACATCGTTTCCATCGGCCGACCAGCATCCGCATGTCGATGTCATGCTTCGAGAGCTCCAGAACATGTATCCGGTTCTGCGCCTCGGCGACCCAGACAGTCCCGCCCAAATCCATTTCACACGCACCTGCTGGTACTGTGATACTCGCGACGAGAACTTTCTCATTGATTTCCACCCCGACGTGGACGGCCTGCTTGTAGCGTCCGGGGACTCGGGCCATGGGCTCAAGTTCCTACCGCTGCTAGGCCGACTCATTGTGTCGCGGCTTCTGGGGATCCAAAACAACACTGCGATCGCGCCAGATCATGGCTTGTCCGAGCACCAGCGCCGCGTCTTCTCATTCGACCACCACATCCACGCGGACGCGCGCATGGACGCCAGTGTGCCCATAGACTCTATGCGGATCGGCGATCTTCCGCCTGCGAAGGTGCCATCCGCCAAGCTCTAGTTAGGTGGACAAATTCTCAAACTCTTTTAGCGCCTGCGACACGTTGCTGCGACGCAGAGTCCGCTGGGGCCGCGGAACTCGTTTCCTAATGGTAGTCTGGGCGGGGCGAATTTGATCCATGAGTGCGTCCACCTCTAGTCGACTTGCCTCATCCTGAGCCCTGCTCACACGCCTATTACCCCTTTTCGACGCACGAGCTGCATGCGAAGCGCTGGAAAGCGTCTTGGAGACGTGCTGGGAGGCACGCGCCTTGGTTGTGCGGGCCATGAGGAGGAAGATCGCTAAAAACTGCCCTCCACCTGATCAAAAATCCTCGTACCGGCGCTGTCACTGCACGGTCTACTAGAGCTATCGAAATGGAGTGGGCATGAAAATTTTCAACGCTTAAAGCTTGACATCGTTAGGGAAGAAGCGGAGAGCTTGGCGAATACCAAGGTCAGCCAAGATCTCCTCTGTACCACCAAGCACTGCATCGTACTTGTAGTTGCGGTTGTAGTTCTCGATCTTGCGGCCCATACCCGAGCGAGTCAGGCCACGACCACCCATGATCTGGACAGCATTGTCTGCCACCTCATGGCTAACGCGCGTGGACCAGGCCTTGAGGAACGCCAGCGGACCTGCCAGGAACTTTGCTTGCTCCTTGTATGACATATTGTTCATCTGGAAAGTAAGGTGCTCCAAGTAGCTCTGCGCGGCTTCCGCCTGGGCCAGCAAGAACGCAATCTTCTGGCGCACGACTGCCTGCGACGTGAGCGGGCGGCCGAATACCTTGCGCTGGTGAATCCACTTCATGAGGATCTCCAGGATACCGCGCACACCACGGATCGTACCACAGCACATGACCCAACGCTCGTGGTTGAAGTTAGACAGGACAATCGGAATACCCATGCCATCTGCACCAATGAGGTTCTTGGCCGGCACCTTGATGTTGTTGAACATGACAAATGCTGTGCCAGCAGTGGACGAGTAGGAGGTATGAATGAGACGCGTTTTCACACCCAACGAGCGTGGAATCAGCAGGACGGCGAAGCCCTCTTCCGTACGGACAGCTGTAGTGAAGTAGTCGGCAAAGTGGCCGTTGGTAATCCACTTCTTGGTACCATTGACGATATAGTGTTGACCATCCTCAGTCTTCTGGGCGAACGTGCGCAGGCCCATGACGTCGCTGCCCGCGAACGCCTCGGTGATGGCCAGGCTAATGAACTTCTCCCCGCGGAAAACAGGCTCGACAATCTCCTTCTTCATCTCATCAGAGCCAAAGTTAAGGATGGGCGGAAGACCAATGACCATACCGCCCTGGAGCCCATCCACGAAGCCGCGACAGCCACAACGACAAAGTTCTTGCGTGATAATCAATTCATGGAAGTAATCAAACTCCTCTGGCTTGACGTCACCGAGCAGCTTGCGACCGTGGAGGTGCTTGCCGGGACCCAAGCGCATCGCATTCAGGCCATTCTCTCCCATGAGCTTAATCAGCTCAATGTCAGGGCGCTTGCCGTTCGCCTCGCAGGCTTCTGCGACTGGGAACACGTGCTCCTCACAGAAAACGCGAACGGCTTTCTGGAAACGGCGGTGCGACTCGTTGTAGTAGGGCGAGTGGAAAGGCTCCACGAGCCATGAGGGCTCCGCGTATGGCACCTTGGAGAGCTCACCAACCTTGGGGTACTTGATTGTTAGCGATCATGCACGTACATGAACCTTGGCCTCCTCGCCCTCGACCTGGCCTATGATCATCTTCTGGGCCATGGGCTTCATGAGCACCTCCATAGCGTGCAGGCCGCTTGTGGTGTGAGTCTATCGTGGCACGCACAAAAATGTCTCTGTCGCATCCTGACCGGCGACATCATCCATCAAGAGAACCGCCTCGCCTCCAGGGTGGGCGTCGATAAAATCGCTCAGGTCATACACATACGAGTCGATGATGATCCAAAGGTCATCGGGCTTGTTGTGCTGTCATATGAGTTTCCTATATCTCCTAATCACATACCTTGGCGATTTCCTCGCGAGAGTAGCGCTTCAGTTCCTTGGTCATAGTGATGAGAGCGGGGAAGTTTGACGGCCGGTGTCCCTTTTCCCCACTCTGCCGAGCCGAGGATGACAAATTGCCTGATTGGGCGCGCGTGCGCTTTGAGTGGCCGGCCACCGGTCAGATATGCCGGCCGGCGTGGAGGTGCCTCCCTCCACTTACGAAGCACGGCCACGACGCGAGGCCAGGGGGGATGGGGCTCTTATCCATCATCCAAAAGAACAAGTGTACGTTCAACCCGTCTCATGACAGACAAAAACAAGGAGCTTCGTGTTCTTTTTCTTGGACTAGATAATGCCGGAAAAACTACTACGTTGAAACACTTTATGCACGAGCCTATTGATACCGTGAGTCCTACGTTGGGCTTCTCCATTCGGACACTTTCTCGGGATGGGTACGTACAACCAGATCTAATCACAGCTACACTATCAATATATGTATGTGCATGGCAAGCTAATCATGAAGGGGACGTAGGAGGGCAAAGGTCCCTCAGGCCCTACTGGCGCAACTACTTTGAGAAGACCGACGGCATTGTATGGGTGGTCGACAGTGGCGATCCTGATCGCATGGATGACTGCTGTGAGGAATTGTGGAAGCTTCTTGGAGAAGAGGTGCGTTCACGACTCTTACCCAGCGACTCGCTGGAGCCAGTTTGCTTGTACTAGCGAACAAGCAGGACCTACCTGGCGCGCTCTCGCCAGAGACGTTGCGTCGCGTACGTGATGGCACTGACGTCCAGTATCTGCGACTGGATGACATTCAATCGCACTCTTGGCGTATCCAGGCATGTAGTGCACACACGGGTGCCCACATGGACGAGGGGCTCGACTGGCTCCTAAGCGATATGGCATCGCGTTTGTACTACTATAGTTCTCCGACGTAGCGCACATGTGGAGGTGGCAGGGCCGGGCGGTCCGCCACCGACGTCGAGCTGAGATTGACGGACGACGACCGCGAGCTCGATGACCATCCGTGCGGCGCTGATCATCAACAATTATGGTCGTCCAAGGCTGACAAAATTTTATTCGCCGCTTGCTACGGATCGACAACAGGCGCTGATCCAGCTCATTTTCCAGCTCGTCAGCCAGCGCGACGATAAGGCCGTGTGTAACTTTCTCGATGCACCTGAGCTAACGCCGCTGCTCCCTCCAGCCAGTGGTGATGCGTGGTCCAAGGTGCGCGAGCAAGAGCGAAGCCACGCTCTCAGCGAAGAACAGAGTCCAGCCGCGGATCCTTGGATCAGCTACGACGAGACGCCGTTGGCAAAAGCGGGTGTTGCCACGCGCCGCTGGCGCCCTGACGACGAGCTGCGTGTTATTTACCGGCACTATGCCACGCTCTACTTTGTGCTGGTTGTCGACCAGAGTGAAAGCGAGCTGGGAATTCTAGATCTCATTCAAGTCATTGTAGAAGCGCTGGACCGCTGCTTTGAGAACGTGTGCGAGTTGGATCTGATCTTCCATTTCGATGAGGTCCATGCGATCGTGGACCAGGTCATTCAAGGAGGCCTCGTCTTGGAGACGAGTATTGCCGAGATCGTGGACGCCAATGAGGATGTGGTGCAAGCCCGCAAAGCGTCGTCGTCCAGCTCGTCGGGCGCCCAAGCCGCGCTTCAAGCGGCACAACAGGCATCAGCGTTCTTGGCACCTTCGTGGGGCCACTTATCGCTGAACAGCCTCGCCGAGCGGGGCACTGATGCATGGAGCGCACTGCAGCAGCTTGGTGGGCACTACTGGCCGGTGCATAGCAGCAGCTCGGCCCTGGGCCGGCCGCCCATGCGCTCCGCCTTCCTCTAAGATACCCAACTAGATAGTGTGAAAAAGCATTGACAAAAAAGGAGCCTAGTCGACCAGCAACTATGACAACAGCGGAAATGAAACAAAATGAACAGACATATACATGTCCCAGAATCAACAGAAATACGAGCCACGAGCTCGTCGATGGCTGCGCATCAGGCAGTGCCTGCGAACTTGACAAAATAGAGGGAACCGCCTTAAGGGGGTACTGCTCGTACAAACCATGAAATTGTCACCATAACCATTACTCAAACCCAATTGTCCACGCAATACTCGCTTAGAGGAGCTCGTAGTTAAGGCCCGTCAGAACGCCCTTGTCGAGGTCAGCAAAGTGCTTGAAGAGACCCTTCGTGGCGTCAAAGTGGCCAAAGCTGCAGCCCTCACAGTAGTCACGGACGGTCGCCTCGACCGACTTGCCCTGGTAGTGCAAGCGCACCTTCTGGTTGCACGAACCGTAGCCACCGTTGTGAGCCACGGCGACCACGAGATCGTCGTCCTTCGGGGCGGAGCCACCGCAGGCAGGGGCACTAAGCATACCACCACCGTACCAGGTCATCTTACCATGGCCACGCTTCTCCAGGCCGTTCTCGGCCTGGACGCGGGCCTTGGTCTCGTGGGCACGCTCTGTCGGCGCCGCCTGGGCGATACCGACCGCGATCATAGAAACAATAGTGAAGACAGTAGTGAACTTCATGGGGATCTTGCTGTGAGTCTTGAAGGGGAGAGTAGGATCACGACCAGTCGTGAGATAGGTGACAGGGAGCCTGAACAGTAAGGCGGGGGGTGTTGGGGACTAACAGCTGTGTTGCTCGCTTTTTATTTTGCCAGGGGCTCTAGACGCTGTCCGCCGACACCAGAGGCTCTGTCCTATTAGCTAGGAAGCGGCGTATCTACACTAACTTCTCGTCCACACTCATTCCACGGCCCGATTTGCGCCATTCGAATGGATGAACACTATCGGACTTTAGCCCATTACGTGAGACATGCGTGCCAGACAGGACACATACATTGCAACATGCCACTTTATGCACAGCACCCTATTTGCACGTGACGACCCTCGACTGTGGCGGTGTGGCCGCGTTCGATCATGTTCGAGCAAGCGCCAGCGCCCAACACCGCCGCAGGCCACTGCCCATCGGGGCGTCCTCAACACCAGGGCCATCGAGCCATTGGCGCGCACGGACCGTTTCGCCAGGCGCTGGGGGTGCAGGCGGCCCCAGCGACACGTCGGTCAGGACGACGTGCATGAGCCAGTGCAGGTGGCTGAACTCATGTCGCACGGTGCCTAGGTACTGTGCGGCGTCCGCGCGGAGCGTGATGGGCGCATCGCGGAGCGAAGGCACGTCCAACGCTTCGACAAAGGCGCGCGCGCCGCGCTCCATGGCCTGTGGGTCGCACTCGCCTGGCTCATCCGGTAGCACCTCGGTAGGGAACTCCCACAGGCTCGCTAAGAGGCCCTCGTGTGGCCGCTGGTGCAGCAGGTACATCGGCGACGAGCCCTCGGCGCTGCTGTACCGCACAACGCACACGCGGCGCACCTCGCAGCGCGGCATCTGCTTCGCAACGCGCATGGGAAACAGCTGCGCGTAGCGGATCCGCAGCGGCACGGCGCCGCGGCCCTTGTCTCGAGTCGGGGGCGCGGCGGCCAAGCCCTGCAGCGTCATCTGCGTAAGCTTTTTTGCGCTCTTGGGCGCCGGCCCGCCAGGCGCGGCGTCCGCGTCTGCTGGGTCGGGGAGCGGCACGCACTGCGTACACAGGTCTTCGACGTCCACACACGGCACGGCCGGCGTCTCGGACGGGGTGGTGAGCGATGCCTCGTAGCGCGTGCCCTCCGCGTACGCACGACACGTCGCCTGGATCGGGCATTCCTCGCAGCCGGGCCGGGTCGGCGTGCATAACGTGCTCCCGAGCTCCATGAGCCCCTGGTTCCAGCGGCCTGGCACGTCGCTGGGCCGGCCCGGTGCTACCGACTCAACGAGCAGGCGTGCCAGCTCCCACTGCAGGTCTGCTGTACTTTTTGCGCGGGGGTCCGCGTACAGGCCCGTCTGTCGGCTGAGCACGCGCGCCACGTTGCCATCGAGGATCGGCACGGCATGGCCAAACACGATCGACGAGATGGCGCCGGCCGTGTACGGCCCAATCCCGGGGATGTCCCGCCCTAGCGCGTCAGCATACTCTGGCAGGCACCCTCCTAGCTCGCGCACGACTTTCTGCGCGGCCTCGTGGATCCGTCGAGCACGTCCGTAGTAGCCAAGACCGCGCCACGCTGCCAGCACATCGTCCAACGACGCCTGTGCAAGAGCCTCGATGGTCGGCCATTTATCCATCCACGCGTGCCAGTAGCTGCGCACCGTTTCGACGCGCGTCTGCTGCAGCATGATCTCGGAGATCCACACTTCATACGCGCGCTTCTGCAGCGCGTCGGTGCGGGATGCCGCGCCCCCTGCCTCCGAGGCCGACGCCGATCCACACACGCGCTTCGGAAGCGGTGCATCTGGATCCATCCATGGCTGGCGCCACGGCATGTCCCGATCGTGCTGGGTCGCATCAAACCACGCGAGCAGCTGCTGCGCCGACGCAGGCGTGTCTAGCAGGAGGGGGCGGTGGTAGCTGGGCGTATGAGGACGCGGACCAGGCGCACTGCAGGCCGGCCCACTGTCTGACTCGTGCAAAAAGGCCCATGGCGCCTTGCGCATGCGCGCGCTCGCAGGGCGCCGTGTCACACGCGGCGCGGCCATCGCTCGTGCAGGGCCGGCGAGGCGCGTGTGGAGGTAAGACGGCCGTGGCCGGGCGTGGCCCCAAGCCGTCGCGTTGCTCTGCTCTGTCTGCATGGCACCGAGGCGGCTCGCATCCACGGCGCACGCGCGCCAGCCATCGACGGAGGGGAGCCCCCTACCGCGGGCGTGGCAGATAGCCTCGTCGCTGCATGCCGATGGCAGCCTAAGTGTCGTGCGGCAGGACGACGAGGCGAGCAACAGTGGCCTCCTCGACCTGGTGCCCACGCTCGGCAGCGCGTCGGGCCCCGGCATGCATACCCCCGTGCTTGGCGGTGACCAGGCACGTATGCCGCCGCCCATACTCGGCAAGCAGCGCCCCCGCAAAATCTCGCGCAGCGATGCGCCTTGGACGCGCGCGCGCGCGCGCGACTCGCTGAGCGATGCGTCGACGGAAGCCTCTAATGCGAGCGTCATTGTGCACGAAGAGCCTGCCGAGAAGCCGCCCGCTATTGTAGTGCCTCCCACGGATGATGCTGCGCCGTCGACGCTGCCTGCGCGTTTGCGCCGCTGGATGCATGATGCGATGAAGCAGCACATGTACGAGACGGCCATCTTCTGGGGCCAGCAGGTTGTGGCGCTCGAGCGTACGTCTACGTCACTCACCCAGCCACGGAACTTGCGTACAATGATGCGTACTGGCTTGCTCAGGCTTACTTTTACACACACCAATACGCGCGCGCTGAGCATCTGCTCACAACGCCGCTGCGGTGCGGTGCGGTGCCGCTCGATACGTCGGCGCCGGGCGCGACGCCCGTCGGCACGCAGGGCGATGCGCTGCAGGCTGCGCTCGAAGCGACACGCGCCAACAGTGCGCTCCCGCCAGCGATCCAGGCGCGCCGTGCGCGCGCTGGCACCTACACGAGCGTCACGGACGCGGCCGGCGGCGCACCGAGCGAAGCGCCCCCGGACGACGGCCCGCGGCGCCTCTCGCGGCGGCGCAAGCGCTCGCCCTCGCTGACGGACCCGTTCCATGTGTCGGGCCCGGCGTGTCTGCCCATCGATACCGAATTCTCGCGGGTCGTCGTGCCGCGCGATACCGAAGCACATGGGCCGTGCCTGGTGAACTGGAGCTCGCCGTGCCGCTACCTCGCGGCGCAGTGCCTCGTGCGCCTCGGGCGCTTCCACGAGGCGCTGGAGCTCACTGGCGAGGACCACACGCGCTGGACCGGGCGTGCGTCGGCCAAGACGCCCGCGCTCGATGGCGGTCTGAAGCTCAGCTCGAGTGTGTGCCACTTGCGCGGCCAGATCCACCTGCGGCTCGAGGAGCCGTGGAAGGCCAAGGAGGCATTTATGCTCGCGCTCGCGCTCGATGTAAAAAACTACGACAGCTTCTCGGCGCTGCTGGACGGGTGCCTGCTGGGCGAGGACGAGCTGTGGGACTTTGTGCAGTCGCTCGAGTACGCGGCGCAGGCCGGCTCGGACGCCGACGCCCACGCGGACCTGGCGTATGTGCGCCTCATGTACACGGCGCGTCTTCCGAAGCGCGCTCAGGCGCACGCGGCGCAGGCCGCCGCCGCGCGCCAGCGCCTCGTCGAGCAGCACGCAGCACTACGCATGAATGCCGAGGTGCTGCTGAGCCTCGCCGAGGCGCTGTACCAGGCGATGCGGTACGAGGACGCCCACGCTGTCACGAGCCACCTGCTCGCGCTCGACCCCGGCGCGATGCTTGCGCTGCCCGTGCACATTGCGTGCATGCACTACCTGCCGCGCCTCCATCCCGCCCTCTTCCTCCTCGCGCACAGACTCACCGAGACGCATCCCGACAGCTGCGAGGCGTGGTACGCGGTCGGCACATGGTACGCGTCCGCGCACCGCTGGAGCGAGGCGCGTCGCTACTTCAGCAAGGCATCCCTCCTTGATCCGCGCTTTGTCCCGTCCTGGATTGCGTTTGGCCACAGTTTCGCGCTCGAGGGCGAGTCGGACCAGGCGATCACGGCCTACTCCACAGCCGCCCGCAAGTTTCCCGACTCGGGCCTGCCGCGCCTGTTTCTAGGCATGGAGCACCTCGCGCAGGGGAACCGCAGCCTCGCGCAGCTGTTCCTCCAGAGCGCCGAGGAGGAGCTTGGTCACGATCCCCTGTGCGCGAACGAGCGCGGTGTGGCCCTCTTCCAAAGTGGGCGCGTCGACGAGGCCATCGACTGCTTCCGCGCCGCGCTCGACGCGGCAGCGGAGACGCAGCAGCCCGCGGCCGCTTGGAGCGCCGTGCACTTGAATCTCGGCCTTGCGTACCGCCGCGTGCAGCGCGACGACGAGGCGCGTGCCTGTTTCTTGCGCGTGCTCGACTACGATCCGGCATGTGCGTCAGCCTATATTGCGCTCGGCCTATGTGCGCATCGGCGCGGCGACTTGGCCGACGCGATCGGCTGGTATCATGAAGGTCTCGGCGTCGATCCCCGCGACCCCATCGGCACCGAGCTCCTAAGTCTCGCCCTCGACGCGCGCGTCGCGCAGGGCCTGCCGCCGGCGCTGCAGCACGCGGTCGACGATGAAGATGCGTCAGTGAGCATGTCCCTCTCATAGTGTCAGGTAGCGGATCAGCGGCGTCTCGTCCACTTCCAAGGTGCGCGCGCGTGGCGCGCCGGCGGGCGCTTCGAGGTCCTGGAGCAGCTCCGCCAGCTTCGGGTTCGGTAGCACCGTCGGCAGCGGCTCCGCCTCCAGCACGGCCATCACGAGCTCCGTGGCCTTTTGCGCATAGTCCTCGTCGTCCCGCACCGCGAGATCCGCGCAGTACGCACGCGGCCCCGTGCGGCCAGGCAGCAGCGAGTCGAGCACCACGTCCAGCAAGCCCGTGTCGGCCAGGGCCTGCGCCACGTCGGGGTGCCGAACGCCCGCCTGCTGCGTCGCAGGCACGTCGTCGCGCGGCGCCGACGTAGGCAGTGCAGGCTCGGGTGCAGCGGGCGCCGCGCGCTGGGCCTCACGTGTCTGGCGCACCAGCTGCGTTAGCAGAAAGACCACCTTGCGGCGCAGCACGAGGTTGTCGCTCTCGAGCGCGCGATGCAGCGGCGCCCATCCGCCGGCCGTAGCGAACTGCGCGACCGCTGCAGGATAGTGCCGGAGTAGCGCACTGAGCGCGTACGCACTCTTGTTCTGCACGCCGCTGTGCGCCGCGGACAAAAGCGTAAGCAGAGGCGCGAGCACGTCGTGCTCGAGCGCAGCTGCCTGCGCCTTGTCGTTGTTCTGGATAGCCGTGCCGATGACCCAGGCGGTGGCACTCTGGATTTCTGGCGCATCCGTATCCAGCAGCGCGCGAATAGCCGGCCACATGCCCATCGGCGCCATGTTGTTGGCATTGTCGACCTGTTCAATGAGCATTTCAAAGTTGTCGAGCGCCGTGCAGCGATCTTCGATGGTGCGCGATGAATCCGTCGCCACGGCAAGCTCTTCCTGCATCATCTGAGCCTCGCTCTTTCCCATGATCGCCTCGTACAGGCCAGGATCGGCCAGGTCAGGCCGACGCCCGGCGGCCACATCCGCGGACACTTGGGCGACAGACGACGTTCCATCAGGGTTCATGGGTGCATTACGGATGCCCCACTTGAGTAGTTCGTCGGCAGTGCGATTCGCCATGGTGAGAGCCGTGCGCCACCGTGTCTCTAGACGCACCGCGGCCTGCCATCGGCTGACCCCTGAACAAGTCACGTGTTGCAAACCTTTCCGCGCTCAACGGCGAGTGTTTTTCTTTCCACCTCTATTTATCATGGTATGTGGCCGTAAGTAACACCAGGGCTCTTGCTTCTCTTCTCTCGGCGGCAACAAGGACAAGTCGATGAACCGCACTGACACCAACCACGGCAATGAGCTGCAGCGGACGACCTCGTCGTACCAGGGCTCGGTGGCTGACGGTATGCGCTACTCGGACAACCGCCAGACCTCGGACCGCGACCGCCTGACGGCGTCGCAGGTGTACAAGTCCAAGACGCTGGAGGAGCGCATCAAGCAGGCTGAGGCGGAGAACCGCGCTCGCGCCTAAGCGGACGCCGGCTGCTCGTTGCTCGTCCATGCTACGCGCGTCTCGGACGGCCTATGACTAGGCGAGAGCAGCGTCGGTGCTGAGGACTCGTCCACATTACTTCTATTTCCCTAATGCAGCCGTTGTGTGGCTGGACGATAGGTACTATGGACGACACGCCGCTTCCAATAGATTCGTGCTCTCACAGTGCTATGGGCTACACACTTGTGCTGTGTTCGTTTTTGCCTCTCGATTGTGCGACCGTGCGTCTACGCGCGGCCGTTCGCGGCCGCGAGACCGATGGTGGCGGAATGGTTGCATGGGCGGCCATGTTCGGACCACGTGGTTCAGGACGGTGCGTGCGATTGGGTCTCGACGCAGGTCCCAACAGATAGGGTCCGTGGCCGCCCGCCCGTGTGTGAACCAATCAGAGTCCCGATCACCCGATCGCAACGCTATCGGACCCAAAGCGAACGAAGGAAAAAAGGCGAAAAGCCAGAGATATCTTTTGCGTCCGCGTTATCTTCCGGCGCAAATTGGCAGCGTACACGGTCTTGCGGGCTGCTATCTTGGGACCGGCCCTCGCGATCCAAGGCATCGTATTGCTCCCACGCCAGGCCTCTTGATCCCCTGCACCCCCACAGCGAGTCTCTTGCTGCTCCTCATGGCTGTATCCGGACTCCAGCATCGCCCCCTGGAGGCGCAGTCATCCTACACCGTGCATTCGGCCAAATCAAACCTCGCGCCCCTTTTGAATGGTGCCATGCCTGTGCAGCACGGCACGGCAACGCGGAGCCCTAGTGGGGCGCCGCTCTGGCCCCATACCCCCCCGGGACGTCGCCCTTCTGATAGCAGCTCGGCGGCGTCCGTCTCCGCCGATGTGGATGCGACCGAAGAGGCGCTCAAGCCCTCTGACTCGCCATCGCAGGTATGGGGACCGGCGCTCCACGAGGAGCCGCATTCTGCCGACGAGGCTGCGTCGGAGGCGCCGACGCCCCCCGCTGTTGCACCGCCCCCCGCGCCGAGCGCCGGCACCTGCCCTGGCTCCGGTCTCTGCAACGGGACGGGCGGCTCGTCCGAGTGCAAGGGGTGCCCTACCTTCAACAATGTCATGCCCGTTCCTGAGCCGTCTGACTCTCCTGCGCCGGCGCAGGCACCAGCGTCGGCAGACAAGCCCACGAACGACGAAAAGCCCGCCGTCGAGGCGCTTCGATGCACGAATTGCCAGACGACGACGACGCCTCTATGGCGCCGCGACGAAGACGGAAACAACATCTGCAATGCGTGCGGCCTGTACCACAAGCTCCACGGCACGCACCGCCCCATCGGCATGCGAAAAACCGTCATCAAGCGCCGCAAGCGCCTCCTGGGCACGAACAGTGCCTCGTCCGCGCCGCGCAAGCAGACCGCGCATGCGGCACTGAGCGCGCCGAAGGCCGCCGGTGACTCGGACGTGCGTGCTGAGCGCGAGCGCGAGGCGGCCATGGTGCTCATGGAGGTCGGCTCGTCGCGCTGGGCGCACGAGACGCCCGCGGCGTCGCCACGCCTCCAGCCGGAGGAGGGCGCTGCGCCCGTGCCCCACGAGCCGATGCTCCCCGCCCACGCGCCGCTCGCTTACCATCGCCCGACCTACAGCCCCCGCCTACTGGAGCTCGAGCGCCTGCGCGACGAGCTGTACGTGGAACGCTCACGACTCAACGAACTATTGGAGCGCACCGAGCGCGCCCTCTCGGACTCCTGCCGCCCCCACTACGACCTCCCCGCCTATGCAAAGCCGCCGTACCCGCCCGCTATGCGTATGCGCGCCTCGCCGCCCACGGCCGGTGCAGACGACCGACTTTTGCACGGCCATGGCAGCCCTGCTCTGCATGCGGCAGAGGTAGCACGGGGTGATCCCGGCGAGTTCGTGCGACGACGCCCGACATGGCGGCTGCGCGAGAGCCTGCCGTAGCCGCGATAGCCGTCCAGATACCCTGCATACTATAGAGGCATTCGATCGACGCGCGTGCGCAGCTCGCGCAGCTCGCGCTCGAGACTCGTCACGTGACTCTCAATGTGCGCCTGCTCGTCGGCCATGCTGTCGAGCGCGTCGCGGTGGTCCGGCGACGGCGACTGCACTTCTGGCACGCTCGGCACGCTTGGCGCGCGTGGAACACCTGGCCCGCTACGCCCATGGCGGTACAGTCCTGAGAGGCCCAGCGACGACTGCATGCGCCGCGCCAGGGGCGCCTGCGTCAGCGACGTACGGCGCCCAAACGCATCCTCCGACTCGTTGAGCGTGCGCGGCGCGCGGCGGTACTCGGACAGGGTCCGCCGGCTGTCCATCGCCGTGCGTGGCGCTGCGACGCGCGCGTGTGGCGGCCCCAGCGTCGGCAGCACGAGCGACTCTGTCTCGAGGCGGACGTACTCGGCGCGAAAATCGCGCACCGACGCACTGCCGCGCAGCGTGCGCAGCGTGTGGCCGCGCGGCGGCGACGACACGGACGGCAGCGGCGCATCGCCCACGTCGGTCGGCAGCATCGACAGGCTGCGCGCCGCGCGCGTCGGCGTCGACGTCACCTGCGCATCGAGCCGCAGCTGCCGCATACTGCGCCGCTGCCGCAGCTCTGGGTGCCCAGCCTCGTCGTTCATCGAGCGCCGCATCTCCCGGCACGACGCGCGGTGCCGCAGCGCCGGCGACGTCGAGGGGCTCGACGCCATCGACCCCGTCGACTCGTGGCTCGAGCTGCTTGCCTCGTCGTCGGACGACGAGTACTCCTGCGCCATCCGCCGCAGATTTGACATCCGCGGCGGCGCATCGCGCGCGCGCGGCTTGCGCACACTGCGCTCCACCGCATCCATCATCTCTGCCCACGCCTGTCGCTCCGACACGCTGCGCTTCGACGTACTGCCACCCGAGTGCCGCGAGTCGGCGCCCATCGTGCTGTGCACGAGCGTGAGCGGCGAGCGCGCCGCATGCAGCGGCCGCGCCGGCGGCGGAAACGGGTAGGGCGAGTGCCCCAGCGGCGACGACGTGTCCGCCGCCTTGAACGGCGTATGCATGAGGCTGGCCCGCACGTGTCGCTTCCTCTCCTCGGGCGAGATCACCGCCGACGGCGACGGTGACGGAATCGGCGAGATGGACTTGCCGAACGGCGTCGAGGCGGCCGGCGGCGATGTCGACGCCCTGGGCATCAGGGGCGGCGGCATGGGCGCCGCCAGGGCCTGCGCGTCCGGCAGGAAACTAAACGCGCAGAAGTGCATGTCCAAGTCCGCACACGCCGCTGGGCTGAGGGGCGACGGCGGCGGCCCCGGCGGCGGCGGCGGCGGCGGCTGTGGCGACGACGCGGGCGGCGACGCGGCGCGCCCGACCAACGTGTCCGGCATCCACGACAAGTCGACGGACTCAAAGCCAGGGAACTGATCGATCGGTCCCTGGAACATGGCCGAGAAGCTCGGCGGCGTATCGAGGGTGACCGAGTCGAGTCCGGCCGCATCGCCGCGCGCCGTGCTCGGGCTGTGCAGTACGCTCAGCTGCGATGCGCGCGCATCGCCCAGGTCCGGCACGAACGGGGGCGCACACTGCGCAAGGTCGTGCCATGGCGCGTCGCGCAGCACGGGGTGGTCCTGCACCTCGCGCGTGCTGTGCCGCCCGAGGCGCCGCGGCTCAGCACACACGAGCGAGCAGATGAGGTCTGCGAGCGCCGCACTGCACGGCAGCGGCGCCGGCAGCACAAAGTGCTGCTCGTGGTGCGCAATGTGCGCGTACACATCGGCCGGCTGCGGCGCCCAGAACGGCAGGCGCCCAAACGTCATTTCGTACAGCACGACGCCCAGGCTCCACCAGTCGACGGCGGGGCCGTAGGCGCCAGCGATGTGCGCGTCCGGCACAGGCGCCGCGTCCTCGCCCGAGACGGGCGAGAGTGTATACGCGTGCTGGAGCCGCTCCTCCTCGCAGCGCAAAATCTCCGGCGCGATATAGTCGCATGTGCCCGCTGGGCGCTGGGTATAGTAGGCGAGCACGCGGCGCCCGTGCTCGTCAAACGTGCGGAACGGCGCGCACGTCGCAAAGTCACACAGCTTGAGGCGCCCGCTCTTGTCGAGCAGGAAGTTGGACGGCTTCACATCGCGGTGCACAAAGTGCAGGGCATGCAGCCAGCCGAGCGCGGCGACCATGTCCATGGCATAGCGCACGACCCACGACTCGTGCAGGAGGCCGCCAGTCGTGCTCTTCCCGGGGTACCTCGCCTCGGCCTGCGCCGCCGCCTGGAGGAGCGCATCGAGGTCGCCCGCAGGAAAGTACTCCATGACCATGTGCACGGAGCGCACGCTCTGGAACGCGGCATGTAGCTGGGGCGTGTACGCACAGTGGCTGTCGTCGAGGCCGCCCTGCGCGAGCAGCTGGCTCTCGTACACGGGCGAGAAGCGAAAGTCCTCGCGGCGCGCGATGCCCTTGAGGACGGTCTTGAGCACGTACAGCTGGCGGTCCATGCGGCACCGCACAATTTCCACGGTGCCCGTGGCGCCGTGCTGCAGCGTGCACAGCGACGCAAAGTCGGCGGCCTGCAGCGACGCCTGCTGGATATCTTCGAGGCGCGTGCGCACAAACGCGCGCGTGCGCTCGAGCTGGATATGCCGTGGGACGTGGTCCGTGGCCCACAGGAGCGCAAGCGCACAATCGAGCTCGCGCCCCAGCCGGCCCTCCTCCCGCCCGTCCGGCGGAAGCTGCGATACGAGCACGCGCAGCGCCGGCGCATGCCGCGCCGCATACGCAACGAGCGGCGCAACGGCATCCCGAACATCGGGCGCGTGAAGCACTGCGCGTAGGCGCGCATGCCGCACACTCCATGCCTCCGACGTCGCCCTCATGCTACAGGATCATGACGTGCGCCACGCCGTGCACGGCGCCGCGCCAGATCAACACGTATCCCATCACGTGATACCAGCGGCGCCCCCGCTCGCGGCCGCGCGCGTGCAGCTCGAGCGAGCGTTTGCCAGGCATGTCGTCCGGGCCGCCGCGCCGGATGGGCGTGCGCCACCATAAGCTGCGTGCGCCGCGCAGCGTATGTCGCGATACTGACCGCAGCACGGCCTCACTGTGCCCGTGGACGAAATGTGGGCGCGCCTCTCGGCGGCGATCACGCAGATTCAGCAGCACAACATCTCGCAGCTGAGCTACGAGGAGCACTACCGCTACGCCTACAACCTCATTCTCGTGCGTGCGTGCTACTTACGCAGAACCAACAGGGCGACATGCTCTATGCGGGCGTGCGGCGCCAGGTCGCCGAGCACCTCGCGCGCCAGCTGGACGCGCGACTCGTACCGCTCTTCCCCGTCGAGGCCGACCAGGTGCGCGTGGCCGCCGCGGCGCTGGAGCTGCCGCGTGCCGCGCCCGGACTTGCGCACGCGCTCGGCCTGCTGCCGGGCGGCGATGCGTCGCTGCTGCACACGGTCGGCGCGGGCGAGCGCTTCCTCGGCGCGCTGACCGACCTGTGGGACGACCATGGCTCGTGCATGAGCAAGCTGCGCGACGTGCTCAAGTACGTCGACCGCGTGTACGTGCCGAACCAGCAGCGCGTGCCGATCTGGGACCTGGGCCTCGACCTGTTCCGCGACACGGTCGTGCGGTCAACGCGGCAGCCGTGCTATGTGCAGCTCATGGTGACTCTCCTGCGGCACGTCTACTGCGAGCGCGAGGGCACCGTCGTGGAGCGCCGCACGCTCAAGGCCGTCACGGATATGCTCCTGGCGCTGAGCCATACGCCGGACGTGAGTGTGTATGTGCACGACTGGGAGCCGCTCTTCCTGCGTGCGTCGTCCGAGTACTACGTCGCCGAGTCGCAGCGCCTGCTCGCGACGCAGCAGGCGACGCACTACCTCGTGCAGGCCGAGCGGCGGCTCGCCGAGGAAGAGGCGCGCGTCGTGGCGTGCTTCTCGCCGCGCACGTGGCCGGCGCTGCAGGCGCTCGTCGAGCAGCGTCTCCTGACGGACCACCTGGACCAGGTGCTCGCGATGCCAAGCGGCGGCCTCGTGGCCCTGCTCGACGCCGACGCGCGGCCGGACCTCGAGCGCCTGTACCGCCTGTTTGCGCGCGTGGAGCCGGGCCTCCCTGCGCTGCACCGTGCGTTGCGCGAGTACATCGCGGCGCGCGGCCGGCGCATCCACGAGGCCGCTGCGCCGCGCGAGGGGTCCGCCGCGCCGCCGCTCGAGGTCGCGCTCGCGTGGGTCGAGCAGGTGCTCGCTCTCCAGGCGCAGCTCGATGGCGTGCTTTATACCAGTCTCGCGGGCGACAAGAGCTGCGAGGCCGCGATCAACGAGGCCATGGAGAGCCTCGTCAATATGCAGGCGCGCGCGCCCGAGTTCCTCTCGCTGTTCATCGACGAGCACCTGAAGAAGGGCTCGCGTGCAGCGGCGGATATGGAGCGGGTGCTGACGCAGACCATCACGCTGTTCCGCTTTGTGCACGAGAAGGACGTGTTCGAGCGGTACTACAAGCTGCACCTCACGCGCCGCCTGCTCCACGGGCGGAGCGCGTCGGACGAGGCGGAGCGCGACATGATCGCGCGGCTCAAAGTCGAGGGCGGGCACAGCTACGTGCAGAAGCTGCAGGGCATGCTGAATGACATGAAGCTCAGCGACGAGGTGCTCCAAGCGTTTGAGCGCGAGCAGGCGCGTGCCCCGGCGCCGCGGCCGCTCCCGATGCATGTGCGTGTGCTGACCGCGACGTACTGGCCGATCGCCCTGCCGACACAGCCCCTCGTCCTGCCGCCCGTCCTCGCCGAGGCGTGCAGCGCGTTCGAGCAGTTTTACGCGGCGCGGCACCGCGGGCGTGTGCTGACCTGGCAGCCGTCGCTGGGCACCGCCGACGTGCGCGTGCAGTTCCGCGCGCGCGCGCACGACCTGTCCGTCTCGACGTACGCGCTCATCGTGCTGCTCCTCTTCGAGCACACAGACACACTCGCCTACCCCGCGATCCGCGCTGCGACGCAGATGAGCGATGCGGACCTGCAGCGCACGCTGCAGAGCCTCGCGTGTGCCAAGTACAAGATTCTGCGCAAGGAACCCAAAGGGCGCGACGTGCACGAGTCCGACACCTTCACGTTCCATGCCGACTTCACGTGTCCGCTCGCGCGCATCAAGATTGCCCAGGTCGCCGCCAAAGTCGAGACGCCCGGCGAGCGGCAGGCAACGACGGCCAAGGTCGAGGAGGAGCGCAAGAACCAGGTCGATGTACGTGTCTATCTCTTACGCAGGCATGCATCGTGCGTATCATGAAGAGCCGCCAGACGCTCGCGCACAACGAGCTCGTAAACGAGGTCGTGCGCCAGCTGCTGCCGCGCTTCCAGCCGTCCCCCGCACTGATCAAGAAGCGCATCGAGTCGCTCTTGGATCGAGGTACGTGCACGTCACTGACGCCAGAATATCTAGAGGTACGCCCACGCACTCACGCAGCGCACGGAGGAGCGGCATGTGTATCAGTATGTAGCGTAGGCCGACGCGGTTCCGTGCTATGCGGTACATCACACGGGCGCCGCTGCGCGCTGTGCATGAAGAATGTGGCCCAGCTCACGTGCGGCACGATAGGGCCACGCGCCCTCGCCCAATCCAACGCGTGCGGCGCGCTCGCGCCCAGGTGGAGCACGGACACGCGTGCGGCGCCGCACAGGCACGAGCGGCGTGCCACCGGCGGGCGCGGCTCGATCTTATCCCGCCGCGTCTTGGTGCCTCGCACGGGTGCTCCCTGCCCGTTCGCTGTCCCTGCCATGTCGCCCGCCCGCGAGCGGGTCGCGCCTACGGAGACGGAGCCTGAAGCCGCTGCCGAGTCCAGCCGCGCCGGCGCCCGCGCGTCCGCCGGGCCCGCGGACGAGTTCCTGGCGCGAGCGCAGGCCCTCGGCCTGCGCCTCAGCCGCACTGACTACGAGCGCACGCGCGCGGGCGTCGCTGCCTTTCTCAAGGCCGAGCGCGTGCCCGCGTCGGCGGCCGCGCACGGCACGCCCGCCGACACGTCGGACGACGCGGATCGCTCGGCGCCCCCCACGGATCCCGACGTGACGCCACAGCTCTCCCAGTGGCTCCGCACGCCCAGCGGCCAGCTGAACTTCTTCACAGCGGTCGTGCACCCCATGGCCCACGACGAGCAGCGCGCGCGCCTGAGCCTCGATGAGGTCGGCAGCGCCGAAGAGAAGCGCCGCCGCCGCCTGCGCCGCCGCCGCCTCCTCGAGAAGCAAATGCTCCTCGAGACAGGCGCGGCCTCGCCCGCGCCGTCCCTCTCAGATGTACCGCCCTCGCCGGCCGGCACACCGCGCACAAGCGATGCGCCGGAGCTCGACTCGCCCGTGTCTCTCGGCACGATGCGCAGCAGCACGCCCGTGGGATCCCGTGCGACGCGCGCGTCGACGCCGGGCAGCCCCGAGATCGACATACTCAACCGCATGGCGCGCGTCGACGCGGATGGCAAGCTGTGGCTCGCCTCGCGCACTCACGACGAGACCCTCAGCGAGGACTCGGCGCTCAGCGCGGACGAGTCGGTCGCTGCCACCGACGAGCCCGACTCGAGCCTCGCAGGCTGGGGGCCCCGCCCCGGCGCGCAGACCGAGCAGCTGAATGCATGCATGAAGAATATGAGCCTCCTTGACCGCATCATGCTGAGCAAGACGAGCCCGCGGCGGATGCGCCGCGAGGCCAAGGCGCGCGAGCGCGAGCGTCCCGAGGCGGGCGAGGCGCGCGCCTCACTGCCCGACACGAGCGTGTCGCACTGGGCGGACGTGTCGTCGGAGTCCCTGCTCGATACGTCGACGGACAGCGCGCCGCCCCGTGCGGCCCACAGCCGGCACGCCAGTGCGTCGCTGCGCTGGACGGCGCACAATGCAGCGACGCCGCTGCAGCGCAGCACGTACCGCGCCACGGCGTTCGACGATATGACGGACCTGTCGCCCTTCACCGCCGTCACGCCATTATCGCGCTTTGATCCCGGCACGCAAATCACGCCGATGCGCTACTCGCCGGGCCTGAGCATGGACTACTCGCAGCCCCGCACCTCGACGCTGGCATTCTCGCCGAATCTGCTCACGCCATGGACGCACCGTGGGCGGCTCCTCTCGAATGCCGGACTCGCGAACCTCCCCAGCTCTCCCTTTGTCTCGGGAGAGAACCAGCTGGCTGCGTCCGCCGAGACGGTGCGCGGGTCGTTTGCGTTCTCGTCGACGCCACTCTCGCACCTCCCTGCCCACGACGACACACGCGTACCGGCGACCTCGTCGCCATCGCGCTTGCAGTGCATCGAGTCGTTCCCTGGGCGCTCGCCGCAGGCGCGCGACATCCTCGACTCGCCCGTCGCGCGCGACAATGCACCGAGTCCGCTGGCGAATAAGGGCCTCTTGCGTGCGGCGGCAGCGGGCGTGTCGCCAGGCAAGCCCACCACGTCGCTCCTTTCGCCGCTGTGGATCTCGCACACGGCCGCCACGACCGAGGCAGCACTGCCAGCAGAACTCGATGCACGCTGGCGGCGCACCGATACCATCCGCCCCGCCGACGTGTTCGGCACGGCCGCCCCCCTCGACTCGCGCGCGGCGCCCAGCGTATTTACAGGGCGCGCGAGTGCTGACAGCGACTCGGACGACACGCCCGAGCACGGCACGTCCACGGCGTCGCCGACCACGACGCGCGCACGCCATTTGCTGCCGCGCATGCGGCTTCCGCGCCGCAAGAGTGGGCCGCCGCGCGCTGCGGCGCCGGCGGACGGCCACGACGTGTTTGCCAAGCCCGACGCTGGCGCGCCAGCGTTCCGTGACGTATTCCATCAGACCGTGCCGCCCTCCGACCCGAAGCAGACAGAATGGGACCAGCCGGACGGCAGTCGTATCGTCAAGCTCGTATCAGAGGAGCTGCAGGCGGCGCTCGATGCAGGATCCCTCGAGCGCGAGCCGGCACCGCGCTACTTCCGCCTGCCGCCCGGCCACGGCACATCCAAGGCCAAGCCTTCGTCTGTGTCGTACGCCGGCCTCATTGGGCAGGCCATTCTGTCATCGTCCGATGGGCGCCTGAGTCTCGCCGAGATTTACCTGTGGATCAGCTCCGTGTACCCATACTATGAGCGGGGCGACCGTGGCTGGCAGAACAGTATCCGACACAATCTCAGCCTGAACAAGAGCTTTGTCAAGCTGGAACGCGAGTCCACCATTCCCGGCAAGGGCGGCTGGTGGGCCATCGAGGCCGGGCACGAGCACCGCTTCCACAATGGCCTGTACATGCCGCACGGCACAGGCTCGTCCAGCAGCGTGGCGCCCGCGCGTCCCCTGCGCGTCTCTGCGCCCGCGCCCACACCCGCACCCGACGAGCGCACGCGCAAGAAGCGCACGCCGTTCACACCGCCGTCCGCCCGTGAGGCGGAAATGGCTCGCGCCCAGAGCGAGGGCCCTGCAGAGGCGAACGAGGCAAATCCTACGTTCAAGCGTCCAAAGACGGCGCGGCCTACGCGGTTCGCGCCGCCGCCCGCCATGACCGTGTCGGGCCCAGCGCGCGACGGTACCAGCAGCCCGGTGCCCAGCCCGAACCTCTCACTGGACCGGATGGAGGCGGACAGCTTTGACACATCTACGTCGCGCTCGCTGCTTGCGACGCCTGGGCGGCCGGCCCCTGCGTATGCTATGCCGTCTGACGCCAAGAGCCCAACCACGCACGGAGGCAACACGTCCGCCTCTCTGCTTCCCTCGTCGCTGCCACCGCAGCGGTACCCGGGGACGCTGCCGGAGTACGGGGTCGTGTACATGCCGGGACATGATATGAACGGCGTGCCGATGGCCTCGTCGCCCGGCAAGTCGGCGGCGTACCGTGGCGGCATGCCGGTATCGCTTCCGCAACCGGGCCTGCCGCCGGTGCCGCTCCACGGCATCGCCTCGGGCTACCCTATGCCCGTGCCCGTCCCCCTCGTGCCGGCGGCCTACTCTCGTTATCCCCCTGATGCTACGGCTCCTTCCACCTGGCAGGACAGCGAAACGTCCACGCCTTGGTAAACACCGGCGTGTTAGGCCGGTGGCGCTCTTGATAATTGTATGTAGGAGGATCCGTGCGCGATTGATCGGCCCTATCGGCCCGCCTCCACGGGCTCGATTCTACTACCATGGCACTGAGCGCGGCAGCCCAGTACGGTGCGCAGCACCTCACACGCGGCATTGGGCGACTCTCGCAGCATGTATTCGTTGAAGGCCACGGCTCGTACCTCACAACCGATACGGGCAAGCGCCTGCTTGACATGACATCGTACGTATCGTGCATTGACGCAGCGGCATTGGCGTTGTGAATCTCGGCCATTGCCACCCTGCGGTGACGCGGGCCGCGCAGGAGCAGTGTGGCAAGCTGACGCACGCGCAGCTGAACATTGGCTTCAATGGCCCACAGATCGGGCTCCTTCGAGCGCTGCAGCCCATCATGCCGCACCCGTCGCTCGATACGTTTTTCCTGTGGAACTCGGGCTCGGAGGCCGTCGAGGCGGCCGTCAAGGTCGCGCGTATGGCCACGGGCCGCCCTCACATTGTTGTGGCACAGGGATCGTACCATGGGCGCACGGCAGCGACAGCCGCGATGACGCGCAGCAAGACGCTGTACGGCGAGGGCGTCGGGCCCCTCATGCCCGGCGTATTTTCCATGGCGTTCCCGTACTACTCCCAAATGTGTATGCCGCACGGCACGCCGACGGAGACGCTGGTGGACGTCGCTCTACAGCGTGTGCGGCTGCTGCTCAAGCAGGAGACGGCACCCCGCGATACCGCGGCTATCCTGCTCGAGCCCGTGCTGGGCGAGGGCGGCTATGTTCCGGCGCCGCCTGCGTACCTCGAGGGCCTGCGCCAGATTTGCGACGAGCACGGCATGCTGCTTATCGTCGACGAGGTGCAGTCAGGCTTTGGCCGCACGGGCAAAATGTTTGCCATTGAGCACACAGGCGTCCGGCCCGACGTGATGGTCTTTGCCAAGGGCATCGCAAACGGCTACCCCCTGAGCGGTATTGTCGGCTCGAAAGCGCTCATGGACGTCATGCCGCCGGGCAGCATGGGCGGCACGTACGCGGGCAACGCCGTCTCTTGCGCGGCCGCGCAGGCTACGATCCAGGCATTCCGCGACGAGCACGTCCTTGACAACGTGGCGGCCCGCCACACGGAGCTTCTCGAAGGCCTCGATGCACTGCGTGCGATGCCCGTCGGCCAGCTGATCGAGGATGTGCGAGGCCACGGCTTGATGATCGGTGTGCAGTTCCGCGCGCCGCGCCCCATCGCCGGCCCTCTCACGAAGGCGTGTCTAGAGCGTGACATGCTGCTCCTCAGCACAAGCGCCTTCGATGCCGTCCGCTGGATCCCCCCGCTGACCGTTTCGCGCGAAGAGCTCGCGCAGGCGCTGCAGATTTTCAAGGACGCGCTCGAGGCCGTCGCGCGCGCTGAGGGCTTCCTGTAGTGGAGGTAGATGTTGGCCCGCGGTTCTTTTACGCTCGCCACGACTCGGGGATCGCCATGCTGCTTGTGGGCCTGCTGTGGCTCGCCTGCCTGCGTCTGGTGTTCGCTACAACGCTGTCGCCTGCGCATCCAACGCGCACACTAGCTCCTCGCACGGTGGCTGTCTCTACCCTGTCGCCTGTGTCTGTGCGGCTTCCCGAAGGGCTGCCTAACGTACGCGACATGTCGCTGCTGTATATTGGCCAGGGCTTCCAGAGCCAGACGACAGTCTACGCCATGGTCACAGGCAAGCCGGATGACGCCAATGCTCAGACACACTACATGTACCAAGACCAGACATCCATGCAATTTAACCACATACCCTTGACGTCCAGCGTGGGCGGCCAAGCTTTAACGGGCCTCTTTGGCATGGGCTGCGGGGCCACAGTCCGCAACGACTGGGTGTGCAAGTACGGCTATGAGACATCACAATCTACGAGCATGTACACGACCTTTACGACGTCCATGCGCCCTTCTGTCTTTACCCCCGTACAAGGACTGATCCAGAGCATGCGCCAAGCCACCGCGTCCGGACCGAGTTCTCCGCCGCCCAGCGTCACTCAGTCAAACGCCGGTAGCCCTGCACCAATGCACATGGCGCCCCTTTGCCTGGCGCTCCTCGCCGCGCTGCTCACCGCAGGCGCCTGGCTCTTGTAGAGACTTTGCTCCTATGTACCTATGCAATGTCACACAGCAGATCACCCTGCGACAGGGCCGAGTCGACGTGCACGCACACGCGCTGGACCTTGCCGTCGATAGGGGCCGACACAATGGTCTCCATCTTCATCGCACTCATCACAAAGAGCGGGTCGCCCTTCTTGACGGTGGCACCCTGCTGGGCCTTGACCTCGACGACAACACCGGCGAGCGGCGCTCCGACGCTGCCCGGCTCCGACGTTGCCTTCTCGTGTGTCTCGACCTTGATGTCGGCGCTGCGGTCCACGACAAAGATGCTGCGCGGCTCCGAGTTCACCTCGAAGAACACCTCGCGCGTGCCGTCCTGTTCGTTGAGTGGACCAAGGCCGGTCAGCTTGATGATGATCAGCTTGCCGTGGTCCAAAGGTATGTTCATCTCCTCGCCCACCTGCGGCTTGCCCAGGAAGAAGCGCGTCGGCATCTTGCTCAGGTCGCCGTACTGAGACACAAAGCGCTGCAGGTCCTCAAACACCTTCGGATACATGGCCCAGCTCACCGCGTCGCAGTCGGACATCTTACGACCAAACTTGGCCGACAGATCACGCTTGACCTGCTCAAAGTCAAGCGGCGGCAGCGTCGCACCACGGCGCGTGTCCACGCGCTCCCTGTCGCGGATAATGTGCGTACGTAGTGGCTCGGGGAACCCGCCAGGCGGCGTGCCCAGGAAGCCCTGGAAGAACTCAATCACCGACACGGGGAAGTCGAGCGTCGAAGCCTTCGCTTCGACGTCCTCAGGCGTCAGCTTGTTCGCCACCATGAACTGCGCGAGATCACCGACCACCTTCGACGACGGCGTCACCTTGACAATGTCGCCACACAGCATGTTCGCCTGCATGTAGGCCGTCTTGATCTCGCCCCACTGCGAGCCAAGACCCAACTGCTGCGACTGGAACATGAGGTTCGTGTACTGGCCACCAGGCATTTCATGGTCAAACACCGACGAGTCCGAAGCCTTCACATTCTGCTCGAAGCACTGGTACAGCTGGCGCACCTGCGACCAGTACAGGTTCAAGCGCTGCACGTTCTCGTGCGAAATACCAGTACCCAACTCCATCTGCTCGAGCGAACTGATCACGGCACCCATCGACGGCTGCGACGTCAGACCCGACATGCTGTCGATCGCCACATCCACCACATCGGCACCCGCCTCCGCACAGGCGAGCATGCTCGACACGGCGATACCAGCCGTGTCATGTGAGTGCACGTGGATGGGCAGGTCGGGGTACTTGGCGCGAATCGTGCCGACCAGGAGGCGCGCTGAAGCCGGCTTGAGCAGACCGGCCATGTCCTTGATACCCAAGACATGCAGGTGGCCCGTAGCCACCAGCTCATCCACCAGCTTCATATAGTAGTCGAGCGTGTACTTCGGGTGGCGCGTCGGGTTCGCCACATCACCCGTGTAGCACACCGTACCTTCCACAACACCGCCAGCCACTTTGGCCGCGTGCATACCCAGCTTCAGCGACTCCAGGTTGTTCAGCGAGTCGAACACACGGAAAATGTCGAGACCGTTCTCCACGGCGCGCTTGCTAAACTCGTAGATCGCATTGTCAGGGTACGACGTGTACCCGACGGCGTTCGCACCTCGCACCAGCGCCTGGAACGGGATGTTTGGCACCAGCTTGCGCATCTCACGCAGACGCTGCCACGGGTCTTCGTACAGGAAGCGCATCGACACATCAAACGTGGCACCACCCCAGCACTCGAGACTGTATGCATTCTGCAACACATGCGACGTCGCCTTGGCAATGTTCAGCATCTCCACCGTGCGCAGACGCGTGGCGAACAGGCTCTGATGGGCATCGCGCCACGTCGTGTCCATGATCAGTGTGCCCTTGTAGGCGCGCACCGCCTTGGCAAACGCCTCGGGGCCCTCGTTCACGATAATATTGCGCCAGCCGGTGAGCGCAGGCTTCGATGAGTCAATCTCCTTGTCACCCTCAATCAAGCGCGGCACAGGCACTTCAGTACGCAAACCGGGCTCGCCCACCTGGCCCTTGATCGAGCTGCCGTTAACGAGCAGGTCACCCAGGTAGTGCAGGATCTTTTGCGCACGATTCGACGAGTGCCACAGTTTGAACAGTTCGGGCGTGTCGTCGATCATCGTCGTCCACGTACGCGACTCGATAAAGTGAGGGTGCATGAGCAGGTTCAACAGGTAGGGGATGTTCGTCTTCACACCACGGATACGGAACTCAATCAGTGCACGCAGCGTCTTGCGGCGTGCCAGCTCGTATGAAGCCGCACGGCACGTCACCTTCACCAGCAACGAGTCATAGTGAGGCGTCACATGCGCACCCACGAAGCCGGAGCCAGCGTCCAGACGCACACCATTGCCGCCTGCAGCCTTGTACACTTCGATGCGGCCTGTGTCCGGCTGGAAGCCAGCCTCCGGGTCCTCAGTTGTGATACGGCATTGAATGGCCGAGCCACGAGGCAACACCTTCGCTTGGTCGAGGCCCAGCTCCGGCAATGACTTGCCGTTCGCAATCTGGATTTGCATGGCCACAATGTCGATACCAGTGATCTCCTCCGTGATGGTGTGCTCAACCTGCAGACGGGGGTTGATCTCAATAAAGTAGTGACGGTTCATCTGGTCCACCAGGAATTCGGCCGTCCCGGCGTTGCGGTAGTTGGCCGTGCGCGCCAGCTTCACCGCATCGGCCAGAATGGCCTGACGCACCTCGTCGCCCAGACCGCTCGCCGGCGCAATCTCAACAACCTTCTGGTGGCGACGCTGCACGGAGCAGTCACGCTCCAGGAGATGCATAAAGTTGCCTTGTCCATCGGCCAGCAGCTGCACCTCAATGTGACGGGGCTTGTCTAGGAAGCGCTCAATAAACACCGTGGGGTCACCGAAGGCCGAACGCGCCTCAGACACGGCACGCTCAAACGACTCGCGGAAGTCCTCCGGACGGCGTACCACGCGCATACCACGGCCACCACCGCCCATAGCAGCCTTGATAATTACCGGGAAGCCCACCTCCTTGATGAAGGGTTCCGCCGCTTCATAGCTCGCGATAGGGCCGGGCGTACCAGGCACAATGGGCACCTGCGCCTCGCGCGCCAAGTCACGCGCCTTAGTTTTATCACCCAGTGCATCAATAGTCTGGGCCCGGGGACCAATAAAGGCAATACCCGCGTCCTCGACCTTTTGTGCAAACTCGGGGTTCTCCGACAGGAAACCATAACCAGGGTGGATCATATCCACATGGTTTTCCTTTGCAATACGAACAATGTCGTCGATGGCGAGGTAGGCAGCCACGGGAGAAAGGCCAGCACCGACCTGGAAAGCATAGTCCGCCTTGGATATTAGTGGCACATTCACTCAAACATACCTTGTTCCGGTGTGCACACATGCGGTCCTCATGGCTATAAATAGCGACCGTCTCCAGACCGAGCTCATGGGCTGTGCGGAAAATACGAATGGCAATTTCCTGTGTGTCAATGGTTTCTTACGCTTCTAATACATACACCACGGTTCGCAACCATGAGGCGGCGCGCCTTCATATCAGAAAGTTGACGCAAGTCATGGCAAATTCGCAGGATACCATGATCCGGGATCTGCTCGTCGACTTCAGGCGCTCCTGGCATGTCTAGATACGAAGAGGACGAACTGGTCGGATGCAGGGAGGGTTTGACGGGACCGTTGCAAATAAATGCAAGTATGCAGCTACGGGTAAGGTCCGAAACGTCCGTGCGCTGTTGCGTCATCCATTTGCGAATTTTTATTGGGCCACACACACTCTTCCTACGAATCCTGCAGCTAATTACGTTGCTTATGCCATTGAGGGTCTCATTCCTGTATAGCCCCACTGCTCTCCATCAGATATCTGGACAAGCACAGCGATAGAGTAGCAGTCCCTACTCAACTCACTCTTTACAAAATTCAACACCACATAGTGCATCTACGGGTCGAACACCGGTCTATAGACAAAAACGCAACGAACTGCTAGCATCCGAATTGACCAATGTCGTCAGCCAGGCTAACCAGATTAGTCCAAACGAAAGTGCTTGCAGAACATCGCAAAGAGAAAAATTGCCGAATCGTAAAGTACGAATCAGACGTTGTGGTTCGTTTAGTTTGCGATAAGCAAAAGTCTACGTCTCGGTATAAACCTCAGAGACCATAGATCCTGTCCGTGCAGAAAGATGACGTATCACAACACAGGTCTGGCCCTTTTATAGATTTACTTCAGCGGGTACACGTGGACTGTCGCCCTCGTCTGATGGCCGCTGGCTACTAATCACGTGCATCTTTCTCACAAATTATACAAACACGTGACTGACCTAGCGCCGTCAGCCGAGGTAGCTGAACCTTCTGCTGACCACGCTCGTCAACTCACCTCACCATGTCGCTCGTGCCGCCGGACCCGTCGATGAACTTCGCGCACATCTTGCGGTATGTATTTTCACCACTTTGCCAAAGAACAGTTCTGACTCTCTGCTAGTCTGCTGAACACTAACGTGGACGGCAAGCGCAAGATCCAGTACGCCCTGACTGAAATTAAGGGTGTGGGTCGTCGCTACGCTAACATTGTCTGCAAGAAGGCTGATGTCGATCTGGCCAAGCGGTACGTATTCTGTATGTGCCATTAGTCTATTGTTGTGGTGTTACGCACACCCAGCTATTCTTTTGGTACCTTTCTTTAAAAGGACATACTAATAGTTGCAGTGCCGGTGAACTCAACTCGGATGAGCTTGAGCGCATTGTCAACATCCTGCAGTCACCTCAGGAGTTCAAGATTCCCACCTGGTTCCTTAACCGGCAGAAGGACTTCACCACCGGCAAGGACTCGCAGGTTCTGTCGAACAACGTCGAGGCTAAGCTGCGTGATGACCTGGAGCGCCTGAAGAAGATCCGTGCCCACCGTGGTCTGCGTCACTACTGGGAGCTCCGTGCCCGTGGTCAGCACACACGCACGACTGGTCGTCGTGGTCGTACTGTTGCCAACAAGAAGAAGTAAATGTCAACTTCAAAAGAAAGGCGCTTGCTGTACCATCGTGTGTCTTTCACAAACCCATCGTCCGCCTTGGCATTCTGGCTTTTTTCCAAGGAAGGTCGGTGGTCATATCTTTGCCGAGCGTCCTGTAGCTTGGTACCACCTAACTGCCCATGTTTAAAATATATGTGGACTATAGTTTTTTACGCTTGTGTTCCATGTCATGATTTGGTTTGCTCGTAGAGCTGTTTCGTTCCGTTGAAGCTGCAAGAGCACACCAATATGGCTGGGAATATGTGCGGCGTTTTTCCGGCCGTGGTCCGGTGGAGATTTAGTCATTATCGCAGAATCCATCCATCTCTTCTTGTCCGCGGAGGTTTATCTGACAACCAGCCTTCTGAGGCTGTCATACTTGAGAAGGAACTCCTGCTCACCGCCACAACCTCTTCTTCCCATTGGTAATTGTCCCTTTTATAACGCTACCCACCACTCTACATACTGGCTTCCAGAATGAGCAGAGTAAATGATATGCCGGCTCCTTTTGTCGCGCCGGAAGTCTCTGTCGAGCAAGCTTTAGAACCTGAATTTGATTATGAAGGCCTGGGGGGCAATTATCCGCTTCATATCAACATGATCGCTGGCTCTTTGGCTGGTATTTCTGAACATGCTGTCATGTTCCCCGTGGATCTCGTCAGGGTATGTAGTCTTGTGACTTGATCAGCTCACAAGACAGACTCGTATGCAAGTGCTAACCGCATCATCCACTACTGTTTATACTGGCATTGGACAAGCACTTGCGCGTATTAGCTCCGTGGAAGGTTTTCGAGGCCTCTGGAAGGGTATTGCGTCAGTCATCCTTGGTGCTGGACCGGCTCATGCACTCTACTTTGGCACCTACGAATTTATGAAGGATCTCTCTGGTGGTAACAAAGAAGGGTTCCAATTGTTGAGCACAAGTATGGCAGGCGCTTCTGCGACAATCGTTTCTGATGCATTCATGAACCCCTTTGATGTGATCAAGCAACGTATGCAAATGGAGGGCAACCCTTACACGTCCGTCATGCAATGCGCTCGATCCTTGTATCGTTCTGAGGGACTGCGTGCATTTTATGTTTCATACCCCATTACCTTGGCGTCTTCTGTTCCCTTCACTGCTGCTCAGTTTGCTACGTATGAATGGGCGAAAAGCTTGTTAAATCCGAAAGACACATACTCTCCCTTAACTCACGCTGTGGCGGGTGGGTTTGCGGGTGCGACGGCCGCTTTCCTTACCAATCCTCTTGATGTATGCAAAACCCTGCTTCAGACACGCGGCTGCAGCTCTGTACCTGAAGTCCGGACTGCTACCACTATCAGCCAGGCTTTTCGTGTAATTTACGCTCGCGAAGGTTTGCGTGGTTTCGCACGCGGTGTCAAGCCTAGGATCTTTACACATATGCCTTCCAATGCGTTATGTTGGTTGTCCTATGAAGGGTTCCGGTTTGCCCTGCATGAATTTGATGGTTGATATCCCGTTGCATTCATCGCACCTTTCGTACGTTTCTACTTTCCCATCTGTTCGTGATCACCTTTTGTCTTATTTCGCGACCCTCCCTAGGCGTAAATATATTCATGCATATGGATGGAGGTACAAAACATGTATGATTCTTAGTTTCGACCGATAAATTGGTAGATCACGAGTGAAACTAACTTGGATAAGTTTTCGGGATTGTGAGCAAACGTTCCCATGATCATCGACATGCTTGCTGCTCCCAAAATGTAGTCACCGTAGGGCACCCTTGGCAAAATTCCGCGCGCTCGTCCTGATTTCCAAAAGGACTCGAATGCTTTGGGCAATACGTAGGCAGTCAGTTCGCTGCGGCGTCGTTTATGCTCAACAAAAAGCGAGAAACAGGATATAAAGCCGGCAATAGCTTTACACCTGTGATCCGACAGAACACTCGACAGTATACGAAATGCCGAATAGTTATTTAACCGGCTGAAAGTGATCCTGTCCGCGGTGCCGTGTAATAGGCAAAACATAGACTTGACCAATACCACATATGTTGCTAGAAAGGCGGAAGAACGCGAAGCATCCAAAAACATGCGGATAACACTGCTTTTAGGTCTGCGAATGTAAGCTTTCCTTTGCTTTAAAAATACATACGCCTTCAAGATGGCCCTAGTACGCAGGAACAGGGCAGGAACAAAGTACAGCGTCATGTAGACAGGCCTGAAATATTAGCTTGGAGGAATACATACATAATAAACTTCCATGCTTTGCAAAAGTTCTGATAGGTGGCATAAAAATGATTGTCCGTATTCAAATGTGACATGAGACAGTTGGGGAATCGATCAAGATGACCATGTTCCATCCAGTTATACACTCGTTCGATTGTCTTTCCACTCACACCGTCTGGCGCGTGTTTATTGGGCGGCAAATCCTCAAAAGTTCTAGGATTCTCAGTTTTCGGTTCGGGAATCTTTCCACCGAACAGTTCAACCAAGGCCCAAGGATCGGGTGTTTTGTTGGCTGCTTGGGACAGGTAGTTCCGCAAGGTGGGCTTAGGTACACTTGAAGCTTTATCAATCCAGGACTTGTAGCCTCGATCCAAATATTGAGGCGCGCCTAGCCAAGACATGATAATTTGGACATTAGCTAACCCAAACACAATGACTTCACCGTAAGGGATGCCAGGCATACCATTTGCTCGAGCATGCCGGTAGGTGCCTTCCAGACCTCGAACAAAAATCTGAAGTGTTAAGGATCGTACGACACTTTTCTTCTCAACGAAGAAGGCCACAGAGGAGGCTGCGCCTGCAACATATGCATGCCAACTTCGCACACGAGGATCGTATGTTGACAAATGCTTCCATTCCCATCTACGCTTTTGGTGCATCTCTTCCCGTGAAATTTTCTCGTGCAACTCTGAGTGATCGTCCATCCCGCCCAATTTAAAGGTTGCTGCTGGTGCCGTTTGGGTGCGACGCATCGGGGCGCGGCTCGGAATTGCAGCTTTCGGGTACGGCGTTAGGAGTCGTAACGCGTTGTTCACAAACTTGTAGACACATGCCCAGACACCAAATGCCAAAGCCAACCGTACAGTGTTTTCTCCAACAAACGCTTCTTTAAGTTGCTTCTTATCAACAGGACGACGAGAACGAAGTGATTTTACAATGGTAAGAAGAAATGAAAGTGTACTTCTTAATCCATAGGAGAGCATAAATGCACGGCCTCCTGCCCGAAAGACGTAGATCACAAGCCGCTCCCAATCAGCAGGGAGTCTGGCTTCATCATCGTGAGGCCTCCAAATTTTCTTCTGAATACTACGTCTTACTTCAGTTGAAGGCCTTTGAGATAATTCTTGCAACGTAGTAATACTCAAGGAACGCTTAATTTGATCCACCGTCTCTAACAAGTTGGGAGTACTTGTGTTTGGAGACAGAGTGTGTGCGGACAGATCATCTTCTGTTACGAATACGCTGGACTCTGGCTCCATTACGATTGGCTGATGCTGTGACGAAGAAATATTTGAATGAGTACTGGTCCTAGGGAGAGCCATGACGAATTTCCTGCCCCAACAACACAACTGGGAAGTTTGGGCTGGCCGGCCCGGTTCGGCTAGGCTATACGAAGGTTGCGCACAGGAGTGCGCCGTGCACGTCCTATCACGTGCATCCCGCAAAGTGCCAACAGCTAGCTTGTTCGCTATTGCATTAATAAATATTATGTAATCAATAAGGACCAAAAATATAGGCGGACACGACCCCGAAGGGTATGTCCGCCCGATCTAAAGATTTAAACGTACTGCCACCGTTAGGTAGCAGCGAGGGGAAAGTGTTCATGTATGGACAAATGGGTCGCCGTGCAATGAGAAACTTATCCCCTCCCGCACCACATGCGTGAGCGCGTTGCGGAACGTCAAGGTCTGCCATGTTAGCTACTGGCACCAAAGGCGTGCTATACGTACAAGTATGAGGAAACTAGGTTGGCCGGTGAGGGCTCCTTATATAATTTTTTCGGGATAATTCCCAATCACTGCGGCAACCTTCTGTCCCATGGTTTTGGCCGCTATGGGGACTTTTACTCCATATTTCCTACATCTTTGGCTATATGCACTATGCTGCGGTCACGTTAGGGAGAATGTGCCAATGCCTCCGTGGCCTTTCGACTGCTTTCAGCCATTCTTTTTTGGAGAAGGGTCGGCGCATTCTCATGCAGCAAACTGAGGTTCGGTAGGATACGTGACTGAAAAAACTCTTGGGCCACTAGTGCACCCTGGTCAAGTTAGCTATAACAGGTACACACCTTGTAATGGTAGATAGCACCCACGACAGCTTCCACACAAGTGCCGCGCACCTTGAATAGTCCTGTCTCTTTTGAACCAGAAGCTCCATCTACGCGTAGACTGGGGTGCCATCGCATAACTTTTTCAAGGCCGAGTTGACGGCCGACCGTGTCACCCAGTTGATGCGTAGCCACAATCTGATCCACGCCATCTGCTTTTGAGAGAATGTTCTGCAGAAATTCTGCGTCAGAAGCACTTTCAGCGCTAATTTTTGACAAGATATCAAATAGGAAAATTGTCAAGTACGTTTTCAAGACCCGACGACCTGTCGTTAGCTCAGAAGTATGCGTACCGAGGAAAGCAAGACGGCGGTTGTGTCCTTGAAGCCCGTGCATCCAACTTTCATGCGTAAGGGCTGTTGTCGCCAGCGTCTCTTCAGCACCGAGTAGTCTTTGCGATGGTTCCGATGAGCTGCGGTAGGACGAAAACTCAGCGCTATTCAGGTGTGAAAGGATATCAGTGGGTGTCAAATTGATGCCCAGCGGTCCTGCAGGTGAACTGGCCTCACGAAACTGCGGCGTCTGGTTGCCATGCTGCTTTGCGCTTTGTCCAGCCTGTAGGTAACTAGTCTGTGTGCTGAAAGCACGGCTCGGCGCCACTGGTATACGAGCCACACCTGCCGCTCTCATGCCTCCTGCAAGACGCGCAGGTGCACGGATGCAGCCCCCCATCTGACGAGATAGGCGACTGACTTGCATGGGTTGTATAGATGGCAAGTTCTACTAGAAGATGACCAAGCACGTTGGGTGTGCCCAAAATACTTACCTAATAGGCACCCAACTACTAACGGCCTTTCGTAGTCCTCACCTCGAGCTACGTTCTGTCTTCCTTGGGCCGATGCTTTTGACCCAAGACAAAGAGTCTCTCAAAGATAGATTGCATACTTCTACGTAGAACTTGTTTTAGCCGAAGGTCCCACGGGAGCGTGTGCCATGCTCATCAAGCCCCTAGGGAGGTCTTCGCTTTGTATGGGAATTAAGTACAAAAGAAGCGTCGTCATTTTCTCCGAGCATGCGACCATCGCCCTAACTTTCTCGAACCATGTCTGCCGCAGCAACGTATGTATATCATCGCACCACTCTAATATCCAGTCTTCCTCCCGGGAATAAAAACATGAACTGGGCCGACGAAGATGGCGATGAGGGTCCTCAGGTGGAAACACGCGATGAGGGCAATGGCGTGCAAGTAATTACTGAGTATCGCACGAATGCCGATGGCAAGAAAGTCAAGGTCACGCGCCGCATCAAGCGTACGCTCACCAGTACGAAGGTGAACCATGATGCCGCTGAGCGCAAGTCCTGGTCCAAATTTGGTCTGGAGAAAGGGGCTCAGCCGGGTCCTCATTCGGGTACCACCTCAATTGGTGCCAATGTTCAAATTAAGCTGACGGCTGGTGCCCAGAAGGAGCCCGAGCCTGATCCTACAGAGGCTATGCGCGAGAAGCTAGCCAACAAGCGTGTTCAATGTCGTCTTTGCAAGGGCGACCATTACACTGCCCGCTGCCCTTACCGCGACACACTCGAGGCCATTCCCGGCGCTGGTGGCGATGTGCCGGACACAGAGGCCGTCGCTGCTGCTGCTGCGGCAGGCCTTTCTCTTTCCAGTGATCCTGTTGCTGCTGCTGCTGCGGCGGCCAAAATCAACCCTGCTGCTTCCCCGATTGGTGCTGGTGGTGCTGCGCCTGGCAAGTACAAGCCTCCCAGCTTGCGCTCGGGAGCCGTGCCGTCGGCCGGTATCGGTGGGCCCGTGCAGCGCGACGAATATACCACTCTGCGTGTCACCAACTTGAGCGAAGATGTGGAAGAAGAGGATCTGCGCGACTTGTTCCGACGCTATGGCCGTGTTACGCGTATCTTTGTCGGCCGCGATCGTGAGACAGGTGCATGCAAGGGCTTTGCATATGTCAACTTTGAAGACCGGGCGTCGGCGGACCTGGCGCGACAGAAGCTGGACGGATACCCATACAGCAACCTTATTCTCAGTTGCCAGTGGTCGCAGCCGCGGGGCGAGCGCCCGCATTGAGTTCACGCTTCCTATGGGCTTCGTCGATCGACATATGTTACGATAGTGCACATCTCCATGTACTGAATCTAGTTAAAAAACCTATCTAGTTAGTCTCTGACGCGATACGTACTTGCGATGTTCGTTAGGGCCGAGCAGGTCGAACCGCAGTTCTGGGAGAATCTGGCAGTTAGGCGCATGTCTTAGACATACCTGTTCCTCCAACAAGTGCAGGCGCTTCTCAAGGGTGTTATCTAACTGGATCTTGCCATTCTTCGCCGTCATGAGCAAGCCGCCGGCACTGTCGTTATGCAAATATACGTACGCGTCCTTCGAAAGACCCTCCTTCACCTCGACCTTGGATACACGGCCAGTCGTCTTCTTGTAGCGCTCCAAAGCGGCATCGACGACCCCCTGAACAGTCTGAACATCAGTAGAGCGCACGATGCATTCCACAGTGGGCTCATGAAGGTTGAACAGCCCCTCCAAGAGCAAGTTCTCCAGAAGTTCCTTGTAGCTGTTGGCGTCCTTGCTAAGCTCACCCAGCTTGTCTTGCACGTCAGAGAACAAGTTCTGCAGGTTCTCTTCACGGGCCTTCAGAATCTCAAGACGAGCCTTATTACTTTGGTTCGACTTGGCGATCTTTTGGGACACCTCAACCTGCTTCTTCTTCTTTTCAAACTGTGCATCGAGGTTCATGCTCTCGTGGCGAACAATTCGAGCCTTTTCGATGGCAAATTCTTCATCTGCCTTGACCTGAATCTCACGAGCCTTTTCAACCGCCTCTTGACGGATGAAGGCTACCATCTTCTTAAGCTCGGTGATCACCTCCTCATCGTCCATGGCGCGCGACATGATTCAGTACGTCAGTTTGGTGGTCGGTGCGATAGTGTCCCGCACGGGAGACTAGTGTAGTGAAATACCTATTAGGTCCAACTGGGAACATGCACCTCCACCGTAGCCTCGTGACACCTACGGAGGCCGTCCTGATTCATGTTACTTTGCATGGAGCCTACATTGCCAGTCCTGCTATAGGCGACAGACCATAGCTACCATCCATCGAAATAATGAATAATTTTAAGCACAAGGTCCTATCTCAGGCTGCGCGAACAAAGTTACTGGCTTTAATGCTGGCCCGACTTGACTTCCGCAACGCGCGACGCTCCGAGCGTTCCTTGGCGAACCAGTCCGATGGTGTTTTGGGTACAGCTTCTTCAGCAGCTTTTTCCGTGGCTTTCAAAGCAGCGGCTCGCTGGGCGTCGGTCATCCTTTCTAGACGTTGCTTCTCCTTGGCTTCTAAAGCGGCTTGCTTCTTTGCTGCAGCACGCGCCATCTTGGCGCTGCGCTTCAAGGCCGAACGTGCTTCACCCTTAGACATACCTGTCGTATCGACGTCACCCACCATAAGGGCTTTGCTTTGATTAATTGCCGGATCGTCCAGCAGCTCGAACAGCCACTCTGGGTATTGATTGTCAGGCAAGGCCACAGGATCAGGCTTGTCCTTATAAATCGACAGACCTGTGAATACTGTGCCAGCGGGTGCTAGGGACGGGGCGTCTGATGCGTCAGTAGGCAACAGGGCACGCACCTGCTTTGCCGTTAGCATCCCCGTCTGTCTTGGAATGAACAGAGCAGATATTCATAAATTTCCATCGTGGTACCACAGGATAAGCAGCACGAAGGCCTACGCGGCCTGCGTGCCTAGTGCGCTGAAGCCATGACATATTGGCAGCGCTCCAAGACCATGCGCCTTGCGATGCTCGCTCCGCCGTCTTCATATCACGTGACCATATTGCGCGTTAGTGCCCCATGCGCGCCTTGTGTTGTTCGCCGGCGTTGACATTTCATGGCAGCGGCCCCTCGGAGACAGCGCTTGCCGACGTTGCTGGAGGTGCTACAGGGAAAGTCGGGTGCTCCTGTAGACTATCAATCGTTTTATGATTATTTACAGCTCTCATGGAATGAAGACGCCGTGGCCTTTTGGACCGAGGCACAGCGGCATGAAAAGCTGTGCGTGCAGTATATCACTCAGCATGGTCCAGCCCAAGCTCCGTCGTTGCACACCCATTTTCATGAGCTGATAAACAATGCGGAAATGGTATACAAGCGTTATTTGCTTAGTGGTGATCATGAGGTCCTATTTCCCCACGATGTACGGATAAAAATGCCTGCGCAATTTATGCCGACCAGCACCGAGCTGTTGCACATGTTTGAAGTGCCCAAGAAGTACGTGGACTATGCTGATGCAGCTACATTTATACTCGTCTGGAAACGGATATATACCCAGTCTTTTTACAAGATCATGCCTTCCACAACCTGACATCGTTTAGGCTGTATCTGCGACTTTTCGTGGGACTAATATTATTATGGGCTGGATTAAGCCTGGGTTACACATTTATATTTTTAGCGACGTCGCGCGTGCTCCGTCTCTGGGTATGTATTTTGCACTAATCCCAGGTCGTCTTGCCCTTCGCCCTGGCCATGTATATGCTGGTTTCGTATACATACGGTGTGGACCCCGTTTTGGCGTGCCTGGGACTATTCGAGTCCAAGCTGTTTCAAGTGCGCGCGATCCAAGAGCCAATCATAAAAGGGATGCACAGGCGTCATGCTACTGTGTGTGCTGCGCTCATGGTGGCCGGCACCGCCGCGTTTTCTGTTTTGTTTGTGCTTGTGCCCGGGCACCGCCTATGATGGGCTGCCCCTCAGTACAGCTAGGTGCCGCGCACGCCATGCATCCACATCCTGTCTCCTTATTTTCTCGCGCAGTGACACGGCTGTGTGGATCAGCTCATCGGCGCCAAACAAATGGGCCGTGCAGAACCGGAGGCGGTGGTAAAATGAGGCCGCAGTGCTTGTGGCCAGGAGAGATGGCGATGCCATCACCAGTATCGCATACGCGACGCGGAACAGTACAATGCTCCCATCGACCATGAGCAGATCCCACACACGGAACAGCGTCTCCATGGGCAAGCAAGAGGTAAACAGGGACAAGAACCATGTGTACGTGACTGCCGCCAATTCCACATGGAGCGCCTTCATATGTGCTGCTAGCTTGGGCTGGCCTCTGCGTACCATCTGGGTCAGTACCTGTTGGTCTGCTTGGGGCACTAGCATATCGGCCGCATAATACCCAGGCGGCAATACATGGTCGATGAGTCCCACAAATGTCCAAAAGGCATCTTCTTCGTTGCTGTATGTTAATAGTAGAATGGCCGCCAGGTTGTTCATCCCTTGGCAGTAGCCACATGTACGATTATACTGAGTATAAGCATGGAGGATGCGCCGGAGCTTAGCAACACCAGGGCCCTGGCTGCCAAAGAATAGGTTTGTGGGCATTGTGCGAGTGACATCTAAGTCAATCTGCTCGTCCATGGGTGGACGGCTGAGTAGCGCCTGGAACTCGCCCGGCTCAGCGCAGGTGTGTGCCTGCGAACCTTCCGACCAAATCGCTGGGCGGTACATCATCGGCACGCCCTGCTCGCACAACTGGAGAAATTGACGCCAGCGACGGTCTACTGGTGCACTTTTCCGATCGACCGAGCGGAACGACTGAAAGATCGTGTGCCACAGCGTCGCAGTCTCACGACCCACAACGGTCGGACCGGCGCAGCCTTCCACAAAGTTGTCCCACAAGTGCTGCCGCTCCTTTTGTTGTTCCTCGTACACGGTATGGACGCGCTGGAGGGTGGACATGTCGGCTGACTCTGAGGACATCGAGAGTTCGCTCCATGGTGCTGGTAGCGGCGCAACTGTGAGGTCGGTAGGCTCTGCCGCATGAGGGATGGTTTCCACCTGTCCAGCTTCCCCCTGAACGTGTTTTCTGTACTCTGACACGGTCATGCCATACACAAAACCGTACGGGTCGACAAAGACGGAATTGTCCACGTCGCGCCTGGCTCGCCACTTGAGCGGGGGTAAGGACGGCGGCGGACGGGCCTCGTCGGGGACCATGGGGGCCAATTCCACAAGAGGACCATGCGTGGACGGCTGTCTGCCAGGCGAGGACGGGGCTGAGCCAATATCCGGAGCGCGGTGCGTCGATAGGTCTTTGTCATCGTCTGGGCAAACTTGGTCCTGCGTGTGAGCCAGTGCCACAGCCCACTGGATGACCTGCTGCACAGGAGACTCGTCCACACAATGGTCCTCTGAAACACAGCCACTGTCCTCCGGCATTCCTGGCAGGGGCGAGATCGTGTCACTGAGTGCCTCGCGCAGCGTGGCTTCGATGGAACGACTGGCTGCGGGGAATAATGCCTGAGCAAAACAGGACAAGAGGGCACGCGTTGTACTGTCCTGATGATCTAGCCAAGATTTCACAGATGCCGCGTCGTTGGGTATATGTGCAATGGACAACCACTGCGCCGCGTCCGTACGGGCGAACAGGCTTTGCACGTGGAGCGGCGGAGGGGCAAGCGTCGCAGGCGCAGAAGCCACCTTGGGAGGATCGCTGGACTCCAAATACGGTCTCTCAGCATCTCTATCCCCATGGATCGAGAGTGGGTGGGCATCAACCGGCGCACGCGCCGCGCTGGCGTGCATGGAGCCCCGACGAACAAGGCGGTCAGGCCACGGGCGCCGTCGTTGCCTCCACATGGGTCCGCACCAGTGGAGCGGCCGCCCTGCTTTCCAACGGACGATGGCGGCGGTGGAGAGCCACTCGCCTGTAGGCGAGGACAAGCTCAGCATTGAGATGCTGGGTGCCGGCCAAGAAGTGGGACGGAGCTGCTGTGTGATTCGTTTTAAGGGTATGTGTGTCTGACTGACACTAGGTTTCACGGTCGTTTGTGATGCAGGTGGTGCGTAGTCGGCCGGCTGACGACGCAGTGCATCCCGCGTACACGGGCTTGACGGCGCTCCCCTTTATTGACAGTCTCGACTGGAGCACTGTGGATGCTCTGTTGATCACGCAGTGCGTGCCTTATACTCACACAGCTTCCATTTGGACCATGCGGCGGCGTTGACGTATGTGATGGAGAAGACCAACTTTTGCGAGGGCAAGGGCAAGGTGTACATGACGCACCCGACGAAGGCCATCTACCGCTTCCTCATGTCTGACTTTGTGCGCATTTCGAACGCTGGCTCGGATCGGATGCTGTTTGACGAGTCTGAAATGCTGGCTTCGTGGCGGCAGATCGAGGCTGTCGACTACCACCAAGAGGTGGTGGTGAGTGGCGGTCTGCGGTTCACGCCGTACCATGCTGGGCATGTTCTGGGTGCCTGCATGTTTATGATCGAGATGGCGGGCCTGCGTGTGCTGTACACGGGCGACTACAGCCGCGAAGAGGACCGGCACCTTGTCCAGGCCGAAGTGCCGCCGGTGCGGCCTGACGTGCTGATCTGTGAGAGCACGTACGGCACACAGAGTTTGGAGCCGCGACTGGACAAGGAGATGCGCTTCACGTCGCTCATCCACAGCATCATCAAGCGCGGCGGCCGCGTCCTGCTGCCAGTATTTGTCCTGGGCCGTGCACAAGAGCTGCTTCTCCTGCTGGACGAGTACTGGGAGGCGCACCCCGAGCTGCACTCTGTGCCGATTTACTATGCCTCGTCGCTTGCGCGCAAGTGCATGTCGATCTACCAGACCTACATCCACACGATGAACCAGCACATCCGCTCGCGCTTCCATCAGCGCGACAATCCATTTGTGTTCAAGCATGTGAGCAACCTGCGCAGCTTGGACAAGTTTGACGACAAAGGACCGTGCGTTATGATGGCCAGCCCCGGCTTTATGCAGAGTGGCATCTCGCGCGAGCTGCTCGAGCGCTGGGCGCCTGACAAGCGCAACGGTGTCATTGTAAGCGGCTACTCGGTCGAGGGCACCATGGCACGGGACATCCTGAGCGATCCCGACGAGATCATCGCGATGAACGGCCAGCGCATTCCGCGGCGCATGTCTGTTGACTACATCTCGTTCTCGGCTCATGTCGACTACACGCAAAACTCGCGCTTTATTGACGAGGTGAAGGCCAAGCACATTGTGCTGGTGCATGGCGAGCTGAAGAACATGAGCGGTCTGCGAGCCGCATTGCAGAGTCGCTACAGCGATCGCGACGAGGAGATCCACATTTACATGCCACGCAACTGCGATCCGCTGTACCTGTCGTTCCGCGCGGAGCGCACGGCGAAGGTGATCGGATCGCTGGCCTCGCATCCCCCGAAGACGAGTGAGCCTATCGATGGCCTGCTGGTAGCCAAGGACTTTTCCTACACAGTGCTCGCGCCGGAGGACCTGACTGAGTTTACCGGCCTCGGCACCACTACCATTGTGCAGCGGCAGCGCGTGGCACTGCATGTTGGCTGGGAGCTGGCGCGCTGGCACCTCGAGGGCATGTATGGGCGTGTCGACGAGGGCGTGGACGAGGCGGGCGTACGTTGCATGCGCGTGATGAACGTCGTCGATGTCAAGCTGCCACGAACGCACGAGCTGCTGCTCGAGTGGGAGTCGAGTGCCTCGAACGACATGGTAGCTGACTCGATCGTCGCACTGCTGCTCGGTATCGACAGCTGCCCGGCCTCAGTCAAGCGCACAATGCACGACCATGCATGTGCACACAGCGCGGGCGCCAAAGCGCCCAAGGATGTGCTTCCTGTCGAGTCGCTCATGGCCCTTCTGGAGGCGCACTTCGGCCCGGTGGAGATGGTGGATGTGGGACGGACCGCTGAGGCGGAGCCGGCCAGCATCGATGAGGGTGTGCCTGCGGAGCCGGCCGGGGCTTCCGAGCCAGCGGAGCCCTCTACCGCGGCCGAGACGTTGGACCCCGCTTCGGCGGAGCCCCATGCCCTGGAGCGCCTGCGCGCGCGGATCCCCGGCCCAGTGCGCCCTGCCCTTCATGTGTCGCTGGACGACGAGCCCGTGTTGGTGGACCTCGATGGCTTTGTCGTATACTGCGACACCGAGTCGTTGCAGCACCGCGTGGAACGGCTTGTGGCCATGGCTCAGTCAACGACGCAGTCCCTGGCGGACACGTTCCAGCTGGCGCCTGTGAACTCGGCTAGCCTGTTCCAGGGCGCGCACAGCGACGTGGCGCCCCTGCCCAAGATCGAAAGCGACCGAGATCCTGCATAGAGGCTAGATACCCGTCTACATGAGGCGCACTGTTCGCCGCTCGCGGTCGCCTGCGACCTGAACGACGCCTTCCGCCTCGAGCATGCGCAACGCCTCGCTAAGCTCGGGCATGTCGACGGCAATTGAGCTCTGCTCCCGGAAGGCACGCACAATCTCGGTCAGACGCACCGGACGCGATGTGCTGCCGCCTGCCCCGGCCAGCTGCGTCACAATGCCTAGCAGCTCAGTGCGCAGATCACCCGCCATGCGGCGCTGCTGCAGCGAGCGCCCTGTCGTCAGCAGGTCAAAGTCGATCAGGCCTGTCGTCGGGTCCGTCGCGCTGGACTTGGCCGCCTCACGGATCAGCCGATTGGCCTCTTCGACGTCGTCCGCGGTCACTACCGTAGACAGACGCATACGCGCATGCGCCTCGGACAGACGGATCATCGACTCGAGCTGGCGCGTCGTGGCCGTTATGCGCCGCTCCGCACTGCGTGGGTCCTCGCCGGCCTTGCGCAGCTCCACGTACCGGCGCGCCAGCAGATCGCTGGCCTCGGCCGTGAGCACCGGCGCTACATTGGCGCGCGCATACGACAGGTACGAGGTCAGCAGCTCGATCGGCACAATGTCCGTAGCCCTGCTCGCCGACGCTGGGGCATCCTCCAGGTAGAGGCTCACCAAATGCTTGGCGAGGCGGCGATCGTTCGCCTCGTCAATCTGGTCCAGCACCAGGTACACCAAGTCAAAGCGGCTAATGAGCGTCGGGGGCAGGTCAATATTCTTGGTGATTGGCAGACGCATATTGTACTTGGATCCGATCGGATTCGCGGCGGCCAGTACGGACGTCCGCGCATTGAGCGTTGTGATGATGCCGGCCTTGGCAATAGACACCGTCTGCTGCTCCATGACTTCATGCAGGACACTGCGGGTCGCGTCGTTCATCTTGTCAAACTCATCGATGCAGCACACACCGCCGTCTGACAGCACCAGCGCGCCACTCTCCAGCACGAGCTGCTTCGAGTCGGGGTCGCGCGTCACGTACGCTGTGAGACCCACGGCCGACGAGCCTTTGCCAGACACATAGACACCGCGTGGCGCAATCTTGTGGACGTACTGCAGCATCTGGCTCTTGGACGTGCCTGGGTCGCCCACAATGAGCACGTTAATGTCGCCGCGGTATCGCGGGCCGCCCAGGCCGCCACCCGTCGCGATCGACTTATTCGTACCACCAAAGAGCTGTAGCAGCACACCCTTCTTCATGTCGTCCATCTCGTAGATGCTCGGCGCGAGACTGCGCGCAAGCACGTCGTACACGTCGGGGCGCTCGGCCAGCCGCTGGATCTGCTGCTGCATCTCCTCCCCAGGCAGCAGTGCGAGACGCCCACTGGACGGCGGCGGGGCCGACGCCGGATCGCCCGTCCGGCCCATGCGCGCGTCGAACTCCTCGCCCTCGTCGTCGCCGCCAATACCGACAGAGCGCGCACTCATGGCATCGCGCGTCGAAGTGTCCAGCTGCAGACGCCGCGCACTGTTCAGACGCACATGCACCACGTCCAGGTACGTCTTAAACAGGCTCTTGAGAGTGCGCTGCCGCGGGTTGGCTCGCACGGGCACACCACGGAAGATGCCCGTCACCTCGACGCGGTCGCCAGGCTTGCACAGATCCACAAGCTCGTCGTACACACACAAGCTCAGCGTGTGCGGCGTTTGGCCATCCGGCACAACGTCCGGTGTCTCCTGGAGGCGGATCACCTGGCGGTCCGCAAACTCGCACCGATTGTGGATGAGTGAGAGCGAGCCCAGCTGGTTACACTGATCACGGGGACACCGCTGTGGCTCCGTAATGCGGCCACGATCAATTTCGACCTGCACTGTGTGGTGGCACACGAGACAGCGGAAGAACGCCACCTTCATGTCAGGGATAATCGGCGTAACGCGGATCACCAATCCGCGTACGGTCGTGAGCTTGTCAATGTCCGACGGGTTCAGGTCGCGCATATTCGTCGATGTGCCGCCGTAGGGACGCACCGCGTACACCAGACTTTCGATCATGTCGCTGCGCTCGCGCAGCATCTCCACCTCGGCCTCGTCCACACTTGAGCGCAGGTCTTCATCCGTGATCACCAGCAGCTGGTTCTTTAGCACCGTATCAAAGATCGGGACCACCTCCTGGGGGTACCGGATCAGCTGCAGTGCCAGTTTCCGCGACGGAGGGAACGCCGCCAGATCCGCAATTCGCAGATTCAGATTTGTCTGGTCCGTGTCGCGCATTTGCCGAAGATAGTCTTCGTAGAGAAGCAGCTCGCCATCCGTGTTGGGTGTGCGCGCCTGGGGCAGCCCATGCGTCCGCGCATATGCCCAGCGGTACTTGAGGCGGAAGCCGCGCAAGAATGCCTGGAAAAGATCCATCGTCTCACCGACAGAGACGTTCGTGCCCCAAATGACCTTCGGCGCGTGGCCACCCGACAAGGCCGTCGCGTCGGCCTCTGAGCTTGCGTGCGAAAAGAGCAGCTCCTCGCTCGCCTGCGAGGCACGCGGCGTCTCGATGCCACTGCTTAAAATGGGCTGGTGCATGCGGCGCTGCCAGGGCGAGTGCGCGCCGGCGGACGAGTGGATGTCGCCTCGCCGGCTGCGCCGCGGCGTGGAGCTGGTCGATCTGGGTGAGCTTCGCACGGACGTACGGAGGGAAAAAGAGGGGCTCCGAGTCACCTGAATGGCTCGATGTCGCAAATCCATCGTGCGCACGCCGGGCCGTGGGCGTACGCTGGGATCGCAGCGATGCGCCTGGCGACGACGTCGGAAAATGCAGCGGCGACCCGCCAGCCGAGGACGACGAAGTAAAGCGCGGCGCAGGGGCATGCACATGCGCGGGACTGCTAGATGGAATACCCAGTGACGATGCGTCCTGCGCATCGCGGCTACTACGCTGGGAGCCTGGCGACGACGCACCCGGCTGCGACATGTCTCTGGACCGAAGCGCGTCAGGACCGCGCGGACGACCGCGACGCAGGGTCTGCCCGATCGAGTCACGTGCATGAAACGTCGCGCGTGCTAGGTGTGTTGGTCGGATCCCCCGACGACACGGCGTGCGGACATGGCGGCGCAAGCAGTGGCGCAGCAGGCGCCGACGCGCACGCATCTCACGCTCAAGGGATCTACGGCCCTCGTGCATGAATTCTTCAACTACTCGGTGCAGAGCATCTTGTATCAGCGATCGATCTACCCGTCTGAGGACTTTCGCACGGTGAAGAAGTTTGGGCTACAGATGCTCGCGACCACCGATGACGACTTGGCCGACTATCTGGATCGCGCCATGGGGCAGCTTAAAAAGTGGCTCGAGCAGGGCAAGGTCCGTCGTCTTGTCGTTGCGATTGTCGAAAAAGAATCCCAGGAAACGGTCGAGCGCTGGCAGTTTGACGTAGAGGTGCTCCGCCCCGGCACCGACGAAGCACCGACGTACGCATGGCACGCTGACAGCAGCGCGGGCAATGATGCGCAGGTCCCTAAGAGTCTGCAAAAGACCGACGCGCAGGTCAAGGCGGAGATTGCAGCCATTATCAAGCAGATCACGGCGAGCTGCACATTCCTGCCGGTTCTCGAGGAGCCATGTACGTGTCAGTTGCTGATTCAGGCGCCTTTCAGATCCTTGCATACACGGACCGCGACATTGAGGTGCCCGTCGAGTGGGCTGACTCGAACGCGCGGCTCATCGCCGAGGGCAAGGCGGAGCAGGTCAAGCTGCGCAGCTTCTCGACGCATGTCCACCGCGTGGATGCTATGGTCGCGTACAAACGCGAAGACGAAGACGTTTAAAATAGTCATGTTGCTGCTGTACACTATACCATTACATGCCGCGCACGGGCTCGTCGTCTTCCTTGCCATCCGCGCGCTCGGGGATGCACGCAAGGGTCTCACGGCGCCCGAGCACGCTCCAGCTTGGGAGCCACCGCGGATCAATCTGCGACCACACTGCATTCTCGCCGAAGAGCTCAATGAATTCCTGGTCCATGCTGCGCGACTTGGGAAAACTGAAGCGCCGGTACTCGTCAAAGATCGTCGTGAGCGACCACTGCTGGAGCTTGCGCAGGCATCCGATGAGGCAGCCTGTGCGGTGCTTTCCTTTGTTGCAGTGGATGAGCATGGGGTGGTTCCGCCGGTCCAGGATGGTGATGAGCGCCGCGGCAATCGTCTCGCTAGGAACTGCCGGTCAGCCAGGCAACCTACTCTGAACAAATGGCTCCTTGTTGCCAGGAATGCCGTACTGGAAGAACCGGATACCATTCTCGTCGAGAAATTGGATATTTTGCTCGGGATAGTCCTCGAGAATCAGCGTGAGGACACTGCGCAGCCCCAGCGTCTTGAGGAACGGAAAGTGCTTCTTTTTGGGAAAGCTGCTCCGGTACACCCACGAGTTGACCATCGCAAAGTTGTCCGGTGGAATCAGCTCTGCGTCGCCAGCTCTCTCGAGGTCATTAGGCGTGCGGCTCAGGGGGCTGTCGAGCTCGTCGTGGGCCCTGGGACGCTGGGCGCCCGCGTTGTCGATGCCGCTGCCTGACACTGATTTCTCGTCCAAGATGCGGTGCAGAAACTGCAGGTGCCCGGGGGGCGCTGGTACCAGTGCCTGTGCATCAGGCATGCGGCACAGCAGGGCCGTGCAGTCCATCGGCACCTCAGGCCCAGCAGGCTCGACCATGCTGCTCCGCCTGGGCGCGTCGCGGTGGAGGGCCGCCGGCGGGGCTACCGGGGCCACCACGTGAGTTCGGCCGAGACGACCGGTGGTCCGCCGAGCCCCGTGACTGGCCGCGGCGCCGCGGCCTGTTTGGTCTCCTGCTCAACCCGACCGGCGGCGGCGTCCTGTACCTGACTCTCCGGCCATGAACTCGATCTTCCGCCAGATGATCCCGCAGGCTACGCGCCTCGTGCGCCAGCCTGTGCGCGGCTATGCCACTACCCCGAACGCTGCCAAGGGCCTCGCTGAGCGCGCCCAGCAGCTCGGCCTCTCGGTGGCCAAGGCCGCCGAGCGTGCGCTGGGCTCGTACGCGGAGCCGATTGTGTACAACCTCAAGGTGGCCGGCTCGCTCGCGAAGCAGGTCTACATTGCTGAGAAGCTGGCTCCCCCAACGTCGGTGAGGCAGGTCGTCGCTGCGTACCGCCAGATCTGGGCGACCGTGTCGAACCCGTCGTGGTGGACGCACTCGCTCCCGTCGGGTGACTGGCGCAAGGTCGCGGTGTACGGCGTGGAGGCGATCGGCATCTTTTCGATTGGCGAGATTGTACGTGTGGAACGCTCACATCAGATCGGCAAGCGCAGGATTGTGGGCTACAAGATTCGCGAGTGCGAGTCGGAGAAGCACCACCACTAAGCGATAGAGCGTCTATGCCGGCTAGGCGGCCTTGGCGTGCGCCGTTCGCGGCGCTGGTAGCAACCGGGCGGTGCGCACGACCATGTCGATGCACAGCAGGCCAGGAATCACCATGAACGGCACGTAGTTTCTGCGTGAGTCCTCGCTACGCACTGCAGAAGGAAGCGCACGTGGGCACTCGACAGCAGCTGCCGCTCCTCGCCGACAGTGACCATCGCGATGCACTGCAGCGTCGTAAAGCAAGCTGCGTGAGTGGAGCAGCGTACCGATCGCGCCGTAGGCTACCAGCACCGGGTAGGCGCGCTTGTCGTCTAAGTCAGCCGGCGCAACGCACTTGTCCACAGCGCATACAGGCCCAGCACGAACGCAGGCACCTGCAGCACAAACTCGCTTAGCAGCGCCATGCGCATCCACGCGTACCGCGGCGCCCACGCATGCGGAAGGAGCGGGTCCGCGCTCCGCTCCAGGTAGTCTGCATCAGCGCACCACACGTACCGGCGAGCACGTCGCGGAACACGGCCGGCACGAAGCGAGCCGGCACGAGGCCCTGGACTAGCGGTCAGCCGCGCTCACGCACTATCAACACAAAGACTCGCAATGAGATGCAGCGCAAAGAAGGCAAAATAGAACGCGTCTACGGGGCGCTTCCACAGCGGCGGGGCCGGCGTCATGGTGGTAGGTCAGGCCTCCACCGGGCCCCTAGCGGCGCCCGTCGGCCGTGCTTGCGAGGCGGTCGGTGCGTGCGGCCATGATGTAGTCGTTCTCATGCAGCTGGCGTCAGATGCGCGTACGTACGCCTTCGAGTGCGTGGCTCCACCACCACACGGCGACGCTGCCCCACTCGAGCAGGAGCGCGGGGTGGTGGCCCTGGGCGTCGGCGGCCTCGCCGACGGCCTGTGTGAACGCGGCCGCGGTCGCAAAGTTACGGAAGCGGTACACCTTGTGCAGCGCAGGCGGCAGGGGCGATGCCGTCGCGTGCGCAGGAGGCTGCGGCCGCAGCGCCCAGCCGGGCTCGAGCTCGCTGAGCTTGGCGGTCGCGTCCGCCTCACTGAGCCGCTGCAGGCCGAGCTCGCGGATCGCCTTCTTCGAGCATGGCACGCAGTGTGCGTCGGCTAGATGCGTCGACATGTATCGGCAGAAGGCAGCACGCACGGGGATCGAGCTGGGTCGGGCACGCAGCGCGGACACGGACATGCAGGACACGGTCGGACCGCGCGCTCCACACGCCCACCATGTCGTATTTTCTGACGCACCTGCCGACGGGTACGTGGCGCGGCTAACCGCAGGGTGGCATGTCGACCAGGCGATTTTGTCGGAGGAAGACCGCGTGGTCGTTCTGCGCTTTGGGCATGACTGGGTGCGTCGCCGCCGCTGACACCAGGACGAAACGTGCATGAAGATGGACGAGACGCTCTTTGGCGTCGCGGAGCGCGTGAAGAATTTCGCGGTGGTGTACCTGGTCGATACGACGCAGGTGCCCGATTTTAACAAGATGTACGAGCTGTACGACGCGTGCACGGTCATGTTCTTCTTCCGCAACAAGCACATTATGATTGACCTGGGCACGGGCAATAACAATAAAATGTGCGTGCCTGCGACTGACGCAGCAACTGGGCCATCGACAGCAAGCAGGAGATGATCGATATCATCGAGACCGTGTACCGCGGCGCGTCCAAGGGCCGCGGTCTGGTCATCAGCCCCAAGGGTGCGTGGCGCCGGCGCTCACACAGACTACTCGACGCGCTACCAGTACTAGACGTCCCAGGCGTCGTCCACCCACTCCTCGTCGGTGCCCGGCTCCGCAGCGTCCATGGGCTCTGTGCCATACGCATCGCTCAGCCGCTCGAGCGTCTCGCGCAGCTCGAGCACTGCATCGCGGTCCATACCCTCGTCCAGGCCGTACGCAGCCAGCGGCGCGTGGCCCTCCAGCACCTCGACCACCCAGGCGCGTGCGCGCGCGACGATCGCGAGCGTGTCGGGCGACGCACGCAGCGACGCAACGCAGGGCATCGACGTCACCGCCGACGGCTGCGTTGCGTCAGCGCCAGGGAGCGCGCGGCCCGCGGATGTGAGGCCGTACAAGTAGTCGGGGTACGGCCGCTCGGTAGGATACGCCAGCGGCACAAAGGTCCTGGCGTCAGTAGGCACTACGCACCGCGTCGCCCAGGGCGGCTGCTCGGCCTGCCACGCGGCGAGTGCGCGCATCGTCGGCGCCTCCGCGTGGGCATCGGCATCGCGCGCCACGATCGCCTCAGCGTACGGCACGGCGACGGGCGCTGCCGCCAGCTGAGCGTCGGCGCCGTACGCGAGCGACCGATCCCACCATGCCGCAGCGAGGGCGCCCCGGCCGTCCAAGCTCGGCGCCGGCGCCGGCGGCTGGGGCGCCGCGTAGCCGCGCGCCGCGAGCATCGCATCCACCAGGGCATCCACGTCGGCTCTCGGCGCAACGGGGGCGAGCAAGGGCGTCGGCATACAGCCGCCCAGCTGCACAATCGGCGTGTCGCCGCGCCACGCGAGGCGCGCGCGCAGTGTCGCCATGCTCTCGGTGCGCTGCACGAGGCTGGGTGAGTCGCATGCACGTACCGCGTCGGCAGCGTCGCCGTCTCCCACAAGGTCGCCACGACGGCCGCGGCGTGATGCATATCGTCCCACGCCGGCCGCACACACGCGCGTGGTTGTGCGGCGCCGTGCAGGTGCACAGGCACCACAAGATGCGCATGCTCCGCGGCGTGCGTGAGCGCCAGCACCTCGTTCATCGCCGCGACGCGCGCGTGGGGCGCCGGCATGGCGCGCGCTAGGAGCGTCGCGTGGCGCTCTGTCTTGGGGTATTCGTCGGCCAAGAGGCCAAGGTACGCGCTGGCGATGCCGCTAAATGCATCCGACGCGCTCGCAGCGACCTGGAACCCTTGCATCAGGTCGCTATCCTCTGCGAGCCAGCGCACCTGCTCCTCCATCACGCGCTGCTCGCCCTCCATGGCGTGCGCGACGCGCACGCCGTCCGCAAACGAGCACGGCGCCGGACTCGCCGAGTCCGCATCGGGCGCCGCGAGGAACGAGCTGCCATACAGCGCGGGCGCGGCCACCGCCACCTGCGAGCGCGGGTGGAAGAGCACGGACGCATAGTCCGACCAGTAGCGCGGGCGCCCGCGCCGCCGCTCCGCTGCGGCGCCGAGGTCGGTCCACTCGCTTGGCACGACGCGCTCCGCGGTAGGCACCGTCTCGCACTCAGCCTCCTCGTCCCCCGTGGCGTACAGCTCGTTGATGCGCGCCATGGCGCCAAACTCGCTCCGCACATCGAAGAGCAGCGCACGCGGCGTGTACGTATCGAGGCCGTCGGTGCCCTGGCCCGCGCGGAACGACACATCATGCTCGACCACGGGCGGCGGCGCCTGCGCCGAAAAGTCAAAGTAGGCCTGCTGCGCATTCCAAAAGTGCATGGACGCCGCATTGGCCGCCGCGCCCAGCGACAGGTACACCGTCTCCTGGGGCCGCATGGAGTGTGGAGGCGGCGAGCGTCGGGCCCTCCGACCATGGCCGCCGAGTGGCACCGGCTGGGCGAGACGTACTACCGGCGCACGCGGCTGTACGAGCTGCCGTGGCCGAGTGAGCGACTTGAACAGGCACTTGTGGCGGCCTCCAGCGATGGCGGCCTCCTCGCGATGGCGCGCGATCCGCGGCAGCTCGTCGCGCTGGGCGAGGCTGGCGCGATCGAGCCCCAGATCCACGTGTACACCGGCGCGGGCCAGCTGCTCGAGACGCTCCCGCTCGACACGTCGTCGCAGCTCGTCGCGCTGGGCTTCTCATGGCGCGACGACCTCGTCACTGTGATGGACGACGGGCATGTCCGCGTGTGCTCCCTGCTCGTGCCGTGCCCCCGTGGCGACGCCGTGCGCCAGCCGGCGACGCCCAGCTCGCACTATGTGCCCCTGTCGCTCGGCATAGAGGCGGCCGATACAGGCGTCGCTGCGGCGCTCGTGTGTGCGGACCGCGTGTGGGCGCTGCTGCGCAGCGGCGCGATCGTCGAGGCGCCCCTTCCCACGTCACCGTCCACCGACTCGATCTGGACGCAAAAGACGCGCGCAGAGCCGCCGCGCGTGCACGCACCGCTCGCAGTGCCCCCGAGCCCACGGCGCCTCGTCGCCTGGGCGCCCGCGCGCCCTGCCGGCCTGCTCCTGGCGACCGAGCAGCGCGTCTGGGCCCTCGATGCGCGCGGCTACCGCGAGCTGCCACACACCGACGGCCCATACAGCGCCGTGCGGCCAAGCCCGAATGGCCAGCTGCTCGCGCTGCTCGCCTCGCACGAGGTGCGCGTCGTGCGCGCCGACGGCACGCAGCTGCGCGCATGGGACGTGCGGCAGAGCGAGGCGTACCAGCGTGCCCGGCCCATGCCGCGCGTGCCTGAACTGCTCGATGAAACGGCCATGCCATCGGTGGCCCACGAACGCGGCGGGCTGGGCGGCACCGGGCTGTGCGCGATCGAGTGGTGCGGCGACAATGTCGTCGCGCTCGCGTGGCCCGGCGAGGTGCTGCTCCTCGGCCCGTACGACGAGCCGGTGCACCTGGCGGTGCACGGCGTGCCGTTCCTGTACAGCGACGCCGCAGGCGTGCGCATCGTCGATGCGCACGCGCACGACCATGTGGCGCGCGTCGCAAGCAGCACGGCGCATGCGCTGCGAGCGGGCTCCACGCACGTCGCGGCGCTCCTCGTCGAGGCCGCGCGCATCGCGCCGACGGAGTGCGCGCGCGCGTACGAGGCAGTGCGTGCGATGGGCGCAGACCTTGCGCTGGCCGTCGAGACGTGCCTGGACGCTGCGTCGCACGAGTGGGACACAGACACGCAGCGCCCCCTCCTCCAGGCCGCGCTGTTCGGCCAGACGTGGCTCGACGCGCCGGACCCCGCGCGCTTGGTCCAGGTGTCGCGCACGCTGCGTGTGCTGCATGCCGTGCGCGCGCCGACGGTCGGTGTGCCGGCCAGCTACGACGAGGACGCGGTGGGCGTGTGGCTGTACCGCCTCGCCGCGCGCGCGCAGCATGGACGAGCCGTGGCGATTTGCGAGGCGCTCCATCTCAAAGCTGACGCAGTGCTCCTGCACTGGGCGCGCGTGTACATGGCGCGCATCCGCGCCACGGACGACGACGAAAGCGTCGCGCAGACGATCATCGCGCGCTTCCAGCGTGCGCGCACCCTGCGCTATGCGGACATCGCTATGACCGCCTGGCAGGCGGGGCGCCCGCGCGTCGCGACGCGCCTGCTCGAGCACGAGCTGCGTGCTGTCGACCAGGTGCCGCTCCTCCTCCAGATGCACGAGCACCGCCCCGCCCTCGCGCGCGCCGTCGAGAGCGGCGACACGGACCTGGTGTACCACGTGCTGTTCACGCTGCAGCGGCACCTCTCGCGCGCCGCGTTCCTGGACGTGGTGCAAACGGCCGACGTGCGCGACACCGAGTGGGACACGCACACGGTCGGGCTCCGCCCGTCGGCGCGCCCGGCGTACGTGGCGCTCGCCGCGCACCTCCTCGAGACGTATGCGCGCGAGCAGGACGAGGGTCTGTTGCGCGACTATTATTTCCAGGACGATCGGCACAGCGACCTGGCGCTGCAGTGTGTGGCCCAGGCGTATGCAGTGCCCGCGAGCGAGCGCGGCGAGGCCCTGCGGCGTGCGCAGCAGCACTTTGGCGACGATCGCGCGTGCGCGAGCGAGGCGCGGCTCACGGGCGAGGCATGCGCGCTGCTGGCCGTGCAGACCACGCTGGCTGCCGAGCTGGCTGCGCTGGGTGTGCGCCCGACGCCGGGCGTCGTCGGCCGCTCGCTCTACGATACCATCGCGCTGTGTGTCGCGCACGGGCTGCCGCGGCGCGCTGAGCGCCTCCAGCACGAGTTCCGCGTGCCGGACGCGCGCTACTTTGCGATCCAGATGCGCGCGCTCATTGCGCAGGGCGATCTGGCCGCGCTGTGGCGCGTCGCGACGCAGCGGCGCCCGCCGGGCGGCTACGAGCCCGTGGTCAGTGCGCTGCTGCATGCGGGGCACGTCGAGGAGGCATGCCGCTACGTGGCCAAGGGCGCCAGCGACAAGGCAAGTCGAACGAGGATTCTGTACGTACAACACACTTACCCAGCGCACTGCTCGACCGGTGCACGGATGCGGCGGTGCGCGAGCGGCTGCAGGCGGCTCTGTCCTAGATACCCTGGCGGCGCGCCGCGAAGCCCGCGGGCAGCAGGCCCGGCGCCTCTTTTTCGCCACGCTCGATGGCATCCAGCGTGGACAGCAGATCGTAGTTGATCTCGTCGCTCACGACCGAGTCGTGGCGGTATGCCGCGTGGCTGCGCACAAACTGCCGGATGTACGCGGCATTCGTCATGAGCCGGCCGTCCGCCCGCGCGCCGACTAGGTCGAGGTACTCGTCCAGTGCAGCGCGCTGCGCGGCCTCGAGCGGCTGCGTGTCGAGGTAGCGGCGCACGAGCGGCAGCAGTCCCGGCAGGTCGTCCGTGCCGTGGAAGAGCTCGGCGAGCGTGTACTCGTGCGTCGCCGGCGCATCGCCGCGGCGGAAGTGGAAGCGCTGCGTGTGGACCGCGTCTCGCCGCTGCGCGCGCTGCAGGTTCTCGTCCACGAGCGAGATGGGCATGTACCAATCGACGCCGAGCTCCAGAATCACGCGCGTGAGCAGCGCGATGCACACGCTGAACGCCGCATTCTCAAAGTCGGTCAGCTGGATCTCCATCGGGCGGAACTCGACGCGCCACCCGATCGAGTCGCCCGGTGGCGGCGGCTTGAACCGCATCGTCTGCCAGTTGGTCGACTGCAGGTTCTCAAAGTGGTCGACCGACGTCGTGTCGTCCAGGTCCACGTTCTCGGAAAAGATCACCAGCGGGTCACGCACGAAGAGGTGCCCCACATGCGCGGCCAGCACCGCGTCGACGCCCGCCTCCCGCAGGCGCTGCTCGACGCCCTCGTTCACCTCGAGCGGCACGTCGTTGCACGCGCGCGCGGCGTCGTTCGCCCCCAGATACGAGTCGACCGAGCCGTAGCGGCTCTTGCGCAGGCGCCGCGCCTGCGTGTTGGAGTTGTGTGCGCCGGGCGTGCCCGCCGCCGCGAGGGGCGCCTCGCCCCGCTCCGCAGGCGTGCGGTCGTCGACCGCTGCGCTGATCACGTCCCAGCGCGCGTCTACGTCCCCGAGGTAGCCGCGGTACGTAGGGCTCGCGGCACTCGCCGCGAGGAACAGCGGCGTGAGCGGCACGAGCTGGTCGTACAGCTTGCGCGCCTCGTCCATCGACGCCGCCTGGAACGTCACTTGCAGGCAGCAGCAGCCCATGCCAAAGCCCATGGCGTCCATGTAGATGTGGTCCGCCCATGCAGCGCCCTCTCGCGCCTCGCTGTCCTCGGCGAAGAGGTCGCGCTCCCACGGGATCGTCGGGTCCACGAACGGCCTCGGCGTGTGGGTGTCGCGGAAGATGGGCACGTTGATGCGCACCTTGGACCCGCGGCGCTGCCGGATGTTGGCCGTGAGCGTGGGGAAGCGCACGTGGGTGTTGATGATCTCGTCCGGGAGGAAGAGCGAGTGGCTCGCCGTGCCGTGCGCCTCGTGCGGCGGATCGGTGAACGCCGTATCGGTGACGCCGAGCCGCGGGAACGACCCAATCGTCATCGGCACCTCGTTCGGGCGCAGCCGCTCACGCGTAAGTCGCCGGCGCACGAGCATATCGCGCTCTACACGCAGCAGCTCGTCCGCACTCACGCCGAACGGCCGGCCGGGCGTGCTCTCGATCATGTACCGACCGTACTCGGGGTGGAACGTCGGCAGATCCGCCGAAGAGGCACCCGGCACATCAGCGCCACGGCACTGCGCAAGCCGCTGCAGAATCTCGCCCTGGCGCAGCGACAAGCGCGCCGTTTTCTGCTCGGGATCCAGCGCCACGACCATGTACTCGAGCTCGTCGCCCCAGAGCGGCGCATCGCCGTGCCGCTCCCTCAGGCGGCGCCATATCGCGAGAAACTGCTCTATGCCGTGCACTCGAACGTGCTCCGATAGCTCGCGCGCATCCGGCCACGCCAGCGGCGTTCCGAGCGACAGCAGGCCCATGCCGGTGTCGCGGGCGGGGGCGAGCTCGACGGGCGCCGCGGCCGCGGCTGGGGACCTCCACACGACACCGCTTATTTCCGGGCGAGCGTCGAACGCCGCGGACGACGGGCTCGCCGCATGCCGGCGTCGGCGCACGCGCACGAGACGCCGCGAGCTGAGATCTACGTTGACGGGCGTATCGCCGCTGCGACGCTTGTAGGCGCCCTCGCCCTCGTCGTGTACCTTCTCTGGGGCACACACATGCTCCGCCCCTGGGACCCCCTGCGCCTCTTTCGCCCGGCGCCGCGGCCCCGCCGAGCGCCGCGCTCTGACCTGCCGGACGACGCGAGTGCGCGCGCGCTTGAGCGCACGCCATCCCATGCCGCGCCCTACTACTGCGGCCTTGTCAATCCGAACGTGTACTGCTTCTTCAACAGTGTCGTGCAGTGCCTCGGCAGCCTCACGCTCCTCGCCCACTACCTCGATGATACCACGCGCATGGCCGAGCACTGGAACGTGCCTACCCCCGTCACGGATGCGCTGCGCGCACTCCTGGTGGCCCTCAATACGCCCTATGCGAATCGCCGTGTCCTCGTGCCGCGCGAGCTGCAGGCGGCGCTCGCGCGCGTCTCGCAGTCCAATGGTCTCCGGACGCTGCTCGGCGCGCACCAGCAGCAGGACGCACACGAGCTCTGCGTCCTCCTTGTGCATGCACTCGACGAAGAGCTCGGCGCCGTGCAGCACACGCGCTCCCAGGCCCTGCGCACGGAAGCCGCCGGTCTCAGCGGCCTGGTGGCCCCGTCGCACCTCGTGCATGGACAGCCCCGCACGCAGCTCGGCGGACCGGGCGAGCGCGTCGCGTCGCCGTTTCGCGGCACGCTCGCGCAGCGCACCGCCTGCGGCCAGTGCGGCTACATGGAGGCTGTGCGCCACTTCTCGTTCACGGACCTGGACCTCGTGGTGCCCGGCTCCGCATGCACCCTCGAGCAGTGCCTCGCGGCGTGGTCCCAGCTCGAGCAGATCGACTGGACGTGCCACCGATGCAGCCTGCGCGCCACGGACGCGTCCCTCGGCGCAGAGGTGGCGCGCCTTGAGGCCATGCCACCGACCGCGCGCACCGCACGCCGCCTCGCGCGCGTGCGCCAGCAGCGGCAGCGCGTTGCAGCCGCGCTCCGCTCTGGCGCGCACGAGAGTGAGTGGGAGGCTACACATGCCGCAGATCCCCTGCCGCACGTACGTGCACTGAGTCCGGCCGCCACAAAGCAGGTGCTGCTGGCCGCGCCACCGCCGGTGCTGGTGCTGCACCTGAACCGCTCATCCTTCTCGCTGGGCGCGTATGGCGCTAGCAAGAACCACGCGCGCGTTGTGTTCCGCGAGTGGCTGGACGTGACGCCATTTACGACGGGCGCCGCGCTGCACACGGAAGCGTTCCGTCCGCTGTCCACGAGGGGCGCGCGCGGCTCGGTGCGCTACCAGCTGCGCGGGGTCGTCACGCACTACGGCTCGCATAACTACGGGCACTATGTGTGCTTTCGGCGGCGGCCGGACCGTACGTGGACGCGCATCTCGGACGAGCAGGTGCAAGCGTGCACACTCGACGACGTGCTTGCGCAGAATCCGTACCTGCTCATGTACGAGCGCGCCGATGCAGTCGCGCGCGCGGGCGACATACACGAGCAGCCCCTTGTACCTGTACGGCGTGCCCGTGTCCTGCACCGCTGGGACACGGGCGCCGCCCATGTAGCGGCCCACGCTTAGACGCCGAGCTTGCGCTCCATAGCCGCATGGATATCCCGGGTCTCGCCATGTGCATCCGCTGTGGGTCAGAGACGTGGACGTACATGGAAGAAAGTCGATCGGGTCGAGCGTCTCGTCGCGGCCATCGAGGATGTCCAGGTGCACGTTGGCGACGCGGCGCGCTGGCATGTGCGGGGTATGCGAGACGATCTTGCGCTCCATCATCGTGCGCATGGGCATACCGAGCCCGAATGTGTTGCGCTGCATTGTGAGCTTCCACTGGCGCTGCGTCTCGTCCCAGCTTTCCAGGCGGTGCTGCAGGGGGTGGCTGGCGCCAGCGGCGGTCTCGTCGTGCAGGCTCCGCAGGCCATGGCGCATCGCATCGTGCACGCCATGCTCGGGATGCAGGGTCGATGTCTGGGTATGCACATGTGCCGCCTGCGCCGGCGGCACAATCGCCAGCGAGGCAGAGGGACCAGCAGCACTCGGCATGAGGTGGCGGAGCGGTGCAGCGACGCGTCGGCGCCGGGTGATCAGCCACGTGGCTCAAAACCTGCCACCGCCGCCCCCTCTTTTTTTTGCGACCGATGGGCCAGCGCCGCACAGGCACAAAAACGGCGCCGCGCACGGCACCGGAGGCGGACGCGCCCGCGCGTACTCCAGCGCCGCCGCGCGCAGACAAGCGAGCACGCACGGCTGAGCCAGCGCCCGTCGTCACGGATGAGTTTACCGCCGAGTCGACCCGCGAGGTGCCTGTCGCCCCCGGCGACACGGCGCCAGATGCCGCGGCGAGCGAGGCTATCGTAAAGCTTTCGCACTCAGTGCGGCACCAGGTGGCGATCCCGCCGGGCTACGACTATGTGCCGCTGTCCAAGCATGTGCCGAACGACCCACCAGCGCGGTCGTGGCCCTTTGAGCTCGATCCGTTCCAGCGCACGTCCGTGTACTGTATCGAGCGTGGCGAAAGTGTGCTCGTGAGTGCACACACGTCAGCCGGTAAGACGATTGTGGCCGAGTACGCGATTGCGCAGGCGCTGCGCGATGGCCAGCGAGTCGTGTACACGTCGCCCATCAAGGCCCTGTCTAACCAAAAGTACCGTGAGTTTGCCGCCGAGTTCAACGATGTCGGCCTGATGACGGGTGACGTGACGATCAATCCCAGTGCGTCGTGCCTGGTGATGACGACCGAGATTCTGCGCTCCATGCTGTACCGCGGCTCGGAGATTATGCGCGAAGTCGCGTGGGTCGTCTTTGACGAGATCCACTACATGCGCGACAAGGAGCGCGGCGTCGTGTGGGAAGAGACGATCATTCTTCTGCCGCGCAAGGTGCACTATGTGTTCCTCTCGGCCACGATCCCGAATGCGATGCAGTTTGCCGAGTGGATTTCGAATATCCACGCGCAGCCGTGCCACGTCGTGTACACCGATTTCCGCCCGACGCCGCTGCAGCACTACCTGTTCCCCCAGGGCGGGCAGGGCATCCACCTCGTTGTCGACGAGAAGGGCGTGTTCCGCGAAGACAACTTCCAAAAGGCCATGGGTGCGCTCGCAAGCGCCTCAGGCGAGGACCCCAGCAGTGCGGACGCGGGCCGCGGGCGCAAGGGCGAGACGAAGAAGGGCGGCACGTCCGGCCCGTCGGACATTTACAAGATCGTCAAGATGATCATGGTGAAGCGGTACAACCCCGTGATTGTGTTTGCGTTCAGCAAGCGGCAGTGCGAGGCGCTTGCGCTGCAGATGAGCAAGCTCGAGTTCAATACGGACGAGGAGCGCGACATGGTGCAGACCGTGTTCACCAATGCCATCGACGCGCTAAGCCCTGAGGACCGCGCGCTGCCGCAGATTGAGCACATCCTCCCACTGCTGCGCCGCGGCATCGGCATCCACCATGGCGGACTGCTGCCGATTCTCAAGGAGGTCATTGAGATTCTGTTCCAAAAGGGCCTGCTCAAAGTGCTCTTTGCGACAGAGACATTTAGTATTGGCCTCAACATGCCCGCGCGCACCGTCGTGTTCACCGCCGTGCAAAAGTGGGACGGCAACGAGTTCCGCCACCTGACGTCGGGCGAGTTTATCCAGATGAGTGGGCGCGCTGGACGCCGTGGTCTTGACGATCGCGGTATCGTGATCATGATGTTCGACCAGAAGCTGGACCCGGCCGCCGCCAAGACCATGGTCAAGGGCGAGGCCGACTGGCTCCACAGCGCCTTCCACCTCGGCTACAATATGGTGCTCAACCTCATGCGCGTGGAGGGCGTGTCGCCCGAGTCGATGCTAACGAGCAGCTTCTTCCAATTTCAGAACGCGGCGTCTGTGCCGGCGCTGGAGCAGAAGCTGGCCGATACCGAGGCGGAGCGCGACGCGATTGAGGTGCCGGACGAAGAGGCGATCGGCACCTACTATACCATGAAGAAGACGCTACAGCAGCTCGACGAGGACCGCCGCGAGGTGCAGCGGCACCCCAGCTATGCCCTCCCGTTCCTGCAGGCAGGTCGCCTCGTGCAGGTGTCGGCGCCCGAGCGCGACTTTGGCTGGGGCGTCGTCGTCTCGTACCAGAAGCGCGCTGTGGCGCGCGGCGCCGATGCTGAGATGCGCGCGCCGTCGCACGCCGAGTATATTGTGCATGTGCTGCTGCGGTGCGCACCCGGCACGGTCGTCTCTAAGAAGCAGGAGTTCGCGCCGTCGTTCCTGGGCATCGAACCGGGCCGCGAGGGTGGCGAGTGGATCGTCGTGCCGGTGCTGCTGACGCATGTGCAAGAGCTCAGCGGGATCCGCTTGTTCCTGCCGAAGGATCTGCGCCTCAAGGAGGCGCGCGCGCAGGTCGGGAAGAACATGGCCGAGGTGCACCGCCGCTTCCCGCAGGGCCTCCCACTGCTCGACCCGGTGAAGGACATGAAGATCGACGACGTCAAGTTCCAGCAGCTGCTCGGCAAGCAAGAGATCCTGCGCGAGCGCATTGCGAATGCGCCGATCGCGCAGGACCGCGCGCGTTGTGACGAGCTGTATGCGCTCTACGCCGCGAAGCAGGCCGCGCAGGACCAGGTGGCAGCCATCCAGGCGCAAATCACCGCGGCGCACAATGTGCTGCAGCTCGACGAGCTCAAGTGCCGCAAGCGTGTGCTGCGCCGCCTCGGCTTTACGTCCGCGGACGACATTGTCGAGAAGAAGGGGCGTGTCGCGTGCGAGATCAGCACGGGCGACGAGCTTTTGCTCACGGAGCTCATGTTCAACGGCACCTTTAACGATCTTACGCCCGAGCAGTGTGCCGCGCTGCTCTCGTGCTTTGTCTTTGGCGAGAAGAGTGAACACCCGTCGCGCTTGCGCGAGGAAATGACGGCGCCCCTACGTGTGCTGCAGGACACGGCGCGCCGTATCGCGCAGGTATCGGTGGAGAGCCAGCTGCCGGTGGTGGAGCAGGAGTATGTGCAGAGCTTCAAAGTGGAGCTGATCGAGGCGGTGCTGCAGTGGTGCCAAGGTGCGCGCTTTGCGGATCTTTGCCAGCTGACAGACGTGTTTGAGGGCTCGATCATTCGTGCATTCCGTCGGCTGCAAGAGCTGCTACGCCAGATGGCCCAGGCCGCCAAAGCGATCGGCAACGAGGAACTCGAGACCAAGTTTGAGCAGGCGCTCGTCAAGCTCGAGCGGCCCCAGTCGATTATCTTTAGCCCGTACGTGTGTGTGTGCTCACCCCAGGTCGCTGTATCTGTAGACTCTATTCCTCAATGGCCATCTCGTCCATGTCGTCGAGCAACTCGTCCAGCTGCACGCGCGGGAGCTCGCTGTCCGAGCCGTACTCGCTTTCGTTGTCGGTGGTCGCGCCGTCGTCGCCCACCTCGTCGGCGCCGTCCTCGTCCATGTCCTGCGGCTCGCGGTACGCGAGGGCGCGGCGCGCCTTCTTCGCCTCCTCGTGCGCGATGCGCTCGCGGTCTTTGTACAGGTTCACGTTCGAGCGCATCTCCTCGTCCTCCTCGAGCTCGCGCAAGAACAGTTCATAGTCGCGCTCGACACGCTGCGAGTCCAGACCGCCGCGGCGACCCAGGGCGCCGCGGCCAACCGCGTTCTCGTCCGCATTCGGGTCCTCGGCCTCCTTCGCGATACTCTTCAGCTTCCACGTGCGCTTCGAGCGGCGCTTGCGCTCGGGGTAGCTCTTCTTCACAAGCACCACGTCCGGCCGCCGCGATTCGGGCACGGCGTCCCACTCGGGCGAGTTGAAGTTGGCTGTGGCGAGGTAGTAGCCCATCACTGTGTCGCCCGGCTGCAAAATGTTGCCCAGGTGCGTGCGCACATGGAAGACCGCGTCCGCATCACCAAACGACGTCGAGTTCATCGGCGACACTTGCGCCTCCGCACCCGCAAACTTGGGCATGCTCTGCCCGTGGGGGCCGTGCGCCGTCTCACCGGTCGGCTCAATGTCGAGCACCAGGAACTCGACCATCTCGGGTATCGTGCAGAGCGCCGGGAACGGCTCGCGCCAGTACTTTTCCGCGGTGAGATCCGCGAGCTGCAGCGACACGGGGTCGATCAGCTTGATCACGTTGCTCACACGGAACGGCAGCACAAACTGCCCAATGTGCCCGAGCGAGCGCGCTATCGGCAGCGGCAGGCAGATCAGATCGTCCTTGCACAGTGGCACGATCTCCACACTGTACGTGAACTTGTAGTTGCTCGCGCTCGTATGCACGTCCATGCTGATTAGCTGCTCCGACTTGGTCACCCGCGTCGGCACCACACTCGCAAGAAACTCACACATGCGGATCGCATGCGCACGCTGCGTATAGAAAAAGTCGAGGCCATCCTTCTTCTCTAGCACCGATACAGTCTCGCGGTGCGCATTGTACTTGAGGATCAGCTGCTCCAAGTACAAAAAGGTGCGCTTGTGCGCCACCTTTTGGCGCACCTGCACAGACGCCTTCCACATGTTCTTTGCAGCGAGTCGTGTGCAGTCGGGGCACTGGCCGTACTGCACCACGAACTCCACCTCAAAGACTTGCTGCAAGATGGTCGACGTGAACACCTCCTTCTGCACAGTCAGCTTCACCCGCAAACGCTTGCTGTGCGGCTCCGTCCAGATGAAGTTGGCGTCAATCAAACGCACTGACTTGAGACCCTTGAGCTTCTTCAGGCATATCGCCAGCAGCTCACGCGACTCGAGCTGCGCAATCACCCAGGTGCTCGGCGGGTTCAGGTAGCGCTCGCAGTTGCGGCAAAAGTTGATCGTCGCCTGCTTCGGAATCAGCTCCGTAATATCAATCGAGTTGCGCAGGCAGTTCACACAGAGATTCGCATTGTTCGGCTCAATAGGTACACCACAATCGGCACACAGCACCATGCGCTGTGGCGCCGGCGCGTGGTACTCCATCATGGCTCACCGACGCCGCCACACGACGTTTTTTTTCCGATCTTCGTGGAGGTCACGTGGGGAGGGGACGTGCGCACGGAGCGTATCCCTCTCACGCGTGAGGCTGTGGCGCTTGTACCGGCAGGACCGGGTTGGGGGCGCACACCAGCCAATGCGCCTACGACGTGGCAACCACATGCCGGAGGCGGTTGGACCAGTATCGCCTGCTCCTCCTATCTCAGTGGCCGGAGACACGCAGCCCTCGATACCCCCAGCCACCGATGCGCTCGTGCGACTGGTAGGCCCGGAGCTGGGCGATATGCCCCATGCGTCTACGGACGCCAGTGAATCGGTATCCGTGTCTACGCTCAACCGGTGGATCGACGGAGAGGCCCAGGATGCGCGCCTGAGCATCATGGACCTTTTTGTCAATGTGCACCGCAGCAACACGACGCTTGGACTCGCATCAGCAGCCGCCTCTTTTGCTTGGATGCCACAGATACAGGAAACACTTCAACTACCGGCACCTACTCATTCCTTGGTCTGCCACTGCGACTGCAGCGCGCCGTATGCGCGTGTAGACCTGGTTGTTCATGCCCCCCGCCAAAGAGCCACAGCGGCGCTCACGCCGCCCCTGCCCCAAGGCCACAGTGCATTGTCGCTTCCTGGATGGCATCTCGCCACCGACCAATTTGCCACAGCTTTTGACCATACAGTCTCGATGCCGCTCGTGCTTGACCATCACTGGCACGCCACGGATGGCGTCATTGTCCTTACCCTAACAATCGAGGCGCTTGATGAAGATAAACTCCCACTAGAAACGCCCAATGTTATGACGACCAAGTGGGAGGCAACTTGTTCGCCAGATACCCCGGGTGTATGGCAGATCAGCCTGACATCGCAGCATGCGCGTATCGGTCCTTTTGTGCTCCAAATGCACGAACTATTTGGCTTAGATGCGCACAACGAGCAGCCGCTGGCGCCGCCGCCAGAGACAAAGGCGGAGCCAGCGCCGAATACTGGCATGCTCGCACTCAATGAAAATCTTGTTCACAGCGCTGCGTTGTTGACTGAGGACCTGCGTGAAGACGGATCCGAGTGTCCTATATGTATGAGCGAGGCGACGAGTACGCTCCTATTTCCTTGTACACACGCCCTATGTCTCGAATGTGCTGTGCGCATACGCGACAGTGTGCAAAAGTCACGCATACATGATCGGGAGCGTGGCCGGGCGCCGCGACAAGAGTATGCGTGTCCCCTGTGTCGTAGAACCATCGAGTCGATGCTGTCACTCACGCAGTAGCTTGGATATCTACGCTAGTCTTAGATGACATCATCCATGTCCTCCATATCGTCTTCGCTCTCGTCTGGCGCGTCTCGCTCGACCTTGACGCGCTTGGTATCGCTAGGCTCGTCAGGAAGTGCACCGCGTTTCTCGCCAGCTGCTGCCTCGTCAAGTTGCGCCGTGTACCGCGCATAGTAGTCCAAGTCTTCGTCGCCCTGCGCATCGTTCGCCAACACCGACTCACTCGGCACATCCTCGAGCTCGGATGGGCGCCTCTGGGCTTCGGCATGCCCCAGGCCAGTGCGCTCGCCACTGACCGTCGATGCAAGGTGCCACGACGGGAGAATATTTTGTGCGCGCTGCCGCTTCTCTTCTTCGGCGCGCTGCTGCTGCTGATGCTGCGTGTCGGTGGACGAATGGCCCGACATTTCGACCTTGAGGGCCGGCGCCTTCGGTGGCGGCGGCGGCATGGCTCCCGGTGCGAGCGCTGTGTCGTCGCGAGGTGCCTCATGCTGCCAGGGCGGTGCAGCGCTGTTCTTCGCTAGCCATGCATGGATGTCCATCGGAGGCAGAGCAATACCCTCAACGCTGCGCAGCGACTGCTGCACCACATGCAATTGCTCGTTGAAGCGCGTGAGCGTGTCCTTGGACTTCCGCACATCCTCTGCGTCCTCGTTGTCGACGAGTTCCGTACCACATCCCGGGACTTCGCACACAAAGATGTTGCGCATAATGTCGAGCAGGTGTGCCACCTCCAGTGCCGAGTAAGAGCGCCGGCAGCGAGGACAGACATACCCTTTGTTGTCAAGACCGTTCCGGAGCTTGGTATCGATGTGGCGGCGCATGGCCATCATGCGCCACTTGGTGACGTCCAGGAACTGCTTGTAATCGACAAAGTAGTACGTGCGCACGACCGAGCGCTGGAACGGCCCCTCACGCGACTCCTGCGTGCGATACACAGACACAATGCGATCCTCTACAAGCTTGGCAGCTAGAGAGCCGAGATCGCGTGCCTGCAGCCCGACACGCCGTGCCAGCACGTCCGACGGGATCACAGCAATACTGACTAGTTGGTCTAGCAGCAGAATGTGCCCATCTTCGTAAAAGAGACGCCCGATGATTTGCACGAGGCGGCGGATCTCGGCCATCTGCGCTGGTGTCGCTGGCGGCGCCTCCTTTGCAGGTGGCGCCGTGGATCCAGCTCCCTCAGCGGCGGGAGGACCTGGCGCTCGACTCGCCGCCACGGTGCTCATGGGCCCAAGCGCAAGAGGGAGCGACGCGGCAGCCGACGGGGGTGTCGCAGGCCAATCGCGTGCCCTGCCCTCCACTAGGTTTGTCATCCACACGCGCGCGCGCTACGACCCCGGTTGGCTCACGGGGCTTGTTGACCGCTGTCTACCGCCGGTCGCTCTGTCCCAATGAGGCGGATGTCGCGTTCCGTGACGCCGGCGAGGCTGCTCACAGACGATTCCCTTGATGTACATGACGACGGCCAGCCTCCGGTATCGTTCAAGCGCCGTTCGCGCCAGACCTCGGCCGGCGGCCTATCGTCGCTGCGTCGCTGGGTAGGCCGCGACTCGTTCCGCAACTCATCTGCCTTTACCCATCGCGTGCGTGGAAGTGGTGTGCCGGAGGGCTGGGAGCATCCGTCGCGGTACACGGGTGCGAGCCATATCACAGTACCGTCGATTTTGCCGGCCATCCAGCCGGCACCCCAGAGCAACCCGCTGCCGCTCATTCCCTACACGGTGGTATGCTTGCTCATATTTGGCGAATTTTGCTCGTCTGGTGTGGCCGGACCGTTTCTCTTTTTTATGCTTGACGGCTTCCAGATTGGCGACGAGAGCAAGGTCGGTTTCTGGGCCGGTATTGTGGCATCGACGTTCTTTTTTGCGCAATTCCTCACGTCGCTCATGTGGGCCTCTGTCGCTGAGAAGCATGGCCGCCGCTTTGTGCTGCAGCTCTCGATGATTGGAAACTCACTGGCGCTTATCGCTTTTGGTCTCTCGGGCAATTTGTGGGCCGCCATCTTGTTCCGCTTTGCGCAGGGTTTTTTCAACGGTGCCGTTGGCGTGGCCAAAGGTGCCGTACGTGACCTCACCGATGAAACGAACGAAGGCCGCGCGTACGCGCAGATGGGCTTTTGGTGGGGTATGGGCGGAATTGTCGGCCCGATCCTGGGTGGTGTGCTGGAGCATCCGGCGGAAAAGTATCCGTGGCTGTTCGGTCGGGTGGCCTTCCTCAGAGCCTATCCATACTTTCTTCCGTGCCTGCTGGCAGGCTCGAGCACCATCGTGGGCGCTCTGCTGAGCCTGCTGTTGGAGTCCGATGGATCCATGCGTGGCTCTATCCGTCTCGGCGACCAACCGGCATCGCTCGAGCACGCAGACGGCTCTCGCATACCCTCGCCAGGCGAGCAAAGCGAGTGGTCGCTGTCCCCTTCGTACGTAAGTCGCGGCCGGCCGCGCCACATGGATGCGACGCATTGGCCACAGGCCTTCGGGCCCCGCCCGCTCTCGCAGGCGGGTTCCGTCTACGACGCGGCGAGTGTGCGCCACCGGCCCGCATCGCAGCGTCTGCACAGCGAGGGCAGCTTAAATGGACGCAACTCATTTTTTGGACTGGACCATGATGAGGACGGTCCCGGCATGTCGATCCTCGAGCGATTCGTGCTGGCCAATGATGACGCTATGCATACTATCACTGACTTATGGGTCGCGGCCGCCGCAAATACGGACGAGTCGCTCGAGGACCCTGATACCATTGAGGAGGCGGAGGAGAGCGTCGATGATGAAGACACGCTCGACCATGACGACGACGCTGCGGAGACGCCGCCCCTGCTGGGTGCTTCGTTCTCGCAGGAGCAGCGCCGCCCATCGGGCTCGTATGTGCCGCCGTCCCACTTTGCGCGCGCCCAGATGCAGCGCCAGTCTAGCGGCGCGTCAATGTCTGACTCGGAGCAGGTGCCGCTGCAGACCGAGGCCGAGGCCGAGTCGAATGCACCGATGCCGGCAGAAGCGAGCGTGTCGCCGCTGTGGCTCCTGCCCCTAGTTGTGATTGTGCACTATGGCGTGCTGTCGTTCCATTCGGCCATGTTTGACCAGGTGTTTATGTCGTTCTTGGTGACGCCTGTGCCGAGCGGTGGCCTGGGGCTCACAGCCGGTCATTATGCACTATTGATTGCGGCCATGACGCTGTGCCAGGTGTTCTTCCAGTTCCAGTTGTACCCGAACTTGGGCCCGCCTAACGGCCGCTTCTCGCATCTGGCCGTGCTGCAAGTGGGCGTGCTGCTGTACCTGCCGTGCTATGTGCTCTTCCCGTGGCTGCGCACGGCGCTGATGCCGAACACGGATGTGCTGGTCATGGCTGTGATGATCCTCTTCACGGCGCTGCGCTGGCTCGCGAACATTTTGTCGTTCACGTCCATTACCGTGCTGCTCAATGCGTGGACGCCGCCGCACCTGGTGCCGCTGGCGAATGGCCTCGCGCAGACCACCAGCAGTCTGGCACGCTTTGTGGGCCCGATCCTGGGCGGCATGGTATGGGCCAGCAGCATCCAGGGTGGTCCGCACGCCCACGCATGGCCCTTCAACTTCCACCTGGGCTTTTGGGTGGTCGGCCTGATTGCGGTCACGGGGGGACTGCATGCGCAGCGCATGAAGGACCTGCTCGCCTAGTCCAGCACAATCACATCGTCGGCGGCCTTGACACGCTTCGTTCGCGTATCGCTTTCGTCAGCCTCGCGAGCGCGCTTCGCAGGCGCCTCGCGCGGCGCGGCAGGGACCGGCGGGGGAGAGATGGCCCGGACCTCGTCGGCCTCCTGAGCATCGCTGGCGATAGGACGCGCCGCGCGGCGCTTCTCGGGCAGCGACACGCGGTCCAGGACGCGGCACGGCTCCGATCCGCGTTCCAGTACGAGCTGCGCAGTAGCCTTCATATGGTCTTCGTCCGCAATCGACACCACATCTGTCGTTTCCACATGTAGATCCTGCAGCGTTTTGTCCACATTGTCTTCCAGGTCGGCATCGTAGAGGATGCGCGTGCCCACCGAGATGGAGAAGAATGCGTCGTCGCCGTACCCCAAATCCTGGCGTGCGACATCGACGAGATGCTGCAGCGTGGCGTCTGCGGGGTTTACGGCCACGCGGACAAATACGTCCTGGCACACACCACATTCTGCATGGGGGGGCGCGGGAGCGAACGTGGTAAATACACGCGTGGCGCGCCGAGCGAGACTAATGACGCGCAGTGCGTCCCATCGCTCCGCCAGCACATGCAGGGCCTGCATCGTGACAAGACCTGCCACCATGGCATTCGTCGTGGCGATCGCAGGAATAATGTTGCCAGCAATCTGCTTCGTCTCGAAGCGCGTCTGCTCCTGGATGCCATACACGTGGGCCCGCAGGTTCGCGGCGGCTGTGACAAAGCCGAGGGCCTCGTCGTCGTCCTTATCAAATGACTGTGGCGCATCGATGGCACGCTTTGCTAAGGCCTCGGCACAGTCGAGGAACAGCAGCGCATTTTCGCGCAGCGTCAAGGGCCGCCGGTCCCGCAGCGTCGGGACGGACGAGTCGGCGGCCGTCTCCGGGTCGGCCTGCGTCGCCTGAGCCAGCGACAGTGGGACCGGCTTGCGCCGGTGCGCCCACATATCCTCCATGCTCAGCAGGCGCTCCATGTCCGCGCGATACACCTTGTCGAATATGCGCTCGCAGGCCTCGCGCGCGGACGCACGGTTCGCAGCTGCCTGGCGCAGTGCCCGCATCTCCTGCGCCTCACGGCGCAGATTCTCGAGTTCCTGGACTGGGGTAAGTATCGTGCACGTACTGTTTTCGCCGCGCTGCTGCGCTTGGTCGAGCTCTTGCTCGTCGGCCTCTGCCTCAGCGTCGTTGCCAAACAGTTGAGGAAAGAGCCAGTTCTTCGCCCACACAATACAGTGCACGGGCGTCGACGGGGTCGAGCGAATGGTACAAACGGGGAACGTCGTCGGCGTCGGGTGGGCCGTGCAGTCGTAGCACTCCGTGTGACCCACGCGGATCGGCTGGACTTGACCGAGGAACCCGGCCGTGCCGCTCTCGATCATCGGCACGCGCGCCATCACGCACATGCGGTTCACCCACCTGCGTGTCTCCAGGTTGTCCAGAGCATTGAGCACCACGTCAAAGGATGCATAGAAGGCGATATCAAACTCGGGCGCCTTGATGTTGGCGTGGTGCGCCACAATCGACACGTCAGGGTTAAAGGCAGACGCAGTCTCCTTCGCGATCACAGCCTTGCTTTGCCGGATATGCTGCTTTTGGAAGAGAAACTGGCGGTTCAGATTGGACAGGTCAATGGTATCCAGGTCGATCTGGGTCAGCCGTCGTGCGACGTACAATGTCCACATGGCCAACGCCCACGAGCACGAGATCCTTCAGCAGCTCACACCCAATACCGCCTGCACCTACTACAAGGATGCGCGCATGCCGTATTCTCTCGAGCTCTCCAGGACCCAGCGCCGCGCGGAGCGCGTTGTAGCGTGCCGAGCTCGCCATCGCGCACGGAAGAAGAGGGCTCGTCGCCACTCCCTCCACTTGGGTCGGCCCCGCCGCCTGTGCGTTGGGCCACACCATGCGGCGGGGCGCGCGGACGGGGCCCGCGGCATGGCGCGCACGAAATGCCGTACGACGCTGGGATGAGCGCCGAATCAATGCATTTATGCCTACGCCCAAGGCAGGGCACGAGCGCCCGCCGATGCTCGAGCATGAGTACCAGATCCGGCTCGGCGCGACGATCCGCGTCCTGCGCGATACGCTCCCGCAGTTCATGGAGCAGGGCCTAGTTGACCGCACAGACACTCCAGCGAGTGGATCTCTATCGAACCTGCTTGGTCCAGGGGCCTTGATACGGCATGCGGAGCCCGAGCACATCTACCATCCCCACATCCACTTTCGGTTCCGCGCAGGAATGCCAGACGGCGGTGCGCGGACCAGCACAGATGGCGCGCCTGCGCCAGGAGAGCAGGGATGGGCGCCTACCTTCTCGCTGCACGGCCGACGCACATACTTGCTCAGCGCCTTTATGCTGCGCCACGCACTGCATGCATGTTTCGTCGCCCCTGAGGTGCGTCTCGAGCACCTGGCATTCTTGCGCAAACCTACGCTGCCAGGACAGAGCACAGAGGCCATTCCGCGCGACGAGCTGCTGACGCGGATCCGGTTTCGTGGCATCACACGGGTGGGACAAGCAGAACAGAACTACACGGTGGTGTGTCGCTACCGTTTTGATCGGCGCACGGCGATGATATGCGAGCACATCGTCGACAAGATGGTGCCGCTTCCCGGCTTCCGCGTGTGGCAGAGTCTCTCGAATATTCGACATGCCTAGCGGCTGGCGACGCGCGGCGCCCATAGCTCGCGCGACATGCCAAATGCGCGGCGCAATGTAGCATCATACAACCCCTCCTCTTCCGTTACATTCGCTGTGTTCGCGGCAGGCACGAACGGTGGGCCCAGTGGCACTGCCAGCAGGGACTGGTCGGCCCGGTTGACGTAGCGGAACATGGGCTGCGGGTGGTTGGCCTTCATATCACGAGGCTTTCGTGGCGCGTCAGCGTCCTCTGCGCCTTCGTTGTCGCCCTTGCCCCGCACTTTGCCGGCCTGCTTCTTCAGTAGACGATTGATAGTCTAGGTAAGTAGCGCGTACGTACCTCGATCTTGTCGTCTTCAAGCTTGCGTTCGCTCTGATTACGCCGCCTGCGCGCCGTCTCGGAGCGCCGCAGTGCGAGCTCCGTTTCCGAGAGCTTCTTTTTCTTGGAAGATTCTGCGTCAGTGGTAAAGGCATACCCATAGGAAGCTCGACCAGCTCTTCGGTCGACAGACCACGCGCGCGGTTCGCCCGCGCCAATTGGCGAGCCGTCATCGGCGCCTCGCTTGCAGCGTTCGACGCTTCGTCCGAGTCGTCGCCTTCCAGCTCGTCATCCTCGCCCTCGTCGTCCTCCTCCACGTCCTCCCCGGCACGCGACGCACCATCGTCCATTTGGCGCGCGCGTGCAGAGCGCTTGGGCGCCCGAGCGGACTTGCGGCGCGGAGGTGTTTCCTTCACACTCTTTCGCTTGAGCGTAATGCGCAGCGGCGCGCGCCGAGAGCGTCGGTTTGTTTCGGGCACCTCGCTCTCGTCCACTTCGTCGACGAGCTCGTCCACTTCGTCGTCGTCCTCCTCCGACATGTACGTGTCGTCGTCCTCTGGCTCCTCGGACTCAGGTTCGCCCGCCTCATAGTCAACCGGCGTCAATTCACCGCTCGTCTCGTCGGCCTCGGGCGTGTCGAGGCGCTCGGCCTCGCCCACGGACATGGCGGAGGGACGTGTGGAGAGCACGTGGCTACCTGGCCTACTTAGAAGGTCTGCGACTGCACGACACGTGCGAGGCGCTGCTGCTTGGACAGACGCCACTCGTCCTGGTCCTTCGCGTACCGGTTGAACAGGGGCTGCACCTTTTCCTGGCGCTTGCGCTTGGAGATGTTCGCAGGGTCTGCCGTGCGGAAGAAGCGCGGCGCAACCTCGACGAGCCACTTGGGCTCGATCGCTGTCACCTCACGCATGTACTCCTTGGACGTCATCACGACCTCATGGTACACAACATACTCGGGTGGACGGTGGAAGAGGCTGCTAGATGGATGCAGATACACGTTACCGCCGCCCTCAGCCAGCGTGCGGTAGCCTTCCTGCGGATCGCGCTTGGCCGCATTGCGGAAGTAACCGGAGCAGATAGCGCGGCGGACGCGGTTGTAGTTGCTGCCGCACGATAGGATATCGTGGTGATAGCGGTCCATGATACCCACGAGCTGCTTGCGCACGTCCTGCGCGCGCCGCAGGGCCCGGCCCTGGATAAAGTTGTCGACGCACCACGGCATCGAGCAGCGGCTCGCGACCCACGAATTGTACACGGTCAGCAGCGTCAGGTGATCGCCCTCCGGCTGGAAGAACTTGGCGCGTTTGGCATCGGCCTGCGCCTGCTTGTCTTTGGGGCGGTAGAACACATTGGGGATGCTGAGCATCGCCACAATGCTCAGCAGCTCCTCGCTGCACCCGAGGTCCACACTCGCAATAAGCATCTTGGCCATCGGCGGATCCATCGGGAAATCGGCCATCTTGCGCCCCAGGCGGGTAAGCAGGCCCTCGTCGTCCAGGGCGGAGAGCGCGTACAGCGATTCGAGCGCCGTGAGCATCGTCTGCGCCGGCGGCGGATCCATGAAGTCAAAGTGCAGCAGGTCATTGATGCCCATGGCTTTGAGCGACAGGATCGTCGACGACAGGTTTTGTCGCTGAATATCAGGGATGGGATTCGGCAGCATCTCATTGCGGAACGCAGCCTCCGTGTACAGCCGATAGCACTTGCCGGGACCTGTACGCCCTGCGCGGCCACATCGCTGCCGCGCCTGGGCCTGAGAGATAGGCGTGACGACCAGCGAGTCCATACCGAGGCGCGGGTCGTATGCGTTCTGCTTGACAAAGCCGGGGTCGACCACATAGTAAATGCCGTCGATTGTAATACTCGTCTCGGCAATGTTCGTGGCCAGCACGACTTTGCGGGCGCCTGGCGGCGCCGGCTCAAAGATGCGCGACTGCATCTCGCTCGGCAGTGCCGAGTACACCGGCAAAATAATGAGCTCAGGCACGCTGGGGCCCAGCGCACGCATGCGCTCGTACAAAATCTCACAGCTGGTATCAATTTCTTCCTGGCCCGTGAGGAAGACCAGGATGTCGCCGGGTGGCTCAGAGAGGTGAATCTGCATCACCGTTATAAGACTGGCATCGAGATAGTCGGGCTCCGGCTCCTTGGTATACAAAATTTCGACGGGGTACGTCCGACCCGGAATCGTGAATATGGGGCACCCAAAAAAGTATGTGCTGAACTTCTCGGCGTCGAGAGTGGCCGACGTCACAATAAGCTTCAGGTCCGGCCGCTTCTTGAGGGCTTTTTTCAGCAGGCCAAACAGCACATCTGTGGCAATAGTGCGCTCGTGCGCCTCGTCCAGCATAAGAACCGAGTAGGCACGCACGTCCGGGTCGACCAGGCACTCGCGCTGGAGCATACCGTCAGTCATGTACTTGATGCGTGTCTCGGGGCCAGTGCAGTCCTCGAAGCGGATCGTGTACCCGACCTCTTGGCCCACACGGCAGCCAACCTCCTCGGCCACACGCTTGGCCACACTCACAGCGGCCACACGGCGCGGCTGTGTGCACCCAATCTTGCCGTGGTCCGCAAAGCCTTCCTCAGCCAGGTACTGGGTCAGCTGCGTCGTTTTGCCGGAGCCCGTATCACCGACGACGACCAAGACCTGGTTGTCGCGCACCGCCTGGACTAGCTGCTCGCGCAGCTTGAAGATGGGCAAGCTCTCCCGCTGCTCCTGCATGCTCAGTGTGGTGATCTTGCCGAATGTGGTCGTCTTGTTGAAGGCGTGCTTCTTCCACGCAGGCTGCTGCTGCGCATGTTGGCCCCGCGCTTGGCCCTTGAGGTCCTGCGCAAACTTCTTATCGCTCGCCTGCGCCATGGGATCAAGCCACCCCGTGGAGGTATCGCGCGACTGGCGCTCGGCCGCCTCGTTCATTTCCTGCTGCTTCAGTTCACGCCGCTCCTTCGCGAGTGCCGTGCCGGCCTGTGCCGCACGATTGAGCGAGCCGTCCGGCGCCTTGACAATCTTCACGGGCGACAGCTCCAGTGACGCGGCCGTCTGGCCCGCCAGGAACGGCGCCTCTTTTTCGTTCACTTCGATTTCCACCTCTTCATCGGCGTCGTCGCCAGCGAGACGCGAGGCAGGCGTGGAAAACTCTTCCTCCATGAGCTCAGGGTAGTCGGAGGCCTTGGCCACACCACTAGCAATCAGCTGTTTGATCTCCCATCGTTCAGGGCTCGTAAGCCGCTTGATACCGCGCCCGCGCCGATCGTCCGGCAGTGGGGGCGCGGGTGGCGCCCCAGCGGCAGAGCGACCCAAAGGAGCCGCGTTGGCTCCCGTCATGGCGCGTGAGCGCTCTGCGTCCGCGCGCGCCTGCTGCAGAGCACCGAGGTCACGCCCAGTCTGTTGGTCGACGTCGCGCATCGAGAGTCCAATGCGCTGCCCCTGGATCGAGACAACCTTCACCTTCACCGGCTGGCCACGCGCCACCACATCCGAAGGGTGACCTACACGCCCTTGCGTCAGGGCGCTGATGTGAACGAGGCCATCCTGGCGCCCAACAACGCCGTCCAAAGTGACAAATGCACCAAAGTCCTTTACCCCCGATACGATGCCATCGTAGATCTTGTTCAGAACAGGCGTCTCGTCCGGTGGCGCCACGGGCGCCCGCGATCGGCCACGCTCCGGCTCGGGCGCGCGCGGGCGCTCAGGCGCCGCGCCGGCGGCGGCCAAAGCCGTCGTCCGCTTGCGCGGCGCGGCCTCATCGTAATAATCAGGAGGAGCCCACGCTTGATCTTGGATCGCTAGTCCAGGGAGCATGACGGCCTGGCGCTCCCGCGCATCGCCAGCCTTGAGCGCGCGAGCGCGCGCCTCCTTTTCCTGCTTCGCCTTCTTGTGCTTTGGATGCAGCGTCGTAATGAGTCGATCCAGATTTTCGACGAACTCGGCCGCGAAGTCGGCGCCGATCTCGTCGAGCTTCGCCTGGAACGCAGGGAGCGAGCCGCCTGCCTGGTCATGTAGCGAGATGACAAATTCAGCGAGGACACGGTCGTTGATCCCCAAGTGGTTCTCAATTTCTGTCGAGATCTTGGAGACCAGCGACAGGAACTCGAGCTTGTACAGCGGGTCGTCCTCCATGCTGCCCGCACGCGAACGACGCCCACCGACTGTCGCAGACGCTCCTGCACGGCGTGCGCCTGTAAGTCACGTGATAGCAGGCACGAGCCCCGAATGAGGCGGACGCGCACGCGTCCATTGCGCGTGCAGCGGCGGGCGGCGGCGCGTTTCGTGGGCTCCCGAGAACTGACGTATTTTCGCGCCACCACCTGCTTGGCGGCTGGATCCCACCATGGCATCAGGTGCGAGGCAACGTAGTCAGCGTTGCTGCATGGAAGGTATGTCGAGACTTTGTACAGAGCTAACGCGCTCTAGTCAAGGTCCTTTACACGCTCGACGCGAGCCCCCATACCATGATCGCGCGTACCGAGCGGCGTGTACCGGTCCGGATCGCGCGGCAGCGCGGTACAGATGTGCTGCTGGGACGTGTATCGCTAAAATTATGTCTGAATGCCGTGTGCTGTGCGAGTCCAGAGCTCCTACTCGACAAGAGCAACGACTACATTGTCTACGCCGTGGACCCCGAGGAGTCGCCACGGCCCGTTTCTGTGCTCGCGAGCCCACGCCGGGCTCCGGGGGCGCAAGTGTTCGTTGGAAAAGGCTTCTTCAGCGGCGGCCTCGAGGAGCCGGGCGACGGCACCTCTCATGTCACCGGGCCGGTCCGCACCGAGGCACGGAACAGCTCCGCGTTTTCGTCAGATGAGGAGGATGTGCCAGGCACCGATGTGCTCGAGATTGTTCTGCGGCTCAAAGAAGCATCGCAGCGTGGGCGTGAGCAATACCAGCACCGGATGCGTGGTATGGCATCCACGGCGCTTGTGCCGAGTCCAGGCGGTGCCTCCAAAGCAGCGGAGCCGTCCTCAACCGAGTCATCGCCCCCTGTGGCGGCCCCGGCGCTGGCGTCGTCGCCGTCCCCGTCGAACCAGGCCGGTGCACAGGTGCTGCAGGTGCTGCAGGCCATGCAGGCGCACCAAGGCTCTCTAACGAGCGAGCAGCAGGCGCACCTGATGGGCCTCCTGGGCATGGTGGCGGAGGCCATGCAGAGCGGTGTGATCCCCACGCCGAGTGAGACGGCCACGCCCCCCGCCCATGCAACGCCCAAGCCGTCGCAGAATGAGAGCAAGTCAGCGCGTGCGCAGCGGCCTGGTTTGCGCGATACCCGCACGGAGCTGCCGCGGATCTGCTACAACTGTGGGACGCGGCATGCGACGACATGGCGCATCCTGACGCTGCCTGCTGGCGTCACGATTCATCACCCCGCGAGCGAGCGCCCGCCCAGTGATGCTGTGCCGCTGACATGGACGCCGCAGTATGGTGATCAGGGACCGATCGAGACACACTCGGAGGCGCGGTGGCAGGCGTGCAATCCGTGCGGCCTGTACTTTGCCAAGTACGGTGTTGCGCGTCCCGACTATGTGCGCAACTTTGTGGCGCGCCCCGGCAAAGACGAGAAGAAACGTGATACCCAGGCCAAGGCGCTGCCGGAGCGCCCGAAGCGACCTAAGAGCACGACCGACACGCCACGCTCGAGTCTCGCGCGTACATTGAGTGCTGTGGCGAACCGCGACGCGGAGCGCCTCCAGCAGCGCCGCGACGAGAATGTGCCACCGGCGAGAAGCCCGCCGCCGGCGCTGCGCGCCGGTGTGTCTCCCGCCGCCCACTACAAAAGTCCGCGCCGGACGTCACGTCCGAGTGCCTTTACGAGTCCATCAGCCGGCTTTGGCATCCCGTCGGCTATGATGAATTCGTCGCCGAACACGGTGCTGAACACCCTCATGAACGAGGCCGATATGGACTTCGACGATCAGCAGGCAATGGCCGCGTCGCCGCGATGTCACGGCCATCCTAAGCCGATGTCGAGCCCGGTGCGCCGCAGTCCGCGGAAGCAGCCGCCGGGTACGGTGGCTGACGTCAATCCGTATGCGTCAACGGCGCACTCGGCGTCGTCACCGATGCCCAAAAAGGCTCGCACAGAGGCGAGGCGCGATGCGCTCACATCGCCGGCGCGTATGCTGCCACCTGTGAATCCGTTTATGGGCTTGGGCATGCTGGACGAAGAAGCGGATATGCTGGGTGGTCCGCCGAGCCCCAGTGCGGGGCGAACCTCGCGTGCAAAGCCTGCGCCCAAGCGCGAGGTGCGTACGCCGAGCCGGTTGCCGAATGGCGAGGCATGGCAGCCTTCGGTGCCGAGTCCGACAACGCTGGGCCTGGGCGAGGCGTTGCCGTTAACCCTCGGCGAGAGTGGGCCGGGCATGAAGGAGCTGTTTGCGGATCCGGCACCGTGGATGGCAGTGTGGGACGCCCGCGAAGACGCGCCGCCTGCGGCGAGCGCCGAGGCCCCTGGCCCTGATTCTCATACGCGAGAACCCGCTTCGCGTGCGCTCACGGAGCCGCCTGCGCGCCAGCCCCGCTCAACCACGGTGGAAGACGCCTCGTCGACGCCCTCGGGCTCGCCCGCCGGGTCGCCACCAGAGGAGGAGTCGCTGGTCGACCTGATCGAGGATCCGTATGGCCTCCTATCGGCGTGTGGACTGGGTGTGCTGCCCGGCACTGTGGGCGAGTCTGGTGACGCACTGACCGTGAGCGATGGAACGGGGCCGAGTGGGTTTAGTGCGGACGCCTTTAATGGTATTGAGCTGCATGGTGCGCCGGCGTTTGCGCAGCACCTCGAGGCGTTCACGCAAAGTGGCGGGCTTGGTGTGGCCGCCCATATGGGCGCGCCGCGCGAGGCGGGTGTGGCTGCTCTGCCAGGCCCCCATGTCCAGTCGTTTGGACATGTGAGCAAGCCGACTGAAACGGCAGGCACCGACTTGGAGGCGTTCCTGGACGACCCCACTGTGCAAGCGATGCTGACGAATCTGAACGAGGTGCCTTCGCACGGCCCTACGCCGCTGCTCACGTCCTAAATAGTTGCCAATTACATGATGACGCACTCTTTCTCGGCGCCCGGGCTCGAGCGACTATGGTTCGTCTTCCAGTCCTGCAGGCGCTGCGCAGCACGTGCGTGATGCTGCGCGGCGGCCTTGCTGTACCAGCGCTTGGCCTCATCGAAGTTCACGGGTGTGCCGATACCGACCTCGGTATAGTGCCCAATGGCATATTCGGCGTTAGCGATGCCCTTAGCCGCCGCACGGCGCGCCCATTGGTACGCCTCTGTGTCGCTTTGCGGCAAAACGCCTTCGGCACCTGTGAGGAACCAGCCGCTGAGCGCGAGCTCTGCCTCGCCCAGGCCCTTGTTGGCCGCCATGGTATACCAGCTGATGCTGCTCCGTGCATCGACGGGGCAGGCTAGGGTGCCGTTGGCAAAGGCGTCACCCAACTTGCACTGCGACGGTGCGTGCCCCAGCCGCGCCGCCTGGGTATAGAGGTCCCGTGCCACCACCTCGTCGTGCGGCACGACCTTTCCAGCGGGATCCTCGTAGTGTAGTGCAAGCTCGTGCAGGGCATGTGGGTGATCTTCGTCGGCCTGGCTCGCGGCGCGGCGCAGCCACACTATGGCCTCGCGGGGGTTCGCCGGCTGATCAAGGAGGCCATGCAGCAGGATCAGGCCTAGTTTGTACATACCGGCCGTGTCGCTAAGCGAAGCTGATTTGCGGTAGAAGCGCATGGCGAGCTCATAGTTGCGCTTGGTCCCAGCACCCAGCTCGTTGCATACCGCCGTGCGGTACGTCGCTGCCGCATGATTCTGCTTCGATGCCTGCACATACAGATGATATGACTTGACGTGGTCAATACTAACCCCGTTGCGTCCATTGCCGTAGCAGTTGGCCATATAGAATTGTGCCTCGGCGAACGGTGGCTGGCCCGGCGCTACAGGCGTCGTGGCCAGCTTTTTGATGACCCGCATACCTTCGTGCAAAAGAGACTCGCGATACTTGCGAGCTTGTTTAGGCATTTCATTACTGTCCTCGAGATGATGGGATGCCTCGATCAGTTGCAGAGCGTGCGCAAACTGCTGCTCCGGGTCAGTCGTGTCGGTGGCGAGCCGCCGGCGGAGCTCCTCGACGCTCGAGCGCTTGTAGGGCCCTGCAAGCGTCAGCGAGTCGCGACTCGTGCGCCATCCGCTGCGCGGCGATGCCATGCATGGCACCTGGGGCGACGACGACCGCAACGATACAGGCGATAAGGGCCCCATATCGAACAAGGAAGAAGGCCGCGACGACGGGCCGTGCAGGCCCGGCGAAAATGTTGATTGCCTTTCGGGGACGCCAGGCATGCACTCACTAGGATGTGCGGCCATGTACATGCCCAGGACACTCAATCCGTTTGAACACCGAGCCGAGCGCCGCCGAAGAGATCTGTCGTGGGGATACCAGCTGCAGGCGGTGGCCGTGCTCCTGACCACGTGGCTTACACCCGTGGAGCGAATCGCGGCTGCGACCGCCCAGGACCCTAAAGAAAGAGTGCATTTTGGCGATCAGTGTATGACACTATGATAGGATGGGTACAGTTACTAGGGTCAGAGAGGATATAGGTACCTTGCTCATCATCATCTGGTGTGAGCAGGAGGTACGTACGCGAACAAACTCGTCGTAGTTGATCTGGCCGTCGCCGTCAGTGTCGGCCTCACGGATCATCTCCTCGACCTCCTGGTCCGAAAGCTTTTCACCCAGGTTGGTCATGCTGGCTGTAAGGTGGCCGCACATACACATGACGCAGCTCTGCTGCGCTGATGAAGCCATTACCATCCTTGTCAAACACACGGAAGGCCTCCTTGATCTCCTCCTCGCTGTCAGTGTCCTTCATCTTGCGCGCCATCATCGTAAGGAACTCGGGAAAGTCTATCGTGCCATCGCCATCCGCATCGATCTCGTTCACCATATCCTGCAGCTCCGCCTCGGTAGGGTTCTGACCCAGCGAGCGCATCACAGTGCCCAGTTCCTTCGTCGTGATGCTGCCATCGCCATCTTGCGTGAGAGAGATGTACATACCCTTGTCAAACAGGGAGAAGGCCTCCTTGAACTCTAGCACGTTAGCTCACTAAAGACGCCACATACCGGCAATTTGTTCTGATCGTCAGCAAAAAAAAAAAAAATGCATACCTTCAGACTGTATACATAGAAGAAAAGGTGTGGTTAGTACATGATCCACAGAACGCCGCGGTGCGTACCAGATGCTCCGCCATACTTGGAGAGAGATGGGAGGCCCCGGGGCGTGTCGTCCGCCTACAAACCACGTGTAGTGATCACGTGCTTCTCGCGTCGCGTCGCGTCGTGACTATGAGTCTAATGTCAGGCCCGGCACAAGCGGCAGCCGCACAGCGCCGTTGCGCATCACACGCCAGCGCGGGTCGCCTTGATGCTGGCACACAGGCACATTCGCCTTATTTGACCTGGGAGAAAAATCGGTCGCGGCAAGACGGCGAATATGCTCTAGCAGCTGATGCCGCGATAATTCGTGGTCGAACATGCTGAGCAGGTCGTGGAGCTGCGTCAGTAAAGCATACGTACATGTGCCACAATCATATCCCATACATCCAGTAAGATGGTAGGGGATCGGGTATAGTCGTGGATCTGCTTGCGCAGAATGCGCTCGACCAGGGGCGAGAACATGGCAGGCGTGCGGCCCAGTGCCTGCGTGCGGTGGACGACCTCGCGGTGCCGGTGCCATTCGTGCTGCAGCATCGATAGGGGGCCGCCGACATCGCTCTCGCACCCTGCTGGTAGCTCGTCCCAGTGGTGGATACCCAGCCACACGAGCCACAAGTCCACGCGCAGGCGGTCAATCGAGCACAATCGCATTAGGAGGCTCGCCATCTCGAAATTATGCTCGACCACAGCCTGGCGCACCACCGATGGCAGCGCCTCGCCGGGCGCTGCCGCAGAGAGCAGCAGGCTTTCTGCAGGTGAGTATGGCTGTGACCGCTCATGCGGGCTGTACATGTGCACGGGCGGGAGAGCAGCGCGCCCAGACGCAGGGCTCACGTCCTTCGCCAGCCTCTCAGTCGGCAGCGGCGGCAGGTCCCAGGGCGCTGCCTGGTAGGCCCTTTGATAGTCGCGCTCCTGATACCGCAAATCGCGAGTGACCTCCGTCAAGTCCGGCCGCGCGAGCCACCGCTGGATCCAACCGAGGGCGAAAAAGGGGTTCTGCAAAGAGGTCTCCTGCTCGAGGATGAGCCGGAAATGGTGGCTCCACGCATCCAGCTCATAGATGGGTGGCGAGCCGGGGGGTAGCAGCTCCGATATCTGGTTCGGCGGAAGGAGGAAGAATGGCAGGAGGAGGTGCAGACGCTGCTTCGCAAGAAGCAGGTCACCGCCCGGCGGGGCCTCGTCGACGGGCTGCGCCATGGCCGAGGTCCCAGGCAACGTGGCGTCCAGCACCTCTTTGCGGGGGCGTACAGAGGTCGTGCCATCCGCCGTCATCAAATTCACGCCCTCGGAGAGGCGCACCAGTGCGACACGGCGGCGCAACCGTACCCAGCGGCGCCGCCGCACAAAAGTAAACATGGTTGGCACGCCGGACCACTTGAGCGAACGTGTGCGGATGTTGCGCATCACAGCCTCGAAGCCCTCGTCAGCGCGTTGTGCCTCCTTGTTCTGCATCTTCGCTTGCCGACTGAGGTGGCGGTCATAGGCAGACATGTGCAGCCGCTGCCACCAGCGCTGGAGGCCCGGCTTGGAAGCCACGGCGATAGGACGACGCCAAAATCGTAGACCAGTAAAGCTCCCGCTGTACTGCCAGCCGTCCTCGTCAGTGTCGCCGGTCATGTCGACCATCCATGTAGGATGCACCCATTCCCACGACGAGTCTGGCAGCTGGAACGTCGATGTGTTAAGGGCAGTGTTGACGCCGTGTACATCCGTCCATGGCGCAGGGTCGGTGATGAAGAGCACGTTGGAGCTGAACCGCTTAGAGATGCCAAACAATACGATACCCCGCTGGTTCTCGTGCAGTAGGTCGTATACGAGCTCCGGCTCAGAATGTGGCGGGAGCGGCGATAGAACCACTCGCGGCTCAGACGAATGCAAACGTTCGTCGTCGTCGTCGTCATCTTCAGCGTCACTCATGGCTAGTGCCTCGTCCCATGCACGCCGCTTGCGCCGTCGCCACACATGTGGTCGTGCGCCTGTGTCGCGAGATGGCATCGCTGGAATGCTGCGCAGACTGCGCGCATCGCTGGTGTCAGACCGCGCTGGCGTTGTAAGTATTGACCGAAGCTTGGCGCCTACGCTCGCATTGTCAGCAGGCGGCGACGGCGTGCGTGGTTGGGTCGACACAGCTGACGAGGCTTCATCACCGCTTCGGTGGCGGTGGAGCCGGAGGGCGTTACCCAGCTGCGAACGGAAGGATGCGTCGTGGCGCGCGTCGGCCTCGTCTCGCGGCTCGGCGTGAAGCTTGCGCGACTGCCGCATCTTGGCGCGCATTTCCTTGTTCGTGAGGCATGCGCCATGTTCCAGACTCAGGGTCTGCATGTAATGGAGCATGGAAGGCCCCTGCATATCGTCGTCCTGGCTCGAGTCCGAGTCATACGAGGGTTCTCCCCATGAGACATCGAGGAGTTTTGATGGGACCATTGGGCGCGGTGCTTTGAGCGGCGACGTAGGCGACAGATCCTCTGGCCGCGCCGTGTTCGTTGGTGCCGAAGGCTCATGTGCACTGGGCGGCAGCTCAAATCGCTCCGCTCCTGGACCCTGTGCGGACGGCTCGGAGGGCGAGCGTGAGCCCGACGACTGTGAGGGGTCTGGCTCCAGTATGGCGCTCATAGCCTGCCGAAGCTGCTCGTCAACGAGGGATCCACGCTGCGACACAGAGTCTTCCGGCGCAAGCGAGCGCCGCGCCTCGAGGAGGAGCGATGGCAGTGTGCTGGGGCCGGTCACACCCAGAAAGGGCATCGGCGCGTTGTAGCTGGACATGGTACCTGGCATGGGGCCGTTCGACAGCGCCGAGTCCTCCCGACTGGATACCGAGGACAGGTTCTCGGTGGATGGATTGGCATGCACAACGCCGATGCTTTGGACTCGCTTGCCGCAACCTGTATCGACGTCTACGCTCGCGCGGATCGGCGCAGAGGGTGCATTTGAACCGCCGAATGACAGCCGCGAAGGAAATCGAGACACGGTAGAGCGCGCAGCGCCCATCGCATTTGTGCCCGTCCACTTGCGCCATGCGCGCGTTTTGTGCTGCTGGCGCGACATTTTGTGGAGCTTGGCCGGCGCCTCGCTTGGTGCGGGATCGAGGTGCGGGAGCGGCGGCAGGGTGGGTGTGGGGCGGGATTCCGGCAGAAAAGGATCCATCGTCGGGTGCATCGCCGAATGGGGCGATGAGTGTTGGTGCGGCGTCTCGGGCGCCGGCGTCCAGCGCTCAAGGTCAGGGACCATGGGCGTGATCGGAGCCGCCTGCAGCAGCAGGGGCGTCTTGGGTGCTTCGTTCTCAGGCGCAGAGCTTTCAGGATGATCTGCAGGTGTTAGCACAAGCGCAGGCAGGCCCAGAACGCCCTCAGGCGCCTGGGCAGGGGGGGCATCGGACATGCGTGCACGCCCTGTGGCAAGGCGGCTCGCTCGGTCACCGACGCCAGCCACGCGAGCTCAGTTACCTCCACCTGCCCAAGGGCGGGTGCCATGCCACTAGAAACACAATCTACCACTCTGCGGCGGGGGCGGCCGCCGACGCGGTAGCTCCCGGGATGCGGCTCCAGCGCGGGCCCATTAACCAAACCAGGACGATACGGCCCAGTTCTGAATATTCTGCTGGATCGTCTGGAGCGCACTCGCATAGTCGACGTGCTGCAGCTGCTGCAGCACGTTGGGCACAGTGGCGGACAAGTTGATGTTGCCCGAGTAGAGCGCCACAGCGCCCAGACCCACTGCGCCTGCAGCGGTAAGCATGCCTGCTGCACCAGCGATAGGGCGGCGGTGCTTGCGCAGCACACGCGTCATGCGGCCGGTGGCCGCCTGCGGCTCCTCCGCGACGTTTTCGTCGTCGTCCTCGGCGCGGCGCTTGGCCGACGCTCGTTCCTGGATGGCCTCCGTGCGAGCTTCTGACTGGATCTGCGCAGCGAGACGCTTGGCCTCCGCGATTTGCTCCTCCACGGACGCGGACGTCAGGGGGTTCTCGGCAGGCGACGCTGCCTCAGCGGCCGTCGCGCGCGCCTGGCGGCGCGTGGGGCGGCGACCCGTCGTCGCTGCTGGTACATCAACGATCTCCTCAACAGCCGCAAGCGGCGTTGACGTCGTCGACGCCGACTCGCGCACAGTGCGTGCGCGCTTCGTCTGCCGCACGGGCGTCGCAGGCTGTTCTGTCTGGACCTTTTCGCCGTTCTTAATCGCAGCCAGCGTCTCCGCATCAGGGTTCAGCACCGGCACATCCTCATTTGGCGGCAGCACCGCCGTGGCATCAATCAGCGGCTGCGCCAGCTCCTTCAGACCGTAGTCAGCTGCAATCGACAGCGCCTCGTCACACGGAATCCACACGCCCTGCAGGCGCACGCCCGTGGAGCCAGGCGGCAGAGTGCCCTTGCGCATGGACGCGGGTTTGCGGCCACGCGTGCGCGGCGCAGGAAGAAAGCCGCCGTTCGCGACATCGGTGTTGAAGCGCGACTCGAGGTAGGCCATCTCCGCACTCTCTTCCTCCGCCTCGGCAAACGGAAAGGCAAGGCGGAACATGGACGAGCCGGCAATCGCATTCGTGTCGAAGCTGCTATTAGTCACAAACACGCACCGCTTTAGCAAGAAACCATGCTCGGCGCCATTCACGGTGGGGAGCTTGATGCGCCCAATAATAATCTCCCTGTCGTGTGAGTAGCAGCACGTACTTGTCTTCGCGCCGGATGACCTGGAGCTTAACTTGGCGCGACTTGACTTCGCCGAGTCGCGGATTCGTGCGCGTCGGCAGCTTGTGCATGCGCTCGAAGAGCGTCGCACTTTCTGCGAGCGCCTCCGCCTCCGCGTCAGGCTCGTTCTTCAATGTATCAGTCTCCTTCTCCGTCTTGGGGTCAGCCTCCTCCGTCTTGGGGTCAGCCTCCTCCGTTTTAGGGTCAGCCTCCTTCTCCGTCTTGGGGTCAGCCTCCTTCTCCGCCTTGGTGACAGCCTCCTTTCCAGCCTTGGTCGCTCGCGCCCGAGTCGTCGACTTCGTCTTGGGCTTCGGCACAGGCGGCACCGACTCTTCAGCCGCGGCGGCCTTGGTCGTGGCGCGGCGGCCGCGCGTCGTGCGCCTAGGTGTGGTCACAGGGGAGTCAGCGGCCGCTTCCGTGGCAGGGGCAGGGTCGGCGCTCTCGGCACGACCCTTCCGGGGCGTGCTGCGACGTGGAGGCATACTGATACGACAGCGTGGAGTGAAGCGTGGGCCGCCGTGTTGATGCTCGTGTCGCGCCCGCGCACCCGCGTGGATCACGTGGTGTGGTTATGCCACGTGCTCGCCGAAAAAGGCACGGCTGCGGTGGAGGCGCGCCGCCCCCGCCCCCGGCCCGAGCGCGTCGCAGACACCCACCGTGGCGGAGCGAGGCGACGGCCACGATGAAGTACCTCGAGTATCCCGAACTCGAGGTGTTGTCGCGTGCACTCACCTTTGAGATGTCTGAATGCAAGGTATTCACCCGGATCGAGGCGTATTCATGCAAGGCCGTCAACAAGGAGAAGCGCCTGTTCAAGTCGCTCGAGTCGTCCTACCTGTTGTCCGCCTCGAGCTCGCCGCCTGCGTACCTGGACGAGGCGCTCTCCTCGCCGTTCGGGCGCTTGGATCAGCCGTCCGCGCGCAAAACCCTCTTTTTGCTTATCGCCACGCTGAACGGCGCGTTCCCCGACCACGACTTTAGCGAGGTCAACCCGATGGACTTTGTGCGCGAGCCCAGCTCCACAAACGTGCTCAACAGTCTCACATCGACGCTGCTCAGCCTGCGCACCGGCACGGGCTCGCCGTCGTCGCTCGGCAGCGCTCTCGACGAGTCGCCGCTGCTCATCTCGCTCGCGCGCTCGCCCATCTCCACCGACGCGCGGCCCACGACATCGGGTGGCAGCCAGACGACACCCGGCGCCGCGCGCTCGGCCTCGGCATCCCTTCCGGCGGTGCTGGATGAAATTATCCAGACGTCAGACTGCGAAGTGTACACCTTTCATCCCGATATGGACTCAGATCCCCACGCGAGTGCGGAGCCAGACGAGGAGGGCGGTGAGGAAGACGGGGGGGATCCCTACGACGAGGGATATGACACGGGCATAGTCGGTCGGGGAGATACACCGATGATGGATGAAGATATGCAGATGGCCGACGCGCCGGTGTTTGACGAGGACATGGACGGCGGCGATGGTGCACTGCAAGACGCGTCGACAAACGCGAAGCTCGAGTCGCCCTCCCTTACCATTGATGAAGATGACCTTGCCGGCGCAGGCGCTGGTCTCCTGTGGTCCACGTTCGCGTTCTTTTACAATCGGCGCATGAAGCGCATCCTATTCATCAGCGTGTGGTGTCGCAAGAACACGCTGGGCGCCAAGCCCCCGTTGTGGAGCAGCCCGTCGCTCGCGCCAGCGCGGCCGGCGAACGAGGATGTGCCAGCGCTGTCCATGTCGTCAGCGACGATGGCGACGGCGCGCGAGCGGCCTGGCGAGCACCGATTGACGCCCAATGCGTCGCCGGCGCGGCTTGCCAAGACGCGCCGACCCGCCCCCTACTCGACGCGCCGACCCACGAGGCGGACACGCGGGCGCTCCGCCTCGAACAGTCCGGCGCCCAGCGCTCTCTCGCCATTTCCCCATGCGCAGCCGCAGCGTGCGCCTCCTGCGAGGGGCGTGCGGCATGCCCAGCCGAGCGCGCTGGCGAACGGGGCAGGAGCGGCCAGCTACCCGTCCCTGGATGCCGCGATGCTCAGTATGAGTGCGCCTACACTGGATGTCACGCACCGATGGGACACGCCCCCCTCCGCGCGATCGCGCGACTCGGGCTCGCAGGCGCCGCCGCCGTAGGAATGTATCATAGATGTGGAGGGAGTCGCACCGCAGCGCGTGAAATGGGCGAATATCTACAAAAGGAACTACGCGTCCAGGCGGCCCGGCACGCCGGAGGGGTGGACCCAACGTTCGAACATGGCTAGCGAGTGACGCGGCTGGTCGAGCGGCACAAAGTGACCGGCCTCATCGACGATGGCGTATGTGAGGTGGCCGTAGTGGCGGAATTCGCCGGCCTTGTGCCCGCCGACGGTCCAGTTCTCGAGGGGCGCCTTGCGGTAGCCCTGCTCGCCCGACCACTCGAGATCTTCGGTCCAGTGGGCGTTGCCGATGTAGTTGCAGATAAAGTCGCGGCGGCCCGAGTAGCTCAACACACGCACGCCATGCTCGAGGATGTGCTGCACGGCCCAGGTGCTGTCGCGCATGCCATCGCCTGTGGATGCAAAGTCGTTGTATACCTGGTCGGAGCAGTCGACAAACTTGCCATCGTGGCGGTCGCCAATGAGGAACTTGTCGATGCCCAGGTGCCGGCGCGTCTCCTCGCTGTTGAGGAAGGCCGACACATAGGCGTTCTCGTCGTACTCGGGCGCGTGCTGCCAGTCGTAGAACGACGAGTTGGTCTTTTCCCAGGGCTCCGAGAGCGCGCCCTCGCAGAAGGTCGTGGCCGTCTGGCACGCCGTCGTGCTGTAGGGCGCCGAGCCGCGGGGCCGGTTGCACTTGGCAATCAAGTCCTCACACACAGGCAGCTTCTCCCACATCTTGTCGCACGTCGACCGGTCGAGGAAGGGGCCGTGCCCCGTCTGGTTGGTGCACGCGTACTCCACGTAGGCGCGCGTCTGGTGGCGTGGCGACGTGATACCATTGCCGATCAGCACGGAGCGCAGCGGCAGGGGGACGAGGCCCTCCTCTGGATGGCCAGCATAGTGCTCGTTGTCGTCCACGACGCGGCTCGCAATCAGCGGCAGGTAGCGCCCCGCGTACGACTCGCCGGCCATGTGGAACTCGCGCAGCGCGCGCGTGCCGTCCGGCCGCGCGCGCCCCGCGAGCGGCCCGTCGGGGTGCGAGGCCAGCAGGTGCAAGAAGGCACTCACGTCGCGCGCGGCCTGTGCGCCATTGAAAATGCGCGAGGGGGGCACGCCCTCGCGCGACGCATTCTTCCACGACGCGTACGAAAAGCCCACGCCCACGGGCTGGTCGAGGAAGATCATGGACGAGTTGGTGACCCACGAGTACGGGTTCCACTCTGTGCGGCTCACGCCGTCGTGGGGCTTGGCCGCATTGCAGGGCCCCAGCTCCATCAGGAGGCCTGTGAAGGACGAGCATCCCGGGCCGCCATTGAGCCACAGGGTGAGCGGGTCCGAGTCGGGGTGCGTGCGGGACTGGAATGCCCAAAAGTAGAAGTGCTCGACAACACCGGACGGCGGGGCAGATGCCTGCGCAGCATGGCCCTTCTCGCGCTCGTGCTCAAACAGCTGGTCCAGGTCCACGTCCAGGTAGCCCGAGTAGGACGGTGCGCCGCGCTCGCACACGCCATCGGGCACCTGCTGCAGCCGCAGCGTGTACGCCGGCAGCGACGGGTGCGTCAGCACCGACACGCCGGGCGCGTCGCTTTTGAACTGGAACGGTGTCTGCCGCGCGTGCACAGCGGCGCCAACGAGGGCCGCAGCCACGGCACCGAGGCGTATCAGCCGGGCGATCATGGCGGGAGGGAACCGGCCGCCTGCGCCGCCGCCGCTCCCACGTGACTGTGAGTCAGACGGCGAGCGGCGGCGCTCGCTGGTTCTTCATGTTGCAGCAGTCGACGCCTGTGGTCCCGGTTGTCGACGTTGCGCCGCTGGACGTGCCAGCATGGGCGACGTCCAACCTGGCTGTCGCGATGGCTCGCTCTACGTTTCTGATGGTCCCGCTGTCGGCAGCCAAGTCCGTGCCTGGCGCCGTCCTCGTCGACATGCGCGGCAGTGATTCGTATGACGCTGCGCTGGATGTGCTCAACTGTGGTGCCGAGGCCGTCGTGGTGCGTGCCGGCTCGCCCCTCATTGATGCGCTGGGCTCGGACATTGTGGCCTCGCGCGTGGTTGTCGCCGTGGCGGAGGGCGCCGAGCCGCCCGTCGGCGCCGTGGGCGTCGTCGTGGAGTGTGCGGGCGTGCCCGGCTCGGTGCAGCGCTATGTTGATGCGATGGAGGCCCGAGTGACGGGCCGTGGCGTGTATGTGCAGGCGCCGTTTGCGAGCGTGGCTGCGATCCGGGCGGTGGCGCAGCAGGGCGCCACCGCACTCGTGCCGAGCTCGCAGCTGAGCCTGGACGGCTCCAAGATCGACTATGTGGACGCGCTGCTGTGCACGATCCAGTCGGACCGGGAGGACGGGCTGCTGCCCACGCTGGTCGTCTCGGAGACGTGCTCGGCTGCGCTCGGCCTCGTGTACTCGTCGGTCGAGTCGGTGCGTGCCTCGCTGCGGACGGGCTCGGCGCACTACCAGTCGCGCAAGCGCGGCCTGTGGCACAAGGGCGCGACGAGTGGCGCGACGCAGCGCGTTGTCTGCATCCGGCTCGACTGCGACCAGGATGCGATCGAGTTCCGCGTCGAGCAGCACGCGGGGGAGCGCTCGGTCGGCTTCTGCCACCTGACGGACCGCGAGTCGTGTTTCGGCAGCCTCTCCGGCCTCGCGAAGCTGGAGAGCACGCTGCGCGAGCGCAAGGCGAGCGCGCCGGCGGGCTCGTACACGGCGCGCCTGTTCCACGACCCTGCGCTGCTCGGCGCCAAGATCCGCGAGGAGGCGCAGGAGCTCGTCGATGCGACGGAGCGCGAGCACATTGCGTTCGAGGCCGCCGACCTGATCTACTTTGCGCTGGCCCGCTGCGTGAGTGCGGGCGTGGGCCTTGCCGACATTGAGCGCTCGCTGGACGCCAAGAGCAAGAAGGTGACGCGCCGCCGGGGCGATGCGAAGCCGGCGTTCCAGGCGCCGGCACCTGCCCCGGTCGATGCGGATGCGCCGATCCGCCTGCCGGTGCACCGCCTCGCCGAGACGGCGCCGGCGGAGCAGGAGGCGCTCCTCCGGCGCCCGGCGATCCGCACGAACGAGGTCATGGACCGCGTGCGCCCGATCCTGGCTGCCATCAAGGCACAGGGCGACGCGGCGCTCCTCTCGTACACGGCGCAGTTTGACCGCGTGGCGCTTGCGAGCCCCGTGCGCCTGCCGCCCTTCCAAACCGACGCGGAGCGCGCGGCGCTCCCGCCGCCTGTGCGGGAGGCCATTGACGTGGCGTACAGCAACATCCGGCGCTTCCACGAGGCGCAGAAAGCGCCGGCCAATGCGTCGCGGGCCCATGCGCACTGGGCGCCGGAGGAGGACGTGCTCGAGATTGCGACGATGCCGGGCGTCGTGTGCACGCGCTTCCCCCGCGCGATCGAGCGCGTGGGTGTGTATGTGCCGGGCGGCAGTGCGGTGCTGCCGTCCACGGCGTTGATGCTCGGTGTGCCTGCCCAGGTGGCTGGCTGCCGCACGATTGTGCTGGCGACGCCGCCGCGCGCGGACGGCTCGATTGCGCCTGAGGTGCTGTACGTGGCGGACAAGGTGGGCGCCGCGTGCATTGTGTGTGCGGGTGGCGCGCAGGCCGTGGGAGCGATGGCGTATGGCACCGCGTCGGTGCCGAAGGTCGACAAGATTGTCGGCCCGGGCAACCAGTATGTGACGGCGGCGAAGATGCTCGTGCAGAACGAGGTCGACGCGCTCGTCTCCATCGATATGCCTGCGGGCCCGTCCGAGGTGCTCGTCATGGCCGACGACGGCGCGGACCCCCGCTTTGTTGCGTCGGACCTGCTGTCGCAGGCGGAGCACGGGCCTGACTCGCAGGTGGTGCTGGTCGGCGTGGCGCTCAGCGATGCGAAGCTGCAGGCGATCGAGGACGAGGTCGACCGCCAGGCGCGTGCTCTGCCGCGTGTGGACGTGGTGCGCCAGGCGATCGACAAGAGCGTCACGATGCTCGTCCGCACACGCGAGGAGGCGCTCGACTGGAGCAACCGGTACGCGCCGGAGCACCTGATCCTGCACATCGCGGACCCCGAGGCCGCGGTGCCGCGCGTGCAGCATGCAGGCAGTGTGTTTGTGGGCCCCTGGACCCCCGAGAGCTGTGGCGACTACGCCTCCGGCACGAATCACACGCTGCCGACGTACGGCTTCGCACGGCAGTACGGCGGTGTCTCTACGGCGACGTTCCAGAAGTACATCACCGCGCAAACCATCGAGGCCGATGGTCTGCGGCAGCTCGGCCCGCATGTGGTGGCGCTCGCCGAGTGCGAGGGCCTCGAGGCGCATGCGAATGCGGTGCGTGTGCGGCTGCACTCCCTCTCGTAGCTCTCCCGTGCTATCCCGTGACCCTCCATGGCGTACCCGCCCCCCCCGCCGCGCCGCCGCGCTGCGGGCGCTGCCGCCGACGAGCAGGGCGACGAGACGGCGCTGCACGAGGCGGCGACGCTGTATGCCGCGTCGCCGCACGTCCATGTGGACGAGCGGGAGCGGGCCAAGCGCGCACGCCGTGCGCAGTACGGCCAGCGCTCGCTGTTCTTCTGGGGCCCGGCCTCACAGATTTCCCCGACGTGGCTCCTGAGCCTTGTGCTCGTGCTCGGCGTGCTGTGGGCGCTGTGGCCGAGGCCTGCGCCGGCACGTGTGGCGGGGCCGCCGCCGGCGGAGGTCGCGGCGCCCGTGCCCGCTCCCTCCATCCCCGTGTGTGTGCCGCGGATGCCTGCCCAAAAGACGTTTACCCTGGCCTCGCGCAGCAAGGGCTGCCACCTCGTGCAGGACGAGGTCGAGCGTGAGGTGCGCGATATGCTGCGCGGCGTGCAGGTCGGCCTGCTCACGCTGTTTCTGCAGCACACGAGCGCGGCGCTCACGCTGAACGAGAACTTTGACAAGGATGTGCGCACGGACATGGACATGGTGCGTACCCGTGGCTGACGCAGGCGATGGACCACATTGTGCCCGAGTCGCTCCCGTGGCGCCACACGGACGAGGGCCCCGACGACTCGGCGTCGCACTCCAAGTCGTCGCTGCTCGGCCCGTCGGTCACGATCCCGATCACGAACGGGCGCATGAACCTGGGCACCTGGCAGGGCGTGGTACGTGGTGCGACTAACGCAGTACCTGTGCGAGTTTCGGCGCATGAAGCATGCGCGCCGCATTGTGGCTACGGTGCTGCCCTAGCTACAGCTTGGCCTGCACGGCCGGCGCGCCCTGCTCGACAATGTCGCGCAGGCGGCGGAGCGCCTGCACGAGGCTCTCCTTGTACATCTTCAGCGGCTCGCCGTCGCCCAAGGGGTTCGAGCGCTTGGTCTCCATACCGAACTTGAGCGTCTGGCTGCCCGCCAAGTAGTTCACACCAAAGCCGTCCGGGTAGCCGCAGCCGAAGCCCGTGCCGACAAACTTGTCGCCGGCGCTCAGGCCACTTGTGCTCAGCTTCCACGCGCTCGACTCGCCGAGCAGCGGGTCGGCGAACAGGCGCGGCACCTCGCCGTCGTCCTCGGCGCGGTACGCCAGGCGCAGGCCCATCAGGTGGCGGTCCACGCCCTTGCCGAACGAGCTGTCGCGCGTCTGGCGCGTGTGCGCCTGGGTGGCCGCTTGCAGCAGCGTGTACAGCTCCGCGGCCGGCTTGTTCTCGCGCAGCGCACGCACAAAGTCGTACGCCTCGTTGCTGAACGAGCGGATCACGTCCGTGCGGCCGTGGCGGAACAGGCGCGTGCTCGCCGTCTCGTACGTCGCCGTCTGGCGGCCGTGCACCTGCGCGTAGGCGACCTGCAGCGCCATCTGGATGTACGCGTCCGGCGCCTGCTTCGCGACGCGCTTGATCCACTCGGCGCCGTACTCGCTGAACCACAGCATGCCCATGTTCGAGTCGGCGGTGATCTGGCGCGCCACGTCCTCGGCGTGGCGGATCGACTGCTGCACCCGGTCGTCGACCTTCCACGCGAGCTTCTTCCACTGCGGCGCCTCGTCCATCACCGAGACGCCCTCCGCCTTCTCGGGCAGTGGCTCGCCCGCGGGGGGCATCGGCTCCGCGAGCACCGTCTCGGAGAGGAACGACGGGATCAGCGCATCCACGGGCGAGTGCTCGCCGAGCATCCCCGCGCGGCCGGTCGGCTCCACGCTGAACGTGATCGCCTTGTCGAACCAGCGGTTGTGCGCGAGACGGCCGGCGCCCGACGTGGCGATCGCCGTCGCACCGGCGTACACCGGCTCGCTGCCGACGGGCGCGGGCGCGCCGTCGACGTCGCCGAGCACGTTCGAGTCAAGCGACAGCACAAACAAGCTCGTCTGGATCGACTGCAGGTTCGCGCGGTTCTCGGGGCCCAGCGACAGCAGATGCTCGCGCGCGAGCGTCCACGTGTCGCGGTCGTCCGCCGTCATGACGCCGATCGCGGGGCCGTCCGCCTTGCGTGCGTCCGCGACAATGTCGCCGAGCGCGCGCTCTATCGCGGCGAGCGGCAGAATCTCGTCGTGCTCGTTGAGCACCGGCAGCTCGTAGATGTTGTCGCGCACCATCACGGTGATGTGGCGCGAGTGGCGCGTGCTGTCCGTCGACGTGTTGTAGTCGTGGGGGCGGCAGGGAATGCGCGTCACGCCGAACATGCGGCTGTACTGGTACATGCAGAACGCACCCGCCCGGGAGCGGTCCGGCTGGATCGTCTGGCGGTCAAGCGCGACCTTGTACAGCACCGCACGGTACGTGATCCACGTCGCGCGGCGCAGCCCCCACTCGAGGCCGTCCCAGTTCTGCGCATCGATCGCCTGCTGCGTGTAGGCCGGCGCATCGCAGCGGTTCGTCAGCGACTCGTCCATCGCCGGGTCGTCCTTGTACATGTTCCACCAGTTGCTGTTCACCAGCAGGGGCACACGCCACTCGTGGTACGCCTTCTGCAGCCAGAAGCGATCGTCAAACCAGTTGTTCTCCGTCGTCTGGTCCACGTCCACCAGGCGCCCGTTCAGCTTCGCGCCGAGGCCGCCCTGGAGCAGCTCGTCCGCCCATGCACGGCGCTGCGCAAGCTCACTCTCGGCAGTCGCACCAGCGGGCAGCTCGCCCATCTCCTCCTTCTGGCGCAGCAGCGGCTCCAGCGTACGCAGGTAGCGGGCCAGCGTGTCTTCGAGCTTCGGCACCGGCAGACGCGGGAGCTGCGCTTGCAGCTCGAACGTCGTCGGCGAAATACGATTCAGCATGGTCGGCATAATGCGGACAGAACGACTAGTCGAAAAGGCGCGTCGGACAACTCGCTCTGTCGGGGGTCGGACGAGGGCACGAAGGGCCATGCCGGTGCTCGGCTACGCGCTGTGGGGCCTGCCGCGCGTGTGCGGGGTGAACGCACGTGACGACCGGCGATCGCGCCGACCGTGACCCCGGCCGGCCGGCCGGCCGGCCGGCCGGGCAGACGAGGCGCTGCCATGTCCGTGCGCCAGGTGCGCACGCTGCGAGTGACGGCTCACCCGCGCACGGGGCAGCGCATGATCAATGACTATGTAGTCGATGGCGACCTCGGCCGCGGCTCGTTTGGCAACGTCAAGCTCGCGCACGACGACCGCACGGGCGAGTGTGTGGCCGTCAAGATTGTGCAGCGCGAGGCGCCACGGCGCCTGGGCGTGCCGTACACGCCCCGCCAGACGGACGAGCGCCTGGTGCGCGAGATCCAGGCGATGTCGCGGTGCCGCCACCCGCATGTCGTGCAGCTCTACGAGGTCATCGACGACCCGAACAGCCGGCGCCTCTTCCTTATCCTCGAGTACATGCCGGGTGGCGCGCTCGTGTGGCAGGACGCGCTGCAGCGGCCGGCGCTGTCCTTCAACGATGCACGCTACATCCTGCGCGGCGTCGCCGAAGGCCTCGCATCGCTGCATGCGTGCGGCGTCATCCACCGCGACATCAAGCCGGCCAATATCTTGCTGTCCGAGGACGGCGTGCCCAAGATCTCCGACTTTGGGTGCGCGTACGTGCGCGCCGGGCGTGGCAGCGCGGACGACCTCTCGAGTGCGACGGACCCGCTGCTCGCCCGCACGTTTGGGACGCCGTCGTTTTTTGCTCCAGAGCTGTGCCGCGATGCCGCTCAGGGGCCCCCCGTGACCAAGGCCATCGATGTGTGGGCGCTCGGCGCGACGCTGTACTGCCTGCTGTTCGGGCGCCCGCCGTTCTGGGCGGACACCGAGTACCTGCTCCTGGAGAGTATCATGCACGACGACTTCGCCCTCCCTGCTACGATGGGCATCGATGGCCGGCCCATCGGGCCTCGCGCGCCGCGCTGGCCGCCGGTCCACGCGGACCGGGGCGCAGATGCGCCGGCGCCGGCGCCGGTACCGGCGCCTCGGAGCGATGAGGCGGAGATCACGGCGCACCTGCTCGACCGCCTGCTCGAGAAGGATCCACGCTCGCGCCTCACACTCGACGAGGCGCTCCTGCACCCGTGGCTCGCTGCCGGCCCGCCGTCGCGCGCGTCCTCCGACGAGCGGATCACGCTGCAGCGCACCGCGTCCGGTCGCTCGGTGGCGCAGCCGAAGCTGGGCGACTCGTCGAGCCGCCGAGCGCCGTCTGCCATGCTGCCATTGCATTCGATACCCACTACATAAGCCACATCGGCTGGAGCTGTGCGTCCGCGCGGTGGAACTGCTCGACGACGTTCGCGTCGATGGCCTTTTCGTTCGCGAGCACATCTACACCCGCGGTCAGCGCGGCCCAGAAGCGGCCGGCGCGGCGCAGCTCGTGGCCGACATCACGCACGTTCTCAAACGTCTCAACGAGCATGTCGACGACCGTCGACTTGGCCTCGGCGACGTCGGCGGACGCCTCGTCGCCGGGCTGCACGGGGCCGCCGTGCAGCGTGTACAGCGCATCCAAGTAGCACTTGAATACGATGCCCATGCCGGTGTTGGTATCTGCCTGGAACGGCAGGCTCAGGCTAATGTCCAAATAGTCGTCGCGCTGCTGGCGCATTTCCGAGGAGAGCAGCAGCGACAGCGTGACCATTTCGGCAAGCGAGCGCAGCGAGCGCGAGAGGCTCTTGGCGAACGAGTTGAACACGAGGAGCTCGCGCGAGAGCGGCGCCTCCCACGCCTGTGGCTTGTAGGCCATGGGGATCAGGCTCATCGCCCGCATCGCGAGGAGGACATGCTGCATCTCCTCGTCGGTGCCGAACGACGGGCCGCCGCTGTGGCTCTTTCCACTGTAGGGCTCCCCGTGCAGCACACCTGCGCGGATCAGCTCGAGCGCGAGGTACAGCGGCTCCTGCAGGCGGTCGTTGACTCGGAGCTGCTGCGTGGCCACATGCAGCGCACGCCCGTACGCTGTGTGTGTGTGCTGCGGCGACAAGAAGCCGCGCAGCTCGAGCATGCGCCAGAATGTGTTGGCGACCATTTCGTCTTTGCGCTCCAGGCACACCGGCGTGTCCTTCGCGGCAAACGTGCGCTGCGCGCGCACGGGGTCCGCGGTCGTATTCAGGCACAGCGGGAGGTCGATCGTCGACGAGTTTTGGCGGCGCAGCTCCTCGTCCAGCAAGGCAGCGGGCACATGCCACTGGTCGTTCTGCGCAAGCAGCTGCTGCGTCGCAGGCGCATCGTGGGGCACCGGCGCATCCACCTGCGGCTGGAACCAGTACACCGCCGAGACCTTGCGCTGCCGCCAGAAAGGATGCAGCGCACCACACGCCCGCGCAATCGCGACGCACCGGGGGCTCGTGGCTCCCTCGGTGAGGTACTCGCGCACAAACTGGCGGTACTCTTCTGTGTCGCCATTGTCGAGGGGCGCCGACTCAATCACGTAGCCACTCAGCAGGCTGCCCAGCACACTCGAGCTGATCAGACCCCGCGACAGGTACAGCAACACCTGGTCGGGGAGACGGAACGAGAAAATCTCGTGCAGGTCGCTGGGGATCTCTGGTTTGGGCCCTTTCTCATGCAGCGCCAGCGGCAGCGGCACCACGACGCCGCCGTCCGGGCTGAGCACCAGGCTGAACTTGATCATCGCACGCGCGTGACAGAACTGATCCAGGTACGCCGTCTTCGCCACCATCGGGTGCTCGGCAAACTGGCTGCACAGCATAAACCCACCACGGCTCTGCTTGACGAGCATCGAGAGGGCGCGGATGCCTGGCGCCCCAGGCGTATGCATCAGGCCCGTCGACTCATCCTGCAGTGCAGGGAAGGTCGAGCAATATTCCATGCCGGCCAGCAGGACCGTGTCGAGAAACTCCGCTTCCCCACACTGCAGCTCCCGCAGCATGGCCCGCTTCGACGCGAACTGGAACTTGCCCTGGCGCAAATTCAAGTGAAGAATCACATTGTCGATGCCGTCAAAGGCGAACAGCTCCATGGGACCATAGATAGCATGCACGTACTGCTTGGCATGACGCTCCATGAGCACCAACTGGCCCGTCGCCTGGTACGGTGCCACCACATAGTCGATCTGGCGGTGCCGGATCATGCGCAGCACGCTGCGGTACAGATCAGGGAAGTGCACACTATTGCTGGCAGCAAAGTTCTGGTTCGCCAGCGTCACGTTGCCAGCCTCGTACGCTTCCCACGCGCGGTTGCGCAGTCCCGGACGGCGGTCCTCATAGCTGAACGGCCGCGTCCGCTTCGCAGGAGACAGGCCATTCAACACAAACACAGGCTTGATGCGGTGCTGCTCCAGCACACGCAGATCCTCCTCAATGTGCGAGACCAGCGCCAGGGGCGGGCCCCCAATCGCGGTCACCAAGGGCTCTGCCCTCTCTTTCGACGCAAGGATATGCCGAAGATAGTACGAGAGGTCGATGCCTAGGCGCGTATTCTTCAGAGCGCTCAAAGACTCCTCTTGGAGCAGCTGCGCTTCTTGCAAGAACCCTTCAAGCCCACGGATCATGGCCACCGATCAAGCTGCGCGTGTGCACACCTAGGCACGATTCGGTACGTGCGTCTTCTCGGCCGGGCTACACACCCACACTGCCACATGTCTTGCGACATGCGCATCGCAGCACGGATCCAAAGGCTATTTTTGGGACAACGCCTCGAGGCGTGTGGGTACGAACGCACATGGGCTATGGCAAACGAGACCCCGGGAGGTATGGAAAACAGAAACATCCATCATATCCACAGAGGGGATATGCTTACTGGAGAATAATGCCGTCGAAGCGCTGCTTGAACCACACGGCTGTCTCTTCCTTCCTGACGCGGTGGGGGGCACCGACACGGGCCACACGGTGCTTGCGGCGAGAGACACGCACACCAGGGCGGGTCATGCACACGTAAAAGTCCATACCAAAGATACCAATACCAGGGTCGTACTTGATACCCAGGTCAATGTGCTCCTGGATACCGAAACCGAAGTTGCCAGTCTCCGAGAAGTTGCGCTTGCGGAGCTCGTACTCCTTCACCTTCAGGGCACGCTCCAGAATCTCCTCGGCCTTCGCACCGCGGACAGTGACGTGGCAGGCGATCTTCTCGTTACGGCGGATACCGAAACCACGGAGGGTGTAGCGGGCCTTGCTGGTAACGGGGGTCTGACCAGTAAGCTGCTCAAGCACCTTGGTGGCACGAGTGAGACGGTCACCCGATTCACCCACCGAGATGTTGATGACGAGCTTGTCAACCTTCAGCTCCTGCGCATGTTAGTACCATTCCTACAGCCAAAGCAGAGAAGAGAAGAAACGGCTTGCTGCGGTCTCATGCCGACAACCCCGGGCGCGACGCTGCGCTCGCGAGCCGCACGCTCCAGGCACATGCTACCAGCGCACCATTCTCAAACTGCACCTCTGCTTCGGTGGTGAAAACGTACCCTCATGGGGTTACTGCAAAATGTTAGCATGTCCATTCTCTTTCAGGTCAACAACGTACATCGCCTTGCTGGATTCCGCCATGTCGAATTCAGTCGCAGTCGACGTGAAGAAGAGCGGCTGGCGTCGTAGACGCCTCTAGGCTGGTCTCTCCTACATCATGTGATATGACCCACGTGATGTATATAGTTTTAGCAGGTCGTGTTAAGGGTTGCCTTATTGGTCAGATCAGTTGCATGGAAGTCCGCCAATGAAATGGTCATAAAGCATATGCTCCAGACAGGCACCAATCCTGGACGTTGATTGGTCCATCGCGGTAACGCCATCCCCTAAGAACGAGCTTACGGCGCAAGATACACCGATTGCGCACGCAACGCGCGGTGCGGCAATACACACTGGGGCACAGGATTTGGGCCCACGCAGGACGCACTGCGTTCCCACACTGTACTCGTAGACATCGAACAGTGCCACACGGGAACTTGTTCCGGTTACCCTTCTCTGCTAACGACATCTGTGGGTACTGACTGTCTTCTTCCGCTTGCATCCCCGCAGGACTAGTGCAGTAAAAGCAAGACCATCGCGCCCGCTGTGCTATGGATCTCTAAGCGCTGCGCTGTACCCCTGTCGCGACCGAATCCACTTTTCACCCTACGAACGCAAACACACGTCCCTCTTCAGCCACATTCAACATGGTACACCCCTCCGCTGATGGAGTTTCTGTCCCTTTGGGGGCGGACGAACCCCCTGAGGCTGAGCTGAGAACATATCCTATGTCCAATTCCAAGCCTATGGCCGTTGTCGACTCGTCCAGTCGGCATGCGCCGGCCATGGATCCTCTCTCATTGTCCTCTGAATTGCGTCCCTTGCAGGAACCGTGCGTGTCGCCCCATTCTTTTACATCTTCGATCGCAACCGATGCAACGACACCCCGGTTTGGATGTAGCCCAGGATACACAGACTCCCCGTCTGGTAGCCCGAGCAGCATATCCAGCATGATGAGCATCGCTTCATATCGTCGTGGAGAAACGGCAGACACAGAGGACGATCCTGAACCAGAGCTATATCCCGTTGATGAGGTCGAGGAAGTCGGCGATCGTGCTTTCGCATCCATGGACATCTCTGACGAACCTGCTCCCTCCAAATCTGATCCTCCGCCTTCCTCTGCTAGTTCGACATTGGCATACAGCTCTTCTGAGCCGCGCCGCACGCAATCTGCACCGGTATTGCCGAAGCCTTTAAAAGGGCGAGTGTTTGAGCTACTGGCAGACGAAGATGACAATGGATCCAGCGGGACGTCATCCCCTCATGATTGGGACGGGGAAATTAATGAGCCGCCTCCTCCTCAACCCAACGTGACGCCGCAGGACACAGTCCCACCTGTTCCCTCGCCTCTCTGCATGTGCATTTCTGGCGAAACTGCAGGTACAGCTACGAAGCCTCAAAGTGAGCACGTTTCGATCCCTTCTTCTCCACGGACGACCGTCCAAGAGGCGTGTACCAAAAGCCCACTAGGTGCCTTTGGTCATGCTCACCGACGCATGCGTCGAAGCTTACGGTCGAAAAAGCCCCTAAAATCTGCCTTGTCTTCCTCGGATGAAGAACGTACAGGCCGTTCTCGTCATCGAGAACGCAAAAAACATTCAGTACGATTCTGCCTGGAGCCACAAGAGCAGCGCACACACAGCCCTGTTGACTATGATCGCAAGGCACATCCTGTGCATAACCGACTTTGCCATGATGATCTTCGGGAGCTGCGAGATTTGCATATGCCTATGGATTTGTTAGCATCGCGTTGGAGCACTTTGAGGCTACCTCACCATGGGCAGAAAGGCAGACATTCTGCGAGCGCGCCAGAATTGCCGGCCTATGACATGTGGCATTCGAATGCAATGCAGTCTTTGGCGCTGGAGCAACCGTTACCAGCATCGGGTCCGACTTGTCTTCCGGTAACGGAGACCGATAATACCCCAGCTGCTCCATCATGCAGCACGGTGGCCCCCGCGGCCACAGCACATCGGGACCCGGTGGCCGAGCTCAAGGCTGTCCGGCCGCCCACTCCTACGCATGATTTGCCAGTCGCAAGTCGTTCCTATGCTGCACCGCAAGATCCTCCGCGGGGGCTGTCATCGTCCCTCACAGATTCGCTTGCAGCGCGCTTTGGCCTAACCAAACCGCCGCCACCTCTTCCCGGTGTTGAGTCGACACCCGGGCCGAGGCGGACACAATCTGACAGCAAGCTATATCCTACGCCTCAGACTATGCTTACGACTTCTACAGCGCCAAAGTCCACGGGCGCTTCTGCTGGTAATTCGGCAGCCCACACGAGTGGGTACGAAAGCCCCTCTACAGATCTGGGCGATTATGGTACTGAATATGCGATGGTGGGAAGTTGCCCTTAATAATGTACATACGAAGGAAATGCAATAATAGAGACATGTGAGCTTCTTACGGCACCTTAATACGCCGATTCGCCTGCCTTGGTTAGTCACCCACAAGCATACCAATCATATGTGGAGGAGGCACGATTAGAAATATATGATTGGCTCATGATATGAATGTCACAAGTGCAGGTGCGAATGTGATTTGCCAAACGGCATGTTCTAGTAGGCCTGGTTTTTGCGAAAATTTTCCTTTCGTCCTTTCAAGCTGAGGAAAAAAAGGTTTCTCTTTCGAAATTCGTACTCCAAGATGTCTAACGATTCACAGGGTAATGGCGCAGGCACCACCGGGCTGGAGTCTTCGCTTTCTAACATGAACGTAAATGCCCCCGCTTCCTCGCCTGCTCCTAATGACAACCCTGGTGCGGCTGCAACCGCGACGGCCGGACCCAAGAAGCGCTATGTGCCACCTCATCTTCGCAACCAGCCGGAGGGTGTGGCGCCTCCGCGATCTGGAGGACGTGGCGCCTCGACGCTGCCTCCTGCCTTTAGCAGCGGCCGTCGCGGATACGGTCCTAGCGAGCCTGCTGCGACAGGTGGTCGCTGGAGCGGTCTGAGCAGTGGCGGTGGCTGGAGTGACCGCGGATCTCGTCGCAATGACGGTTTTGGTTCGTGGAAGGACGGAAAGCACATTATTGGTCCGTCGAATGAGCGCCTAGAGCGTGAACTCTTTGGTGTGGCAGACGACGGCCTGCACCAAAGCACGGGTATCAACTTTGACAAGTACGGCGATATTCCTGTTGAGGCGACTGGTCGTGATGTGCCCGAACCGATCATCGAGTTCACTCATCCTCCGGTGGATGAACACCTGATTTCGAACATCCGTCTGGCACGATACACAACGCCAACTCCGGTGCAGAAGTACTCGATTCCGATCGTTGGTGCTGGTCGCGACCTGATGGGGTGTGCCCAGACCGGTTCGGGTAAGACTGGTGGCTTTCTGTTTCCCATCCTTTCGGCACTGTTCACCCATGGCCCGCCACCGATGCCCCCACAGCCCCCATCGTACGGTCGCTCGAAGGCCTACCCCTCTGTGTTGATCCTCGCACCTACACGTGAGCTTGTGTCGCAGATTCACGAGGAGGCGCGCAAGTTCACCTACCGTTCGTGGGTGCGCCCCGCCGTCGTATACGGTGGCGCTGAGATGGGCGCACAGCTGCGCCAAATCGAGCGTGGCTGTGACCTGCTGTCGGCGACTCCCGGTCGTCTAGTGGACTTGATTGAGCGCGGTCGTATCAGTCTTGCTAATGTGCGTTTCCTGGTGCTCGATGAGGCCGACCGTATGCTTGATATGGGTTTCGAGCCCCAAATCCGACGCATCGTTGTGGGCGAAGATATGCCCGGTGTCATGGACCGTCAGACGCTTATGTTCTCGGCTACCTTCCCCCAAAATATCCAGATGCTCGCCAAGGACTTTTTGAAGGAGTACGTGTTTTTGTCGGTGGGTCGTGTCGGTTCCACCTCGGAGAACATTACTCAAAAGATTGAGTTTGTCGAGGACCGCGACAAGCAGTCGGTTCTGCTCGACGTTCTTGCTGCCATGCCTAAGACAGGACTTACACTGATTTTCGTTGAAACCAAGCGCATGGCTGACATGCTGTCGGACTTTTTGATCTACTCAAATATCCCTGCCACCTCCATTCACGGTGATCGCACGCAGCGTGAGCGTGAGTATGCACTGGACCTCTTCCGCTCAGGTCGCACGCCGATTCTGGTGGCTACCGCTGTGGCTGCGCGTGGTCTTGATATCCCCAATGTGACGCATGTGGTGAACTACGACTTGCCGTCCGACATTGACGACTATGTTCATCGTATTGGTCGTACCGGTCGTGCTGGTAACGTCGGTCATGCCACCGCCTTCTTTAATCGCAACAACCGCAACATTGTCCGCGATCTTATCAAGCTACTACAGGAGGCCAACCAGGAAGTGCCCTCGTGGCTCGAGATGGTAGCTTCTGAGAGCGCCTTTTCTAGTGGTAGCCGCGGCGGTCGCGGCGGTCGTATCGGCGGCGGTCGCATGGGCGGTCGCGGCAGTGGCTTTGGTGGTCGCGACTTGCGGTCCGGCATGGGTGGCGGTAGCGCCTTCGGCCCTCGCAGTGGTGGCTACGGCGGCGGCTACGGCGGTGGCAGCTTCTACAACGGCCCCCCTGCCCCCGACCACGGTAGCAGCGCCGGCGGCCAGTCGTGGTGGCAGTAAGCCAATTACCTCCTGCATATCCTTCAACCAAGTCTTGTACACTTAGGCCGACTTCAGGCTCCTTTCCTTCATTGTTTCGGCATGAGCAGCGGTTAGCGCATATACCAATCCATGTTCGATGCCGCCTCTCATGCGCAACGAAGGCATTTCATACGTTGGTAGATATCATCGTTCCTTTTCAGTTGGAAGACTCCCCTTCCTCCACCATGTGGGTAGCTGTCGCACAGATGACTAGTGGGGCGGTCATTCGCGACAACCTCGCTGTCGTACAGCAACTGATCAGTCGCGCCGCCCAATCTGGTGCTAGGGCCATTTTTCTTCCGGAGGGTACGTGTCCTCCCACGCATTGACACCAGCGACGGACTTCATTGCACCGCCCGCGCAGGTCGCCGAGCTGACTCGCTCGCCGGACAATGCTGCGTTTGTGGAGCAGGTCTGTGCGCTTGCCAAGCAACATGACATATGGGTAAGTGTTGGTGTGCATGAGCCGCCCGAGATGGGAGAGCCGACCCGGTGTTATAATACGCATTTGCTTGTCAATGCAGAAGGCCAGATCTGCGAACGGTACCGGAAGGTTGGTATCCCAAACTCATGAATGCAGCTTCATCTCTATGATGTGAACATACACAGTGGCCCCTCCATCCTTGAAAGTCGCACGACCATCCCAGGGACGCGTCTTGTGCCCCCTGTGCAGACGCCTATGGGCCGAATCGGTGTATGTTGCTCGGGACTCATATCCAGCTCCTGACGTGCTACGATATGCGCTTTCCCGAGGTCTCTCTAACATTACGCCATCAGGGAGCCGATATTCTGACTTTCCCATCGGCCTTTGCCGTGCGCACAGGCGCGGCGCACTGGAGCACTCTGTTACAGGCACGCGCTATTGACACGCAATGTTGGGTACTTGCGGCAGCCCAAGTTGGCTTACATCCTGGTTCTACGCGTACATCGTATGTTCTGCCTTCTGACGAATACTAGATGGGGTCATGCGCTAGTGGTAGACCCTTGGGGCTCCGTCGTTGCCCAGTGCAGGTATGTGACGTGCCCTCACATTTTAGCGACATGCCTCCCCTAGCACCGACTTTCTGCCTCGTCGATATTGTATGTTACTTCCGCTGACCCAGGGCCTGGGCACCATGCAGAAAGTTCGAACTGAAATGCCCCTTTGGGACCAGCGACGTAGTGATGTATATTAGTCGCTCCACGCGAGGCTTTCAATTGTTCTTTCCTCCACAACATGAGCCGCGTGCCGCTGATCATTGAGTACGTTGGGCATACTAACGCCTTTCAGCACAGACCCCGGAGTAGACGATTTACTTGCTATTTTGCTGGTAGGTATCTTGCATGGTAACAATACAGGCACTTGGATCACCGGATGTCATACTCGAGGCCATTACTCTAGCGTTTGGTAACACAACACTGGACTATGCCCACGGCAATATCAAGCGGCTTGCGCATGCTCTTAACGTTGCCAAGCAAGAGGGCTCTATAAAAAATCCCACTTTATTGGAGCGCATCGAGAATGGCATTAACGGAAAGCCCGTCCCTGTTGGTCTTGGCGCCGAAAAGCCACTGGGTGGCCGTCTCTTTACAGCCTCGTACTTCCACGGTCGCGATGGCATGTCGGGTGTATCGTTCCTTGAGGGGAACCCGTATCCTGAGGCCACAGAATCCAAGCTTCTCAGCACGACACCGTCGGATCTGTCAGCTTCCGACCTGATTTTGGATGTACTTAAGCGCCATGAGCCCAACACTGTGCGCATCGCCGCCGTGGCTCCGCTTACGAATGTGGCCCTAGCATACCAGAAGGACCCAGAGACGTTTCGACGAGTCCACTCCATCAGCGTGATGGGCGGGGCGCTGGATGTGCCCGGCAATGTACGTTCATCTATGGATTGACAACAGACCACTCCCTGTGCCGAGTTCAACTTCTTCGCTGACCCTTGGGCTGCGAAGTTGCTGATTGAGCAGGCTCAGCGTGATGGGCCACCATTGCCCATTCATCTCCTGCCTCTGGATGTGACAACCATACACACAGTGCCATACTCAAAGCTCGTGCTGCCCGAGGACCACACCCTCTACAAGAACAGCTACCTAGTGCGCCTTATCTCACTGTTTTTGCACAAACCTCGCTCTGTGACCAACTCGTTCGCACCGAAGGGTGTGCCATTCGATGCTGAAAAGTATGATCTATTTGAGTGCCACGATCCGCTGGCTGTGGCACATGCGATGTATCATGGCATACACCCAGGATGGGACAGCGCACAACGCCCTTTCCTCGTCGAATCGGAGGGCGAGCTTACTCGAGGTTTCTGCGTCGTGGAGTACGTATGATCACATCCTAACGTATCAGTCGCCGTGGCCATGGCGATCTTTATGCAGGCCGCAGTAAGGCCGATGTTGAGAGCGAGCGTGGTCCTCAGAATGAGCATGGCGTACTGGATGATACTGAGGTGCGACCTGTCAAGATTGCGAAGGTCGACCGTAACGCGTCTCCAGTGCCCAATGTGTTTACTGTCACGAAAACGCCTGGGTCACACTGGTTCGAGGACATGCTGCTGGGTTGCATTGACATGAAGCAGTAGCATCAGCGTACATAATCGAGCCGCCCCATGGCGGCAGCTATAGAAACAATCGAACTCCTACGGCACACCAGGCGGACGGAAGCCAGGCGGCGGTCCGAAGCCCGGCGGCGGTCCCATGGGTGGGCGACCAGCAAAGCCAGGCGGCGGCCCTGTCGGCATGCCCGGCGGGGGACCAAACGGGGGTGCACCCATGGGCATAGCAGCACCGCGACTGGCAGGCACTCCCCGTCCCGGTCCAGGAGCCAGCTAAGGGTTAGTTGCATGTCACATACCGATGCCGCTTCGCGCTTTGATTCCGGGGGAGGCGCTTCAACGCTAATGCTTATAACATTTTCGCCGCGCAAAATCACCAGACCCAAAGTCCGCTTCTGTTCTTGGGCCGGGAGGGGCTCGTGGTCGTCTTCGTCGTCGTCACCTTGGTCACCCTCAGCGCGGGCACCCTCCGTTGTGTCGCCATGTGCAATTTTTTGTTTCTTGTTGGGCTTAGCAGCCTTTCTCTTTTTTGACTTGACGCGTCGGAACTCTTCGGTATTTGACAACACAAGATTCATGTGGGTATCAAATGCGAGAAGCTGACCGGTCATCTGGCGGCCATCGTTAAGCGTAATACGCAAACGATAGTCGATAAGGGCCATCATTCGGCCACCCTTAGCTTTTACTGGCGGCTGCTTATTAGCCTAACTCACGCACCATCCTCGTGTAGCGATCGTCGTCTGGCGCCAGCGCAGGGGACCGACAAAAGGCAATGACTCCACGTGACGTCCACGTGGTTTATCGCCTGCATAGTCGAGATGACTTGGACGCGCATGGGCCTTCTCATTCTCTGCTGTATCGATGCCGTTGGACTATGATAAGCTCATTTCTCAAGAGTATAGGCGCAGGCCAAAACCTGCGATCCGTTCGCTTTTGTCTCTAGAAAAGAAGCCTGATATGATTTCATTTCTGGCCGGCAAGCCCAACCCTGAACGTTTTCCTTTTGAATCGATCACTGTGCGACTGAAATCTTCCGCAGTCGAGTCCTCTGATCCTTCGACGGGTGAGCCTACCGAATTGGTCGTTGATGGAGACACATTAGAGCGTGTACTCCAGTATGGATCCACCAGTGGTGATCCTTTGTTTGATGAAGCGCTGAATGACATTGTGTCTGTGGTGCACGGCCGCACCCGCCACGATGGCACGCCTGCAGGAGACTTTGATATTGCCATCGGCACGGGCTCTCAGGACCTCCTGGCCAAGGTATGTACAATGTACGACTCATCATCTAGGCTAGCCTCGCCTTGTTTGATAAAGGTGATACAATCCTTGTCGAGTCACCGATGTACCCTGGGCTTTTGCCTGATCTGGGCGCGCGTGGTATCAATGTCATTAACGTGGATACAGACAAGGAAGGTCTCTCTGCTGCGTCTCTGGCACAGGTGCTCGATAGCTGGCACCAGTCTGAACGTACCATGAAGCTACGTTTCCCCAAGGCTGTGTATACGGTGCCCACAGGCGGTAACCCATCTGGCACAACAGCCTCAACGGAACGCAAGCGCGCTATCCTTCAAATTGTTCGCAAGCATAGCGTACTCATTCTAGAAGACGACCCCTACTATTATCTCTCGTTTGACGGCCTGGACATGGACCCTACCACGCGACCTCGGCCACCCAGCTACTTTGCATTAGAGAAGGAGGACAATGATCCCTGGGGGTATGGATATGTATTGCGGTTTGAGAGCTTCTCCAAGATCCTCTCCGCCGGTATGCGTCTCGGCTTTATTGCTGGCCCCAAACCTATCATTGAAGCCGTGTCTGGGTATATGGCATCCTCGAGCATTCATGCATCCTCGCCCATGCAGGTCATAGCGGCATTGCTGCTAAAACACTGGGGTATATCAGGTTTCCAAACTCATGTGGATGAGGTGGCTCGGCTGTATCAGCACCGTCGCAACGTTTTCGAATCGAAGCTTCAATCGGTGTTGGGTGGCGATGCAAGCCACCAAGGCGCCCTTGCCTCTTGGGTCACACCTGTGGCAGGCATGTTCTTCTGGGTGAAGTTGCACTTGCCACCTGAGACCGACGCGCCTGAGGGCGATTCATCTCAAGTGATTACCAAAAATGCTGTGGACCACAATGTGCTTGCAGTCCCAGGGCAGTCGTTTTATGCAGGTGGCCGCATTACGCCGTATGTGCGCCTGAGCTTTAGTGTCATCCCCGAGGAGAAGATGGAGGAGGGCCTTCGGCGTTTGCGCATGGCCATCGAGGACACTTGGAAGGAGCACGGATACAGCACCATTCCTCCCATGTAACTTTCAGTCAGTAGCAGTATTTGTGTCATTTTCTCGGTCCACCTGATCCAAAGCTGCCATAAATCTAGAGGGTAAATGTCACTGTACGCACATGGCTGCTTGACCCAACCCAAGCTCCTTCATGTAAGCAGCCTGCTCGCTGGCGATGTTCATATAATGCTGAGTATGCTGCAGCGTGACAGCCAATGCATCCATCCGAGAAGACAAGTAAGCATAGTGACGCTCCTTGGCGGACGTCAATGTCACGCCTGACATGGGGATGTTGTGGGTCATGGCGCACCCGTCGCTCCACGCGCGCCAACACGCTCAGTGTAGATGACTAATCAAAAACTACTTCTTCATGGAAAACGCGTTCTGAGGTGAGTCCCAGGGGTACAACGTACCTTGAAACGCGACATGTCTCGCGTCCATTTTGGCTTTGCACTGGATGGAATGGATTGTTTCGACTCAGATGCCTGTGGGGAAGCAGTGGCAGGCGATGGGGACGCAGGGACAGCTGCCTCTGTGGCTTTATGACCATGCGCCACGTCCGACACCTTCGTCTTGATCTGCTCGGAAAGTCGACGGGTACCTGACTTTTCCGTCACCTCTGGCACCGATTCTGGCACCTCAGGCGTTGAGAAGCGAAGATCATACCGTTCTTGTGGGGGCAGCTCCTGGGGATACTTGGGCTTCTTGAGTAGGGGCGGCTTTGCCTTCTTGTTGCCCTTGTTAATCTCTTGTAGATACTCCGCTTGGTACTTTTCCGCCTGTCGACGCTGTTCCACGTGCAGATCTGGAGGCGGGGGCTGCCTTGGCGTACCCATGATGCGGAGACTGTCAATAAAGCCCGTGGGGGTGAATACATGCGATGAGCCCAAGTACACTTCCGTGTTGTTCCGTTTGCCCACCTGGTAGGCTGCACGTATCTCTGAGTAGGTCATACCGCCCGCCATGAATACAATCATGCGCTGCGCAGTTGGGTTGCTCATCTCTGTCAACACGGAGCTTGCGGTCCGCATGGTCGCGCTGGTACCGCCCGCACCCATCGTACCGCTGCCCAAGGAAGTAACGGACTGCGAGCGGCCTTTTTGATGCCACGTAGGCTTGGAACTGCGCAAACTTGTCGTGCCGGCACGCATAACTTGAGATCGTGACGAGCTTGAGCCGTCAAATCCAAATCCGACACGGGCAAGCGGCGAGTCCTTACCACCTGTGGCGCTGATGGCAGAATGCAAAAGACCAGTGGCGTAATCTTGAGCACTCAAGCTAAAGGACATGGACTGATTCATAAGTTGTGTGCCCCGCGACTCTTGAGGTGCGTCGCGTACGTAGGGGAACATGGATTGGTCCAATCGGCTCAACATATGGTCCTCCATCATGGTGCGAATCAATGGTTGGAACCGACTAAGCTCGTATTCGGCCTGTCCAGGCGCCGGAAGCCGAGGCGAGAGGGTTTTGCGTCGCTTTCTAAAGATGGCATCTAGACTGGACGTAGATGCTTCGCGAACGACACGCGCACTCAGGTGAGCGAGGTTGTTGACAGCGGCCATCTCCCCGCCAGTGAGGCGGGCGTGTTGGAAAAGCCGTTTTCGGTCCTCATCATGCACACCATCGCAAAAGAGAATATACAAAGCGATGATACGGACCTTGTCGGAGCCGCTGATCGTAGGGTCGTCAAGCAATGGCACCATCTCCTCGATTAACGTCTTGGGCCGCGTGCCTTCGGGCGTCTGGCCCGTGGCGCTGTTCTGCTCTACCATGGCCTGAGCAGATAGCTTGCTCTTTTCAAACTTGTCCATGCAAAGCTGCGCCAGAGTCAGATGGACCGATAAACGCTGCTTCGTCTGCTGCATTTGCGGCAGGGACGCCAGCATATCGCGCATACCATCGATAGAGAGCTGATCATTAAACTGACTCGCTTCACCCATGTGGCTCTTGAACTCGCGCGTGAGGTACTCAATAGCCTCGGCAATGTGCAGATGTCGGATTCTTGTCCACACATCGTCTTCGTCATTGAGCTCGACGTCAATTTCTTCCCGCTCGCCCTCCGCGTTCTGGAACGAGTGCTTGTATTTGCCGTCTCGAATTTCAACGAGGTCGTACACCATCGCCTGATATGTAAATTCGTGCAAAAATGGCGACCATAGGTCCATGGTTCGATCAGTAATAAAGAGCACACCCCGTGGGCGCCCGGGATCTCCGAGCATTTGTCCATGGCTGGTATATTCATCCAGGGCTGCTTGTACACGTAGGGCAAGCTGCTGCGTGAATGGCATGCCGATCTGTACACGGCCTTGGTCTTGTCCCTTACGGGCATCGTCGGCGGCAAAGGTGCCTTCGACGGTATCAGCCTGGGCTTCCACAGAGAGGGGCCCTAGTACTTTCCCTGGCACATTCAAGTAGCGGATCAATGGGTTTTCATTCAGCGTGATACACACGTTCAACAACGATTGCGTCGCCATGTCGAGTTCATCCTGCAGCAGGGCCAGGGACTCGTCCATGGTAGGCGCAAATTTGGTATCCATCGGCTGGAAAATAGAAAAAAAAGAGGTCGGGTGTCTTAACGAGAAAACCTGCGATTCGATAGCTGGTGTGAGTGAGATGCGAGGCACGTACGCCACATGCTAATAAACAGTTCCACAAGCTGCTTAAGTCGCGGAGCTGCTTTAGACTGCGTGAGCTTCGTCACAAGGTCATCCGATATCGCTGCGTAAGCATGATATGCATACCATCGACGAAAAATATATGCGCAGCTTCATATTTGGGGGGTTCGCCGGCTGGCGGTGCCAAGTCGCTGATGATGCGATCCATGTTCTGTGATGTTGAGCATAACAAATAAATCGTCTCCATGGTCGGCTGAGGATCCCTCGGCTTCTCAATGTTCTCCACCTTGGTAATATTCTGCTCTAGAATGTCGAACATGCGCATGACAGACGACAAGTACTGCATTGTGTACGAGTCGACCACCAAGTTCTTCCATCGTGACGCTGGCTGCACGGTCTGAAATGCATTCAGATACCCTACATGTTATACATAAGAAAACGTACGTTGCTTCACGAGTGTTTGAAGACTCCTCGCGGGCATGGCGTCCGTAGTGGTGTGGATCGAAGAAGACGCACAAGGTAGCCTATCGCGTGGTCCCTGCGCGGACGACCCGGAACGTGACACGGCCGACGTGCTGCAGTTCCGTGGCCTCCACTTGACGGACAATGTCCAACGCCACCGACCCCACCGTACGTACTGCGCGGACCCATTCCTAGGCGCTAGGTATGTCTGCGATAGAGCGTTTGGGCATCAAGCCCCTACGTAGTGGCTCTACGGTCGTAAGTGGCAACGAACAACCATAGTGGGTCAACCGCCCTAGAATTAGTCAGTCGAGGCAGATATGGGCCTGTTCATGTACTATGCTAGCAGCCGATTTATTCTTACAGCCAACAACACGCCCCATTGTACGCCAACATGGCTCACCCTGCGGACTATGCTGCTACCAGGTGGCCCATACGGCGAGCTATTGGATCACGTGACGACAAGACCAGAGTCGGTGAGCGCCCTGCTTCCGTCTCCTTAGGACGATGTCGTTCTTCGGTTTCGATACAGCGCTGCCGCGCGAAGACAAGGCAGCAGCGCTTGCGAATGACGAAGAACGTGCACTCAATGAAAAAATCCAGAAAGCTCTGGATGCCAGTGCTCAGGAAGATGTCGAAGTGTACACATGGGGTCAAGATGGCTACGACGGTTTGGGCGACCAGCTGGACGAAACCAATGATGACTTTAATGAGGACACATTCGGCGCCTTTAGTGAAAATGTCGGAAAGGATTTCGACTTTGGCACAGGCGCGCCCGCTCCCGCGAAAAGCGACAAGAATGCGTCGGCGTTCGCTGCCTCGCTGGACGACTTTTGGGATCTGCCTGGCCAGCCGGCGGCTGACATGGCGCCGGCGCCCCCTGCTGCGGCACCTGTTGTGCCTGAGACACAGCAGAGCGTTGGCGCCCCACGTCCTGCGACACTGAGTGAGATTGAAGCACAGCTCGTGCCGCAAAAGCCCGCGCCGCAGGAGGCCCGTCCGCTGACGCTGAGCGAGGTTGAGTCTCAATTTCTTGTGCAGCGTCGCGCGGCGGCGGCTGTACCGCCTGCGGTCCCTGCCGCGTTGCCACCACACGTGGCACCGGCCTCTATGCCTGCGCGGCCTGTGGTGCCCCTTCCTGGGGGTGTGGTGCCCCCTGGCGTGCCCATGGCTACCCCTCCGGCGGTGCCGCCGATGGGTGTACCTGGCAGGGCGCCGCCGGTGCCTGGCCCACTTGGTGCACCACCACCCAACCCCCAGGCCGCGCATCTCGCACGCATGCGCAGCATGCTAGAGGCGTGCCCAGCTCCGGTGCAGGCCAAGATTTTGTCGCTGCCTCCTCCGATCCAATTCGACTCGCTTGAAGAGGTCGTGCAACGGTATCCCACGCTGCTACGTTCTGAGGCTACGGATTCTGAGGCGGCTATCCAGTGGCTTATGTCGCAGGCGCCCGCGCGTCTCCAGCAGTGGCAACGGGCAGAGGAAAAACGCCGTGTCAAGGCGGCCAAGGTTGCACAGATGGCCCGCTACAATGGTGTTATGTCTGGCTCAGACAAGGACTTTATCACGCGGATCCAGATCAGCCACCTCGTGTCAGCCGACCCGTACACGGATGACTTTTACGCGCATGTGTTCTTCGCGGTACGTGGCGGTGCGCGCAAGGTGGTCGTGCCGGATGGTTCTGTGGAAGCCATCCAAGAGCACAAGCAGGCAGAGCAGACGGGCAAGGGCTCGAGGCGCAAGTTGACGCGGCATGAGAATGCCATGCTTCGTATGCAGCAGCAGGTGGAACGTCTGGTGGATAACCGGAAGAAGCGCGAGGCCAAGGGCGCAGTGTCATCGCTGGAGGGTACGCTGGGCCGCGTGAGTCTGGTCTCTGCGACCAAGCCGCGTCAGATGTTGCAGCTGATCAGCAAGCCGAATGAGGCGCAGGCGCCCACCGCCGAGGCCACGGATCACGAAGATGCGATGCGCATGGCGCTGAAAGGAGCGTCGCTGGGCGACGCGGCGCGGGAGCCTCAGAATGCCACGCGGAAGGCGCTGACGAGGCGCGAGACACTGAGCATTCTGGAGCAGTTGTACTCGCTGACGCTGCGTTTGGAGCAGCTGCGTCGGGAGGCACCTGTCGACGACAGCGAGCTGAAGCAGCTGACACAGCAGCTGTGGAAGGAGCTCCGGGTGCTGGAGCCGCTGGGCGTGTCGGACCCCCATCCATTTGTGTCGCTGCTGAACCATGTGAAGGGCAAGCGATTGCTGCCGCGCATCCTGCGACTGCTGGATGCAGAGCAAGCGCTGACGATGCTGACGATGCTGATCGCGTCGTTCCAGTCCCTGGATGCGGTGCGGGACTATGCCGCATGGGAGCAGTACCAGGTGACTGAGTCGCTGCGGCACATCCGCAGCGCCCTCTCGCCGCAGCAGGCGGCGAACGTGGCACGGAATATTGAGGCGTTCATGAACTCGGTGCTCTTTATTATGATGACACTAATTAGCAGCATGTCACTACGCATCGTCAGTGGTATGCTAGCTTTGCTGATGGAGCGCAATGACGTGCTCTTTTGTGCCAAAACGCGCCCAGGTCTGTCGCTGCTGACCGCACTCCTCTCCCGGGCCGAGTCCCTGAAGCAGGCCGCGAGTGTGCCGCAGGCTGCTGACGCGCCCGCTGCGGACGAACTCGCGCAATGGAACAGCGTGCAAGGTGTGCTGCTGAGCCGTCTCTCGGCGCAGGGGCAGCTGCCGAACCTCTTTTTCTCAACACGTGTACAAGAGTACGTGCCGTTCGGCATCGACATGTACATGGCCGGGCGCCGCCCCGGCAGCCACGCGCCTGACGCCGATGTCGAGGACGAGCCGGCGTGGAACCTCATGGCGCTCTTTGCGATCCACGCCGACCTGGGTCAGCAGCAGGTGCTCGTCCAGGAGCTGCGCGACAAGATTCTCTCGAACGTCATGGCTGCCAAGGAGGCGAGCAGCAAGGGCGGCGCCGCCCCTGGCGCGGAAGACGTACGCATTCGCAACGTCAATTTGCTGGTACGTTTATGTTGCTCACGGTCAGTTGCACGCACTAAATCTCGATGCCGCGCAAATCACACTATAGGGTATCTATGGCTCAAGCTCGTGCGTGCTGGACCAGTCCATGTCCTGGCGCAAGACGCCAGCGAGAATCAGCTCGGGCGAATATACACGCCATGGCGCATCAGGGTGATGCTTCCCGTAGTCCTTGCGCAGTGAGGCGACAACCTTGGCGTCCTCTGCACAGCTCACCACATGCGTTTGTGAATCCCACGTTGCCGTGTCCGTCTTGGCCGTCGCCACACTGGCTTGGCCGCCGGCCGCCTCAACGATGTGCGCCAAAATGTCGCGTGACGGTTGCACATGGCGTGTCAGTATGATGTGGTGCCCCTGCAAAAGGGCACCGGGATGCAGCCGGCTGCGCGCAAGCACGTCAGAGAGCTGAATGCCCCATTGTTGCTCCTTCTTCCGGTCGACAAGCGCATACGATCCGGCTGGAACGACCGCCTTAGCCTTAACCATCGCTCGGACCCAGCTCATTGACACCACGTCCAGGCCCCGGGCAATTGCACAAAGCATCTTTTCGGTGCGTGTTAGCGACTTGGCGACGAGATGTGTCGCTTCCATCATATTGTCCGTGCGTACAATCGACAAAGTGTCTAGCACATGGCGCTCGTGCTCAGAGAGCTCCACAGACGTGGTCGCAATCACGGGCAGTGTGGGCCGAGGTCGCTTGCCTGCATCCTCGCTGGCAGACACCGAGCGCTTGCGCGTGCGCGATGGCTCGGAGGCCGGCGCAGTGTCAGACAGGGGCGCTTCTGCTCCCTCTGTCAGCGTCTCGTCGACACGCTGTGCGTCCGAGAACACGTCTTCGGGGGGCAGAACCACGTGGTCATCTGCCGCGAGGGGTGCTGACACGGACTCCGAGACGTCGTCGTGAGCCGCTTCAGGAACCGCCTGCGCGGGCGTCGGCGGCGTCACAGAGAGGGCCGGCTCCTCGTGCTCCGTGCGGTAGGGTGTGAGGCTCGACTCAGCCACGCCGACATGGCCGACGACAGCACGGAGCTGCGCGGCCCCTGGGAAAGTGATAAATTGGCGCTGCGCCAAGTTCTGGTTCGTCCATGTGGCGAAGCAGCTCTCGAGCCACGTATGATTGACTAGCGGAATGTTCCACTCGCGTGCCTTGGCGACCTTTTCGCCCCGCAGCTCCAACGCTACACATACGCTGTTGGCCGGTGTCATTTCAGGGGTAAACGTGGCGCCCATTTTCGCAATCAGTTCCTTGAGATAGACGCGTGCCTGGCCCGTGTAGTTTGTGAGCGTGATCGTCAGACTCTCAAAGCCAGGTACTGGCGCATGAGGGAAAGGAAAGTGCAAGAGACGGTCGCGCGGCGACGTCATGTGGCCCGTCGATAGCACTTTGACCAACCACGCCAGCGTGCCAATAGTCTTGTCATGCTGCAGCGCGCATGCAAACTCGTCCGACTCGCGGTACCGCGCAACGACAAGGTCTGCGCGCCGCACAGCTGCCTGGACCTCTTTTAAGGGCGCATTCGCCGCTACGACGTCGAGGCAGCGGCCGCCAGCACGCTCAATACGGTCGCGAAGCGAGTGTAGCTGCGGGTGCGACTCGAGAGAGCCACCGTGGATGTCACGCGATAGCAGCACGGCCTTGCCCTCCAATACGACATGGTCCGAGTTTGCTGGCGTTGCACACGGTTCTGACGGCGCAGACTCGGTGGGGCGCTGCCATGCAGCACGCATGCATACAGGCAGCGATGTGGCATCGGCCAGGTCGAACAGGTAGTCATCTTCAGGGAGGAGGCGATTCAGGCTGAATGAGTCGTTGATCCAATGAGGCGCTACCGCTCGGATCTTTATGTCCGGGTGGCTCGCGAGCGCCTGCATCTTGCTGCCCTCGTGCGAGGAGGCCACGAGGTGCGTCACGTCCTCACAGAGGGTCTGGCGGACGCCGCCACCGAGGGAGGTGATAGCGGACCCGAGCATCTCGACATCATGCGGCGAGAGACGCGCGCATGTAATGATAATGCCGCTAAAAATCATCGCAGGGTCCGGCGAGAACAGATGGGGGGGCTGCGGGTGGCCCAGCGCGACAGAGCGGGTGGCCCACCGTGGCTGTGTCAGAGGCAGCGACATACCGTTACAGCGACAGGGCCGGACACATGGTCCGCAGCATCGTTATCGCATGGATCGCATAAGCGCGCCCATTCGCAGTGACTCGTCTCCGTGATAAGGTGCGTGACCGAGTCGCGAAAGCACGCGGCAGGATCGGCAGCGTTGCCGGCCTCCGCAAGGGAAAACTCACAAGCCCCTTGCGCTGCAAGGGCACCGGCAATCTTCCTTTAGTGATCTGCACTTACTTCGTCACGACGGCTAGGTCTGACGTTATCAGCCAAGGCGAAACGCACGGCTTCCCACGCCAGCGCGAGTGTCATTCGTGTAAGGTAGAGCGTCGCGTCGCACTGCGGGGTGGGCCACGTGGAAATTGCAGCGATGGCGTGCTCCGCCGGCCTTATTCTCCACAAGATGAGGTGATTGCTAAATTTTTCGACGCTAAAAGGTAGGGGCTTGAAAGCTGCGACGAGAGGCCTGGCTGGTGGCCCGTAGCTTAAAAGCGGCTGCAAGATGCGACACGTCTCTCACACGACGGGTATGTGGAACCGCGTGAAGGCGGCCGCAAAGAAGATCGTCGCCTATGACGACACCGAGGCGAATCGTCTCGGTGTGCCGATGGTGGGCGTGAGCGACTATGTGCGTGAGCACTGGAAGAATCCGCGGCGCGCGGCGCTCGACTATGTCGATTCGCTCTTCCCCATGCGCCGGTGGATTCTCTCCTACAATACGGGCTGGCTAGCTGGTGATCTAATCGCCGGTATCACGGTGGCGCTCGTGCTGGTGCCACAGTCGATGTCGTACGCAAACGTGGCTGGGCTTGCGCCGCAGTTTGGATTGTACTCATCGTTCGTGGGCGTGGTCATTTATGCGCTTTTTGCGACCTCCAAGGATGTTACGATCGGTCCCGTGGCTGTCATGTCGCTGCAGACCAATTCGGTGATTAAGAGTGTCACGTCCGAGCTCGGGCCCAATATGTCGGTCCGGCCGGAGGTGATCGCCTCGGCCCTCGCGTTTCTGTGTGGTATTATCACGCTGGGTCTGGGCCTTCTGCGCATCGGATGGATCGTGGAGTTTATCCCGGCGCCGGCTGTGTCGGGCTTCATGACGGGCTCCGCGCTCACAATCTTGGTCGGCCAGCTGCCCAAGCTGTTCGGCGAGCGGAACGTGAAAAATAACGATGCCTTTTACCGAATTGTGATCAACTTTTGCAAGGAGCTGCCCAATACCAAGATCGATGTGGCCATGGGCATACCCGCCCTGGTCTTCCTCTACCTGGTGCGATGGCTGTGCTCGTACGTTGCGCGACGCTACCCCAAGTACGCTCGTGTCGCCTTTTTCGTGTCTGTCTTGCGCAGTGCCATTGTGATTCTTGTGCTCACGGTCGCGAGCCGCATCTGGCTCGGCCACTATACATCATCGAAGGAATACCCCATCAGTGTGATTGGCAAGGTGCCGCGCGGCTTCAAGGACATGGGCCAGCCGTCGCTGCCGACGCCGGTGCTGCAGAAGATTGGACCGAATCTTCCCGCCTCCGTCATCCTGCTCCTCCTTGAGCATATTGCCATTTCCAAGTCGTTTGGTCGCCTGAACAACTACAAAATCAACCCGAACCAGGAGCTCGTGGCGATCGGCGTAACGAACCTCATTGGTCCGTGCTTTGGTGGCTACGCTGCGACGGGCTCCTTCTCGCGCTCGGCGATCAAGTCCAAGTCTGGCGTGCGTACTCCGCTGGCTGGCTGGGTCACTGCGATTGTTGTGCTGATCGCGATATATGCCCTGGCTGGTGTATTCCAGTGGATTCCCAACGCGGCGCTGGCCGCAGTGATTATCCACGCGGTCGGCGACCTGATCGCGACGCCTGCACTGCTGTACAAGTTCTGGCTCATGAGCCCGCTCGAGTTGATCATCTTCTTCGCCGCTGTCATTGTCACAGTGTTCACAAGTGTGGACTACGGTGTGTACACATCGGTGGCGGCATCTGCAGCGCTCCTGCTTATCCGCATCGCCCGCCCACGAGGCAACTGGCTGGGTGTGGTGCGTGTTGAGCATCGCGACCCGGCCACGGACAATGCTCAGCAGCGCACAGTGTTTGTACCGATGGAGAATCGCGATGGACTGCGCGACCCGTCGGTGCAGGTTCTTCCGCCGGCACCTGGCGTGTTTGTGTACCGTGTGGAAGAGTCGTTCACGTACCCCAATGCGTCGCACATGGCCGAGATTATTGGCGACAAGATCAAGGCCGAGACGCGCCCTGGGCGCCACAATGTGGGCCGTCGCGGCGATCGCCCCTGGAACGACCCAGGCCCCCCGAATGAGTTGCTACTGCGCGCATCGCGTGCGCTGACCTTCTACTATCACCGGCATAAGGATGCACCCTCTCTCGAAGAGGAGTTGGCACAGACAGAGTGCAAGCGCAACCACGATGATCGCCCGCCGCTGCATGCACTGATCCTCGACTTTGGCTCGGTGAGCAACGTTGACTCGACCTCTGTGCAGGTCCTCGTCGACTTGCGTAATGCGCTCGAGAGGTACAGCGGCCACCCTGTGCAGTTCCATTTTGCACACATCCTGAGCCCATGGATTCGCCGCGCCCTACTTGCCGGTGGCTTTGGCACAGGACGTCTCCAACGACACGTTACGGAAATCGCCTCGGTCGTGCAGCAGGGCGACGCGCGTCCCATTGTCGGGCCAGAAGCCCATACACAGTCAAGCTCTCCTAGCCCCGAGCTTAGGACCCCGGTCGACGTCGAGTCACAAAGCGGCACCATGGAAGCCATGGACCGTCTCGACTTTGACATTCGCAATCTCGACGCTCTGTATGCCCGAGACAGCAAGGTCGAGCACAATGAGGACCCAAGCATCGTGGTTCCGATCATGTGGAACAATGAGCTCACGCCATACTTCCACCTCGATCTCGCGGCAGCCCTCTCAGCGGCAGAAGGCAGTCTTCCCTCAAAGGGCGCGTCTGCTGCGTGAGACGCCATGCGGGGCGTGTTCATATTTCCTAGATATTATTGTACATTAGTCGGTCACTCCACACCATCGCCTGAGTCAGTGCGTCTAGGCGCTTCGTGTCGCAGAATGGAGCTGCCGAGACCGTCACAAACCCCGGATTCGTCCTGGGAGGTTGATGATATGGTCGGCGTTTCATCCCATGCCCCTATGCAGGTGCTACCGCCACCCTATGAAGCGTCTAGCCCCACGACGTCCAGTCCATCGAGCTCGAGGGTACTAGGCCACCAGCGTTCACGCCCATTGCCGTCTGCACCACGGCGGTCGTCCGCATGGGAGCACTCGGTTAGCGCGCTTGATACCCTGCCCAGGCGCCTGTCCGAAGAGACCCCGGTCGGCGCACGGTCGCGGCTGCGCGAGCCGCTCCCACGGCCGCCATCGCCGGCAGCGTCTGATGAGACGACGCCCCCAAGCTACGTACAAGCGACGCCCAATGTGCCTGTGCCCCTAGTTCAATCGATGCTTAGCACGTCGACGGATCTAGCACGTCTTTCGCATGTCGCGCAGCTGCTAAGCTGTGTGATTCCCCGGCAGCCACTCATCAAAGGCAGCGTCGTCTATCCCCTCAGCTTCACCGGACGCACCCTCGTATCGACGCTTGCCGATATGTTGTCGCAGTATGTGCATGTGTCTCCGTGCTTTTCCGCGTCTGAGTCTCTATTGCTGCACGCTGCGCGCGCGCTTGCGCTGAATATGGCGCGCTCGCTGCAAACGCAACTGTTCCTACACGAGGCCGACTGGGAAGACCAGCCCATGTCCGACGATGTTGGTGGCGTGTACATGCTGTACTCCGACCGCACCCACACAGACAAGGCGTCGCCACCGCAGGTGGCCATGCCCGGCCTCTCAGCCGAGTTGTTTGTTTCGACACCCTGGGATACAATCGCCCTCTCGCCTGTGGCAGCGGCTGCTGCCGCCTCAGTGCCAAGCCATGATCTGCCCTCTGGTCTATTCACACCACTCACGCGCTGCTACAGCCCGACTTGCTCCCACACAGAGGGCACTTGCTATGCGCCCAGCTGCGCCCGCACGAAGCGCATGCTGTTGTGTACGCTTGAGGAGCCGAGGGAGACGGTCGACACTGTGGCCGCTGCCGCTTGGGTCGAGACTGTCCCTGCGGCGCTCGTTGCGTCGCTTCCCCGCGAGGAGGTGAAGCGCCAAAATGCCATCTACGAGTTTGTGCAGAAAGAAGAGGCGTTCCTGCAGGACCTGGATCTGCTGCGCCAGTGGGAGGAGCGCCTGCGTCAGCGCTCGACGCAAGCGTCGGTGGGGCTGCTGAACGATGCGCCGCTGCCGGGCGAGGCGCTCGAGTCGTTTGTGCGTGACGTGTTTGGGCTCGTGGCGCCACTCCAGGTCCATATCCAGGCTTTTGTGGACCGCTTGCTCGAGCGGCAGCGGGAGGAGGCGCCGGTCGTGCAGCACATTGCCGACGTGATTGTTCGTGCAGCGCTCGAATGGTCGAATGCGTACACAGTGTATGTGGCGCACTATCCTATTGCGCTCGCACGCTTCAAGGCGGAAGTTGCCGGCAATGCACGGCTTCGGCGCTTTGTGGATGACTGCCGGCGCGATCCAGCAGCACAGCGCCACGCTCTCGATCAATTCCTGTTCCGCCCGCCGGCGCGGCTGCAGCGGTACCACCTGCACTTAGAGTCGATCGCGAAGTACACGCCACCCGACAACGAGGAAACTGAGACCCTGGCGCTGGCCCTGTCGATCGTGGACGAGCAATGTCGCCGTGCGCAGATCGGCGTCGAAGAAAGCGAGACACAGCTCCATCTGCGTCATCTCGCGAGTCAGTTGGAGCCAAAGCGGCCGGAAGTGCTGGTGGATTTGAACCTGCGGCACCCCCAGCGCCGGGTGCTCCTGGAGACGCCTCTATTTCGCTGGCCGGACAATTTTGAGTTCGAGTGGACGGAAATGCGTGGCATCCTGCTAGACAACTACATGGTGGTTGCCAAACTCAAGTCGGACGAGGGGGGGGCCGCTCGCGACGCACCTGCGAAGCTCGTCTACAGCAAGCGCCCGATCCCCTTGCCATGCCTCGATGCCGGCGGCTTCCGCGACCCCCCGGTCGGTCGCAGCTCCGTTGGCCGGCGCCTGCTGCCGACAGACGTGCATGGGATGTACCCCTTCTCCGTATGGCACCGCTTCCGGCCTGCACAGGTGTGGACACTGTACGCGCCATCGGAAGAGGTGCGCCAGGTATGGCGCCAGGCACTGAGCCGCTCGGCGACGAACGATCCAGCGTCGGGTCCCCTCGTGCGCTGCGACTGCAGTGGTGACATGTTTCATCCCCCCATCGCGTCGCCCAGCACCTTCCTGCCATGGCGCGATGCGCCCGGAGTGGTCGACCTCACATGTACCGCCTCGTGGCTTGGCCCTAGCGGCGAGAAGCTGCTGGCGATCGGCACGTCTGACGGCGTGTGGATCGGGCACCAAGCGCAGCCGACGACGCTGCGCAAAGTGCTGCATGTGCGTCACGTAACGCAGTGTGCGGTGCTTGCGCCATACCACCGCTTCCTCGTGCTGGCTGACCGCACACTAATAGCGTACGACCTCGAAGCGCTCGTGCCGAGCGGCGCGAGCGTGCCGAGCCTGGCGCCACTGCGCCTGAGCCATGCACGGGAGGTGCAGTTCTTTGCCATGGGCGAGCTCGATGGGCGTCCCTACCTCGTCTATGCGAAGCGTAAAGCGACGGAAACGAGTGTGCGGGTGATGGTGCCGGTCACCTCCGTCGCCTCGGAGCGGCAGCCGGCGTCGCTGACGGGTCTTCACCTGCTGCATGTACGTGTATTGACTAACGCAGAAATTCTACGTGTATCCTGAAGCGACGCACATTCAGTGCTCCGCCCGCGTCTTGTTCGTTTCCACGCCCCGCGCCATGTTCTCGTACAGTCTCGAGGATCAGGAACTCGTGCCGTTTCCCGCTGCGCGTCAGCGCGACGAGCGTGGCCAGGCGCTGCTGCGTCAGTGGGACAATGCACACCCACTCGGGGCCTTTGCTGTGCGGGACTTGGGTTGGCTCGTGTGCTTTGATCGCGGTGGCATGTATGTCGATGGTAACGGGCAGCTCGTGCAGCCTGAGCAGGCATTTACGTGGGAGGCGCCCGCACAGCGCGTGCTCTATCATAAGGGCTATGTACTGGCTGGCTACACGTCGTGTATTGAGGTACGTGAGGCGCACACTGGACGCCTCGCCCAGATCCTTGTAGGCCGTGATTTGCGCCTCCTGTCGCGACAGGATGCGGCCGCAGAGTCGCAGCTCTCGGCGTGCCCTGTGCCGACGATGGTGGAGCTGCGCAAGTCGTCGGACCGCCGCGACGTGCCACGCGTTATGGCGCTCGTGCCAAGAGATACCCCGAGTACGTAGGCGGTGCACTACTCGCGATGTGCGTGCACAACACGGAGACATGGCTTACCGGCTGCCGTCAGTATTATATACGTACTCTCTTTGCAAATAAGTGTAACGACGTCGTACACAAAGTACGCGTACACTGCAAACGACAGCGCCAAGCTGCCATACACAGCGTTCGTCAGCGCAGAGAGCGAGCCCTGCAGCACCGGCTGCGGCAAGTGTGCGTCCACAGCAAGCACCAGGCTCGGCAGAAGCAGCACGTTCCAGTAGGGGTATGGCGTATGGCACACGTGCGCAAGAATGACCAGGCCGACCAGGTAGGCAAAGCTAAGGCCCCAGAACAGGAGGAACGGCACAAAGACAGAACCATGCACCATGACCTGCGCACCGTGGCCCATCGCCCACGCCATATTCGCCACAGTCTGCACAGCAAACGGAACAATGCCCACGAGCGGCATTAATGCTGAACGCTTCTCTTCAACGCATCGGCGGTACACATGCTCGTAGCCCGTCCAAGCATTCAGCAGCAGGCCCAGGCACGAGAACAGCATGAACAAGTCTCCCAAAGGCACATTCGCAAACGCGAGGTTCTCACGCACCCACGCAATGTGCGCAAGACCTGTCACATTAAGAAAGCCCTGTACACAAATCACGGGCCCCAGTGCGACTAGCAGCAGGTACAATGCGCAAATGAGCACGATGCCTTCCACAGGGCCTGAAAAGGACGAGAGGAAGAGCGTGTGCGTGTGATACTCTTCCCACGTCGTCAGGAAAAAGTTGGTCATGGCCGACGTGAGACCAATGAGTGTCCAGTACGAGCGCCCTAGGCCCATCGCCGCACACACCAGCACCGATTCGAGGGTCGTGTTCAGTGCGTCGCAGCCGTGGTCGAAGAGCTCGCCCAGTGGGCCGGACATGTTTGTGCGGCGCGCCTGCTTTCCATCGATAGCATCAAGGCTCTGGTACATGAACAGGCACGCTGACCACACCCAGAGCATCCACACAGGCACCGCCGACGCTGTCGATGGCTGCACGCTTTGCAGCGCCTTGGGCAGACCGCCCTCAGGCAGCAGCGGCACCGTCGGCAGAATTCCATCGTGCTCCATCACATGCGCGCGCATGCGTGTGGCAGCGTCCAAGTGCCCGTCGGCAGCCAGCAACATGATAAAGTTGACAAACACGAGCAGCAGACCGCTCAGTGTAAGCATGTTGGGCGCGATCGACAGTGGGACTAGCGTCACGAGCCAGTTCCAATATGGAGCAAGCACATATCTCGTCAGCAGCGATGTGCCACCGCTCGAGTACTTGTACTGCGCAAGATTTGCCCGCTCCCGAGCGCCCAGATAGTGGTACATAGGGGAGCTCGCCCGTGCATCCATGCCGGAGGTCGCACGTGCGCCAAAGTTTTCTACGGGTATCTGGTTACGGTGCCTCCACACGCGTGTCGCGCCGGATCTGCAGGGTGCCAAGATCACCGACGTGGGTCTCGTCCGCATATGCGTCCGTTTCGCCGCCGCGCGCGTCGTCATCGTCGTTAAGCATTACTGTTCGCCCAACACGTGCAGCTGCCGCCAAAAAAGCACCAGGCGATTCCGTGGCAGTTGACGCATCAGCGCCGGGCACCTCAATGGCCAGTTCTTCCTCGTTCGCGAGGTGCAACAGGCAGATAAAGCAGAAGGAGGTGCTGATCTCTTCGTATTTTTTCGCTGGATATATATCCTCCAGCTTCATTAGCACCGTGTCAAACGATTGTGCATCTTGTTTGAGCGCGAGCGTTTGCCAAATGTGGTCTTTGAGCTTCTTCACATCCACCTGCTTCGCGCGCCGCGCGTGGTCCACAAATTCAGGTCGCACTCGGCGCACCGCCTCGCTGGACAGTAACTCCTCGTCCACATCGCTGTCCATGTCCAGCTCGCCGCCCGCATCCACGGGCTCAGGGGGCATAGGTAGCACATCGTCGTACACATCGTGGTCCTCAAACAAGTCCGTGCGGAACGCGCCGTCCCCGGCTGGCAAGGCACCTACGTCATCAGCGCCCATCCACAGGCCATCCACGTCGTCCGTATCCCAGGCAGACCCTTGGGACGCCGCCGCGCGTCGCGGCCGCAGCAAAATCGTCGCCTTGGGCTTGAGGAACAGCCGCAGCAGGCGCTTCGAGTTAAAGTGCTGGTCCTCGGGCAGCAAATGCGAATCTTTGCTTACCTGTACCGCCTTGCTAAGAAGGATGCTCGACGGCGCCGCACTTGGCGCAAAGAGGTCTTTCGCATTGGGCGCCGGTGTAGGCGATAAGAAATCCACCACCTGCGCCTCCTTAGGTCGCCGCGTTTTCGGTCGCTCCTCCGAGGCATCCACTGGCACCGACATCGCTGCGGCCGGGCGCATATGCAACCGGCCCATTTTCCAGTGCTCGGGGCCGGCCCAAGTCTTTTGCATATGATCGTCAAAGTACTGGAAAAGACGATCGTGCTCGTCTGTGCGTGTTTCATGCGACATCTCGTCTGTAGGCACCACAGCCACATCAAACCTCTGCTCGTCGCCATCCACAGGCACTGCACCTTCAAAAAAGTCAAGGCCGTCCATATCCAAAGCTTCACCTCCATCGAAGCTAGCGTCTAGCTCCATAGGTTCTTCCATGGATGGGGTAGACAGCACAGCATCGTTGCCTTCCGCGAACGTGAATGTAGCTGTGGACGGACAAAGGAGGCGACTTTCGAGCAGCGTGCTCAGAGGCATATCCGGCGTAACACTGGAGTCCATCTGGGCCGCTGCTGCAAACAAGCGTGCCTGGAGCTTTTCCAGGTCGATGTGTGCCTCTGTGTCGTCGTCGACCGACGCAGCACTCACGCCAGCGTCCGCTTCGTCCTCCGTCCCGCCAGTGGGCGGCGCATCGCCCCCATCGGTATGTCCCGTAACGTCCGAGGCATCAAAAACGACCTTCATATGCTCGTCCACGTGAAGGTGGTTCATGAGCAGGCCACCAGCGCCGCCCTCGTCAAAGTCGGCGCTAGTTTTCTTGAAAAGGGGATCGACCGAGAACTCCAAGTCAAAGCGCTTCACTTGCAGCTGCGCGAAACTCTTGGCGAGCGTTGGCTCACGCGCCCGCTGCCGCCGTCTTGTGCGCCCTGGTCGTGTGCCTTGGTCGTCACTGTCGGCGGTCTCGTCGACTACCGAGGTGTTGGCGTCAACGGATACGTCCCCGGCAGAGGCAGCAGTATCGTCCTGGAGTCCGCTCAGAAGACGGCCCGTCTCCACCATCACACTGTCCACACGGCTCGTCCATATTTTTACGCACCCATCAAGTGTGCAAGACGCCTTCTGGAAGTTGATCGAGCCATCACCCGAGTCAGAACGCAAAAGAGACATGTCATGGAAATAGTCGATGAGCGCAAATGACCATGTATTCGTGGCATTAATTTTGTTGTCCGTGGCCATCTTCATCCACTCCTCAAAGCTCGTATTGTCGACTTGAATCGTGGACGGCGCAGCAGAGCCCGTGGCCTCCGAGCGCTGCTGTGCCCGCGCCAGTCCCTGAGACACGATCCGCCGCCCGCCCATGGCGGCACTGGATGGCATCCGCTTCTCGCCCACATTCTTGTCGGCAGCATCATTTCTCACGCCTGCCGCACCGCCACTGGGTGCACGGAACTGCAGCATGGCTTCGCCGGTCTGCAGGCTGGCTCCGTGCAAGGGCGGGCGCGCGTCGCAGTGTTGGTGTATCACGTGATGGCACACGTGTGGCACGAGCGAGGGGAATGCATACACTGCTTGCGGAGGGTCCGGGACACCATGTCGAAGCTAACGCAATCGGAGATTGAATCGCATCGCATCCAGATGGTCCACAAGAAGCACAAGATCTTGTCGGAGAAAGCCAACAGGCTTAGTGATCAGGGATTCCCCTTGGATCCATACGTGTTGGGCCCGATGGTTTGGCTAGGCAGCCCGTTCGTTTGCATAGGGCTCTTTCTCCTACTTTGGTACGTTGCATGACCGCTCATATCAGTACGATCCCGGTTTTCTGGCCTTTCCTGGTTCCTTATCTGATTTTTGTCATGTTTGACACCGCGCCCGAGAATGGCGGGCGCCCCATCCAATGGTTCCGCCGGTGCTTTTTGTTCAAGTGGTTCGCGAAGTACTTCCCTGTGACGCTACACAAGACTGCGGACCTCGACCCGAGTCGTAGGTATCTATTTGGATATCACCCGCATGGTATTTTTGGATTGGGCGCTGTGAATTCGTTCGCCGGGGAGGGCTGTGGCTTCTCGAAGCTATTTCCAGGTATCACGCCGCATCTCTTGACGCTACAAAACAACTTCAATGTTCCCTTTTACCGCGACTTTCTTATGGCTGCTGGCTGTGCGTCAGTTTCTCGGAAGAGTTGTATGAACATCTTGAACAAAAAACCCGGCAACTCCATCACCATTGTGGTGGGTGGTGCCCAGGAGAGTCTCGCTGCGCATGCGGGATACATGGGCCTGACGCTCAAGTCCCGCTTGGGATTCGTCAAGGTGGCCCTGCGCACAGGGTACGCCGCTAGCACTTACGACAGGGCCGACCTCGTGCCGGTAATCGGCTTCTGCGAGAATGACATGTTTGACCAAGCGGACAACAGGCGAGACACCTGGCTGTACTGGACGCAGCAGCAGCTGAAGCACGTGCTGGGTTTCACTACGCCGATCTTTATTGGAAGGGGCTTGACGCATCCCTACTATGGATGGTTGCCGTACCGTGTGCCCATTCATGTCGTTGGTGCGTAACGCATTCTGACACCAGTGGGCAAGCCCATTCCCGTGGAGAAGAAAGTAGATTGCACACCGGAAGAAGTGCAGTCACTGCATGATATTTACGTCAAGGCCCTCTTCGAGTGTGTATATGCGAGCTAACTGCAGAATTTGGGATGAGTACAAAGACAAGTATGCGCCATTTCGTATTGGCGAGATGCGCCTGCTGCACTAGGTCGAGCGTCAACACCGCAAATAACAAGCTATACCCGCCCATACACCGATGAAGCATTCATATTTCATATAACAACGAACTCCAATTGATCATTTGTGTACTTTCGAGTTACAAGACCAGAGTCATTGTGCAACTGTCAAGGTGCAGGTTTCATCGTGACTGTGGAGGTGGCTCCAGCCCCTTCACCGGAATCCGATCCCCTGCCTCCTGCCGATATGATTGGCGGCCATTTCGCCTTCTCGCGCCAACGGATGGGAGGTACCTTTCGAGTTGGATTTTTGGGTGGTTCTGGAGAGCTTGGCATCCAATGTTTCACCCTGTCAAAGGTGGATATGCATTATGGATGCTGCGCTGCTACCTGAACGGCCTCGCGGGACCCATGCCTCGGAAAGCATAAATAGACGGCCTTTGGCCGGCGGTACAGCACCACGCATTCTCTGTCGTTCATCATGAAGTTCTCTCTGGCTGTTATGCTACCTCTTGTGCTGACTTTGTCGGTTAATGCCGCCGCTGCTGGCCTGTCTTGCAAGCCGTTCGGCAAGGCTGACACCCTGGTCGGCCATAATGCAGGAAACAGTGTCAAGCAGTACGAGTACGGCTACAGTGAAAAGCACAAGGCCAAGGGCTTTATGAAGGTGACAAACTCGACGTCCCACCAGAGGTTCCAGTTTTACGAGTGTAAAGCGCCCAACGACAGCTTTGAGTCTCACCACGGCAGCGTCCACTATGGTCAGATTCGCCCTGTTGACAAGACTGACCTGTGTCTGAGCAACACAGGCGTCTTTGTCTACAAGGATGGCGTCAAAAACGAGGACAGCATCCGTCTGCAGCCGCAGGGTTCTGCCAACATCCTCCTTCTGAAGCCCTGTGCGAGCAGGGGTGAGGAGCTTCGTCACCAGTGGTTCTCAGCTCACAACGTCGATGGCTGCGGCCTCCGCGTGGCCCTCGAGGGCAAGAAGGATGACATTGAGTCGGACGGTGTGTCTCGCAACGGCGATTGGTCGATCTCCTTTAATCCCTTCGCCTCATGGGGTTTGCGTGAGGCTGTCTACCTTGCTAGCGACAAGCTCGACCCTACCTGCCCCGTGCAGAAAGCGAAGTAAATGATACGTGAGTAGAGTCTAGAATTTTTTTTTGTGCCGTGATACTCCACGTCCAAGATGGGCGAGTCCTCTGTCTCTCGGCCTCGTGCCTTCCTAACGTTGGTCCGGCATGCAGAGTCGCAGGCCAATGTGGACCGCGTGCTACAAGGGGTCACAGATGCTCCCATCTCCGCGAGGGGCGAGGAACAGCTGAAGAAGCTCGAGACTGCGTGGCGCCCTGGTGCCAAGCCTCTGCTATCCAACGCATACCAACTTCCGAGTCCGACGCTCATTGTAACGAGCCCCTTGGGGCGCGCACGCAAGACATCGAATGCAATTGCTCGAGGCTGTGGCATAACCGAGGTGCTGCTCGAGGATTCGACTACCTTCCGATCACCACCATGCACGGCGCCGGCGCCGCAGGCGCACGAATGTGTGCTTGTCGATGCTGGGCTGTCTGAGAGGAATTTTGGTGGGGCAGAGAACACAAGAAAGTCAGAACCAGTGGCTGGCTACGCTAGGCCTCCTCGGGGACGTGTAGGACGCGCCGAGTCGCATAGTCAGTTTGAGAAGCGCGTCAAGACTGTCGGCTTCAAGTGGATCAAGTGGCTCAAAGATCTTACTGACCCCCCAAGGACGGACCACAAGGCCTCCCAGGCAGTGATGAGTCAAGCGCTAGCGGATGAGCCGCCGGTGCAGGATGAGACCGACGCCGAACCGCCTGCCCCGGCGCTCGCCACAGCGACCCCTGCAGACAATACACAGGAGGTCCTCGGCGACGTAAAAGAGTCCGGTAATTCCGAGACGCGGGATAGTTTTTCCAGCCATACGTGTACGACGGGAGTCCCCGTCGACATTCCACATCTGGTGCTTGTCTCGCACGGACAATGGATCAACGCGTTCCTTACTCATCACTTTCCAGAGTTGCGGCAAGGTTCAGATGCATTCTACATTCGAAGTATGAATACAGCCCTGTTTACTATAGAGTTGGGCCATTCCGAGAGCACGCAGCCCCTGCAGCTCGTGCGGAAAAACGATACCAGTCACCTAGGACCAGCCGTGCCAAGACCCACGAAACGGCGCGCCACACAGGCCACGCGATTGACAGATTTGTGGCACGCGCGTGATGGGGTGGAATTAGTAAATCCCCAATAGGCCATGTCGGACGAAGACGCGCGGGTTTGTTTGCTAGCCACCATGAAATTGTCGTTTTTGTGGGCCGTCGTGGCACTGGTGTCCCTGGTCCTGTGCACTTCTGCGAGTGCGAGGACGAAGGACTCGGAGGGTCGTTACCATCTTACTGATGAGGAGAAGGATACGATGCTTTCCCCGAAAGAGCGGGCACGCCTGCTGGACATTATGGGTCATGCTCGTCACCAGGCCGATGCGCGTCGTGCGTCGAAGCATCAGCGCCGCTGGAATCCGAACAACTCCTACGGACCTGCGAAGCTGACGTGCCCGGTCAAGCCACAAGGGAATAACTTTGTTGGCTACGTGCGCAATGCCTCGGACAACCAAATCTACCAATCCGAAAAGGACTACATGAATCGCCACCGCCAGGCGATTAGGGGCCAATGGAAGGACTGGCTGAACAGCGTAGGTCTGGGTGGCAATGACGGTATCTCCGGCGGGCTGGACCAGTTTTTGGCCCAGAACCAGCCCAAGCTGGGCATTGGCATTAGTGGTGGTGGCTATCGCGCGATGCTGGTCGGCATGAGTGTGTTGCAAGGTTTCGATGGTCGTAATGAGACGGCGAAGCAACGTGGTGTAGGTGGTGTGCTGCAGCTTTCTGACTATGTGGCCGGCCTCTCGGGTGGCTCCTGGGCGGTGGCGGCCATGGCTATGAACGACTGGCAGACGCCGCAGAACACAACACGGTTTATGGATCTGGGGAACAACCTAGTTTTGCCGGACAGGGGCACCTTGTCGTTCTACACGGATCTGTTCAATGACGTGGACGACAAGAAGGATGCTGGCTTCCCAGTGTCAATTTCGGATTACTGGGGCCGTGCCGAGTCGTATCACATCCTGGACCCGGCTACGTACAAGGATCGCGGCCAGAAAACGACGATCTCAGATTATGTGAATATGACGAAGTTCAAAGATGGCACGGGTCCATTGCCCATTGTGCTGTCGATCGGCCGTGATGACAAGCAGATCATGATTAACCAGAACGCAACCTACTTCGAGTTTACGCCCTTTGAGTTTGGCACGTGGCAGCCGGATATCCAGGCCTTCTTCCCGGTGGGCTACCTCGGCTCGGACATGACCAAGGGCATGCCTACAAACAACAATGAATGTGTGTCGGGCTTCGACAACTTGGGTTATACGATCGGTACATCGAGCACACTGTTCAACGGCGCCTACACGATGCTTCTAGAGGACAACGTGACGTCGATTTTGGGGGGTATCGCTAAGAGTATCCTGGAAGATGTCGGCAAGAGCGACAACGACGTGGCCCCCGTGCCCAACCCATTCAAGCAGTACCCTGCCAAAAAGAATCAGTATTTCGATGCCGACTACATCGACTTGGTCGACGGTGGTGAGGCGAACCAGAACATTCCGTTTGAGCCGCTTATGCAGCCCGCACGAGGCCTCGACATTGTGATTGGCATTGATGCTGGCACCGACACAGCAGGCTGGCCAAACGGCTCGTCTGTGGTTGAGTCTTGGAAGCGCGCCAAGAACCCCGAGTTTGCCTACATGGCCTTCCCGGAGGTGCCTGACACGAGCACCTTTGTGAACCTGGGTATGAATACGCACCCGACCTTCTTTGGCTGTAACGCGAGCGCTTATGTGAACGCTAACACGGCTCTGGACAAGACGCCGCCTGTCCTGGTGTATGTGCCCAACTATCCGTACTCGTACCAAAGCAACACGAGTACCTACCAGTTGGCCTACGGCTCTGACGAGGTACAGGGTATTCTGGACAACGGCGTGGAAATTGCCACGATGGCTGGTCAGATACCCGATTGGGGCACGTGTCTGGCGTGTGCCTCCGTATTGCGCCCGCTGCAGCGTGCGAAGAGGCAGGTGCCGGAGAAGTGCAACAGCTGCTTTGAACGCTTCTGCTGGAACGGTGAGATTCAGAACAAGTCACCGCGTGCATATACGCCCCCGACGGGTCCACCGCCCTTTGTTACGTCCAATGGCCAGCAGAAGGTCCAGCCGCCGACCACCGGCAACAACGAGTCCAGTGGATTCAGCCTGGGCAAGTTTATGGACTCGAAGGACGGTGCCACGAGTATTCATGCGCCTGTATCGATCGTTGTCGCCCTGACGCTCGCCTCGATAGTGGTATTCTTGTAGACTATGAGCTACGCTGCGCTCGCGTATCCAGAATCTCCATAAACCTGGGTAAGCATATCACACGTACGACTTGTGCGGCAGTTGCACCTTGCCGAGGGACATGGCCTTAAGGCGCTTCTTGCCTTCTTTTTGCTTGTTCAGATGCTTGAGCTTGCGCTCGTAGTGTCCACCGTACAGGCCGGCTGTCACATCTTTGCGGTACGCACTCAGCGTCTCGCTGGCAAGCACCTTGCTCCCGACGCATGCCTGGATTTTGATCTCGAATTGCTGCCGGGGGATCGCATCCTTGAGCCGGCGCACAAATGCGCGGCCAACCAAGGACGCCTTCGATCGGTGTAGCACGAGCTCCAGCGCATCGACGGGTGTGCCGGCGACGAGGAACTGCATTTTGACAAGGTCCGATGGCACATAGTCACCGTCCTCGTAATCGAACGAGGCAAAGCCGGAGCTGCGCGACTTGAGCTTGTCGAAGAACTGGGTCAGTGTGCGATACGTACGTCCGTCACAATCTCGGCGAGTGGCAAGCGGTACTGCATGTGTACCTGTGCAGCTGCCGTGGCCGACGCAGAAAAGTCAATGTCGAGCTGCTCGCCCCGGTGCTCCGCACAAAGCTCCATCATCGCGCCCGTATAGTCCTCCGGGCACACGAGCGAGCCGATCACGGTCGGCTCTTCGAGCTGCGCGATGTGCGTTTTTCGGATGCTTTCGTCGGGAAAGTCAACGGGATTCGAGCATAGCACCTGTGTGCCGTCGCGATACGTAATGCGGAACGGCACTGTGGGCGTCGTGACCAGGATTTCATGGCCATACTCGTCCTCAAGACGCTGGCGAAACACATCCAGGTGCAGGGTGCCGAGGAAGCCGAGGCGGTAGCCCTGGCCCAGGGCGGTCATCGACTCCTTCTGCAAGGTAATTGATCGGTCATTGATGCAGAGCCGCTGGATCGCATCTTCCAACTTGAGGAACTCGCTCTTGTCCGTGGGGAAAATGCCAGCAAACACGGTTGGCAGCGCAGGGCGGAAACCTGGCAAGGGCTCGACGCGCTCGCCGTGCCGGAAAAAGGTATCGCCAATGCTCGCTTCCTCTGTGTCTTTCATCGTCGTGATGAGCCAGCCGACCTGGCCCTTGCGCAGGATCGGCGTAGAGACAGGCTCGGGATTGTTCACGCCGAGATCGAGCACCTCATACTTTTTGCCGCGGTGATACGACACGATCGTATCGCCCTTCTTCACAGCGCCGTCCGTGATGCTCACAAGCGCAATGACGCCGCGGTAGTTGTCGTACCAGCTGTCAAACACGAGCGCACGCAAGCCGGGAGGCTGCCGCTGCTCCAACGACACGCCATCTACGCCGGGCAGCGCTGGAGTGCGTGCCACAAGCGCCTGTAGAACCTCTGGGACGCCCTGGCCGGTCTTGGCGCTGACCAGCAGCGGCGGTTGCGCGTCTGTATCGATGCCCAGGATATCACGGAGCTGCGCGAGGCAGCTCGGCGTGTCGGCGGCAGGCAGGTCCGTCTTGTTCAGGACGGGCAGCACGACAAGGCCGCACTGCTGCGCAATTTTGAACACCGATATGGTCTGCGCCTGTATGCCCTGCGTCGCGTCGACGACGAGCAGTGCAGACTGGCACACGGACAGGCTGCGCCGTACCTCGTACGCAAAGTCGACGTGCCCGGGAGTGTCGATCAGGTTGAGCAGCGTCGGTCGCGGCTGGGCCGGGTCGCGATACACCATACTCACGGCCTGTGACTTGACCGTGATGCCGCGCTCGCGCTCCACCTTGAGCTTGTCTAGCACTTGCTTGTTCGATGAGTCTCGAGGAATGGTCCCCGTCAGCTCGAGCAGGCGGTCGGCGAGGGTCGATTTGCCATGGTCAATGTGCGCAATGATGGAGAAGGTGCGCGTATCTAGGAGGTCATAGGCCGTCGTACGGCGTGGTACAGGCGTGCTCTAGTGGTTAGTACAATGACGTACGTGGAAAGAGCGCACCGGCGGCACGAACCGCTGGGCGCGGCCCAAGCCACGCCGCACCAGCATTCGATGGCGGCGGTGGTGTCGGCGATCGGGGTCATCGGGCGTGCACACCCCCGGAGGGTCCTAGCAGACTATAGACGTGAGACGGCCTAGGCCTTGGGTGGCCGCTTCTTGATGTCCTCGGGGTTGACTGGGTGAATAAATACATGGGCCTCGTTCGTTGCGCCCTGATATCCTTTGTGCCAGTCGTAGCCGAGCGCATATGCAAAGATCGATGCGTCGGCGTTGAAGGCAATGGCCGTGACGGGCAGTCGGTTCGGATTCGTCTTGAAGAGCTCCTTGGGGGCCATCGCCGTGCCCTTGGTCTCGAAAGCTGCGTAAGTCTCGCTATACGTACTTTTCAAACGCGTGCGGCTAGCCTTGCACCAGAAGCTGATCGACCCGTCACCGCCACCGGTGGCAAACGTGCCCTGTGCATTAAACACGATGGCATTCACGGGGAACAGTTGCGTCTCGTTCCGCGGTACGTCAGGGTGGTCCGCGTTCACGCGGCGGTGGCAGCGGAACGCAAACTTTTTCACCTTGCCGTCCTTCGGGTCTGGTGGGTCGTGGAAGTAGTGTACAGCGACGCGGCCCTCAGTGCCGCCGAGGGCGAACCCGTCACCGTCGGGTAGCGCCGCAAGTGAGCGTGTCTGGTACTTGAGGGGGCTAAACTGGTCGACGACCTGCTGCGCCGTGCCGTTGGCCTCGTTGCACTGGAACGCCATGATCTTGCGCTCGGCCATCGCGACAATGATGATGAGCCCAATTACGTCCATCGCATACACGCGCTCTGGCAGGTCAATCGAAGTAATGAGTGTCGGCTGCGGCTCAATTTTCCACAGCTTGACAGTCTTGTCCCAGCTGCCCGTCACCAGGGCACCGCCAAACGCGCGGATCCAGCGCACGCAGCGGATCGTGTCATTGTGCTGCGCAACCACAGCACACATGTTGGTATTCAGATCAAAGCAACGGGCTACCTTGTCGGCGCCCACCGAGATCACCTTGGTGCCCTCGGCGTTGAAGCATACGTCGAGCACGGGCCCCTCGTGCTGGTACTGCTGCCACGGCTGAACGGGCTGTGCATTCGACTTGTCGATACGGTAGATCCTTACGAATGTGTCCCAGCTCGCCACCGCCAGCACGTCGGCCGTCGGGGAGAAGGCGAGGGCGGAGACGGTGTCGTTAGCGCCCGGCGTCACCTCAATGTCCTGCTCACCGGCGACCTTCGTGGCCGCCGTCACAGTAGGCGTGGCGCTGGCCGCTGGCCGGCTGCCCCACCCGGGCGTACTGTTGGTCTGAAAGAACGACAGCTTGGGCGGGCGCGCACAAGGAGATTGAGCGCTCGTGCACGGCGGGGCGTGGCGCGGCGCGACGGCGGCCGTGCCATGCAGGGTATATTTGCAATTGTGCCACGCGACCCTCCCCCCGGGCGCGGCATGGGTGTCACGTGTAGAACTGTAGTTTTGCAGCAACGAAGGTGCACACGCGGCGCTCCGCTCGCTCGTCCTCCGTCTTCAAGGCTACTTCGATCAAGGTACGTGGGTGTGGTGGGCCGCCCGCTGGCGGCGTGCGCATGTGAGCACGCCGGTCGGCGCCCAGCGTCTAGGGGGAGCGAGATGCTGACACCGTGGCCCGTTGCGGCCCTGCTTTACAGATGAAGGTCGAGATTTGCTCGTTCTCGAACAGGAAGATCTACCCGTATGTATCATGATTCGCCGCAAGGCGCTGGGACAGGGCTAACACGAGCAGGGGCAAGGGCCGTCTCTACGTCCGCGGCGACAGCAAGGTACGCAGGCAGGCAGGGGCCGCAGAGACCGGTGCGCCGGCGCAGTCCCGCGCGGCGGTGCACTGGACTGTGCTCCCGATACGCAGGACAGGCTAACATGCAGGTCTTCCGCTTCAACGGATCCAAGACCGAGTCGCTGTTCCACCAGCGCAAGAACCCTCGTAAGATTGCGTGGACGGTGCTCTACCGCCGCATGCACAAGAAGGGTGTTACGGAGGAGACCTCGCGGAAGCGCACGCGCCGCACCGTGAAGGCCCAGCGTGGTGTGGTTGGTGCGTCGCTGGACGCCATCAACGCCCGCCGCAACCAGAAGCCAGAGGTGCGTGAGGCCGCGCGCAAGGAGCACTTGGCCAAGAACAAGGAGGCCAAGAAGACGCGCGCCGCCGAGCGCAAGGCGAACCGGCAGGCGGCTGGCGCCTCTGCGCAGGCGTCGCGCCAGCAGGCCAAGAGCGCGATGAAGGGTGGTCCCAAGGCGTAAAAAAGCTGCTTCGCTAGCGGCATAGGGTGCAGCCCCTCTGTGTAGTATGCCCCTCTCGAATTCGCAGGAGCGGCGCGATGTGTAGCCCTCTAGCGATGCCTGCCCGTAGGACTTGGCGCCGGCGTGGCGCCGGCGCCGGTGTGGCTGCTGTCGGCCGAGAGACGACCGCCGTGTTCGACGAGGTCGAGAACGTCCTCCCGCACCTGCATGGCAGCCATGTTGGCATGCGATGAAGGCGCCGGTGGGAACGAGGTGGTCGCTGTGAAGGGGCTGCAGCATTCCGAGTATGGGCACTGCAGCAATGAGCAGTACCGATGGACGTCTAAGTACGATCGGAGCCGCCTGGGCATCACCGAGGATGAGAGCCCGAGCTACTGGACGGTGATCACTACGTACATGATCTACATCATGTTGATCTTGTTCGGGCATGTACGCGACTACATCGGATGTCGCCTGTATCCCCGGGACTTTGCCCACTTGCGGGAGAACAATGGCTATGCGGCACTCAACTCGGACTTTGACAGCTTCTTCACGCGCCGGCTCAAGATGCGCATCGACAACTGTTTTGAGCGACCGGTCACGGGTGTGTGTGGCCGCACGGTCGTGATGCTGGAGCGCAAGTCGAACGATTACCACCGAACCTTTTATCTCACAGGGCGCAAGCGCCGTGCGCTAAACGTGAGTGCGTATAACTACCTGGGCTTTGCGCAGTCGCACGGCGAGTGCGCGGACAACGTCGAGACCGGACTCGACCTGTACGGCATCTCGAGCGGCGGCGCGCGCCTGGGCGTCGGCACGCTCGATCTGCAGGTGCAGGCTGAGAAGATGGTGGCGGCCTACCTGCAGCAGGAGGACGCGATGCTCGTGAGCATGGGCTATGCCACGAACAGCACCACGATCCCGGCGATTGCCGGGCCAGGCACGCTGATCCTCTCGGACGAGCTGAACCACACGTCGCTGCGTGCTGGTGTGCGTATGAGCGGCGCAAACATTCGCACGTTCAAGCACGGCGACATGGCAAACCTGGAGTCGCTCTTGCGCGAGTGCATCAGCCAGGGACAGCCACGCACGCACCGCCCGTGGAAGAAAATTGTGCTGCTCATTGAAGGCCTGTACTCGATGGAGGGCACGATCGTGGACCTGCCGCGTGTGCTGGAGCTCAAGCGACGCTACCGCTTCTACCTGTATGTCGATGAGGCGCATTCGATCGGAGCACTGGGCCCGCACGGCCGTGGCGTGTGCGATTACTTTGGCGTGGACCCGAACGAGGTCGATATACATATGGGCACGTTTACCAAGTCGTTTGGGGCGGTGGGTGGCTATATCGCAGGCAAGAAGGCGCTGATTGACCGCATCCGCCTGGCCAACTTTTCGAACGTGTATGGCGAAACGATGGCGCCCCCTGTCATGGTGCAGATCCTATCGACGATCGCTACGATCATGGCCGTGGGCCGCACGCCTGAAAAGCGCGCGCTGCTGCCGGCGTGGACGCACTTTTCCGAGCCGTTCCTCGCGGGCATCGAGGGGCAGCAACGCCTGCAGCGCCTCGCGTTCAACGCGCGGTACCTGAACCATGGGCTGCGCAAGCTTGGCTTTATTATCTGGGGCAGCCGCGACAGCCCTGTGATTCCACTGCTCCTGTTCCAGCCGAGCAAAATGACGCTTTTCAGCGAGTTCATGCAAAACCGCGAGCTGGCACTTCCGCCCTCAAAAAAGTGGGAGGTCGCGGACGAGGCGTGGAACTCGGCCTCGCTCACTGCCGCCCACCTTCCGCCGGCGCCTTCCGGCGCTCCTCAGCGTCGCCCACCGATTGTGGTCGTCGTTGTGGCATACCCAGCTACACCCCTCACCTCGACGCGCGTACGCTTCTGTGTCAGCTCATCACACACCAAGGACGACATCGACGACGTGCTGCGCGCGTGCGACGAAATCGGCTCGACTATCGGCCTAAAGTACACGGACGGCGGCCCCGGTGGGCGCTGGACGATCGACCAGGTCACGGCGCACCCGATGGCGCTCGTCGCGTGGAACGGCACCGATCCTCTGCCGCCGCCATAGTTTAGCACAGGCCCGGAATGGCCTGCACACGTGCCCACCACGAGCCAAACGCCAGGCGCACGAGCGAGCGCAAAAACGTCCAGCTGCGCAGCGTATTGCGTACCGGGTAGTCGACGACAGGCGGAATCGCTGTTTGGATACGCCCAAACAAGGTATCCTCTGTGAGCGCCTTGGGCGCCGTGAGGCCCTGGAGGCCCTCGGGGCCGCCAAAGCGCCCGTAGCCTGAGTGCTTGCGCCCGCCGAACGGCAGGCCCTGGTTCAGGTACGAGATGCCAAAGCTGGGTCAGTGCGTGCAACGTACTCGTTGATGTTCACCATGCCACACTCGAGCTGTGCGGCGACGCTGCGGCACTGCGTGCGCGAGCGGCCAAACACCGAGGCGCCGAGCCCAAACGGCGTGCCATTCGCGATCTGCACCGCCTCCTCGACGCTGTCGTACGACATGATGAGGAGAACAGGCGCAAAGAGCTCCTCGTTGGCAATACGCATCGCCGGCGTCACATGTGATAAGAGCGTCGGCGCAAAGTAGTGCCCGAGCGGCCACCGCGTATGGGCGAGGCGCGTCCCGCCGGTGTGCAGCTGTGCGCCCTGTGCGACCGCCTCGCGAATGAGCGCCTCGAGCGTGTCGAAGCGTGCATCGGAGATCATGGCGCCCACGTCCACGCTGTCGGCAGGCGCCTCTCGGTTGCCGAAGCGCGTGTCGTCGAGTGTGCTACCCGCGCGCAGCGCCTCGATGCGCGGCAAGACGAGCGCGACGAGCTCGTTGATACGCGCGCGTGGCACGAGAAAGCGCTCAATGCCGATGCAGTTCTGGCCCATGGCCTGGAAGCATGCGCGGAGGAACATGGACGCAAAGAATGGAAGGTCAGTATCGGGCAGCACGATGGCCGGGTCCTTGCCGCCTAGCTCGAGCCTCGTCGGTGTCAGCTGCGGCGCTGCTGCTGCCGCGACGCGGCGGCCAACCGCGTCGCTGCCGATGAAGGTGATGTGCGCGATCCGCGGATCGCGAGTGAGTGCCTCCACGGCATCAGGACCACACGCCACGAGCTGCACCACATCGGTCGGCGCACCGCATGCTGCGAGGCAGCGGCGCACGCCCTCGAGCATGTGCTGCGACGACCATGCGACATGCTCCGAGCCCTTGACGACGATGGCATTGCCCGTAAAGAGCGCCGAGATGATGGGCCCCAGCATGTTGTGCACCGGGTAGTTCCACGAAACGCACGCGGCCACGACGCCAAGCGGCTCGTGGACCACCGTGCACGTCTTGTGTGCAAGTAGCAGGTTGCCGCTGCGGCGCTCCGGGCGCAGCACACGCTCGCCGTGATGGAGTGTCCAGGCCAGCTTGGCACACGTCGTCAAGAGCTCGCCAAACGCAGCATCGATGGCCGTCTTGCCCGTGTCACGGCAGGCGATGCGCGCGATCGGCTCGAGGTCGCGCTGGATCCACGCGTGCATCGTGCGCAGCACGAGCCGCCGCTGCGCCATGGACGACCCGCGCCATACCCGCTGTGCGTCGGCCGCGCGCGCAATCTTAGTTCGAATCGTGTCGGGCGAGTCGGCCAGCGCCGTGCCCAGAACGTACCCGGTTGCGGGGTCGTAGCAGTGGATGGCGCCGTCGTTGACCAGCGGCGTGCGCGGGTCGCGCAGAGCCCCGGCCCAGCCGGGCTGCGCCTCAGGGGGATACACGCGCTCGATAGACGGCACACGCGTCCATGCCTCTGATAGCGGCTTCCACACAAGTAGTGCGCCAAGGCCCAGCGCCAGGGCGGTCGCCACCGCCGCGGCGACGGTCGGCAGCGCCGCGTGATCGATCATGGCTGGAAATGAGCCGATTTCGACCTCCACCGGGTGGCTCGGCCGCTGCGCGACATTCCTGCAAATGGACGCGGCTCGCACGGCGCTTGAGGTAACGAACGGCGTGACTGAGCTGGACCCCGCGGCGGCATGGCTATATGCCCCGGACGACGGTACATACCAGGCTCTGCTCCAAGCGGCGCCGTGGCGAGAAGACCCTACGTACTTCCAGCATGTCCGCATTGCGATGCCGGCGCTGCTCAAGATGGTGCTGCATGCGCGGGCAGGCGGTAACTTGGAGGTGATGGGGCTCATGCAGGGCAAGGTGTGCACAAAGACACGCACTTTCTATGTGCTGGACGCGTTCGCTCTGCCCGTCGAGGGCACAGAAACGCGCGTGAATGCACAAAACGAGGCATACGAGTACATGGTATCCTACCTGGAGTCGTGCCGGGCTGCCGGACGCACCGAACCGGTGCTCGGCTGGTACCACTCGCACCCTGGCTACGGATGCTGGCTGAGCGGCATTGATGTGGCGACGCAGCGGACGAATCAGCAACAGGACCCGTTTGTCGCTGTGGTCATCGATCCCTGGCGCACCATGTCGGCGGGCCGCGTAGACATTGGCGCGTTCCGCACGTTCCCTCCCGGCTATGATGCCCATGCGCATGCTGGTGCGACCGACAGCGCGCGCGCCGTGCCACCTGGTAAGGCCGACGACTATGGTGCACATGCGTCCGAGTACTATGCACTGGATGTCTCTTTCTTCCGGAGTGCGCGCGACCGGCCACTGTACGACGCGCTGTGGCAGGTGTACTGGGCGCACGCGCTGTGCACCTCGTCCTCACGCATGCAGCAGGCGCTTCTGCAGCAGCATGCCGAGTCGTTCGTGGATGCGTGCCGCAAGGCAGCGCCTGCTGCTGAGACGGGCACACGCGCCAGTGGGACGCTGGCGCAGGCCGCTCGCGATGTGCCGCGTGCGACAGGGGGCGGCGACCAGGTGCTCGCGCAGCACCTCATGGCACGATCTGCCGACACACCGCTGGCGCGAACTGCTGCAGAGGCCCAGGCCCTCGCACGTCACATGCAGCACGCGCTGCTCCGGCGGCAGCTCCAGACAGCTCTGTTTCCCTAGCGTATACCATTATCACAACTAGTTTGTGTGCTATCAACGACGTAGGGCGTACGCCGCCACAGTCTATGTATCCATGGCGGGCTCTGACCGATAATCGCTATGCATGAGGGGGATGGCATAGCGTAGGTCAAGGGGTAGGGTGCCAGCGCTGGCCCGGCCGCGCTGAGGAAGAAGGGCAAAGGAAAAGGGAAGGGAGGGACATAGGCAGGTATCTCGTGGTCATGGCAGGGGAAGGGAGAATGCGCGGGCTTACCGCGCCGAGGCGTACAGGCCCATCGTGTCGGCGTGGGCGGACGGCGACGATAGAGGAGGCGGCGTGCCGAGGGGCAACACGGTCGGGCGGGGGTGGCCGTGGCGCTCGTACAGGTCGACACGGAGCATGTCGAGCGAATGCTTCTCGCCATTTTCGTCAGTCCATTTGCCAAGCGTGACGTCGTCCTGCGTAATGACGGCATGAGGGAACGTATTCTTGGCCCACTCTAGTACATAGGCACTGGCACGCATGAACTTTTTGCTGCTGTACTTCTTGTGGAAGTAGAGGTGTGCCGGGGGGCGCAAGCAGTAGTCCAGCATGATCTCGGCGGTGCCGAGCAGCTCGGGCTCCGCGTACGTTGAGTAGTGCACGAGCGTTGGTGTCCACTCGCCACGCTCCAGCACCTCACGCGCGAGCCACACGGCCGCGGCAGCGACGAGCGACGGGGGGTGGTCGAGCAGGCGGTGGTCCACGAGCGAGATCTCCATAAAGTACTTCGCGACCGTGCGGGTCTGGATATCATAGTTGTCGGCCTTCGAGATGCGGCGCAAAAAGTTCATTGGCGAAGCATAGCTCAGGTCAAAGTTGAGTACCTTGAGCATGTAGCGCTCCGCGCGCAGAATCTCCTCGTCCGTGTAGCCGCCATCTGCGACGTACAAAAAGTTTTGGATCGAGGGGCACAGTACCTCCTCGTACTTGGCCGCAATGAACAGCGCCGTGACGCCGACCAGCTGTAGCTTCGACAGCGAGATCGTACGCAGGCTCAGGAACCGGTCCACAATGTTCAAGGCCAGGAAAAGCGTCTCGGGTAGCAGGCGGAACTTGGCGTGCGTCTCAATGAGCCAGTCTGCGAGGACGCCACGCAAGTGCCAGTTGAGATCGCGCTGCAGGCTCATGTAGTTGCCGTTCGGCATGCACTGCAGTTCAATCTTGCGCATGTACATAAAGATCTCTTCCACGTACTCGGCGACCATCAGCGGATCGTCCGCGTCGTCCTTGTCGAGGTCTTCCCAGCCCTCGTCCTTCGGACGCGCAGCGACCGCCGGCTCCGCCGCAGCCACGCCCGGCGCGACCTGCGTACGCGCACGCTTCGCCTCGCGTGCCGCCTCATCAAAGATCTCCATGTTTTCCTTGTCGCTGCTATCGCGCGCAGGCACATCGTCGACAGCCATCGCCTCAGGCTCGCGCGGGCGCACCACGCGGCGCGGGGCTGCCGGGCGCGCAGCGGCGGTGCGCATGCGCAGTGCGGCCGGCTTTTTCACGTCGTCCGCCTTGTCTTCTTTGAGCACCGCACTGCGCGAGCGGGCCGCGTTAGTCAGGTCACCCAGCGCAGCGCGCTTGCGTGTGCCCAGCACACCAGCGGCGCGGGTCGCCGGGTCGGGACCCGCGGTCGGGGCCGCCGACGGGGCCGCCGCAGGCGCCTTGCCCTTGCCCAAAGGGTCTTTGGTGGAGCCAGCGGCACGCAGGCCGGGGTATGGCTGGGCATTCTCATCGCTTTTGGTGGTTGTGCTGCGAGTCCGCACAGGAGCCCGTCGGACCGGCTGCTCGGTTAGCTGGCGGCTGCGGCCGCGTAACATACTAGGTTCGACGACATCTCGCTAGTCGGTGGGGTGCCGTATGTCGGGACGCTACCAAAGGGTGGTTGTCGCTGAAGCAGATGCAAGACCGACACAAAGCTCCGTCGCCGCGTATCGGTGTCCAGGCCAGGACCGCGGTACACAACACCTAGATGCTACGTCGTCCGTTTGGATCGATGCCTACTGGCCTTATGCGCACCTAAGCGATGCAATTTCTACGCGCATCGGCCAACCACGAAGGGCTCCAATATCGGCCGAGTCAAGAGGAACATCTATGTCACAAGCCTTGCGCGCAGGCGGGCTGCATTGCTGCCGCCGAGCCCGCCCTCTGTCAGGGTGCGCTCTCACAGGCTGCATTTTTGCGATTTTTTTTTGGGCCGCCCAACTACACGCGGCTCACCACGTGAGCCCCACGGTCGTTTCTCGCGACGCGCCCGCGGCAGGCCCCCTGGCGGGCATATGGCGTCAGGGTATGTGCATAGGACCAGCTGCCCATGCGTGCCGCGCACCGCGGCTCAACGGTCACGCGTCGCGCGTGACTCCCTGCCCTGCCAAGCGGTTCGATCTGCAATGTACCTCGCTCGTAGCGCACAGGGCACGCGTCCACACCACGTGGCCCAGGCCAGACGCGCTCGTAGCTTTGAACCACCACGCGTGCCGCACGCTCACTCCACGTATGCAGCCCTCCCGCGCGCCGGCACGCCGTGGTCGGCCGCCGCTGTCTGCTCACGCGGCGCCCTATCCCTCACATGCCGAGTGGGCGCAACGCGTTCGGGACGAGTCGCTACCTGCGACGCCGCGCCGCGCCGTCTCGGGGCCGCCGCGCAAGCGCGGGCGGCCACCCAAGGCCGTGGCTCTCGCACGTGCCGAGGCGGCTGCGCGCGCACCCTCCGAGCCCGTATGGAGTGTGACGCCACCCACCTTTCGTGCGTCGACGCCGCCGGCGCCTGTATCCGTTGATGCAGACGCTGCGTTGGATGTCTTGCCCTCTGCACACGCGCCCCCTCCTGACCATACCTTCTCGCTCGCACCCCAAGAGGTGCCACCGGCGATGGTGTTCCAATGCCGGTACTGTCTCACGATCATCGGCGACTCGTTCTCGTGGCTCACTGCCCAGCGCGCGCTCTCGATGATCGTGCTCAAGGAAGCGACCGACCGCGTTACCGTACAGCATTCGCAGCTCACAAGCGAGGAGATTGATGGCGAGCCATCTATGTATGTTCCGCTCACCTGCGCACAATGCCAGCGCCCGCTCGGGCGTATGTACCAGCATACACCCATCCCGCTCGAAGAGCTGCGTGGGGCGTTTAGCTTCCACCACAATGCCCTGGTTGTCTATCAGCTGGGCTCGACGGCGCAGCACGCCGCTTCGCGACCTGCGGCTCGCGCCGACCGGGCTGATCGCGACGAGATGGAGAAAGTACGTGCCACACGACGCTTACGCCAGATCCGCACCTTGCTCATGGTCATGGGCGAGCGCCTTATGCGTGTCGAGCAGTATCTGCACCTCAGCCCGTCCCCTGCACACGATACCCCACATACGCGCTCGTAGCTATGGCGGGTGGACGAGGTATTTTAAACTATCTGCCATGCCTGGCGCGGTACTCGGTGTACAGTTGGTCGACGTACGCCTTGTCCGTCTGTATATTAGTTGTCGCACACGTACACATAGCAACACGATTAGGTGCTGCACAAACTCGGCGCGGTCCAGCAACGTTGGCGGGATCCGCGCGACTGCGTCGTTTGAATGCAGCAGTTCGAGGAGGCCCCTCTCTGGCGCCGGCGCCGGCGCCGACGGAGGCTCCTGCGCAGCTGGCTGGGGCGTCTCCTTCGACACCTCCTCGGCCACTGGGGCAGCGTCTTCCGGCCGTGCCGGGGGGGCCGTGTCGACGGCCTCTGGCTCGCGCAACGTTGCGCTGGCAAAAAGATCGTCCAAGTCGATGCTCTGCGCTGGTACTTGTGCCTCCGGCACAGGCGCAGACCCCTGCTCTTCTTTCTCTGTCTCTGGCGCCTCCTTAGCCCATGCCTCTTCCTGTGCCTCGGGCTGTTTCTGTGCGGGCGCTGCGTCGCGGAACAGCGCATTGAGAATGGACGCGCCTGCCTTGTCCTCGTCGGTGAACACAGGCGCAGGCGCCGCGGGCGCGGGTGCATCTGTCTGCGTGCCGAACAGGTCGTCGAGGCAGATCGTCTCGGATGCGACCGGGGCGGGCGGCGGCGGCGGCGGATACGGCCCCTCTTGCAGGCTGCCTGTGAGTGTATGCCACGTACGTTAGAATCAGTTTGCCCAGCTGCTCCAGCTGCGAAGGCTCAAAGATCCAAAAGCCGCAGATACCCTCGTCGTCTGAATCACCTGCGGTAAGCCCCAAGCACGTACTCTTTTGGTGCGAGCGGTATATAATGAACTCACTGCTCAGCTCAATATCGTCATCAGGCGTAATCCCAACGGCAAAGTTCTCGGGTTCGTTCCGATTGAGGATCTGCAAACCAAAGTAGGGAGCCTCGCAGCTGTGATTAGCCTAGAGTACCTACCGCTGGAATAGGAAGAGCGGACCTTCGGTGCCTGTCTTTGTCTGGGACCGTGTCAATAGCGCCCACGTACCCATTCGCCCTTCTCAAAGCTATACAAGACGGCGAAGGAGGCCACGCCTAGGATCTGAGAAATGCATGGGTCAAAACGGCGCAGTACGCGCGTATTTAGCTGGAGCCGTTCGTCGAGGTCCATGCTGGGTACGCGGTCCGTCGATGGGCGGGGGCTCCAACGGCCTGGGACGACCGGCTCATGTTGGCAATGTCCTACTAGGCTGAGACACCTCCACTTGCTTCAACGCGCATCGTGGCGCCTTCCGCACGGTCTGGCCGAGCAGGGCGGATCCTGCAAAGCGCCAGGGCCTTGCGAAGCATGGTGCGGGCACGCCGCGGAAATGGTCATGCTTGCGCGGCTATCTAGCGGGGAGGCTGCGACGTGCAATATACCGTTGCCTCGGCGTGAGGACGCGGCCTACGTGTCCGAACGATATGACGTAGTGCTAATGTACCGTGGCAGTCTTTTGCACGATACCTAGGTGCCTCTTTCCTCGCGCGCGCCGTGCTGATCGTCGACGGTGCGCCGCGAGGCCTAGGCTGAGGTCGCGGCACGCGCCTCCACATGCGCGTGTGCGCGCGGCGCGCGGCGGCGCTGGGCGGACCGCGTGTCACGTTCTCTTCGACCGCTGTGTCATGCCCTCCGACGAGGCCTGGGACGATCTGGACGCGTATGCGTCCGACATGGTCGATGAATTGGCCGAGTCGGTCGGCTCTGTATCTGATGGCGAGGAGGCGGCGGCCGAGCCGGTGGCTGGCGTCGAGGAGGTCGACATGGACGAGCGTGTCGCGCTCCTTCGTGCGCCAATCCTGTCGATCTGTGCGGCGCTGGGCGGCTACGAGCACGTCGAGCAAGGCGATGGACGCATAGAGATGGTGTATAAGGTCGGCGACGACTGTCTCGGTGCGTATCTCTCACTAATTCCAGAATGTCTCCGTGACTTGCGGCGATTATGGCGCCAAGACGATACGGACGCGAGCCGCGCGATTGCGCGTGTGTTTGCTGAGCTCGGGACCTTGCAGAACGATTTGATCCCCATTCTGCTGCACTGCGCGGGCCAGGGCGACAAGGCCGACAAGATTGCACTTGCCTGCACGGACTTGATGACGGCACTGACGTGGCCCATCGACTGGCTGGCCGAGCTCCGTGATATCGAAGCGCGTGACGAGGATGAGGAGGTGCTGCCCAAGCTGCTTGAACTCCAGGGCGCACAGGTGCAGTACAAGGCGTCTATCCTGCGCACGCGTGCCAAGGACCCAAAGCTTGCACACCGTACAGTGCTGCACTGTGTGCTGCAGCATGTGCTGATTCCCTCGCTCGCACGTCCGCGCGGCGAGCGAACGGAGCGCGACACAGGGATCATTGGCCTGTGCCTGCACCTCGTGCGTAACCTGCTATCGATCCGCGATCCCGTCCCCAAGACGCTGGCGAGCACGGATGCGGTCGCCAACGCCACGCTGCAGAGTGTGCTCGTGCAGCAGATGGAGGCGACTCACCTGCTTGACACGCTTCATATGCTTGCAAGCCATGCGGACACGAAAGAATATGAGGCATGGGCGCCTGTGGTCGCCGACTGTGTGTACCAAATGTACGTGGGCTCGGACGTGCGGGCGCTAGCTGCGGTGCCTGGCGCGCCGAGCGCGGCGGATCCTCTTGCACATTCGCTTGCGGCCGAGGCAGAAGCGCGGCGTGTGCAGCGGCCTGGCGCCACAAGACGGCATTCGCGATTTGGCACGACGATCCAGTTCACGGCGCACGACGGCACGCGCCGCGTGGCGCGGCAGCCGGCCTCTCTCACGGCACCACTCGCGCAGCTGGAGCAGGGCGTACGAGAGCGGAGCCAACGGCGGATTCACCGCCGTCGGCCTGCGACGGAGCGCGGAGCCCCGCCTACGCATGTCGTGTGGACGCCCGGCGCGCGTGCGGTGCTGCAGGCATGGGCGGACCGCTTTGTACGCGACGGCATCTTTGTCGTGCTCTCGCGCGCGTACTTGAGCGACATCCACGCGGAGCGCGAGCGCGTGGGCGACCTAGATGCGGCGCGCTGCAAGGCCGTCCAGCTCGCTGCATTCTTCCTTGCGTATGTGCGTGTGCGCGAGCTGCCGTGGCGCTTTGTTAGTACGTGGCTGGAGCCGTGGGCATTCCGCCTTGTGCGTGCGCGCGCCGCGATCGCCCTGGAAGGGCGCCAGTGGCTCGAATTCGTGTCGTGTGTGCGGTTGTGGACAACGCTGCTGCGTGCTGTGGACGCGTTGGCGCATGGCACCGAGGATGAGCGTGCGTGGGCTGACGAGCTGCAGCAAACACTCTACTATGATGGTGATGCCCTCGACACGGCGCTGCAAGTGATGCATGCGTACTCGGCGCAGAGCTTTGCGTGTCTGGAGGCCATCATTGACTTTAGCTACACGCTACCGCGCATGCTCGAGCAGCATGCTCACCGCCACACGCACATGTTTGTCCAAAGACACGCCGGCGGCGACGACGGGCGGCACGAGCGTGAATTCCGCTTTGCGTCGTTCCAGCGTGCGATGGCCACATCGAAGCTGGTGCATGCGTGCACGCAGTACCTGGTGCGTTGGCGCGACTCGATGCGGCCCGCCGAGCTGCTGCCGCGCCTGGCTGCGGTCGTACACCGGGTCGTAGTGCGCTGCGAGCGTGTGGACCTATTTTTTGGCGCGCGTGTGCGCCAGAACTGGGCACGCGCCCTCGCCGCGCCGCGCGACGCAGCTATGGCGCGGGTCCACCCACAGGCAGCGCGCGATTTGAGCCGGCTGCACAAGAAGCTGGCGCGCTCGTTTGCGCGCCTGGATGGTGCAGCGCAGGCCGCGTACGAGGCAGACCGTCGCCCGCCGCGTGTGCATGCGGTGACCGACGTGTATGTGCAGTCGGACCTGACGCACGGCGAGCAAATTGGCGTTGCGGTGGGTCTCCTAGCCGAGGCGCACAAGCTCACGGGTGTCTCGTGGGTGCGCACGGCATTGGAGCGTGCGGCAGCAGAACGCATGGCACTTGGCGATATGGACGCACAGAACCCGCCCGATGTGCTGCGTGCGCAGTTTGAGGCACATGTGCTGCCGGATGGCGGGCCGGATGCCGAGCAGTGTGCCCCGCTGCGCCTGCTGTGCCGCCTCGTTGGCCTGCAGAGCGAAGTGCGCGAACATGCCCTAGTGTGGTATGTGCCAGCTGCCGCAGTGCCCGGCGAGCTCGTCCGGGACGCACGTCTAATTGACCAGTACCTCGCGGCGCCGCTCGTTAAGGAGGGCTGTGCGCTCGCTGACCTGGTGCACCGCCTGCGCCCCCCCAAGCGAGCGTCGCGCAAGCGCTCGGCGCCGACGGATGATACCCCTGCGCCTACCAAGCGCACCACCGGTGCCGATATGCCGGCCCTCTCGTCCGGCTCGTCGCCGCCTACGAGCTCGCCCCGTGGTTGGGAGCGTGCGCCGAGTCTGCCGGCCGTATCAGAGCCGTGGGCCAAGTCGCCGACGCCCGCGTGGACGCTCAGCACGCCCGACGAACCATAGTCCACTAGCTAGATTTGCTAAAAAAGCTCATGAGACTGGGTTGCTGCGCGCCTTTGCCTTTCGGCGCCGCGCGTGTAGGGCCGCGCGTGGGCGGCGCAGGCGCAGGCGCAGGCGCTGGTGCCGGGGCTGGCGCTTCGTCCTCCGACTCAGACATCTCCACGTCCTTCGTGACCATGTATCCTTTTTCGTTTTTGACACGCACCTGCTTGACGACCTTGCGGCGTTTGCGCTGGGGCGCGGCCTCTGTTTTGGACAGCGGGACGGGCTGGGGCGCCGTGCCGACGTGGAAGCGGTTCTGTAGTCCGCCGAACGCGGCGGGGCCGGCATCGCGCTGCTGGGCATACGTGGGATCGCGTGCGAGTGTGTGACCTGCGTGAGCGAGTAGGGCAGCGTCCTTGGTGGCATGGGGCTGCAGCGCATAGATGGTAGGCTTTGTGTGGACACGGTCCAGATCGTCTTCACAGACGAGGGTGACGGCGTCGTGCGTCGTCACCACATAGATCGCATGCACGTCGGGGTGCGTCTCCTTAAACGTGCGCAGCGCGCTGCGTGAGTAGCAGCACGTACGTTTGGGCGGCGTGCACGTCAATGTGCATAGCGCGGCTCAGCACGCGGTACGTCACCTGTGTGAGTATAGCGTACGTACGACCTCGCGGTCGTGCTCGACGCGCGCGGTGAGGAACGCGTGCGGGTCGTCCATCGGTCGCGGCGCGTCGGGCGGAGCCAGGCGGGAGTGGAGGCCTTTTTCTCAACGACGATGAGCGATCGCAACGGTGCGTGGGGTGCGCTGACCGCAGTGGAGTCCTTGTCGGAGCGCCTTGGCGACATTCTGGCGGATGTGTCGCGCAACTCGGATTGGGCAGATGATGAGGCGTCTAATGCGCCTGCGGAGGCCTCGACGGGGGCCCCGCTGCACGAATCGCGCTACGATGTGCAGGTGACGCTGGCGGACCAGCAGGCGGACCCGAACTCGCCACTGTATTCGGTCAAGTCGTTTGATGACCTGGGTCTACACAGCGACCTGCTCAAAGGCATTTATTCGATGAAGTACACCAAGCCGTCCAAGATCCAGGAGCGAGCGCTCCCGCTGCTGCTGCAGAACCCGCCGCGCAACATGATCGGGCAGTCGCAGTCAGGTACCGGCAAGACGGCCGCCTTTGTGCTGACGATGCTCTCGCGCATTGATTTCAGCATGGAAAAGCCGCAGGCGATTGCGCTGGCGCCGTCGCGCGAGCTCGCGCGCCAGATTATGGATGTGGTACAGGCCATGGGCAAGTTCACGCCGGTCAAGACGGCTTTTGCCATTCCCGATGCACTCAAGCGTGGGGAGAAGGTGCACGCACACCTCGTCGTGGGCACGCCGGGCAAGACGTTCGATCTGATCAAGACGCGCGCGCTCGACCCGAGTGCGGTCAAGGTGTTCGTGCTGGACGAGGCCGACAATATGCTCGACCAGCAGGGCCTGGGCGAGCAGAGTATCCGCGTGAAGAACACGATGCCCAAGTCGTGCCAGCTTGTGCTGTTCTCCGCGACGTTCCCCGAGCATGTGTATGCATTTGCGACCAAGTTTGCGCCGAACGCCAACGAGATCCGACTCAAGCAGGAGGAGCTCAGCGTGGAGAGCATCAAGCAGTTCTACATGGACTGCAAGTCAGAGGAGCACAAGTACGAGGTGCTCGTCGAGCTGTACAACCTGCTCACGATTGGGCAGAGCATTATCTTCTGTGCCAAGCGTGAGACTGCAGACAAGATCGCCCAGCGCATGACGGCCGAGGGCCACCGAGTTGACTCGCTGCACGGCAAACTCGACACAGCCGCGCGTGACCGCACGATTGACGAGTTCCGCACGGGCAAGTGCAAGGTCCTCATCGCTACGAACGTCATCGCGCGCGGCATAGATATCCAGCAGGTCACCCTCGTGATTAACTACGACATGCCACTTACACAGCGCGGCGAGCCGGACGCTGAGACGTATCTGCACCGCATTGGACGCACCGGCCGCTTTGGGCGCAAGGGTGTCTCGATCAACTTTGTGCACGATGCCACGTCGCGGAAGCACATGGAGACCATCGAAAAGGCCTTGCACTGCCACATCGTCGGCGTACAGACGGACGATCTTGAGGCTATGGAGGCCACGATCAAGGAGGGTGCGTCGCGCTAGCTCACCTCAGCTCTCCGTGCGTCGTAGGTCCACAGGATTATCTAAGCAACATCGACGCGCGGGCCTGGCCTGCTGCGACGCCGCCATGCACGGGGATCTCTCGCTGCTGACGCTCGCAGACGAGGACCAGGATGTGCCAGAGGTGACACCCGTGCCCATGGAGGACCTCGCAGCACTGCGCCAATGGGTCCTCTCTGTGGCGTGCATCAACTTTGACCTCGAGCTCGGGCCCGACGTCGAGTTTTTGTACCCACCCCTGGAGATTAGCAAGGAGGAGAAGGACAATATTGCCTTCTCTTCGTTCCCTGATACATCCGTCTTTAGTGATGGCAGTCTCGTATTTTCGTGGCGTGTGCGCGAGGTGCCTCTCGAGGCGTCGTCGGCCGCTGCGCCCCACATCCCCGACATGGCTGACAAGTCGCAGATGCTTGCGCGCCGCTTCTCGCGCCGCCTTAAGCGCCACCTGTCCATCCGCAGTGCTACGGAGAGCCCTAATCCTGAGACTGCAGCCCCAATGCCCCTCGCACCAACGCACAGCAGCCGCAGCACCTCGTATCTGTACGGCTACACCTTCTTTCTCCAGCGGCGGGACGCGACCAACCGGCGCGGCTACTTCCAAAAGTCCCTTGTGATTCTGACCCACCTTCCCTACGTCTCTCTCTTCACTGAACTCGTCGCGCGCCTCGGCCCGTCGTTCTTTGCGCACGGACCCACAGTCCTCGAGCTTGTCGTGCGCGATATTGTGCAATGGCCAGCGCCGCGGCCGGGCGCCGCGCTCGAGCTCCCGCTCATGGGCACACTCATGCATGTACTGCTCCCGCACGGGCATGAACCGCAGCGCAGCGATGGCATGCGCACTGGCGAGCACGCCATGGCGCCCCTGCTGGCATCGGTGCCGCAGTCGTCGATGCTCGATGTGTTCTGCGAGGTGCTGCCGGACCTATGGCGCCTGTGGGAGTGCCTTCTCCTCGCTGAGCCGCTCCTTGTCGTTGGCCATGATCCTCGCACGACAAGTGAGGCCATCTGGCATCTCGTCGACCTCATCCGCCCTGTTCCGTGGGCCGGCGACTTTCGCCCGTTTTTTCACATACACGACTACGACTTTCGCGCGTTCGTGGGCCGCGCGACACCACCAAGTGGTGCGCTGCTTGGCACAACCAACCCCTTTTTCCTGCAGACGTGCGCACACTGGCCGCACAAGTTGCACCTCGGGCAGCGGCTCGAGGCGCGCCACGGACACACGGCCGCGCGCACCGCGCCTTGCTTCGTGTCAACGCGAAAGCGGCGCATCAGCAAGGACCGCGAGCTGCTCCGGCGCCTGCTCCAGTGGCGCGACGTGCCCAGCGAGCATGCGCGGGCCACGGCCGCGGTGCGTCGCCACTTTGCCGATGTAACGGAACGCTTCCTTGCGCCGCTCCACCAGTACATGGCGACACTCATTCCCACGCACTTTGACCTATCGTCACCCGCGGATATGCCGCCGATCCAGCCGTTCCACGCCCACTCGTTCCTGCAGTGGCTCAAAACACACCCAGGGCCCTTGCGCATGCGGCAGCGCTCTCTGACGCCCGCGCACATGCTGCGGCAGTCGCTGTATGCCGACTTTCTGCAGTGCCCCAACTTCTCGCTGTGGCTCCAGAACCGCATTGCCGCAGCGCAGGAAGAGCAGTGGCAGCGGCGCATCGCCGCGCTTGCGGCCGGCGACGTCATTGCGTTCGGGCGCACGCGCTCCGAGATCGAGTCGGTGGATCTCTATTTACGGCTGCGCGACGAGCTGCAGCGCGTGGACGAGGCGCTTGCGCGCCCTCTCACGCCCGAGCTGAGTGAGCGCTGGCAGGCGCCGTCGCCCGACAAGGCGCCGCGCCGCACGAGCAGGGCAGCCGAGCCATCACCGCGCGGCCTGCAGCACCAGCGCCAGCGCCTGACAGAGCAGATGGCGCGCCTGCTCGATATGATGCCGGCCGACCTGCGCATCGGCCTGTCCAAGTAGTCATATACCCGTCACAGACGCGGCGCCAGGAGGCGGCGCAGCATTTTTGATACGGGGCCGGTTGCCACAATCTGCTGGCCCCGCAGGCGTGCGAGACGCACGCGTGACATGCCTGAGTTCAGATGCTGCTTGTTCGTGCTTGCGCGCTTAAACTTGGTGCTGGCAGCGCCATGCACGGGGAAGAAACGCTTCTTTGCGCCCGAGTGCGACTTGAGTTTCAACTTGGGCACGGATGGGCGCGGTGCTATCAAGGCAGCCGAAGACGTGTGCAGGGGCGCGGGCTGCACAGCGGCCGTGCGCCACACCGCCGCCAAAGACGGGCGCCAAGTCCCTAGGCCCAGCATGCTGCGCCAAGCCGACGGCCGCGCACACCGGCAAGGTCTTCATCACGTGACCAGAATGCACCGGTGCCCCACCATGGAGCAGCAGGCGTGCTGACCGCGCGATGAGCACCTCTCGGTCGCGGCATGCGCGCGACAACGCGCAACGCGTGTCGAATGCGTGCGAAGCCACAAGCTCACTATATCAGGAGCATATGGCGCTGGTGAATGACCTGCAGGCCGAGGTGTTGGAGCACATGCCGTCGCAGCTAGCGAGTCTGCATCCCTACGACGAGATGGCCATTGCGCGCGAATACCTTGATGACCCCCAGATGGTGTTCCGTTTCTTGCGACGTGCTGCATTTGATCGCGAAAAGTGCCGTGCCGCACTGCTCAAGACACTGCAGTGGCGCCTGGAGGGCGCCATTGATGCACTGCCACAGGACCTCGTCCACTCGCCGTTCATGGACGCGACGAGCAACGGTATCCCGCTCTTCTGGATGCACTCGCAGTTTCGTGATCGGCTCGGACGCCCGTGCCTGTACGTGCGCCTGCAGCACGTTGAGCGCCTGCCCGAGGGCCTTCGTGAGCTCAAAGCTGCGATTATTGCCTGCTTTGATATCATGCGGCGGTACCTACAGTATGTGAACCATCGCACGCGACGGAGCAAGCCCGTGCTGCAGTGGGTTGCCATGGTCGATGTCACAGATGTGGGACTTTCGAACATGGAGCTGGAGATGCTGCCGTTCCTCATCGACCTGATGAAGAACCATTACCCCGGCATGGTCGGCGCCGTGTACGTCCTCCGCTATTCGTGGTTCCATGCAGGCCTCTGGCGAATGATCCGACCGGTGCTCCCCCCCAAGCTGCTCGAGCGCCTGTTTTTCGTCAACACGCCTGAGCTCCTCGCGCACATGAACCATGCCATGCCCCAGTGCCTCGGTGGCACGCTCCCCGTGGCCATCGCGCCCGACTCGAGCGACGTGCTCAACTACTTTGTGCGCAGCGCCGTGTGGCGCCAGGCCAGTACTCACGCGGACGAGCCACTTCCGCTGCCACTGCGATCACGGCATCAGGACTTTGACTCGATGTACGATGTCATGTCCGGCGCCGGCTCGCCCTACGCGACCGTCACGCCGACGAGCGTGCCCAGCACCCCGCAAATCCGCGCGGAGGGTGCGTCGGACATTGCGCTGCAGGATCAGTTGACATTGCCGACTGCAAAGCGAGACGAATCGTCGTTCCTTCGCTGGTGCCGGGCATGGATGGGGCGCCCGCGCACCGAGCTGCGTGACGCGACTGAGATCCCGGAGCTGGAGGCGCTGCCTGCCGCTTCGTCGGAGCCAGCGCCTCCTCGGGCCGCGCCGCCGGTCCAGGCACACACGGTGACGCGCTACCTGTCATGGCGCGCACACAAGTATGCTGAAATGGAGGGGCAGGTGTCGCCGTACAACATCGAGAACCCCTACTTTGGATACCCTGCCGAGTACGTCGACGACCTGTCGCTCCGGCGGCCTGCAGGCTTGCCGCGTGAGCTGCAAGTGCGCCGGCGCAAGCGCGATTTGATTCGCACACTGACCTATCTGTTCATGCTGCGCCTCCTACGCCTCTATCGCTCACTGCGTCATGGCCTCCTCATCGTGTTGTGGGGGAGGCTCGGTCCGTGGCACGCGTGGGCGTCGCTCGGACGCACCTCCCCTGGCACGCGCCCCTCGCGCCGCGTGCGACGGCGCGTGTTACTGCTGCTGGGACTGCTGCTGTATGCACAAGTCTCTCACATCCCCGTCGCACGGTGGGTGGGTCGCCGACGCGTGTCGTAGCATTGCTAGTCTACTTCTCCTCCTTCATGGCCTCCGCCAGGAACTGCCTCACAAACGCCTCCTCGTCACTGTACGTAAGCACACTATACGCACGGGCTGCTAGCATTGATGGGCACGGCGGGCGCAGACTTGCTGGCCTTGGCGTCGGCGCCGTTCTTCGAGCCACCGCGCGTCGCCAGGTAGACGGCGGCACCGATCGAGCCAAACACACCCAGGACCAGGTGCTCACTCAGGACCTTCTTTCCTGCTATCAGCTTCAAACATACACGTACCAGCGATTGTGTACGACATGACTAGGCGTCGTGGAGAAAGGAGCACCGCGTGCGCCGCTGGCGCCGTCACCCGTCGGTGCCCGAGCGCACACTTTTCGGCCGACAGGCCACGCGGCCTGACAGCCGACGCGCACAAAGGGGGCGTGCGCTGTGCACGCTCGATCGGTGGGCCCTTGGCCTTGTCTGCGATGCCCCAGGCCCAGGCTCCGGGGCCGAACACCCCTGCTGCCGACGCCGACACCTCCGCCACATCTGAGACCGTGTCGGAGCACCCTCTCGCCGACTCGTCTGGGTCAACACAGCTCAGTGCGGGGGGGGCTGCCCTATCGATCCCCATGACTCCCAGCGCCAGACGCACTCCGCGCACAGGCTCGGCGCCTAGCCCATCGCACGCGCCCCTGACACCTCGGGCAGTGCCGAGTACATCTGCGGCCGTACCTCCTCGTATGCACCAGATCCGCTACATTCGCTCGGACGCGGCTGGTTCGAGCGTGCGCGCTCAGCACCGCACACGCGCCGGTGACGACTGCCGCCATCATGAGCGCATGAATCACCTCGTCGTCGAGTGCAGCGACGCAGCGGCTGGCCACTCACGCAATGTCGGGCCGCTCCACGCTGATATGCTCGAGGCCCTTGCTACGCAGGAGCGCCGCTGTCTGGAGCTGCGGGAGGAACTAGGGCGGGAAGAAACGCTCCTCAAGAACATGCGCGACGCCTGGCAGCGGATGGCCCTGCGCGTGGGCATCGGTACAAATGGTTTACCCATGCGCGCGCCGCCGCGCGCGACACAGCGCCCCACGCCGCCTGTGCCGGCGGCGCATCCGCCAGCTCGCGATGAGGCGTCCTGGAGTGACCTGCGGTTTATGCCATCGCAGATTACCAGCCAGTTCCATGCGCTTGTGGACCCGCGACCTGGTAGCGCTCATGGCTCGAGCGTATCACCGAACTCGCGCTCGCCAGGCAAGGACGATGCGCCAGCCTACCGCGTACGAACGAAGCGCTTGCCGCCGATCGACACCCACGCTGTGCGACCGCCGGCGCTGCCACCCAAAGACGACTTGAGTGCCGAGGTGCTGCGTGAGAAACTCTCGAATGGCTGGCATGTACTGTCCAAGCGGCTGATCGAGACGACCTCATCCTTCAAGGACTTGTCGTGGATGGTGGATGATGTGCCTAGCACGGCGCCGAGCAGCCGCATGTCGCTCCCGCCGCTCTTTTCCGATGACATAAATGTCGGCGTACTCTCGCGCGTTTTGCCGCCACGCTCACCCACGGGCAACGAGGAACATGCACCACCGTTGCCACCCAAATCTCCGAGCAAGTCGCACCCCGCGCCTGCACTTGCTACGGATGTGATGGCCGGCGTATCTTCCAAGAACCACGAGCCACTCGGTGAGGCTAGTATGGCTGCCCCCATTGTCTCTGAACCTCTCACGCGCGATCTGGTTTCGCTAGCGATCGACGAGGCGCCCTCTGCGGCGGCGACGCCCACGAGCGCCGACAACGATCGAGCGCCATAGGCGCCTTATACCCGCCCTATGTATAGTAGACAAGCATGTCATTGAATTTTGGTAGGCACACTGCCATGTACCCAAACTACAGGGACATGTATATATAAAAGTCCCTTACGCCTCCTGAGCGCGGACGCGCGCGTTGGCGTTGGTAACGCGGACACCGAGGATCTTCGCCCTGATTGTCAGCCTATCGTCATATACGCACTTCTCAAGGATCTGGATGCGCTTCTTGCTGCTCACGTTGTGGGCGATCTCCGCAGCAAAGGTGTTGTTGTGCCTGGGGTGAGTGAAGAGAACGTACATCAGCAGCAGCTCAACGTCGCTGGGGTTGGCGACAACAAAGCGGCGGAAACCGTTGGGCATAATGTGGCGAGTCTTCTTGTTCGAGCCGTAACCGATCTTCGGCATAGCAATGGTGCTCTTGAAGCGACGGCGCACACAGTTATCAATACCCGTGGGCTTGCGCCATGACTCGCCAACGCGCTTGAAGCGGTCGGACTGGTGGCGCGCAAACTTCTTCGTCCGCTTCTTCACGATCGGAATGGTAGTAGCCGGCATCTTGCACTGGTACGTGTGAGTGCACAGGAGTACCTACGTTTCACAGGACGAGGCGACCGTGTAGGAACAAAAGCAGGCGGCTTTGCGGACGTCGAGGTCTCTTCTTCTCGGCCGACGTTTACGTTGCAGCAGGGCAGAACTATAGTTTTGGAAACCCACGTGACCTACACAAGAGGGTAAGCTCACGTCCGCACTCGCCATTTTCCTACCTGCCGGCCACTCGTCAAGGTGTGTAGCTGCTTTGCACGCGGTACAAGGCGCTACGTCGCCCGCGTGCCCCATCGGAACAGAACTAACATCGCACAGAGATCCTATCGTCATGTCGCTTATGCAGAGCACTCCGTTCATTGTCGACGGCAAGGGCCACCTCCTTGGTCGTCTTGCGTCGATCCTCGCCAAGCAGATCCTCTCGGGTCAGAAGGTGACCGTCGTCCGCGCTGAGCTGATTAATGTGTCGGGCAGCTTCTTCCGCAACAAGGTATGTTTGTTTCGCTCACCATTCAGTTGAAGTACCATGCTTTCATGCACAAGCGCCACCTGGTGAACCCCCGCAAGTCGGGTCCTTTCCACCACCGCGCCCCCTCTCGCATCCTCTTCCGTGCTGTTCGCGGTATGGTGCCCCACAAGACGGCCCGTGGTGCTGCTGCGCTCCAGCGCCTGAAGATCTACGAGGGTGTCCCCCCGCCTTACGACCGCAAGAAGAAGTTGGTCATCCCAGACGCCCTCCGTGTGCTGCGCCTCAAGCCGGGTCGCAAGTACGCGACGCTCAAGCGCATCTCGAGCGAGGTCGGCTGGAAGTACGGCGAGACTGTTGACAAGCTGGAGGCCAAGCGTGCTGTCAAGACTCAGGCTTTCCAGGAGCGCAAGGCCGCCGCGCTCAAGCGCCGTGCTGCTGCCGCCACGGCCGCCGCGAGCGAGATTGAGCCTATTAACAAGCAACTCGCACAGTTCGGCTACTAGGTGCATGCCTATCTCTTTCCCAAAATCCTCGCTTCGAACTAGCTTTGGGGTGTGGCTTCACGGTCGCAGCCATGTAGCGACCAGCCGCGTCAGTGATCCTCGCAAGGATTCTGACGCCTTGTCATGCATTTAGATTCCCCCCGTATGTATCGCTGGCTAGCTCTTGAGGAATTTCCTGCCAAACCTTATAGCGAGTGTGCAAGCGACGAAGGCGCACATGGTCGGCTTGTAAGCAGCCGGGCCTCTGCGCATCGGGCAGGTGGAGTGCATCGGGGCGCGAGGGTTGGGAGGCCATTGGCATGCATGAGGCTCAGCAGCCTCCCCTGCCTGCCTTAGTCCCAATGTGGTCGACTGTGCGGGCGTGGCTCGAAGAATGGAACATCTTGGAGAAACCAGCACCGCCACTAATGTCTATGGCGTCAATAGGGCCCATCCTGGGCACGGTTCTCATGTACACAGTCCGCACTGTCGCCTTTATTTTTGGCGTGCTCCCATTCCTTTGGATACTGCTCTGTGAATGCCGTGGTCTATTTAAGCTTGTACTCATAAGTACGTCCAGCGAGACTAACACCAGAGCTACTATGGGCCAAAGAAGAGGCGGCACAAACCACCCTCGCTCATGACGACAATCCCTCTCTCACGGCAACAAGTACGGCCTATAGTGCCGAAGCAGGCAAACCTGCGCCTGCTATCACCACCAGTATGCTCACGATACCGCATTAATACACATCTCTTTACAATATATGCAACTGCATAGGGTATATAGCTCTAGAGCTTCATGCAATCAAGAATCCTGCGGCGCTGCGGGCCCGGTCATACGGCGCCGAGTCTGAACATGGAAGCCTGGGGAGCTGGGACTCAAACCGATGCTTAAGCCACGTTCGACCAAAATGTCGTATAAGGTAGGCCCACACGTCCGCTTTGTATGCGCCTGATCCGACGAGTAGATTCCTTCGGTCAGCGCATGGTCCAGCTCGATTGAAGACGACCGTGCACCTGCATCTCGGGGGGTCCACGTCGACGGACGCCTTGGAGTTGACAAATCAAGGGTCGATTGGGTGTTGGTGGCCACATGCTCGGTCTCTCCACGAAGGGGCATGCGCTCTTCATCACGGATAGGTGAAATTGGCGCTGCGTCGTGCCAACCTGGGCCCCAGCAAAGGTCTTCTTGGCGGCTGTCTTCTTCATCCGTTGAGGAAGGCATGCGATGAAGACTAATGGTCCATACACCACATAGCAGTAGGCACGTGCCCAGTACGACCATCAGCACGCTGGTCCAGGAGAGAAGGGAGAGGTCATCAAAGTACACGAGTCCCAGAGTTATAGAGGAGATGTTGTAAAAGCAGAACGCCAATGGCGCCACCAGCACGGGATCAGCGAGTTTAAGGCTTTTGTGAAGATAACATAGCTGCAGTAAGGCTGCAACGAGCAAAATGATGACGAGCCACCAGCTCGTCCAACTTGAAAACTGGTTTTGTCCTTGCAAAGATAAAATCAAAAGGTCGACACCGCTCTTAGCCAACAAAAGACACACACCACTCAATGTACCACTGGAGGCGCTGTAAATCACTGCGAGCGCCAAGACTGTAGGACGATGCGACGGACGGTGTATCCAAGACTGCGTTGACGCATCGCTGGGCGTAGGCGACGGGGATGGCTGGCGCAACGACATGGTCGAGCGAGTAATAGACCCGTAATGGATAGGCTGCGACACATGCGGATTACTTGGAAGCGTTCCATGCATTCGTTTGGTTGCAGCGACGTCGCCACTGACTAGGCGGCGCAATCGATCGTCGCTGGGCACGGATGGGGCCACTTGCGAGATCCCCGAATTATTTTCACTCACCTCTGCCACAGTGGCTAGTGCCGGAGCTGTTCGATGACGGCGCATATAGGCACGCCCTCTTGTGCGTCCCGATTTCCAGCGGGACGGGTTTTTATGTTGCCAGACAAGCTGCCATTCTGTGAGGTGCGCCATGCACAACATTGATAAGAAAACCAGCGCAAACAGCGTCGCAAGCATCACAAATGGCGGGCGCTGAAATAGTCTCAAGAGTTCGGGAAGGGACCGTGCAGTATGAGATACAGCACCAAAGTACCCAATAACAACGGCACCCACAGCAATGAGCATTGTTCCCATGAGCATATGCCTCGAGAAAAAATCATTCAGCATCACTCGAGCGAGTAAGGCATTGTACAAAAGACTTACAGCTCCAAGAGGTGCAAGGATTACCACGGGCAATGAACCAATCTGGAAGATTGTTCCGCTGATATTGGCGCCCAAGAACACCACAAAGCCTATGATCCAGAGCGGTCGCCGCCACTCGGACTTTCGCATGTCTTCGGGTAGACTCTCATTTTGGAGATGCGAGCGGCGCTGTACTGTCAAGCCTAAACTCTGGACAAAGCTTGCCACAAGGCCAATGCCTACGGCCAGTGGCACATCCATGACTACACAGGTCAGGAAATGATTATTGCCAGATAGTGGGGAATGTCGAACTCCCGATTCCATCTGATCGGGGCGTAGTCATCGCTGTACATACACTCACAGCCTATCTACCTACATTCTGTCAGGCAGGCATTCGGAATCGCCAGCGGAAGGGGGGCCCGCTTCTTTTACGCAGGGCAACACTCTCCCTGCTTCCACAAATCCCATAACATCACGGGGCAGAAGATGGAGTAATGACACGCACAACAGCGATCCCGGCGCATCGCTGCTGCCCATGTCTCGCCCATCAGGGAGTTCATCTGGCTACGGTTCTGACTCGCCCTCACCTAGACGATCATTGGGAAGCATTACTTCAAAGTATATTGCTTGGAAGGAGCCTATGCACGCCTTTCGTGTGATGAAACTTGATTCGCAACGCGCGTCTCCTGCCGTGAAGGTGTCTCCTACCCCGCCACCGCCTTCTTCGTCCTTGTCTTCTCCAGGACTCCATGCGCTAGAGCCGCTTGACACACTAATACCAGCAACCTTGCGAAATGGCGAGGCGATGCTTAAAGTGACTCAAAACAAAGTCGCTCAACGTGTCTTCCGTGTTGATCCTGAGCTAACCCGCATCGTCTGGGAAAGTAAACGGGGAAACTTTGTCCCTTTATATGCCATTCGTGATGTGCGTTTCGGAAGCAATGCTCAGTCGTACCGACAGTCTTTGCAAATTTCTGATGCACATGAATCCCGCTGGATTTCCATCATTTTCCAGACACCACGAGCCTACAAAGCGATCCATGTGATTGCACTGTCGGATGCTTCGTTCGAACTTTGGTGCCGTACACTTTTACGAATTCTTGCGCATTGGGAGGCCTTGTCCTCTGGGCGTATCACTGCCGCATCTGCCCAGTCGGAATGGCTGAAGGCTTCGTGGCGTGGTGGCCAAACACTAGATTTTCAAGCCCTGACACGTTTGTGTCAGCGTATGGGCCTTCAAGTCAGTCGCCCTGAGCTTCGTAGTCTCTTCGAAGACGCTGATCGTGAACGTTTTGGTGCCCTACACTTTGAGGCTTTTCGACGGTTTGTGGAACAGCTTAAGCGTCGCGCTGATATTGATCGACTTTTTCAACAACTGGCACCTAGTGGTACCCTTTCTCTCGACACATTTTCGAAGTTTTTGCGAGAAGAACAATTAGAAACTCAATGGTCCGATGAGCATATCGCTCATTTGTATTCTCGATACCAGGCGTCTCAGTCAGATGGGCTTGTATCCTTTCTCACCTCTCGGGACAATGGAACATGTGCATTGCGAGTACAAGACACTGCCAGTACCCTTGATGAGCCCATATGCAACTACTATATCTCTTCCAGCCACAATACATATTTGGAAGGCGGGCAGTGGAAAGGCGACAGCACGATCGAGGGATATGTACGAGCGTTACAACAGGGAGCCCGAAGTGTCGAGTTAGACTGTTGGGATGGACCCAATGGACAACCCCAAGTCACTCATGGACGTACACTTACGAGCCGTGTGCCACTGGATGATGTCGTTAATGCGATCGCGCAATACGCATTTGTATCGTCTCCATACCCGCTCATCCTTTCTCTGGAAGTACACAATGACATGGCACAACAGGCCACTCTTGCACAAATTTTACGCAGTCGTTTAGGGTCGCTTCTTGTGACTGAACCTTTACCCGATGTTTGTCCTGGTGTGCTTCCTACTCCTGAGCAACTCAAATTCCGCATCCTCGTGAAGTGTAAACACTACGAATGGCTACATACCCAGGACAACCAGGAATTTGATGAGAGCAAATCTACAACCTCTACAGACCACACTGAGTGGGAAAGCGACACGTTGCTGGTGCAAGCGAAATCCCTTGTTCGGTTAACGCGCCGCACGCCTGAGCGCTCTAAGCATGTCCGCCCCAAGTCTCCAGAGCTGCTCTCTCTCCTTGTTTACACTGTCGGCGTACACTTTCGTGGACTTAATAAGAAGGAGCACTATGACGTGGAACATACATTTTCTTTATCTGAGCGCAAGGCCCATCGTCTTATTCGCATGAGTGACACAGATCTCGTTAAACACAATCTCACACATCTGACTCGTGTGTACCCCTCGATGACGAAACTCAGCCGAATGACGAATAGTGCCAACTTTTGTCCTATGGATATGTGGGCTGCAGGCTGCCAGCTGGTTGCCCTCAATTGGCAAACCCATGACAAAGGGATGGAGCAGAACGTGGCATTGTTCGCAGGCAGCGCTGGCTATGTGCGCAAACCAGATGCTCTACGTGTACGACACTTGGTAAAAAATGCGGGGCGCGATGCTGTCACCGTGCAAATTCTTTGCACCATTATCTCGGGACAACAACTTCCGCATATTCGCCGTGATGAGGAAGCTATTTGCCCGTATATCTCTCTTTCTGTGGATGCCCCTGTGCAGTGGGGCAAAGGAGTGATTCGACTGCACACCCTGACGACCGATAACACCGACTCTACCACCTCAACTTTGCGTCGAAACTTTTCTAGAACTCATACAATTCGCTCTCAAGGCCTTGCTCCTATATGGAGCACACCTTTTCTCATTGAAGTGGACATACCTGCGGGCATCGATACGGCTGCTGTGCTTGCGCAGCGCACACGTTATGATAACGCATTACGGCACTCCATCCTACTTCATGAGGCAACGCGTGGATTACTAGATCTTTGTTTTTTGCGTTTCCAGGTCTGGGACGACCAGCCGACGCCCGTCCTGTTGGCCAGCCGCTCTGTCAGCTTGGGTCGTCTAGGACGAGGTACGTTCATGAATGACTAATCATCTCAGGATACCGACACCTTGCGCTGCATGATACTCAGCTGTCGCCCTTGTTGTACGCTTCTCTATTTATCCACACACGATATACCCTTCTGTAGAAAATAATGCCTGCTTTTGTACGGCACATTCTACGTAATGAAATTCTCAGAGTTGTTTCTAAGAAAGTGCATTCATTTTGAGTGCCTAGGCATCGGTGTGTACATGCATCGGGAGAATTAGCTCAGGCTAGGGAAGGCCTGCTCGTCCGCGATATTCACGGTAGGGCCCTGGGAGGCGGGACCACGGCCACCACGAGCGCCACCACGAGCACCACCGCGGGCACCACCACGAGCGCCACGGTTGTCACCACGGCCGCCGCGACCGCCACGGGCACCGCCGCGACCGCCACGAGGAGCGCCACGCTCGCTACGCTGGGGTTGGGTGTACACAGGCTCAATCTCGATGCTCTGCTTGGTCTCCTTGCGGGGCTTGGGGGCCGCGGCCTTCTTTTCGGTGCCGGCAAAGTACGACTCACCCTCACTGCGCTCGAGGCGCTGGCCGTACGAGGCTTCATCAGCCTCCACAGGGCGGGGAGCAGGCTGCGCCGTCATAGACGAACGCTTTTCGGCCTGCTTGGCCAGGTATTGGTCCAGAGTGAGGGTCTTCTCATCCTCCTCTTCGTCGACCTGAGGCTTGGGCTCAGGCGCCTGCTTGTCCTTCTCAGCATCCTCTTTGGCGCCCTCCTCAATCTTAAGAGTTTCTTCGGGGTTGGAATCGCCCCAGCCCTGACGTACAGTCTTGGCAGTGTCTTCGTGACCAGTGCCAGAGTGACGGTCGAACTGACGGCCACGACCCGAGCCACGACCGCCGCGGCCGCCGCGGCCACCACGGCCGGTGCCACGGCCGGGGCCACGTTCACCACGCGCACGGGACACAGCACGAGAGTCACGCTGTTCAACCGGGTCAGCAGCTTCCGGCGCCTTCACACCGCCTGCCGACTGCGGCGCACCAGGCACAGTGCGAGGAGCCGACTCGGTCTTAGGGGCAGCCGGAGCAGGAGCAGGCGCATCCTCCGCGCCGTCCACACCCAGCAGCTGGAACGGGTTCGAGTTCACAACCGACATTCTAGATCGATGAATCGAGTCTGTTCGTTGACCGGTTGGTGTTGGGTCCGGGTTCGGTTGGTCCTAGAGATCCCAAAGGCCGAGGTTGAAGGAAGAAAATCGGCGCACCTGGCCGGCAGCTCCTTTGCTGGCTGCATCTCATTGGACCAATTACATCTTAGCAGTCGCACCATCAAGTCACATGCCTTTTACTCAGGACAAGAATTACCCGCCATACAAGCGATGGATTTTGTGCCAGCGGCCACCGACGGTGAGGCGCGCTGTCTACATGGACATGACTAGGGAACTTTCAATCCGCGTAGCGCGCACCATGCCTGCGCGTGCACGAATGCAAAACCGCGGCCAGGGAATACATAGTCGCGTTTAGAACGCAGCAGGCTGAGCGACCGGAGCAGCACCAAGCTCGTGGTTCGGTGCCGGTGCCACAGGCTCAGGCGCAGGGGGCTGGTTGCGCGACTCCGACATGGGGGCCGTGACCGGCTCATCCTCCTTGGGCTCGAGGATGGTAACCGCGTCAGGCAGAGGGAAGGGCCGACCAGTACGGCCCTCAGGGTCCCAGCCATGCATGATCTTAACCTTGATACCAAGGACGCCCTGCTTCATCAGGACGTGGCGAATAGCCTCATCAACAAAGTCCTTGGCGGGCTGACCAGTGTGAATCATGAAGCCATCGTTGAACTTCATTGTCTTGGCGCGGGCAGCACGCAGCTTACCCGAGATGATAACCTCACAGCCCTTGGCACCCGACTCCATGACGTAACGGAGGACACCGTAGGCGGCACGACGGACAGGCAGACCACCCAGCAGCTTGTTGCGGAGCGACTCGCACTGGGCCACGGCGTGAAGACCACGGTTCATGACCTTCTCGGCGTAGAGCTCCAGCGAGCCCTCGGGGAAGCGGAAGCGCTGGCGAAGCAGCGAGGTCAGCTCACGGAGACGACGACCCTTGTCACCGAGCACCTCCTGGGTGTGGGTAGCACGGACGATGATCTCGGTGCGGACATGGTTGACGCGGACCAAGCAGCCCGAGTAGCCCTCAGCAGCAAGCTCACGGGTAAAGAACTCGTTGAGCTCAGCAGTGAAGACACCGTCAGCAACAAACTTCCTCTTCTTCGAGATAATAGCAGACGCCATCCTGTTCTGTGCAGTAGGGTCGACAACCGTTGTGTAGCAAGAAAGAGGTTCCGGTGCTAGTCCTAGTCCTTCGCTCTCCAGAACTACAAAAATGGGAAGATCATGTGACCGAAACACGTGGGACTGCAGCCCCGGCTTTAGGGGCTTACACCTGGTGTGGGAGACGCCTCCACTTCACACATCCATATAGAGGTATGTTGCTCGGGCGCGTCGGGGCGGCAAAGAACGATGAGTGCACATTTGCACGTAAAACTGGCATCTCTTGACTGAAGACCTATCAGTTGACAAACTGGTAGAGATCGGCGCTGAGAATTGACTGTCTGAGCCAACCTGATGTGCTTTTTGCTTTGATTCATACTAATACCATTAGGTTTAGGTCATATACGAATTACTACTTTTTATGTCAATACATGTCAGGGATTGACGGGACTTAAGAGCACCGAGTAGCAACTTTGCTTGCGATGGCCGGGGTTTGAGTCATAGCCCGCCAATACGAATAACGCGCCTGACTTTTGTTGTGGAACAGAAGAGGGCGTGGTAAGTCTGCCGTGCGACTTGGATCCGTGTCCCACACGTCCAAGCGATTGTCCAATCGTGCATTTTTCCACACGCTTGGGTGTTAGCGCCAGTCTACAATTTCTATTTGTAGTTACGAAGGTTAGAAAAAGAGCCACTTAGATGACGACGGTTTCGAGGGCATTTTATCGCGGTACAGCCGTGTGAGCTCATCTAGCCTTAACATAACCTCCTCCAATTTCGATTTGCGCTCCTGCAGATCAATATGATGGCGAATCGCTGGGTTTTCACGGGCGAAATTAACCATATCTTCATGTGTCATGTCATAGCCAAGACGAGCGTCGATCTCCCGCGGGAACTGATAGAAGAATTCAGCGAGTAGCTCGATGTTGATAAACATGACGGCAGTGTACGTGAGCTTATCAGCCACCACGTTCAAAAAGGTCTCCGGACAGAAGGCTTGAGACTCAGGACCTAGCTTGCAGCGACTAGATTTAAGTGCAGCCAGACGCAGGCGGAGAATGTCCGCACGATCCTGCAAGAATCGCGCCTCTCTTGCTTTCATCAGAAGAGCCGCGTTGAAACCAGGCCGAGTCGGGTCGCTCTGGTCCTCAGACTCCAGGTCAGGCGCAGGTCCCTCCACTTGCTCCAAACGTTCTGAAACACGCTTGCGCTCGCGTTCTTCTAATTGTGTGATGTACTCAATAGCGCCGCGCAAACGCCTAGATCCAACAAGCTTTCTAAGGCGATCGTACGCTTCATTACACATATCGAGTTCATTTTTCATCAACTGAACTGATTGCTGGCGACCTTTCTCCCACTCTCGAGCATCCATCTCGACTTCATACTTGAACGGCTTTACACAATTTTCAACTTGGTCCGCTGTGATAGCGAAACGATCCTTTAGCAAGGCACTTCCAAATGCAATAATGCGCTGAGCAGTTTCAACATGATGGTTGAATGGATCAGCTGTAGCCAACTGTTCCAGTTGGTTGCGGATAGTTGTGGCAACGAGCTGCGTACTCATTCGTCCAATGCCACTCTTGGTCAACGACGATGAACACAGCTCAAGCTTGTTTAGCCATGAGGGATCGAGGTCCTCTACCTTCACATTGCGCTGTCGGCTCAACTCATTTAAGGTTGGAAGCTCCGAGTCCTGCCAATACACTTGAGCCAAAATATCCATGACTTTGTCATCTAGGGCACTCTTTAGCAACAAACGCACTTCCGGTTTACCAAAACTAGAAGCAAAGAGTTTAAAGCGCTGCTTCATGACATCCATCACCTCGGCGACGTATGTTTCAGGGGTAATTTGACGATCATTGTACTGCACTTTGAATTGGTAGGCAGCATCATCTAGTTCTGAGCGCACAAGATTGGAGACCCCGCTCAAAGAAGAGCCCATATGTTCTTCCAGGACCACCATCAATCGCTGACGAAGCTTGTCAGTGCCAACTAGAGGTGCAACTCCAGCATTTCGTCCTCGTGTGGGTGCCGAGAAGTGTTCATGATGCTCGTCGAAGTAACGCTTTTCGTATTCTTGCGTGAGCTGAATGATTGAGTTGCTCCGCGACAGGGCGAACATTGATTGCCCGACTTGCGGCGGTGGCTTGCAAACTACACCGATGTAACCAAGTGAAAGAGGGTACTTGTTGCTGTTCAAAATCGAAGCCCCCACTTCTGGCGAGACGAGGTCCATTTTTGTCACAACGCCAATTGTGCGCAAGCCCAACGGGTCTACTTTGCGACTTGCACGAAGTGCCGGTGAATTAGCCAGGTCGACATCTGCAGCACACACCGCCAAGATAACATTCGGCTCCTTAATATATTTGTTGCAAAGACCCGCGATTTTCTCGCGCAACTCCTCAGGCTGGTCCATAGAGCTCAGTTGCACATAGCCAGGCAAGTCAATCAAAGACAAATCGGGCACGTCGGGGCTGTGGATATGAAGTTCAATGGGGTTCTCGGACACGCATTCATGTTGCGGTACAGACATGTTCATATCGTACAGAATCTTTTGGATCTTCGTAAAGTCTGTTATCTTTCCCATGCCTGTCCCCGGAAATTCACCAAATTCAACGATGCCATCCGCAGGCTCCCTATCCTTCGAAACATGAACAAGTGTAAGTTCAATAGGACGCCTAGTCACCATATTATTGCCCTTTGGAAGAAATTCATGACCAACAATAGATTCTAAAACGCTGCTCTTTCCACTGCTTTGTGATCCAATTACCACGATACTAGGTAAAACGAGCTCATCCGAATCATGATCAATCGTTTTCAAAATATTACGCACTTCAATTAGTTTACGCGTAAGAAGCATCAGCTCATCTTGGTTTTCATGGTGTTTGTCATCACGATCCTCTTCGTCGCTCGACGAGCCAGTTAAGGCAGCACCAATAGCAGCAGCAGCAGCACCTAGACCGCCACCGCCACCGCCACCGCCACCACCGTTGAGTTCTTCCTCAGAAGAATCGTCCGACTTTTCCCCCACTTCTGTATTATCCCAGAAGTGGGCACTCTTCATGTCTTCCAAACGCTGCATAAGGGAACGGAACCCCGTCCTAGCCGAATCAAAGAGATCTGACGAAGTTTCAGAGACAGAGTCATACAGGCCTGATGCTGACTCACTGGCCGACGTCCAAAACTCGTTCAAGGCATTTTTGATTCCTGATATTAGTAGAAAAAACACATACCTTCCACCTTGTAATTGGCATAAGCATATGCTCCTCCAGCTGTAGCAAAGCCCGCGAGAGGAAGGCGGATAAGGCGAAACATAAATTTTGGCATCCCTGTCTTGGTGCTAAGGGCCCGCGTCTGCATCGAGCGCTGAAAAGATTGGACGGATGGGCGTACACTAGCCGACCGTAGTGCACTTGCAACAGGCATGAATGAACGTATTGGTGGGCGCGAGTGCGTCCGGAACTCTCGTTTAAAGATGCTGGCGGCGATGGCGCGCCGCAGCGGCAACATGACGGCTGGGTGGCGAACGTTGTGGAGACGGTACTCGGTTTACCTATATGTGCATGGCTCGCGCGCAGATGTGGATTTAAACATCCAGGACACGATCGTACGACGCAATTAGATCACGCGCTGTGCCGAGTATGCGAGGATCCGGAGACCCATCGGCACTGTCTTGCCAGCCCAGGAGACGGTCAGCATGGACATATTCATGACCTGACCATGTAGCCTGAGCTCCATAGCGTACATTCCCATCCAAGTATTCCGCTGGTGCCACGGCCACAAAGGATGCGGCGACAGCGCCCTTGTATGCATCAATGGGGTGATGCGGCGAAAATGTCCAGCGAGCCTAAACTGTGAGTAAAGCGCACATACCAAAAAGAAAACACACTTCATCATGATTACCATAATAGCCGGAATAACGCCACTGAAGATGCTAGTCGCCACAATGCCCGGGTGAGCGGTGAAAGAGCGTAAAGCAGGGGGTTGCTCATGGGCCAAGAAACGTTCATCCATGGCCAAAGATGTGAGTTCACATTGATACTTAGTTGACTCGTAAGGATTCGTAGAAAGCTTGGGGTTTAAGCATTGAAAGTCATTCGCATGAAAATCATTAGGATTTGCTTCCAGTGAGCCCGTCCAGATGATTCGCGAAGGCGTTGCATAAGGAGATGCACGCAGCAGCGACTCAAGTTCGTGCGCGAGCAAATAATGACCACCGACGTTTATTTGCCAAACCCATCCAAACCCATCTTTGCTCACTTCACCCGATCGCTGAAGCTTGTAGCTAGGGAATGTTACAGCCTTGTGCAAGTTTGTTACAATTTCCCATGTCGCACGAACCCAATTGATTCCCGTCCAGGAAGCACCTCCTGCGTTTAATACTAAATGCGTTAGGTAAGGGAATTCGCTTGCCACCACTCGAGCGCAATCTTTCGTACTTGCGACGCTTGACAGGTCCAACGAGACTATTTTAATTTTTGTACCAGCACAAAAAGATTGCCGGTACTTTAGAAGTGCATCAGAATTACGCATCTCCAATGGCGCGCCAAGCTTTGTCTCATACTCTCGTTTTCGCAATGGTTTATTGTCATTGACAGACGAGCTTGATGCATTTGGCCATATATTAGGGCTTCGATTAGACTGAATAAGCTCATCATCAGAATGAGATAACTGAAAGAGGAGTTCTTGCAATTCTAATTTTGCGGCTTCCGCTTTGGCTTGGTTGCGGCATGCCAACAATAATGTACATCCATCGCGAGCGTCGAAGGGAGTACCGGCAGCATCTCGACGAGGAATGTCCAATGCAGCACTATCGGGGGGTACCGGGTTGGAGAGTTGAATGAGCAAACGCTTGCAAAGTCCTAGACCCAGTCCTGCATTCGCACCAGTCACCAGGATGACAGGGCGCTTCATTGTGATGGAAGTGGAGGAAACCTTCCCCAGCGTCATGTTTCCTGTGCAAGGTCTGCTGGCCTCGGTCGTATGTCCTGCACATCGTGATGGCGAATGCGAAGGGCGGCGCATTCAGTGCATTTTTTCGCACGATATGCGTCAATTACAAAAGCGCACTACCCCATCAACTCACCTTGATCTCGCCTCTGAAAAGGAGATAAAGCGCACAAAACTTACAAAGGACGATTCTGAGCACAAGACCATTGAATGCCCACGTATTTCATCGAAAGATCATCCGAGAACATCTCCCATCTCACTTGGAAGTCGTCAGGATGGAGTCAAGAAATTGCATGCCGCACTGCTGAAATTTTATGCGCCTATGCTCGAACACGAACAACCCCACATACGGCACATGGGGGCTACTTTCGCAGCTCGTGATGCTCTCAATATGGAAGCAGATGTTATGCAACATGCAAATGTACATTCCTACAAAAGTTCAAGCATGACTGCTGCCGCGGGGATCCTGAAACGGTCAAAGCAAGCACTGATAGATTCAGTCGAAGAAGCGAGTCATGTCGATCAAAAAGGCAAAGCCGAGAATATCATGAAAGATTGTACAGAAACGGGAACAGCTTTACAAGTGCAAGAAAAGAGAAAGCGTGTAGAACGCCGTCGACTTGGCGAATTGACTCGCTCTCGACTCGTCAAAGCCGGATTTTTATGCCCAAAAGGTGATCTTACAACGCTAGGCTACCTTACTGAAATCCCCGAGGAATGGGGACCTGGGGGTGATGTTCCCGACGGAACTGGAGAGTATCAGACCTGCATTCGGTGCAGCGGTCAGTTCAAGGTCGCCCCTCTAGGTCCGGTCGGTACAGATGATCCCAACAAGCAAGATCCAGAGGCGTGTCGGTATCATGCAGGCCGTCCACGACGGGAGGCATTAGATGGGAATATGGCAGCACGAAAGGTACTTCGTTGGACATGTTGCGGCCGAACTGTGGATAGTCTCACGCTTGGTGATGACCGATGCTCGACGGGTCCACATGTGTACAAGGAAGAAGCACCACGCTCTTTACATCGACGAGCTGGCTACAGAACACTGAAGCAATTAAACCCTGATTCTGTAGCTGCAACGCTGCAAGTTGCCGCCCTTGATTGCGAAATGAGTTATACGACCGCTGGCTTGAGCGTCACGCGCATCACCCTCGTCGACGAATCTGGAGACGTCGTTTTTGATGAGTTGATTCGATGTGCAAATGGCGTATCCGTGGTGGATTTCAATACGCAGTTCTCTGGCATTCAACCGGGCGAATATGAAGCCGAAGCAGTCTTGGACTTGGACAGCGCTCGCCGAGCATTAGCCCAATACATTGGCCCTGATACCATTTTGGTATGTGGTTGCACTAACATATTCAGATTGGACATGGATTGGAAAATGACCTGCATGCCATTCGGCTAGTCCACACAAACATTATTGATACCTGCCAGCTTTTTCCACATCCACGAGGGTTGCCGTACCGGCTTGCTCTTCGGGATTTGGTATCAAAATATCTTGGCAAAATCATTCAAGCAGGAGGCAGTACCATCGGTCATTCCTCCGCTGAGGATGCGCAGATGACACTCGAATTGGTTCGCTGGAAATGGCTTGACGTGTGTTCCTTGTTGGACCGTAAGGGATGACGCATCATTCAGATTTTTTTTTGCAAGTTAGCACGCTTCTCCCGACGAATAGCCCTTCTCATTTTCCGACGCTCTACCCTCGGGACATAGTTTACGTCGCGTTGTTTTCGCTATTGTTAGCATAACTAACACTTACCTTTTCGGCGCTCTTTTGTACCGGTTCAGACTGATGTCGCAGGTCTTCTAATAAATCAACGAGTGTCCGAGGGTCAAGCTGCATTACTTTTTCTCCTTCATGCTCCGCCTCAGCTTCAACAAAGGCGACAAACCTTGCAAAACGGCGTTTGTGGTTCTTACTATCCAGATGGACGTCGATACTCTTGTCATTCTTGAGGGTCACCAGGGGACATGCAACACATCTGAAAATTTCATATTTAGACGAAACTTCATTGTCGATGTAAATGGGGCTTTTCATTGCCTGCTTAACAGAAAAGTCAGTGACATCTGCATCGCTCTCGTCATCGTCAGATTCATCCGAGACACTGCTTGAATCATCAGCTGGATCGCTATCACTATTTTCATCAATGGCAGCAACTAGAGAAACAGCATTTTCGTCTTCACCGTCATCCAGCTCTTCACGCAGAGCGGTCGCCTTGCTAAGCCGCTTGAACATAAAGATGCAAGTACGCACGCAGTACTAAGCGCGAGTCCTGACTTGTACTATGCTGACTAAGCCAATATACATGTTGGGACCTACCACCATGCAGCACGATGATCGCGGGTTGAGGCCAGGCACGTCGATATCAGAAAACTCTGCTTCGGCATCTTCAGAGAATGAATGGATAAATGAGATCACTGGGTCTAGCGAAACATCTGCTACTTTTTCTTCTGGAGCTCGTGCTGCTGCTCTTCAACTTGGTCAAGCCTCTGTCGTGCGCAAAGCGAACGACCTGGTCCGTCTAGCACTTTTTTCTGAATATCGCCGTTCATCTGTGCGCAGGGATGCAATTATGAAGCGTGCTGTAGGAAAGGAAGCGGGTCGCGCTTTTCCTATTATATTTGCCACAGCCCAAAACACTTTACGAAGTACTTTTGGGTTTGAGCTTGTTGAAATGCGGCCCAAGGGAGCTGAGAATCCATTACTTAAGGAGCAAGCAGTTGAACTGGACAAAAGATCTAGCAATAAAAGACAGCGGGTAAATGAGATCTTGGACTCTCGGAAAAGCTCTTCGACGTCTGCACAAGCATACTTTCTTCGCTCGATACTCCCTGCGTCTGTGCGACAAGTACTTTCAAGTTCCAGTCAGGACAATTCCTCATCATTGGTTGACTGGAGCACTAATACCGGCGAACTTGGATCGATGGGTTTGCTCTATATTATTCTCAGTCTAATTCTATTATCTGGACGACGGGCGTCGGAAGGTACGATCCTTCACTAATCCGCAGCACACCTTCGAAGTTGCCTTGCTCAACTTTCTTTATCTATGGATCGTCCCCTCCCTGCATCGCTTCAAACTAAAAGTCATTATACACAAGAGGCGTCTCTTGAAATACGCCGTGGTCCTCAAGAGGCTACACTCGACACATTTTTTGCGCAGCTCCAACGACAAGGCTACTTGGAAAAGATTCGAGTGCCCTCTGACGCCTCATCGCCCACATATGAATGGCGTTGGGGTGCCCGTGCTGAGCTGGAAGTGGGCGAAAAATCGATCGCGAATTTCGTTATGGATTTATACAGTGATGGCGCCAAGTCTGAATCTGAGAGTATCAAAAATGAGTTACTGAAACGTGTGGAGCGAGCAGTGGGCACACCGCTTGTTGAATGAGGTTATGACACCCGGTAAAGTTCTCCCTCACGTTCCCAGGAAGACTTTTTAGACCAGAAACGACTCCAAAAGGTCATAATATCTTTCCATTCTGAACCATGAACCATCTCCTGCTGAGTATCAATAAAGTTGAAATGAGTCACATGTGCGAAAGCACGCTGCACTGCTGTAATAGATGATCGCGCTCTGGAGGAAGCTAACAAGGCCTTTTGGAGCCGCGTGACAAAGCAGAGGGGGGTCGTCAAGGCTGGGGAAAATGTCGGTAATGATAGCAATGGGCCACACACGCTTGTAGCGCTTCCCCATTCTTTTGGGCGCATATAAATCAATGTTTCTAACAAAACACTGCCTCCCTGTGCAAACCCAAATAAATGAAGATTTTTTGGATCCCAGCCACATCCACCATCATCAGGCGCCGAGGTTAAATAGATTAGGAGGGCCTGCAATGATCGAATTGCATTAGTAGGATTTGGGTTTTGAATGACTTTCTGTTAGTGCAGATTTACTCACGCTCTCCGAGAGAATCGAAGCTTTCCCACCACATCCAAGCCTCTTCTTCAAGTAATGGCACACGCATTGGAGCTTGGACACTCAGAACAGCTGTCTGTGGCAGGGTCTGCTGTAGCTGCTTCCCCAACTCGAAAAAAGGCAGGGCAGTATCTCCAAGACCATGGAGAAAAATTAATAGATTAGTGTCTATATTATCACGCGCTGGTGCATACTTGAATGTGAGCTGTATATCGCTGTGACGCTCAAATCCCTTCTCACTGGGCGGGACACGTTCAACGCGCTCCACTGGGGTCACATTCATCGTGCAACCTCCGAAGTGGTAGTCCACGTGGATGGTTCATACTGTGGAGGCCATGCAGAGTAGGGCGCCTTTGTATGGTCGGATGTGCAGTGCTGCAGTTCAGATTTTTTGCGCGCATACAGAAAAGCCTACCACTCGCTACTGCCATCTGACTAACATTTCTCGGCATCAGTACCTTGATCATGCAGCCAGATTTCAAAATGGTATGTCAAGCATGCGTCTGTGCTGTGGTGTGGGGTTAAGCTCGTCCGAGATGTGGCCTTGAAGCTGCATATATTTACCTCTTCGCCACCTCCGCGTCACAGTGCTCACTCGTATCTTGATCTAACGCACTAGAATACACCCGCATTACACGTGGCCGAGGAGCAACAGCGTGCCTTATTCATAGACCCTTATGTCCTTTCCTATGGTCACATAGCTCCACAATTCGCATTTGCAAATCAGCATGCGCCTTTTTCTAACGTGGCTCCGTTCGAGGTTATGGCACGAAATGTAGCTCCCAATGCATCCATTACTCCTATTGCTTCGGACATATTCACACCTATTCGATCAATTGTCTCCCAATCTGTTTATCCTGCCAAAATCCCTATGACAATGCCGTATCCTAGATTTCCGGTGAATACATTTATGTCATTTCCTGTCCATCCTTCATTCCTACACCTATACCCATGGCACTGCCTTCGCCTAAGCCACTAAAGCGTCGCTCTGGTCGTCCACGAAAATATGCTATTTTAAGTAAAACTTTTGATGATACTCCAATGGAACGCACTGAGCCATTACGATCACAACTGATACCACCAAAGCATTCATAATCTGCATGGCAAATCTTTTTAACGGAAGAACTCCAACAAATAACAGCTGAAGCGTCTACAGAACGACTTAATGTTGCGCTACTGACCAAAGAGGTTGGTTGTCGATATACAAACTTGACGGTTGAACGGAAGCAGGGATATATCAAGCGGAGTCTTATGGGGATAGAAAAATATTTGCGAGATCTTGCAACATGGCAGGCTACACTGACACCAGAAGACATCCGCAAACAAAACCTTTTTCGAACTGCGCAGAGACGACTTGGTAAATCGAGACGGGGAAACATGCGAGATCCCAAAGCTCCTAAGAGGCCTCCAACAGCTTATTTCTTGTATCTGCAGAGCCTGCGCGCGAATGCCGCTAGTATAAAAGATATCCTGCAAGGCGAGCGGAAAACATCAAAACAAAGTGTTCTTGCAGCCGAAAATTGGCGAAGCCTTACCGACACAAAGAACCTTTTTTTGAGCGAGCCGAACTTGAAAAATCGGAATATGATCATCGGCGTCGCGAATATGAACGTGCAATGAATGATGAATCGAGTTGTATTGCTGGGGTAAATTGATTGGAACTACAGCCAAGTGAGGCAAATTCGAGATAATGACAATCATATAACGATGTCGAATTTATGTCACTTGAACTATAAGCATCTATCTTCTTCAGACGATACTCTCGAGTTCCTTGGCGAAATGCAAGTTAGTGGTTATGGTAGAGCGCATGGGAATCTTTTCCTCAGAGTCTGCAGTACCATCGAAGTTCTTATTTCTAAATTCCACCGTCTGATTTGTAGGATTGACATGCCAACCACGCTCCTTTGCGAACTCGAGAACTTCGGGTAAGGCATCAAAGAACAAAAGTGTTGCCACGTCATTGAGAGGCAACGTATCATAGGCGCGTTCTTCGCATGAAGCGATTTCGTGACGAATCGTTACCATCAAAATGTCGACGAAAAATCTGTATTCATCGAGCGGAACATTATCACGCTCGCGCCACACATTGGAATAGGAGCCTTCCATGAGCCACCGTTCCAACAATACAGGGTGTTGAATATATGGCGAATCGCGAACTAGTTCCATAGGAAGTGATTCCAATGCAATATGGAAAGATGCAATAGAATTAGCAGCTAGATCACGAAGCAATGACAGCCCCACAATGGGCTCGTAGTTGCTGGACCGCGGTAATACATCTGCCAAATCCAAGTAGAATGGTTTCAACTGGCTCCAGTATCGGTCAAACTTGTCCATGTCCTTCATGCGAATACTCCATAGAGCACCAATTTCCAGAACATCCCGTGCCAACACAAGAGCATCAATGTTGGCAGCTGCGTCAATGGCTTGTGGATATAGAAGATCATGCGTAGTTAGCAGAACTTTCAGGTTCGCGAGTTCCGCTTCGACATTTTTCAGGGCCTTTTCATCATTTTCTTTAGTTCCAGCACTTTGAAACTGTTTGATTAAGGCTGAATGCGCTTCTTTGAGCGCCACATCAACCGCCATCGTGGCTCTTGAGACAGGATCGTTAACTCGACGCGTAACTATCACGTGCTATGGAGGGTACTTCTCATGGTGGGACGCAAGACACTAACGCATTATCTAGAACGGTCGTGCCTACATGACCTATGTCCAAGATACGGGGTGCAACTGAGGCGATACGTATCTTAAAGCAAGTAGAATCATGTTGGCCTGCGAATCCTTACCGTATGTACCCTCCATGGTAATGTAGTGCAAATGCTTGCAACCCCTCTGCGAAGGTGCATTGTAACCCATGCAACATTACCAAAAGGTAAGAGGCAAAGTCTAATCCAGATTTCATGCTTCAGATTAAGCCTGTGATCATTCCAGCCACAATAGATGCACCTGAATCGTTGGTGATGCTTCCCGATGGACTGTTGCATCCACGCTTTGCTCCAAAGAAACTCGGCATGGGTGTGTGGGTGACTGCGCATGCATTTGTGATTGAACAACTTTACAGAAAACGTACGTGTTCGGTTTTGATACAGAAAACCATCGCATTCTTGCCCCTGACGCGGTTCTGTCGCCCAACTTGTCTGCAATGATAACGTACCAATTACAGCAGAGAGTGGTGCAAGAGGCCGAATTGTTGTTTGCTCGTTCAAGTTCGGGTGCATTGAATGATAGTTCAACACATGGTCAGAGTGCCACCTTGACTGACTGCGATATTGGAAGTGCACGCAAATGGAATAATAAGTTGGTCCATGTGCCACACTATTGCATGAATCGACTGATGCCTGACGGAGCCCTCCGCGCCGATCTTAGGGGTTGGATACAGCGTAACTGTTCGAAAGGGCACGGGTGGACGGATAACAACGGCATTGTGCAGCTGCAGCAACATAGGCACACGACAGCAATGGCTATTGCACTTTGGCGCCTGGCAACATGGATCGATTCGATGGCATCCACAAATGTACTTTAGCAGCGGTACTGCCGCTCATATATATAAACTAAGAGTACGCGTCCTATAAAGACTGCTTACTTCTTGACGTAGTGGTTGTAGATAAAGTAAGCGGCAACAGCGGCGATAGCGACAATCACAATCAAAGGACTGTCTCATCAGCAGAATATACGTACGGAGAGCCACCAGGGTTGGCCCCCATCATGTCCGAGGCCTTCTTGCCACTCTTGGGCATATTCTCGGGGTCAGCCAGATCGCCGATGAAGAAAGTCTTCAGCGTCTCACGGGCATCCTCAGAGTGGCCCACGTCTTCGAAAGGCTCAGTGGCGTCCTTGCAGGCCTCCGTGAGAAGCACCTCATCACCACCAGGGTGCTACATGTTAGCACATCCACATGAACACAAGCTTACCTCAGTCAAGAACTTGGTCACGTCATAGACTGAGAGTCAGAATCATTATGGAACATACCCTTGTTGTCGATGACAATCCAGAGGCTCTCCTCGGTCTTGTGCTCGCAAACCTCGGCGAAGGTGATCTGACGCGACGCCATACTGCTTAGTACGGAGGATAGGAGTTGCCCAAGGCCTGTAGGGTCATGCACTCGGTGAACGGTGCTGACTCGGCCGAGAATAGGACTTTACCTAAGACGTGTCTCGCAAAGAACATGAGAAAAAAGTGCATTCTGATAGGGCATTCTTACATGCAATGTCACGCGGGCCAACCCATCTACAGCTTTGCTGTCAGGCTCGAGGCGTCCGTGCCCTGTGGAGATGCGTCGCTGGAGGCCGGCGGCGAGACCTGGCTGTCGCTGCTATTATGGAATAGAATGACGCTGAGGGTTAGTACGTCAATAGGAGGAAACCTACTTTACAGTGATCTGAATATGTCAGTAAACTTATACATACGTCGTCGCGGTATCGGCGTGACTCGGGGCTTGGAATGGCAAGAAGGCCAGCTACACGTTCCCGTGCAGCTCCGCCCAGAGCGTTGCGAACTAGGTGCGTGCTGAGATTGTCATCTTCGAATGTGAAAGCAGGCATATGATTAGGCGACTTGAGCAGTGGATGGTGGGGGACAATCCGCTCTGCAGATCCCGGCGCTGAAGAACTGGAGCTCTCTAAGGAAGCCAGCGACTGTCCCGCTTGCATGTCTGCGCCCTTAGAGGGCTCGAAGCACATACGCTGCAGGTCTGCAGCACGAACTGAGCCACGCATGCCAGCAAGATGGCCTGCAACAAGACTCACGGCTTCCTCATTGGACATGAGATCCCAAAGTCCATCGCTTGCCATAATAATAAAGCGCAACTCACGCGATGGAGCATTCGAGCTACTGTCATAGTTTGAAGAACCTTCCACAGTGCTGTCCATCTTTCCCGGGATACGGCGCCACTCAACCACAGGCTCTGCTGTGACGTAAGGGGGCGTTTTAAGTCCACGCGGAGGCATGCGGACACGGCCTTGTGGGAGGAACGCCTCGGCAATGCGCTTTTGAGTGCCTTCATCCCACTTGTATCGTGCATCGCCAAAAGCACGAGTAGGTTCAAGTCCTCCAAGTACTCGACCACGTTGAATGACATAGGGTGCCTCTTCAATAGGATGTTCCCGCTGAATGCGTTTGACCTCGTCTTGGTTTCGACCTGTCTGGTCAACGCTCAAAGCTTCCACTTCCCATCGCCCAGAGCGCTCATTCCAGTAGCCAGCCACTGCCCGCGAATCACCCGTAGACGCCACGTACAGATCCCAACGAGCACTATCCACATACACCATGAGGGCGCAGCTTCCACTCAATGCGGGCAAGATGTTCTCATAGGCTGTGCTTTGAGACACTGTCGAAAATGGTGTGGATTTGGGATTTCCAATTGTGGATGGCCAAATGCTGTGTGCAAGGGCCGACAGGGAGTTTGTGTCGTCCCTTGTCTTGCTCTTCGGAAGACTCGCCAAATTCAGTTCGTACTGTTTCAGTAGCTCCAGCGGAGTGGTAATAATTTCCTTATCCAGACCGCGAAATCCCTTCGTAAGTGCGCGCTTAACAATCTCCGGGTTTCCGTCCAAAGCATGAGCCGCAAGCCAGTGGCTTTCACGGGTAGTATTACCTCCAAACAGAGTGCGCCAGATCGAGGAGGTCATCGAGATTTGGGAGCGTGCCATTTGCGCATACTCACCTGTCTCTTTGAAAACCTTGTCTAACTCTAGGGCAACAAAGGCAATGAGCTTTCGCGAGAGCACAGTGGATGTATAGTCTCCGCCATGGCCATCCATGACTGTAAAGAAACACAAATCACCGCGAATAGGGGTGTCCTTGTTCGCAGTATGATGCGCTGACTTTCGCTGCTCGTATATACCACGATCGCGCTCCACAATCACCTCAGCATGCTTGTCCTCGATGGGAAAATTGCTTGCGATTGTGTTGGTGTCATACCGTGCCACGAGACATGCGCCAGGAGGTCGATCTACGCATGTGCTCCTTTCATTCTCACGAAGACGAGCGTTTACTTGCTCAGCCGTAAGTGGGGTAATGACTTTGTATGGTGGATGTGCAGGGTCTTTTGAGCGAGAGGGGATAGTAAATGAAGATGATCTCCCAGATAGGCTAAAGTTCCGCACAGGAGTATCAGTTCCAGAAGTGCGGGAGCGCATATTACTCCAGTAATACCAAGTACCAAAGGCAGCTGCCGATCCTGCTACGCCCACGATGACCCACTCGGTGCGGCGCTGGCGGTAATAGGCATCCGTCGAGCTATTCTGCGGTGACGTTCGGCCGGAGGCAGCGACACGAGCACTGGATTGTCGTGCGGTGCTTCCGCACGTATGTATTCTGCGTACGACACTGTTGATGCCGGCACGGTGATGCAGCGTCAGGCTTGACGGCATCGACAATTATGACGGCTTGCGCGACAGCAAACAAGCTGGTCAAAGCTCGCTCCGTGGAGCCCGACCCTTCCTGAGATTACATAAGCAACACACTCAGTCTTGTGTCAAGCACTGCCGCTCCGCTCTCAGCTAGCATGGCAGGCTTCTTCAGCTCCGACCGTGTGAACAGCGCGGATGTCCGCAGTCTATATGGAGGCGGTTCATCTAGGCCGAATAACTCCTACAACGTCCCCATTTCCGGCGGGAGCGCGCGAACTGTCCCTCCGCCCCCGTCATCCCAGCGTGTGCCACCACCGCGTATACCGATGGGCAACGTGCCGGCGGCCCCTGTGGCGTCCCCAGCTGCAACGCCGAGTATGCAGGGGGCAGCGTCGCATCATGCTGAGATTCGTCAGCCGCATATGTTCCGTGTTGTCAAGTCTCCTCAGTCTCTCAATACGACCAACTGTGTCATCCTCAACCCCCAAGAATGGGGAAGCACACGCTACGTGCTTGTCTCTGGACGCTACGCCTTCACAGCACGACCAGACAATACGGGCACCATTGCACCTGGTAGTATCGGTACCGCGTTGTTGCAGCGGCAATGGGCGCGCCTTAGCGCGGAAGGCCACGACGTGGTTGTCGAAGCATTTGAGCCGACAGCACTTGGTAACGGTATTTACCTGGGAGCGATCGATATCGAGCTGGACTTTTTGAGCCGAAGTCAGCTGCCCACGGCGCCTTTCAGTGCGGATGAGATGCAGGATATTTTCCTTCGTGTATTCAATGCGCATATCCTCTCCAATGACCAGATCCTCGTTTTTGAGTTCCATGGCCAAAACCTCAAGGCGACTGTGCGCGGCGTTAACTCGGTGGATACCTCTGCAGTACACCATATGGGCATTGTCATGGCACAAACGCAGCTTAACTTTTTCGAGGCTCCGGGTAGCGCACTTCAGATCAAAGCTAGTGGCAAGCGCGCTCGGCCTAACGCCATTTTGCAACCCAACTTTAAATTTGAGGACATGGGCATTGGCGGCCTGGATACAGAGTTTAGTGCTATCTTCCGCCGTGCCTTTGCGTCACGAATTTTCCCGCCGGACCTGGTGGAAAAGCTAGGCATCCAACATGTAAAGGGAATTCTACTCTATGGTCCGCCTGGTACGGGTAAAACTTTGATGGCCCGTCAGATCGGAAAAATGTTAAATGCTCGCGAACCCAAAGTGGTGAACGGCCCCGAAATTCTGAGCAAGTACGTGGGTGCGAGTGAGGAGAATATCCGCAAGCTCTTTGCAGAGGCCGAGGCCGAGTTCAAGAGCAAGGGCGACGAATCTGGTCTGCATATTATCATCTTCGATGAGCTGGATGCCATATGTCGGCAGCGTGGGACCACGGGTGGTGGCACGGGGGTCGGTGATTCTGTGGTCAACCAGCTGCTATCCAAAATGGATGGTGTGGACCAGCTGAACAATATTTTGATCATTGGTATGACCAACCGTTTGGATATGATTGATGAAGCGCTGCTGCGCCCTGGTCGTCTTGAAGTTCATATGGAGATCAACTTACCAGACGAAAGGGGGCGTCTGCAGATCATCAACATTCAAACTTCCAAGATGCGCACGAATGGGGTGATGGACAGAGATGTCAGTTTAAGCGAGTTGGCAGGGCTAACTAAGAACTTCAGTGGTGCTGAGATCGCCGGTCTCGTAAAGAGCGCTACGTCTTTTGCCTTCAATCGCCATGTCAAGGTGGGGACCATGGCCGGTATCTCGGACGATGTGTCAAACATGCGCGTCAACCGCGAGGACTTTTTGTGCGCGCTCGAAGAAGTGAAGCCTGCATTTGGTGTGGCTGAGGAAGAGCTGCAGCAGGTGGTGGGCAATGGTATTATGCACTTTGCTCCTCATATTGACAGCATTTTGCGCGATGGTCAACTCCGTGTTGAGCAAGTCCGCACGAGCCAGCGCACATCGCTGGTCACAGCCCTTCTGCATGGCCCTGCTGGCTCAGGAAAGACAGCGCTGGCAGCCACAATCGCTATGGCATCTGAGTTTCCCTTCATCAAGCTGGTGGCCCCCGAGAATATGGTTGGTATGAACGAGGCTGCTAAAATCTCCTACCTGAACAAGGTGTTCCTTGACTCGTACAAGAGTCCGTTGAGCATTATTGTGGTCGACAGCATAGAAAAGATTGTCGAGTGGGTACCCATTGGGCCACGGTTCTCCAACCCGGTGTTGCAGGCGCTAGCGGTGCTTTTGGGGAAGCAGCCACCAAAGGATCGTCGCCTATTGGTACTCGCGACGACGTCCAACAAGGCCATGCTCAATGACATGGACCTGGCGGACGCCTTCCTCGCGGATATCCGCGTGCCAAACATTTCGTCTCTGCGCAGTGTGGACCATGTACTTCGCGAGACACAATTGTTCTCGACGGGGGAAGACCACGCGCGTTGTCTTCAGCTGCTTGCCAGCGCCGGTCTCGGCACAGAGGGCCGGATCAACATTGGCATCAAGAAATTGCTGTCGGAGATTGAGATGGCGCGACTGGATGATGATCCAGCGGACAAATTAACGGCTGCACTTAATTTCCTATGAACGAAGGCACATTGAGGCCATTACGCGTGCGTCAAGCGACGTGCATGACCCGCACTGGAGCGAGGCTGAGTGGAGCCTGGTGCCAGCGAAGCGCGCGTAGGCTTCCGGAGCTGTGCGCGCTTAGCCAGCTGAACGTCGTTCTCAAAGGCCACGACAATTGATTGGTCGGACCCGTAGGTGTAATCGTCGCGAACGACAGTACCCGCATAACGCTTAAGCACATACGCATATGGATTGCCCTTCTTAACGGAATCGAACGACCACGATACAACATAGTTGCCAGTCGACGTAACAATCGACGTCTCCGAGTCCGAGCCGGTGTTGAAACTGCATGTGAGGGAGTGGATACATACTGCGCAGGTGTGAAATGGACCTCTGACTCCATGTATGCAACGTGATGAGGGCGCAGCTGTAGCCGGCGTGGGAGTGGACGCGCATCAGCCGGAAAGCTTCGGTCAAAGCCGAGGCTGCCCTGGTATCGGCCATCCTGGATAAGTGTGTCAATGAGCAGCAGGTATGTCCGGCACGTGGCAATGACCCAGCGGCCGTCTGACGAAACATCGACGCCGAGAATGGGGTCGCCTAAAGCAGGCAGCGCCGTCTTGGCATTCTTTCCGATCTGATCAAACAACCGCAGGTCACCCTTATTAGAGGCGACGGCCAAGCGGCCTTTTGCATCGGTAGCAGCGGCGCTGAAGTCGTTCTTGCTGGTGTACTGCTTGAACTGCGAATCAACGAGCTTCTCGCCGGCGAGACGCGGATCGATCCGAAAGATGCCATTGCGGGAGGTGCCGACGAAAGTCTTTTCGGCAGACATCTGAGCATACTTTGATGAAGGCAGAAAGTTGGTCACAGGCACATCCTCGTGCACCTTCCATTCCTCTACAACCTTGCCATACTCCAGGTCCATGCGGTACAGTGCATGTTGGTTGGACGGGTCCATAAGGACCATCGCCGAGTCCTGGTCATGAAGCATCACGCGCTTCGGCTGGAACGACTTGCCCTTGGGGGTGCTGATCCGGTTGATGGCCGTGGCGAACTCAAGGCGGTCGTCATCGGTGTGCTTGAACACGCCAATCTTGTCTCCACGCACCACAAAGGCTCGGTCCGACTTGTAGCCCACGGCCAGCGCCGAATTAGCCTCGCCACCCGAGTCAGGGGCCACCGGTGGGTCATCTGCCTGCGTCTCAGACTCCACATAGGCCTCATCGTCGTCCTCGTCCATGGGATCCAACTCAGCTTCCACGGCATCGGCATCGTCGTCATCACTGAGTGCGGATGTGTGGCGAGGCGACAACAGCGTGTGAGGGTGTGACTCGCCCTCCTCGTCTGTCATAGCGACATCCTGCTCATACGCCTGCTCAATGTACTGCTTCTCCACGTCTGACGCTTTGCCCCACTTTTCTTCGTGTAGGGTTTCCCAAATGAGGTGGGAGAACTGCTCCTGGAACGCAAGGTATGCTGTCTTCTCACCGAATCGCAGCAGCCACGAATATACATGGTGTTGCTCGTCATAGTAGTTCCATACAGCACTGAGGTTCTCAAGTGAAAAGTTCATGTTCATACGTGAGTCTAGACCCTGACTCAGCCATGGTGCCTCGGCGCCATCTACCACCATCCAGTAGAGAAAACGGCCCGCTTCAGCGACCTTGGCAGTGACATTTTTTTCCTGACGCATGAATAGCCCGCTCGCCTGGTCGTAGAGATACAGATCGGCGGTAGCCGTCAGCACAATCTCGGGCTCGTCAGACCCTGTCACCGTCTGCAGACTGTCAGCGGCAGGCACCTTAGGGTACATTTTCCCGGGTGTACGCGCAGTAGGAGGAGCGGCCATGGGCTTCGGTGCCACGTCTTCTTGTGCGGCCGACGAAGCAGACTCAGAGCCGCGGTACTTGATGGCTTCTAAGTCGTCGTCCGTGGCCTCCTCATGACTGCGGCCGGTCTTGCGCTCCCAGGCACACTGCAGGAACGTAACTTCAAATACAGATCGCGTAACTGCGTTGGAGTGCTGCGCATCCACGACATATTCAAGCAGCTCGTTCTCGTCCCTTTGAAGGTCGTGCCATACAAATGTGGGGTCCGGGCCACGCGTGCTGGTACGGAGCCCCAGTGCTTCGTCAATAAGAAAGGACCGCTCATCATCTAGAGCATCGTGTGTACTTTCATTCGCGTCCGCACGCGAAATTACCAGTTCGTAGTTTCGCGGCGTGGACGTGCGACGAATGGTGGCGAGGGCATTCACGAACACGCATACCCGCGTCTCCTGGTCTCCCCGCCTCTGTACGCGGTACAATGAGCCCTTAGGAATCTGGATTAGTTCTATATTGTGCTGATCACTCCATATTTTTCCAAACACTGTGTAAGTGCACGACACATACAGCTCTTAAGCATGAACATGGTGGAGTGGGGCCAACGGTGCAGATCACATCACGTGCAAGCGAAAAGCGCTGCTGTCTCCTTTTTACCATGGCGACTTTCCCGCTGCCTCGTGTTGCCTCTACATCGGATGCATGGGGACCGCCTGCAGGTGCCAGCGCCGCACTAGCTCTTCCTGAAGAGTTCCAACAGATCCCCTTTACTCCCTTTTCGAAATCTGAGCGCATTGGCCGCATTGCCGATTGGAACACCGGTGGCGCCGCGGCGGAGGACCGCGCGACGACTGCGCCTGGCCGTGGTGCGCGCAGCTCGCGCAGTGCACCTGCGCCTGCGTATGCCTCCGGTACACCGTCCAACACGTTCACCTATTTCCACGGTGAGGATGAGTCGAGCTTCAGCGTGGTGGATAACGGCCGCTCTGCCGCTGCGCGTCGCACGACAGCCAGTGCTACAGCACGCAGTGGCCGCGGGTCAGCCCCTGTGGGTCGCACCGCAGCTGCGACTGGACGCACTGGTGCGGGTGCTGCGACGGCGCGTGGCGTGCGCGGTGCGCGCGCGCCTGCCAATGCGCGCACGACGCGCCGCCCTGGCTGGCGCGACTGGGAGCGCACGCAGCGCAAGCCGCGTGAGGCCTCGATCACTGTTGGCCCTGACTGGGAGCAACTCAGCGAGCTTGACTTCCTGCGCATGTCGAAACTGCGACTGGACGTCGAGGCACCGCAGGAAGTGGCGTCGTACGGCACGCTGTACCAGTACGACCGCATGTACGACCGCGTAAGTGTGAAGTTTGAGCGTCCCTTGCAGCCGCGTGACCGTGTGCACTACAGCCCCACGACGTCTGAGGACCCTGTCATCCAAGAGGTAGCGTCGAGTGACAAGAAGGCGCAGGTGTACATCACTGACGCGATTCTTGCGCTGCTGATGTGCGCGCCACGCTCGGTGTACCCATGGGACATTGTGATCACCAAGACAGAGGACGGTGAGCTGTTCTTTGACAAGCGCGCGAACAGTGCCTTTGACTTTTTGACGGTTAACGAGAATGCGTCGGAGCCGCCAATGGAGCTGAACGATCCGGCGAATGGCTCCGCACCGGAGACAAATGTGCGTGCTAAGATCAATACCCCTGGGGCGCTGAGTCTGGAAGCGACGTTTGTGAATGAAAACTTTGGATTCCAGGTGTGCGACGAGGCCAAGACGTATGCGTTTGAAAACCCAAATCCTTTCCACACGGGCGAGAATGCAGAGGAGGGCAAGCTGGCGAGCTGTGGCTACCGCTACCGCCGCTTCAACCTGAGCACTGACGAAGACGACCCGGTGGAGATGCTCGTGCGTACCGAGCTGAATGCGTTTGTCGGTGGTGCGGACAAGAAGGCGGCTCCGCAGCTGATTACGATTCGCACACTCAACGAGTTTGACCCGCGTGCGCCGGGCGCGGGTGGTGCCCCTGACTGGCGCTCGCGCCTGGATCAGAGCCGTGGAGCGGTCGTGGCTACGGAGATGAAGAACAACTCGTTCAAGCTTGCACGTTTCACAGTGCAGAGCATCTTGGCCGGCGCTGACAACATGAAACTCGGCTACATTTCGCGCTCGAACCCGCTTGACCCGTACCGCCACACAATTCTCGGCACGTCGTGGTTCAAACCGCGGGACCTTGCTGCGCAGATGGCCTACAACCTCACGAATGGCTGGGGCATTGTGCGCACGATCATTGACCTTGCGCGCGCGCAGCCGGCCGGCCGCTTTGTGTTGGCCAAGGACCCGAATAAGCAGATTGTGCGTTTCTTCCGTGTCCCTTGGAACTTTGAGCAGGAGGAGGAAGAGGAGGAGCCCGAGGAGGAGCCCGAGGAGGACATGATCGACGAGGAGTAGCCATAGTGGATTTAGGATCGACCCTTCATGGACCGGTACTGTGCGATGACGCGCTGGCGCTCTTCGTCAAGGATGCGCTGGCGCGCAGCGGACGGCTTGGGACGCTGCGCAAGCGCTTCGACCAGCGCGGGCGCCTTGCGTTTCAGCCGCTCCTTGGGACGCGCCGTGATTGTGGGCGGCGCCTGTGCGACATCGTGGAGAGAGCGCGACTGGCTTGCACGTTCAAAGTCAGCTGCCTCCTCGGCGGCACGGGCGGCCTGTGGATCTGCTGCCCGTTTTTTCGCCTTGAGGAGTTCACGTCGACGCTGTCGCTTCTTTTGATTTGACTCCGAGCGCAGCTCAGCGCGCATTGTCCGATTCAGGTCACCTGCAAATGCCTGCTCAACACGTCTACGGTCAGCCAGAGTACCTACTCGTTAAAGTCACGCAGCTTCTCGCCTGGTCGGATCTGCAGCGGCGCCTCGGTGCGCTGGGGCGGCTCGTCCGCCTTTGACCGCGGTGGCGGCGGCCGAAAGAGCGCGAGTGCCTTGCGTGGCGTATCGTCGCGTGCGCGCTTGGGTCCAGGGGGCAGGTCATGTCCCAGCGCCTCGCGCTGCGTCTGCCGCACCGAGAGCTTGGCTCGCTTGCGAGGCATGGTCCTGGGGCAAGCTTGGTCCGCACCTCCACCTCTTGCTCATGGACGAGCTGGGCGAGGCGCCGGTGCTGCAGCTCCTGCAGGCCCCAGGCACATACCTTGTGAAGCAGGGCGCCGAGGCCAAGGTGTATCGCACGATTCTATGGGACGACGAGGCGATGCTCACGTTCCCTGGTGGACGCACGGAGGCGCGTCCAGCCCGAGCTGAATCGGTGCTCATCAAGCACCGCTTCTTCAAGCGATACCGACACCCAGCACTGTCCAAGAGCATCACGGCGCAGCGGACTATTTCGGAAGCGCGCTCGCTTGTGCGAAGCGCGCGCAGTGGTGTGCATGTGCCGCGCCTCGTCTTGGTCGATGAGACGCGCGGCGTTCTCGGCATGGAATGGATCGACGGCTTGAGTGTGCGCCAGTGGCTGGGCGGCGTCCCGGAAGACGGCGAGAAGGAGGTGGACGTGTGTCCCAGTGAGGACGCCCAGCTGCAGGTCATGATCCGCATCGGTGAACAGCTGGCGCAAATGCACTGTGCCGATGTGATCCACGGCGACCTCACGACGAGCAACATGATTCTCCGTCCAGATGGGCAGATTGTCCTGATTGACTTTGGGCTCGCATCCGTCTCGAGCTTCTGGGAAGACAAGGCCGTGGACCTGTACGTGCTTGAGCGCGCATTTGCGTCGACGCATCCTGCGTCGGAGCCGCTCTTTCACCGTGTCTTGGAGAGCTATGCTGCGTACACGACAGAGCATACACGCGGTACCAAGACCAAGGGCGAGCTACATGTCGATGGCGCCTGGCCGCACATTTATGCGCGCCTACAGGAAGTACGCCTTCGGGGGCGGAAACGCAGCATGGTAGGCTAACCTATGGCGCGCGCGCCACTATGTAGGTGGAAAAGGAGTGCGTAGAGAACACCTTTTCGCCTGGCTGGACCGTGTGGAACTTGCGGCGACGGCGCTCTTCCCGCTCGGTACGGAGGAACATGGCCGCAAAACCGTCGTCGTCTCCATCGTCCATGTCGCTACCCTCCGACGCCGAATCGTCGCGATCAATGTCGTTGCGTGGCAGCACAAGAATGCGCACGCTGGCAAATCCGGCCTCTTCCATAGCCTCGGTCAGCTCGCGCAGCGACCAGATCCGGAAATCGTACGAAAATACGTCGCGCAGCCACGAGTGGTCGCGGAAACGGAAGCTGAGGCTCATACGGAATCGATTCGTCGCGTAGTCGATCGGTCCATCTTCGCGCCAGTATTCAAAGCCGCCGTGCGTATCACCGGTGCGAACAAGCTTGAGATGCCCACGCGGCCACTCGGCGCGCGTGCCGCGTTGCTCGGGCGTGGGCCCAGGCAGCACCTGCAAATCGTCGCCGCCTGTGCTCGGCCGCAAGACCACCTGCTCGGCGCCGTCTTGAGCGCGGCGGAAGCCCGGCTCGTCCCGGAACTTAGCCCACAGGCGATCCTGGTCCTCGTACGTCTCTCCCGTTGGAGGACCGCCAAACATGTCAGTAATAAACACGCCTGTCTTGGGTCGGAGGCTCGCCACGACGCCTCGCAAGTACCGCAAGAGCGTCGCGCGGTCGTGGAAGTAAGCCATGGCATAGTTTAGCGAGGCCACAATGTCAGGCGCTTCGAGCGGCGCGCGCCCTTCAACGGGCTGTACCGGCAGGTCCAGTACATCGCTGTGCAGCAGCACAAGCCTAGGCTCCGTGGAAGCAGCCCCAGCGTCCCGCGCAGTCCGCTGCTGGCGCTTGGCCCGACGGCGGTCGAGACGCGCGGTTGCTTGACCCTCTGCCCACGTTGAGACGTACCCTGGCGTTTCGGGGACAGCGGCCGGCTTCGCAGCGGGTGCAGGCAGCTCCACGGTATGGGGCCCATGCGCGTAAGACGGGCTTTGCAGCAGTTGCACCTTGTTGCCGCCAAGCTTGGCCTGGGTATCTCGAAGTGCGTCCAAGTCAATATCGACACCCTGTGAGCGATTCTCTGGACGCAGCGCCAGCCATGTGCTAGCAATAATTGCTGCGCGTAAGTGATAGAACGTACCTGTCGAGCAGAAATCTTCGCGAAGGACGACCGCGTCTACACGATCCGAGTCTTCTTCTTGTGCGTTCGTGTAAAGCCCATCTAAGTTCACACACTCTATCATGGGCTCCTGGACGGCCTCCTCATAGCACCGCAGCACATCGGCCGTAGCAGCCAGCGGGGCAGAGCCGTCAACGGCGCCGCCATAGCCCTGGTGTCTGGCTTCGTGGGACATGTGGAGAAGGCAGCCGTCAGCTACGGGGTATCTACGCTAGCCACGTCCTGGAAGAAGGCGTGCTGGAGCAGTCGCTGCGCTGTCCACCGCCTCGTACAGTCTAGATACAGACACACACTGGCCAGATGCACGACGTGCTGCACCTGCTGGCGGTACTCGGTTGGGTCGGGGTGGTCGGGAGGCGGTTCAAACAGCGCTGGGCGGATCTGCTGGATGAGCTCGGGGATGCGGCGGCCGGGGTGATCGACCGTGGGGAGATTGCACGCAAACGTGCGATTGTGTAGCATGGCGCACTGCTCCATGCGCCGCTGTCCAAAGATGGTGGCCAGCTCCAGCAACGCCTCCGTATCGTCGTTCGAATTGAACAGAGGGAAGCGCCGCAGCAGGAACGAGAGGAGAATGATACCCGCCGACCAGATATCAATCGCTGGTGTCTGATCTGGGCACTTGAACAGCACCTCGGGCGCACGAAAGCCACGCGTGCCTGCGCGGTTCGCGCGCACGCTGGGCCGTGGGTCGTTGCGTAGGTACCCAACACGGTCGGGCGGGCCCATCGGCTGACCGCGCACGATGTACTTGTTGCCGTCATCAGCGCGAGAGAGCGCGCCCCCAGGAAGCAAATGCGAGCTGTGTGTCGCTTGGTTGATGCACTGCTCGCCATGAGGATGCTCGGCCGTCGGGAGAGTGTGGTGGCACTTGCCGTGCCATTCTGACGCCTCGAGCCGCTCAGCTAGCCCAAAGTCGCACAGCGTGCCATAGCCCGTGCGCGGATCATATAAAAAGTTGGCCGGCTTCACGTCACGGTGCACGATGCCTTGCTTGTGCATCGCATGTAGCGCGGAGAAGAGGCAGTAAAAGTAGCAGGGCAGATCTGAGAGCGGCATAATCCGATAGTAGTCCTGCTGTCAGTAGTGCAACATACGCGAAACTCCGTGTGCCGGCTGTACGGCATCACAGCAATCACCTGGTCGGCCGACCGGAAGGCGGTGATGAGATAGGACAGGTACGGCTGGCCTCGGAGGGACTCCATGATCTCCAGCTCGTTCAGGATGCGCGCGGTGCTCGATGTCACGTAAATGCGCTTAAGCGCCACGTACACGGTCGGCCGCCGCGATACACGGGCCGCGATCTTGGGCGTGCTGCTCTTGAACCAGTCCTGGTTCGAATACGCGTAGTGGTGCAGATCGATCGCCTTGTATACCGACGAGAACGTGCCTTCACCCAGCTTGTCTACAATTTCGTACTGCTGCATCCCATCGATGCTGTGCTGGATCGCGCTGATCTCCTCCTCGACGCGTGCGGCTGTCTCCTCGTCGCGCCCAGCCGCGAGATCATCGGAGCTATCGTCGGAGCTTTCCTCAAAGTACATTTGTATCGAGTCCTGTGCGGAATCTGTCGTATCGAGTAGGACACCATGCTTCTCCGTGCCATCTGGCGGCGGCGAGTACACCGTCATCAGCGCCCCGTCCAGCGCACGCTCTCGCATCGCGCGCAATAGCGCGCCGCCGCTCGCGCCGCCGTCTGTTATTCACGTGACTATGTAGCACGGCCCTTCGTCTCGGCGACCCACGTCCGCTCGGCAGACGAGCCCTTGGGGAAGACATACAAGTCGATGATGCCGTCGCGCATCACAATGCCGTCGCGGTCCTCCAACTGGCCAGCAGCACCAGGCTGCGCGCCTTGGTCCAGTAGTGTGCGTAGCGAGAGCTTGTGGCCCACGCGCAGGAGGCGTCCCTTGCGCGTGCGCGCAATCACCGAGAGTTGCGACGACACATACTCGCCCTGCGGATCCCAAGGGAGTGAGCCACGAGCCTCTGGAGGGAACATGACATCCAGATGCATACCGATCGGTGTGTCCTCGTGGTACTCCGATATGAGATCGGATGTATTGTGCTGGGGGTACAGTAGCATCACTGGGAACACGAGCGGCGTGCGGATGGGGTCAGGGGCCTTCCACGGCTCAGAAGCACCGATCAGGGGTATCTCCAGCGACGAGTACGATGGGCGCGCCTCGGGATCAAAGTGTGCGGGCGTCGGGTTGTCCGGCGGATCGTCGCTCTTCGTCACCCACAGGCCACGCGCAACGAAGGCGACTTGGAGGGCCTCGTTCTCAAGCGTTGTGCGCCGCTGGCGCTCCTCGCGCTCCTTTTCGCGGCGCTCCAGCTGTGCCAAGCGCTCCAGGGCCAGTGCACGCAGTCGTTCGAACTCGGAGTTCGATAGATCAAGGTCCTTGGCCATATCGCAGCAGCCCAGCGTATCTTTCACGCGGTCAAGCGCAAGGAACGCTTTCGCAGCACGGTAGAGAGCCTTAACGGAGCGTGCATTCAGCACAAGCGCCGCGCGCGTTGCATGCAGAGCACGTCCATAGTTTTCTGAGTCAGTGGCTGCCACATACTCAACTCGAGGTCGCAGGCGGCCGCATTGAGCAAAAGCGTCTCTTTGAGCTTGGCATCCTCCGGCTTTGCCTCAAGGCCCTGTCGGTAAAACCCAAGTGCCTCCTTGTATCTTTTTGCGCGGAAGTACTCGTTGCCCTGGTTCTTAAAGTTCTCCGCTGCCTCTGGACATCAGTCGAAACAGCCTACCGTCGGGGTGCCCTTCAAACGCGAGCGACTGCAGCGCCTCGAGCGCCGTGTTCCCCTCCTCCTTCGGCAGGTCGCGCATGAAGAGGGGGACCGAATCAAACTCCTTCATCGTCTCATTGAGCGTCTTGGACGGCGCCGGTGCCGGTCTGGCGTGAGTGGCGCGCACGTACTGGGGATCTGCAGACATGGCAGCGCAGCAGGTTGATGCAGGTGGAGGTATGGACGCGCGGCCCCTGCGCCTGCCGCCGGCGACCGGCCGTCGGATACACCATGGGCTGTGTGGCGTCGCGCACCAGGCCCGAGCTGGATGAAAAGCGCGCACTGCTGGAGCAGTATGCATCTGGGGTGTCTGTGTGTGCAAAGCCCGTTGACACGACGCAGCGCCTCGCGCAGCTGCGTCACGTCATGCGCGCGTGTGGCGTCGACGCGTATGTGATTGGAACCGAGGACGCACATGCGTCTGAGTACGCGGCGCCATGCGACCAGCGCCTTCCATTTATTACGGGGTTCACAGGGAGCACGGCCACGGCCGTAGTGTGTCTCGACGCTGCCCACTTCTTTACGGATGGGCGGTACCATGTGCAGGCATCCGAGCAGCTGGATGTCAATTGGACGCTGCACAGGGTCGGCGAGCCGGACGTCCAGCCATGGACCTCGTGGATCACCGAGCTCCCGCACGGCATGCATGTTGGTATGGATGCGGCACTCGTTCCTCACACGCTTGCTGTGCGCCTGCGGGCCGCGCTGCAATCACAGCACAAGACGCTGGTGTGCCCCGAGCTGAATTTGGTCGATGAGGTGTGGGGTGCCGAGCGGCCACCGCCCACTCTTACGCCTGTCTACGAGCATTCGATGGAGTATGCTGGCGTTGATGCAGCGTCAAAGATTCGCGACCTGCGGCAGTGGCTAGCAGACCACCACGAAGACGCAGCGTATGTGCTGTCCGCGCTCGACGAAGTGGCATGGCTGCTCAACCTGCGCGGCGCGTCAATTCCTTGCAATCGTACGTGATGCAGCTAACCGCAGCCGTGTTTCCCGCCTACGTGATCGTTACGGCTGACGACGTTGCCATGTTTGTGGATGAGCGCCTTTTGACGCACTCTGTGCGTCTGTACTTAGCCGCGATGGGCGTCTCGCTGCACGCATACGAACACATTATGACATGGCTGCGCGATACCCCGCTATCGAAGATCCTCGTCGATGAGCGTGCGTCGCATGCGCTTGTGCATGCGGCCGGCGAGAACCGCGTCGTGGTGCAGCCAGCCGCTAGCCCCGTGGCCCTAGCCAAGGCGTGCAAGAATGAAGTCGAGCAGGCCGGCCTGCGCCATGCCTACCTGCGCGACGGCGCTGCATGGGTCAAGTGGGCTGCATGGCTCGAGGAGGCGATGCGCCGCGGTGCGACCATCACCGAGCGCCAAGCAGCAGACGAGTTGGCGCGCCTGCGGGCAGCTGATCCGCTGTTTGCAGGGATGCAAGCGTACGATGCGATTAGCGCAGCTGGCCCAAATGCTGCGCTTCCCCATTACGAGACGCCGACTACGCATTCGCGTGTATTGGACCGCGAGACACCGTACCTGAACGATTCTGGCCCGCAATACCATGATGGAACGATTGATACAACACGCACCATGCACTTTGGGCGCCCGAGCGCCGAGCAGAAACGTGCCTACACGCGCGTGCTGCAAGGGCACATTGCCCTGGCGTGTGCCCGTTTCCCTGCGGGAACGACGGGCGCGCAGCTCGATATGCTAGCGCGTCAGCCACTGTACCAGGATGGGTACAACTATATGCACGGCACGGGGCACGGCGTCGGCTCGTTCTTAGCGGTGCACGAGGGCCCACATGGACTGTCCTCGTCGTCAGGTGGCGCCACAGTGCCAGTGCCACTACAGGAGGGCATGGCGCTAAGCAACGAGCCGGGCTTTTACGAAGTGGGCCACTTTGGCATCCGTATCGAGTCAGTCGTGCTAGTGCGCCGCGCCACGACGCACCGCGACTTCCAAGGCCCGTGGCTAGAGCTCGAGACACTCACGCGCGTACCGATTTCAACTCGACTCGTCGATCAGCGTCTGCTGAGCCCGATGGAAGCGCAGTGGCTCCGCGCCTACAACCGGCAGTGTCGCGACGAGCTGCTGCCTCTCGTGCGAGGCGATCGACGCGCTGAGAAATGGCTTCGGTGGCAATAGTAACTACGGACTACGGGCGGGCGACGCGGCACCCTCGGCGACGGCGTCCTTGAGCTTGAGCCGATTCTCCTTCTTGTCCATATAGGCAATGCGCTTGACAGCCGCACTCAGCTCCTCCTTGAGCGCAGCGCCCCCCTGCTTGAGGCGTGCGCGGAAGTGCTGCACGAGATCGGTCGTGTTAGTTATGCGCCCGTCGGAAATGAGCTGCACGAGTTCCAACTCGAGCGGCGTGAGGGGACGCGGTGGCGAGCCAGAGCGACCAGCCATGCCAGCGCTAGGCGAACTCGCGCGCGAGTCGGTTCTAGCACGCTTGAGGCCGTCATCCGAGCGCGGCGGCATATCGTTCTTGCGCTTCACGCCGCCATCAGGCTCGGGCGATGTGGCTGAAGACACCCCATTAGCTTCCTTGGCAAGGCGCTCCTGCCGCGCCTTTTCTTCGCGGGCCGCAAGAATGGCACGTTCAGGGTGCAGCACGTCCAGGTCCTCGTCGTCGGATTCGTCGCTGGCGTACGGGTTCTTGGCCTCCTCGTCGCTGTCGTACATGTCGAGGCCCTCGCGCTGGCTGAGGGCCTTCATGATCTTGCGCATCTGGCGACCTGACCCTGTAAGCATGGCGTCGTCGTGGCGTCCATACGAAGCGTCGCCAAATAGTGCGTCGCCCCCGCTCCGCCGGTTGACGGCGACGGCGTCGTCGTACTCGTCCGGCTCACGCTTGATGCGCACATCGTCGTCGACACGGTCTGCGACCATCTCGCGCTTGAGGCGGTCCTCGAGCTCACGCGCCTCGGGGTCTTCCGCATCGTCGCCGACTATCGGCTTTTCCTCGTCATCAGCAAACTCTTCCTCAAAGTCAAGCTCATCGTACGTCGTCTCCTGCTTCGGCATGGAGCCAAAGAGGTCGTCATCGTCGTCGCGCATGCGCTCACGCTCGCCACGCACCGCCACGAGCTGTGCGCTGCTCTGCCATCCGAGAGAGGGCGCACCGGGCAGCGCCAGCGATGGGAGGCCACGGCCGCCCGCCCGCCGCACACCGCGCAGCCCGTCCGGGCCACCGAGACCCGCGCCCGTGTTGTACCTCGTACGCATCATCCACCGATCTGATTCGGCACTCCTCTGCTGCTTGGAAAACTCTTCTTCGATCTGGTCGCTGGTCATCGCATGCTTGTGTAGCTGCATAAACTTGTACTGCCGCCGGACCGGCACGACCTGGAAGCCACCCGCATTGCGCTCGTCAAATGCAAAGAGCACATGGTGTGATGTCGAGTTTTCGTCTGAGTCGCCTTCAAGCTGTCCGATCCAAGGCGCATGAGGTGCAACGAGTGTCTGCGAAGCGGCACCCGGCTCTGTCTTGGGCGGAGGGAGCCCGTGCTCGCGCCGCTCTTTCTCTGCGTAATAGTACTGTTCTAGTGCTTTGAGGCTGTTGGGTAGAGGCTCGCGTGAGCTTTCCCACTCCTGCGATGTCTCAAAGTCCTCGAGGACCCACGGGAAAAACTCCTCGTTGCGTGTGCGTCGCGCCGCATTGGCCGACTTGTGCACCTCGCGCACACGTTTGCGGAATGGGCGGCTGCGCGATATACCCACGCCAGAGGCAGCGGCCTCCTCGTTTTCCAGTCTGTGGTCAGTGGCGGATACGCACGCTTGCTGGTCTAGACCGAGGTATGGCTGGATCGCCTCAAGATCGGCGTCCGGTGCTGGCCACCGGAGCGGCGGGCCCTCCTTGGTCATGACAGGCTTGCCCCAACGATCAATCACAGGATCTCCAGGCTGTGCGGGCGGCATCTTGAGGCGCAGCGGCATCTTGCGGTTCAACTTCACAGGCGGCGTGAACTGCTCCTCCTGGTTCGGATCGACACGCTGGTGACTCGCAAACTTCATAAGATGCGTCACCGACGTGCGTGCGCCTATCGAGTATAGCGGAATGTCGCGGTAGGCGCGCGGTGTGGCCGCCTCGCGCGACTCCGCCTTCACCCCGCCTTCCCGCTTCATGTTGCGGGCACGGTCAGCCGTGGCGGCGGTGCCTGGGGCGCCTCTTAGCTAAGCAGACCGCCGCGCGTTGCTCCGCCTGGCCATGGCGACCAGCAAGGCCGACTCTCTCAAAGAGTTTTACGGGATTCCCACGGCGCCCAAGGGGGCAGAAGAGCCCGTCAAGGCGGAGACTCCGCCTCCATCGCTCGATGAGCTGACAACATCGCGACCATTGAGCGAGCTCCTTCGGCTGTCCAGCCAGCGTCTCGACGCGGTTCGCGATCTGTACGCCGATCGCCAGAGCCTGGTGTACAACCACCATCAGGAGCTGGTCGGCGCAAGCGAGACGGTCGGCGATATGCGCCGCGGAATCGAGGCCCTCGCGCCCAGTCGCGTGTCGTTGGAGCAGCAGCTCGAGCAGATGCGTCAGCCGCCCACGGAGCCTGCCACAGACGCTGCCACCCACGCCGCGATTCCATGGGTCGACCAAGTGGCGCCCGTCGTTGAGCTACCTTTGACATTGCGTCGGATCCTAGACCAGCGCACGCCCACCAGCCTCGCCGAGGCGGAGGCCGCCCTACAGGCCCAGATGCCTACCCTTGCTGCGTGGGCCGAGGCGCACGTAGCCGGTGCCGATGAGTTGCAGCGCACTTGCCAAGATATGATTTCTGAGGCCCAGCGTACACAGAGCTAGATACCCTAAGGATCGTTCAGGTCAATATTTTCCATGTCGGCCTCCAAACTAGCCTCACCCTCCTTGGGTGCCTCCGTCTCGGCCTCCTGAGTCTCGCTGGCATCGGGTGCAGGAGGGGGCGCAGTACTGCCCTCCATCTGGATTGCAGGCGCATCAGTAGCATCCGTTGCATTACTGTCGGCTCCCGGGGCCTCGCGCGCCAGAGATTCATCCACGGCCTTGCTGGTAACAGAGATACCCAGGGCAGGCTCTGTTGCCTCATGCTCAGACGACGCAGGCTTGGATACCTCAGGAGCGGCTTCAGGCTCTGCAGTTTTCTGCACCGCATCATCGCTAGCGTCAGGATGCGGCACGGCCACAGCCTCGTGCACCTGGTCTGACTTGGCGACGGGCGCAGCGTCTAATTGCGCCTGTACCTGGGCAGAATTCGGCGGCGTTGCATCCAAATAGTATGGTACAATAGGGACCATGCTGTGGTAAGACCTTGTTCACGTACCGCTTGGCGTCGTGACACGCAAATAGCCAGTGCGGCCGCACGATCGGCAGGCTCAGTAGCTGAGCCTTTTCGTGGATCTTCTGTTGCTTCTCATCGTTGGCAGCCGGTTGGGTAGTGCATACCAAATGGGTAGTCTCGAGCTCGATATTTGACGACCAGTGCGCATTCATCGATTCCACCAGCGCCTTGGTCGCTTCCGCGAGCCGGGTGTCGGGAATCGAGCCGAGACAGACATGCACGCCAGTCATATCGTCGAGCGTGCGTGTCTTGGTGCACACTTCGTTAGATACGTACGTTCCGGCAGTCGTATACATGACAAGTTGAATTGAATAGTTAGTGTCAATGCTCAGGCCCGATAGTTTGGTCGATGTGGTTGTGAGCGGCTGCGGAACCTTGGCGATGCGCTCGCCATTACGCAGTACATCAACTGAGAGGAGATCTGCATGCGCGATCTGCAGCGGCTCCCACTCAATCGTCAGGGTTGTCTGCGTCACGTTACGCAAGTACAGCACAGGCGCTGGTGTGAGAGTGTGCCACGTACGAGAGGGACTGTGAACTCCGTACATCTGCAGGATCTCGTCCTGAAGATGCATGAACTCTTCGCGTTTCTTCTGCTCCTGGTCCTCGTTGCGTGTCACGCGGATTTCCACAACACTGCCCAGCGACACGCCGCGCGGCAAGAGGACCGAAGGAAACTCGATGAGCGACGCACGCTCCCCGATCAGGATTGCCTAGCGTTAGCTGCAACACCGCCGTACCATGCCCGCATCTCCCGTTAGTGTTCCTCGTACGCACCAAGCTTCCCAACCGTGAACGTAAACTTGTCCGACTCGTCCCCGCGCATCGTTGGAGCGTCGGTCGGAGCCTCCACGGCCGTCCGCGGTCCGCCGACGCGTGTGGAGGGCTGCTACAACTCCTACAGATCGGTGAGAGCCTGGTGCAAGCGCAAGGCACGGTTCTCAGTGCGCAACGAGTGAATCTCAGCCTTGGCAGCCTGAAGAGCCTCACGCAGGTAGTGAATCTCGTCGTCTGCAGGGCGAAAACTCGTCTGGTAAATCTTGGCGAGCTCCTCGTTGAAGGCCTGAGTCAGTTGGCCGCACGTACCTCGTACAACTCCGCATTTTCCATGCGCGCATCCTTCTCGAGCTCCTGCAGCGCAGTGCAGCGCTTTGTAAGTGTTTCAACCTCGACACGAAGGGGCAGGAGCGCATTCGCCTGGTCCTGTAGCTCCGTATACGCCTCTGGCGAAAGGTGAACACGCTCGTCATGCTCAGGCTGCGCAAGTCGCAGCGATGCCAGATCCATCTGGTTGTTCTCGTATGCGCGCTCCATCTTAGTCCACGACACATTCAAATGCTTGATCGCCTGCTTGAATCCCTGCCAGTCGTCGCTCCACCCGGTGCCCTGCACCCGAGGCCGATGCCGCCGCAGCGCTGCAATCCGTTCGTTCAGGCCCACAATCGCCGCTTTCATCTCTGCAGACCCAATCGTGTCCGTCGTGGGTGGTGCTGAGAACAGTTCACTGTCCGATTCCTCAGCTTCATCAACGGGCGAGCGGTCCTCGTGGGGGCTCAGCACAATCTCTGCCGCACAAGCCTCCGCCACAGGCGTCGGCGGCACATGCACCACAGGCTGGGACTGTGGGCCCTCTTGAATATGCTCCAGAAGAGGACGCAGTAGCTCCTGCATCTCGTGCTCGGATACGGGGCGCTCACGCAGTTTGCCAGTGTCCTTTGGAGGCGGCAAAGGCGCCACTTCCGGTGCCACCTCGGAAGCCGCACCCGTCGGCGTCGTGTCCGTCGACACAGGCTCTACGACCTCCGCAATGGGCTCGATCGCCAGCTCAGGGATCACAGTCGCCTTCTCCGGTTCGGGCAGCGTCGGTAAGGGGGGCGCCGGACTAGCATGCTCGTCAAACGGATTCGGCAAGTCTAGCGTATCATCCGCGTACATGCTTATAATGCCATGACTCTTGGATGGCGTGGCAGTATCGATATCGTGCATCGGCATGTCTACTTCGACTTCCGTTGCCGTTTCAGGCTTGGCCTTGACGGGCGTCTCATGCATCGGCACAATGGGTACATTCTCTGCCCCGGAAGCCGAAGTCGGCACAGCACGGCGCTTGGGCGACACTTGGTTGCTGACTTCAGCGAGTGGCACAGTGCGCTTGCGACCCAGTGGCACTTCGTCGACCATGTCCACAGAGTGTTCGCTCTCCTGTACGGCCTCCAGACTTGAATGGATACTCGCACGTACCCGGTCGCTCATTAGGCTGCGGGCGCGCTGCACGGTCGGCGCAGAGGGGCGATTTGTGCGCATCGACTGTGTGCGGCGCGTAGGCGTTACCTGAGGAACGGGCGCAGTGCTACCCGTAGTAGATGGCGCGCCAGACAGAGACGCCATCCGGCCCGGCGCCAGCTGCGGCAGCGTCGGCGACTCGAGCATATCGGCACACACACGCGGAATCATGTGCAGGCTGGCAAGGATTTGGCGCGTCTGTGCGCCCCATGCGCGGCTCAGGTACAGCGTACAAGCATCGGCCTCGTCGAACAGCTCAGCCGTGACGCAAAATTCGGATGCACGCTCTGCGGCCTGCTGCGCAGCCGAATCGACAGAACCGATGAGCAGGACGCAACGGTCGCGATGCTCGAAGCGTTCATACTGTGAGCGAGTAAAGAGAGTCCAGAAGAGTGTGAGGGGTCCGTTCACGGAAGGCGTCAGGCTCTGGCGCACGCCCAACGACCGAGTCTGCGCGCGGTGAACGGCCTGTGCACGCCAGAAACATTCTAGGAAGGGTGCCACGTGCGAGCCAAGCGCGTCTGGTGCTGCATCGCCAAAGTGGCGCGCACTTGTGCGGTTATTCGTGCCGCGCAGAGGACGCTGAAATTCAAGTTGGATTCCGTTTAAGCCTTCGCCCCTAGCACGAACATCCAGGAGGTTAATCATACCGGCAAAGCTCAGGTCTGTACGGCGCGACGTCGGCATATCGCTAAGATGAGCGGAGCGCATGAGATCGGCCAGCCGGTCCGGCTCCTGCACACCGAGAATCTGGTGCGTGGGTTGCGATGAGTGGCGCTGCACAAGCACGAGTGCATCGGTAAAGACGAGCAGGGCATACGAGGCCTTGGGGCGGCGGCCCAGGACAGAATGTAGTGTCTGGATCATAGTGTGCGGTGACTCGATGCCTAGCTCGTCCACATCGATGCTGCCCAGCAGTTCGCGATGGGGACTAACGAGTTCGGGGGGGAACCGGTCGATCATGCGCTGGCAGCTCCAAAGCACAGCTGCCAAACGCTCACCGTCCGTCACGCGACGGGAGGCAATGATAGTTGCCGCTGCCGACGCGTCCTGGAGGCGCTGCGTTTGCGACGAATGGGGCGGCATATGCTTCAGCAGGTGACCAATCAGGAGCTGGTACCTAGGGATGCGCTGCAACGGCTCCATCATAAGCTCACGAAGGCCAACATTTCCCAGCTCGGTGGTCGAGTGCTGCGTACGCTCAATAAAATCGCGGAATGCTCGGTGTTTGAGCATCTGGTTATATGTGTGCTGGGCGCGCTCAAGGCTCGAGAGATATGTCACATAGCACTGGAACATGTGCATCTGAGTCAGTGATTATTACGCACATGACGGCACAGGATATCGCCCACCAATGACGCAAGTTGAGCTGGGCCTTGGTCGTATTCGACCTCCAGCTCGCATAACAAGACCTTGTTCGCCGCTAAAATCTCGCCTGCGTTGCCGAAAATGAGGTCGGTCTCCGCCCCAGGGATAATTTGTGTATCCTTGTCTCTCGATAGCTGCTGCAAAGGGACGGCATAGCGCTTCGGTAAGTTTCGTGTACGCACATTGTACAGCGCATCCAGCCGAGCGACATAGCTGCGCTCCGTCGTCACGAGCTCCGACAGAGCGTGCTCTAACGCACGCGTCACTCGGATTTCGCCATTCGAAAACACACTCGCCGTCTGGGTCAGTAATAACTACGCACGTCGCTCAAGACAGGGCTTGGATCTCCAGAGAGCGTAGTCAATTGCTGTTTTTTATCGTCATCGTTGGCTGAATACACCGCCTGGCCCATGGCCTGGAGCAATACCTCCAAGCGTGGAACTGCCGTTAAAGGTGATTCTACACACTCTGGTTGCGACTCAGATCCTCCAGAACCACATCGCAAAAATGCGACACAAGCGGTCCGTGGCCTGCTCCCGAAGTCGCCACATCCGCGCCCATGGACATGGTCGTCGGCGCGTCTGAACCCCCAACAACGACACGCGCGTCGTGTGTATGTCACGTGAGACAAAGGCCTGCGTGTGGAGACGCTGCCAGATGAGTGACGCCGACCGATTGGCGTCGGCCGCCCGTCGTGAACTAGCAATGTCGTTCGAGGAGCCGCCCCCATCGCGGAAAGAGAATCTGAACATTCCCAAAAGGGAGTTCAACGAAAAGAAAAAGACAAGATTTCAAATGTTCGGTGAAAGCCTTGTAAATAAGGGCATCGCTATCAGTGATTGGGCAGCAGGCTACGTGAATGGTGCAACCCAGCGTAAGTATTGTGCTGCTTACAGCAGGTCTTGGCGCAGAAAGATTCATGCCATCAACGAATGACTTTCCTCTTGAAGTAGAAAAATGTACGCGGATCCTTCGTACGTATGCCCAGGACTGTCTAACGGAGCTAGGTATCTTTACCGAAGAGGGTGTCGCAATCAAAGACAAGAACATCAAAGTGACGTATGTCCTCCCTACTAATAGGCAGGAAAAAAATACCACCGCAAGTAATCCGCGATGCCAAGGGTATATGCATCTACTCAAGCATGAAATCCGGCCTACCGCCGTTCGGCGGCATGAACGGCACCGGTTTGCTCCTGGGGCGCCTGCCTGATGGTTCGTGGTCCGCCCCTTCTGCGATTTTGCCCAACTATTACTCAACAGGTTTCATGATTGGTGTGGATGTCGTTGATGTGCGTTCGAAATAGTCTCACCTCAGGTGATTCTGATTATCAATTCCGAAGAGATGCTCCGCTCTTTTCGCTCACACAAGTTTGCGCTGGGCGTAGAGAGTGTCGTCTCGTCAGGTCCGTTGGGCACGGCATTGAATACGGCCGTGGACGTCAAGGATAAAATTAGTCCAATTTACTCCTATGTGAACTCGCATGGGTTTTACGCAGGCCTAGAACTGACCGGTCAAGTATTCCTGGATCGCTTTGACGAAAATGAACGCGTTTACTACTGGCCTGGTATTAAAGCAGGAGATATTCTGGATGGCAAAGTCCGAATCCCCGATTGTGTCGCTCCCCTACATCGCGCTTTGCGCGAGGCTGAGTTTGGTATCGCGCAAGCAGGTGTTCTGGAGCAGACGTCTCTCATGAAAAATCTTCCCAAGGGACCCAGTGAAGTTGCCTTAGAAAAGACGCTCGAGTCACTCCTAGAAGGAGAGCATATTCAATTACCTCCTACGCCAGAACAACTAGATTTGATGGAACGTGCTGGCTTCCAAGACGAATATGACGAAGCCTTTGAGCAAAAAGAACGTGAAGCTGTTCGCAATCTCCCGCCGCCACCCCAGCATCCTACTACGTCTCGGGCAGTCTCAATTGCCCAGGAGGGTCGCAGATCTTCTCCAACCCTTATTGAAGAACAAACAGATACTGCGGTCAATGGCGACCAAACTAGTGAGCCGCGCGATAAGGAACTCGAGCTATAACTACATAAAGACCATATCCAGGAGATAAGTCGCTTATAGGAACAAGTTTAAATTTCCGTGCGCCCCCAATGAGACATCAGTATGCAAAAAGGGATTTCCAGGGGCGCACGTGCGTGAGTTATCCAGTCGAGATAAGTACATGCACGTTCTGATTTCGGATGTGGGAAGAAGGGCCAATACAATGCTGGTCGGCGCGCCCTGAAAACACATAAAATTACGCCAGTTCTGCTCATCTTCTGCGATATCCACCCACTATGCAGTTTACCAAAGTCATCCTTGCCTGTGTTGCTGCCGCCTCTGTTGTGAATGCTTGGACCACCGTGACAAACACTCGAACTGTGACCGTTACGGCGTCTAACAGTGAAAAGTCGACCCCTTGCTCAGAGAGCTCTCATTCGACCTCGTCCATTCCCACGAGCACCTCAGTGTCTTCAAAGGAAACTTCTTCTGCTCCTTCGAGCTCCTCTAAGAAGGCTTCTTCCAGTTCTTCGAGCTCTGAAAAGTCCTCATCGACTCCTACGAGCACCTCTACGGCTACGTTGTCAACTTCCACGACGCCTACCTCGACCGCGAGCCCCACTAAGACCACAGCCACTCTTAGCAGTGGTGCGGTGACTGTGACCGCGACCGCGAACGGCAATGGCCAGGACTGTGGTAACGATGACATCCTTGGTCTTGGCATCTGTATTGATGGTTCGGGTAACGGCAACAACATCAACATCTCTAAGTAATTAAATGGTCAATCTCGTTAAGCCGTTCATCTGTAATTGTAATGACCAACTTATCGTGTCATTATTTGATAGTTGTAATTGTCTGATTCCTATTTAAGCACATTTATGGCTTTTCCCTATATGTTTCTAAATTTTACGCGACAGTGGCCTCATGTGTAACGTGCCTGCATGCCTTAAAATTTAGTGCGAAGACCCTCGAGATATTGAATTTCACGATGGGGTAGCAGTTTAGAGAAGCCGAAACATGAGCAAGTCCAATCATACAATTTATTGGGATTCTATGGACAAAGCTACTTTCACGAGCTACATTTGGCGAGTTGACAATCAAATTTAATAGTCCAACGATGTCGAAGCCGCGAACCTGTATACTAACGGTGATCATAGGTTTGAATGTCGTCTTTTCTCTTAGTGTTGCCTCCGATTGGTGTTAACTAGGAACTACGAAGATCACCTTGATGTCAAACTTTTGAGTTGCAATCAAATTTGTCAAAGTTGTATGTTAGGTACGTCATGTGGGGGGCGTCATTTTATTAGTCATTTCAATAATAATTTGCTTGATGGCCTTTGAGGCTCAAGCCAATGAATGGGTGCTTGGGCCTTCTTGCAGCAATCGCTGCTGCGCAAAATACAAAAAAAAATGGAACAGAAACAGCATCCAACTCGGGTTATACGTGGTAACACCAAATGCTTCATGGCTGTAACACATTTCACAATAGATGTCATTTTTCACGTACATAGGTATGAGAATACCATGGCACTTGAAATTTAGCCTAGCTGAGTCATTCCCAATTAATTTGCAAAGAATGTGATGTCTTTATTTCTCGAGCCAAGGTTTGATTTTACTACTCTGACGACAATCATTCTAAGGAGTGGCTCTGGAAACTATGGTGTCGTTATTGCCAAAGACGATGGTCAACATAGATCTTAGCCACCCCAGGAGAGGTGAGCAAATAATTATGGTGCCTTTTAAATGTATGCCACATTAATATACAATAGTTGCTGCTCCATTCTGATATGATATCCATAGGTTTCAAAGAAAGACCAACTGTTGAGGCCATGTTTATGTCTCCACTTGATGCCGCGACCACGGACCTATAGCAGGCAAAACTCATTATTCGAAGTCGAATCCATGTTTATTCTCTATAAGCAGCATTGCGCAAAGTTACTTCCGGTTGACTCCATAGATACATGGAATATAAATGCAAAAAGTATGCTATTTGCTACAATGAGGTATTACAGGATTGGTGCCAGATTACCACGTGGCTTGCGGTCGGGGATATTTATCTCGAGATTCAGAACCGTCCGTTCAAGATAGGGCAGATCACTTATGACACTAACTGGGACATTAGTCATCCTAGGTTCCTATTTCGGATATAACCAATGATATGGAGATGAGGCACCTCACCGAAACTAACGGGTTGATGAATGTTACAATCGCAAAACAAATCTAAACTTTGGCCAAATTGCAAGCCCTTATAAAGGAAATGCTGCTGTTTCTGCTGGTTCCGTGGCAAAAATGGTCAATACGGTGCAGCTGACCACAGGCCTGGTCCTGGCAGCGCAGCTAGTGCTTGCTTTCTCCGGCAAGAATGGTCTGCGACCGCGTCAATATGATAACCAGACCCAGGTTGAAATCGAGCATCAAGCCAAAAATGACCCATTGGGAGCAACCAGCAAAGTGAAACAGATGCCAAACCTTGGCACCCCTGGTTATGAAAGTTTCGCGAAGCACAAATATGGTGCCCAATGGTTGGGAGACAGCTCTTCGCACCACCAGGTGTCTTGGTTCGATGGCGGCAACTTCCCCTTTATCCAGCCAGACGGAGCGCAGCGTGACTCCAACGGCGGTCTGACCGAGGTTCCTAGTGAGACAAATGGCTTTGAACTAAAGGATGATCTTCAGCTGAAAGGTGACGCGGTTCAGCCTTATTACATTACCAAGAACTACAACCCGAACGATGTTAAGCGCGCTGTGATTGTTTTCCCTGGTTTGCCTCGTGATGCGTGGAAGTGGGCAACGCTGATTCTGAACGCGTTCACTTACGTGTACACCAAGCACAAGTACTGCTACCAAAAAAAGGACGCAATCATTCTCTCGCCATTGACGCTTAATCAGCAGGATAGTGTTGCTAACAACAACAAAAACTGGGCTGTGTACAAGAACTCGAACTGGCAAGTCGGTGGTGTCACACATTCTCCTGAGTTGTCTAATGGAGTTTCATACTTCACTATGATCGACAAGATGATTGATATGCTTCTTGACAAAAGTAAATACCCTAACCTCGACAAGGTTGTTCTTGTTGGTCACTCCTTGGGTGCTCAAGCTGTTCAACATTATTCACTGTTGCGCAAGAAGAATGATGAACAAGACAGTAAGCTTTTGTGGTGGATTGGTAACCCTGGTGCCTGGACTTGGCTAAACGCTGGTCGCCCTACCTACTGGCCCAACTGCCAAGACCAGATGAATATTTGGCCCTATGGTTTGAACGAAACTTCCCAGCGGATTGCCTACAACAAGGGTGCGAATGAGCAAGAACTCGTGAATTCTTTCCTGAACAGAGACACTCAAATTGCCCTGGGTCTTGATGACAATGGTGCTGGTAATACCCATTGCGAAGCATATTACCAGGGAGCCAACCACCTTGACCGTGGATCGAACTTTATTCAGAGTGTTGCTGGAATGTCTCGTGGTTTCCCCAGCAACTTTGAGGTGAATTACGTTGCGCATGTGGCCCATCAGGATTACCCAATGTTTGCGGCAAACCGCTCTCTTGATTTCATTTGGGGCAAGGACTTTGACGGTGATTGTTCTGCAGCCCCTTCTACTAGTCCGTCGAAGCCTTCTTCGAGCTCGTCGTCGTCGTCATCGAAGTCCACGTCGTCATCATCTAAGTCTTCGTCTTCGTCTAAGTCTTCGTCGTCGTCATCCAAGTCTAGCGTGCCTACTTCTACCAAATCATCGTCATCCAAGTCGTCGTCGTCTAAGTCTTCGTCGTCGTCGTCTAAGTCTTCGTCGTCGTCGTCTAAGTCTTCGTCGTCGTCGTCTAAGTCTTCGTCGTCATCGTCTAAGTCTTCGTCGTCGTCATCTAAGTCCTCGTCGCCTTCTTCGTCCACATCGAGCGCTAAAACAACTACCGTCACCACTTCGAAGGACGGTTCCTCTACTACTGTGACGGCCACTTTGACAGGTGGTCAGAACTGTGGCAATGGTGACATCTTTGGTGGCGGCATTTGCATCAGCGGCTCCGGCAATGGCAACAACATTAACAACGGTTAATTTTAGGTAACATCGTCGATCTTTCCTAAAACTTGTCGGTATACAGTTACGGCTCATTAGTTGCTTCCCAATGGGAACCTTAAATAGCATCAAAGAATATATGTTGGAATTAGATTTGAGGTAAGGCTGTTTATCTCTTCTCATTCGTGGAGAGATCTAGTGGTACCCTAAACCTTTAAGTGGTAGAATCTATCACGCTCTAATTGTTTCACAATGCTTTGGTAATGTTGTATCTACCTATCTTGCCTCTCTTACTGTAACCATAGCCTTATACCGTGTTTGCAGTCATCTTCTTAGTATGTACACATACTCATTGGAATCAATCTATGCATTGGTGCACACATGTCATATATATATATATATATATATATATATATAGTAAAATATGCTGCACTGGGGCTGGAGATTAGACAATGAGGCATGATAATGTCTAGAATCCTAATTAAATCACTCTTAAGCATAAAAGTCATTTCCATTCATCTGCGATCCGACTACAAAGTTTACCGTCTTTGTTAATAAAGAGACATGCGTGTAAGCTGAGCCATTTTGCAATATTTGCGGGTTTCAAGGCACGTTGTCCAATAAAGTATGAAATATAGCCTGCATTTTACAACACACCAATCGCAAAATGCTTACGCAACTGACATGCCCTGCACGCCGATATCATGATAGCCCCACCCGCATTAGACCTTGGAAAACATATTGTATCACGACATATTTCCCGATTAGGCTCATATCATTTGACCGAGATCATCGTGCATAATGGTCGTCGCTAGTTTCCGTTTTTGAATCAAAACGTGGAACATGTCTATGTGGGAAGGTGGTCCGATAAATAGCCGTTTCCGAGACCGTGTCTCAGCAAACCCTTGATGAAGTTTTTCAACCTTCTTGCTCTAGCTGTGCTAGTTTCCGGCGCAGCCGCCGCTTCTAGCTCGACGACCCCCTCGAGTACTTCAACTCCCTCGAGCACGTCGACCCCCGCTAAGAAGTCCTCGACTACTCCCTCGAGCACTTCGACTCCCTCGAGCACGTCGACCCCCGCTAAGAAGTCCTCGACTACTCCCTCGAGCACGTCGACTCCCGCTAAGAAGACCTCGACTACTCCCTCGAGCACGTCGACCCCCGCTAAGAAGACCTCGACTACTCCCTCGNGACCCCTTCGAGCACGTCAACTCCAAGCACCTCGAGCAGCCCTGCAAAGACCTCGACAGGTGCTCCTGTCACTGTCACTCCTTTGCCGGCGCCTGGCAGTCAGTCATGTGGTGACAATGACTTGGGTGCCCTCGGTATTTGCATTAGCGGTTCAGGAAATGGTAACAACATTAACATGGGACATTAATTTCTAAATTCGGTATGGTGAATGCAAAAACAAATTTTTAATTTGGATCAAGTGGATATTTTTATTCGTCAATATTTACGAAGCTGCCTATTCATGAGGACGGCAATGTGAATGACCTTGTTTAGTTGCAATGTAGATCAAGGACTTTTTCTTAGACCGCTCTCGGACATCGAGAGCCACCCCGTTTTCTGAAAGGACAACTTCGTCACTTGCTAGATCTGTCTTCCAGCCCTGCTGGGAAATCTGCCAAGCACAACTGTTCTCTGTTTCCGTTCCCATAAACCACTGGAGCCGCATAGTCAAACTGTGCACCTGAGCGCACGGTTGCAGAGAGATACGGTCATCGGCATGCTCCGGGTATTTGGTGAAATTCTGGATCCCAGTATTAAATCGATACACCGCACCAGGCGTGATGCACATTGAATCATTGAGAACACTGCGAATCTGCCCTCCAGTTTTGTACTTTGATGTTGGCGCATTGCACTCATAGAATTGAAAAACTTGTTCTGTCTCTTTCGCTTTCACTAATGCCGGGTGTCCATTTACTTTTTTAGTGTCGGACACTTCGTATACTTCCGTGTGATTTCCGGAGAAACTCACGCTCATCAATATTCCAGCCGGACCAGCCGGTTTACAAGATAGTCCAAACACAGTGTTATTCAGTAATAACAGAGCAAAGAGCAGAATCGTGAACATCAGAGAAGGTAGATTATGGTGAAGATTCCGCCACACTGTATTTATTCCTTTAGCCCAGCGTCGTGCAACCCCCTGCTTTATGCTACCCAATCTAATTCAGCCCCTTAGCCTCCCTTGCTGGCTTACCTAATTTTGTGGGGTCGAGCTTGGGTCAGTGCCTCCACAGAGGCATGGCTTCAAACCGCCGGTCATGCCATCATGGCGTTGCCCGCCAGCCGACAGTGGCTCTTACCATTCCATCGGGCCATTTTGAATCGTCTTATTCCCGAAGAGCATGAGGATACAAGAGATATACTTGTCATTCTGGCTCCTGGATTAGGGCTTAGGAAGATTGTGTCTACTCTGCTACGCGTATATGCACGGCCCAGTAGTCTTATCCTAGTTTTAAATGCATCAGAATCAGACGTTGAGGCTATGAACCACTCTATCTTTATGCTAGGAATGCATGGAAGAGGTATACAAGATATACACCATGATATGACTGCAAAACAGCGTGCTCAGTTGTATATGTCGGGGGGGATTGTCAGCGTTACGTCGCGGATCCTCGTCGTTGACATGCTTTCGAGGCGGATCCCTACACACCTGCTCACAGGTATGGTCGTGCTTCGTGCTGAACGCGTACTGCCTACCTCTTTGGAGGCATTTATCATTCGTCTTTACCGACAGGAAAACAAGGATGGGTTCCTCAAAGCATTCTCTAATAATGCGGAATCTTTTGCATCCGGGTTTAGTACTCTGCAGACCATCATGGGACAGCTGCACCTACGCCAGGTGGACATTTGGCCACGATTTCACGAAAGCATAAACCGGGATTTGGGTCATCGACATGCGGATGTGATTGAACTTCACCAATCTCTACCCCCTTCGATGCGAGCCATACAGGGCGCCATTCTTGAATGTCTAGAGGCTACGCTAGCTGAGATACAGCGGAGCAAGCTTACATCTGATATCGACGACTTTAGTGTGGAGAGAATAATGCATGGATCGTACGATATCACGATCCGCCGTCAGCTCGACCCAGTTTGGCATCGCTTGAGTCCCGGGATCAAACAGCTAGTGGGAGATCTTTCAACCCTACGAAATCTCCTACATGCATTAATTTCATACGACACTGTTTCCTTCTATGCATACTTAGAGGCCATTCTTATTTCTCATGGTCCCTCTGACGAATCTCGCCAGCGGCCCTCTCAGTGGCTGATGAGTGATGCAGCCAACGTCATTTTTGGTGAGGCTAAAGCGCGCCTCTGGAGCGCATCCGAGGATGACGGCACTGTCTCATTGACATTAGAAGAACCGCCCAAGTGGAAGCTACTTCTGAGTGTGCTTGACGAAATTGAGCAAGATATTTATTATCGAGACTCTTGCACGTCCCATCGCCCGATATTGATCATGGTAAATTCCGAAAGAACTGCTACTCAACTTCGACGTTTACTTTCTTCGGCAGGTCACACACCTGACCAACCAGGTCGAACGGTTTTGACTCAGCTCTTGTCTGAATACTTGTCTTGGAAAACGAACTTATCGACACTACAGCAGCAGATCAAGGCACAAATTGCCCAAGAATCCCAACATTCGGTACTGGCACACGAATCTCTGAGCGAAGCAATGCAAAGGAAAGCTATTCGATCCAGTACCTCCCCGAACAAGCGCCGCCGCATGCGCGGTGGTATGATCCACTCTGCTTCTTCCCGCCCTATTGTACCGGAAGTTTCTAAAAGTGAATGGGACCAATTGTCACAGGTCTCAATTGTGGAAAATGGCAATGTATCTTCTCAAGGGGATGCAGAATCAGTGAAAACCGACAACTGGGACTCTATTGTGAACGAAGATGGAAATGACTATTTTGGCATGGTGGACCAGGGTCAACTTGTCATCATTCAATGTTATCAGGCTGATGAAGACGATAGCTTATTGCAAGAGCTGATGCCTGGCCATGTTATCTTATACGACCCAAATGCTCATTTCGTCCGACATATTGAGCTGTTTCGTGCTCTCTATGGCATTCAGGACCTACGAATATATTTCCTGCTGTGCACTGACTCGGTGGAAGAGCAAATGTATTTGGCAGGATTACGCCGTGAAAAAGATGCCTTCGAGCGGATCATTCGAAAGAAAGCGACTATGGCGATCCCGCTTACTGCGGAAGGGGCACCTATGGTTGAGCAAGCGGACGACCGTATGATCCGGTCACTAAGCACGCGTGTTGCTGGCGGACAGCGTGCTGGGCATGTGTCGCAGCGTCCCACTGTGGTTGTTGACATGCGAGAGTTTCGCTCAAGTCTGCCCTCACTGTTGCATGCGGCTGGTTTTGTGGTAACTCCGTGTACGCTGCAGGTGGGTGACTATGTGATATCGTCGGATATGTGCATCGAGCGCAAGACTCTAGGCGACCTTGTCCAGAGCCTAAATTCTGGGCGTTTATATACCCAATGTGAGGCAATGTCGACGCACTACGTTCATCCCATTTTGCTTATTGAGTTTGACCAAGAGAGGGCATATACGCTGGCAACCTTGGGTGACAACAAAGATACCCATCGTCGTTTTACAACGCCGCAGGAGCTGAGTGTACAAGCGAAACTAGTACTTTTAACTCTGTCTTTTCCCCGCCTGCGTCTAGTGTGGTCGTCTTCTCCTTATGCCAGTGTAGAAATTATTTCTGATCTCAAGCAAAATTTTGATGAACCCGACCCTATACGGGCAGCAGCTATCGGTCTTGACGAAGCTTTGGAAAATGGTTCGGTGTTGGAAACTGCCATGAACATTACACCTACGGATATGCTATATGAAATGCCTGGTGTGACTACCAAAAATGCCTTGTATTTGATGCGCGAGGCACCTCATATCCAGGCACTCTGCGAGCTGAGTCTTGCACAACTGCAACAGGCCATTGGCTCCGAAGCAGCCCGCAAGCTGTATGCATTCCTCCATCAGGGTCCCTAAGTAGGTTTGCTTAAATCCGATATATCACCCAGTGGAAGAAATTCAGCCCATTAAAATTAGTAGGAATTTCCAGCATCGCTTCGTTTTCGGTCTTTGTCCATGACGAATTTGATTGGGAAAGTCGTTCGTATTGATGGTGAGGGTGTAGCACCGGTCATTGCCGCTGCCCTTCCAGAAGTCTCTGCGCAGATCACCGCGCAATGGCAGCGTAGCCGCGCATCGTCTGCCAAGACTGGTGAGCTTCGGGTGCTATTTCCTAGCGACTCAGTCCCTATTGCTGCAGTGGCATTAGGCGAGCAGAAGGAGGCACCTAAGACGGGTCCTGATGCTTTGCCATCTGCCAACATATTCTTGCGTAACGAGAATTTGGAGCGCACTCGTTTGGCGGCCGCCAAAGGCGCCCGTGCTCTGCGAGACCTCGGACAGGACGAAGGCCACCGGGTCGTCGAGATCGACTCCTTCCTAAGCCCTCACGCTGCCGCGGTCGGAGCTAACCTGGGTTTGTGGACCGTGAATCATTTCAAGACTCGTGGTTCTGCCCCTGCTTGGGGTCACCCGCTGGAAATGCAGGGCGGTCGCCATATCGAGGCTCAGCCTCTTTCGGGTGCCTCGACGGTCACGGAGAAGAAGGAACTGCGTGATGATGGTGATAATCTTTCTTCTAGTGGCACCCCCCTGAGCTGGTATACAGGCGAGGTCTACGCGCGTGCACAGAACCTCTCTCGTGAATTACAGGAGACTGCTGCCAACCTGCTCAACCCCTCTCTCTTCGCGGAACGCATCTCGCACCTTTTCAAGCATGTGCCTAATACTCAGGTAATTGTCCATGATGCCGACTGGGCGCGTGAACAGCGGATGAACTTGTTCTTGTCTGTGGCTCAGGGCTCTGACCAGCCTTGTAAATTCGTTGAAATGCACTACCATGGCGCTCCAGAAGCGGACGCTGCGCCTTTGGCATTGGTGGGAAAGGGTATCACCTTTGACTCAGGTGGTATCAGTATCAAGCCCGGAAAAGGTATGGACCTTATGCGTGCCGACATGGGTGGCGCCGCGGCTGTTGTGGCCAGTACACTCGCCATTGCGCAGCTGGGTCTGCCTATCAATGTGGTAGCTGTGACGCCACTCACAGAAAACATGCCGAGCGGACGAGCGACCAAGCCAGGTGATATCTTCGAGGCTCGCAATGGACTTACGGTGCAAGTTGACAACACGGATGCCGAGGGCCGCCTTATCCTTGCGGATGCTCTCTCGTATATCTCGGACACATATGCACCCCACACTGTAATCGATGTGGCTACATTGACGGGTGCATGCGTTGTCGCGTTGGGAGACATTTACTCAGGTGTCTTCACCGATACAGATTCCCTTTGGCACGAATTGAAGGTAGCCGCTGAGGCAGAGCACGACCTATGTTGGCGCATGCCGCTGACCGATATGTACCTGCCTCAAATCTCGAAGACGAATGCGGACCTTGTGAATACTGGCGGCCCTCCTGCTGGGTCTTGTACTGCAGCTGTATTTTTGAAGCAGTTTGTCCACGGCCTCGAGAACCGCGCTGAGGGCCAGCCGGCGAAGGTGCGCTATGCGCATATTGATATCGCTGGCTCCATGGAGGCTGCCGTGAACACTCTGAATGACTACCAGGGCAAGGGCCTCACCGGCCGCCCTGTCCGTGCACTGATTGAATTTGCGCGTCGTTTGGCCTACCAAGAGTAGTTACGAATCTTTTCTACGTTTATTCTGTTTAGGGGGAGGGGACTAGCCTTAGTCCTATTCACATTTTGGAGATCACGGGTGTAAATGACGAATGTCTGCACTTGTGACCTTGCCATCCATCAGCAGTTCTTCCATCACCTTGCCCGTGCCCAAACTGTTACTAATACCCCAAACAGCGTGACCGGAAGCGATGTATACACCCTGTTCTACAGAGCCGCCCAGGATGGGAGCAGCTGTACGGGGTGAAATAGGCAAATAGCAAGCTTGCTCAGCAATCAGCTCGGCACCGCGTTTCACGTCCAAGTAGTCTGGGCTCAGTGCAGCGCATTGGCGCTGCAGTTCCGCCGTGCGTTTCGGGTCATAAGAAACGTCATCTGCTAGCTCAGGAATCGGGACATCATCAGTTCCTCCTGCCGCATAAGCCTCGCCTTTCGGGCGAATATAGAATTCGGGGGCACCCGCTGATGTACCATAACGCATCTCAGAGAAGAAGCAGTCAGCCGACAGTTGGTGACGCTTTGCAGCCTGGATTACAATGCTGTGTGCACGACTGCCCTCAATCATGGCAGCTGAGCGCAGATAAGATGGCATGGTGTCAGGCGTGAACCAAGACTGGAGTAGCTTGCCTGTCCATGGACCCGTAGCCAAAACGACATCTGTTGCAGGCAAGAGTTCCTCCCTACCATCGGCACGAATCTGTACACCGTTTACCTTGCCATCGTCCCCGAAGGAGAGGCCCTGGGCTTTGGTTTGCACACGAAGAGAAACCCCGGCATCCTGCGCTTTTTTCACTAGGAAACGAGTGAGTTTGCCAGGTGTCACTTGCGCTGTCGTTCCACCACCACCAATCAAGCTCATAGTTAAGAATACGTTCTGGTTGAGCCAGTCAAGCTTGGGACGGGTGCGAGACTTGCGAGAAGTATCCAAGCTTAGTTGATGAGTGTCGACCGTGCGGTAACCCCAAAGTTCAGCACCATTTTCTTTTTCGGCCAACTCTCGATGCAGATCAAAACTCAATGCCGCCAGACTAGCAGTGGATGTTCCGTGCCAGTCCAGTGCCAAAAAACCACCAGCTTTGCCAGAGGCACCCGGGGCGACATCTTTGCTTGATTCCAAAACAGTCACCTTAGGACAATCTGAGCGCTGACTCAAAAAGTAGGCGATACTGCATCCAATAATACCACCTCCAACAATAACGATATGTCGCTCTTCGGACATCGTGGCCAAATGAATGGAAGTGTGGGTTCATGCCCTCAACATAAGCACAGCACGTGGCATAATGACGAGCTCGAGCGCGTCAAAAAGTTTAATGAAAAATAAATGGTAGAACTGGGATTCGAACCCAGGATAAGTTGGGTACCAGCGAAACCGCTGAAATATTCAACACATACTTGAATCAACCGCCTTAGACCACTCGGCCATCCTACCATAATCCCACGAATTCCCTTGTATAGAGACTACTATATTCGTTTAATCTACATAGCCGCCGTTAACACGCTACTGATTTGGACCCCATTGTTGACTCCACCCTCTCCGTAAATACCAGATAACTGATGTTACGACTCGACTCAAGCCATGTACATCTTCAGGAGCTTATAGGAACTCAATTAATTCCTACAAAATCCGCAACAACTCTTTTGGACTCGGGAAACAATGTAACTGTGCTATGCCAGTTGTACTCGGACAGAATATTTGTGAGTGTGTCCCAACGCGAGAAACTTGGCTACGTCGTATGTATATAAATTCTCACAATTTAGGTACAGGCACAAGTGCAAATGAGCCTTCAGTCTCTCAGAGATGCTGATCATTCAATACCCCCACTTCCCAACGTCTCGTTGTGTCCATTGCTTGGTGCTCCTCCATATGCAATGCAGGATTTGTACTCATTTTATGCAGCTCAAATTGCCATCTATGTCACGCAATGTTCTCATCTGTCTGATGGATATAGACCATCTGTGGCAGAACATGTACCAAAGCCACTTGTTATTGCACTTGCTCTCGAACCTTTGTCAACAGTCGAAGAGGATTTGGATACGACACAAGAACGCCAACGCTTGGACAAAATAATTAGCATAATTGAGTCTTGTAAAGTCTGGTAGGCCCTGACCAGGTCGTTGGTTTTCTCTCATCATATAGTACATACTCCACAATTTTTTTTCGAACGTCCGTGCCATGACCAGTGGTTCCACTGCCCTCACCAAAAAGCAAAAGAAGGCTGCAAAATTCAAATCCAAACGGAAATCTGATGATCTAGAAACTATAACAACCACAGACGATGAAGATCCTGGGGAAGCAGGGGCTGAGAAGACTTCAACTGTTGCAACTGATACTGATGCCAATGTTTCTACTCATACCGCCGATTCTGTTTCGCAGACACAAAAAGACAAGGAGAAAGCATCATCAGAAAAGCCTAAAAATGGAAATCTAAGAACTGTGTTTGAAGAAGATGGGACTACACGCGAGGAATTAGTATCAAAACCACCGTTCAAAGAAAATGGCATGAAGTATATTGTTTTTGTCGGCAACATGTCCTTTGATGTAACAGCAGACATGCTCGCCAAGCACCTCGGTGAAACATGTGGTGAAGTTCCTATGGTGCGACTCCTTACGAAAAAGGCTGATCCTAATGCATTGACTGGTCTTTCAAATTCTAAGAAAAAATCTATTGCAAAGGGAAAAGCTAAAGATCCTTCAGCTCCTGTCTCGAAAGGCTGCGCCTTTGTCGAGTTTACGAACAAAGCATCATTGCAAAAAGCACTTCGGTTCCATCACACTATGTTCCATGGTCGCCAGATCAACGTGGAACTTACTGCTGGTGGGGGCGGCAAAAGTCAGCATCGCAAAGAGAAAATCAAAGCCAAGAACGAGAGCTTGGATAAGCAGAGACGTAAGCTTCACGAGAAATACGTCAAACCCGCTGCTGAGGAGCATAAGCGCAAGGTTTCAGAAACCTTTACCCAAGAAAAGGCTCTACCTGGCTGGGACAAGGGCCAAGAGGGTTCACGGCCACCAAAGCGGTCCAAATTTGCAAGCGGTGCCAATGCTGTGCGTCTAGGATAAAACTAGCCTAAGTCTATACATGGTGTATTAATTTGTCATGAATCACAAATGTTTTTCTGGGAGCCAAAGTGAAGGAAGCCGCCCTTTCAAAGCCGGCTGTCCATACGTATGATGGGGGGCTTTAAGAAGGCCTGGATGATTCCATGACAAGGGCGGCTCGAATGGTGTCTGGAGCATATCATTTGATTCTGGGTCATCGGCACCTTGGGTGGACAGGTTGTCTTCGTTCACACGCATTTGACTCTCACTGTCCATCGTGAAGATATCGTACAAGTTCACATAGGATGTAAGCGGAAGAAAGAGCTCTTGCAGGTTATTTGCAAACCAGATGGTGTAGAAAATTAATGGAACGATAAGCAAACTGTTGATCACTTGTTTTCGCACTGAAAAAAGGGAAAGCTGGAACACTTGGAACAACACCAGGGCCCAAATACAGCGTCGAATCGCAAGGGGCCAGGCGTGTCCATGCGAGTCATAGGGCTTTTCAAAGACTGCTAATTAGTACAGGACCCACACACCATTCAGCAGCTGATACTTTAGCACCAAATAGGCAAAACCAAAGTCTGCGTCAGTAGCATTCGTACATACAAATAGCTCCAAACACTGTAATTAGAGGGGAAACAATGCTGTACAACACACAGAGAGTAAATACCAGCAAAGCTTGCGGATACAAAGTGCTCATATTAAGTATTGGTGGTTGGTACATTTGCATGCGACGACGCGGTGTTCTGGGGCACCAGACGCGGTACAGCTGTTGACTCAAAATGGTTGGAAGAAGGACCAGCTGGAATGGCTGTGTCGCTAGCCCCTGGAATACCACGTATGAGAGAGAAAAGTTCCGTGCGACGGGCAAGGACTGAGCCAGTTTGTCGATCATATGCATCGGACTTTGCGAAAGTTCTTTAAGCATATCACGCGCGCTCGTAAAGAGGAAAACGAAGACCACTGAGAATAAGAGGTAGAGGTAATACTTGTTGAGCACACTGTGGTCAACGCGAGAGTGCGAGCGAATCCGTTGGAAGTAAGTAGAATAACGCATCGCAACAGGAACTAGAGCGTTGATCAAAATTAAAAGCAAGGTGGGAAGCGAGTTCTGGACAAATGTACGTAGCCAGGCATGTTCATTCAAAATGTCCCCTAACCAGGGGAGGTACTCACGAATCTCATTCACATTCACAAGTGTTGCAAGCACCACATCAATCGAGAGCGTGAGTGTAAGAAGGACACCGATAAGGATAGTCATAATGCATTGACGTGCCCGGCGTTCCCATGCTTTAGTTTCTTCATTCATCCAAATTATGTCTCTGGGCTCCATAGCAGGCTCCGTAAGCATTGACCCTGGCACGGGATAATGCACTACTTGGCTTGCGATTTGCTATCATGTTAGTGTAGCGATACATACTGAGCACCAAGCGTTGCTAAAAGTCACAAACGCTGTATGTCCATCTTTGAATCGGGCTTTACGAAGCTCTAGGACCGCCGCATCTAGCGAAGCGAACTCATATGAGAGCTGATCGATGAGGTCCACACGTTGGCCAAGCCATTTCCAAGTGGTAGTCAGCATCATTGGCCTTGGTCGATCGGTGGATATCGCTGCTCCCACAACAGGAGGCTCTCCTGGGCGAGGCGCCTCCAAGGTAGCGAGTGTCTGTTCGCGAATCGCATCCGGATCATAGTTACCCACAGCATCATCTCCAATCCACCTAAACCAAGCGCGCTCTAATTGCTCCAGTTTCTTCGCTCGCCGAATCAGCAGTTTGTCGAGAAGTTGTGTATCTTTTAAAATACTCACATGTTCAACATCCAGGTGGATATCACTGAAGTAGCTTTCCAGCGACTCTACCGTGCGTAGATGATCTGGAAGCATCCGCACTTCCACTGTTCGTGCGGCTTCAGTGCCTCTCTGCAGACATGCGTGGCCCTGACGGTATCTGATAAACACATGATATGTGCGTCTGAGAATCCACATGGCCAGCAGTGAGTACAAAAATGTACTCAAAAGTTGCGTGTTTTCGTACAATGTATCCCGAGTTACAACAGTAGGCAAGGGAATGAGGGGTAGTGGGTCCTGTGGCTGCTTTTTCTTGGCCAGGGTCATGAAATTAATGTCATCGCCGGGTGTTTCGCCAGGCTTGACCCCATCGATCCAGCCATTGGAATAGTAGTTTATAGGCATTAACACGAATACGGCCCATAGCGTTGACAATGTTAAGTATACGAAACCCATCTTCAGAAACAAAAGGGCGATCGCACCATCCAGGCCCACCGTGTGCAGGACGCTGTGATCTGAATAAAGAAGAGTAGGCATGATCCAGCTAAATATACCATTTCTTATCTTGTGATAGGGTAGCGCTGATCCTTGAGCATGGTGCCGTGCTAAATACATGGCCGGGTAGTGGCGTTTCCACAAACCGAACACGAGCATGGACATAAGCCCAATAGAAAACGAAAGCACAATCTGCTGTTGCAGCCAGGGTCCAGCGAAAGTTTTGCCTCTTGGTCCAGGCATCTCAGGCATTGTCACATTGTCATCTCCACTGCGGAGATCCCAAGGCCCTGAAGCAAGTACCATGGTCCCGTGGAAAGGGTGCGGAAGGTCCGAGCTCTATCTCCACTTTGTCTGCCGCTAGGCTTAGTCATACCTATTTCTCTTGCGCCGGCAGCCACGCCTTCAATAGCGTCGCCATGGAAGAGGATGACAAAGTAGCACAGACCAAACGACCTGTAGGCGATTCGGATGATGAAGAAGATATGCCTGATTACAGTGTTCTTTCTGCACTATCGAAACGTCACTTGAGTGCGGGCCTACCGGCTGATGCGCCTGCACCCTCAATTCCTAAACGCGGGGAGAAAGACTTTGAACCGACAGGTTTCGGCGGGCAGGCCAAGGTTCTCGATCAAAGCCGCGAAGCTCTTTTTTCGACAGTGTCACTTCCCCGTGCACACTCCAGGTACGTTCTGTTTGTCGGCTAACGTGAAGCAAGTCACTGTCGACGGCCACTTGGGACCCCTTATTCCAGAGGGCCATTGTACATACACAGAGGGGCCAGTCCTGTGTCAATGTTGGAGTTTCAGAGAGACGCTCGAATGGGGACACATTTGTTACAAATCTTGAACTGCTGCCGGAAGAAACCGTGTATCTCATTGAGCGCGGCGCACTCGATTGCCGCTGGACACGCACCCCGGGTCAGCTGCCAGAATCCAGCGACTTCTCATCGTGCATGCCCATTTCTGTGGCACAGGCGTACGCTCAGATTCTAGGCTGCGACTCTTGCACTTTGTCCCGATATCAAATCTATGCTTACCTGAAGCGACTTGGCTATATCGTACAGCGTGCCGTTCTAGTGGACAAAATCCGGACGCCAGGCATTCGCACCGGACCTGCCCCACGCCGCCGCTTGTTGCGTACCATGCTTTTGTGGATTATATCTCGGCTGACTCGATGGATCACCTCGATCCTGTATCTCTTTCGGCTCGTTGCGCGCCACATTCGAAGCAAGCCACGAGGTCTACTGGGCATTCGTCCCCTCGATCCCTATGGTACGCTATATTCACCACTCACTTCGCAGATTCTATCTTCCAAAAGCTCCAAATTGTGTCAACTGGATGCAACATTACCCCGTCGTCGCAGCAAGAGCACCTGGCTCCGTTCTTTTATGCATGGCGACCAGCAACAAAGTTTAAGCGTACTCAGCCCCCGCCACCCGAATTTCGCATTTGTGTGCTGGAAACCGACAAACACCCAATGTTGCATGTCGGTGACTTCGAGACGCTCTTTTCCCATGTGCCACTCAGTGCCTCTGGCGATGTGGATGAGGCAGAGCTCTCCGAGATCCGGGAGCAAAATAGTCGGGCATACGGCAAACAACGCAAAGTTCGCGCCAAGCCAGTAAAGTCGAGGAGGTCGACCCACTTTGGGTCTGCGTGGCAACGACTCGAGTGGCTGCTCCAGGTTCTTGTCACCATGTTGCAGCGCTTGTACACGCATGGGCATGCTGCGAAGAGTCGCACTCCCACACTTTCACGACCTACCAATGTGTACATACCCCTCAAGGCTGGACGGCGCAGCGTCGTCGTCGCTATTGTCGACCAAGGCACCACTTCCCTCCTGCGCTTTGGCGAGGCCGAGTTTGCTCGATGGCGGCTTGCTGGAGAAGGGCGCTAAAACCGTACATGATAGGAATGCGAGGCTTGTGTATGGTACCGTACCCATTTCACAGGTCGGTAGTTGCTTCGCTCTGTCACTTGCAGGTACTCGACTAACAGTCCCGACGGAGTGAACATGGATACATCAAAGTCCAGTTGCACGGGTGGGCGCTCCCATCGTGCTGAACCTGCTTCACCGACTTTGAGCTCTACACTGAGCGTGCATTCATTCCCTGCATGGATTTTGGGGATTCGCCAAACGAGCCAGTCGTCGATCCCATCATGCTTCACTTTGCCACAAACTGTGCTGCACAAAGTCAATGTGCTACGGGGCGGAACAGGTATTCGTGCCACCACATCGGATGCTTGAAGTTGCGAGTCGAGGCTTGTGCGAATTTGCACCTTGTAGCGTATATGCTGTCGTGCAGCCTCATCCACCACGATATTCAGGCGTACTGGTAACCGAATATTCCGGAGAACCCGATACCGCATAAGCTCAAATTCACCATCCGGCGGGGTAAACCGTAGACATGCGTCTCCGCCAAATCGGCCCAACGTCACGCATGGATGCAGAATGCAGTCGGCCAGCTGTAGCTTGCCTGTGGGTAACGGCCCCTGGGTATCCAGAAATCTTGATAAGTCCGCATTGATACCCATACTACACTCGGGGATACCGGACAGAAGTGCGCGCATAAGTACTTTGCCCTCGACATCGGCCCGCAAAACCTGACCCTGGGGACTCACGAGGAGGTGTAATGTCTCGACAACATCCACAAAGCATTTGTTTTTGCGATACTTTATGTCACTGCGTCTCCAAGATCGTTGAATAGGGGTGGGGTTGAACAATTGTAACGGAGGCCCCATCTCCGCTTTACATGCTTCTCCGGCACGGACGCTTTCGCTGGTGATCAACATCTTCAAGTCAGAGAGTTCACTGGTTTGAGGAAACCCAAAGTCCATCGACTCATCCAGCAACTCGTATATAAGCATAAAGTTTTTTTTAACGGCATCCTCATGGAGTCGCGCGCCGATGTAGGAACTGCTCAGGGCCACAAACTTGTGAAGATATTCGAACACTAGTATAGCATGCGCATTCTCCGTCGTCACTGCCACCACATACAAGTCTGAGCAGCGTACCCAGATGCAAGTTATGCTTCCTAGCGATAGAACAGGAGCGGTAGCCTCAGGGTTCTGGATTACATGAGCTCGAATCAAGTCGGTTACTCCCGTTCTTGTTGGTCAGAATAGACCTAACGTACTTCAGGTCGTTGCGAAATAACCGGGAGACAAGCACGCTTCCATTTAAATTAAATAAAAAGACCCCCTGCACGGTTAGAAAACATCACTCAACTTACGGAGAGCATATAGGGTCACAGGCACTACGACCGTGGAGGGTATGCGCGTGATGGGTTGCTTGTAAGTGGAGGTTTGAGCCCTGCTCGATTCTGCCATATGGGTGTGAAGCATAGGTCCCACGCCAAGCCCTTGTCCAAGGGGCAGGGTGAGGCCATGAACAGCAAGAAAATTGCGACAAGCAAGCGTAGGCCTAGTATATCCATCAAAAAATTCATCACGGCAGCTCTTTTTGCCGCTATCACATTGCTCGCGGCACTGGCGACCTACATGTGGGCCTCGCGGCGAACACCTCGCACCCGCATGCCGAATGCGTCCAATGTCGAACGTGTTCCCTCTGCTCCTTTCTTTCTCCCAGCTCGTCGTGAACTTCCTCTGTCACCTGTTCACGAAGCTGACGTAGAAAAAATGGAGGCTGTCAGCACGGCGTTCCTTCAATCATGGAACGCCTACCGGCGGCATGGCTGGGGCTTTGACGAATACCACCCCCTCTCAAAAGTTGGATCAAATCTGCTTGGAAGTTCTGATAGTCCTTTGGGCTTTACCATCGTCGACGCTTTGGATATGCTCATTCTCCAGGGTCTGCAACGCGAATACGAAGAGGCTAGAGACTGGATCCGCGATGTGCTGCATTGGGACCTTGATGGGCGCTTGAATGTATTTGAAACGACGATCCGAGTCATGGGCGGTCTATTATCAGCTTCGGCACTTATGCGGAACCCACCCCCTGACTCACTGCCGGCCTCGTTGGAAGATGCGCAAATGTTCCAAGACAAGGCCGAACAACTTGCCTGGCGGCTCTTGCCTGCCTTCGAGACGCCCACAGGCATACCGAAACGTGAAATAAATTTGGCCACAGGTGAGTCGTTCTATGACAAAGACAACTTCAACAGCAGCAGTTTGGCCGAGGCCACCACAATCCAGCTGGAATTCAAATACTTAGCGCATCTGACGAAAAACCAACGTTACTGGTACATGGCGGAAAACCCCATGTTCTTTGTGCGCGAAGCCACCCGCCCTCCCCGGCAGGGCCTGCTTCCTATCTTCCTTGATCCGCAATCTGGTGCACCGCTCCTAGGTGAAGTCCGCCTAGGGTCGCGGGGCGATTCATACTATGAGTATCTTGTCAAGCAGTACCTGCAGACCAATTACACAGAAACAGTGTACCATGACATGTATGAACATGCGTTTGATGGAATCAAGTCTACGCTGCTTGGCGAATTCACAGGCATCGATCCACCGCTTCTGTACACAATGGAGCTGTTCCCCCGCCGAGTGCAGCAACAAATTGCATGGGCTCGTCGCACGAAGCAAGACCACTTGGTCTGCTTTTTGGGAGGTGCCATGATGCTGGGAGCATCTGTGCATGCTGATGGCACACTCCATCCACCCTTCAATGACTCTCTGGCTACTGCCGCCATGCAAGAAGATTGGCGAGTGGGGCACGAGCTGGTGCGGTCTTGTGTAAACACTTACACCGAGTCTGCTACGGGACTAGGTGCGGAAATTGTATTTTTCCAACCGCCCAACGAGATGAAGCCTGGCACAAGGCCTTGGATGGTGAAACGGTATGTCGTCCCAACTTACTCAGTGTAAATCGCACTCGGGATCCAAGCATGGCACCACCGATTGATTCGCGCAACATTTTGAGGCCTGAAACGGTCGAATCGCTCTATATTGCATTCCAACTGACGGGTGACCCCTTATACCGAGAGTGGGGATGGAGTATATTCCAGGCTTTCCAGCGCTGGTGCCAAGTGGACAAGGGATACGGAGGCTATGCTGGCATCGACGATGTGGACTCTCTGGACCACCAGCTCATCGACCGGATGGAAACGTACGTGCGAAGACAACTCACCCTAGATTCTGGCTTTCTGAAACACTCAAGTATCTTTATTTGCTCTTCGCCCCGCGCAACAAAATCTCACTCCGACACTGGGTTTTCAACACGGAGGCCCATCCGCTCCCTGTGTTTGCGCCCATATTCCCCACGGATATTAATTAGTCATCATGTAGTCGAGCACGGCCGGGCTGTTGCCGACAGCGATACGTCCCTGTGGATCAGCTTATGCTCGCGGTATGCAACCCGTGAAGGCACCTAGCCGAACAGAGGTGGCCGCAGGGCACGAAAAAAACCATATCCACCCGGTGGACCCAATTCTTTCGCCAGGAGACGATGTCCCCTTTGCGACACTGGGTGATCTCGTGGATCGTGTTGAGCACTTGCAGCATGAGCTCGCCATTGCACGACCTGACCAGAAGCTTAGTGGCCGCATTATACAAGTTGCCTACACTCTCCCTTTTACGATCCAACCACTCTCAGAATGTAAGTATATGGAGCATAAGGTCGAGGCATTAGCTGCGGCAGATAAAGTCGCCCAGCTTGCCATTCAAGCTCGGGCGCGGCGTGCGCAGCGCGAAGCGCGCGAGCGTGAAGAGGAAGAAGAGTTAAAGCAAAAGCTACTTCATGAGGAGCAGATTAGCGAGACTCGCAAGCCGCGTTCCAGCAGCTTTGTGTCCGATCGGCCCCGCCTGTCCATGGGCATGACCAGTGCCGTCCTTGATAATGTGGATTTGGAGAGGTTTCTTTATGAAAACCAAGAGCGCTCGAAGCAGCGCGCCGGTAGGCGTGCATGGCTTTATGACGATCTACCAAGTGACGACAAAGAATACTCGGAGAGGGATCGATTCTCTCCGGTAGGCTCCTTCACATCCAGCGCGGGAAGCGTACCCGATGGCATGCCTGAATGGATCGAGCATGCCACGGGCCTTAGCGAGCAGGCAAGCCCATTATCCCCAAGGTCAGAAGGTGATGTCGATGACCGCCCTCCGTGGATCTTGAGCATGCATCGCGGCCATTCGGCGCTGAACGGAGGCATCCACAGTCTTTGCGACCGTTATCAGCAGACCTACATTGGTGCGCCAACTCACTTAAAGTTTGCCGTCAATTCCGAGCGAGATATGCGCTCCCACGCGGGTGAAACAACACCGCAAGAGCGTGAAGCTATTGAAGCTGTGCTCGCCTCGCTCGAAGATCGATCTGAGTGGGCCAGGCATGAGGGCGAGCTCTCCGTGAGGCCTGTCTCTATGCAGCGAGAGGAGCCAATGCCCAAGTACGGCATCAAGTCTGTGCCTGTCTGGCTTGATCAGCACTCGGCCTTTGCCCACTACAATGCCTACTGCAAAACCACTTTGTGGCCGCTGTTCCATTACATGATGTGGCGTGACGACGAGGACCGCAGCTCCTGGGATCAGTATAGCTGGCAGGCGTATGTGAAAGTTAACCAAGAGTTTGCGAAACGCGTGGTGTCTGAGTATCAGCAAGGCGACATTGTATGGGTACATGACTATCACTTACTTCTCGTCCCTCATCTCGTGCGCCGCGCCATCCCTGATGCCCACATTGGCCTGTTTGTACATTCGGCTTTTCCAAGCAGTGAAATTTTTCGATGCTTGCCGCAGCGCAATGAGATCATGGAGGGTATGCTAGGGGCCGATCTCACATGCTTCCAAAACCGCTCGTATGCTCGCCACTTTGTTTCTTGCTGCGTGCGCGTTGGCGGTCTGGAAGTGCAAGGCAGTTCTGTCGAGTCGCCCAACGGGCGCGTGACTCAGGTCTCGCACAATACGATTGGCGTTGACGTGGAACGGGTGCGCTACGAGGCAACGTCTCCACAGGTCCAGCCACGCATGCAGCAGTTGCGTGACTTATATGCCGAACAGTGCATCCTTGTCGGATGCGACAAACTGGATGTGGTTCATGGCGTGATTCAAAAGCTGCAGGCCTTTTATGACCTGCTCTTCCATTATCCAGAATGGCGAGAGAAAGTCGTGTTGATTCAGATCACCATCCCTACGATGACAAATTCGACAAAGCTCGAGCGCCAGGTATCAGAGCTCGTCAGTCAAATCAACGGTGACTTTGGATCATTGAGCTTCACTCCTGTGCAGCATTACCATCAAGTGATTGACCGCAGTGAGTACTATGCGCTCTTGTCAGTTGCAGATCTGGCGCTTGTCACTTCAGTGCGTGATGGTATGAATACCATGTCGATGGAGTATGTCGTATGCCAGCACGAGTACCAACGGAGCCCATTGATTCTCAGTGAATTTACAGGTACAGCTGGGCACCTGCCAGCGGCGATCCAGATCAATCCTTGGGATATTGTTGGTGTGGCAGCTGCAATCCACCATGCTCTGGCCATCAGTGAGAACGAGCGTGCAGAGCGCCATCAGCAGTGCTATGACCAGGTCATGTCGCAGACGTCGCACATGTGGGCTCTCTCTCTGGTTCACCAGATGCTGCTCCGGCTACGCCACCGGTACTCGGCACATTCCACATTGCCTTTTGATACCAGCCTCATGCTAAAGCACTATGCGCCTGCGAAGAAGCGCTTGATCCTCCTAGACTACGATGGAACATTGACACCGATTGTCAAAGATCCTGCGGCTGCTGTGCCCTCAAGGCGCCTGCTCGATGCTCTTCGTACCCTCAGTGAAAATCCCAGCAATGCCGTGTATATCATCTCTGGCCGAGACGAAGCTTTCCTGACGAAGCACTTCGGCAATCTGCCGGCACTGGGCCTATCGGCAGAACATGGCAGCTACTTTAAGGAGCATGGTGCTGATAGCACGTGGCAGAACTTGTCGGCGGAACTGGACATGTCGTGGAAGGGCGATGTACTGAACGTATTCCGCTACTTTACGGATCGCACCATCGGCAGCAACATCGAAGAGAAAAAAAGCAGTATCGTATGGCATTATCGCAATGCGGATCCCGATTTTGGTTCGTTTCAGGCGAAGGAGTGTCAATCACTTCTGGACAATATTCTGTCGCAAAATGACCTGCAGGTGGAAGTGGTGGTTGGCAAAAAGAACGTGGAAGTACGTCCATTGGCCATCAACAAGGGCGAAATCGTTCACAGGATTCTGTTTGGCAATCCTGACACGGAGTATGTGTACTGTGCGGGCGACGACAAGACGGACGAGGACATGTTTCGCTTCTTGTCGCAGCTACCGTTCGAGGTGGATGACCAGCAAGCCGACGCATCGTCCGAGCGAACGAGCCATGTAATTCTGCGCCCCCCGGCCCCGCTGCGCCGCTCCACCGAGCGTGAAGCACCTGCGCGCAAAATCCATATCCGACCCGACCAAGTCTTCACCACAACTGTTGGTTCGAGCAATAAGCGCACACGCGCAGGTTGGCATGTTGGTGAACCATGGGACATCGTCGACGCGCTTGCGATGATGGCCGAGGCGGACGGTGCCTAGATATCAGAGGAACAGACAGTGTTAGAGTAAGGAATCCTACTGTACAGATCTCTATCATGCCATATCCTCCTCGTCGTCATAGATGCGCCGCTTGATGAGCACGCGGCGCCGCGGCCCATCCCGCATCGGCTTGCTGGCCACATTCCCAAAGGCATCCAGGGCCACGGGCTTGGCCACAAGGCAGCTGCGTAGAGGTAAGGTCGCGTCATGCGCCGCCGAGGACTGCCGTGGAGGACTGATGACTAGGCGTTTGTCCCATCGTACGGCCTGCTTGCCAGGGGGCGTCGAGTACTCGTCCTCGTCACCCGCACCATGCGCATGCCCTACTGGCTGGCCCCGCTCGTCTGTCTCTGTGCGTGCCGGCTGAAAATTCTCACGTGCACGCACGCCGCGTCCTAGGAGAAAGTGCTGTGACGGACTAGGGGGGCGTGGTCCTGGCACACGCTCAACCTGGGTGTCAAGTTGCACCATATATGTTTCATTGTGTTTCGTGTGCCTCTGGGTGAGCCGCGCAAGCTCCGTGGCCGAGAGTTGGGGACGCGGCGGCACAGGCGGCGTTTTCGGCGTTCGCGGCGTGCGCGAGCGCAGATTACCAGTCCTAGTCGGCGGCACAGGCACACTAACGTCTGAGCGTGTCACGCGCTGGGGGGACGCAGGCGCAGGTGGATTCCCGTGTGTGCTAGGAAGTTGGGGCCGGCTGACTGATACCCCGTCAAGAGCGGCAGGAGCGGTCCGCTTTTGCAGTCGAGTCGACATGCGTTTGGCGGCTGACGCAGGTTCTGGCTCCGTCGCGGGGGCCGGCATCGGTTTCATGGGAGGGCGCAGACGTTTATGCGACTCGATCTTTTCCGGGCTGTCCCAGACACGAACCGCCGGGGCCTGACTGGCATAGCGAGCAGGGCGCCATAAACGTGGGGTCTTGCAGGGCGAGGATCCTGCAGTCTCCTTGGCCTTTTCGGGCGAGGGTATGCGTGGCAAGGGCGAGGACTTGGGCATTTCTGGTAGGACGGGCTGGACGGGCGACACGACGGTGCGCATCGGGCCCACCGCTCGCTTCGCTGGGGATGGGCCTGTGGATGGCGCACGCATAAAACCTGGAACGCGCTGGGCCGACGGCTGTGGCGATACCGCGATACGGCGGACTGGTAGGCGCGGCACTGTGCCTTCTGCGGGTACCCGAGCCGATGCTAGAGGCACCGGCTCATCGTTGGCCATAAGCTGATCGAGGTCCACGTTGATTGGCGATGAGCGACTTTCCTGGCCCTTGTGCGAGGGATGAAGGGTTTCACGGTACGGAGATGAAGCATCCTGCGTCGGCAAAGGACGGTCAAATTTGGACCCCGCCCAGTCTTGCAGGGCCATCTGGACGGGCGTCTTTTTGGTGGATGATATGCTTGGCGGAAGATGGATCGAGCGGCGCAAGGGCGTGCTTTGCATACGCAGGGGCGACACGCCATCTTTGAGGGAATAGACGGTAGCCGGAGAGCTGAAATTTGAAACATCACCCAGTGCTTCTCTCACATAGTCGCGACGCACATGCGCCTCCGCGGAGGGTGAGGATGCGCGTGCCATCCCTGGCGAGTCGTCATCGACATCGCCTAGAGGAATGCTTCGCTCCTTGTGAAATGGCGAATCTTTCGAGGGCGTATTAAAAAGGGGGGTGTTATCGTGGGGCACCGAGGCAAGGTCCGACTGGAACACAGACGCCGCTGGCAAGAGCGCTATCTTATCCAGCTCCTCCCTCATGCACTTGGTGCGTTGGGGCTTGTCAGTGTGCCATCCTTCCAGTGCCATGCTCCTGGGACGGCGTGGAGGTGACGGCGTCCACACCCTGCGACCACTTGCGAGCTGCGGACGTGTTGGTGTGTGTAGCTCCGCCATCGGTCGCCTGTCTCAGTTGCGGTCGGCGGCGAAGCAATTGACACAACCAACACAGGCGCAACGCGTCTCATCACGTGACACATCAACTATGGATCGACGGCGACCGAGGCTCGTGCGCGCTGACGCCGCCGGACCGAGGCGGGGACAAAGGCTGTCGTTTCTTTTTGAAAGTCGCGCATCTCTGGCGCCGCAGATAACACAGTAGGCTGTGATTCGTCCCTTATAGAGGCCAACTCGTGGTCATCCGCGGTAGATTCCTGCTCGTCTGGTTCAAAGACAGGCTCTGTGGCTGGATCGTAAGTGGAAGGCTGGGTGTAGGTGACCGGCGCAGCAACAGTTTCCACGTGTGCAGTACAATCCGAAGTGCGGACTGCTGCGGGACGGCCGGATCGACGCGGGGGCGGTGGCCCGGCTGGCATCACGATGTCGTCGTCCGAGTCGTCCTCTTTGGTAGGCGCAGGCCGCGGCTTTTTAGCCACATGATAAGCGTCTGGAGAAGGTTCTTGTATGAGTGGCTTGCTCGTACCTCGTTCCTTGTAGGGCAGGCCCGGTGGCGGCGCTCCGTACGGGTTAAACACAGGATCATAGTAGATACTGCGCGTCGGATCAGCTCCTTTGGGAATCTGGTGCTAGACAGGGACACGTACTCTGGGATCCCGCGGCATTTTATTCGTCTTGGCGTCGCGCGCGCTAGGACCACCGGCCTTCGCTGGGGGCATGGTGGTGGAGGCACGCTCCACACGTGGCGGGCTCCTTCGCTATCCCATGGAGGTGGACGCTACGGACCCCGCGGGGCCTGTGGACGTCGATGCGCTGACCGATGTAGCGATCCGGCTGCGGCTCGTCGATGAAGGACAAATTAGATTGAATCCAACGTACCAGCGGGAGCTCATGCGTTTCTTACACGGGCTGCTGACGAGCTCGGAGGAGACGGTGCAGCAACAGCCCGCGCAGCAGCAGGCAGTCGCCGCGGCCCTTCATCACCAAATCTCAGAACTGTGTGTAAAAAACACAGACATGTTTGTGCGTGCACAGACGTCGTTCGATGAGATGCCAGGTGTTTTGGCGCGTGCAGATCAGTACCTGACCTCGGTGACGGACTCGCACATGCCCCGACTGAGCAAGGCCGCGGCCGCTTTTGCGACAGAAGCGCAGCAGGCACTGGCCATTCGCCATGTCGTATTGGAAGTGAAAAATGCACACAGGGAAGGTGTCCTGGATATACTCCGTGTTTCCTCCTATGTGCGCCGCTATGTGTCGCAGGGGCAATATGAGCCGGCTCTTCAGCTCCTGTGCCACTTTGTGGGGGTACTTCCGTCGGCAGCATCACCCACATCCAAGCTGCTCCGCGAAGATCTGTTTCACGCGATTGAATATACAGAGCGCGTGCTCGTCCAGGCGTTGTGTGATGCACCGATCCAGCTGGCCCAGGCGCGCCACATGGCTTCGCTCTTGTACCGCACCGTGCAGATCGCTCAGGGACCTTATCGCGACACGAGTGTAGACCTGCGTGCCTCGGATGTGTGCTTTCATATGCTCCATGCGAGTATGCAGCGCGTCAGGGCGAGTCTGTCGTTGACCCAAGGCATCCTATCCGTTATGGACACATGGAAAGAATTGGTGCTTTCAACGTGCCGCGTTGCACTCTCTTTGTTTGTGGACGACCCGGTCGAGGGTAGTCAAGCGGATCCTGCGTGTGGCCTTCTGATGGGCTCGTTTGTGACGCACGCCACAGACCTGCTCTATGCGTGCTTGTCTTCCTATTTGTACACGACTACGCATCACCTCCCAGGCCCTCCGAGTCGCTGGGCTTCGGTAGCCGAGCACCTGGACGCCGTACACACCAGGCTGTGCACCGTGTCCGACAGCCTTGCGGACGTGGGCGCCTCTTTGGCACTGGAGCTGCTACCCTACCAGGGCGATCCCTCGTCGCCTCTTAGTGCCTGGGACCATGCCGCCCTGGCCTTGTGGACGGGCGCCCTCTCGGCTATCGATTGGGACCGGCACGAGGCGCCACCGGCGCCGCCCAAGGGGTGCGAGGCAGCCCACACTGTGCCGGCTGCCATATTGTCGTTCCCCACACTCGCACAGGGGGCCGCCCAGCTGGTCACAGCGCTCAATACCCTGCGACACTTTGCGCCACGCCGCATCCAGAAACCCGCCGTGCAGGCACTTGCTGAGCACCTTGCACAGCATATACCGGCGCCAGATGACGCACGCACCTGTTTTGTTGATGTGGTTGCACCATGGGCCGCCTCAGCCCTCGTAAAGGGCGTGCTGGACGACAGCCAAGATGCACAGTCCGCACTGAGCGCCTGCCCGGCCTGGGTCGCATTCACGCATACGACTCAAGGTCCAGCGTGACACTGGCGCTGGAGTGTGTCTCCTGGTTACGGTATACGCCGACCAGTCCCTGGCTGCGCTCATAGAGAGAGGCCTGCGTAAGCTCCGTGCGCGTACCTTTAGTGAGATGACAATAAACTGGAATTGCTCGCTCGCGTGCTCGCGTATGTACTGGCTCACCTGCGCGACATTGTGCGAGTCAAGTGCGGCATCCACCTCGTCCAGCACAAAGAACGGCGCCGGCTGGAACGTGTGGATGGCAAAGAGGAGCGCGAGCGCTGCCATAGTCTTCTCACCCCCCGATAGCTGATCCATATCGCGGAAGCGTTTGAGTGGCGGCATGGCATGATACCGAATGCCCGTGCGAAACGGTTCCTGTGGTTAGTCGCGCAACATACGTCAGTCTCATCCAGCGTCAGGTACGCGACACCACCAGCTGGCGCGGCCTTGCTCCGCGTTAGCTCCTTGTACACGCCGTCAATGCGTTCGGCAATGTGATGGTAGGCACGCAAAAACAGGTCCGTGCGTCTCTTCCGCAGGGCCTGAAACTCATCGCGTGTGTCGCGCACTAGTTCGCGGCACACATCCATTTCTCGTTCACACGCCTTGAGATCGCGTTCCAGCGCCGTGAGCTTTTCGCCCATGTGCGTGCTAGGTACCAGTTGCTCCATTTCGTCGCGTGCAGCATCAATTTTGGCCTGCAGCTCGCGGCCCTTGCCCGAGCCGCGGTCCGTTCGCTCTGCATCCGATAGGCGCGTAAAATCGACCACCACGCCGTAGTCACGCACCGCGTGCAGACCCTGCGCTGTCTCCATGACCAATGTCGTGTCCTCCTCGAGCGGAACTTGCGCGAGGTCACCCGCCTCCAGCGGCAGGTCCAGCGCTTCTAGGCGGCAGCGACGATATAGGTCTGTACGCTCCGCATCTAATTGTGCCATTTCATCGCTGCGCTCGGCCACTTCCCGCTCGTGTGCCTCGACATCGCGCGTTAACGCAGAAAGCGCCTTGCGCTTTTCCGCCAGCTCCTCACTTTGTTGCGCATGCTGTTCACGTAGCTCGGAAAGCGATGCTTTGGCCTTGTCCATCGACAAACGCAACTCGGCCATCACATTGTCGCACTCAGTTAGCTGCGCCTCCAGCGCGGGCAGGCGCTCATTTTCCCTGTCCATTGAGGCCTGAATGTACGCAAGGCGGTCAGCGGTGCTCTTTAGCTGGTCCTCTGAAAAGGCCCGCTGGTGTGCAAGGCGCGCAAGCTGCCTCTGGTGCTGCTGTGTCGCCACATCGAGCGCCTGCGTGAGCTGCAGCTGATTCGACTCGTACTCACGCACATTGGCGACCCCAATGCGAGCGCAGAAGGAAGCGAAGAGCCCATCGTCTGCTGCATCAATCGTGCGCTGGATAGCTGCGCGTGCCTCTTCTAAGTGCGCGCACTGCGCCTGGAGAGCCTGAATGCGCACGGCCAACGTGGCTTGCTGCTTCTGCAGTGCGTCTGATTCGCGCTGCACATCGTCGCGCCGCCGCTCCACCTCAGCACACTCGTGTCGCACGGCCTGAACGGCAGATTGCGCGCGAGTGACGTCGGCCACCAGCTCATCCTCGTCCCCAAGCGCATACTTTTGCTGCTGCAGCTCCTTGAGCTCTGCCATGCACCGGTCTCGCTCACGCTGCACACCGACCATTTCTTGCTCATCCCACAGCTGAACCGTGTCCTGCATCGACGGACCTCCAGTAATCATACCAGTCTTGTGGATAACGGTGCCTTCTAGAGTCACGGCTGAGTAAGTCAAGAACACGCACCCTTTACTCGCTGGTGCTTCTCGTAGCAAATGTGCCGCGCCACATCGAATGTGTCGCAGATCATCGTGTTGCCACAAGCATAATGCACAGCCCGTTCGACCGCCGGCGGATATTGCATCACATCCACAGCGAGGCGCGCATGGGGCGATAGACTCCGCAGGCGGTCGTTGATGGGTTTGGTTTGGATTGTGTCCAGCGGTACAAATGTCGCTTGTCCGGCGCGCTGGTTCCGTAGGTACTGCGGTGAGCGGTTATGCACATACCTCAATGCACTCCATGGCCGTCTTTTCATGATGAACGACGACAGCGTCGGCGTGGCGTCCAAGCGTCATGGCCATGGCTAACTCGTATTTTTTCTGCGTCGGTGTCACAAGATCCCGCAAGCGCCCATGCACGCCGGGAAAAATCATCTGCAGTGAGCGCAAAGTTTCGCGCAGTCGCGATTCGCGCTGATGCAGGCGCTGGTCCTGGCCCATGCGAAGCAACTTATTGTAGCAGGTCACCAGACTGTCATTAAGCTCTTTTTCGCGCACACCCATCTGTTCTTTGCTCGTCTGCAGCGCGGTCAACCGAGACTTGGCGTCCTCCCACCTATGCACCTTCTCTGGTTCTTGACGCGCAAGAGCTGTGGCAGCTTCTTTCAGCGACACGAGCTGCTGGGCGAGGCGTTCCAGCTTGGTGTTAGTTTCGCCCTGACGGTCTTTCGCAACATCCAGAGCGCTCTGCTTCTCGCGGCCCTCACGCTCCAGGCGTTCAGCCTCGCTGCGCTCTTCCACGGCCAATGTATGCGACTGTGTGCGGAGGTCATAATAGGTTTGCAAGTCGTTCTCGCTGAGCTGCAGCATCGAGGCTGCTAATGCGGCCTCCTGGTCTTTTTTTGCCTGCACCGCAGACTTTTCCACGAGGTCCACGTCGGCAGTGAGTCGAGTAAGTGCTTCTTGCTGAGCATGATAGTCTCGTTCCGCTTGTTGGAACAGTGAGCGAGCCTGCTTGACCTTTTTTCGTGCGTGCTCCGCGCGCTCAAGCAGGCGATCCTTTTCTGGTCGCTTGGCCTCGAAGGACCGAATCAGCTGCTTGCGCTCGTCCTCCTTGTCGAGCATCTGCTGCTGAAGTACACCGAGTCGGTGACGGGCCTCTGCTACCAGCTGCTCCTTCTCATGCATCCGTTTCCGTGCCTGCTCACCCCGGGGCGCATGCGCCTCGATCCAGTCAGTATGGATTTCCATCGTCTCATGAATGTGGTACAGCCGCCACAGCACTTTTTGAACCATATGTTGGTGAAGGTCCATCTTGAGTACGTCGTATCGATCAGATGCCTCCTTGTGCTGTCGAGCATCGCGAAGCTCGAGCTGCAGCGTCTTACGCCGAGTGACAAGTCCTGCAGACTGTTCCACAGCTTCCTGATAGGCAGCACGCGCCGCTTCATATTCACTTTTCAACGCACATGACCCACTGATCTGGTCAATAACGTTACTCAAGTCTTTCGAACACTGTTCTGCAATGGCTTCCACGTCGCCCTGGAACACCAAAAAATTTCGCGCCTTGACTAGAATATTTAGCTGCTCCAGTTTGTTATTATAAGACGCTTGTGTTGTCACACGCCCATTGTATCGATATTCAGTGCTCCCTGTTGAAGTAATGACACGCTGAAAGCGGTGCTCTGTGCCACGACCCTCTTCCAGGACGGCCGTGACACTAGCCCGCTGCGGCTCTTCAATCTCTTCACTTCCTGCAGTATCACCCTGCAATGTGCTAGACGAATAAACTAGATCAGTAAGGTCCGCCGAGCGGAGTTGAGCACCTCGCACGCCTAATACGAAGGAAATTGCATCCATGAGATTGCTCTTGCCGCTGCCATTAGGTCCGACTTGTTGTCAGTGCCACTCATCCCGATACATACTGACAGCACTAAAGGCGCTAAATGGTCCAATGACATGTTTACCACGATAGCTTTTAAAATTCTCGATCTCTAGATGCTTGAGCGGCATCGCTCTAAAGCCACCAGCGTGGCCAGTGCCGGGGATGACACGAACACGCGTCGCGGCCGGGGCGACGCGTAGATTGATTGATTGGTCATCATTACATAGACTATTGCTTGGGATTATGCAGTCGGTCGGTGTGCCGCCTCCGAAGTCAAGTGAATTCGGCGGCGTTTGCGATAGTCGAGCCATACAAAGATGGGGTACGTCAGCAGGATGCCTGCCATCCACGCCCAAAGGATACCAACATATTTCATAATGCTCGATCCTTTCGTCAGTAGTTCGTACGTACGCTCTCCCACTCGGAACATAATCGCCAGGTACACCTGGCGCAAATTGTAGAACGGCATCGCATATCCATACAAGTAAAAGGATGACGCCGCCTCAACGGGGAAATTGCTAACACTCACGTTGGAGATGATGAAAAAGATCATAAAAGCACCGATGAACTTGGGCGTCAAAAAGGTAATCGCAGATTCCAGGGCCAGTGAGAATATACAGACACCACAGTATGTGACCAACCAGTACACCATAAAGCCACCTCCATACGAAAAGTTTCCATCGAAAGGCAAATCAAAAGGTATGTCCAGTAATGAAATCATTAGGGAGATAGGAATGGCCGACACAAAGGTAGTAAGCAAACGAAGCGTCATCAGGCCACGGTAATGTAAGTACCGCTGGACAGCTAGTCGCCCACTAAATGCCGCCAGGACAACCTGGAATGAAAGAATCACCAGATAAATCATACCAACGAATGTAGGTGCTAGACCCACATTGGTTGTCCAAGGTCGTATGTCGTCCATACGCATGCCAAAAGGTTGGACTAGGGTCTGCGGGGCGCGGCTAAGCGCCTGCATCGCAGCTGAATTAGTGCCCATTTCGGACAGGTACTGCGAAGTTAAGTTCAGGCCGAGCTGGTTGGTAGCTTTTTCCATGACGCTCTGCGTGGGAGAAAGGATAAGAGTCGGCAATCCCACAGAATTTCGCGCCGATGCATAGTACATAGTCATGACGCTCAGAGGGTCCCAAGACGCATCACCTTCGCGACGGGCACGCATGAAATTCTGAGTAGCATTGGGATGGATCTCAATAGCGGCCCAGTACTGTTGTTTCGGCTCGATAGCTTCCACGAGCTGGCTCGATGCGGGATAATCTTGCTGTGACACTTCCACCCAAGTATTGTGAGGAAGGGGACCATGGTTTGAATCCAAGAGTGCTTGAACAATGACATTCCCTATAGTATCTTGGTCTCGATTGAGGACAATGCAATTAAAGTTCGGTGTATGTTCTTCCATATGGTAGAGTGAGCCCCAATAGATCGAGCAAAACAACCATATCATTACAAGCGTCAAAAACACGGAAGTGCATACAGGAATAAGGTAAGCCTTTTGAAAAGGTCGAAGCCTTTTGTCAAAAAAACTATGCTTGAAAGGATGCAAATCCTCAACCTCGCTAGAAGTACTCACTGACGCACTTTGTTGCTGCTTCTCCGAATGCTCCTTTCCCACAAGACCTCTTAATGTATCCTGGTGACCATTTTCCTTGAGGGGAATTGTTGGGTTTACAAAAGCTTGGGGTCCATCTTCAAGGGGTACGCCATGTGAATCAAGCTCAATAATACGAGCCGGCTCCATCGTCAAGTCAATGGGACAGAGGCGACAGCCAGCAAGATATCAGACGCAGGATCTAGTTGTTTTCGAAATATAAATCACACTTCCTCCACTTTTCCGAAACAGTGTCACTTGGCCTGTTCCTTTTTCTCAATTCTATGCCGCGACGATCCTGCCGCGATCGTCGCATGTAAAAAGGTCCTTTGTACAGCAACTGTAAATGAATACTAAACCGCAAATTTGGTGGTCATTACAAGCGGCTCCATTAAAAATAACATGTATTTATTCTCTCGTTTCTACGAAACACTTAAAGTCGTTAAAACATTGCATTACCGTATATTTAATGGTGACCAATCCTAGCCGGGCAATTCTGCCAGTATGAAGCAATGTGAGTATCAAAGTACCAGCCCGTGTGGTCTGGAATACTGAAACCCCACTCTGAGTTCGCACCATTGGCATTTTCTTGGCCAGGGTAGAACTTCGCGTGGGTCGAGTTAGACGGGTTGATCCAAATCTGGCCAGAAGGATGCTGGAAACCAAGTTCACGCGGTGGAGCACGAGGGACAAGGTCGACACCGTTCACGGCATAATAGAAGCGGCCGCGCAAGGCATCGTCTATGGAGTCCGCCCATTCCTGGTTGCCGCTTCGGGGCAAACCGAAAACCATGACGCGGTGAAGTTTGCCACGCTTGAGGTTAGAATTCAAGTGCAGGGATGCCACAGCCGCGATGCCCGAACCGAACGAAAGACCCGTCAGGGATACACGGTCCTCATTGTATTTGTCCTGGAATTCGTGGATCTTGCCCAGAGTAATATCAGCGATGCGTTTGTATTCGTTCTGAAAGCCCGAGTACATCTTGGCGCCTTTGCGGACATGCGGAAACAGGTCGCGGTCCACATCCTCGAGGAACAAGTCAGTCGCCTGCAGGACTGAGTCGATACCTGTCTGGTTCATACCAGCCCATGACACCACAATACCCAGCGACTTGGAGTGGAAAATCTCCATGCGTTGGTTGTAGTTGCTATCGCCGATGGCATAGAGGAGCTTGGCATCCGAGACATTCATACCAAGACGGTAGTTCACACAGTTCGACTGCTGCGCCAAGACGGCGAAGTGCTGGTACATCGTAAAAGAGTCAGGTAATGGCTGTGGCGGTTCATGAGACGTCTTGCGGCCAAAGATATCCCGTGTGTCCGGGGCGATCTTTTGAACGGGCTTCGTCACAACGGCTTGGAGGGTCAAAATGGCGCACAGAACAACGAATCCCAGATGCCACATAATAGGTGGTGTGACGGAGGAGACAGGGACACATTATTTGTACACATCTATGAATTGTACTCGGGGTAACACAGGACCGACGCGTGCTCTCCGTCATAGATGTAGACCTGTCAACTGGCGTATCCCTCGCAAAATTAGCGACGCGAGCTATCATTCGCACTAAATTGGGCCGAATGGCATATTGACACACATATCCGCGGACTTGATTGGCTTCAGACATAAAAGATGGGGCAATTGCGTGCACGAAGGCCTAGGCCCCGGGTGAGCTATGCATCTATGAGCTTCATCTCACGTGCGCGGCCGATGCGCAAATACCCACGTGGAAAGACATGCGAGGCTTATCAAACAAACACCGCAGCCTATCGGAAATGGGATACTGCTATTGGACGCTGGAAAGCTCCAACTGATTCGCAGAGCAATTATGGATAAGGCACAAGTTCGGATTGATAGATCCAGCTTTCCCCACCATGCGTACATCTATTCTTGGTGGTGTGTGTGTATTTCTGTCCTGGGCGGCTCAGGCTATCGCGTTGCAACCATCGAATGCTACATTCCCTGATGCAAACAAGTATTTGGTGAGTAAACACTTGCCTGGGATTCCCTTTGAGGTGCCCCAATCGTGGGCCGGTCTCATGCCAATCTCTGGCAGCAAAAACGAGACCCGGGAACTATTCTTCTGGCTCTGGGCACCGACGGGCGATGTAGGCCACGATGACATTACGATCTGGCTCAATGGTGGTCCAGGATGTTCGTCGCTAGAGGGTGCGCTGAGCGAGTTGGGTCCCATTCTCCTACCCAGGTCACCGAAGGATGTTGCGGCACCAAACCCATATTCGTGGACGAACTTATCGCACGTTCTGTTCGTGGAGACGCCTGTTGGAGTGGGATTTACGCGTGGCAAGCCCAATATTCACAACGAATACGATCACGCGAGGGAGTTTTACGGCTTTTTGGAGCAGTTCTTCAAGACCTTCAAGGAGCTGCAGGGCAAGCGCCTGTGGCTAACGGGCGAGAGCTATGCTGGAATGTATATCCCGTACATGGCGCATGAGATTTACAGCCATCCGTCGAACACGAGTGGAATCAACCTGCAGGGTATCGGTATCAATGACCCGTCGTTCACCACTGACTTCCTGGGGGAAGAGGCGCCTGCGTATGAGTTTATGAAGCAGAATCAGCATCTCATCGGCCTCAACGATAGCGCTATTGCCCAGATCGGTGATGTGGCGAAGAAGCAAGGCCTGCTCACGTACGTGCAGGACCACCTGCAATACCCACCGCGCGGGCATATTCATGTCCCTCCCCAGTACAGCTCCAAGCGCTCTGTGTGGGAAACGGCCAATGAGCTGGCGATGTCGACAAACCGCTGCTTCAGCGTTTACGAGATCAAACCTAACTGCACTCTCGACTATGACGCTCTTGGTATGCCACTGAACTCCCAAGAAGCAAGCAAAAAGAACTTTTTGAACGCGCATCCTGAGTTGAAGAAGGAGCTACATGTTGACCCTCACAAGGTGTGGAAGGAGTGCACCGACCGCAGCGTGTTTGCAAACAGGGACGACGAGGATTTCACTTCCAGCCCGGACCGTACCGTGCTGCCCAACGTCATTGAGAAAAGCCAACGCACAGTGATCCAGCATGGTACCTGGGATTTCGTGCTGATCGCAAACGGCTCAGCGCTGGCCATCCAGAACATGACATGGGGCGGACGCATGGGCTTCCAGACGCCGCCTCGGGCACCAATCCGCTTCGATGGCCGTGTGCACGGCACGATTCACGAAGAGCGTGGCCTCACGTTTGCGCTTGTTGACCGTGCCGGCCACATGATTCCCCAGTTCAAGCCGAAGGTTGCGTACAAACTGCAACAGTACCTGCTTGGCCAGGTCACCCAGCAGAACCTGACGCACGTCTAGCCATAGTAGTTCATATCATGCTACACTGCCTGATTCACAGCTACATGAAACCGAACCACTTTTTGCGAGGCTGTGCTTCGCCCTCAGCGGCAGGGAGGGCCAGATCCGGTACATCCCTGGGCGGCCTGGCCACCCCGCTATGCGTGGGTCCATCATCCGCCGCGTCCATCCACAATTCGTCGGTAGCAATCGAGTTGGGTGTGCTCGCATTCGAGCCAGTCTCGCGCGGACCATAGTTCCTCGTCGCGTGGCCAGGTGAACCAGGCGGTCCAGGCGGTCGGACTGGGCCCGTAGAGTTGGTCATAGCCGGCGGGCGACCGGGCGGCCCAGCTCCCGGTGCGGCCCCCATGCCGAACGGCTGGCGCGGCGGTCCGGGCGGACCACCAGGCGGACGCACCTGTGGGCCACCCTGCGGCGGCATGCCAGGTCGACCACCTGCGGGCGACGTGCGCATGCCCGGGGGCGGGCCAGCGGACGCAAGGTTGGCCGTCGAGCCACTGGGCGGCAGTGACACGAAGGAGCTGCTAGCCGACATGCTTGGCGGTAGCGATGCATACGAGCTGCTGGCCGCCAGGGAGTTTTGCGAAGGATGCTTGGGTGGCATACCAGGCACCTGCAAACTCTGAGGCGCAGACGCAGGCGTCATACGAGACTGCACACCAGGGGGTTGATTCGGCGCCACGCCTGCTGCCATTGGACTACGGCCCACGGGGTGGCCGGGCTGCAAGCCAAGAGGCGGGCGTGGCGGTGACGAACTTTGCGACTGGAAGGGACCTGGACCTGAAGGTCGCGCAGGGCCTGCACCGGGAGGCATCGCAGGACCGGGACCTGGAGGACGAGCAGGACCTGGTCCGAAAGGACGAACAGGGCCTGCGCCGGGAGGCGATGCAGGACCTGATCCCGGAGGACGTGCGGGACCTGCATNCCAGGAGGCGATGCAAAACCTGATCCCGGAGGACGTGCAGGACTTGGTCCGAAAGGACGTGCAGGACTCGCACCGGGAGGCGATGCAGGACCTGATCCCGGAGGACGCGCAGGTCCTGGTCCGAAAGGACGTGCAGGGCCCGCGCCGTGAGGCGACGCGGGGCCAGGCCCCGGAGGACTTGCAGGACCCGCACCGGAGAACGGCCCAGGACCTGCACCCGGGGGCCGGCTGGGCGGCCGTCCAGGCACTGACACTATTTCGGGTGTCGAGCTTTCGCGGCCATTGTTTGGCAAGGGACCTTGCGGAGAGTGACCAGGTCCATGGCCCGTAGGTCGCACAGGAGGCCTGTCTGGAGGACCTGCCGGCGCTGGGCCTGGTCTGGGGCGGACATCGGCCGCAGCTCCTGATGCACCTGGACGCGGCGGTGGTCGCGAATTGGGCAGCATCATAGGTCGTCCTGGTGCAAATCCGGCCAGGCCGTCGGGAGGTGGTGAGCGCGGTGGCGGCGTGCCGGAAGGGCCCAGAGGCGGTGGGCGACCCATGGCGGGCGGGCGCGGACCGGCCAAAGCGAGCGCCTTGGACTCGTCGGGGCTCACAGGACCGGGTCCAGGTCGTGCAGACAAGTTCGTAGGCGAGTTGGGCGCCGGTGACGGCTGTAGCACAGGTGGACGGCCTGGCTGAGGCGAGCGTGCGGGAATGATCGAGAGCTCCTTAGGCGAGGACGCGTCGCCAGGCGCACGAGATTCACCCGGTGGGCCCGGCGGAGCAGGCCCGGCACCCAGACCCGGCTTGACCGTGGGATCCTCTGCCTTCGCGCCTTCCTTGGCCGGGGCGTCCTTGGCTTTGGCGTCCTCCTCCGCCGTGGCTGCAGCCGCTGCTGCTTCGGCTGCCTTGGCCTCCTTCTTGTCGTTTTTACGGTTGAATAGGCCCAAGATCTTGCCTTTGCTCGGATTCGGCGTGGGGGACGCAGAGTCCTTGTCGGCCTCTTGAGTCTCGGGCGGGCCTGCTGGGGGCGCGGTGACAGGGTCATCGCCTGCCGCATCCGGACGGGTAGGGGGCTCGTTCGGGCGGGCGTCCTCAGGCAAGGGACTGCCAATGGCAACAGGCCCGTCCTCCTTGGGGCCATGTTCTGTGGCATCGCCGCCGTCGTCTTCCGCTTCGCCCTCGGCGCCTGCCTCTCCGAGCCCTTCGGCGCCCTTCTTGCCCTTCTTGCCCTTGAAAAGACGACCAAGCAGGCGTTTCTTCCCAGCCTCGGCCTGCGCGTCGGGCTCGGGCTCGGGCTCGGGCTCGGGTTCCGGCTCGGGTTCTGGCGTCGGCGGCTTGGGAAAGCCTGCGCGCGGCCCAGCAGCAATCATGCTAATGGCCTTGCCCTCTGGCTTCGGCACCTGGGATGGGACGTAGGGGCGCGCAGGGCGTGCTGCGAAACCGCCTGGGCCGAAAAAGCCACTATTGTGCGGTGACGACGGATTGGACTTGATCTGCTCGCGCTCCAAGAGTACCTGGTACATCAAGTCGCGCTGGTGCGCCTGAGTCTCGCGCATGTCCTTTGGCGTGGGGAACTTGAGCACGCCCAGGGATTGCAGCGAGCGCACGGGTGCAGCACCGGGGAATGGAGCACTGAGCGGCTGCACGGGCACAGCGCTCAATTCATTTTTTGGCCGTACCGCCTCCTCGTCCACGACCTGCTTCGCGCTGTAGCCCGAGAGCGACGACAGGCGCGCACTAGCGCGCGAGTCGCCATGCTCGAGCGCGCGCTGGTACCAGCCCTTGGCCTCAGGGAGGTCCTTGGGTGTGCCGATGCCATTCTCAGCAAAGTAACCACAGGCGTACTCGGCCTTGCCCAGGCCCTGCTCGGCGGCACGCTTGGCCCACAAAAAGGCCTCGGTGTCGCTCTGTGGCAGGATGCCAGGCGCGCCCACAAGATACCACGCGGTGAGCGCAAAGCAGGCCTCCTTGTGGTTCTGCTGTGCGGCAATGTTGTACATGTGGATGCTCAGGCCGCTGTCCTGGGGACAGCCCATACGCCCATATTCGTAGTTCACGCCCAGCTTGTATGCACTAGGCGCATAGCCCATCTCGACGGCTTTAGCGAGCAGGTCACAGCTGTACTCGTGGTCGGGGAAGAGCACATTGTGCACACCTTTTTCGTGCAGCAAGGCCAACTCGTGCAGGGCATGGGGGAACTCGGGCGTCGCATGCTCGGCACTGCGCTTCAGCCACTTGACGCCCTCGCGCGCACTGCGCTTCAGACCGAGCTCGCCGTTCAGTTCGGCGGTGCCCAGGCGGTACTGCGCACCAGGGTGTCCACGAGTCGCAGCCGTGCGGTAAAACTGCACCGCCTTGCTCGCATCGCGTCGACAGCCCCAGCCCTTTTCGTAACAGGTGCCCGTACGGTACGCAGCATCGGGATGACCGCGCTTGCCTGCTTGTGAAAAGTAAGCGTACGCCAGACCAAAGTCGGGACGCCCACGCGCCGTGCCAAAGCCATTCATCATACAGTCGCCGACCAGGTACTCGCTCTCCACATGGCCTCGGTCGGCGAGGCGACGCAAAATGGAGACCGACTCCTTGATTAGCTCGTCGCGCTCGGCCATCGGGTCGTGGTCTTCAGACATAGGCTCCGTCATTTCGAGAGTACGGCCAACATCCAGCATGAATACAGCTAGTTCGTACTGCAAAGTTGGGTCGTTCGTCTTCATAGCGTTCTCGCGATACATGCGGAGGGTCTTGGCATGACTCAGTAGAGAAACGGTCTCGCCTGGCTGCAAGTGGCTGTGGTCCAGATGCAGCTCATTGTCTCCTGGCGACAGGACAGAGCCGTTCGGAGATTCGGGCGATGATTGGCGGCCTGCCATGGTCGACAAGCTGTGTGGCACCGACGGCGTCTCTTTGGGCGAACTCACTGAATTAGCCAGTGGGCCTGGGATCTTTGGATGAATGTGGGAAAAACGATCACGCGGGAGGTTCGGTGGTGATAGGGGCGTTGATGAGGCAGATGTGTCCGAGAGATCCTGGACCTGTAGTGGCGCCAGATCGGGGAGCGCCTTGGTAGCCGGTGTCGCCGCGCCAGCTCCCGGCGGGCGTGGTGTCGTTCCGGGCGCACCTGATTGCGGTGCCACGCCAGGCCCACTACCCAGAGAGCCCAGCGGCGGGGGACGTCCAGCGGCCAGGGGCGGGCGCGATGGACCCGAAGCGGGCACCATACTCCGCGGAGCCGCACCACCGGCTGGCCGTACTGGGGGGCCATTCATTACTTGTGTCGTACCCGCAGGATTCGCGGGCGGAGGCGGCCGTGGACGATTCACCGGACCGCCTGCTGAGACGGGCGCGATGGGCTGCGCATGCGCCTGTGCAGTAGGCGGCATGTCCATTTTCTAAACCAGCGCTGGAAGCAAAGCTGGGATGTATTCGGCAGATGTAATGTCAGATGCTGGGCGTACAAGCCAGCACTAGCACACTAGAAGTCGCCGAAAGCGAGCGTAGAGGGAGATGGCCACCAGCGCGTAGGATGCACACCAGATCAAGACAACCCCCACGAGCCGCGGACACGCTTGTTTGGCGACACCTGCATGCCAGCAGACGGGCCACTCAGATTCGCTTGGCCCAACCACGTGATGAACAGGCAGCACGTCGTTCGGACGAAGCACACTTTCCATGGACGATGGGCTGGTGCCGAACGGCGCTCCGCCGCCGCGCCACGAGCTCGAATCGGACGACGAAGATGCACTGATCGAAGCTGTCCACCCGATCCGTCTCGTGGGCTCCGTGCCGCATGGACGTGCCTGGAGCGTACTACTGGACGATACAGGCGCTGCCGTTCTGCTCGCCACGCAAGGCGACTGGACCGAGCAGGCACACTTCGAGGCAGGTCCGACGAAGCTAGCTGGTATCCATGTGCCAGCGTCAGAGTCAATGCCGATAATGTTGTTTGTGCCGGCCTCCCTGGCAGTGCCTCTGCCGCTCCAACAGAAGATGGCTCAAGCGGTCGCACAGTGCCGTCCTCGGAGCGTTGCTGTGTTACAGCCATATGCCCCGAATATGGTGCTCTGCCTGCCCGATATGCCCCGTGGGGATACGCTGAACCCTCCAGTGCAGTATCTCTTGCATACGCCACCGACGCAGTCGCCGCCTCCTGCGTGGGCCACTGTCGCCCTCCAGTCGTGTCAGCCATGGAGCGCGCCTAACACACTCACAGGATGCGGCGCCGCGCTCTTTGCGCAGGCCATGTATTTGGGGTGCCCTGCGCTTCTCCTCAGTGTACCATCCACACGACCCCACGCGCATCCACACTACCACACAGCAAGTCAGCCGAACCCCCCGCGGCAAGACAAGGTACGGGCACCGAGCGATGTGCGCGAGCAACTCGCGCGACTTGTGGAGCCCTTGGACGGCCACTACGAGGCTTTGCTCTTGAAAATGGTCGGGAATGGCGCCGCAGAGGGCACGGGACCCTCCCTGCTCGTCGATGCCTGGCAGGCCGCGATGGCCGCACACACCACCGCTGGGCACATTGGCGACGGCGGAATGTATATATAGGCAATAGAAGTGGGACTATGAAAAGAAGGACTAGCGCGAGGAGATATGCCGGTGTGGCGGTATCTTGAACTCAGCAAGAATACATACATGGTCCGAGGGAAAATGGGCGTTGGGGAAACCGACAACTCGAGACAAATATCCAGCATCGACTTCGCCCAAGAGACCCGAGGCGACCAACGAGTTACTGGTGTACCAAATGTAGTCGATGGCACCAGAAAATCCAGGCGTGTGATTCGTGAAGGGCAGCTCACCGACATGCTGGTACGCACTGCGCAGCGCATAATCGTGACGAAGGCCCTCAGACGTGTATGTGCCGTACGTGTGATCCATAAAGTCCTCATGATTGCCGGGCGCCAGGCCCTGGCTCAAAAATTCGTACACACCACTGTCCGGCGTGGAATTAAAGTCGCCACAGACGACCGTCGGAATGTCCTTCCCGGACGCATACGTCGGCGCCGACGCGCCTGCCTCGAGCGTCACTTGCGAGGGCATCTTGGCAAACATATCGCCGGTCAACTCAAGCTGCTCCATGAGGACCGCAGCCTGCACAAGCTTCACATCGCGGAACTCGGGGTCCCAATGCATGTGCGCATTGGCCACGATGAGCTTGGCACCCGTTTTCCGATGCTCCAGCATCGCGATCGAGGCGATATTGTCTTTCGTCATGACACGGTTAAAAATGTCCTCGGTCTTTTTCAAGTCAGGGCGCTGTAGCGCGATCTGGTTAAACTCGATCAGGCGCTTGTCCACAATGTGGAAAACCTGTGAGTTGATAAACGTCGCGCATCCATCCACACGCACACGCTCGTCTTCTCGCATAGTTTTAGCCCGTGACTTTGGCCAAAAAATACTCTCGTACGAACTCTGGTTGAGCTTTGGCGCAAAGTAGTTGTCGAACTCGCCGGTCTCGACTTCTTGCAAACAGCAAATATCAGCTCCGTAGCTGATAATCTCTTGCAAAATGAACTCTTTCCGATAATCCCAATCCAGGGCCCAGCTGGGTGTATATCCATACATTTGCGCGGTCGCATACTTTTTACAAAGGATGTTGTACGACAATACCGCAAACGTATTGTTCGAGTTCTCCTCCTCCGAGTCATACACCGGAATATCAGAGTCCAGTGCAATCCATTCACGCTCCGGTGGCGGAACAGACACTGGGCACGAGTCGCGCAAATATGCAATGAGAGCTTGCACACCATCCTGCTTCATAATATCTTTCAGATTCTCCTGCAGCGGATTGCCCTCAATGCCCAGAAACTGGAGACGATATAAGGTACCCAGTTCAGGAGGGAGCATCGTCAACTGATTGTCAAACAAGTAGAGCTCACGCAGTTCAGTGAGCATGCCCAGTTCTGGTGGAAGCATAATTAGCCTGTTGCCACTCGCATCGAGCACGGACAGATTCTTCAGCTGTACCACCGCAGGGGAAATGGACGTGAGCTGGTTGTGATTGATGAACAGCGACGTTAAAAAAGTGTAACGAAATACGTCGTCGCATAGGTTCTTTAGCTTTAAGCCACCCATGTCCATCTGCGACCAGGTCTTCTCTTCGGTCGACTCAGCCTGATGCGTGCGTGCACCCAAGGGCTTGCTAGGCGACATGACTGCGGAGACATCCCGCGCACCTTTTTGGTCCTCCGGAATAGGTACCGGGAGAGATAGACCAATGGCCGCTACACCCGCAGGAAATTGGATGCCCTTGCTGGGGTCTTGCCCATTGCTAATGGAGCTACGCGCCGCAAGTGCCGCGGCACGCGCATGGTGATGCGGGGAAAAGGATTGTCGGGAAATTTCAGCGTACACAAGCTGTTTCTCCCATTCTGTCTGTTTCTCCGTAAGGGCTGCCGTTGTCGACGGTGACGCTGTCACCGAAGCCGGTACCACGGGAGAAATACCGGGTTTCACCAGAGGAACGCCATGCGGCGAGCTAAGACCCGAGTAGCTCGGTGACGTCGGCGTCATACTCGTGCCTACCGAGAGATTGACGGCAGGCGGTAACGTCGACATCGGCGGAGTGCCTTGGGGCGCTGCAAAGGAAGAATGCGCCTGCTGACGCGACATCCAATTCATGCCCGAGCCTGGGAAACGACTGGACATCGGATTTACCAATGGACTGTGCGAAAATGACGTGGGACCGACCGAGGAGGCCGTCGCGGCGCCAGTAGCATGGGCGCTGGCGGGCGACAGGGTCATTCCGCTCATTACTGACGTATGCTGTGTGCGGGTAGGGAACTGCCCTGACGACAGAGTTTGCTGGTGATTAAGATATAAGTAAGGATTCGCGTTGGCTGGAGCCGACGGCGGTGACGGTGAGTACATAGTGTCTGCAGATACTTGGCCAAGATAAACAAGTGTGCGCGTTAGTTCTTGACCCCACCAGGAGCATGATACATCCCTGCACAGGGACAAAGCTGTTGCTGATCACACGACCAATTATCTCGTGTGATAGTCAGGACGGCACGCCTAGGAACAGCGCTGGTGACAGGATCTGGAGGAAGGCCTACTTCAACGCACAACGAGGCTGCATGCGGCTGCGGCTGCCGCGACGGCTTTCCCTGTCGCCGCCGCCCATCGGGATCGCCACCCTGTCACTGGTCCATCCACCATATATCGGCCGAGACGATCTTATTTCCAAGGCACGTGGTGATGTGCTGTCTGCATTCCAGCACCTTCGGTGGAGGGACCCCATAGAATCTGGTCGAAAGAGGCGCGTCTGGACAAGAGAACGACAAAGAACTTGGTAGAAACGGAGAACAAGATTTGCGGTGCCCTATAAAACCAGCCAGATGCAGCAAGCTTCCTTTACACGCACACGTTTAATCCACAATGGCTGAGAAGCAGGAGACGTTCGGCTTTGCCGCCGACATTAGCCAGCTGCTGGACCTTATTATCAACACTTTCTACAGTAACAAGGAGATCTTCCTTCGTGAGCTGATCTCGAACGCTTCGGATGCTCTGGACAAGGTCCGCTACCAGGCTCTGACCGACCCGAGCGTGCTGGAGTCGGAGAAGGAGCTGTACATTCGCATCACTCCCGACAAGGAGAACAAGGTGCTTTCTATTCGTGACACCGGTATTGGTATGACCAAGGCCGACCTCGTGAACAACATTGGTACCATTGCCAAGTCTGGTACCAAGGCATTTATGGAGGCGCTGAGCTCGGGTGCCGACATTAGCATGATCGGTCAGTTCGGTGTCGGTTTCTACTCGGCCTACCTGGTAGCCGAGAAGGTTCAGATCATCACCAAGAACAACGATGATGAACAGTACATCTGGGAGAGTGCCGCCGGTGGCACGTTTACGATTACTCCCGACACCAGTGGTCGTTCTATCGGCCGTGGTACCGAGTTGCGTTTGTTCATGAAGGACGACCAGCTGGAGTACCTCGAGGAGAAGCGCATTAAGGATATTGTCAAGAAGCACTCGGAGTTTATCTCGTACCCGATTCAGCTCGTTGTTACTAAGGAGGTTGAGAAGGAGGTCGAGGAGCCTGAGGCTGAGACTGCGGATGACGACAAGAAGCCCAAGATCGAGGAGGTCGACGACGAGTCGGCTGAGAAGAAGAAGAAGAAGGTGAAGGAGACTGTCACCGAAAACGAGGAACTGAACAAGACCAAGCCGATCTGGACTCGCGACCCCAAGACGATCGAGAATGAGGAGTACGCTTCGTTCTATAAGAGCCTCACCAATGACTGGGAGGACCACCTCGCTGTGAAGCACTTCTCTGTTGAGGGTCAGCTTGAGTTTAAGGCCCTGCTCTACATTCCCAAGCGCGCTCCTTTCGACATGTTCGAGTCGAAGAAGAAGCGTAACAACATTAAGCTCTATGTGCGCCGTGTGTTCATTACCGACGACTGCGAGGAGCTCATCCCTGAGTACCTGAACTTTGTGAAGGGTGTGGTTGACTCGGAGGACCTGCCTCTTAACATTTCGCGTGAGACGCTCCAGCAGAACAAGATCCTGAAGGTCATTCGCAAGAACATTGTGAAGAAGACTCTGGAGATGATCTCGGAGGTGGCCGAGGACAAGGAGAACTTTGGTAAGTTCTACGAGGCCTTTGGCAAGAACATCAAGCTGGGTATCCATGAGGACGCCACGAACCGTGCTAAGCTGGCGGAGTTCTTGCGCTTCTACTCGACCAAGAGCGGCGATGAGATGACAAGCCTGGCTGACTACATCACTCGCATGCCAGAGATCCAGAAGAACATTTACTTCCTGACCGGTGAGAGTCTGGCCGCTGTGCGCGACTCGCCGTTCCTGGAGGTGCTGAAGAAGAAGGGCTTTGAGGTGTTGCTCATGGTGGACCCCATTGATGAGTACGCGGTGACTCAACTCAAGGAGTTTGAGGGCAAGAAGCTTGTGTCGGTGTCGAAGGAGGGCCTGGAGCTCGAGGAGACCGACGAGGAAAAGAAGGAGCGTGAGGAGGAGGCGAAGAAGTTCGAAGACCTCACAAAGTCGATCAAGGACATTCTCGGTGACAAGGTCGAGAAGGTGACGGTGTCGAACCGCATTGTTGGTTCGCCCTGCGTTCTGGTCACTGGTCAGTTTGGCTGGTCGGCGAACATGGAGCGTATTATGAAGGCGCAGGCTCTGCGTGACACGTCGATGTCGCAATACATGGCCTCGAAGAAGACCATGGAGATTAACCCTCGCAATGCGATCATCAAGGAGCTTGCTGCAAAGGTGGCCAACGACAAGAACGACCCGACGGTTCGTGACTTGACGATGCTCCTTTACGAGAGCTCGCTCCTTACATCGGGCTTTTCGCTGGAGCAGCCCCAGGACTTTGCCAACCGTCTCTTCAAGCTCATTAGCCTGGGTCTCTCGATTGACGATGTGGATATGGATGAGGCTCAGCCCGCTGAGGACGCGAAGGCAGAGGAGCCTGCGGCTGAGTCGGCCATGGAGTCTATCGACTAAGTGCCCCACCTTGTTTTCTTTTGTATGAAGTTAGATACCGCCTGGTGGCATGAGTCTGTAGAGGTCAACATATTGAATGGACAGCAGAAACACGATTAGATTGACATGTCATCATCCTCGAGCAGGGGTTCAGGCAGCATCTCTCCTCGAGACTCGCCGGAGGCAAGCTCACGACGGATCTCGGGCTCGATCCCCGGGTGCTTTTGGACACGAATCAGGTCCTGAAGAGCGAGTTTCTGGTCGGGCGTGAGATCGCGTTTGTACCGCTGCGCAAATACGAGGAGGCTCTGGTGCCACAGCACCGGCATGCGGCGTTCGCCCACAATACCGTGTCGCGTCCGCGTTACCTCCACACCCTTAGACTTGTCCGCGAACTGCAGAAAGTGGTACACCAGACCGTCGATTACCTTATAGGGCAACGCGTATTTCTTGTCGAGAAGAATGCGAATAAACAGCGATGTCGGCCCAGTATACTCCATTTCGGCGAGGCGGAGCAGAGCCGCAGCTGAATGCAGCACCGGAATCGATACTTTGGACAGCACTGAACCGATAATGGCGGCTTCTCTGAGTGTGACACCACCATCCTCGCACAATGGAAATAGGATACCTTTGAAGAAGGCGGCAGGCTTGTACAAGGACTTCTTGATCGCCTCATACATCTGGTAGCTCAATTTTTTGTTATCGCGGATCTCATCGCGGATCTTGTCAAGGAGCACGAGTTGGTAGTAACGCTCGCACTGGGCGGGCTTAAAGTTCGAGACAAAGATGCGCGTCGCAGCCAGCGTCGCATGGGGCGTCCACATCTCAGGGTTGGTAATATACAAAATATCTTCCCATGCAGGCAGCGATGGGATAATCTTGAACGCTTTGGGTAAGGGGCCAGACTTGTAGCGCGACAGCAGTTCGCCGACTTTGCCGTACACTTCTATGATCTTGGGGTTAATACCCGGAGGCATCATACGTGACTCGTCCATCGTCTGCATGCTGCGATCGCCGTCCGTTTCGTCGGCTGCCTCAATCTTGGCCATGATCAGGTCCGCCAGTGTCTTGGTGCGCGGCCGCCCAGCGTCCTCATCGGCCAGGGCCTGTTCTTCCTCTTCTTCGTGCCGCTCCAGAAGGGCTTGGTCCTCTGGGTCGATACCCAGTTCGGCATAATCTGGATCATCGTAAACATCTTCATCATCACTGGCTAGCGAGGCATCTTCATCCGCCTCGTGGTCCTCGTCGTCTTCCAGTTCGTCCATATCGCGGAAGGCCGGCTGAGGCTCGACATCCGCCTCCGCCTCGAGCTCTGCCTCTTCGCGCTCAATCTCTTCTTGCTGCTCGCGAGCAAGACGTAAGATATTTCGACTCAACTTGGGATCGACGTAGTTTTTCCCAGCTCGGCCACCGGTGACTTTGAGCGAGGTGCCCGGCGCTTTCGCCTCGTCATCGCTCTCGGCATCAGACTGCTTCTTCTTTCTGTGGCGTTGCGTTGGTGCACGAACACGTCCAAATCGAGATACAATTTCGTCCTCACGAATATCCTGAGCAAGAGGACGGTGCTCCCCCGTAGGGCGCACGCCACGTCCCTGGGACGACGGCGCCTTTGGCATGGCAATGGTGGAGGTGCTGCGACTGAAGAGAAATTTTCGTCCCACTGGCGAGCAAACGAAAAATAAGTGGAGCTACAAATCATCGTCCAAGCCGGACGAGGAAGACGAGTCCACTACGTACTCTTCGTCTTCAGCAGCGGGATCGTCGAGGCTCGCAGCATCGCTAGCCGATGCATTACTTTCTGCTTCTAGGAAAGCGTCGAGATCTTCATATCGCGCGCTCGCTTGGGGCACGGCTCGCGTCCGAGATAAGGTCACGCAAGGCTCCAGTACGACACGCTCCGCGTGTCGTCCATCCCCATGCACGGTGTCACTGCCAAACGAGCGTTTCTCTTCAAGCCAAGCGCCAGACGGACGCTGGGCACTTACGGACGAGTGAGGCTTGAGAGAAGTCGGGTCTGGCATACGCACGATCGCAGGCGGTCGCGCCTCGGGCTCGCTCCAGGGAGGCAGCTGCGCCTGGCGCCAGCCAACGAGATGGACGCCATCTGTGACAGAGGACATGCTTGCGAGCTCATCTGTAGACATAGAGGCCAGTGTCAGCTGCTCCAGCGGCGATGTCTCTGACAAATCTCGCGCAAATAAGACATGCTGCACCTGTGCGCGGCGGAGGCGCACGCCTGGGAGTCGGAACCGGTCTAGGTCGCGATGCGAGGCAAGGTAGGCTTGAATATCATCCGGCAGTGTATCCTCAGTCAAATCGTCGTCTTGAAAAAGCCCGCGTGTCAGACCACTGTAGAACCGTGCGCGATCGCGCACGTCACTGTCTGCACTTGAAGATCCAAGCGAGAGCAGCTCATAATGAAGTACCATGACAGCTGTGCGAATGGCTGTGTCTCCCACTGAGTCTAAGTGCACGAAGGCCTTGGCAGAGAGCGTCAATGCTTGGCACTGTACTTTCTGCGGCTCCTTAGCCCAGTGGGCCACGAGACATCGCAGCATGTCGGGGACGAGACATGTCAGGAGTGTTTCGTCAGCCAGAGGGGCCAGGCAGTACTGGCCCAACATCCAAAGTACGGCTGCGCGGGAGTCAGGATCCAAAAGTATACGTATACGAGGCGCATCTGCGGATCGTCCTCGCTGTGCAAGAGGAACAAATAAACGAAGAGCGAAACGAGCGACAATGCTTGCCGCCGCTGCGTCAGAGCTGACGCGCAGTAGAGTTTTCAGGACTTGTACAGCACGGCTTAGCGTCCTGGATGGCAGCGATGGGTCTTGCGCGACGTCCATCAGCAAATGGAGGGCCTGCGGAGCGATTGCATCGTAGCGACATGCCACTTGGCCCAGAGCTGTCATGCTGTCCGTGGCCACAGACTCAGCTGCAGCCTGTGCATAAGTTACTAGCTCCTGCACCAGCAAAGAGGCGTTCGCTTCGGTAGCGAGGCGAACCAGCACGCGAATCTTGAGGCGCGCGAGGTAGGCCGGATCCGTGGCACCCACGAGAAAGTGAAGCAGGTGTGGCGTAAAATGGTCGGCCTGCGACTCAGACAACGCCAATACGTTCAGGACCGCCATATACGCCACCTCGGGTGGGCCCTGGAGGAGGCGCAGTAGAGGTGGTATCACACAGGCCATATCGCTAGTGTGTGCCACAGCCACATGAGCATGGACACCGGCCAGTACCACTGCAGGGTTGACATGAGTGAGCAGGTTTGCCAGTGCGCTTCGTAGCAGGGCCAGATCCGGATCGACATCGACACCCGGCTGCGGCTGTGGCAGATTGGCTCGCGCGTAACGCACGAGCACTTGTGCGCAGGTCGGCTGGGACCACTCGTCCATATCGACCAAGGCGTGGCACAACTTGCGGAAGTGGCGATGCAGCAGCGTCCAATAGTCCGGGCACAGTTCGGCAAAGGACAAGAGCGCCGGTCCCAGCACGAGTGGCGATCTGTCCTGCAGGAATGTGCCAAGATGCGCAAGGAGTGTGTCGTACTGACTGTCATCCAGCTGGTAGCATGTTGGGAGGGCAAAAGCAGCGATACGGCGAACATAGGGATGAGCATCACGCGTAGCCTTGCTTACGGCCAAAAGCACAATCGCAGATACAACCTTCAGCCGGATACCAATCAAAGCACGCAAAGCCATTCCACGTATCAAGGGGTTAGGGTCCGACAGATCGCGTTGGAAGCTATTGATCGAGAGCAGAGCCAGATCAGGGTGGGCCGGCGCATAGCGTAGCACAATAATGTACACGAGCTTGCGAATTTCCAGAGACGTAGTGGAAGAGAGCTTGAAAACAGATGCTAGGTATGGAGTGGCGTCGCGCCCCTTGGATATCATGGCCACTACGCGCTTTAGTCCTTCAAGACGCTCCACGTCCTGGCTGCTCTCCAGCTGTGCCTGCACCGCTGCGAGCTTATCTTCGCCAGTATCCAGGTATCGTGACGAACCGGAACCACCCAATATGCCTTTGACGGCATATAGTGCATCCTCACCGCGCTCCGTCAAATAGGCCAGCGCTCGCGACGAATTCAGCGAGGCCAACGCCATGGTGGCTAGGAGGCAGACCTCCACGTGCAAGCTCTATCCGACTCCACTCTACACACCATGCGTATCCCGCATGTCGTGACGATCGCGGGCTCTGACTCGGGTGGGGGCGCTGGTATTCAGGCGGATCTGAAGACATTTACGGCATTCAGGACATTCGGAATGTCGGTAATTACCGCGCTTACCGCACAAAATACACAGGGGGTGAGCGCAATTCACACGCCGCCGGCCGAGTTTGTGCAACAGCAATTCCAGTGTCTCGTGCAAGATATGCGTATAGATGGGATCAAGCTGGGCATGCTTTCCAATGCGGAAAATGTTCGCGTTGTGGCTGAATGTTTGCGGGAGTGGCGCAAGACACACGATGGCGAAGTGGTGCTCGACCCAGTGATGGTATCATCCGCAGGGAGTGTGCTGCTGGAGGAAGAGGCCATGGACCGTGTGCTCTGCGAGCTTCTCCCGCTTGCATCCATTGTGACGCCCAACATACCTGAGGCTGATCAGATTCTCTATCGTGCCCAGATTCCCGACATAAAAGCGGACACAATACAGGGCAGAGCTCTCATGGCACAGGCCCTAACCAGTCTGGGAGCCGAAAATGTCCTAATCAAAGGCGGGCATGGTCCCCTGTCTATGTCTGAATTGGAGCAGCAACTCGATCATCTCGGATTTAAACTAGTCATGGAAGAATGTGCCTCTGTGGCCACCGCTTGTGGCCGCGAGGGGAATGCGGCTGCCCTCTTATCCGATGAGAAAACAGCGATCGAAGAATTGGGCTCTCTTCTTGGCGTGTCTGTATATTCGAGAGACTCTTGCTACTTGGTGATTTGTCGCAGCGTTTCGGACTATCAATTCATGCACTCGCCGCACCATTCGTGGAACGTTGATGTCCTGTACGAGGCAAGCCGACAGCGAACGACCTTTTTCGTTCTGCCCTTTGTGTCGACGACTGCCACACATGGGACGGGATGCACACTTTCCGCGGCCATCTGCGCCGCCTCTGCGCAGGGTCTGCCCCTCCGCGCAGCGATCCTAAAGGCCTTACTTTACATGCAACAGGCCCTTGCTTCAAGCCTCCGTGACCTTGGGCACGGCCCTGGTGCTCTAGACCATGCCGCCTGCCTTGTCGGCCGCGGCGTGCCACGTCGCACCGAGCATGCGCCCTACCCGCTAATAACACTGCTGCCATCGCGCTCCTGGACCTTATGGCACGCCTACACACGACATCCTTTTGTTGTGCAGATGATGCGTGGAGAGTTGCCTATTGCGTCACTACTTTGGTTCCTCAAGCAGGATTATATATATCTGCGCCATTACTCTCGCGTGTGGTCAAAGGCTGGAGCAAATCCGGAATGTACAGCGTACGACATGGCCAAATTCAGCGCGATGGCGAACGCCATTGCAAAAGAGACGGAGGTGCACGTGCAAGTGTGTGAATCTCTTGGGATCCCTGGCGAAGAGCTCGAGCTTGTACACGAGAGCCGCGCGACGATGGCCTACTCGCGGTTTATGCTGGATGCAGCTGACGCAGGACTCTTGCCATTACTTGTATCGCTGGCATCCTGCGCATTTGGCTACGCCGAAGTGGGCTTATGGGCCAAGCGCCATCAAGTGCCGGGCCTCGCCGAGCCCTACCAGCGCTGGATCGACGAATACAGCGGTGAGGAATATCAGAGCATGACGCACGATATGCTCGAGTTCCTGGAGGCGTATGCCGAGCGGGTGATGCCGTCCGTCGAGCAGGTAGACCGCCTGCAGACCATCTGGGACACGGCCACGCGACTAGAGATCGGTATGTGGGATGAGGCGTTGGCTATGGGACAAAGTACATGACCTATTCGTCGTCGTAGGTGAATTTGATAGAGCTGCGTGAGTATACGATTACATACTGTGACCCTTGGTCGATGACACCGCCGCGGTAGCTGCCACGCTTTTTCTTGTTCTTCTCCTTCGTAAATGCCTTGCCGCGCGTCACAATCAGATCCGCATTCGCACGCGCGCCCCAGTCGCCTGCGCCAGACTACCAGTAAGCCTAGGCCGCCACATACCTTGGCATCATAGCTCATATCTTTAAGTCGCTCGTCTAGGAACTGCACATTGTCCGACTTGACACGTTGGAACCGCTCACCTTGCGTAGGCTTCTTCTTTGGGCGTGACTCGGCGTGCTCCACGACCTCAACCTCGGTGACAGGCGTCGTGGGTGCCAGCGACTCGGGCTCTTTCTCAGGGAGCACGGATTCTTGTTCCTCTGTCTCATCATCCTCCTGAAGCTTTCTCTTCTTTTCATGCTTGGCCTTCTTTCCCTTTTGCTTCTGTGAGTGCTCGACCGTTGTCCCGCTGCTCTTAGAGGGCGACTCGACCTCCTTGACCGCCTCAGTCTCATGTTCGGACAGAGCGGAGAAAGCCTTTGACACATCAGTGCCTGGTACAAGCATAGCCGCTTTCACCGTGTTCACCAAGGCATTCGAAAGGGCCTCCGCCTGGTCCGCGTGCTGTTCTAGACGGAGGTTTTCAAACTTTGAAGCAAGTTTGGCAGCGAGCTTGGGAGCATGGATTTGCAAAAAGGCATGTACTAAAATAACAGCCTCTGTACATGAGACTTGGATACGTACCCGAAGACATGACCACCGAGGCGCTTTTGTCCGTGCTCTGCTCCTTTTTCGCCATCCTCCGAGTAGAAGAGAAAAAATGGCCACCCTCCACATGCGCACAAGCCGAGTGAGTTGCATGTGCCACCCTCCCCTTTCCTCCGACCGGGACGGTGCATTCGAAGAGATTACAACTTTGCAAGCATCTTGAGAGTAATCTATGGGTTCAGAATTGCCTATCGATCACTCAAAAAGGCACCGCCAGCATCTGCGTCTCGAGCAAGCGCACTCAGCGTATGAAATTCAGAAAGTAAGTACCCTCACTCTCATATGTGCAGGAAGCCGCCCTTCGGAGCGGTGCCATGTGGACCATTTTTGGCCTCGCTTCTGTCTTTATGGCGCATCACTTGATTCCGGGATTCAGGTAAGTTCCTTGACTGACGCTGGACGCCAAACATTGGCTCTCAAAGGTCTGTTGACCATTTCAGGTACGTGATTCTACTTACACAAGCGACATCGGTCGGGTTAGTCTTAGGTGCAGAGTCTGCATTGCAGAATTATGAACATGGACAACGCTCTCACGATAACCTTATCCGATCTCGAGCTATGCGCGAGTTAGGTATGCGGGGTATTATCGCCAGTGAACAGGAAATTAAGAAATGGCAAGATGAAGTGATAGAGAGAGAGATCGAATTGCGCCGTTCACAGAAGTCGTAGACAAGCACCATCACGAGCATGGCGTCTCATCTTCGCCGCCCTTGGGCATCATGATACATGCATATTTCCACGACGAATAACGGGTGACACGCGCCGCGGCGACCTACGTGACCCTACAGACGCTCGGACCAGAATGACCCAAGCGCTACCGCGCCGCCCATCGGGGGAGAGAGAGCTGTATGAGCAAGTCCATTCTCGCCTAAGTATCAATGAGGGTGGACTGGGTACGTGAGCGCATTGTAACCGCAGACATTGCTGCTATGTACGAAGATGATTTTGATGCGCATTCGTTCGTCCAGCAATTTCTAGGCCCGACGTCCTCGAATAAAGGAGATTCTGACGCGGAGAGATTCCAGTCAAAATCTACAGATTTGCGTGTTGGATTAACTAGACTCAATGTGTCTATCACAGAGGTAGACCGCCGGATCCATGAGTTAATGGGGCAGCATTCGTACGAGTACATTGAACGGGTTGGCCAAATCAAACAGGTGCGAAATACGATGGCATCCATCCATGCACACATCCAGGATATTGAAAAATCAGGAACAAGGTACGAAATTTCTACTCATGTCAGTGCCAAACAAAGCGTTGGTCAACATTTGGAGAGTCTGCAAAGCCTTCATGCCAAATCCGCCCGCATAACCGGTGCCTTGAATTTGGTGGCGCGAACTCGAAACATACTGGCAGTGTATGCCAAACTTGTGAATACTATGGACCAGATTGCATCTTTCAATATGATGGGATCCATCAAAGATGCGCCTTCGTTGCATCAACATGCAGAGCGAGTGCTTGTAGCGTCTATTTTCGTCGAAGAACTTCGTATGTGTATGGGACTCACAAACAGATTCACTTTCTGCGCATCCTGAAGGAGGAAGGCCAAAGACGCTCAAGCTGATTGATGATACTCGCAGCGTCGACAATATCGCAGCCTGTATGTCTCAAATACCACACATGCAAGAATCCTTGCTGGAGCAAGTGGAAAACGTTCTCATGTGTGGTCTGCGTAGTTTATCGCCTCCTCTTCTCGGCACAGCTTTGCAAGCAGCGCTTCATCTTAACCTTTTGGGCCCAGTGGTGAGCAACTTCCTAGATGACCTCAATGATGTACTCTTGGAGCGCTGGCGCACAGTCCTCGACCTTCTCGCCGTGGGAAAAGAGCTAGGAGAAACTCAGCTTCCTATTCTTTCTTCCTCCCTCAAAACGCATCCAGCGGAGCACATTGCACTTTCTTCGCCGCTTCCTCGGTGGATTGACACAATTTGGGAACGCCTGCGGACTTTTATTGTGGACGAACTAGGATCAATTGTCAATAAGGTACAGATGCTGGAACGTATTCTTCAGCGTAAATATGCGCCGCAATCAAACGAAACATTATTTGATATTGTCGTGTCCAAATTGAAAGACTCGCCGATTTCGTTGCTCTGGTCCACTTTTTCTCAAAATCTGGAACAGCTCGTCCGTGAATGCGTTCATGAATCTGACTTTTGGTGGTACATCTTTGTGTATTCTTATCCCAAGTTTGCTGATTTGTTCAGTATGCTGACATCGCATCTAACCCTGTTGTCAGACGATTTTATGCCGTCGCAATGGACAGGCTACACAGAGAAATTGCTTATATTTCGTGAGAAAGATTACCATGGCATGCTTGTACAAAAATGGTACTCCTTAAGTCAGGATATTCAAAGAGCGGCGTTCGAGGAATCGGGCAGTGGTTCACAGGCAATAATGAACTTCATGGCGCAACTAAGAAGAGAATTGGAGGCATGCTTGGATCAACCCCCACTTCAATTGCGTACTTTCTTAGCAGCTGCTGAACGTTTGGACTCTCTACTCAACTTATTAAAATCTTCGATAAAGAAGGGAGATGATGTATGGTCGTTCACAAACAAGCAACCAACAGCTCAGCAGCAGCAAAACATTCGTATTGCCGAAGTTTTCCAGAGTTTATACGACAGCCTCTTGCAGTGGAATACTGCATACCAAGAAGATATCGAGAAAAAGCTAGCAGAATGGCGTACGGACATTGTCAAAATCGTGTCGGATGAATTATTGTCTCCGTTGGTAAATAAAATCAAAGTTAACGCTAATTTGAGTCTGTCGAGAATTCATCAGTGTAAGCGGATCTTGACTCCAGAGACCTATTCGTCTCTGGTAATGGAAACAGAAGTTAGTCCCTACATGTTGGATTTTGTTTCGCAAATTGATTTCGTCCAAACCCATCTCGTTAGTCGATATATTCTCCGAGGAACAAATATAAAATGGTACGTTGATGTAACTCATAACCTAGGGCAATCGATCTTGCTTCTTACGTACTGACATTGTGTTTGATGCACGCATCATTAGTCCGAACCACATCTGAGTCTTCAAGGCTCCAAATTATCTCAGATATGACCTTATTAGAGTCGAGTCTATCAAAATTCGTTCGGGGCGTATCCAGCAAGTCAACTGCTCTCCCTATATCCTTGAAGGATTGTGATACTCCATTCTACGCGTTTCGCGGTTACCGCTCGTTGCTTATACAGCCATGGTCCGCATGGGAGTATCCTGAAAAGGCGAGTGAAAGTTCGGTTATGCCTGCTGTCGCTTGGGTACAGGCTCTTTTGTCCCGTTCTGACACTCTTCCACTGCCTAATGAACTCAAGAATATGACAAAGGTATCGTATGTCAATTGGTTCATCACCGCAAGTCAAAGCAAAATAAATCTTTTTGATCACGAGGTCCAATCAATCGTACTGAGACAGGTGCAAGAGTGGCTTCTTCATTACAACAATTGTGACGATTCGGTGAATGACCGGGAAGCTGTCAAGTGCCTAAAACAATGGTTTAGATACTATTCTTCGAAGCAATAGTTTGATACTGTGCGTTGGTCTATAGGGACAGAAATAAAAATTGAATCTAAACTATCAAGATAATCAAAAATTGACTTTACCCGGACTCGAACCGGGGACTTTCACGGTTGACACCGTACTCACGATTTGTGTTAACGTGATACTCTAACCAACTGAGTTATAAAGTCGCTTTGTGTCGGTTGACCAGACGAAGCCATTTAATCCATCCACAAAGCTTTATATCTTCCTACTTAAATTTTAACCCCCTTCTCTAACATGACCATGAATAAGAAACGAGCTATAGCACTAATTCTTTACACGCGCTCAATGATCACAGCAATACCCTGACCACTACCAATGCAAGCAGCGCCAAGAGCATATTTCTTGTTAAGACGGTGCAGGTTGTAGGTAAGGTTCGAGAGAATCCGGGCACCGCTTGCACCGAGAGGATGGCCAAGAGCAATAGCACCACCAAATAAGTTGGTTTTCTCGTTAGGAAGCTCAAGTTCCTTTTGAACAGCGAGGAACTGGGCAGCAAAGGCCTCATTGACTTCGATAAGGTCCATGTCTCCCATGTTCAAACCAGCACGCTTAAGAGCCAGCTTCGAAGCCTCGACGGGACCAATGCCCATAATCGAAGGCTCGCAACCAGTTACACCGTAGCTAACAATGCGAGCCAGGGGCTTGAGACCGTGAGCATTGACGGCCTCTTCACTGGCAATGACGTTTGCAGCAGCACCATCGCAAATACCCGAGGCGTTACCAGCCGTCACAACACCATCCTTCTTGAACACAGAGGGTAGCTTAGCAAGGGTCTCAATAGTTGTCTTAGGTCGAGGGTATTCATCCACGGCAAAGACCTCGGTGGCCTTCTTCACCTTAACCTCAATAGGAGCGATCTCATCCTTGAAGGCACCCTCCTCCTGGGCCTTAGCCCAGCGGTGCTGAGACTGGAGAGCGAACTCATCGCACTGCTGACGGGTAATCCCGTACTTCTCAGCAAGGTTCTCAGCCGTGATACCCATAGGGGTGGGAACAGGAACAGCATCAGTGAGAGAGGCGGCCAGACTGTCCGCAAGTTTCAGGTCCACACCATAGCGGGTATTACCGAAACGAACACCGTGAAGAGTGTACGGAGACATAGACATGTTTTCAGTGCCACCAGTGAGAACCACGCTAGCGTCGCCGCTGTTGATTTCCTGGGTCGCGTTGATTACAGCCTGGAAGCCACTACCACAAAGGCGGTTGACAGTGAGTGCTGGGGTGGTGATCGGAACACCCGCATAGTGACCCACATGGCGCGCGAGGTATGGCGCAGTAGCATCAGAGCTCGTCACTAGACCAAAGACAGTCGACGAGATTGGTGTGTTGGCAGGGAGCTGCGCCAGAGCAGCCTTGGAGGCATGGCCACCAAGCTGAGCAGCAGTATATTGACTAAGCTTACCACCAAAGGAACCGAAAGCGACGCGCTTCGAACCGACAATAAAAGCTTTCGTCATCTGTAGTGGTGTGTAGGAGTATAATCACGAGTGGATTCGAGATTACTATATTTCTAAGAATTCTTGCGCTGCGGAGTGTGCAGCGCACGGTGCCGGCTGCGACTATAAGCCCGGTTTTGACCGGTCCGGCCGAGTGGGGGTACCGGCTTGAACCTGACCCCGGTTCGCTAACGTGTCAAGATGAATTTTATCAAGAACTCATCTATAACCAATGAAAACCGAAAAACTAAGACCGGGTTTGTGCCAGAGTGTGAGAAGCAGATAATTCGGCATCGTCCAATGGAACAGTCACGCTAGTTCCATCTGCCAACGTACGACGGAGTAGACCCTCTTGGGTGGGTTCCACATCTTCTGGAAGCTGTGCAGCGGCAAGCTCAGGAGCTTTGTCTTCACCTCCCGAAGATTTAGTCCGCACATGGCGAGCGGCACAGGCTGCAGGCCAGCGTTCGGAATCGTCGCCTGTTGGCTCCAGAACTCGCTCAGGCTGGACAGAATCCATGGCTTGAGTTCGCTGCCGTAAAGCTGCAGGTTTGTGTAGATCGACAAAAGGTGAATCGTCCCCCACGTTTTCATCAGAATCAGTCTCGGCAGATATGTCATCACGGGCCTGTAAACCCATATCGTCAGAATCAGAGTCATTGTCGACAGATTCGCTAGACATGTCCGTAATACCCGCGCCACGACGAAATTCAGCAGCCCAGTCAGCTGGCGTGAGGTTTTCTTGTGCGGGCTCATTTACAGATACGGATGCAGTAGACGTGAACTCGAACGCAGATTGCGACGAGTCGGAGAAGGGTCCCCAGTCATTGTCACCAGGAATTTGACCGAGCGCATTGGTATCATTCATATATGACAACATGTCACCATCAGCTTCGAGGTCATCATTGTCAGTGCGCATCTGAGACGAAAGATACTGAGCAAATGTGCGGTTGTTGTCATTCTCAGGATACCAATCATCAGACTCCAAATTAGACCATGACTGCATCCCCGCCATAGGGTTGGATGGACGACCGCCAGCTAGAGGCATAGACTCTTTCGCGCGTGACTCATTAAGCTCATTATTTAGATACTCTTCCCAGTCAGGCGTGAAGTGCTCGTGGATAGCTTCGCCAAGTATATCCGAATGGCGTTCCATAAGTTTTATGACTTCTTCGGCAATCAAGTTTAAGTGACCCATATATCCAAGGCGAATACGCCGCGGACCCTGTGAAGAGTCGTTGTTACGCCTAACTCCTTCGAGAATTGCCTCAATAAGGCAGGCTTCATCAAAGGTAGACATGGTCAACTTGCGATTGATAGCATTGTCCATGTCACCATTAAATAGTTGCTGAAGGATGTCATAGACAACATTGTGCAAGAAGTTATTCCAAGGATAGTGAAGAAACAGTTCAATAAGCGTAGGGATAACTTGGAACGTAAGGAACTGTTTTTTCAAAAAGTTGCCAAGAATTTCATAATTACTCTCTTCAGCAACGGGGCGCTTTGCAGACAATTGTGTTACCAAATCTGCCAGCGACATACTTGACAACGCTGATGCAATGCTAGCAGCATCTTCTTCAGACGTGGTATCTTCAGACTCATAAGAATCATTACTTGGTGCCTTGGAGACAGAAACGGCGGGTTGTTCATCAGAAATTTTGTATGCACTAGTGTCATCGTCCCCGTTAGACTTCGACTCAGCATCCGCGGAGGATGGTTCCGGCTGGTCGTATTCTTCATCGCCCTGTAATGTACGGGCAAGCGCTTGAAGTCCCTCCAAGCCACCCATTAAAGAACCGGATGGCGAATAGCGAGGACCAACATTGAGAGGACGATTCAGTAATGCCATGTTTGAGCAATGCAAGAGCTCTGCGTATAACTCCGCGATACAGTACCGCATTTGTGTTAGCGGTTCAATCTGGCCCAAAGTGGTAGAAACCATGGATGCAGACTGACTAGGATTGCGCATCCTTTCCTGAAGTTCAGGTATCTTCTCGGCTAGAGCACGAAGCAAGGGACCCAGATGGACAATGCCCATTTTTTCGGCCACTTCATCCATGGCTTCGTCCAAACCTTCAGCATCTGCATCATCATCAAACGGAAGATCATCAAGAGATAATTCTGGTCTGTCCGCTGTACTTCCATTGTTCAAGTTCTGCAAAATTTTCTCCTGTCGATGTTGACCACTCAATTCCTGCTGACGCATAACCAGATAGTTGCGAAGAGTGTGGAATAGATGTTGTTCGAAATAATCACTGTTATTTTTGCGAATCAGTTCAATAAATACACCTGCACAGTTCGCAAATGACGAGGATATTGCATCTTCAGTCAATGGGCTCTTCATTGAGGTACGACGATCAAGTGTAGACGGGCGTACGGTGGCTGTTGAGTCACGCAGGCCTTTGCCTGCGGTTGAGAGACGGCGAGAAATAGAGAAATGCCGGTTTTGTCTGTCTTTCATCGTCTTTTGGAATGCCCAAACATCCTCATCCTCATCTTCTTCTTCGACAGCAGAATCTTCTTGCAACGTTTGCAACGGCATGTCCAAACCTCTGTTCTCCTCACTCGGACCTGAATTAGAGGGTGTATAGTCCAGCATGAAACTTAACATTTTGGATACATTTTCTTCTGATGCCATTTCCCGAACCAACAAGTTGTTCACACCACCCGCGCCGAGAAGCATCTCGCCAGGACCGGTGAATGAATCCTGCATTGTTACTTGATTTAGAGAAGATGGTGAAGGTGCAGACAAAGAAATTATAGTCTTCAGGAATTCTGATGCAGTTTTATGCTTTTCAGAAGAAACGTGCGGAGATAACAACGACACAATGCGGGGAATGAGGTCGTTATCTGCTAACCAAGCCACAATGCCTGAGTCTGGAATAGTATCTTCACATTGCACGAGCCGAAAAAGAAGGTCAACAATAGCTGGTGTTTCAAAGTGCGAAACTAATCCCTCAACAATAGATGGCATAGTTTTAACAAAAGCAAGCATCTCCTGGGGATGATGCTCGATAAGAGCCACATTTACCTTCGACCAATATCCAGCTAGTACAGTGAATCCTGGTCCATGAGTGATTGCTGAAAAATATTCCTTTTCTGAGGCCTCATCTTTGTTTTCTGGATCATCTGCAGTTGAAGATCCATAAGCAGCCTTGGTGAGATGGTGAGCATGATGAGGGATGGGACGACTCGAAATTTCCGGATCGAGGCTTAAAAATTTATCCCAGAAAGGTTCCAACCATTCTGATGCATGCTGAAAGATGGCTGCTGAAACCTCAGGAATCTCGCTACTAAGAATTTCTGAAGCAATAAAAGGATATCTGTTGTCTTAGTTTACATGGCAAACACTTACTTAAAACCCACTTTCTCCTCCGCTTCACTTCCACGAGAATCGAGCATCGTTACATTACCAGAGGCATAATCGAGCAGCTTCGGGATCACGCCTGGTTGCTGCAAAAAGTCAATGAGTTTTTGGTTATTTGATTTACATTCTTGCAGGATATCAGCATCATCAAGAACCTCTTCCAGAGTCACATCTGGCTTCTCGAGAACTTTGGTAAGTGTAGAGGAAGACGCCACACCGAAACGCCACTAAATAGTGTTAAAATACTTCCACCTAATACGCACAAACATGAAGATCGACTAGAATTTTATACAGAAATCAGTTGCCGATAGCGATGCGCGACGACGCGCTCGGATGAATGGATTCGATACCTGGTAGATAACCTATCAAACAGATCCGTGACAATGGACAAGGATCACGTATGATATCACTTTGAACGAGACCGAGCCCTAAACCTAGCTTTCAATGATGTGCTGTCACGCGGTGGAATAAGCGGAAACACGTGCTTCGAAAGATCATTAGTCGTCTTTAGTCAAGTAGAGACCATCCTAGTAGCAATGCCGTGCGCACTGCATCGAACTGGAAGTCGAAACGATAAGGATCAAGAGTGTATAAATAGTGGAAGACCTAGCTATTAGGATCATTGTGCCCCGTGGGAGAACCTATAACGCTTGAAATAGGGGATGAAATAGTTGGCAACCAGGCCAGCTGCTGACAACATTATATTTGTATTATTCCGAATTCAGAACGGGACCGAGCTGGTCAACAAGACCAGATATCCCAGAACCAACATATGTGATATTGACGCTTGAGGAAATTTTTCCTTTAGATGGTGAATAAACCTTTGCCATTGGTGGAGAACTGACGCTGGAGGATGGTGAGAATGAATTCGACAATAGGGTGACAGGATAGGAAGAATATGTTGAAGCAATACCGACTTTTGAAGGCGATGCCCATGGGTATAAAGGAGAAGAACATTTCTTGTAGGATATGGGAGTTTGGGGGCCATCTGTGTCCCGCGAGGTGTCTCCCTCGGAGACAGAGTCAAGTGATTCATCGGCCTCAGAGTCACAGTTGAATACCCCTTCTTCTAGTATTGGGAAATCATTCAGAGTATATATACGTAAAAAAAGATGATCCAATGTATCCAAATCTTTTGCCGGGTCAAAATGGGATTTTAAACGATCAAATTCACAAGCGGACGCACAGCAGATATCCCATTGGTCTTGATAATAGTCGGCCCCAGGATTACATCGTAAAGGTGGCGTACTATTTCGCGATTCTGATGAACTTAGAGTTTCAACGGTAGCGTTAGGATTTCTTCCTATTCCGGATTCCACGATTGCTGTCAAAGGATGGAGACTAGGTGCCATTAGGCGGGAATGTCGAGCAGACAAAGGTTTTCTGTGCAATGAATGCTTATTAGCCCCCGGCATGTCATAAGAAATAAAGGACCTTCTCTTTGCTGGAGGCTAGCAACTCACAGAGAAGAAAATAGGATAAATATTTAGAGGCGGTCGGGCTGTCAGTGAACATTAAACTATTTTCCTCTTAAAGAGGCGTGCAGCAACTCCCCGCCATTTTTTTCCATATTGAGATTCATTCGCTGCAATCTTTTAAATACAGCACAATGGACGCCAAATGACTTTGTTGTTCTCCAGAATTAGAAGCCAATGTTTTTGTCAATATGACTAATTCATGGTCCCGAATCGAATAACCGGCTACATCCCGGCATGAAAGTCTTGAGACTGATTGGTCCACCCGGTGCGCTGCAGTATGGAAGTAGCGTTGCGCACAGACTGTGGGGCATCTAGTGGGGCCGAGGGCCGGTCTCCGGGCTCGTTTGAATAGAAGCGAATCTGGGACACAGGTTTGATCATCCCCCTTCGTCATGTCTGTTGAAGGCGTTCGCATTCTCGGCCCTGTTCTTGGCGACCACGCCAAGATCCTCACCCCTGAAGCTGTAAAGTTCCTAACGGTACTTCACCGTAACTTTGAACCTGTCCGTCAAGAGCGTCTGAAGGCCCGCGTTGCTCGTCAGGTTGAGCTCGATGGCGGTAAGACTCTGGACTTCCTGCCTCACACACGACACATCCGTGAGGACCCTTCGTGGCGATGTGCCATTCCTGCCCCTGGACTCCGCGACCGTCGTGTTGAAATCACCGGCCCTGTTGACCGCAAGATGGTCATTAACGCCTTGAACTCGGGCGCCTACACCTACATGGCTGACTTTGAGGACTCGAACTCGCCTACTTGGGCCAACAACCTTGATGGCCAGGTCAACCTGCACGATGCGATTAACCGCCGCGTTGACTTCAAGGCTTCGAACGGCAAGGAATACAAGTTGAAGCCTGCCGGCCAGCTGGCCACCCTGATTGTTCGCCCTCGTGGCTGGCATCTCAACGAGGAGTTTTTCCTCGTGGATGGTAAGCCCATGTCGGGTGGTCTGTTTGACTTTGGTCTATTCTTCTTCCACAACGCTGAGCAACTTGTGAAGAACGGCTTTGGTCCCTACTTCTACCTTCCCAAGATGGAGTCTCACCTTGAGGCTCGCCTATGGAACGATGTGTTTAACCTGGCTCAGGACTACATTAACATGCCGCGTGGCACTATCCGTGGCACTGTACTCATTGAGACCATCACAGCTGCCTTCGAGATGGAAGAGATCCTCTACGAGCTTCGTCAGCATTCGTCGGGTCTCAACTGCGGCCGCTGGGATTACATTTTCTCGTTCATTAAGCGCCAGCGCTACAACCAGTCGGCTGTGCTCCCTGACCGTGCCTCCGTCACCATGACGGCTCCTTTCATGCAGGCCTACGTGAACCTCCTTATCCAGACCTGCCACAAGCGAGGTGCTGCGGCTATTGGTGGTATGGCTGCTCAGATTCCGATCAAGGAAGACCCGAAGGCCAACGATGTGGCTATGGAGAAGGTTCGTGCTGACAAGCACCGCGAGGTGACTGCTGGCCACGACGGTACCTGGGTGGCTCACCCTGCTCTGGTCAAGATTGCCCTGGAGGTGTTCAACAAGCACATGCTCGGCCCGAACCAATACCACGTCCGCCGTGAGGAGGTGAAGGTCACTGCGCTCGACCTGCTTAACCCGAACGTCGCTGGCCAGATCACCGAGGGTGGCGCGCGTGCCAACGTCTCAGCTCTGTTGGCCTACTGTGCCAACTGGGTGAAGGGCAATGGCTGTGTCCCCATCAACCACCTTATGGAGGACGCTGCTACCGCGGAGATCTCGCGTATCTCGCTCTGGCAGTGGGTGTTCCATGGCTCGAAGACCGTGGATGGCAAGCCGATTACTCCCCAGTTTGTGGATGATCTCATTGCTTCGGAAGCTGCTAAGCTGTCAAAGCTAGACCCCAAGGCTGTTGACCTGTCGCGTCGCTACCTGTCGCAGCAGGTCCGTGCGAAGGAGCCTAGCGAATTCCTGACGTCGGATCTGACTGCCCACCTCGACAACTCCCAGTCGATGTCGCGCATCTAAATACATAAATATGAACGTACGCAGGATGTTCTGATAAGACATAGAAGTAAACCTTTATTGATAAGCCAGATAATGCCTCCCCCCCCCCATATTATCGCCGTTCCGTCTAAGTCACCACCCGCCATGTCATCGCATCACACCTTCATGAGAGAGGCGATTGACCTTTCCATGAAAGTCCTTCTTACCAAACAGGGTGGCCCTTTTGGAGCTGTAATTGTTCGAAATGGTCAGGTAGTTGGTCGGGGCAGCAACATGGTGACTGTTTGCAATGACCCGACTGCCCATGCAGAAGTTGTGGCAATTCGTGATGCCTGCGCGACCCTCAATACATTCCAGTTGAATGACTGTGAGCTATATACGAGCTGCGAGCCGTGCCCTATGTGCCTTGCTGCGGTGTATTGGGCCAGGATCCCTGTGTTGTATTTTGGCAACAGCAGAAAAGACGCAGCAAGTATAGGCTTTGACGATGACTTCCTCTATGAGCAAGTAGCCCTAGTGCCAGAAAATCGTACATTACGTATGATACCACTGCTGCGAGAGGAAGCACTAGTAGTATTTCAAGGCTGGGTAGATACCCCAGACAAAGTCGAATACTAATCAGTACGACGATGAGGAGGGAAATACCCTGGTGCGCTAGATGAGGGCATGTAGGTAGGGTATGTAGGACCAGAGTAATCGTGTAAAGACGGATAGTTGGGGGAATATCCAGGAACAGGGAAGGCAGGCATGGCGGGAGGATACACGGTGCCGGGTGGCGTTTGACGGAACCACTGATCAGCAAACCGGGGATTGTAGTGTGGTACATTTGCCGTAGGGTGGCTGCCAGGTCCTGGCCGTGATCTCTTGGGACCCTCTGACCAGCCCGATGCAAATGGGTGCGATTGACCCTGAGAAGCTCGTTTACGCCCGCTTCGGGCAGGTTGGCTAGGACATGATCCTCCAAGAGGTCCCAGCGATGCAGTAGATGGATCCAAATCTTCGGGATTGGGTGACGCCGGATGTGCATGCCTTCCTTTCTTGTTCTTCTTCTTCGCAGCTGCTTCAGCTTCATCATCACTGTATTCAACTTCGTCGTCAGCCACTTCTTCGTCCCATACATTGCTAGCATCGCTGCCTTTTGTTCGTATCAGTCGAGTCAAGACATAGGTGCTGCTGGCTGGCAGAAAGTACACAGGTTTCTTTTCTTGTACAACGTTCTGATCAATGTCCTCGGCTGACCGGAAGCGGATGGAATACATAGGCTGTTTGACGGATCCGAACGTTTCATATACAAGCCCGAGAACAGAGCCATCCTCGAAGCACAACAAGCTTTCCGAGTCGAGTACATCATACGACTTGGAGATTGGCTCATCGGTTGCGTTTGAGTCTTGCTGGACGAGCACCACATTGCCCACGATGGAATGGACCCACCCAATACGTTCAAGGGAGGACAAATCACTCTCGTTAATTTTCTCGATGGATGGCTCCAGAATATAATCATCACCAAATTCGTTTTTCGTGCGAGGAGGGACAGAGGAATCCAAACCTTCATCATCGTCTTCAGCCTGTACATGAATAGGGATATCCGTATCAGATGTCGAATCCGTGGAAGAGCTAGTATCCGAGTCACTTTCTGATGAGCAGTTATCCTCATATTTTTCGTCGCCTTGCGCATCATTCTGTTCACGATTCTCGGGGCGCATATCAGGGACGCCTGCTCTTTGCATTTCCTCCAGAATTTGTGACTCAGACGATCCAAGACTACCCTGTTTCGAGCGAAGACTTTGCACCAGCTTACGATACTGAGATAATGACATGTTACTAGGCTCTTCCTTGGGGTACGTCGTCGAGACTGAAATCGAGCCACTGGGGCCATCCACTTGACGATCGTCTGGCGACGATTCCTCGATGTTTGGAACCTGGTTCGCAGCAGGGTTTGACCCTTCATTATCGAATGAATTGGAAGTGGTAGAAACAGCTTCCTCTGGACGTGAAGGGAGCGTCCCGCGCGTCCAAGAGCGCAGCTTGGACTGATCAGCGCCCATGGTAAAAGGAGCAAATTGTGCCAGATATTAATATTTGCTCGTCGCCACTCCACTGTTCCGATTTGGGACCTTCAACCGCTACCAATCCACATGCCCTATCCGGGCAAGTCGCCGCATAGACCTCAGCCTCACGTGGAACCAAAGTTTCCGCTGTACACATACTACTGTATCTGCGGCGAGTTTGTTTTGGTCTGTAACACCCTGCTGGAACAATTAGCTCAACGGCCCATGGATCATTCGCGGGTTCTTCGTTGCCTAGATTCTTCCCCTGGCGAGGGGGGCCAGCGTATTCCGGCCCATATTTACAAAATAAGCGCTTCTCAGGGTCCGATCCAAGTTATCCAACGGTATGTGGGTTGCACCAATTCAAGTGATGACAATAGCTTTGAGCGACAATACATGTTCCTTTGCACGAGGTGTCAACTTCCTATCGGCTACGAGCATACAGCACCGCCTCTCAAAAGCGGCGGTAAGTTTACATTCATTCTTCCGGGAGCCCTCTCGTACGTTCCATGCATGTCTCTTACCCAAGTCGACAGCAGGGTTTGGCACCCCCCGACGTGCTTCTCGGCGAGAAGATCCAGGCGACGTGATTCTATGGCATGGTCATCTACTTGGCGACAACCCGGCCCACTATATTGTATCGCTAGAGTATTAGACGCGTCGTTGTACACATACCTTCTTGTAATATTTAGCCTATGCCAGTTAGATGTCCATTCTAGTTTACGAACCCAATCATCCAACACCTTAAGCTGTGCATCATTCAGCGTGGAGTAGTCTGATACCGCATCTTTGGGGTTCAAGCTCGACATACCCAGCCCGCGAGACCCATCTTTCCCCGCAAATACAGAGTATCCCTTACCGGGTTCTTTCAGCTCGTACACTCAGGTTTTAAAAACATACCGTACATCTCTCTTCGAGGTGATACATCGAATATTATGCCTTGGATTAGCGTTCATGTCGCGTACCTTTCACGGCCACATAGACCGGTCTTGTCGGATCAGACCCATCGTATTGACTAAGCTCTTCTGGCGTATATTCGTCATCTTTAGGTGGTCTAGGATTAGGATTGTTTGTACACGTACTCCGTTGGCGTTACGGTCGGCTCCATCATTTATGCCACGGTCACGCAACAGAATCGACAGGATTCTACATGCCCTTGCGGGGAATGCTTAGTCATACAGACAACTATTTATTTCGTGTAGCTCGCCGGCTAGGCCGGGTGGCGTAGGGCCAAGTAGGGGTGTGCATACATCAAATGCTTACGCCAGAGTCTGTGGACGTGGAAATCACAGCAAAACTCTGAGGAACGCCATCTGCATTGCGATAAAATGCAATAGGTTCCTTCTCGACGAACCGGCACGTACGGATAGTCTTCCATAACGTCACAAACACGTTCTCCGTCGATTTCATGTAGTGAGGTCCAATACGAGCTTTGAGTGCCTCTGTGGCCTCCCAAGCATTGTAGTGGGGGATCTTGCTGCTGACATGGTGTACAACGTGGGTCTCAGCAATTCCATGGAAGAACCATGGGCCGACAAAGCCGAGCCACTCGCGATCGATAGTACACAGCGCACCACGAGGGAAGTTCCACATAGAAGCCTCGTAGTGAGGCAACCTGGCATCCGTATGCTGGAGATAGGTGATCATAACGAGCCAGTGGTTGGTCCAAAGGTATGGCACGACGTAGTACTTGAAGACATCCATCCAGCCACCAGGTGCCATATGAGCCCAGAGGCCCAGTACCACAAACATAAGCGCAATTCCAATATCAGACACGATGACCTGGCCACGATGACGCTTGTCAAAAATAACTGAATTTGGCGAGAAGTGACTGGTGTATTTCGGGAAATGGGTCTGGCCTGACACATTGAAAAGAAGATAGAGTGGCCAACCCAGCAGCTGCTGGATCAACAACTCGACAAGGTTGAACAGTGGTGAATCTTCGAGCAGTTCGGCAATCCATTCACCCCATGTAGTGTCCTCGGTCACAAGAGGGCCATTGTCATCGGCCGGGCGCAAAGGCAGGAGTCCACGCTCAGGCCTCGTCCGGGGAACAAAAACCTCATCGCGCTTCATATGACCCGTGCCAGCATGATGGCGAGCATGAGAAATGCGCCAAGAGTGATACGGAACCAGAAGAGCAGAGTGAAGGACCCAGCCCACTGAGTTGTTGATAGTCTTGCTAGGGCTGTAGGCCTGATGACCACACTCATGGGCAACAACCCACAAACCTGTAAACACCATTCCCTGCAGAACCGAGTACAAAGTCCACAGACCGAAGGATGCTATATTGTGGGTTGCCTCCAGCGACAAGAAGGGGGCCGCTACATCCAGCTTCGACACCGCGGGATTAATCCAAGAGGCGGCGTAGAAAAGCAAGGAAGCTTGGATGAGGTCAACGGCCAAGTACATCGACGAATACAAGGTCGAGCGCTTGAAGCAATGGGCAGGGATAGAACTTAGAAGATCTTGGACAGTCAGGTCAGGTACATTGTACTGAAACATGTCGTCTTTCGAGTACGTCTTAGCCTGGCGCGGGGCATAGCGCTGCTTCACACCACTCTTCTCTGATGCACTTGCCATTGCGATAAGTTCAAGCAGCTCCCTGCAAAGGCGCCCAGCGCTTCCAATGTAGGGTCAGGCAGGACAGAACTCCGAGTGCCGCTATAGGTTGCTATTTCTTCTTTTTACTTGTGGAGACGCCTGTGTTGATTGGCTGTATCCAGAGTTATTTGCTCACTCGCTCAGTGTTGCGTGCCGGCTGCGCAGGCCCCTGTGCACGTTTACGCTTACGATCGAAAGCCGCTTGGCGTATTCTGGCCACCTCATTACTTGGGGAGCATGGGTCGTTTAGGTCGGTATTCATAGGGGTCATTTCTGGCATGGATTGAATATTAATTCTGTTAGGAATCCCAAGCCATTCACAGAACGCCGCTGTCTGCGGGTTCCGGTAGATGGCAGGGGTCGAGTCGTTTAACGGAGCTGTTCGTGAGAAAGACTGCACCTGGCGTATATCCAAAGCGTGTTTCCCGGCGCTTGCCCATCGTGTTGCTAAGGACTTCTCTTCCCTGGTCAGACTATCACGGAGACCTTTGTCCTGGATTGGCGGTATGGGTTGCTGGTATCTTTGCAGTGAGAAATAGGGGTCCATGGCTTTGGTGATAGCCAACCATGGTTCGTGAAACCGAAATGTGACCTGAGACCGCTCGCCAATTTTACTCGGTGGGGCTGCCTCAGGTGCGTCCAAGTGAAAGAACTACGGTTAGTGGCATTATACAAACATGAAGATAGTCGCCCCGAGGCGTACATTTACTGAGCGCCAGAAACTCTGTCGTGCGTGAAGGCACATCGGTGTCTTCCGCTATACCGTCAGAGTCGTTTTCGTCGTCGACATCGTTTATATCCAGCGCTTCGGGATTCGAGGTGCCCGCGAGACTTGTCCCAGATGGGGCATGTCCGTGCATTACGTGTGCTGCGAAACGGACATGAAGATGCGCCGAAAACCAGTACCTAGGTTGCAGCTCATACAAGAGGGTCTGTAGTGGTGGTGAGCCTAGAGAAGAAGACAAAATTTCTTCGCGGAAGAAGGGCTTTTTGCGGATAAGCTCCTGTACATCACCCCACTGCTCAACGCCATTCGGCCAATCATGCGACATGAAGATATCTGGACTAGAGAGTAGACTCAATTTTGCAATGTCAAAAGCCCGTGTGTGGTACATGCTTCGAAGGTCGCTCATGGAATAGGGCTGGCGTTCAAAGCGCCCACGCATGTAGTCATGGCTCTTGTAGATACCTGATGCAGCAGCAATGACCAGTCCATTGACTTCAACGCATCCTGACGATCCCATGTAGTATATATTCGGGGCAATCCATCCTCCATAGTACAGTTCCCACATGTAATTGCTTGCCTCATGGTTTCCACCAATCACAAGCGTAAGGATCGGTGCTGTTTTCTCCCCGGAATAGTAGGAAGGAAAGTCGCCTAGTCTCTTGTACTTTTCAGGCACGGCCAAGCTAGGAAGGTCGGCCTCGCTGCGAAGGGCCTACGCCATCAACACCACCGTGCGTACCTGGATATCTCCACACAACAGGACGAGGTCGACCTGTTCGCCCGTTTCACGCTCATTCTCAAGAATATCCCTGTAGATGGCATCCAACTCTCCATGCAAGCACCCTTCTACGGCGATCTGGCGGTGAGAGCTGTCTAAACGTACCTTCATGGTCACCAGAGTGTGGAGCCGAAGGCCATGCATCTTGTTTGGCTGACTAACCGATGACGCAGCGATCTGCGCTTGCGCACACAAAGAACGGCTAGGATCTTCGGGGTCCATGTTAGTGCCCAGGATTTCACTGAGCCGAGCGCTACCGACGGTCAGGCTCGGCATGTCCGCTTCGTTCCGTCCCAGAATATCTGCGCGTGTGCTGCGGAGTGTTTCCATATCTACGATGAGCTCCACGGCGTCACCCATGAGCCGCCCGGCGCACGTACGTGCTATGGCTACAGTGGCGTCGACGCCCTCCGCTAGCCCACTACCCCAAGCCAAATTTCAGACACGCTCTATGAAAATGGAGGACGGAAAGGACGTCACTTATGCTACATTCGAAGGCGATATGGAGAAGCCTTTGATGGATAAGCGTGACTATCAACTTGTGCGACTGGGCAATGATCTCGAGGCCCTTGTAATCAGCGATCCAGAGACTGATAAGGCCAGTGCCGCTATGGATGTGCGTGTTGGACACCTGAGTGATCCGGCCGATTTGCCTGGCATGGCCCATTTCTGTGAGCATTTGCTCTTTATGGGCACGAAAAAATACCCCCGCGAAAATGAATACAGCGAATTTTTGTCGAACCACAGCGGCAGCTCGAACGCGTTCACGTCGCTCGAGAACACCAACTATTTCTTTGATGTGGGTCATGCTCATCTGGAGGGCGCTCTGGATCGGTTCGCGCAGTTCTTTCTAGAGCCGCTGTTCGATCCCAGCTGCACAGAGCGGGAGATTCGGGCTGTGGACTCGGAGCACAAGAAAAATCTTCAGTCGGACCTTTGGCGCTCTTTCCAGCTGGAGAAGAGCCTGTGTGACCCTTCTCACGCCTATTCGAAGTTCGGCACGGGCAATCTGGCGACGCTGTGGGAGGAGCCGCGCGCACGGGGCGTGGACATTCGCAACGAACTTCTCCAGTTCCATGCTAAGTACTACAGCGCCAACATGATGAAGCTAGTTGTCCTGGGGCGCGAGTCTGTCGACCAGCTGACGCGCTGGGTCGTGGAGAAGTTTTCTCGTGTCCCCAACAAGGCCTGCGAAGCGCCATTGTTCCCTGGATCGCCGCTCGGGGCCGAGCAACGAGGTACCGAGGTTTTATTCCGCACCATCAAGGACGTGCATGAGCTCGATATCCTGTTTCCCTTCCCTGAGCAGGTGCACTTGTTCCGCAGTAAGCCAGGGCAGCTCATTTCCCATTTTCTTGGGCACGAAGGCCATGGTTCCCTGTTCTCATGCCTGAAGCAGCGCGGCTGGGTAAATGAGCTAAGCGCAGGCTCAGCGTTGAGTGCGCAGGGCTTTGAGCTGTTTAAAATTCACATGGCACTGACTCACGAGGGCTATCAGCACTATGAGGATGTCGTCGCGGCTGTGTTCCAGTTCTTGCACCTACTCAATGCGAAGCCCATTGAGCCATGGATGTACGAGGAGGTGCGACGGCTGAGTGAGCTGCGTTTCGCCTTCAAGGAGAAATCGTCCCCTGCTTTGTACGGCTCGACTCTGGCGAGCCAGATGCAGCAGGGCTTGCCGCCTGCCTGGCTACTCTCCGGCCCCTACATCCTGCGCGAGTTTGATGCAGGCCTTATCCGCTCGACGCTTGACTGCCTTCGCGTGGACAACTGCCGCATCTCGCTTGCCGGCCGTGAGCCCCCGGCGGGGGTGACCTTGGACCGCACCGAGACGTGGTACGGCACGGAGTACACTGTGCGGAAGCTACGGCCGGAGCTCTTGCGCGAGCGCGAGACGCTGCAGGGCATGTCACTTCCCCAGGAAAATTCATTCATCCCTAGCGACCTGCATGTGCTAGGTGCACCCAGTGACCTCCCTCCAACCCAACGGCCCCAGCTGTTGATCCACGATGCCAAAGGGCGCTTGTGGCACAAGCAGGATGATCGCTTCTTTTTGCCAAAAGCGAATGTGGCTCTGCTGCTGCGCACACCTGCAGTGAACCACTCGCCGCGCACTGCAGTACTCTCGCGGCTGCTCGTGGAGCTTGTGAAGGATGCGCTCTGCGAGTACTCCTATGATGCCGACGTGGCTGGCCTGCACTACACGGTGGATAGCCAGATGGACGGCATTGACATTATTGTGGGCGGCTACAACGACAAGCTGCCCAAGCTGCTGCAGTCTGTCCTTGACTCCCTCACCCAGCTTCAAGTCGATGCAAAGCGCTTTGAGATCATCAAGGATCAGGTCCGTCGCAATTATCAAAACTTTGATCTGGAGGAACCGTTCCAGCACGCGGCGTACTACGCGTCGTACCTGCTCACCGAGCAAATGTGGACACAGCACGAAAAATTACAGGTCATTGACCATATACAAGCGGCGGATGTCCAGGCGTACATTCCTGAACTGTGCAAGGCCCTATTTGTCGATATGCTGGTGCACGGCAACATCAGCGCTGCACAGGCGCGTGGCCTGCTGTCGGATGTACAGGGCCGACTGGCCTTCGAGGCGCTTTCCCCGCGCGACACGCTCCCACCTCGCTCCCTGTTGCTCGAGCCCGGCTCGCGTGTGTCGTGGTACGTACCAGTGGCAAATCCGGGGAATGTAAACTCGTCGCTGGAGTACTTTTGCCAGGTGAGCGACCCGAATGATGTTCCGCTGCGCGCCCAGCTCGCCTTATTCGCACAGATCGCCAGCGAGCCGTGCTTTGACCAGTTGCGCACCAAGGAGCAGCTCGGCTACCTCGTCTACAGTGGAGTGCGCATGTCGATCGGACAGGCAGGTTTCCATGTGATTGTGCAGTCCGAGCGCGACTCAGACTATCTCGAGTCGCGTGTGGATGCCTTCCTGGAGCAACTGCTGCGCCAGATGCGTGCGATGAGCGCAGACGAGTTTGAAGCACACCGCCAATCCCTTATCCACAAGCGTTTGGAGTCTGTGAGGAACCTGGCCGAGGAGACCAGCCGGTTCTGGCGCACCATCCGCTCGGGCTACTTTGACTTTATGAACCGTGAGCGTGATGTGGCTGCGCTAGAGCGGCTGAGCCAGCAGGACGTGATTACTTTCATGGAGCATTACATCTGCCCCAGCAGTCCCCATCGCTGCAAGGTCGTGACGCATCTCCAGGCACAAACCCCCGCCGGCGATGTGCTAACACTCCATCCCGGGGTGCTGCCGGCCTTTTTCCAGTTCCTGGAGGGCCACGGAATGGCAGTGCCTGCGGACGCACAGGAGACGCTCGCAGCACAGCTCACGAGCACTGCCTCGCTCACTTCGTTTGTGAAGCAGATGTGTGCGGAAGGCGACCTGCCATCGACACTATCGGAACCAGCGCTGCTGGCCGAGGTCGACCGTTTGCTCAAGGCTATGCCCTCTGTGCCCAAGCCGGAGACGGAGCCTGTGCTCCCGCCTGCTCCCCGGGATGTGCTGGAACCCGTGCAAGTGTCGGATGTCCGTATATTTAAGGAGGGCCTGGCCGCGAGTGCACACGCTGAGCCTGTGCTGCCTATGGAGGTGTATGCACGCGATCCCCACACGGCTGTGGACGAGGCGCTGTACCTCCCTGCCCAACCCGCGGCTCACCGTGCACAGCTATAGTTAGGTCATTACAAGTACGTTCTATGGAGCCCAGCTGTTTACTTGCGGATCACCTTGGGGGCCTCACCGCCGTTCACGAAGCCGTCGGCACCCGCGTAGGTGGCGTCGCTCTCGACGTGCTCAATACGTAGGAGGGCATTGTACTTGGCCACACGCTCCGTACGAGCCGGAGCACCAGTCTTGATGATACCCGAGTTCAGGGCGACGGCCAGGTCGGCGATGGTCGTGTCCTCCGTCTCACCCGAGCGGTGCGACACCATGACTGCCCAGTTGTCCGACTGAGCGAGCTGCGCCGCCTGGATCGACTCGGAGATGGTGCCGATCTGGTTGATCTTCAGCAGGAGACCGTTGCAGGCCTTCTTCTCAATAGCCGTCTTGATACGCAGCGGGTTCGTCACCGTCAAGTCGTCGCCAATGATGGTGATACCAGCCGACTCGCGCAGGATGGTCCAAGCCTCCCAGTCGTCCTGGTCGAAGGGGTCCTCAATTGAAATGATCGGGTACTTCTGGATGTAACCCTTGTAGATCTCAGCGAGCTGGGCACCCGTCAGCCACTTGCTCGAGTCCGACTGGGGGTTCTTGAAGTCCAGGTCGTACTTGCCGTCCTTGTAGAACTCCGAGCTGGCCACGTCCAGCGAGATGTTCACGCGACCCTCATAGCCAGCCTTCTTGATGGCGTCCATCAGCAGGTCCAGCGCCTCATCCGCCGAGTGCACGTTGGGCGCAAAGCCGCCCTCGTCGCCGACATTCGTGGCGTCAATGCCGTACTTCGCCTTGATCACCTTCTTCAGCGAGTGGTACACCTCCGTGCCGATCTGCATCGACTCGGTGAAGCTCTTCGCACCAGTCGGCACAATCATAAACTCCTGGAAGGCCAGGGGGTTGCCCGCGTGCGAACCACCGTTGATCACATTCATGGCGGGGGCAGGCAGGATGTACGGCTTACCGGTGTTGGCGAGCTCCGACAGGTACTTGTACAGAGGGACGCCCTTCTCACCCGCAGCAGCCTTGGCCACGGCAATCGAGACACCGAGGATGGCGTTCGCACCGAGCTTGCCCTTGTTCGGGGTGCCGTCCAGCTTGATCAGGAAGTCGTCGACGTCCTTCTGCGAGGTAACGGGAATACCCGACTTGATCAGCTCAGGGGCAATCACGTTGTTGACATTGGCCACCGCCTTGTCCACGCCTTTGCCGACCCACTTGGACGCATCACCGTCACGCAGCTCCACGGCCTCGTGGACACCAGTCGAAGCGCCCGAGGGCACAGAAGCGCGGAACAGACCCTTCTCAGTGGTCAGGTCCACCTCGACCGTGGGGTTGCCACGAGAGTCAATAATCATGCGAGCCTCAATCTTTTGGATGGTCATCGTGGATAGGGAATCGGTGAAGCCCTGAGCGGCCCGGCCGGGCTTTTAAATACACTGGACAGCGCGGCCGTGCGTGCGCTTCGCCACGTGGATGTCTACAAGTAATCGGGTCCTGCATAGAATGTTCGCTGGGCACGAGCCACGTAATGCCTCGTGTCCATCTGCATGGCCTACTCACTGGGTCTACGTTGCGGTCAACTGCCAGGGAAGGTCCCAGACTTCTCGCCACTCGTCTTCGGAGCGTGGCAAGTCTGGCCATGGCATGCCCGAATACTGGTACTTGGGCAGATGCATGCACCGCACGAGAGGCCCCAGTGCGTGCCATTCGATAGAAGGGACCGCCTCGCGCGTCGGGAACGGCGCCGCCTTGAGCTGATGCGGTGACGTAGCCAATTTTTGCAGGTGCAAGAGCAGCACGCGAGCGACGGCCGGGAACATTTTGAGCGAGTAGTTCTCATAGAGGGCGCTCACGAACTGCCTCAGTGTCCATGCGTAGCGGGCCGCTTGATGGCAGCGCAGTCGCGCCACGAATTTCTCTGGATAAGCGATGGCCTGCATCACATCTTTCTTTTCGCCAGGCCGGCAGGCAAAGAGCGCAATCAGCTGCTCCTCACGATCGAGGCGGTGCTGGATGTAGCGCCGCAGCGTGTCTTTCCCCTTCGGTACCACTTCGCCATGCCCGGGAAACAGCACATTCTCACCCGCCATGCCTGATATGGGTGTGCCGACAACGCCCAGGGGCGTGGCACTGCGGCTCGACAATACGTCCAGACCGCGCTGGAGGCTGTGCATGTACAGGATGAGGTCCTCGAACACCGTCGATCCGCGGCCCAGCACATTGTCGCCGGTGAGCAGGATATGGTCCTCTTCCAGCAGGAACATGACGTGATCTGCTGCATGCCCAGGTGTGTACAAAGCCCGCAGAGTCGACACGAGACGCGGGTTCTCGGGGTCCACCACGGCCACCGACACTTGGTCCCGCAGGGGCCACATGACGCTCTCCCACCCCTGCTTCGAAGGAGCAGGCACATACGCCCCCGGCGGCACATAGCGCACCCGCTCAAAAAAGCTCGCGTCCGTACGCGGGTCAGGAAACTTGTGCACACGCGGTACGGGGATCTGCACATGGGGCGCGGCCTCGCGACGGAGCCTGTCTAGCATCCGGAGGACAAATGGTACACCACCCACATGATCATGGTGCCAATGCGTGAGGATTCTGGGTAAGTGAAGCCAACGCACATATCGGTGAGGGCGAGGCGCACTGGCCCATTGCCCTCGTCAAGCATCGATAGGTTGCCGCGCAGCACTTGCTCTAGGAAGGGCACATAGTCTTCTCTAGCATCGCCTGTATCTACCAGCATGACTGGAAGGAGCGTCTCGCGATCCTCAAAGTTCCAGTCACACGGCGGCATAATGAGGTACGTGTTCGTGCCTGGGTCAGCGCTGCCAACGTGCCTTGGAGTGTGAAGGAGCTCGGATTCTGTCCCAAGATACGCACAGTCCGCTGATTTAGGCGCGTCACATTGGCCATACGATCCAGCTTGTTGCTGCCGGCTGGATCCGCCATGGTCGGTGCGCTGCGATTTCGCCGAGGCGGTTGCTTCGGGGACGGTGTCTGACTAATTCCACGCCACCATGACGCTGGAGCCGCCGGAGGCGGTGGAGCTGGGGGACCAGGCTGCCTGGGTATGTACGCGTCGCTTACCGCAGACCGCTTCGTCGGAACCAACCACAGGGACGGTAGCCGAGAAGGAGCGCCTCGTTCGGTATGTACGCCGCAGGATCTGACCCTAGGGAGGTCCTTTCGCTCCAGAGCGGCCTGGCAGGTACGTGCGCGACGACTCATGCCAGCCCTCCAGGAGCGCCTATGGCAGGTGAAGCAGGAATGCGCCAAGTCCGAGACGGAAAATGAGATGCTTCAGACCTATATTGACAGCATCACGAAGAGCATGGCATCGCAGCGCGACTAGAAGCCACCCAGCCGCTTCTTTTTCCTCGCTGGCGCCCGTGGGGCCTGAGCAAAGCGACCAGGCTCGAGCTGCGTCTGTGGCATGGGCGTATCCTGACTCGAGGGCACCTGCGAGGCAGGGACCGCGTGCTCGCGCGCCTGGGATGCACGGGGGCGCTCGTCCGCTGCCGGCCGGGACGCGCGGCGAGCGCGGATCACAGCTTGCCGCACAGGCTGACTCGCCGACGGAGCATGTAGCTGTGCCGCTGCTGTGCTGCGATAGGTCGGCGCCAGATCGAGTCCGCCGTAGGGGTTCTCGTAATTGTATGTGCTTGTAGGCGCGCCTAGCGGCCATTCCATGAGTAGCATCTTGGCCGTCTCGCTGAGCTCCGTGCCGGCCGGGAGAGCCAGCGGCGGTGTCTCGGGCGCCTGCGGCTCGGACGTGTGGTCCCATCGCCAGTTGCCATTTTGCGGCTCGGGCACCTCGCAGCAGCTCGGCCCTGGTACCCACGTCGTAGCCAGCGCCACGTCCACGGCCTCCTGCATGCGCGCCTCGGCCAATGCATCAGGCACAGCGCTGTGTCTCCGTTGAAGCCAAGATAGCATATCGCGCGCTGCTCTGGGCGCAGCCGCGTCGACCAGGGGCGCAAGGTGCGCGGTCGGAAAGATGTCCCATACACGGTCGAGGGCGCCCTGACTGGCTTCCGATGCTAGCAACGTAGGGCTGTGTGCTGCGGCGCCCGTGTGCAGGAGCGACGAACCAGCACGGTCTGGATCTTGACTGCATCGATACAGCCGATCAAATCTGTGTGAGCACAGTGTACATACAGGGTATGAGGGACAGGCACAAGCTTGGTGGGCGGCTCATGCAGCGCAGCAAGGCGCTCAGGCAGTGCATGCCCAAGACTGTCAGGGGTATCTGTGCCGAGCCATCCCAGCACCGTCGCTGCGGTAAGTCAGCGTGACCCACCTTTGTACAGGGTACGGAAGTCGACGGGTGTCGTCTCGAGTTCACCGAAGGGCCCCGCATCGTGGGTGTTGCAAGCCTCATTTTCATTTTGCTGCGCCTGTGACGACCACAGGACCTGCGACGCAGGGCTGTGGTCGTCTCGGCCCTCCTCAGGCAAAGGGCCGAGCCACTGCGCATAGAGAGCCCCGCGCATGGTTTGTTCCAGCTGCAACACATGGCCATGATGCGCCGGTGTCCAGTCATCCCAGCCAGGCAGCGCCGTCATATCCACCAAGCACGGCGGCGCAGGCGACACTGGCTCGTGCGCCAAGAGCGACGAGGCATGCAGCATACTTGGCATAGAAAAGGCCAGGTGGGTCTTGTCGTGCCGCACATCGTACAGGGTGCGTAACCTGTTGCGTTGCGACGACAAACAAGTGATCGCATGCTCAGCCGTCCCAAGTGATGTTAGCGAGAGCGTCCGATCAAAGCCGCGCCGGTGCGTCCACGTATGAAGCGGGACGGATGGATACCGTGTATCGTAGTATTCGACCACATCTGTCGTCGCCATCGTCACTAGAGGGGCATCATACGATAGCGACGGCGAGCAGATCGACGTGATCTTCGCTCGCCGGAGTGCCTCGACGGAATGCGACGTGCTCGCCACCACAGCATGTTTCGGGGCACGAAGGTCGACGGCCATCAGGGTCGAGCACGAGGCTGCCCAGACGGACGGACCTGCCTTGGCCGCAAGCATCCAGATGTGATCCGACTCGTCTCGAGGAAGCTGCATACATTCGCGACTGTGTGAGACAACGCACGTACGGTTTCTGAGCAGCAAAATCCCAAACACGCAGCGTACCATGCGCATCTACGAGATGCGCCTGGCTGTCCTGCGTCGCGAGCGCATCAACTTGTCGCGTAGGTACGGCCGCTCCTGTGTGTACGTGGGCTAACACGCGCACGACGAAGCGCGGACCTGTGTCGTCGGGGGCGAGCGCCATCACGCGGCCCACAAAGGTCGTCGTCCACGTCCGCACAAGGATCTGCGTATCTGCGTTGCAGCGTGCGACCTGCAAGATCGGCGCAGTCGTCTGCAGAGCTGGGAGTGCTGCCGCGATGCATTCGACCTCAGGGCCATCTCGCCGAATCGTCGAAATGTCTAATGTTAGCAAATGGACATACAGAGATCCGAACGATTCTGTCCGCCCACACAGACGAGCCACGCTTCTCCCCGCGAACCTGGCAGGACGATGGTGGTAGGCCCTGTATGCATGTGTCCCTCGTCGGCTTGACGCAGCTCGATCTGCTCGTCGTTCAGGACGGCCTCTGCAAGCACATGCGACGGGACATCCACACTCATATGGTACCTGCGCAGAAATGTAAGTGCATGCAGTGCGCGCTCGTGCACCGGTGTCTGATGATGAAGGGGGATGCCATGGCGCCCCGTATTGGGAAACCAATGCTGGGCACGTGTCACGGCATTTAGAGCGGGGCGCGTTTTGAAGCGCGCAGGTACATGCCACGACAGACGACCCACCCCTCGTCCCTCGGCTTGCACGAGGGCAGCTGAGCCGCTCTCGTCCAGCACTTGTAGGGAGCTCGTCTTGGCTGGCGCGTCGCGCTCGACGCGGCGAGAAAGGTGGAGGAACAACTCGGTTCCTGCCACACTTGGGACCCACTAGGTATCTCTATGCAAGCTAGATCGATGCAGCGGACTATGACACCGACGATGTCTTGAGCATCTGAGCCAGCAGGCGATCGACCGTCTGAAGTGGCGGCGGCGAGGGCACCGTCGAGTCATGAAGCGGTGTCATGTTGGTTGAAGGTTCTGCACTGGCTGGCTCTGACAGCGGCGACCTGGCGCCGCGATTGGCAAACTTGGGCGTCGGGAGACTCGCTGCGGATGGCGAGTTGTGGAAAGTAGGGCCGGCATAGGCCACAGGCGCGCTACCCTGCTTCTTTTGCGGCGTATTCGGCACCCGTGTGTTCTTGTTGCTACCCTTGGACTTGCCAGCTTTACGGCGCTCCGGCGTACCAGTTGTACCTGGTGGGGCCGACTTGGGTCGCAGTGCAGACTCGCCTCCAAATGTTTGCTCGTCCCGCGCATCGGCCGCATGATCGAACGCTGGTCCCACGCGCTTGCTCTGTAGAAAGAGCTCCTGCTGCCACGTCATATTGGAGCCAACCTTCTCCACCGCAGGCGCCTTGGTCTTCTCCTTCTTCTTGGGTGCCTCGGTATTCTTCTCCTTTTTCTTGCGTGGCGCTTGATTCCAAGATGGAGTCATCATCTGCTGCTGCCATGTCATCTGATTGGGGGGCGCACCGCCCACAGTAGGGTGGTCATTCGGGTTCTTATCCATACGATATCAGTGCTATCAATCAATGTATTTCGAGGTATACTGTTCAATGTTCGTGTCGACAAAAATGGTTTCGTTCGCAGTGTAGGCCATCGATTCAACGTCGACAGTGGGGAACACCTAGCGTGCCGCACGCGGCCGTCTCCGTCCACGTGGGATTAGTCAGACACTATGGATGCTCTACCACCAGGTACGCCGGTACCTGCTTCACGTCCGCGCCGTCATCGTAGAACATGAGCTTGTAGGGAGCTTGCAGCATATCTGCATCGCGTCTTTGCGACTAGTGTCAGTAAAATCGGCCCACCTTGCTCCGCAGCGTGTGCGCTTGGGTGTTGGGGCCACCCCCCTGCACCGTCGCCCAGTAAAAGCAGCTTGTGTCGGGATACAGGGCCAGCACACGCGTCCCGATTGCATATTCTTCTGACGGAAGGGTATCTGCGCTGTTGGGCAATGGGATGATCGAGTCGATAGTCGTATTCCATGTGCTTTGTGTGAGCCTCGTACACGTACGGTCCACCAGTGCTCTCATCTTCCGCGTCCTGGACCACATACCGGTACTTGTCGCCATGAATCGTGCCCATCACCGTGGCCAATATCCACTCTTCCTCGGAGCCACTCTGTCCATCGCGAGGTGGCTGACAAAAGGCCACTTTTCTCCCACGTTGCAGCGGTAGCTGGCTCTGGAGTGCCGCCATTCTGCCGTTCTCCTCCATGGATCCAGATGACCGCGCTTTTCGCAGCTCCAAAGTCTTAGAATGGTCTTCCAAGGCAGTCTCTGGGAGATCTATCTCCTCTGTTTTCCGCTTTTTCCGTCGACTTTCTGCCGTGTTTGCAGACGCTCGTCGTAGAGCCATAAGGATATCTAGCTGCTCAACAGCCCCTTTGATGCACCTTCATATAAGGCTGTGTAGAACATACCTGATCTCATCTTGTACACTGTGTTCCACCACACCATACAGGGTATCCAAGTTTTTTGCATCTGCACTGGCACGTAGTAGTTTCTCATATCCAGCCAACGATGAAGACCGCGCCGTTTCCAGTGACCTCAAGTGCCCTCTTACTGCCTGCCAAACCTGCATCTCTTCCGATGATGCAAGAGGGGCCCGCTCGGTCCTCCCTCGCACCGACATGCTCTGTAAGTGCGTGACCGAGGCTGTCACCGCCGTACCTCCACCTGCCACCAACTCATCGCTCAGAATGGCCCTTCCTAACCTGCGCGCCATTTTCCGGTCCGTGCCTTCCGATTGACCTTGTAGCTCATCGCGGACGGTATTCCAGGAACGTGAGCTTTCTCACGCGGCATGGCTCCGCTTTGTGGGATTTGTGGTTTCATGCATCTCTATAGCTTGGGTCGCGACTCGGTCCAAGCGACTGGCTTAGTTGGTATGCAACTACGGACTGCCTTGCTGCTCTAGTAAGGCATGGAGCCGTATCTCGTCTTCACTGGCCATCAGCTCCTCTAACAGGTAGGTGAGTCCACCGCCGTCGTCGTCATCACCATCCATGAAGCCCCCAATGTTGGAGAGGGAGATACCCACGCGGTGATCGGTGACGCGGTCCTGCGGGAAGTTGTACGTGCGCACACGTTCGCTACGATCCGCACTGGCCACTTGAGAGCGGCGAAGCGCCTTGTTCTCCTCCGCCTCCTTCTTCAAGTGTCGGTCCAACAGGCGAGCACGAAGCACCTCCCATGCTTTGGCTCGATTTTGATGTTGGCTGCGCGAATCTTGCATGGACACTGTAATCCCCGTGGGGTCGTGCGTCAGACGGACGGCCGACTCGGTTCGATTGACGTGTTGCCCACCCGCACCTCGCGCACGCATCGTCTCTATCCTGACGTCTTTGGGATCCAAAATGTCGTCGGCCTGCTCCTCGCCTCCCTGCATAGGAAGCACAATGATCGCAATCGTACTCGTCTGCAGCTTTCCGAGATTTTGTGTAGCAGGAATTCGCTGCACGCGATGTACACCCGCTTCAAATCGAAGCGCCTCATACGCCTGCTCGCCATGCACCTGCAAGATCGCTTCACGCAGAGCATCGCTGGAGCCACTGCTCGTTGATACATCTACCGGCGTGGCAGAGAGGAGCTCAACGCGCCAGCCCGATCCCAGAACGCGATCCTTTCCAGACTCGAGCGCTTGTTGTGCACGATTTTCGCAGTACTTCATATACATACGAAGCATTTCACTCAGGAAGAGACAGGACTCTTGTCCACCCACACCTTGTTTCAATTCAATGATAGCACCCTTGCTCTTCACAGAATTCGACGTAGAAAGAATTTGGCTTTGTAGATCTTGGTATCGTGCTCTCTCACTGTCATGCATAGACGCAAGTTCCTGCTGCGCCATGTCCAACAAATCGGCATCCTTTTCTGTCTCTACCAAACGCTGCGTTTCTTGCACCGTCTGCGTTAACTCAATATACACACACCTTCACCTGATCTTTCCACGCTAAAAACGCCTTGTTTAATGCTTCCATATCTTTTATCTTTTGAGAGAATCCTGGCGCGCCGATCTGCACGCGTCAACATGGATCACCTACATTTTGAAGCAGGGCCTCGCGCTGCGCCAGCATGCGCAAGGCCACTTTTTCGACCACATCCACCTTGCCAGGCTGACTTGCAGCAGAAGATAATGTGCGAAAACGTACACCCACCGCATATAAGGCGCGGCCCGTTCGCCAGACAGGGCGCCCTGCCATATTCTTCCAGTGTGGGGGGCGCTGTCCGCCCAAGGGTCCTGTACTGGGCACGTGGCATGTAAGCCTACTAGGTCCTCTAACAAGTACCGTGGCGCCCGACTCTCGGCCGCCCGCTGTTGGCGCACCTGGCCGCAACGCGACGATCCGTGACGCCTCACGATGCCCTCTGATCCAACGGCGTATACGCTGGTAGCCTCTAATGGAGGCTACCAGTTGGACATGTCGACACAGGAGCTCCGTGCGAACCTTCAAAGTCAGAACGATGAGGTCAAGCTGGAGACGCTCCGTGCCATTATCGTATCGACGTTGAATGGCGAGTCGCACGCGTCGCTCCTGATGCCGATCATCCAATATGTACTCCCAAGCAAGAACAAGCAGCTCAAGAAGATGCTCCAGTTCTACTGGGAAGTGTGCCCCAAGCTTGATGCCGAGGGCAAGCTGAAGCAAGAGATGATCCTGGTATGCAACGCCATCCGGAACGACCTTCAGCACCCCAACGAATACATCCGAGGCTCCACCCTGCGTTTTCTCCAGAAGATCAAGGAGCAGGAAATCCTTGAGCCATTGATTCCGACAGTGCGCCAATGCCTCGAGCACCGTCACAGCTACGTGCGCAAGAACGCGGTAATGGCGATCTGGACGATCTACCAGCGTCATGAGCAGCTGATCGTGGATGCTCCGGAGCTCATGGAAGAGTTTCTTGCGAATGAATCAGACGCAACGTGCAAGCGCAATGCACTGCTGATGCTAGTGTACTGTGCACCAGAGCGGGCGGTCGAGTATTTGTCCAGCGTCATGAGCCAGGTGCCCGTGATGGATGAACTCATGCAGCTTGCGGTTATCGAGCTGATTCGTCAAGAGTCGAGGAATGAGAGCGCTAACTTGTCGGAGTATATCCAGGTCGTATCAGAACTCCTGGCGTCCTCGAGTCATGCAGTAAAGTACGAGGCCGCCATTACTCTTGCAGGATTGGCGCATAATGTGCCTGCTGTCAAAGCCGTTGCCAGTGCCCTGATCGAGCTCACTGTGCAAGAAAGTGACAACAATGTCAAGCTGATTGTTCTCGACCGTCTGGATGGTCTCCGCCAGCGCCATGACCATGTCCTTGACCCCTTGGTGATCGAGCTCCTCCGTGTCCTGTCTAGCTCCGATATGGATGTGCGCAAGAAGGTCCTGGATATGGCACTGGAAATGATGTCTATCCGCACTGTAGAGGAGGTGGTACTCACCCTGCGCAAGGAGCTAACGAAAACGTCGCAGTCCCAAGATGCCAACACCGACTACCGTCAACTCCTTATTAAGTCATTACATACATGCGCGGTGCGCTTCTCCGAGGTTGCTGGAGATGTAATGCGTGAGCTGATGAACTTCCTTGGCGATTCAAGCAGCACCAGTGCTGTGGATGTCATTGCTTTTGTCCGCGAGGTGGTGGAGCGTTTCCCTGACATGCGTGAGAACATTCTCGCCAAGCTCATCAGCTCGTTCTCTGACTTCAGAAATGGGAAAGTGTACCGAGGCGCTCTCTGGGTGGTCGGCGATTACTGTATGTCGATCAACAGCGTCAACGAAGCCATGCAGCAGATCCGCCAGGTGCTTGGCGAAGTCCCGATTCTTGCTGCTGAAGAACGAGCTGCGGAGCAGACAGAGCAGCCCTCCGTGGAAGACGAGCCATCTTCAGCACCACGCACCGTGCCTACGACACGAGTTCGCGCCGACGGCACCTATGCTACTGAGTCTGCCCTCACCGTGGAAGCACCCATTGAGAAGCCGAGCTCGCGCAGCAAGCCACCGCTTCGCAGTCTGATCCTCTTTGGCGACTTTTACACGGCGTCAGTGTTGGCAGCGACCTTGGTCAAGCTTGTTCTCCGCTTCTTAAGCCTCTCCTCAGATGAAGCAGCTAACAATCGGCTTCGCGCTGAAGCTATGTTGATCATGACGTCTATTGTCCGTGTGGGCCAGTCCAAATATGTTGCTGCTACGATTGATGAGGACTCCAAGGAGCGCATTATGACTTGCCTTCAAATTTTGGGTCGTGCCACGACTTCGCTTGATGAAGCTCAAGCGGCTGCAGAGGTTTTCCTCGATGCTTCCCGCGACGCATATGCCCATGTGCTTCAGCATGAACGCCAGAAGGAGTCAGAACGCTCTAATCGACACCAGGAAGAGACTTTGATCCAGCCTCAAACTCAACTGTCATTCCGGTTACTCGGTGATTCCAAGGGCCAAGACGAAGAGATCGACTTTACGGCTGAGTTGAGTCGTGCAACTGGCATGTCTGCGGTTCCGAAGGACGACTTTATCAGCAAGCTGCAACGTGTTGTACAGCTGACAGGCTTTTCTGACCCTATCTATGCGGAAGCATACGTGGATGTGCATCAATTTGATATCTTGCTGGACATCCTGGTGGTGAACCAGACGCAAGAGACGTTCCAGAACATGAGTGTGGAACTTGCAACGTTGGGTGACCTCAAGCTAGTAGAGCGCCCTTCCACATATACTTTGGCCCCTTACAGTTTCCAGAGCATCAAGGCCACTATTAAAGTTTCTTCTACAGAAACGGGTGTCATCTTTGGCAACATTGTATACGAGCGTGCGAGCGGAGGTGCGAGTAGCACTGGTGACAGCTCTTATGTTGTTCTGAATGACATTCACGTGGATGTCATGGACTACATCTCACCTTCTGTTGTTAACGAAACACAGTTCCGCAGCATGTGGACTGGCTTCGAATGGGAGAACAAGGTCAACGTTAAGACAAATCTTTCGTACGTATGGAATAAACTGACCTGCAGTGACGTCCGCGAGTATCTTCGGCACATCATGAAGGCCACTAACATGGCTTGTCTCACACCTGAGGCTAGTCTGGCTGGGGAATGCGGGTTCCTCAGCGCGAATCTCTCCGCGTCCAGCTTATTCGGGGAAGATGCTCTTGCGAATGTTAGCATTGAGCGTCTAGACGATGGTACCATCCAGGGTCATGTCCGTATCCGCTCAAAGACGCAGGGGATCGCTTTGAGTCTGGGCGATAAAATCACGCTGGGTACGTATGCGTAGCTAAGCAGACTAATTCGAAACAGCCCAAAAGGCGGCAGCGTAGAAGATATAGGGCTTGCGAAATCGCCGATCTAAAAAAAAGTGAACCAACTGACGTCAATGATTGGCTTAGAGTCCAGGTCGGGGAGATTGTTGCCCGACGCGATTTAATCTTTGGCACATCTGTCTGCCGAGCTAAGGTAGCGATCCTTGGTAGGATGAAGTTTGGAAAAAGCTATCTGGACCTTTTGGAGAGCTCTCAATTTCCAGAAGAATGGAAGGAAAGTGCCATCGAATACAATTATGTATGTGCATATCTCTGATATATCAGCTGAAAAAGTTATTACATGATGTCGTACACGAACTTGAATTGTACGGTCTTACAACAGATGTCGTGGACGACTTGATGAAGGATTCAGAATACTCGTCACAATCATCGTCTCATTGTGCCAGCAGTGAAAATCTATGTGCTGATACCAATGGTATGGATGGGCCTGAGTGTGCTGCCACGCCCGCTTCTCGATGGATATCTTCTCTTCCCCGAGACGAACGATACACACATCCTATGTCTTCTAGGCTGGTCTCGCGCTCGAAATCTCTCGGATCTATCAAATTGACTGCACATCCTTCTCAAAACTCACCGAATACCTTTCTTTTGTCTTCGAATGCTCCTCATGTCAAGTCATCTGTGCCAAGTCCCAGGCGACACTCTTTACACAGTATTCACTGGTCTCCTCCTACTCTCCCCGATATCACTGCACATCTCCCTCCATTGAGTTTGCCTCGCTCTTCTGGTATACAAGTGGGGAATGAGAATCCTACGAACCAGGTCTCTGGCAACAATCCATTTCCATCTGCGAGAGTTTCACAGCCCCCTAGTGCGACAAACTGGATGGATCGAAAAGCACCTGAACTACTTCCTGATGATTCATCTAGTTATACTGCTTCTTCGCACGGGCATTTGAGTTCGACCAAGGCCGACGAGCCACACTGGGTCGAATCTGATACTGGGCGTCGTGTAAGGGCACAATATCAACTCTTCAATGACTCACTTTCTTTGCATCCTCAGCTGGTACTCTTTGTCGAGTCACCTAATGCCATGAAACCGTCCGAGTCGCTGACCGCATCGCCAGCAACTATGGACCTTCCTCCTTCCGAATCTGATTCATCTACTCCTAAATATACAGGACGTTCGAGTGTATTTACTTCTCAACACGTTGGTTCGGAAAAAAAACGAGTTGATACACTTGATTTGGGTCCCGCTGCAAAGGAACTTCCAAGTTTATCATCCAAAGAACTTACTGATCCCCACAATGTAGAAGAACGGGTTGGTTATCATCAACGCAAGCTGGTGATTCCCCTTCTTGCAGATGAACGCTTTTTTCAGTCATTGATCAAGGCCATCCGAAATTTACTACAACTCCATGTCATTCAACAAAATACCTTGATTCTTCATGTGAATACCCTCTGTGATGCTATTGCTGAAGTTGCAAGTCCCACACATACGCATCAAGATATGTATGCGTGGCGCGAAATCTTTGCGCTCTGGGTTGAGTATGACATCTTTGAAAGCTCTCGGGAAAAAGATCGAGGTGAACTCAGTGTAGCAGCCACGGAGACCCGTTTCCACAATTATTTGGAGCAACTCGAAAAGCGAGGATTCCTCTTTCCTCATCGCAGTGAAATTCTAAAAGGTTCATGGGTTTCGAGCACTTTGGATTCTTGGGCACTTCAAGCTTTTGCTCCGAATAATCCATTGCAGGATCCTCGGAGTATTGGAACATTGGAACATTTCCTGCGCCTCAATGTGGCAATTGTTTCATTAAAACGTTTTCAACGTCTTAATATTGAGACGATCAGGAAGATTCTCAAGAAACACCAGAAAAAGACAGCTTTGCATGCAAGTACTAGTATCGGGCAAATTACTACACTTCCTGCGGCTCATCAGCTCATACGTGCTGCCTCCGTTGATTCACCCTTGCCAGAACTTGACTGGGACAAAGCCTCTGATGGTGATATCCTCAAATCACTCACAGCGCTCGCTCCCGTCAATGAACGCTCACCTATGCAGCTTTCTCTTCCTCGTATATTGGCTTCGATCATGACAAATGCCCTGCTCCCGATTCTTCCAAGCATTGATGACTACAGCTGTTTGGTTTGCATGTCAATTGCGTATCACCCTATCCGGCTTCGGTGCCACCACCTGTTCTGCATTCGTTGTTTGGTCAAGCTACAGAAACAAGGTAATAACCATTGCCCTCTTTGCCGAGCGGAGGATGCAGTTAAGGACGCAGATGAAAATAATCTAGATATGGCTATGGCTGCTTATCTGCGGGAATGGTTCCCAAGAGAAGTCGAAGAGAAAATTCAAGAAAATACAAACGACCGTCTAATACAAGAAAGACACGAGAAAGAACTTAGACGAAAGGGCCTTAAATCGAAATTACGTCTACGCCGGCATCGTAGCGGCGATGCTGATTGTGTCATAATCTAATTGTTTTTAGGAGGCTGGTGTACTTTCATTAGCTGCTAGTGTACTAAATAATGTCGTCATGAATTAGAAGCTCATCAGCACATAGTTTTACCACCTAATGTTGTATTCTGCCATAATCAATGGCATCATGTATTCTATCCTCGTATGTTCGCTTCATCTACAAGAGTGCGACTTTGTAGAACGGGTTGTGCTCATCTTACATCGCCCCATATTTACTTATATCAGTGTATTTTTTCCGCTGCCGAAGCTATTGCAATCATTTATCGTTACATGTTGATGCGTAAGAGTGGTATTTCAAATAATTCACAAGGCCATTATTGACAGGGATGTACGGTCGACTTGATGATAACGACCCGGTATAGTCTTTAGATCGTCCGGGTATAGATCATTTCTCATATCCACCTTAGTCCTAGTTTTAGCAATTTGATGCTCAAGTTTTAACGTTTCACCCTCTGACAGGGCCAGATTTCGTTCCATTTTGAACAAGACATCCAGGCACCACGAAGACTGGTCCTCACCTAGTTCACTATCGGGCAACGGTGCTTGATAGCAAATGGTTTCCAAATCATCAAGACACATAGGCACACTTCCAATCTTTAATCTGTGCCGGGATAAAATCCCAAGCGACTGATGGGAATCGTTGGATGGGTCAAGTATCGATGGATCCAAGTGAACCCTCGTTGGCCAGTATCGGTTGTATCCATCTTGTTCCACATACCAAGCAATTGCATGTCCTTCATCAAAACGTGTGCTTTTGACCGCAATCATCACTTGACTTTGGATCGACGACCATGATGATAAGAAAAATATTTCCAAGGCGACAATCCTACCCCGAAGAGACGGGGCAAGCATCCCTTGACTGGAACTGCTCACTCAGTTGCTTGAAGGTTGGAAGGTAAAATACACAGTAGGTATGTGCCTTGGTCATGCAGGCTTTTACAACGCACGGCCACAATTTTAGAGCTGAAATCAACTCAGGTTGGTCAACAAACCAAGATTTCGTAAACTCGAAGTACCCCAAATTCCTTAAATCAAAACGTGCTAGCACCTCAACTTACGTAATTTACCCTCTCTTCCCTCCACTAACATAAATCTCGACTTTGAGTCCCTGACCCCTAATATTCCCGCAGCAATATTCTCGATATTCGCAGATCGGGAAATTATATCCGAGAAAGCCTCTGTCATGTACCTACCACACATTATTAATGATCTCTATAATCTTTCATCACTCTCTTGACTTAGTACTCTTAAAAATGGTTTAAAATCATGCCATTTATGTCACACCTTGTCGCCAGTAACTAGCCCAATCATTTAGCAGGTTGTGTACTATCTTCGTTGATAAAATGGGGTGTGTCGCCTCCGAAGAATGTGCAACCTTTCTCGTGCATCTGTTATACTGGATGATGTATCAATCTCCAAGAAACCGTCACTATAGGAACATGGTAAACCTAAGTCGGTAGTTAGTTTGAACCTCAAGGTGCAAGTGTCGGAGGCTAGAGGCCCTACGTATCGCACTTAGCTTATAGTGCCACGTGGTACACGTGACCTCCAGCCAATTCAGTGCGTCGGGTTTGTCAGTAGCTAGCAGAGGAAAAAGGGTTGTGAACTAAAGCAAAGTGTCGGTCTGTGATTGCCATGGCGCCTTCCGCTGCACCCGCGTCAAAGGAAGAGCGTATCGCTATCGGTTAGTGTCAGTAATTTTGAGCATTCTAACCTTTCAGTCAACCACGATAAGTGCAAACCCTCTAAATGTCGCCAAGAATGCAAACGTTCATGTCCCGTCGTTCGTATGGGTACGTATATTTTTTTGAAGGCGGTCCACTGACACGAACAGGTCGTCTTTGCATTGAGGTGGCCCCTTCGAGTAAAATCGCTTTCATTAGTGAAACGCTGTGCATTGGTTGTGGTATTGTACGTATACTCATGCGTTCTTCTGACACAACAGTGTACGAAAAAGTGCCCCTTCGAGGCCATTAATATTATCAAGCTTCCTACCAACTTGGAGAACGAAACTACACATCGCTACAGCGCAAACAGCTTTAAGCTTCACCGTCTTCCCACTCCTCGTGCTGGTCAGGTCTTGGGTCTTGTTGGTACCAATGGTATCGGAAAGAGCACGGCATTGAAGATTCTTGCTGGCAAACAAAAACCCAACTTGGGTCGATACGATGATCCTCCTGATTGGACTGAGATTTTGAAGTACTTCCGTGGCTCCGAGCTGCAGAACTTCTTTACCAAGGTTCTTGAGGACAACATCAAAGCACTCATTAAGCCCCAGTACGTGGACAACCTGCCTCGTGCACTCAAGTCTCGTGCTACTGTGGAACAGCTACTTGACAGCAAGTTGCAGCGCAACAACAAAGATGATGTTGTGGATGCTTGCGACTTGAGGGCTGTCATGGACCGCGATGTTCACAATCTGTCTGGTGGTGAGCTTCAGCGTTTTGCCATTGCAATGAGCTGTGTCCAGAGCGCCAATATGTACATGTTCGATGAACCTTCTTCTTATTTGGATGTAAAGCAGCGTTTGAATGCTGCTCGTACTATCCGCTCTCTTCTTGATCCTGACACGTATGTCATCGCTGTGGAGCACGACTTGTCTGTGTTGGACTACTTGAGTGACTTTATTTGCTGTCTGTACGGAGTTCCCAGTGTGTATGGTGTGGTTACGATGCCTAGTCCTGTTCGTGATGGCATCAATATTTTCCTTGACGGCTATATCCCGGCGGAGAACATGCGTTTCCGTGAGGAATCGCTCACCTTCAAGATCGCTGAGACGGCCGACGACAGCGAATTGGAGCGGAATGCTAACTACACATACCCGAATATGACAAAGAAGCTGGGCTCGTTCGAGCTTTCTATTGATGCAGGCAGCTTCACGAACTCGGAGATCATTGTGTTCCTCGGTGAAAATGGTACGGGTAAGACGACGTTTGTCAAGATGCTGGCTGGTAAGCTCGCCCCCGACACTGGCGCAGAGAAGCTTCCTCAGCTGAATGTGTCACTTAAGCCTCAAACGATCACACCCAAGTTCCAGGGCACAGTCCGCATGCTTCTTCTTAAGCAGATCAAGGCTGCATTCATGCACCCTCAGTTCCAAACCGACGTGGTCAAGCCCATGAGTCTCGACAACATTATTGACCAAGATGTCCAGACGCTCTCTGGTGGTGAGCTCCAGCGTGTTGCTTTGGTGCTGGCTCTCGGCAAGCCTGCTGACATTTACCTGATTGACGAGCCAAGTGCCTATCTCGACTCGGAGCAGCGTATTCAGGCCTCGCGCGTAATCAAGCGCTTCATTCTGCACTCTAAAAAGACTGCCATGATCATTGAACACGATATCATCATGGCTACCTACATGGCTGACCGTGTAATTGTCTACGAAGGTCAGCCTTCGATCAAGGCGCATGCTCGCTCGCCTGAATCACTGCTGACTGGTATGAACTCCTTCCTTGCCACGCTGGATGTGAGTATGCGTCGCGACCCGACCAATATGCGCCCTCGTGTGAACAAACACAACAGTATTAAGGACAAGGAACAGAAGGCCAGCGGTCAATACTTCTTCCTGGAAGACTAAGCATTATGCCGTAGTAAAGGAGCTCGCCGTCTGGCATATCGCTTATCACGTGAGTAGTAGTGCTGTGGAGGTCATGGCGTTCATGGTTAACGTTGTACGGCGGCATGACGGCAGCATCGGCTGAGTGTCGCGTCGATCTGCCACTCCCTATCCAGAAGCATGTAAAATTTTGGAAGCTACACATGTCTATGCTTCCCACTCCCTATACAAAAGCAGACGACCAACGGTTTGTACCCTCCGCTCATGACAGAATGACGCTCGCTTACTTTTGCCTGAGTGCTCTAGACCTACTCGGGCAGGTTGAAACGACTATTACTGAAGTTGAACGCGAACAATTCAAAGCATGGATTTATTCTCAGCAGCTTTGTGAGTAGTCCATCTCTGACAATAGCACAGAGTCAGGGGGGCGGATTCCGCGGTTCTCCTGCCGCAGGCGCGGTATGTATCTGGCGCTTATTGTGGCAGAGTCACGCTACTATGACCTATACGGCCTTACTGAGTCTCAGTATTCTACGAGATGACTTTTCCAGGCTGGATAGACAGGGCATCTCTGTTCATCTGCGAGCATTGCAGCAGTCGGATGGAAGGTCCGTGCACTTGTGCTGATGCAGTTTTCAATCGGCTCTTGGATACCCGGAGAAAGACGTCCGGTTCAGCTATTCGGCGTTTGCTGTGGCATACATGTTAAACGATTGGACCATGTTTGACGTTCCAAAGGCCATTGAATATCTTATTCGATGCCAGGTATGTATGCGGCCGCTCATGACAGCATTATGAGGGTGCATTTGCACAGGAGCCTGGCCTAGAATCTCATGGTAAGCATGACTGACTCATACAAGGCGGCTCTACTTATTGCGTGATTGCAGCGCTAGCCTTGGCGGGGCAACTCGATCAGATTCCTCATCGTCCGCGCCTTGAGCGCTGGCTTCTGAGCCGCCAGGCTCCGGGCGGAGGGTTTCAGGGCCGTGTGGAAAAAGACCAAGACACCTGTTATTCGTTCTGGTGCGGTGCCAGCCTCCGTATCTTGAATTTACATGCTTTTGTGGATGGTGTTTCAGATGCTCAGTGGATCTTCTCTGCACAGTCGCCGATGGGTGGATTCGCTAAAGTCCCCGGTGAGCACCCAGATATTTTACATTCCTATCTGTCCTACGTGGCCCTTGCCATGCACGCCGAAGACGATTTACGAGAGTACAATCTACCTCTTACGTCTGTATGCGCGGCATTGAATCTATCAAGGTCGTCACTTGCGTGGATCTATACCCAGTTATGGCCGAGTCATCCGGGAGCCGTACTCCTGCCTTGACGTGATGGAAGCTTGGGACGCTTCGCCGAACGACTCGCCCCAGTGTGGTCAACGAACATTTTTGCTGCCCATATCGCACCCTCACTTGGTGCGGCGGATGATACCAATTGAGGATGTGCCACAAAGTCCCGCATAACCGGATCCTCTGCGGGCCAGCGCACATTGTCTAGGGTGTCGTCTTTTTCCATTAGGCCGTCTCTCTTACGCTCAAATAAGCACTGCTCCAAGGTATCCCGCATGACATACGTAGAGACAAGCACACGATTTTTCTGCCCGATACGCCATGAATGTTTGACGACTTGACTTTCCAAATCGTGCTGCCATATTGGCTCCGCCAAAATAACGCGACTAGCACAGTGCAAGTGGAGTCCACGACTGCCTGCGGCGGTCGATAGTAGCAAACATCGATATACATCCTTGTGCACAAATTCACTAGCATTCATATTGCGAAGATGCTGTGGCGTACCGGGTACATACATCAGGGACGGAACACGAAGTAGCTCTAGAATGTTGCTTAATTCATAGAGCACATGTTCAAGCGATGAGAAAACGAGTACCTTTTCAAGCTTCACTGCGGCGAGAATTTCAAGCACCATGTGCTGGAGCTTAGTAGATGATGTACGCTGAATTCGAATGTCTGGCAAGTGTACAGAGAGCGTGTCTGATAGGGACAACTGCGAGTTGCCCCACGAGCATCTGGTTACTGTGTATTTTGTCTTGGAAGGCTTACTGGTATCATAGCGTATGCGTCTTTTTCCGACTTTTTGTTGAACAAGCTGTGCGCCTTTTAACTTGAGTCTGTCTTCTAGATCATGCACGCTTTTTAATTTAGGGGCCTCGTCTTGTATAGCTTTGCGAAAAGCAAGCAGCTCCTCTGACGTTAAGTGTGTATCCGAGGAACCACTCCACGCTTTACACACATCGGGCCGCATTCCCTCCAGCTGATACATGATATGACCCTGTCTCATATGCATCTGCCAGGCATCACTGGAGAGTGCTTCTTGAAGCTGATTCAAAGCACGTGTGGCAGCGTCCTCGAAAGCCTGTGGAACACCACCTGGTGTTTTCAGCTGATGAGCCAGCAGCTCCTTGGCATTCCGGGCCTGCTCTAGAAGGCCGGGCTCGGCAAAATGAAAGCATGCTAAAGCAAGATTCTCCATGACCAATGTCAATAACTTTTTATTGCTCGGATGAAACAAGTAGTCCTTGTCTTTTTCTTGAGATAATGTTGCGTTGAGCAGAATCAGCGACTGGAGGACATTGTACGTAAGTCGCTCCAGTTCCGAAAATGTGAGCATGACAGCCCGATGCTCGAGCGGAGGCAGAGGACATTCTTGCTGGACGTCTTCTGTACGGTTGCGGACCATGACCCGCGAGAGAAGATCGTACAAACGGCGTTTGGCTGGCCATTCTTCCTCCGGATATTGTGGTGCTGATGTCATAAGGGCATGCCAATCTCGCTCTTTCGTAGGCAATCCAGGCGCTAGTGCGTCTGAATGGGTATCTGCATGTGTACCACATAGAGGCGAAACACCTAGGAAACGGACAAGAAACTGTTTTAATCGGTCAAGATTTTTACGATCACATGGCATCCAGGCCATTGGTGCGCCTGACAGAGGTACTCCTTTTCGCTTGTCGGCAGTCTGATGCATACTCGAACCAATTGTGGATTGTGTAGGTGTGTCCGTGACGATCCAGCGCCTTTCCACACGCAAGCGGGCGCAAAGACGCATGACCAACGACTCGCCAGCCAACACGTCGCCTTCATCAATGATCACGCGTTTCCAATACACCTGCATTAGAGGCGAGTCGTTCCCGCTCACTCTGCTACTGTGCTCATCACAGGCCTCCTTGCCAAAGCGCGCATGGGACATGAGTACCATATCGTAATTCTGAGCTAATAGAGAGGCTCTTGGTAGCTCTTCTCGCATGTCAGAAACAGTCAGGATGCGTAGTGCATTCTCCTCACAATGCTTTTCAATTTCCTCCATCCAGTGAACCAACAAGGTCAGTGGCACGAGGACCAGGGTGGCAGACGTAACATACACACGTATTGGCGCTCGTCCTTGACTTTGACGTGATACATGCGTGGGTGCAGGTGGCCAAAGAAGAAAATACGGTGCTGATAAGGGACCGAGAATGGTTTGCAGTTGAAGCGGGAGTGTTTCACGCAGCTCAGAACGACATGCATGTGTGGTGCGCAACCGATGTGCGGCGATTTGCACTAGGGAGACGGTTCCTGACACGCGGCCACGCTTGAGTGCTGGCTTGGGCGCCGCTTGTGGCATCTTTTTATGCGGTTTTCGACTGATCCGCTCGCCTGGACTAGGAGCCCCGAAAGCGGCCGTCACAATCCGCTGTGTGTGTGTGTGTGCTGGATCAACACCTTGGTACGCTCGGGCGGGGAATGCGCGTGCCATATCACTTGTTACAGCACTGCACATTGGATTCAGTTCGGGCTGGGGCATTTGATCCAATGTTGCCAAGATGAGCGCAAGGCACACCGTCGTTTTACCGACGCCCATCTCGTCACATAGAATACCGCCTTTAATGTCCAAGTATGTGGGTATCGAAGATGGCCGGTAGAAAGCGTATGTGTCCGGATTAAAGTAGTACTTGTCCACTTGGCTCGTGGATGAGCAAGGGGTCGTTTTCTCAACATAATAGGGACCACCATGCCTAGTTGGCCTGAGTTCTCGCTGTAGCATTTTAGCCAATGAATTCTGTTGGTAGCCATAGAGCTGGCACTGAAGCTGGGGAGGGTTTAGCATGCATGGGTCCCATTCATGAGCTGGAGGTGGACTGGGGAGTCGCTGGTATAGCTCGGAGAGAGTCCAGTCGTTCTGCTGTGAGTCGCGCATACATACGATGTCAATGTCCCAAAACGGCGTCACTGATGCAGGCATGTCTGTATCTCGACTTATGGCGTTCCATAAATGCGAATCTGTCCACAGGTTCGGTAAAATTTGCTGCCAATGTGGAATTGGATTCTGACTGGAGGCAGAGGTTGTTTGCTTTGCCATGATGCGTACATGGAGTGCTCCCTCGTACATGCCTGCTGCCCACATAGCCAATACATCTTGCTCCACAGCCGCAATTGCCTTGTTCATTTCGACCAGAGCACGTACATGGCAGAGCAAGGAACCTGCCTCGTATGCACATAGCCGCTCAAACGACTCTTCGTTCAGGCAAAGCAGTTGTGCTCCTGGCTGGCCAAGCTGAATAGGGCCCGGCGAAGAAGCTCTGATCTTTATTACAACAACACCAAGCGGTATTGTATCAGGATCATGCCATGGTGCATCGGCGAAGGTGCCGGACGTGTCCATCCAAGACAGCACGCGTCATGCGTCGTTGGACGCGGTGCAAGACGAGATGCGTGTCTAGTACCCTCCACCTCACGTAAGCCAGAAAATCATCAGAGCGCCCACATTGGTTGTCGAACGCCATCATGTCTAGTGGCGAAGTGGCGACGGAGGTCGTGAACAAAAACAAGCGCTTCCGCAAAGATAAACGTACGTATAATATGTTAATGATAGCATGGGATACCGATGATATTGACCATTGGAGAATTGACAAGTTTACGCAAGAAGACAATCCACACCCGTTCCTGGAGGAAAGCAGTTTCGCCACGTTGTTTCCGAAGTACCGTGAAAAGTATCTGCGCGAGATTTGGGGACATGTGACGACAGCTCTGGAGAAGCATGGTATTGCTTGCACGTTGGACTTGGTTGAGGGGTCCATGTCTGTCCGCACCACCCGGAAAACCTTTGACCCGTATATCATTCTGCGTGCGCGCGATCTCATCAAGCTGCTGAGTCGTAGCGTGCCCTTCACACAGGCCGCGAAGATTCTGCAAGATGATATGGCGTGCGATGTTATCAAGATCGGGAATATCGTGCGCAACAAGGAGCGCTTTGTGAAACGCCGCCAGCGCATTATTGGGCCCAACGGCAACACGCTAAAGGTACGCGTTTCTCGTTAACCCAGGCCATTGAGCTACTGACGGGGTGCTATGTGCTAGTACAAGGTAATACAGTGAGCGCGATGGGCTCGTACAAGAGCCTGAAGGAGGTCCGGCGTATTGTGCTAGACTGCATGAAAAACATCCATCCCATCTACCACATTAAGGAGCTCATGATCAAGCGTGAGCTTGCTAAGGACCCGAAGCTAGCAACTGAGTCGTGGGACCGCTTCTTGCCGAAGTTCAAGAAGCAGAATGTCAAGTCGAAGCCGCGCAAAGAGGCGCCTAAGAAGAAGGTGTACACACCATTCCCACCTGCGCCTCAGCCTAGCAAGGTGGATCTGCAGCTTGAAAGCGGCGAGTACTTCCTCAAGCCACATGAAAAGAAGCGGAACGAACAGGCCAAAAAGCTGGAGGCCCAAGCAAAGCATGCCGTCGAACGTGAGCGGGAACGCGAAAAGGCGTTCATTGCGCCCGAAGAGCCTCTCCCCAGCGATACAAAGAAGAAAGAGAAAAAGTCCAAGAGCAAGGATTCGTCTAAGAAGCGAAAGCGCGAGTCAGACTAGGTCCTATACAATCTACATCATGAACTCATCGCTCGCGAGCGCCAGACTAAGGGCGGTGCGGAAACGGGGGCATGAATCGACGGGGACATTTCGGGGGCGGATGAGGAGGGCAGCGTCTCAACGTGGGGTGCTGCGCCTGTAGGGATATATTGTGAACCAGGGTTCACCTCCATCTGTACATTGGAACGGGTCATGGGGCTGTTGTCTAGCTCAGCGGCGGGGAGCAGCGGCGTTGAGAAAGTTGCCACAGCATCAGATGCGTCACTGAGGTCGCACGGGGACACGGGCGAAGCTCTGCCTTGTTCTTGGGGCAAGGGCGGCTGCGCTAGTCGCTCTGATTCATGGGCCATATGCGTGCTTTGGTCTTGGTTTTCATTCGTGACAATCTTAGGATACAAGGGCGGGTCAGCTGCCTCTGACTCTTCGTCCGTGTCATCCTGTAGGTCGGCTTCCAGGTCCGCAAAATTGCGACAGAGGGGACAAGAGAAGCCTGGAAAGTGCAGCGATAGAATGGGACGAATGCACTTGTAGTGGAACATGTGCGAACACGGTCCAATGAACAGCGCCTGGCAAACACGTATCTTCAGTAGGCAGATGCAACATTCATCCAGCAGTCGCTCTTTGTCTGAAACAACAGCATTCTCGGCAGGTGTATTTTTCTGCGCTCCCTGTAGTTGCTGCAGCATGTTGTGGCCATATGCGGTAGGCCGAATCGACGAGTCACGGTCAATTTCTACGCGCACCTTGATGGCACGGAACAGATCCTCAGAGCCGCCTTGGTAGTCAATGCCAAACTGGACGATATCGCCGTCTTTGATCTCATGGGAGTGGCTGAGTGCACCCGGAGGAGAGAGGCGCAATCGATTCACAAATGTACCACTGCTAGACTTGGTGTCACGGAGGTAGACTTTGCCGCCTTCGCCGCACCAGATCTCGGCATGAAGACGACTAACGACCTTGCTTTGGAAGGCCACATACGTTTTGTTTTCGCCCACAATAACCGGTTGCCGCATCGACCGGGGCTCGTCAGCGCTTCCCTGCACATTGCGATCGGAGAAACGGCCAATCTGCACATGAAGGCCGCCTTCGACCAGATCGAGGTTTGCGGGGAAGAAGGCCAGAGTGCGCGTGGCTTCAATATATGGAGCCAGTCGCACTTTGCGCACGCGAGCAGACCTCTGGACCCCAGTATCCGTGCTCTCGCGGCTTGGTATCGAAGAGGGTGTCGTGCGCGAGCGAGCTTCTTGCGTCTGTGGCGTGCCTAGATCGAACGACTGCGCACGGGTAGATAGGGCACTGGCGGCCGCACGGAGCGGAGTCATAAATCGTGCTGAGCCTGTAGAGCCACTTGACGCGCTATGCAAGTGCGATCCACTGCCCTGGCCGCTTCGAGCTGCCGTGGGCACCGCCTCAGGCTGGCTTTGTGACAGGTGCGAGAAGCTATAGCGGCGGAGCAAATTGCTGAGCCTACGAGGCCTGCCACCTTGCATGCTGTGACGCGCTGCTGGTTGGCCGGACGGCACAGAGCGTTCCACCATGCTAGCACGGAAGATGCTCCGAGATCTGCTTCCTGCGCTGCGCTGGCCGAGCACGCCTTCCAATCACTGGGATGCGCCGCAAGGCCACACAGAGGCTCACGTGATATGAACCACATTTTTGCTCGCCGCCGCGCACGATAGTCCACGGCAGCAGGATGGTGCGGCAGCGTAGCGCCCCGTCGCGCCCTGCTCGCGATGACTTTATCATGACGCTAGATTCGGAAGAGGAGACCGAGCCTATGCAAAAGACGCCGTCTGTGTCGCAACCTAGCAAAAAGGTCAAGGCACGTATTAGCGAGCGCGAAAAGATTGTCGACCAAGGCACGCCCTCCCAGCGAGCTAGCGCGGGCGACGACGAAGGCCTCGAGATGGATGGCTTTGAGTTTGATGTGGATGATGCACAGGAACAAACGGGCATGCAGGGCTGGCACTTTCATGTCGACGGCGCTGCTGGAGCGCAGGGTGCAGAGGCAGAGCGCACAACAGTGGACGACATCATTGACCGCCATCGCGGCGGCGTGCAGCTCCCTGCAGCGTTGCAGGAAGCCGAAGATGATGACGATGGATTCATACATGGTGAAGCCGCTGCCCTGAGTGATGAAACCGACAGCGAAGATGGGTTTGGTGGCGGCGTACGTGCCGCTAAGCGCCAGGCAGGGGACGACGACGACGACGACGACGACGACGACGAGTCAGCAGATCCTCTTGAGGACGACGAAGAAGATGAAGAAAGTCCCGACGAGGCCGTGGATGATATCGATGACAGTGCATCCGATGTATCAGAGGCGACGCGAGAGCGCCAGGCAGCATACTTTGCGAAGGACGAGGAGGCAGATGCACCCGTCGCTTCCTCGTTTGCCTCCTTCCAGCTGAATCGCGCGCTTCTACGTGGGCTTGCAGCGCTGCACTTTCAAAAGCCGACGCCCATCCAGGCACGCACGATTCCCCTGGCGCTCGCTGGCAAGGACATTGTCGCGGGCGCTGTGACAGGCAGCGGTAAGACGGCCGCCTTTCTCGTGCCGATCTTGGAGCGCCTTTCGTACCGGGAGCGTGGCGTAGAGGATGCCAAGTCGCGTGTGGTCGTGCTGTGTCCGACGCGTGAGCTGGCGATCCAGTGTCACAGCGTAGGACAGGCGCTCGCTCGGTTCATGGACGTGCGCTTCTGTCTGTGTGTCGGTGGCCTGTCGCTCAAGGCCCAAGAGGCAGAGCTGAAGCGCCGGCCGGACATTCTCGTGGCGACGCCTGGTCGTCTGATCGATCACATGCGCAACAGCTCGTCGTTTGGTATGGAAGATGTCGAGATCCTTGTCATGGATGAGGCGGACCGCATGCTGGAGGACGGATTCCAGGACGAGCTCAATGAGATTGTACGTATGTGCCCTGCGAAGCGCCAGACCATGCTGTTTTCCGCCACGATGACCGAGGACGTGGACCAGCTCGTGCGCCTGAGTCTGCGGCAGCCCGTGCGCCTGTTTGTCGATCCCAAGCGAGCGACGGCCGCAAAGCTTGTACAAGAGTTTGTGCGTGTGCGTGTGCCGTCCCAAGCGCGTGGGCGCGAGCTGCAGGAGGCCGAGGACCAGCAGCGTGCATCCCTGCTGCTGACGCTCTGTATGCGCACGTTCCGTGCGCAGGTCATCATCTTCGTGCGCAGCAAGAAGCTGGCGCACCAGCTCAAAATCCTGTTTGGCCTTCTGGGCCTCTCTGCAGCCGAGCTGCATGGCGACCTGTCGCAGGAGCAGCGCCTGCAGTCGCTTTCCCAGTTCCGCGATGGAAAGGTCGACTTTTTGCTCGCAACGGACCTTGCGAGCCGCGGTATTGATATCCGTGGTGTGCAAACAGTGATCAACTACGATATGCCGGCGCAGATGGAGCCATACCTGCATCGAGTCGGTCGTACGGCGCGTGCGGGGCGCCAGGGCCGCGCTGTGACGCTGGTCGGCGAGTCGGACCGCCGCTTGCTCAAAGCAGTGCTGAAGCGCACGCCGCCGGAGCAGGTCAAGCACCGTCTTATGCCGGGAGATGTGGTGCAGCAGCTTTCAGAAACGATCGCGTCGCTCAAACCCGAGATTGCGCAGATTCTCGCGGAGGAGAGGGAGGAGCGTGCGCTGCGCCAGGCGGAGATGGAAGTGCGGAAGGGCGAAAACATGATCGCGCACCAGGACGAGATTTACTCGCGCCCTGCGCGCACCTGGTTCCAGAGCGACCGTGCCAAGGCGGAGGCCAAGGCTGCGTCCGGCGCGGCGTATGCGGCGCAGATGGACCCGAAAAAGAAAGACCGCTTCGCGGGTCTCTCGCGCAGGCAGCGGCGCAACAAGCTCATGCGAGAAGAAGACGCGAAGGATGCGCAGCAGGGCGAAGTTCGCGCGGCGATTCGCGCGGCCAAGCGGTCGCAGCGCCCGCAGCAGCTAAAGGCGACGCGTGCACCACCTGCGAAGCGTGCACGTTCGTCGGCGCCGCGCTCCAAAGGCAGCGCGTTCCACACTGATATGTCATCGCGCTCGAGCCGCGGACGTCGTCCCTAGTCGCATGTACACTACAAGCTCGCTAGTTGCCGCCATACACAGCCAAAAGCGCGTCCGAGACGCCGGACGGCGTGAGAATACCGACATCGCTCACAATGAACGTAATGAGTTCTGTGTGAGCATGGGGCACGTACCAGGCAGGGTATAGTCGATCAGGGGATTGCGCGCCTCCATGGCCGGCGTCATGCGCCCATCCTCCGGCACGCCGGCATCCTCGTCGACAGCGGGCAGGGGGATGCACCGCGCGGCATGCGGCACGTCGTACTGAGATAGGGGGAAGAGGCGGAGGAACTTGAAGCTGCGTGTGAGCTCATGTGCGTACCTCTCTGCGAGCGCAAACACGGGCTTCTTGGCCGCCTTGGCAATGATGCTCAGCTGGTAGCTGCCAATCGCATTAAAGATGCCGCCCGACTCGGCCACCGCCTCGGCACCCACGAGGCACAGATCGATGCGGTCGATGACATACGCCACGGCCGTGTCGAGCACGACCGTACATGGAATTCCCTCAGCACGAAGGCGCTCGTATGTGCGCAGGCCCTGGCCCGTAGGGCGGCTCTCTGTCACACAGACCCGCACGCGCTTGCCATGCGTTTTGACGGCGGCGAGGATCGCCTGCATCACGACGCGCGAGTGTCCGTGCGTCAAAATCACCTGGATAAGAGTGAGGCACGTACCGATTCGTCCTTGATAAACGGCAGCAGCAGGTGCGTAATGCGCTCGCGGCAGTGCGGCACCGTGTTGTGCGCAAACTCCAGCGCCGTGTCGAGGAGGCTCCTCTTGTGCGCCTGAAAGTCCTGCGGTCAGCATAGACGCGTACGCCACCCGCCCAGTTTTTCGTAGTAACAAAGCGCATAAACAGCTCGAGCCCAGCGGTGGCCGGGACTGGGTTCTCCAGGCTCGCCTTGAGCTCCTCACTCGCCTGCTTTACGCTCTCCATAAGCTCTGACGTGGTCGCAGCCTTGGACTGCCCGATCAGGTCCGACAGCGCAAAGATGGCCGCAATGGGCTCGGGCCGGTCCACATCCTCCGCGAGGCTGCTGCGGAACGACTCGACGATCGAGAAGGCCGTCATGGTGGGCAGCGACACGCTCGGCCGCCGAGGCGGCCGCTTCGTCGACCTCCACTCTCGGCTCGTGCGGCCGGATGCAGCCGCCCAGCGCGAGCGAGGCGCGGCGCGGCGTGCCGGCGTCGCCGTCGGCGGCGGATGTCATGCGCGCGTACCGTGAGCGGCGGCAGAGTGCGCGGCGCGGCGTACTGAGCCGGTACCGCGTGCTGGGCTTCCTGAATGCGGGTACGTACGGCCGCGTGTACAAGGCAGAGGACGCGCCGTTGACCGCGTCTGCGGAGCGCCCCGGCGTGTACGCGATCAAAAAGTTTAAGTTGGACCGCGAGGATGATACAACGCTCTTCCGCGGAGTCAGCCAGAGTGCGATTCGCGAGATAGCCCTGAATCGCGAGCTCGCGCACGAGAATGTGTGCCGGCTATGGGAGGTCCTGCTGGAGGACAATGCCGTCTTTCTCGTGTACGAGTTTGTCGACCACGACTTTTTGCAGATCATCCACCACTATCTGACGGTCGTGCGCACGCCGATCGGCGGCGCCATGATCAAGTCGCTCATGTGGCAGCTGCTCAACGGGATCGCCTACCTGCACGCGAATGGCGTGATGCATCGTGACCTCAAGCCGGCCAATATTCTCATCACGGGGCGTGGTGTCGTCAAGATTGGCGATCTTGGTCTTGCGCGCATTTATTCGGACCCGCTCATGTCGCTGTACACGAGCGACATGGTTGTCGTTACGATCTGGTACCGCGCGCCGGAGCTCCTGCTGGGCGCGCGGCATTACACGCCTGCGATTGATCTATGGGCTGCCGGATGCATCTGGGGCGAGCTCATGGCACTGCGCCCCATGTTCAAGGGCGAGGAAGTGCGCATGCCAACCAGGAGCAAGACCGTGCCTCTGCAAGTGTGCGTTGCCTCACTGACACCAGCCACCAGCTCAGCAAGATCGTCGACGTGCTCGGCACGCCTGACACGGAGCGCTGGCCGCGCATCACGGCCATGCCCGAGTACTCTGCTTGGGTGGCATCGCGGCGCTCCCACAGCGTGCCAACGACCCTGTACCGGTGGTACGTCGACCGGTCCGGGACCTCGAGCGGCTTTGGTCTATTTGACCGGCTACTGCAGTACGATCCCGAGCGCCGCGCGACTGCTGCGGAAGCACTGGAGCACCCATGGTTCGCCGAGGCGCCGCTCCCTCAGACCACGTACGCCACGCTGCTCACACAGACTCTTCCCGCTCAAGTCGCCTTACCCGCCTGGACGCGTGGTGGTCGAGGACACGGCGCCCATCGTGCCGCGTGGGCGGCGGCCGCCTGCATAGCGAGGAAATATGCCCTTGGCCTGGGCTTGCCGCGCGGGTCGTCGTCTTGCCAACGGCGATGTGGCTCACGGACCAGCAGAGTACGTCGCGTGCACTCACCAGAAATCGGCGTGGGTCTCGTATCGGGTGGCCTGCTCTTCTTGGTGCTAGGAATCGTACTGTTCTTTGATGCGACGCTTCTGGCACTTGGAAACGTGCTGTTCCTTGCGGGCATCGCGCTGCTGATTGGCCCCCAAAAGACGCTTCTGTTCTTTGCGCGGCCGCAAAAGATCCGCGGCACCGTGTGCTTCTTTGCGGGCATGGCACTCGTGTTTGTGCGGTGGACGGTGCTCGGCATGATGGTCGAGTTGGTCGGCTTCCTGAATCTATTTGGGTACGCGCTCCTGCTCACGCAGCGACTTTTTCCCCGTCATCCTGAGCTTTTTGCGGCAGATGCCGCTCGTTGGTCCGCTGCTTTCGGCGCCAGGCGTCCGTCAGGTACGCGACTCGGCTGACCCAGGTCATGGACCAGCTCGCCGGCGCACGCCGCTCGGCTGTGTAGTGCTTGCCGGCCTCATACCCACGTCCTCTTCTGTAGCCATAGGATGGATCGGCCGTCGCAGCAGCGCCGCAGGACTGCAGCGGCCACGCGCCGTGGTGACGTGTCGTCCAGCTCGAGTGGAGCATGTGCTTCGTCTCCCACCACGATGCAGGCGCTGCGCGTGTGGCTGGGCTTGGCGCTGCTGGTGTCGAGTGTGTGTGCGCTGTCTGTGCAAAAGCCGCTGGAGATTGGTCCCCGCTGGTCGTCGTACTCGCGCATTGTTGTGTTTGGTGACTCGCTCGTGGACAATGGCAACGGCACCTACCTGCTGTCGAACAAGACGTGGCCGGCCGACCGCGCCTTTTACGACGGGCGCTTCAGCAACGGGCCGACGTGGGTGGAACAGCTGGCGGGCAAGCTGCATGTGTCGGTCGTCGATGACCTCGCGTACGGCGGCGCGACGACGAACAACAGCGTGGCGCAGGGGTACTCGGGCTACCACTCGGACATTGCGGTGCCGGACGTGAGGCACCAGGTGTCGATGTACCTCGAGCGCATGCACGGCCACCTGGACCCCGAGGCTATTTACATTGTGAGTGGCGGCTCGAACGACGTGTTCTTTGGCTCGCAGAAAACCCTCGACATTCTGGGCCTCGCCGAGAAGGGCGTGCAGACGCTGCAGCGCGAGGCCGAGCGCCTTGTAGCGCATGGCGCGCGCCTCATTGCGCTCCCCCTGCTCATGGACGCAAATAAGACGCCGTCCGAGACGCAGTACGACAACTTGATCGATGGGATCGGCAGCTCTGTGTTTACGACCCACTTCAACACGAAGCTACGCGAGTCGGCGCGCGCGCTGCGTCGTCACGTGGACGTCAAGGTGCTGGATCTGCACGGGATCGAGCGCTACCTGTTGGCACACGCCCAGCAGTACGGTCTCGAGAACACTCGCGACGCCTGCTTGCAGGGCACGACCGAGCCTGAGGTGCGCGCTGGCGTGAAGCGGCACGTGTGTGCGACGCCCGACTCGCACTTTTTCTGGGACATTTACCATCCCACGGCGCGCGCCCATGAGCTGATCGCCGACTTCGTGGCACCCCAGTTTTGATAGCTATGAATTCTGAAGCTTGTCGCGCAACTGCCCAAGGAACGGCAAGTACCCACTTGTCTGCTCGTAGCGGTCCTCGATCATGCGGCTCAGTGCCAGCAGCCGCATGCCGGCGTCGCCGTCCTCCTTGACGAGGTACACGTTCGGCAGGTACACGCCGCGGCGCTGCGTCACGACCCGCTCTACAATCGCCCGCACGCGGCGCGACATGGGGTTGTCGAGCTCGGGGAGCTCGATCGGGCCGGAGCGCAGCGCGGCATAGTCCGGCGCACCGAACACATCCATCGTGAGCGCGGGAATGGCGGCGCGGCCGAGCCACAAAAAGATGCTCATGCCGTCTTCGATGAGGTACAGGCCATGACGCTCGAAGCGCTCGCTGCTCAGGCTCAGGCGGGGCGGCATCGCGAGCGTCTGGGTCGACACATCCATAAGGCCCGCGCCCGCGGGCATATTGTGCAGGGAGTACAGGACGGGCAGCAGCAGCGGCACCAGCCGCTGCGGCGGCAGCGTTGTGAGCAGTGTGTGGTTGTATGCGCGCACATCGCTGGGGATCTGTGTGCCCATACGCAGACCACGGTTGCGCAGCAGACCGAGCACGAGCAGCGGCAGCAGCGACAGGTTTTGCGCGATCATTAGGTGTGCCGCATTGCCGCCACGCGTGTTGGTCATCGTCTGGCGGTACGCGCCGAGGATGTCCGTCAGGCGCGTGCGCAGCAAGCCGCGTGCGTCGTCGAGGCGCGCATGGAGGCTCTTCTCCACCGCCTTGTTCGCGAAGTACGTCGCGATCGCGACCTGGTCCGCGCTCGCATACACCTCTGAGAGGCTCGTCGTCGTCGGCAGTGCCGTGGTCATCACACGGATGCGCCGCTCGCCGTCGGATGTGCTGTGCAGCACCACGCTCTGGAACACCACAAACGGCGTGTGCAGCGGCTCGTCGACCTCGCACTCGATCATGTAGCTCTGGTCGCTCGGCACGCTGGGAAGCGCGAGCAGGTCCGACGAGCGCACGAAAAAGTTGCCGTGGAACGACAGCGTGCGGATCCCGCGCGTCGCGCGCAGCCGGAGCACCGCCTCAAAGCTGATCGGGCTCGTGAGCACGGCGTGCAGCTCATGCGCAAACTTGCGGGCGTTTTCAGGGTGCTGTGCATCGTACGTCGGGTAGTAGAACGTCTGTCCGCCCGTGTACCGCGGGAGGCACGAGAGCGTCGCTACGTCGACGTACGCCGGGCCAAACAGCCACATGTCCACCGACACCTGGCTCCGCGAGCACTCGATAGCGAACGTCTTGTAGAACGACGACGCCGCTTGCAGCAGCGTACTCTCGCGAGGGCCACCGTACAGCTTCTTGTCGTCGCGCATCTTGAGCGCGCCGGGGCCCAGGGACGGCAGCGACGCGCTGAACACTTCGAGCTTGCCGCCCGATGCCGAGCACAGCTTGAAGGCCGCCTGCAGCGCCGCACCCAGCGCCGACGGTGTGGCCGCTGCGAGTGCATACATCGCCGGCAGGTCACGCAGCAGCGTCTCGACAGCGGCGCGGCTCTCGGTCAGGTTGACCAGCAGGTCGTTCGGCTGCGGCAGGAACACGTGGTCGACGTCGCTGACGACCAGCACCGACGGCTCCGAGCGGCCCGGCACGAGCTGGAAAAAGTGCAGCTGTGCATCAAACGCGATGAACGCCACTTTGGTGCGGTTGTCCTTGTTGGGCAGCGAGTCGAGCGACGACGGAATCGCACTGGCTGCCGTCGCGAGCATGCCACTGGACACGGCCGCATACGACACGTCCAGCAGAAAGACGTACACGGGCGGCTGGGGCGGGCGCACCATGTACTCGCGCGGCGCCACAAACTCGACGACGCCCGAGTTCAGCTCGGGTCGCTTCCAGCGGTCCGCCGGCTGGTTCGTCGTGGCGTCCCAGTCGAACAGCTGCGGCACCTCGTTCGTGATGCCACACATGCAGCATTTCCAGCGGTGGCCGCCCTCAACAAACGTCACGAACGGATTGATGTACGTGCGGCAGCGGCGGCAGCGCGCAATCACCGTGTCCGTGACCAGGGGCACCGGCGCATCGCCCTCCTCAGGGCGCACGCTGCGCATCGGCGATAGAATGATGGCAAGCGGCAGCTTCGACTTCAGCATGAGCGACTGCGTCGACGGGATCGCATTCATCGTGCTCCGCTGGTACGACGGGTCAGCGTTCGCCCGCTCAGACGGCGTGACCGTCGCATTGGGCGGCAGGACAATCGGCGGCGGCGGCGCATCGAGGTCGCTCATGTTCGGCGGCTGCGCGCCGACGACCGCATTCACCAGCTGGTTGCCCATGCGCGCCGACGGCGCGCCGGCCGGCATCGGAGCGCTGGCCACCGGGGCCGGCGCCCCCACATCCGCTGGCACCATCGGCACAGGCGGCACAGAGGCGTCCGCGGGCGGGGCGGCGACGTGGCCCGCCGATATAGCTCGCTGGCCCGGCGCCAGACGCGCGGCAGGCGAGGCCGGCACGCCCGAGACACTGCGCGTCGACATGTGGCCGGACAGCGCGGCCGGCGTAAACACGTCGGCCTCGCTCGACGCTCCGGTAGACGCCGGATAGCTCACGCTGTGCGTCGCTGCATGGGCGGTCGCGTAGGCGCGGCGGCGGTTCGCCGCACTCGACGCACGCGGCGCGGCGCGCAGCGGCGACGTGACAGGCGCCGAGGGCGGCACTGCACCCGGGGGGCTCGCCACAGACGGTGGGCGGGGCTGAGCCGCCGGCGCCGACGTGGGGGGCGTCGGCGGGGGCATCGCACCGGTGGACGGGGCCAGCGGCGCCGCGCTACCGCGCCGAACAAGCGGGCGGCCCGGCATGGGCGGGCGTCCAGGACGCACCGGAGCAGGACGCACACCCGCAGGATGCGGCGGGGACGCGACGCCCGGCGGCGGACCGCGCATCGCGGGGCCACTCGGCGACGCGACCGACACGGAGGCCGACAGCGCCCGATGGCCAGGGCGAGGTCCGGACGGCACCCGCGTGCCCGGCACCTGCATGCTGGGGGCGCGGCCATGCATGCCTGGACGCACAGGACGGACGCCAGGCGGCGGCCGTGCGACGGGGTTCACAGGCATGGACATGCGCTGAGCCGGGCTCGGATGCATGCGAGCGCCGGGAGGAGGGCGTGCCGGCGACGCGGACGGCACGTTCCAGCTGGTGCGGCCGGTGGCCGATTCGACATACACTTGCCGGCCAGCAGCGTCATCCCTGGACGTAAGTCAAGCAAGTACGTACCACTGCGCTACCCAGCCGGGCGGGAGCTGCGGGGGGCGGGGCTGCGATGACATGGGTCGCGACGAGGCACTGGCCCAGGCGGCCACGTTTTGCTGGCACAGTACACACCTGCACCCGACGGGCACGCGGATGCCGGTGGAGGTGGGCGGAGCGCCGCGGCGACGACGCACCGATGAGCGACGCGGCGGCCTCGACCCTGTTTGTCGGCAGCATCTCGCCGGGCGTGAGTGACCGGTGGCTGGTGCAGCTGTTCCAGGCGTGTGGGGGATACCGCTCTTTCAAGCGCGTCAGCAAGGCCTTTGGGTTCGCGGACTTTTCGACGCTGCGCGATGCGCTGCGGGTGCTGTCGGTGCTGCACGACCTGGAGCTGCCGAGCATGGGCTCGCAGCGGGGCGAGCCGCGCAAGAAGCTGATTGTGCGAGCCGACGAGAAGACGAGCGCGTTCCTGGGCGAGTTCGCCAAGACGATGGTGCGCACCGACGCCGATGCGCTCGAGGACGCCGCGGCGCGGAGCCGCGTCGACTATGTGGTGCAGGCGATGGCCACGCCGAACGCCGACACTGGCGATGAGCCGGAGCGCTACGAGATCCCGTCGCATCTCAAAGATCTGCAGGAGGAGGAAATTCCCGAGGAGCGCCGCAGCGACGTCATCTCGGAGATCGAAAAGTTCCGTCTCGGCGCGGTGGCGCGCGATGCCGCTGCTCGACGGCGTGAGCTGGAGCTGGAGCGCAAGCGCGCTGCGGCACTGGCGGCGCAGCAGGTGCGCGATACGCCGTCGCCGCGCGTCGCCGAGACGCCTGCGACGCCCGATACGGACCCGGAGGCGGCCGACGAGGCGGCGGAAGCGGCGCGTCGCGCAGAGGAAGACGAGGCGAATGCGCGCGCTATGCGCGCGGCGGAGAACGCGTACGCACCGCGCGAGCGTGACCGCCTCGCGCGGTGGGCGGCACGCCAGCCGGCCACCGATCACACGGCTGCGCATGCCGCGTGGGCGCATCTCGACGAAGCGACGGAGCTGGCGTCGGAGCCGTTCTGGACGGACCGGCGTCGCTGGCTCGCAGCGCGCGCACCGGAGCGCACGCGCGAAGAAGCGGCCGACGAGGCTGATCGCGCCGCTGCCGCCGAGCAGCGCGCGGACGCTGAGCGCCAGGCCGACGAGTTCCTCGCGCAGCTCGCACCGCCGGGCCTGCGTCCCTCGGGCGAGCCGCTCAAGCTGCACGTGCACCGCCACGAAGACGCGCACCCGCTCGCACACATGGATGCCGCGCACGTCGAGGGCCTGTCGCGCGAGGCCGTCTGGGCGCTCGCGCCCGCGTGGGACTCGCTGGACGTGGCCGCATTCCGGCCCCTGCTGGACCGTGGCATCGCCGACAGCTTTGGCGAGCCTGTGCCGGACCTCGTCGACGCCGCGATGGAGCAGCTGCATGCGCATGCGGCGGCGCCGGACGTGGCCGAGGTCCTCGAGCCCGTGCTGGACGAGGACGCCGCGGCCCTCGTCGATACCCTGTGGAGGGCGCTCCTGGTGGGCCGCCCTCCTCCATAGCGTCCGCCGACCGATTCTCCACCCGCGGCCCGCGACGAATGCCCGCCGAGATAGAGCGTGTGTCGCAGGCGCTCGCGGCCCTGCCGCAGGCGGCGTGGCATGCCGAGACGGATGTGCTCGGAAGCGCGGCGCCGCTGCTTGCAGACTTGAAGCGCATCAATCGCGACGCCTACGCGCACGCCGCGGAGCGCCGCGCCCAGGTGGCGAGCGCTCGTGAGCGCGCCGACGAGCGTGCGCGCACACTCGCCGGATGGCAATACGAGGCGCGCGAGCTGCGCGACCGGATCGACGCGTGCGGCGACCTCGACCCCGTGTACGAACGGGTGCTCGACCGCACGCGCACGCCGGGCACGGAGCCGCCGACCGAGCCGGCGCAGGTGCGTGCCCAGCTCCAGGCCGCGCTCGATGCGTGCCGCCGCTGGGAGCAGGACGTGCGCGCGCTCGAGGCGGAGGCCGCTGAGCTCCAGAAGCAGAGCCACGCGTCGCACCGCTCGCTCGTGCGCATGGAAAAAGACCTGTCTACGCTACTCCAGGCACGTACATGGCACTTACACAGTCCGTCCACAAGCTGCAGCCCCCGCCCTAGTCCGGTAGTCTAGCGCCAGCACACGGGTGCCCCGTACACGACGCACGCCGCGCCCGTCAGGTACGGCAGCTTGCACTCTGTGCGTGCCGCCGCCACGGCGCGCGGCAGCGAAAGCCACTGGCTGCGCGCCGCGCCGGGCAGCAGGCCCACGAGGCGCAGCACAACCTCGCACACGCCGTCCAGCTCGCGATCCGTCGTGTCCCAGAGGGCCGCGAGCAGCGCCGGGCACTGCGCGACTGCATAGTGGTACGGCGTGCCGACGGGGTCGTATGCGCCGTGCGCCGTGAGCGCGCCGCTCGAGCAGCCCCACAGCATGGCCGCCGCACACTGCGGCAGCTCACGCAGCTTGGCCGGGTGCACGTACATCTCGGCGCCCGCATGGCCCACGTACAGGAACGTGTCGCTGGTCGCGAGACTCTGCGCGACCTGCCCGGCCACCGGCGCATGGCCGACCGTGCCGCGCCACGTCGGCTCCGCACGCAGCGCCGGCGCGAACCGCGCCTCGCTGCGCACGAGGTCCCCACTGGGATTCAGCAGGAACGTGGTGCGCGCCCGATCTAGAGTGCGGGTGGCCGGCACGAGCGCCAGGCCGGTGAGCCGCGTCACGGAGCGCGACCGCAGCACAGGCAGCGACTCCCACGGCAGCTCACACAGCCCCCGGTCCAGGACGAGACACAGGTGCGACTCGCCCGGGGCTGTCGCGTCGCCCGGCGAGTTCCGCGCATGGAACTCGTCGAGCGCGAGCCGCGCATCGGCCACGAGCTCGTCCACATCGACCTCGTCCTGCGCCACCGGCACACCACTCAGCTGCAGCGCATCCATCGCATAGTGCACCCAGTCCTCGAGATCTTCGTCACGGTATGCGGGCACAGCGGCCAGGCACGCAATCGACATGCGCGGCAGCGCCGGCGCCGACCTCGGCCCGCGCGTGCGCGTGCGGGACGCACAGGCGCGCCCGACGATGGCCTGCAGCTTCGTGCCGAGGGCCTCGATCGCTTCAGGCGGCGGCAGCGGCGCGAGCAGGCCCTGGAAGGCGCCCAGCCACGTCGCCTGCACCGTCTCGAGCAGCTGCGCGAGCTGCGCGTCCAGCGCGCGCCGGGCGGTCCACCACGCCTTGCGCGCGTCCAGCTCGGCGCCGACGTCCTTCGCGCTCTGCACGCCGGCGTTCGACGCCTGCACGAGCTCGCGCAGCGCGTGCAGCACCGCGTCCACGTCCCACGCCTCGTCGTCGCCCTCGCGCCGGCTCTGCCGATCAATCGGCACAGTGTACACGCTCGTGCCGTACGCGGGGCTCTGGCGCGCGAGAATCAGGTCGCGCTGGTCCGCCGAGAGGGCCATAACGAGCGTGCCCGTGCCAGGTGCGAGCGCTGCTGCGTCCAGCTCCGCCTCGGCCAGCGGCGGCGGCGGCCACCGACACCACGCCTCCTTGGGCGGCACAGCCATCTGCGCGTCCGCGCGCGCGCGCCGCACAGACACGGACACGGCGGCGTCGGCCAGCGCATGCGCCTCTTGCGCGGCCGCCTCCGCCGACGCAGGGCGCGTCACGATCGCCGTCGTCAGCACCACGTCGCGCACGACCTGCAGCGCCGCTCGCACGTCGCGCACGTCCGCCACATCGCCGCGCTGCAGGACCCGCTCAGCCGCGGCCCGCGCGCGCTCGTAGAGCGGCAGGGCCGCGCGCGCCGCGGGGGACGCGCGCTTGGCGCCCACAGGCGCACTGGGCACGGACCATGCCGCCTCAGGAAGCATGCCGTACACGGCATCCGCACGGAGCGCAGCATGCGCGCGAGCGAGCCACGCCTCGGCACACACCGCCTGCGCCGCGTCCGCGCTGTCCCAGGGCGCCACGAGCGCGAGCGCGCGCTCCGCGTCGGCAGCCATACACGCGCGCGCCGCGCCACACGCGAGGCGCCTGTGCAGGTCGGGGAGCACGGTGTCTAGCGCACACGCCGCGGCGAGCTGCGCGAGCTGGGCATGCGCGGCGCCATAGGTGGCGTCGCCTTGGAGCTCCGCTGCGACCGCCGCGAGATGCGGCGCCGCCTCCGATGCCTGCCCGCGGACGAGCGCCGAGGCCACACCGATGTCGTCCCAGGCAGCCGCCGCGGCGCCTGAGGCGGCGCGCCAGTCGGCGCGCCACGCGAGGGCCGCCGCATGCACGAGCGGCACACCGCGCGCCGCACTAAAGTCGACGCACTCGCACGCAAACGCGTCGGCGTCGCGCACGGCGCCGCGCCGCGCGTACATGGCACTGAGCGCCGCGTAGCACGTGTGCAAGCCATGCGCCAGGCGCGCATGCAAGGCCGCCAGGCGTCGCGTCGTCGACGATGCGCGCGCAGCGCGCGGCGCCGTGGGCGCCGCGTCCGCTGCGCCGAAGACGTCGCTGTCCGGCTCGTCGGACGGGCGCAGGAGCGTGACCGCTCGCAGACGCACCCGCAGAGCATGCAGCTGCGCGGCCACGGCCATCGACGCATGCCCCGCCGCCATGCACAACGACACGTAGACGTCGGCGGCGCGCGCCTGCAGGTCCCAGAGCGCCGCGCGCTGGGCGAGGCGGTCCCACGCCGGCGTCGCAGGCTGCCACTCAGCCGCCTCCCGCGCGGCTTCGTACGCGTCCGCAGCCTGTGCAACGGCGCCGCGCCACACATACACTTGCGCGTGCACGAGCAGCGCGCGCGCACCCGAGGCAGGGAGGCCGCCCGCATCGATCACGGCGGCGGCCGCGTCGTACGCGCCGAGCGCGAGCCATGCCTCGCAGAGCCTCGCGGCCGCATGCGCTGGCGGCGCAGGAAGCTGCGTAGCTGCGCGCAGCACGCGCAGCTGGAGCGCGGCGAGGCCTGCCTGACCCAGGACCTCGGCCAGCAGCAGCAGCAGCGTGCCCAGGGAGCGCGCGGGCGCCGCGTCGCGTTCGGCTGCGGGCGCCTCGGCCGCAGGGGACGCAGCGCGCGGCGGCGTG